ACAAGGTGAAGGGGTCTCCTTTTATACACGTATGTATCCTCTGTTCACAACATCATTTCCATAAGATTAACTTCTTTTGGGGGAATCGTAGGAGGATTGAACTCATCCAAGGCACGAAGATAAACTTGCGTCGTAATGGGAGGCAGGGAAAGCTAGACAAACAGCTGAAACAAAAATAAAAGAAACGCATCTTGAGTTCTCATACACTGAAAGATGGTTAGATGCACGTTATATTTATGTAAGTTTAAAAAGTTGGAATGGTCATCATAATGTTTTTCAAACCGAAGTTTCCATGCAGCTTACAGTCATGCCAACAGAATGTTACGAGTGAGGTGCTGCGCATGTACACAATTATTTGGTATACATGTAGTTTGCGGGATTGAATGACCTCCTGGCCTAAAACACTTGATAGCTGATGTTGACAAAATTGTTGTGAACTCGCTGATCAGATTGATCAGGCTATTGAACCAAGAAGACCACCAGCGAATGAATGCTGAACCAGGGACCATGGAGCAAATTGGGGAATTTCAAAAAAACAGATTTTTATCCCACCACTATTTTTATTGTTTAGTTTTCAGATGTGCTGAGTACATGTATGTGTACATGATTGTTTGAAACACAACCTGTATGTATGTAGACAAGAGATGTACACAGTCTTCGATAATTGTGTACATTGTACATTCCTGATCCATGTCAGTGCCCACAAATTAGATTTCATATCTAGGTCTAGCACATGCTGTATGCATAATTTTATTGATCTTTCTCAAACTGTACATTCCTTCTAGAAACAAGTGACTGCCGTTCAGGTACTGATATGAGTTTCTGCTTTGGTTGGACAGTCTTCATACTGCATACCCTCAGGGCTCAATATACAGAGAGACGTAATGTCAGCCTATTGCAAAACCGTCCATCTCAAATGCCCGGACCATTCCACCTAGGGTCACAATAAAGTGCACTTTAAGAAACATGCTAGATAATAAGAAGAGCCATTAAACTGTGGATGCAGTGAAGCTAAGTAAAGCATCATAATTCCCTGTCGTAGTGCATTGGGAACTTAGGACCACCCTATAGGATACACACAGGGAATTCAGAGTTGAACTTCACTTAATTTCAAGCCATTCTGCTTCAAGCATTACTCAGTTGTACCTCAAATTGCAATTCATGCTATGATGTATTAGTTTCTGTCAGGAGTCTTAACATGGGGAGGAGAATTTGGAAGATACAGTAGGCCTACAGTTCAATTTTAAATTTAGAATTTTACTTGCAATGAGCAAGTATTTTTGGTCAGCTTGATGCTGTGGGATTAACTACCCTTTTTGCTGCAAAAAAAAAAAAAAAATTTATCAGGGTTTTCTTTTCGTAATGCATTTTGTAATTCTTAATAAATCCCTAAACAGTAATTGTACCCTGCTCGATCCAACGCAGTCCCACACAACCCAACTTGCCAACTTGTTGGCTACCTGAAAATATAAAATGACTGGCATGCTCAATCCAACAGAATCCAACTGTGCCTTATTTTTCTGTTTATTGCTAGATTCAACAGAGTCCAACTTGGCGTTATTTACCAGTACCCAACAGATAGGCCTACTGACTCGGATTGTTATCGGTTGCCTGCTGAATCCAACAGATTGCAACAGGAATATCTACAAGGTGTTACTGCTTGATCCATCAGGATCCCATGGGAAATTATAATAGTTGGACCCTGTTGGCTTGAGCAGGGTTAGGGTTTCCAATGCAGTGAATATTGAGCACATGTACGTAAGCAAGCAATCCTCTGTCATACGTACAGGCCTGCTGCACGTAATCCTGAGATTACATACGTGTATATTCACGCAACAATAATGAACACAAGTTTGTACTTTGCCAACCTCGTCCATATATCAATCGCGACATGCATGATTTTACCTACCGCGGTACATTGTACCTGTAGTTACCAACGTACATGTACATGATATTTATCTTTAGAACCTCAAGCATCATTAGTTATTCATACCCTAAATGAGCGATGGATTTCTCACTCAAGGACCGGAGGCAGGTGTGTGAATGGTTGCTAGGCAACTGTTGCCTAGTAACACGGATGAATAATTTGTAGCATTGTGTGTGAAATTGATGCATCGTAAAACAGGAATTCATGAATCTTTACAGATGCAGACTGTCTTTTGATCTCAAACAAGAATGAATAATTGAAAGAAATATTTGCCATTATGAAAGTCAAATGTTGTAGAATAGTGAAAGGTTTATTGCTGATTTATATGTTGCACATTGTACATATGTTTACACAGTTTTCTTTTTTGAGTCCATTTTTGAAATAATTTAGTATTCGATTAAAACTCGAAACTGTGTTTGACCGAATAATCGGATATTCAAAACTGCCAGCTGCAACTGCGTTCCGTACCGGTCAAAAGTTGCACGCAGACATGCGGCGATCATTATGGGCCGATCATTATGGGCCGATCATTATGGGTCGATCATTATGGGCCGATCATTATGGGCCGATCATTATGGGCCGATCATTATGGGCCGATCATTATGGGCGGATCATTATGGGCGATCATTATGGGCTGATCATTATGGGCCGATCATTATGGGCCGATCATTATGGGCTGATCATTATGGGCCGATCATTATGGGCCGATCATTATGGGCCGCTGGAGTGTTTTGCAATAAGTATTTTATGAAAGTCAAGGGCTTTAACCGGCTAAAAGGATGTGGACAATGAACCGCCGTCACCAAAAATCGACACAAAAAAAACTGACAATAAAACACCACAACTTTATAAAAATAACATTACAGTCGTGTGTGGTTTTTTTCTTCAAATATTCAAACCGGCAAAAAGCTTTTCGAATAATCGCTTTATGATCGAATATTTGAATATTAAGTATATTCAGGACAGCCCAATATAAGCATACCGTACACTGTCCTCCCTAGGCCCAAGTTCGTGTGTAACTGCAGGTAGAATCAGTCTAATGTAAACAGTGCTGAAGTCAATGTACATTGTGTTGATTAAATAAAAGCCAGTGAGGTAAAGTTGTTTGACAGGCTACTCAGACTTGTTTAATTAATTACAACAAGGATTGGATTGTGAACACAGGGTAACAAACCAATGAAACATCCTTACAATGACACACAAATTAAACCTGGCTTTTTTCTTTTTTTTTGACAAAAGGGAAAGTTTAGGGCTGTCCCAAATATACACAGAATATTTGAATATTTGATCAACCGTATATTTTAATAGCTTTTTGCTGGTTTGAATATTCAACATGGTAAAAAAAAATGGGTACGTGTACACACGACTATGATGTTAGTTTTAATTGTAAATTTGTGGCGTTTTATTGTCAGATGCCACTTTTTTAAGTGGACAGTGGTTTGTTGTTCTCATCCTTTAAGCAGGTTACATTTTGTAAATATCTATCTAAATTTCTGCCTCCCACTGCCAACTCATTTATTGGACAATCTTTTTAGAGATCAGTCAATATTGCTTTACCGTAAAAATGCAGTTCTGGTGTAAAATCTTGCTTATGGGGGAGGTTTTATTTTTCATTCTTGGCCTGCTTCTTAAGATCTAATGGATCCTTTGTTCCTCTAAAATATCACTCCAAGACAGACTCCTTGCAACTGTTTATCAGATTACATTGAGATTACTTTTGGAGTAAATTGTGTGGTTGTAAATCATTGATTTCACCCGTGAGTTTGAAGATGAAGCAGCTGGATTGGACTTCCTGCTTTTGATGACCAGAGTCTGATCATCTTGTAGTTATCATCAGTCCGGATATTGGAGAGTCAATCTCTTACTTACGAGGGCTCAAATTCCTACTGTCAGTCAAGATAAAATGCACATCATGGACTGGACTGCTTGGGCTTGGCTGCTGGGACTTGAAGCTAATTAAAACCTGTCATTTCATCAAACTTGTGTAATACTCGGCCTGTATTTGTTGGATGTTTAGCTGGAATTATTTCATCAGATTTACTCCCACGTGTAGGCACTTAGCATCTGACCCAGTGATCTGAGTGGCTGACTTGTGATGGAATTTTTCTTCTGATGAAAACCTGAGTGGTACTTACGCCGTTCTTGTAATGCAATACATTGTGTTTTTACACTTAACGTTTTCTTATGTACACATCTTGAGAACATTTTCCTTTTACAGCTTTTATTCCCGCATGTTTGCAGAGAGAATTGGGATTTGTGCTCTGCGCTAAAAATAAAGTCAGAACCCTCTAGAGTCAGTCTTGCATTTACAGAAGGAAAAGGTGGCAGTGACACTGTTGTCAAAAAACATATCATCTGTGACTAGTGAGCTCAATAAACCAAAACAAATGGAAAGATGATGGTTGACAAAGGGAACATTACATGTAGACATGTCACATTTTACCGTACACCAAACTAAACATTCTTCGTATGTAAATGATGTAACAGTAGCAGCATCAAGTCCCTTATACAACATCAGTGGCTGAGTATAAAACCCTGATCCAATCAATATGCAGGAGTAGTAGGGACTAAGCAAAATATTTCAAAGATTGACTCAACTCTGCCTCGTGTCCTTGGGCCTTTAAACCTTTTAAGAAATAAGAGTGACCATGAAACTGAAACCGCTCCGCTAATGAGATTCATCACTTATTGCATTAATTTCATGGTTTAATATACATGTATGCGACTGAAATCTGACAGCCATTGCGGTTTTATATTTCTATACCACTCCATGCACTGAGCCTGGCACCATGCTCCACAGTGTGGTTAGGTTACATCAATTTTTCTTTATAATGTAAACATGTTTGCTTCTTTACATACTGGTAGAACAAACAAGTATTTAGTTTCATCATAGACAGCCCAACATAGAACCAGCCAATGTTCCTACGATGTATGGTACATTGAGTCTTTTGAAGGCAAATCGCAATGATGTTGAAGACTATACATACCTTTGAGGCAACTTCCATCAACATAAAAAAACCTACTACTAACTATTTCTAAAAGTCTATCTTTTTCATATCATTGTTTGTTGTAGGGCCGTCTACCATGGGCCAGTCAGAATCTGTCCAAGTCTCTGGGAGGAGGGATGCGGCAAGGAGACCAGTTTGGTACTCCATCTTACCCCTCGCCCCTGGACAGGATACGAACAGGAAAGAGGTAAGTGATTGGCCTGGGTATGGGAACAGGTGTAGCCCATGTACCTGCTGGCATATTCCTGCTGACGAGTCTGTCATCTGTCAAGCTGCCAGGCCTTGCAAAGGTTGTTAGCTTGAGTTTTCTTGAATTCAGGGATCTCTTCCACTCCACGTACATTTACCCCTCAATTTTTGAAGTGGAGTAGCCTCAGAACCTGCTTAAGTAGTTTAGTTGATAGCTCAAGCAAAGACAAGTGATCTTATTTGTTCCATGTGTTTATGTGTTTGTTTTTTTGCTCAGAGAGAAGGCAGCCCAAGTTGGCTTAAGTCAGTCGCTCAATGCCTCAGTGGATCTCAACAAGTCCTTGCCAGCAACGTTTGAAGTCAAACCAAAAAAGGAGGAATGTTCAGTCAAGGAACCTGTGTGTACTCTGGACAAGTTCAAAGGTTATTCTAACAGTCATCTTCCTTATTTCTTTCATGCATCTATTTATTGATAACTTCCAAAATGTGGATGAAAAGACAAATCTTAAACTATCTTGAAAGCAAGATAAAATCTTCATGTTGGAACTTGCAAATAGAACTGAAAGCAACGACCTACAGTTAATTACCAATGGATATCAGTCTGCTCTGATGAATAATTAGATTATTAAGTTGTGATTCAACATACCCTAATGTTTTAAGTCACGTTTTGAAAAAATATATTGAAAGTGAGGCTGGGAACATATAGATAGCCTGGCATCATCCTATTCAACCGTTTACAGTTTATAAAATACATTCAGGGAATGCGATCAAAAATGGCTTCCTTTGTGAATAAGGTCTTTATCATTGTGAATGAAAATTATTGACAAAATAAGTTTTGTTTTAAAAATCTAATTTTCTTTGTCGTTACACTTCAAATAAGGAAAGATTTAAAGTAGTACAGTCCCCACAATTTATATATAAGGACTCCTGCCATCCCTAATTGGTTTCGACCCCCGGGCATTAGTGGATTTTGTTCATTCCTCATACAGGTGATGGCTTGGATACATTCAGCTTCTCAGCTGGTCTGTCCAAGGGAAGCTTTGCTCCGTCCCCTACCCCTCAACTCAACATGTCCCTTGGTCAGTCATGGTCCTTCTACAACTTTGTTGGAGGTGGTCAAATGGGGGCGTCCTTCCCTAATACTGTGCGGAATCCTAACAAGGCTATCTTGACAGTTGAAGCAAAGACTACAAAGGTATGAACAAAACTTCTGTCTTTTTGAATTACTCTGGAAATGTTTAGCATAGTAAATACAACTCAGAAATATTCATATATCCAACAGTGTTCTTATGCCTTCCATTCATATTTCCTTTCCATTCATAAGGAGGGAAATAATACCTATTTTTTGAACAGAAATTTGTAGAAATTCAAAAATCAAAGTACTCTAGACAGTAAAATTACTGAGATTTTATGTTTTCATACATTTTATGAGTATGTCATAAATAAATGTTATCGTGTTTTTCTTGCTGAATTTGATGCTTCTTTAGATCCTTGTTGCCAATGAAATGGCTTGTGAGTTGTTCTGCTACAGTGCCAAGGAACTGGTTAGCATGAAGATGTCGAGTTTATTATCTGTCAACGATCGCAAACAACCTGAGGTGCTGTGTGAGCAACACCTGGACAGTAATGGGGAAGTTGTCATGGTGTCTGGCAAAGTGGTAAGTTAATCCAAATCAAGAATGGAGAACAGTTTCTAACAGTGTGTATTCTCTCTGAGTGATCCCCGTTTGCTGTTTCCCAGGTGACTGTGACTGTGGACGTGATCCCTGGCCACACGGCATATACTGGTTCATGGCTTCTGACTAGCTCCCCTTGAACAAAGATATTGACAAATTGGGGAACTACCAACGTAGGCCTTGATAGCTCAGTTGGTAGAGCACTGGAACAGGTTCAAACCCCGCTCCAGTCAGTTTCTTTGTTCAACTTTTCAAAACAAGTTTGTAATTGTTTTCAAATTTGTTTCTTATAGGTTTGTGTGTAGCTCCCACCTTCCTCACCCTTGTATTGATTACTCTTTCAAATGAAAACAGTAAAGATGAACCTAGATCATCATGCAGTTCTGTTTGAGATTTTTTTTATATTTAATGTCTTCGATTCAACTCTCTTTCCACAGTTTGATGCAGTTGACAGCAACGGTCTGGTCATTCCCGTCTCTCTTTGGATGAAGAAACTCACATCAGATGACAACCCTCGATGTCTTGTCGTCATGGAACCAGTAGAAAGAAGTTCTGCCCACTTCTCCTTTGATAGCAAGGTTTGTTTTAAGCCCAAACTTTCCTGATAAAGACAGGAGTTTGTTTCTATTCTACCTTACAACTGCCCTGTTGGCAATTGACGAAGTAGTCACTGTTGCACGAAGCCACCCGAGCACTCTATGATTATATGGATTCTTCAGTGAATACAATGCAGTACAGGTGCTTAGGGGATAAATTGCCTCAAAACATGCTGCAAGATCATCAATGTTAACTCATATTTTATTTGTCCATGTTCTAGGGTCACGTTGTTGAAGCAGACCATCAGTTTGCATATCTCTATGGTTACCCCTCCAGCACGGACGTGATTGGTTTACACATCAAGCAGTTGATTCCATCCATTCTTCTACCTCCCTCTGGTACAAGACTTCCAAAGGTACAAACATTGAGCAAATCTATGTATAGTAAACTACAGCCGAACCACAATGTTCTATGGTGTTAAGAAAGCCATTGTACGACAGTCGAATAAATCCCAGTGGTCTAATTGGTGGGTCGTTGATCATGTGTCATTGCATTATTCGTCCCAATGCACGGGGCGGCTGCACCGCAAAATAAGAAGTTCCATTCCACAGTTATAGATCTTTCATTGCACAGTCAACCATTGGTTGAGCTATAACACAACACTATGGATTCATGGTACCAGTGTACAAAGTTATCGATCAGATTACGAGGATTTATTCAGGCATTTTATAAAACAAATAATAAATGTTACTTATTCGTGCAGTGGCGAATGAGATTATTCTTACCGTTGTACTCATAACCATTCATTATATGGATGTTATTACAATGGTTGCATTAACCTGGAATCATTCCTCATTTTCCACTTTTAGGAAGTCAAGAAACAACGAATCACTGGGCGGACCAAGGATGGGATAAGCTTTCCCATGAGTCTTCTGATCAAAAGTCAGACTCCCGCTTCTATCCCAGAAGAAGGCGAAAATGGAACGGAGGAAAAGCTTCTAGAAGGAGAAGGTGATGACAATTGTACAGCAGACCTAATTAAGTTTTGAAACTCTTGTTTTTACACTGCAAAACTTCTTCAAAATCCCGAATCGGATGGGAACATCTGATGTTCCAAGGATGGTCCCAGTCGGAATGGTATACAAATAATGAATGTTTATGAGTGCAATGGTAAGAATAATTTTATAAGCCATGCAGCGAAGCCAAATGGAATGGAATATAGTTCCAACTGTTACTGAATTAAATTATTCTCTCACTGCAGGAATGTGAAACATTCATTATTTCTTTTATACAACACCTGAATAACTCCTCATCATTTAATTGGTCATGGCCGCCAAAAGTGTGACCATGCAATGGAACTTCCATTTACCGTGGAATGGAACTTCTAGTTTTTAGATCTTGCCGGGCCATGAGTTGGGACAAATAATTCAATGACACGTGGTCAACGACTCATCAATCAGATGATGGGATTTATTCAGGTGTTGTATAAAGTGTTCTATGACATTGTTCCTCGTAGCATCTGTTAATTCTATGATCACTAAAAGCACTGAAATCTGTAACTGCTAGATGTGTTTGTTCCTAACCATACAGGTCTTGTTTCTGTTTCCAGATCAATACAAGGCAGTTGGAATGACCTACCAAACCAGTGTCTGGGTCTTCACTAACATCAGCGGCATGATTTCATTCCATCAAGACGGTTCCATTCATAGCGTCAACAACAACTTCTCGCTCATGCTGACTGGCTACTCACAGCAAGAACTGGTTGGGGAGGTAAGTAAGGAAACCTCAGAGAGAAATCCTCTCGCACTTTTCAGAAAATTTCATCTTGCAAGATTCTACTAAGTGGTGTCCCCTTATTACAATCAACTTTTTATGTCTAATTTTGTGATGAGATGACTTATAACGTTGTTGAACTATCTGTTTCTTGCAGCACATTACTAGTCTCATGCCAGATTTCTATGAACATTTGGATCTGATTGATGAAGGCTCCATGCCTCTACCACCGTTTGATGATGAGGATGATGAGTTTATTCCTTACCCTAGTCGTCCATCATCAGAACCGTTGATACGTCCTGACAGTTGGCAATCGCATCCAGATAATGTTCTGCGTCAAGTCTCCTTAGGTCAGGAAATTCAGCAGTACAATCAGTGTGGTAGTCAGATCCATCACAACTCCGTGCACAAAGAAATGCTGTCACAAATAACGGGGATGAACAGTGACATTTGAAAAGCTTGTGACTTGAATAATAACTAGATGATTTCAGACGGATATGTGATGGATTTGACTACAACACTGGTATAAATTGCGTCAAATTTCAGATGGTTAGAAGTTGGTTTGTAACAGATTCAAGTATTTCAGGGTTGTAAGGTGCTCGTAGCTCTCGATCAAAATTCTGAGAAGTCCTTATCGTGACTGCAAGGCGTATTCAGCATCTTCAGTAAGCTATGCTATTAACAGATACTGCAGTAATTTATGAATAAAATTAGAGGACAGGACTTTGAAATGAACATTTTTCTTTCGTCGATTCACCAGATCCAAGTGCCTTGACCTCCTCAGCCTACAATCCCATGGCAGCTCAGTTTCAGGATGCTCATCGAGCAAAAGAAGAGAATGCAACCAACTTAGCCAAGTCATCATTGAGTGAAAGCTGTGAGTCTGATACAGGAAGGATGTCAACTGAAGGGAAAGGAGGCGTCAGGGATCTCATACTGCCTGATCTGGTCTTAGACAGGTGCGTTGATATTCTGAAACTCTTTTGTTACCCTTTCCTACCATGAGCGATCTTTGTTTACAAGGAACTACCCCCCCCCCCCCCATCTTGAAACTCCTTGATAGAAGAATCAGACAATAACATGCACGATTAATTTGTCTTTTTTCCTCAGACCATCAACAGCTGATCTCATCAATGAAGCAGACAGGATCTTCAAGACTATTGACGGGATGAGTCTTAAGGACATCCATCGATCTGAGAGTGCTTCCACTAACGAGCTTCTTGAGAATGTCCCTACAGTGATTGAAGAATGCGAGTCAGATGACAGTAACCAAAGGTTAGGAAGTAATTCAATTAGGCTAATATTTTTGTGTCTGTGTAAAATAGGAGTATAATGGAAAAAAAACTGTTTTTAATGTGGTGTCGGCAGAACCTTGGTGTAGAATGTTGGTAAAGTGTCAGTTTATCTTCATGTTTTGCATTCAGTATCGGAGATGGCCAAAAGATATATGTCAAAAGGTTCACAAGTTGTTCATTCTCTTGCCTTTGATATCTGTTTGTGCAAAAGAAATAACATAAAAATACCACGGCATAGCTGACATCTGTGTAAAACCAATGAATACAATGTATGTTTACAGTCCTCACAGGTTTTTAGGAGTGTCACCCCCTGGCAGTAGCCACGCTAGTATGGAAGTAAATTTCAGTGGAACTCCTGACGGTCTCAGCGATATCTCCTCCCTTGGATTTGAGTCTTCGGAACGAGGCAGCATCAGTGAAGACATCCTCGTAGGCGAAGACTTCTTTAAGAAAAGGAACGCAAACTCCGACTTGACAACGCAGAGGGTCTGCAATCTCACAGCACAGAAGCTACGAGAGCACATTCTCTCAGAGGAAAGGTTGCGAGTGACAGCATGGGATGAGGCAGATGAAGATGAGTTGAAGAACAAAGAAGAAGCAGATGAGGAGAAACAACCTGAGAGTGATGGTGGAGAGTCAAGAGGGGCTACTCAAAGAAAAGAAGATGCTAGCACCCCTGCAACCATTGAGGCAGATACTAAACAAAGCTCTGAAGAAAGTACTGAAAATACCAAGAAAACCCCAGACTGCATCACTGACAACCAAATTCCTGATGACAAACGACTTCAAGATCAGGAAAAGGTGCCAGAAGAAAATGCAAGTACAGTTGTGCCTCCATTAAGGAACTTAGCAAGGAGGAGTGTTGACTCATTATCAGACTCAGATCCTCAGAGTCCATCACGATGCGATGATGGTTCATCAATTCATAGTGAGGAAGAGGTTTTAACAGCTAGGCGAGTAAGCACAGGTTCCTCAGGAGGGCAATCCAAACCGAAAATCAGCTCCAAACTCTTAGAGAAAAGTGTCAGTTTTGATGAAGGACATTCAGAGATAAGCTCCGATAAAAGGACACTTGGGAACAGGGTGGACTCCACACCGCCGGGAGTGCCCAAGGAAGCGTGGAGCTTCACTGAAGAAGAATCAGTCAATCCTGTCAACAACAACAATGTAAACATAAACAACAGCAACATTCAGTCAGATAGAACACCAGCGAGACTGCCGTACCAGGAGAGTATCGAGAGAGCATTGGGTCTAGCGACATCAACTCCAGGTGATAAGTACATGAGGCAGACGTCGCTACCTCCGATACCTGAGGGAAGTTTTACAGGTCAATGCAAGCACAGAGATGGTTCTTATCTTGGTAAGTGAACGTGCAAAGCTTATTTTTTCATTGTTACATACTGAAATGAATCGGCGTATGTTACCTGGCTCTTTTGTTATCTATTGGCACAGGCAACCAAAAAAGGAGGCTAGAATTTGATAATTTTCAACTTCGTAATAAACTTTAAATTTGTGTGATTTTTTTGTGTGTGTAGGTATTATTTTCCAAATCAAGTGTGTAGAGCTAGACGACAATCGCACCCTTTACTGTATGTGGATATCTCGTGATCCCTCGGATCCTGGAGAAGGAGGCCGTTGTACATCCAACCTGACACTAGCATCCAGTTTTAGTAGCACCTTCAATGCATCCATCAGCGCACTCAGCCTTGGAGAGGTATGAGACCAGAAGGCTATCCAAGTTTTGGGTTAAGGGAGCAAAGCTGGGGAATTCTTCTAAAAAACAGTGAACCTATTTTTCATTTCTGCCTTTGAAGCAGATTTCGTTAATATCGAAACACCAAGCCCTCTTAATTTTTTGGTTTGTATATTTCAGATCAATCCAGTCAGTAAGCAGTTTGCAGCAGTTTTATTCATTGTTTGAAATATTTTTTAGAATCAGAGGGGTCGGAGAGGAGGGGGTTGTACCATCTTTGAAGAGCTGGCACTTAAAATACAAAGTGTTGTCGTGAACAAAAGAGGCAACTTGTGTAGAGCTACTGGTCTCAATGTTAACTTTTGATTAAGAAATCTTTGAAGGCAAAATCTGAATAAAATTTAGAGTATTTTGGTTTTGTTGTTATGGCACTCAGGTAGTTGCAGCCAAAGCCACTAATCAGAGCACATCCTCGTGTTCAGAAGATGAAGACATCAGTCTCAGCAGAGGTCCTTATGAAGAGAAATACACAACGTTACTATCCATCGGTAAAGGAGCATTTGGCTTCGTCAAAATGGCCACCAGAAAGCAAGATGGAACATTGGTAGGTTGCTATGGAATTTCCTAAATCACTAATTACCAAAATAATTCAATAATTTTCAAGCTGTTAAATCCTAGTTAATTTCTCCACGGTTTTACAACTATATTTTCAGGTGATTGTCAAGTTTATCCGCAAAGCCAAGATTCTGAAGGAGAATTGGGTGACTGATGAAGAGTTCGGTCGAGTTCCATTGGAGGTTGCTATGCTACTCCGATTCAATCATCCAAACATTGTCAAGGTAAGATACATGCTAATAGTTTTGACTAATCCATGAAATAGCATCATATTAAGGCAGTAATCCATGATAACATTTCTTTGAATCTGTGTCCAGGTCCTCGACTTCACAGAGAATGAAGACTTCTTCCAGATGATCATGGAGAAACATGGTTCGGGTATCGATCTATTTGAGTTCATCGATCGTCAGCCTATTCTGGACGAGGCTCTGGCTAGCTACATGTTCAGACAGGTATGTCATTGTTCAATATTTCTAGCCAATGAACCAATCACATGTCATAAAAACATTAACTTACAACAATAACTGTGAATACGTTTATCGATCAAGCACTTTTAAAACCTGTAATTTCAGAAATCAAGCAATTCCCTCGGCAATTCATAACTCTAACACCAATAACTTTAACTTTCTTAGCCATAACGCCACAGTGCCAGTCAAATGACAGTAATACATGTAGCAGGTGACAATTTCAGTAACTCCATTCCTCATTCCTCGCAGGTTGTTTCTGCTGTTGCCTTTCTCCATGACAAGAATATTCTGCATCGAGACATCAAAGATGAGAATTTAATCATAGATGAGCGATTCCACATCAAACTGATTGACTTTGGTTCCGCGGCTTACATGGCGCCAGGCAAACTGTTTGGTACGTTCTGTGGGACGCTGGAGTATTGCTCCCCTGAGGTGCTGCTGGGCAACAAGTAAGTCCTGCATCTACACTGTACATCATTAAGGAAAACAAGCAAGATGCCTGCATTCTTGGTCAGTTAGGAGATTGTCCGATGGAATTTGAGAGTATAAACAGGAATGAATGGTCCCTTAATTAATTGCAACTGTTAATGTTTTAGTTTTCAATTAATTGCAACTGTTAATGTTTTAGCACGGAATATGATTAAATTTTCAGGAACAGTTTTGATATATGTGGAATAAGTCTTGTGCTTGGATTTGATATGATCGCGTGAGTCGGTTAATGTCATCAATGCTAATCACAAATACACAAGTTTAGTGTTCTCTATAAATAAAAGGTGTTTGCCTTTTGTCACGAGACAGGACACAAAATGTTCCCTTTTCTGTAGTCCCTTCTCATTTGGTCCCTGTCAATACAGCAGCCAGTTTACAGTGGTATCTTTGATTCCATTACAGGTACAAAGGTCCTGAGTTGGAGATGTGGGCCATTGGAGTCACCTTGTACACACTCATATTCCAGGAGAATCCATTCTACGATGCGGAGGAGATCATACAGTCCATCCTCAAGCCTCCCTTTGGAGTTTCCAATGGTGAGACAGATTTGCGTTGGTTTTTTTTTTAAATTGAATCAGGCTAGGGCCACCAGACTTTGTGTACAACTATCGTAGTAACATCCCATATTCAGGATTGTGGCAATAAATTGAAGCAACACAAATCAATCACAGAGGTTATCATCATTCTCTATATCCATCATGGGGGACGTTGAGCCGCCCGTTTTTATTTTGAAAATTCCCCACAAATGACATTCAAAAATGTCTGTTTCATTGTCTGAGGAGTTTTACTCAGTAATTTGTAAAGTTGGTTACGGGTACCGGATTCCATTATCTGGAACCGGTTCCTGACATCAGTGGTTGGGTACTCTGGTACCCAGTTCCGATACACACCCCTACTCAGGAGATATAAAAAGGGTCAAAAATCACTAACATACTTTTTAAATCATGCACTTCAGACATTAAGCAAAGACTTATTTCACCAAGTGACTAGATCTCAGCCAGTGGATTTACTGGGTTAAGTGTGAGGGGTTTTTTTTAAATACAATCTGTAAACTACACACACTTGTGTATCTTTGTATGCTTTGAGATTGTTTTTCACTGATTTCCAGATTTGATGCAGCTGATAGCATGGTTACTCCACCCGGAACCGGAATGGCGATGTACGCTGCGTGATATGCAGAATCATCACTGGATAACGCAGCCAATTGATATGTCCAAGTATTCGTGGGAAAGCGTGTTACCACCAGAAGGTACGTCTCAATAAAATATAGCTGGGTGTTACAACAGTCAAACAGAACACACTGGACAAAACATCACGATTGCTTGAGTCACACAACTAAGAAGAAACATATGGTACTACTGCAAAGCTCCAGGTTTATATCTCATAATAACTTTCATGATCAGGCTTGAACTAGTGTTAACATAATGCAGATTAATTAAAAAATAAAAGTTTTAAGCCTGTTTCAACATGCCAAACTTTCAAGCATTCTTGTTAAATAAAAGCTGACACTGTTAATCTGCCATGCAGCACAGACACATAATTTCATTTGCTATTGCTGTATAAGAAATGAAGTAAATCGCATTCTAACATTGAGGGCTCTCTTTTGTCTTTTTCTTTTTTCTTCACGCTGCTTTAAACGTAAATATTCTTAATAAAACAAGACGTCTCGAGGGAGATTTATGACTCCTCCCCTCCGCCATCTGACCGAGAGTGCAGCGACCCTGATGACGAGTCTGAGATTGTCTCACAGCTACAAGATGAATATGAGAGACAACTCTCTCTATCAATGTGAATACAGGTGTAGGTAGAGATGTCAGCATAATATAGGAAGTGTGTTGAATTCAAAGTGTTCTCACTGTTTGGTTTGGATGTGAACCACAAACCATGAATTGCAGTTCACAGTGGTTCAATGTATGATAGTAACTTACCACAGACAAGGTCCAACATCTTAGAGTGCCCTTCAAGATGTTCTGAATTATGAAAACCAACAAAACCTTGATATACCTTTTTTATACTTTGAGTATTAAAAGATGATGGTGCGGTGAAGACATATTGAGTTCAACACCGTCCTGCTCATTTCTTACTAATGCTTTAGTTGCACTTTTCTTGCAGTGTTCAAACGACTTATCACTGTTGCAAATTCTAACATTGCTTCTCACCAGTCCAAAGATTATCATATTTTGACAGTTCAAGCTTTTGTCATCTCCACAAAATTCACTTTTTCCAATTTCCTGTCTTTGCAATTTCACCTGCTTTATGACAATGCACATATTGCTGATGCTTATGGGCAATTCCAGCGCTAGTGTAATGTCTGTGAAAGAGCCAAGTAACCGTGATATCTAATTAATGATTCACAGAAATGATTCAAAACTCCTAGTCTGTAATCTCCTTGACCATGACTAGATGATGGATGTATAAGATGTGAACAATACATTTTCAGGTTTATTCCCCAAGCATTTAAAGGCTCTGTCACAGACATTACGTTACGCTGGATTTGCCCTTTAACATGCAACCACCTGCACCATTTCAACATTTCAAAACAAAATCCTTGGTGTAGAAATTCATTCATGGGATATAGGGACACCACCCTTAATACCTGCAGTTTCCGTGTGATTCAGACCACCATACATCTACATATGCTGTACGGCACAACCCATGATGCCTTGATTGGTTAAGATACATGTACACACTGAGCAAATAATCATTCCCTTTCATTGTGACTACTGGTGGAATTGGACACATTTAACGGTCAGCATTGTAAAATACCCGTATGCATGTGTCACCTATCCTGTAGGTATATTCATATAACTAACTAATTTGCAGCCGATGAGAAGTACTTTTAACGGTTTCGTTTGAAGAGTTTCTTTCTAAAGCGCGACATATCCATTTGAAAATGTGTCTCTAAACCTCATTTTTCGCCTTATTCGGAAGTTGTGTCTAAGTATATAACAATTGTCAAAATTGCTTTTGGGCAGCCAGGAGAGAGCAGGATTCTAAACGGGAACAAAATGCCGTATATCGCATTTTGGAAATAACTCTTAATTTGTTTGACGTAATTGCACTAGAACAAAGAACAGTGTAGTTGATGTGAAATGTTAGGGTGGTTTTTTAAAGTGTTTTTGGTATTTAACTGGTTTGAAACCTTTTAACAGTATGCCATTGTTAATATCTTCTTGTCTGAGTTTTGCTTCCTCTAACCACACGTTTGTTCAGTGGATTTCATGACTGTTTCTACTTTAATATTTTTTTTTTTACTTTTCCCTCTCTTTGCGCTTTTATTTTGTATTTTTTCATGACCTATCCAACCTGAAAAGCTGGTGGGTAAAGTTCTTCACTTGGTTGAAAGCATCACTAAATATTTATCATGGAGTATATTGAGTCACATGGTAAAGTGCCCTCTGTTGACACAAATGAGACAATGCCTGCCAAGATGGATTCAGCTTTATTTGTAATCAGTGTAAGAAGTCTTGTTTTCACCAAACCCAGGTTTCTTGTGCAATCTTACTATGCATTGTATGGTATCAAAGTTGCACTCACATTCCCGATCAAGAGCAATCTTTGCTTTTCATTGTCCACACAAAACTGAGATTGTTTCATACATGTCATATCTTCCTTTTTTTTCAATATAGTTTCTTTCTTGGTTCTTATTGTTTCTACAGGTCGTAGGAGTGCAACTTCCGGCAGCTTCGAAGATTGTGATGCCCCCCTGGAGGAAGAAGAGAATGATTCTGATCGTGACATCATGTTAAGCAGTGAGCTGTTGAAATGCCTGGGTGTAGCAGACTAAGGAGATTAAGAGACTACTGTAGAGGAGTGTTGCAATGTATTGGTCCCCTAGACTGGCAGAGGAAGAGCCAGATATTTCATATTCATGTAATACTAATGCTAGTGAGCTGTTGAAATGCCAGGTGAATCATAACAGGAAAATGAAAATAGTCATGACACAAAGTTGTCTTGACAAAAAGAGCCAAAACAAGACAGCATTGTAACTTTCATAGGGTGGTTTCGTGTGTGAATTTTCTTGAAATTCATACGACAAGGTTTAGAAAACATGCAGAGGGGACAAAGACAATCGTGAAAACACAATTTGTTTATTTATTCAGAGTCCATATACATGTAAGTTATGGACAATTTGAAATTTTTCTGATTTATTTTCTTAAGGTTTAAATACGATTTTTAGGGATTTCAAATCCCAGTGTGCTGTGACTTAAAACATTGACTGAAAAAGGTCTCTTTTCCTGTTTTTAAAAAGGAAACATTTTGTGTGTAATAAGGTAACATTTACAATACCTCTTTGTCCAATTTATTTAAATTATTTGTTGACAACTTTTCTATAAAATGCTGTTGGATGAAGCTTATCAATTGACCTTATGACTATGAAACAATTCCTACTGTTGGTCATTCCCTATTTTGTTGGCAAGATAAGTTTTAGAAGGATTTTTTTGTTATAGGGTGTCTTTCTGTTCATTTTAAAAGGCAATGAACATATTCCATGATTTGTGGCACATAGTAATGAGTAACCATTTAAAAGCATTATATCTTAAAAACCAAAGCTAAACAAAATTGAAACAAGATGTTAAGTTAATGAAATTATATTTTGAAGTACGCATATATTTCAAGTGTGTATTTGAATAGCACCGTTCTTGTACATAAAAGTGTGTGTTTGTGTGCCAAAGGTGAGCTTTTTTTGTGGGTCAGACAAAGCTGTCGTCCCTTAATCTTCACAGGATTTGAAATATTTCTGTAAATATTTGGTTAATTTATTCTGAGGGTGTGAACTTAAAAAGAAAACTTGACTTTGCAAGAACTTGTCTTTTTAATGAGAGTATTTATTGTACAGAGATTTCAAGAACACTTTTTGCACAGGACGTCATTCTGAATATAAAGTATTGATATGTAAATATCTTATGTAATCTTTTGGTCGTGTTTTTAGATGTTTATGTGGATAAGTATCAATTTACTTTGCCTATTTGTTCATTCATAGATATTTTATCCAGGCAGTAATGTATTGACAGATGATGCTTGGTAAGGTATGTAAAACCATACATTTGCTGGTTGTGTGTATCAACATTTTATTTGTGGAATGACGAACATTTGTACATTAATTCATCAAATTTTGAGAAATTTTCTCTGTGTGGCAACAGGTCAAATTCTTGATGAAATAATCAAGATGTTATCTTAACCATTGAGGGCTCCTTTGCGCATTTATTAACTGAAATGGACAACCCTCATCAAAGATAACAATAAAATAACTAAATCGAATTTCTCCTAATTGAAGGAAAATACTTAACATGAAGGTTGCTCCGTAAAACGATTTTGGGAGAATATTTTGTTAGTAGACTTTGGAACTACTTGTGAATTTTGAGTGTTGAGTTTGTGTGTGACCCCACCACTAAGAAACAAGATTGTGTAATATATTGGTCAACCAATGTGACTTTATTCATATTTGTGTGTGGATCCAAACAATGCAAGGTGTAGGATGAACTTCAAGAGTGAATATTTCCAAGGAATTTATTTTGTGCTAATTCCCAATCCTCTTTTAAGTGTATGAAAACTAATTGACATCCCTTTTTGGTTAATTTTACTGAAAGTGCTCTTCCTTAAACATTTAAATTTCTCCATGCTTTTCCAGACAACTGAGGGCGCTCTTGCTGTGATGTCATTTCACCAAAGCACTATTCATATTGGATGTTTTTTCTGTTGAATTGTGAACCCAAAAATGTACTCATTGAAAACATTTGTGAGAAAAGTTTGCTCATTGGCTTACTGCCATGAATCGACACAACAAATTACTTAAAGAAAAGAAAGTTTACGACAGCAAAATATCCAAAATTCTGCCAACTTTTTGTGCATAAACCAAACTACCCTCGAAAATGGCAAAATGAAAATTGAAAATAATGTTAAATGCAACAAAAAAGTGCATTTATAAAAATAGCATTAAAAAATAACATTTCATGGGCCTTTCGGTAATATACTTCAAGAAATTTGTACCAAAAAAAAAAAAATTCAATTACATGAAGGTGTGGTGATGTGGAAAAATCTGCGTGCATTTGCAGCTTTTTAACATTTTGGGTTTTGATTCATAATTACTTTATTGGTTACCATGGTTTGTATGGAATGGAAGCGAAGGGATATTTCTGTTCAATATCTGCACTTGGACCATCAGCATCAGCAACATTGCCAGCATTGTAGTAATGTCTCATTTGTTGCAGTGTGGATTGCATAAAAGTTTGAAACTAACAACTATCATTACGAACAACTTCCTTCAATAATCTCAAGCAATGACACTCCTTACACGTGTCCAGACTTAGTTGAATATAATAATTTTAAGATTATTTTAGAATTATTTATTTTACTACGGCACAATTGGTTCAGTACAGCAACACAACAGACCTCTCACTTGCAACATTAAATGAAGTATTTCCTCAATGTTTGGTTTATTCAATACATTTTAAATTGTTTGTAATATGTCACTTAAAGGTTACAATTCCTGTAAATGATGCCGAGTTGGAGTTAAAAATTGATGACAGCATGTCTCGATTGTACATTTTTATTGCCAACTTTGTTGATAAAAAAAATGCAAGGGGTTAACCTCACATTTGTAATAAAATGTGCCAACATTTGTCTTTACCCCAAACAATACAGGAATTGCCTTGGGAAAGGAGCATCAATTAATACCTACACTCCCAAAATTTAGAAGATTTGGGGGAAGCTGTCAATTTGTGGATAGAAAAATTTATATTTTGGAATGTTTGTTCCTTTAGGCATCTTCCCTGCAAGTTTCAAAACATTTCATTTTGCGGCAAAAATTTAATTAAAAAAACAGCCAGGGGTTAACATTACATTTCAAATAAAATTTTGTTAAAATTAATGTGTTCTCCAAACAATGCAGAAATTCCCTTGGAGGCCAGAGGTGCATCAATCAGTATTCACTCTCCAAAAAATGGTTGAAGATTTAGGCAACATTTTTTTTATATTGGACTCCCCAAAACATTTTCTATTTTCTTACCCCAAATTTTGGTCGAAATGTTCTTTTATATACATGTATTTCTTTTCATAAGAACAAAATTTGGCAAAAAGAGCATTATTCAATATTCAAATTTGGACTTTGCAATCAGTGTGCTATCGGGATCAACTTGGAATTCTACATATTCTTCTCTCAGGTTGAGTTGACCAGGCTGACAGGGATCATCCCAACAGTTTGCTTTGCAGGTGTAGATAATCACAACTCCAAACTCAATCTGAATACCTGGAGTTAGGAACAACACATACTTTACCATATTAATGGTAAATATATACAGTGAATGAAATGAAACCCCCGAAATACAAAAATTATGACAAGACTTGCTTAAAGTTATTAACTTATCTGCCAAAGTGTCCTCCATGATAAACATTGTATACAAATTTGTAATTGCACTAAAATAATTTCAATTTTCTCGAATCATTTTTTTGATTTCCATGATGTAAGACAACGAAGGTAGCATAAGCACCTGGCTGATCTGCATCATGCAGTGCGTTGATGAGTTGAGGCATTAACTGCACCTCAAAGACTCGTTGGCTTCCACAATGCGGACAAGATGGGATAAGAGTGCCCTCGCTTGGTGATGTCAGGTACAATGGAGTCCCATTCCAGCTGTATCTATACATCACAAATAATCATACATCATGTGTGAGCCTTCCACTATTTTTTCAAGAAATCTAAAACCATTATCCAAGCTCAACTTGCCATTTGAAATATATTATCCCTGTCATCTGATTGGTGGGTTCTTGATCACATGTCATTGAATACTTTGTCCCAACCCATGGCCTGGCTACACCGAAAAAAATATAAGTTCGATTCAACAGTAAACACAAGTTCCATTGCATGGTCACACGATTGGTGGCTCTGACCAATCAGATGACGAATGTTCCATTCTGCTCAGCGGAGAACATTCCATCTGTCACTCAATGAAATTATTCTTACCACTGCACTCATAATTTTCATTATTTGTATACTGTAATATAGCATGTACATGTACAATGTACAAGCAAAAGACTTTCCTTCATTGAGACTGCAATTTACATTTGGTGGAAAGCACACCAAGTATTGACATACCGTATGCATTGCTCTGGACAAAGCTGAAGCCTCTTTGCAAATCTCTGGAAGACTTTGTCTCCGTGTTTTGCTGATGTCTTCTCGTAACTTTCCTCACAAGATGAGACTTTGCTGGGGAAAATAAATGAAAAATCAAACAATACACATCGACTCTGAGTAATGTGCATATGTCAAGTCCTGTACACCAGCCTGATGGGCCACAGTGGCTCGTGATAGACGATTTCATGTTTAACAATCAAAACTTACCTCATCATTTGTAGGTGTTCCTCCTGCCATTCCAACAAGTCCACTCCCTCCCTCTGCTGGTAGTCAGCAATTAACTCTCTCTCATGATTGGTCAATTCAGTAACTGATGTGCATGGAGACGGCTCATCAAAGACATTCACAAAGTAGCCTGTGAATGCGTGATGCCTGGATCTAGACAAAACTGAGTTCGAATCTTTTGAAGTTTGTTGTGTACTTGGAGTACTGATTGAAAGTCTTGTCATAGCATCACTTGGATCAACATCTTCCGATTGTTCTTTCACTGTGTCCTCATCTAAATCTTGGCCTGCAAGCTTTGCAGTTGCCCTAGTCAGAATTTCATCATTGGATGTAGAATCCTGTAAAAGTCGGGTCACCATAGGAACTGCATCACCTGATGGATGACATTCTAGTGATGGTTTGGCACCCCCTCTGTCGTGAGCGCCATTTGATGCGGATGGTATGATTTGCTCATTGTGACTTTCCTTCTTTGATTTGCTGCCCCAGTCATCTGCATCCTCACACCACTCATCCATTGCCATAGCAACCGCATCACCTGATGGATGACATCGTATTGATGGTTTGGTACCCCCTTTGTCTTGAGCGTCATTTGATGCTGATGACTTGACGTGCTCGTTGTGAATTTCCTCTTCTGGTTCACTGCCCCAGTCATCTGCATCCTCACACCACTCATCCATCACCATAGCGACCACTTTTGGACTCTTTTTAGTGACTTGTTTGGAACTTGCAATGTGTGAAAGAAGGAGTTGACTGCGAAAGACCCTCCAACTGAAAATTAAAAAAATAACCACATTATATGCATTTATAACGTAACACTCATCAATGCGTGGCGGTGTGCATCAGAAGCAGATACCCAAGTACCTGACCGCTGACGTCAGGAACTGGTTCCAGATTATAGGATTCAGTACCCACAATCTTCTTCACAAATTACTTAGTGACTTTGAAAACAATACCAAGGAAAGGTTTAAATGTCACTTTGGGGAACTTTCACCATTAAAAACAAAACTAGCTACAAAGAAAATCACAACAGATGTAATTTTCTGTACATTTACAGATTATTCTCTCAAAAGTTGCAGTTGACACTGTATTGCTGGGCATGTTTCAAAAGTGGTCATCATAGAGGTAAAAAATTAAAAAGCCCTAAACAAGATTTACAAATCCTTATTTTTAAAGCAGATGAACCTAATTTTACTATTTTGAATAATTTTTTTTTAATTTACATACTTATCTCAGTGAAAAGTTGCTTTAATAGTGTGGCCAGTGAAATCAATTCATGTCGGACGGAATTTTTTGCATTTAAAGAAAACTCTTCTCATAATAAGTACAAATGCCTTGAATTCTATCTTTTCCACAAAAACAATAACTTAGATTGTCTTCAGTCATTATCCATTTCATCATTATTGCTGCTGCTGTAAATCTTGGTATTTCATTTCAAATGATGATTTTTGTTGTCAAGATTTCCGTCCGACATGCTTAAGGTTGTTAAAATGTTTTTTTTTTTTAATTTACTTGTTTTAATAAAAAGGCAAATACTGTCAAGTATCAATGAATAGACTCAGTATTAACACCAACAAAAAGTTTTATGTTTCACCTTGTCACCCTTCGAGATAAAGTGAATAAAAGTGCTTTCCGTCCGACATGCATGTCGGACGGAATGGCATATGTCGGACGGAAATGGACTTTACATTCCTAGATAGTTGTGCCTCGGGGAACTGATATTAATAGTTGTTAATTAATAAACATAAAGTAGGGGATAAAGAACTTTTACCAAGTTGATATTGTTCTTTGCTCATTTCAGTACCATCAAAGCAAAGCCTACACAGGACAGTAAGATTCCGTCCGACATGCGCAAATCCAAATTTAGCCCAAGTTGAACAGGCTGACTTGTTTGGCAGCCTACTGACCAGTCACACACCTGGGTGTTTCCAATAATTACAAAAACACAAATTACATGCAACCTTCTAGATTCATGGGAATTAAACTGTGCAATTATGTACATTCATCATAATCATGTACATTTTGGACTGATGATGGCTTTTACATATTTGTGTTAAGAGATAGTGCGCTTCGGTAGACATTATTACAATGTACCGTACATGTAGGTGAGGGAATTTAAACTGTATCCAGGTAATTTGGCAAGTACATGTACCGGTATGTGTGTGTAACACTCACCTATACTGGCATATAGTAAAAGTTTTTTATCTAAATATTAATAAACCAAACATGTCTATTGTGTTACATGAACTTAATAATTTGGAAATTATCATTATTATGTGTCAGAGCAGTGAAACAATGCTGTTACCGGATAGCTGTATAATGCTATACATATACAGAGCATCAATGCATCCAGAAGAGCACCATGCCAAAGAAAGAGAGCGGAAGGCAGCAAGTTTAGGGAGCAATTACACATGAAAAAAAAACAAGGAGAAATGAACTTGTGAAATTTAAGGATAGAACACACAAAAACAAAGTGTGCCAAAGTGAAGCTGTGTAGGCCCCCCCCCCAATATTGTATAATGACTGCCATTATTTGCCTTTCTTCACTAGTGGTTATCCCCCCCCCCCCCCCCAGGGGCGGATCCAGGAATTTTCGCCCTGAGCAAAAAGATCTGAAATGTAGACAGGGTTTTTGTTCTCTCTTACTTTCAAGGGGGGGGGGGGGGGGGGCAGTTCAATCTGACAATTATTAACAATATCACGAAATGGTGTACATACTGGTACATGTATGCCCCCTCACCAAGCTGGCTCTGTCCGTATTTTGTGCATTTGAAGGCTAACATTATTGCCAGTAAAAAAAAAAAATGGGGGGGGGGTGTTTCACATGTTTTTTTGTGAATTTCTATGGGAAAACAATTTCTTTTTACAGAGCTGGGTTTTGTTTTTACCCCCAAACCACCCCCCCCCCCCCCCCCCGAATCCGCGCCTGCCCCCCACCCCCAATATTTTTCAAAGAGTGCCCTTTTCATATAAACGAGGGTCCTTTTTTAGCTGGCCTTTTGTGAGTGCCCAAGTGGAAAATTGCGCGAATATTGGCAATTGTTCCTGTATAAATTAGATATTTTAAACCACCAGTAGTAATATTCTGAATGCATTTTGTCAGAATATTTAGACATTGTACATGGACCTGAAGTGGATAATATTTGTCAGCTAAGAAACCTGTCTGAAGATTGCAGTTATTCATGTTTGTACAGAGGATGTTTAACTGATGTGCTGAAAATCATGTCGGACGGAATGAAGCATGTCGGACGGATTTTTAATAATCTTTCTCACACAATTGTAAGAAGCTTGATTATTTGTTCATTATAAGTGCCCAGGTGGTAAGCACAGTCAACTACCTAAAGACCACTATCATTAAAATTAAGTTTCTTCAAACTTTGTTTTGGGGTCAACATAGTGATTCCGTCCGACATGATTTGTTCCGTCCGACATGGTGTGGCTTCAACTGAGCTTAACTGAATTTGACATGGTGTTGTAGAAAACATTTGTATGTCAGCATAAGTAGTGATTGTTACTCTTCTTGACATAAAACATAGAAAAAAATTATCCCTCAAGTTTTGATAAAATCTGATTTTGTTTCTGAAATTCTGAGGAGGCTCATTTCTATCGATTCCGTCCGACATGTACACATATTTCGTAATAACAGACAAACAAAAGTGTGGAATTTAGAAATAATGTTATGTGTGATTACTTAAAATCTTTGGTGTTGTTTGAAATCAGAATAACATTTTAATGTATTCTAAAACAAAAATTGTTACATTTTGTTCTATCAAATTCCGTCCGACATGATTTTGGGACTTTTGAAACATGCCCTGCTATGAAGCCCCTCAGACAACGTCCACGATTTTATTTTGGGGGTTGGGTTTCTTTGACGGATACCCGTGTTTTTCTTCAATAGGGTACCCGGTTACCGCACTACCCGTAAATGCACACCACTAGCAATGAGCCATCGCAAGTATCTTGACATTGTGGAACTTCAGTTCTTTTTCACCTTTCTTTCTTGTTTATGCAGGATTTTGTCACACACGTGAAGATGTAGAGAGTCCTATGGTATGATGACGCCTCTAGAGGGCAGTACATCTGTGCGACATGATAGAGTGGATCACCACATACATTGCATGGTGGGTAGTTGCAATCAGAGTACATCCAGTCCTGTAGTAAATACAAATTACCAGGTTAAAATTTCAACAGGTAAAAGTGAAGTTCTGGACCCCATTCCATATATTATCGTCAGACCCCCTAAAAATGACAAGGATATGTTTTTACGCACTCGCATTCAATTTGCGTGCGTTATCGCGTCAAAATATTCGAGGATTATGACTTGTTGTAAATGTAAGAGAATGAAAAAAACAAAATACCAAATTCCAGCCTAGGCTAGGGAGCTGAGATAGAGGCCTAAAATTATGGGGTAAAATTGCACACATCACATCACAGTCATGACGGTAGACTGGTAGATGGACATGATGGATACTTTTCCAGTGATTCCAACCGCGTAGCAAGAGATTTTAAGGGTATATATCCGAGTGGCTGGGTATTCTGCAATTACTCCCTTACCGGGTATCCACCAAGCTTGTTCAACTGCCATGTGGTACTGTTAGAAAGCGGAATTTCTTCATCGCATACTCCAACAAATGTGCGCTTCATGTGGGTCGCACTAAACAGCGTCAACACAGCGTCAACACATGACAGAAGCGTCAACACACCGTCAACACATCCAAAACACATTCTGAATTGACAAAAAGGGCATATAATTGTGAATCATACAATAAAAGAGAATTTCCATTGGATTGAGTTTCCATTTCGTTGTTAAAAATATCGTATTTTCACGCGAAAAAAATGACCTTAACTTGCACGGCCGTTGTCCGCCATCTTGACTTCGCACAAAGCTTGGACTACACCATTTCAAGTAGGGGTGTGTAGGTAATGACATTATCTTGTCATAAACAACAGAGGGCGCCTTGCTGCAGACTAGACAGAGGGATACCAGATCTGTGTGAGGACTAAGGATCGGAGGAGTGGTAGATCATTATTTTGTGAGTTGTGTTTATGTTTTGGTCTTTGCAGATATTTTTAACACTGGCGACCCCGGCCGCGTCCCTCTCTGTTGGTTTATTGTACAACGCTATCACCCTTTGGAATAATGGTATGGTCCACGCTGCCACTGAGGCAACATGGCGGGTGTTCGGCAGCCGATTTCGGAGCGGCACGGAGAGCCAATTTTCTTGAACTAAAAATCGCGATTTTCAGACGTTTAACCTATTGATTTTAAGCACAAATCTTGTTTCTGTCCATACTGTATGGGTTACATACTGCTTTTGTCAATTTTAATGCATTTTGGATGTGTTGACGCTGTGTTGACGCTTTGGAGTGTGTTGACGCTGTGTTGACGCTGTTTAGTATGACCGCTTCATGTCCACAACCGACGGCGCGGCGCTTGCAGTGCGCAACAGCGCCCTCTAATGATTTTCATGATCATGTCAAAAGTTGGATGAGTCATAATAACCATAGCCCGACTGCGTCTGGCCGTACAGTACTATCGCAAGCTCTGTAGTACGGCCAGACGCCCGATGCTTCCACAGAGACTGAATTTTGTTGGCCGCCGATGTAGCGATTTTGCTACATCTTTCGATCGCGATTATCTTTTCATCCAGTACACAAATTTCCAAAGTTAAGGTTCGTAGTCGTAGAGCAACTCATACCTTTTCGAAAAAACGTTGTTTGGTCTCAATATTTTCATCCATCTGGCCACAAGACGAATTTCAGTCATCAGATTCCACAAATATCGTCCCCAATGCGATCCCCCATGCGATTTCAAAATGGCGGCCGCGCTGTAATGTATGCAATATGCAGGCGCGCCCGCGCAAACTCATGAATATGCATAAACAGTCTGTGACGTATGACCTCGTGTTTTTGGACGTACGGCCCCGCCGCACGCACGTCCAAAAACACGAGGTCATACGTCACAGACTGTTTATGCATATTCATGAGTTTACGCGGGCGCGCCTGCATATTGCATACATTACAGCGCGGCCGCCATTTTGAAATCGCATGGGAAATCGCATGGAGGACGATATTTGCGGATTCTGATCACTGAAATTCGTCTTGTGGCCAGATGGATGAAAATATTGAGACCAAACAACGATTTTTCGAAAAGGTATGAGTTGCTCTACGACTACGAACCGTAACTTTGGAAATTTGTGTCCTGGATGAAAAGATAATCGCGATCGAAAGATGTAGCAATATCGCTACATCGGCGGCCCAAAAAATTCAGTCTCTGTGGAAGCATCGGGCGTCTGGCCGTACTACAGAGCTTGCGATAGTACTGTACGGCCAGACGCAGTCGGGCTAAATAACCATAGAGCTGAATATAACATTGGGTTTACGTAACGCGTTCAAGGAAATCCCTGGCGGGGGTGAAATCGCGGGGAATTCCCTAAATTACAATGACAATGACACTGATGGTAATCAGTGACCTACTGCCTTAAAAAAGTTATACATAGTGAATTACCACCACTGAATAAACATCAAGTTGAATGACTGAAAGTTTGTCGTCTTTTTTAATGATTAAAAACAGATTATCGTAATAACAATTAATGGTCACCTAGCCTTTCAAAGTTGTTCAACTGCAACTTTGAACCTTGTTTCCAGTCTAGTCACATCATGGCCGCATCAAGTAATTAAAACTGGATCCGGAAAAAAATCACATAGAGCACTGGATATTAATTGTTGGGTAGTTTAGTTGAAAAATTAATCATTATTTGACATCAATATCAATAAATATGTATGATGGGCGGGTCCTTGTGCAAAACTCTGTTGTGATTGGCTGACGAAGGTCCTGCGAGACGCAAATTATAGTGGGCGGATCTTTGATGAGGAGAAACATGACTTTATCATCAGGGAAAACCTAAGGGAAACCCCCTCTTATTTCCAAACCGTTCGCAGTACTTAAAGCGCAAAAGTTGTGTTACATTTTATTTGAAGAGATAAAATTTGGAAACTTTAATTAATGTAAGAACATACGTGATTGATGAAGATATAATATAATACCACTATGTTTTCTGAACAGTTACAGTCATCCTTCATTTTTTCTGTAAAAATACGTCTTTATTGTAAAAAAAATATATTTTTAACATTGTTTATTATCCATTCAAGTTCTAGGAATTCTGAGGTGGGGTACCGTTATGTGTCCCACTGATGTCATTCAAGTTGGAATAAAGGAACTTGACATGAGCCTAAAATGTAAACCAAATAGTATTGTAAAAATTGTGAAAGAACAAGTGTGGTCGGTGAAGTTTGAAAGAATTTTTTTCTTATCAGTTACAGCCATCTGAATTGTTTTTGTTAAAGATAAGTTGGGACTGTGATTGAGATACCTCTGTAATCCTATTCTTATCCATTCAAGTATAATGAGGTGAAGTACCGTTTTGTGTCCCACTGTTATCATTCAAGTTGGAATAACCGATATTGACGTATACGCCTAATGAATATTAATGTAAACCAAATATGGTCTTTTCATATTGGGACAGTAAAAGGAAGAGCTTTAATAAATATAGAATTTTGCATCCTGGTTTTCAGGAAAAGAAAAAAACCTGATAGATAACACAGGCTGCATGGAGCTATAACGAGAATAAGGTTATTGATATATCATTTTGATCAAAGGTGAATGTCTTGAAATTTCATCTCTAAGATGTTTCATCTCTAAGACGCCTCTTACAGTCTGACGTGATGAGGCGCGGCGTGAGTTTTGAACAGAAAGCTGTTTATAAGAGGAACTCAACCCGCTTCGATCTGTGATGAACAGCCTTGCGTCTGATGTGAATCCAGAACACGTTCAACTCGCAGTCATCGCCAAACAAATCAAACAGCGCTGCCTTCATTTCTACAAAAATGGATTGAGAATGTCTCATTAATCCGTTCAAAATACCTGACTCAAAGAATAAGACGAAGGCAAGAATGTGCAGACTTCGGCAGGTTTGGGATTCCTTCCAACTGAACCCATTGCTTTCTATGGAGTTTTATCTTAGACCGCAGAGGAAGCCTCCTAGAAGTGGCTGATGTTACAATGGGATTTGAAGGATTACTTCAGAGCTCCTCTGATGCTGATGATAAGTTTGGACGAAGGACTAGCAACGATTCGGGTTTATTGGTCTTATTCTACACAATGTTTTCTTTAATTGATACACAAAGATTTGCCTTTCGCCATCTGTACTGCACATGCTTGTAGCCAGTTGCCACTACACCAAGTTGTCTCTTTGTGAAAATAGCTAATGCTGTTCAAATTTACTCGTTATTTGAGCTGATAAAACAGGAGCTGAACCTGGGACCCATTTATCTTTCCGCCAGTGCTCTACTAAATGAATTCAAATTAAAGAATGAACCATGCAACAGTGATGGAGAGGTTTATAATTTCCATAAGACCATGCTATAGCCGGACTTTTTTGGAGTGCTCTTTCAGCCAGGAGCGAATCAGCATTCTCATCATGGTGGTCTTCTTAAGATTTGTGGATTCTGCATTGAATTCATCTTGCTGTCCAGTTGAAAGGCATGGATGCAAAGACGTTTCATGGAGACACACCTTGGTATATAGGCTGACCATTCGCCCTACGGCAACAAATTACAGGTAGGTTATGTCCAATATTGTGAATGTGTTTCAACTGCTAAACCTCGGAGTTAGCAATATCCTATACTGTTGTTTCGTACTCCTGGGATTGAAGTTTTATTTTTGAGTCTCATGAATCTGAGACCAAAAACCAGCCGCATTCATAATTTCAAAAGATTAACTATATGAAGACATTAAATGCTACAACTGGTGATTTTCGATCAAAAAACAATCTTGGGAAGAATGAGATATATTTAAAAATCAGGAAATATTTAAATTATCAATCAAGAATTAATCATATAATTTACTTCTCGGGAAGATAGGCGGGAAGTAAACACCCAGATTTCGGTTTTTGTTTCCTGAAAACATGACGCATGCAGACGGGCTGAAAACAAAAACAATGGCAGTAGGAAAATGAAACCAATAAATCAGTAATTTATTCATAAAAATGAAACTGAATGTAAAACCAGAACGAACCGGATAAATAATCGTGTTTATGCTTTAGAAATAAAAACTTACTTTTGCCATCGAAGCCATTTTCATTGGAAGAAAGAATTATGTGACCATATTTTATGAATTTTTTTTTGACCCGATATTGTTTGAATAAAATGAAATTAATATTATCTGTTGTCAAATTATTTTTAATACCGTCGATCACAAAACATATAAGATCGAATTTTGATTTATAAATTAATAGCATCAGTTCAAAGAGAAAGCACAGCCACAATTATCTCTTCTACAAAGAACTCCATATTTATTCAATTAACGACATTATTGACCCTTACAACATACTGGACCGTGCCGCGTGGTACATGCTAGGCCGTACAAACCGCCGAGTTGCCCCGTGGACTTGTCTGAATTCACGCTGGTAAAAACTTGCGTCACTCGGTGATCGGGAATGGCGAAACATCCAAAATATCTTGGTTGACAGAAGACGTAACATATCAATACATTGAAGCATAAAATATAGCCTTCTTTAAACCAGAAAAACGAATCGGCAATAGAGACATGTATTGGAGGTTACTGGATGGCATATGAAGCGATGCCATTACAAAACACTGGAGAAACTTTCACAGGAATGTCTTTTCGGCGTTGTAAAATTTTGGACCAGATTCGAGTTCGATAATGAACCACTGGTAATTTGAAACAATTTTATCTTGTGTTCCTTGAATAATCATTTAAATTACCAAAATACAAAAACAAACTAACAAAATTAGAATGGTGCGTGAACGCTTGACGAAAAAACTAGGGTGCGTGAACGTAAAATGTTCACAAATAACAATTGAAAACAAAAAGATGATACTTACATAACTTCTTAATTGATATCTAAGACTAAGCAATAAAAAAAAACGAGATTTGATTGTTGAAAAGACACTTACTCATTTCAAATTCCGTTCCATTATAATTATCGAAATTGTAACCAATGAGAGCCTCGAACCTGGTCACGTGTATGTTGAGGTCATCATGGGAAAGGTCATGTGAGTGGCGTGACGTGGCATATTTATACATTATTTAGTTTCAAAGACTTTACACACAATAGAGTATTTTATACTTATCCTCAGATTGCAACTTATTGCACTTTGTTATTGTCTAAGTTCTGTTTGTTTTGTTCAAACTTATTCTATTTAATTTTTAGCTGAAGTTAATTTCATAAATGAGAAGGCAAATGCAATAATGGAATGAAATTAAATGCAAGCAGATATTCTGTAGGCCTATCATTTGATCACCGCCAAAATATTAAATTGTATAAATATTACCTTTTTTCTGAAGATGATAGTTTCATAGATCTATCGGCCTGTTAAAATATTAGAATTATGGAAATTACAGAATTTACGTTAATAACCAATTTGATGCGTCCGATGCGTTTTGTTTATTATTAAAAATTTCTATCATTAACTGATAGTTCTTAGTTTAATGTAAATTAAGTTAAAATCTCAAAGGACGTAGTAAAGTAGCAAAAATGTAATTGTGAAACGATAAGTATGATTGGCTAGCAATGTGAAAATCATATCAGCGCCTGCCAATAGGAGAAGGGCTTATATACATAGATGGGCTTGGCACAAACGATGGCGGTCCATAGCTCCTGTCGAACTGTTGCGAAATAGTGTTGGTAAACTACTCTCTGTTTCAAAGAAATTATGACCTTTCTTGACTTATAAAATAATTGGAATGTTTCTGAAATGTCAGTGACGTGTACGGTGCTGAAATCTCAGAGACAATATGATGTATTCAAGGTGAGTTACTTGACTAAAAGAACAGAATACCTTGACAATTAACGAACTCGAAATGTAATGTCCAGTTTGCCGGAAGTCAAGGACTTTAAAGTGTTGCCTCTAATTGCAAATGTTGAGAGAGAAAAGCGCATAAAAATCGATTTGTAATCAAGGGACCACAAAAGCAGTCCACTACACGATTCTCAATGAAAAAAATAGTTTGTTTTGCTTCCATGACGACAGCCCAAGTCCAAACATTGTGACGTTCTTTTGGTGAATGCCGTTTTTCCACGAACTATTTGTCGAAATAAACTGGGGAATTCCTGATTACGAAAGCGATAAAATGCAACACAGCAATCACCATTACTCATCATGACAGGATATACTGATGATTCAATGTCGTGATAAGATCTTTATGGAAAAATACAAACTAACAGGAAACCCCCATCATTTCTGAGATCAATTAATGCAGGCTTTAATTAAGAAGCTTGACTGAGCGCACTTTGGCGAGATCCGAGATTATCATTTAACTAACTGAATCAATTTACCTGTTAAATTGTGCTTTCATAAAGTACCGTAGTCGATTGTGCTTCCATATTAAAGTAGTCGGTGACCACACATGTTATTATACAGGCTGTCTCAAAATAAAGTAGGCCTATACCCATTTTAAAAGTGTAAATTGTAAGAAATGTCCTGAATCGAAAGATTGAGTTCATTCCTGCAATGAAGCACCTATAATCATTGTCCCTATTATCACTTTTTCGTGGTGAATATTAACTTGTCACAGTGCTGATTTTGACCTCTTTCATGGAGGCCTTGTTTGCTCATTCATCCATGACAATGACACAATAAACTGAATATGATTGGATAGAGGACTTCCTGGACTTTTTCTTTGTAGTAGCCTCTTTCTGAAATAGTATGCATTTCTAATAATAAATATAAAAATTGGTATACTTTATTTGAGAGACGCTGTATGTAAGCCTAAGAATAGTTTATTTACTTCTAGAAGCAGTGACAAGTTTACCTTGTACGATGAATTAAACAAACAGCGAACTTCATTTTATTACAAGACATTGCATTTGTTTAAAATGAAAATCATGATAGCGTCCAATTGTTCACATCTTAGATGTACACTCTATGTTATCTTCGTATTTCACCCCAAACTACTTTAGTTACTTGAAACAAAGATCGAAACACCAAGCCTAGGTTACTGTCATAAGCAGAACAATGCAAGGCTTGAACAATACAGACAAAAACAAGAGCAAAGAAAAACGGTTACAAACAGTTTGTAACAAATGCTTGATTTATATTAATATTTCTACAATCAATCCCAGTTATAGGCCGTAAGGACTTTTAAGTTATTCAAAATTGCCCGTGGGATCACAACATACTAATGAGCTCGCGCGCAGTAATTTACAGCGTTTTGGTGGTAAGCACCCTCAATGTCACAGTTATTTCTGCACCAAAAATTCCCAGAATTTTTAATACTTTGCTGTTATAGATTTGTTTGTTTGTTTGGGTTTTTTTTTTGGTGATTCGTTGTTGTGTAAGTACATGACAGTAATTAAGCCAATGTGAGGAAACTTTTCCCACAAATGTTTTCAATGAGCACATTTTGGGTTCACAGGCACGCGTTTGATCATTTTTTTATGTAGACTGCACAGTATAAATTTTAATTAATTATTATTATTATTAATATTTTTATTAACTGAACCGTGTCTTCCTGAAATGACATCACGGCAACAGCGCCCTCATTTGTCCGGAAAAGCATGGACAATATTTAACGTTTAAAGAAGTGCACTTTTCAATACGATTGACCAAAAGGGATGTCAAGTTGTTTTCATACATAGCAGAAGGTGGCACAAAATTATGTTCCCAAATAAATTGTCATGGGCCCTAAACAAAATTTGTTTGATGATCCAAAATTGCTTCTTAAACTATGGTAATTCTGTGCTTTTTATATACGGAACCGTGCGCTGTGCATTGAGAGAGCTTTGAGGGAGCCTCAAAATGGCCGCCGCGTGTGTGCGAGGGCGTCACAGTCTTGTGCACAGATTGCACCCAACCACTATAGGGTCAGCTCAACCTCGTTCCAATGGGTACGAGATCTTGCTGCGCCATGTTGTTTCCCATCATGCCTTGCGCGATCTCAACAGGAACGCGCACGCGCCCATGGAGTCGAGGCTTGGGGTAGCTGGGTGCAATTTTGACTGATATCTAGTCAATTTAATTCCATCCTGAGACGACGATCACAACCCCGCATGCGTCAATTCATCATGTGACAATAACACACATTGTAACAATGCACTATAGGTAGACGCAGACAAGTAAACAAACACACAATCAAACACTATACAAACGCATTTTTGGATTTTGTGTTCATGCCTATAACTATATGCAATGCATGTTGTTATTAACCTGCGAAATGTTTTAGTTGCGATAAAAAAGTTTCACTCATAAATTCCTTGAAAACATTTCGAATCACCAGGTCCTTACTTTATCATTAAAACCTACAGCAAGTTACATAAACAGAAATGCTGTACTGGAACTACGAGTCTGCACAATTTTCGGTCCACTGCTCGTGTAGGCAGGCCTCAGGGTTGTGAACTTGTGACGTCACGATCAATTGTCCTATAATGTGAGCTGAAAAAAATAAGTGGGGCGCAACGAGTCCAATGACCAAATAAACTAAAAATAGAACTTTGACTAAAACTGGGAAAGCCAAAGAATTCAAAAGACCATTGCACAGCCATTGCGCAAGCAGGAAGTAAAGTCGAAAAAAACAAACTTTGAAAACTTAAGGATAAACTTTGAAGTTTTGGGTCTAACAATGACAATCGAGTTTTTATTAAATGCAGCAGACTGCTAAGGTGCGAGTATAGTGTAGACGTGTGCTTCGGTGCTTGTGGGAAGTCTTCATTTAATTTATTGGTAAGTACATCATAAAGAATGAAATAACTCTTGTTAATTAACAAGATGATGTTTATATCCAGTCATAATATAAACAAGTGCATACTTTGGCAGGGCAGATATAGCTTTCAGGAACTTGACGCGGGAAGAAGTTCATATATGTTCCCATTTTCTAAACAGTTCTGGAGAAGAAAATGTGACTTGAAGAATAACACCACTAAGAAATCTTACAAAAACAATAGGTTTTGGGCTGAAGCCCAACACCTAATTACTAACATGAGAATTACGTGAAATTGTCACAGTTACTAGTCAATGACATGTACTTTATTCCATTGTTATTTTTATTAAATGGAACGAGCCATATATTTTAAAATATTGTTTTCTAACTCGGTTACTTTCTTTTGACTAACCCTGTATAAAACATGCAACACAGATTTGTTTGTAGTGTGTACTGATCCTGGCGTACCCAGATTTTGGAGCCACTGGGCGTGGCGTGGCGGGGGGGGGGTGGTTCATCATTTTTTTTTTTTTGGCATTTTGTTGCTGTAACATTTACACTAATTGTTTGGGTACGGTAAATCACAGCTGATTGTATTGGATGGAAGCAAAGTTATTCAGTTTGTCAGGTCTTGAATAATAAATAAGGAAATCAAAACCGGGACAAATTACATACATGCTTTAAGATACTTTTTTGGTTAATGTATAGAAAACTGTGGAAATGAGGTTGAAGGTGTGGTATTTTAGGTGATTTATGGTGGGATTTCACGGAACTGCAAATGCATGTTATCTATACATGTTATACTTCCCAATAAAGTAGGCCTATAGTAAAAACATTGATTGTGACTATAGTGCACGGACTTAACACAACGATTTTCACCTCAAAGGCCTCGCAGAACTTGGCCTCGATAGCAAAGGAACGGGGTTTTTTAAATACAAAAAACCCTCAATGTTGAAATCGCACACACGTATCGGCAATTTTCTCAAACTATGGGCCTTATTCGCGAATTGGCCATTTTTGTCGAGTTCCCTGATTGTATTTCATTAATTGTTAACTGTTGAATGGGATGGCGCCAGACTATTTATGCAGGCACAATGCAGCCTTATTTTATTGTCATTTTTTTTAATATAGCTTTAAAAATTAGGGAATGTTTAATTACAAATGTTAAATTATGCATTAAGCAGACTGGAATTTATTATAAATTATGTTGCTTTCATTTCTCTTCGCAAGTTCAAGAAATTAATATTTTACCTGACTTGCAATTCAATATGGCCGAGTCGTGAATAAAGCCCATAGCTAGCGGTACCAGGCCGTGCCAGCCTAGTACACGGTGCGCCACCCCGACTGCTATTTTTCTCCAGACGAACCCTGAACTTTTGTCAAGGCCGTCTCATTTTTTCTTTGTTCGAATTGAAAATATTTTCCCCACTCCATAATACTCACGACAACCCTCTATGTATGACACATTGTTGTTACTTCCTTCAGGAATTGGTCCATAATATTTTTTTGCCTTGGAATCTGGGTTTTTCCACGTTGCGAAAGTGAAATATAAAGAAAGGTGTTTTCAACTTTGATGATTCATGAACAAAACTTCTGAACGAACTTTTACAGAGATTGCTCACAAAGGCTCAGAATATCTAGGTTGAAGGGTCCATGCAATGAATTTTTCCTAGGATCACTTTTGGTGCAACTCTTAAATGTATGAAAATAAAATGCTTTCCCGGACAACTGAGGGCGCTTTTGCTGAGATGTCATTCCAGGAAGACACTGTTCAGTTTAGGGGTTTTCTGTTCAACTTGTTATCCCAAATTTGCTCAATGAAAACTTTTTGCCATGAATGTATCATCGAAGAAAAAAATTATAACAGGAGAATGTTCAAAGTTTAGCAACTTTTTGGTGCTGAAATAGCTGTAACATTGAGGTTTTTGCCCGGAATGACATCACAGTTTAGCTCATAAATATATGGAAACTCGCATTACTATAAACACCAAAAAGGCACTAAAATACCCTTAAAATGGCAAAACAAGAATCGAAAAAAAGGTTAAAGGGAACACAAAGGTGGATTTTCAAGGGTTGCATTAAAACAAATTTCGTTGCATGGCGGTCCAGCAACGAAGCATCCGATTCACCTGCAGTTTCCCAGTTAATGTGTTTTTTCCTAACCCTGTTTTTTTCTTCTTTATATTAACTTCCAAGAACCAACTTTGAAAGAACCGTTTTCTCTTCTTGGCTACCGGATGCTAAGAAAAAATGTTCCTGAAAGAAAATATTTGTCTCGTCTTTTTTTTGCTTCCTAGATGATTTGCAAGATTTCCACATGGGATCGCGTACCGTGTTCGTCTCTATGAACTCCAGGAGCTCACCCTTTTCCTACACCGACTCTGGGCCTGGGAAACCTGCACTCAAAGATTGGCAACATGTTTCAAGTGGAAAGGAGGACAATAGACCAGACACAGGAGAACATCAGTTGAAACAACTTCCGCAAGAAAATACCAAAGGAAGCAAGAAAACGGGAATTCGGAGTATATTTCGCGGCAAAAAGGACAAACATAAATCCACGCCACCAGCCCCTCCAAGGAACTCCAATGACTACACTGCATATGAATCGACTGTACTGAACAAAGCCATAAGTCCCGCTGTCAAAGTGCCATCAGATAGGGGCAGAAAGACCAAGGCGAATGTGAAAAAGAAAATTGACTCTGGAAGTACTTTAAGATTTGCCGGAGAAGAGGGTCTTCATTCATCAGAACACATCTATGAATGCCCGGCTGATGCACAGGAATCATCAGATCACGTCTACCAATGTAATAGATCATCATACGAAGAGACACAGTGTCGAGCCTCTCCACTCCACACACCTGCAGGGACCCATGGTAGGCCTTCCTATGCTGCGATTCCACTACCCACGAAATCAGCTCTGCGAACAACAGCCTCGTTACCGAATTGTTACAGCCCCCGTTTCACCAAGAAGCTACCAGCAAGACAAGCATCGTTCGGTCATAAGATCCACTCCAGATTAGAAACTACACAAGGAGACGAGATGGGAGGAGCTGTCTACTGTGATGATGATGATGTGGGAGAGATGTACGCACAGATTGCTGAGAACATTGAACATGATGATGTCGTCGTCATCAGTAACGACATGTATGAGGATGTACTTATTGCTGCAAATACTAAGATTCCAATTGCTGATCCCAATGATGACGATGATGATGACCTATGCACAGATAGTTGTGACGTTGGCAAGCTCTCTTTACAGTCATCTTGTGATGACGAAAGAGTCAACTGTTTGAACGCACTACCAGTGAAACCAAGACCCAAAATCGAAAAGAAAAATAGCTCACCGGTCAGTTAATATTGAAGTTTTTCACTAAGGACTAAAATACCAGCCATGTGTTCAATACAGCATGATTCTGCGGTTACGGTGATTCTGCGGCGGCGTTTTTGCAGGTTTTAACCCCCCCCCCCACCCCTCCCCAACCCCAGTGCACCCTCGTGAAAATAGTATTGCTCGGTATTACCAATAATTCGATTTAAAAACAAAAAGTCACGAATGTATAGCACAGTCGTACAGCCCATTTAAACATATATATTATTAAATCATACATGAGATTTCCTCATAACATCGATACAACGACCAACGAATTGATACATCATCAATGCGTTTATTGGCATGTTAGTTTTCACGGAATATTCACCAAAGAGAATTAATTTACGAAAATCAATTCATATTTTCACAAATTATATGTTTTCACAATTAAAATACTTTTGTGGTTATAGAATTGTTAGTATTCCGTATTTTATAAATTGCATTACCACGTTAAACAAAAGTTTGACTGAAACTGACAACAGATAGAATTGTATACTGATTAAATAAATATTTGTTTTTATAATTGTTTTGTTTTGTTATTATTACTCTGCAGGTTATTGTCATCCAGCATGACTGCACGTCAGACGATCAAGATGCCCGCTATGTCCCAACCGGAACCATCTCAACCCCTCAGCCCGGACCTAACAATCCCAAACCTAAACCTAAACCCAAACCCCCGAAACCTACTCCACGTGCACGTTCCTCACTCATGTCCCAAGGCCCAAAACAACCATCCAAGGATATCATCAAGATTCCACCTCAACCAGCCGAGAAACTCCCCAAGGAACTCCCTGAAATCCAGCTCCTCGTGGATGAAGCCAGGAAACTCATCAATAACTCTGAGAAAAACAACTCAACCAAGTTGATATTCACCAGCGTCGACTTCACAGCTGGACTCTTAGACAAAAAAGGTGGCCGTCTGCAGCTCCGATATCACGGCGTTACATTAGACGTCCCTCCCGGTGCACTTGAAGATGTTGAGATGGTGTACATCTACGTCCAGCGTAGCTTGGAGTTCTCACCCATCGGAGAAGAAGGCTTTGCCAGCCCACTCGTCCACTGCGGACTCTCCGGGCTCAAGTTCAAGACGCCTGTCGTCCTCACCTTCCCTGTACACCTTGAAGACCCTTCAGCATGGGAGTTGAAGGGGATCCAGCAGGACTCATCCGGAACACCTTGGAAGGAAATCTCATCAGAGAGTTGTCAGGACTCTCTCGTTGTCTTCAAAGAAAGGTTGTGCACGATGGTTGTTGATCACTTCACTCTATTTGGCGTGTCTGCACGACCCAAGGAGCTTCGCGGTGCATCGGGAGGCAGTGATGAATCACACGGGTGGCTACCACTCAGAGTCGGTGTCTTCCTTCCAAGTGATAAAACGACGATGTCCGGTCATCTGCAACTCAGAGTTCGTATCTGGGATGCATCACAAGAAACGGTGAGTCTTAGGAACACTGACCTCAGATCGCTATAGACATAAAGCTGTAGGGCAGAATTTTTTTAGTAGGCACATGTACGAGTTAATCTTTGGAATTAAAAGCTTCCTTTTCGTCAGTAAAGTATCTCTTCTTGCAAACTGGTTTTTTTCTCCTTTCATCAACAAGTCCTTGTGATGCGGCGGCGCCATGAAATTGTGGACTGGTTGTTTCTTGTAGGAAACCAATTCTGAATATGTTCACACTTAACAACACTGTCTCTTAAAACGCCAATGGAAAAATCCAAACCGATCTAGAAATTCATGCTTAGGATCGACCCCCCCCCCAAAAAAAAAAATCGTATAAAAAAATACTACAAAATTCAATGATAGCACAAATCAGTTAAGAAATGTTGGAGCTGACTGTTCTTTATTTCTCATAATCTGCAGCGAGTAAAAGAGGATGAGAGACACAGCAAAGTCATTGACACAACGTGTAGACTTCACCTGCGTACCAGCGAAGGGTATGGTTCCCGGCAACCAGACTTGGATGTGTCGGTTGATATCCAAGGACTGAATGACTCCTGGACATCGGACCCCAAAGAGAAGGTAAGACTCAAGAGACTACGGCTAATCTCAGCGCTTTATCAATGGCAAAAGACGCAGGCCGTAGCCAATTTTTTTTAAAAAGCTGAATAAAAAAGGTGAAATTGAGAAAAAACATCACAAGCTACTGAATTAATTTATCTTAATTGTTACGAATCGATTGAGAGTCAACCATTTTCAACAGAAAAAGTAGAAAATTACGTGAACCTTTTTCATTTTTAAACCCCAATTAAACCTCTCTTTTTTTAATCACAGATCATCCCTTACGAGATCTTCCATCTAGACCCCCCAGTGGATGAATCTGTGACCTTCAACCTGAGGTTACAGAGCCAAGACAGTGAGGGCGGGCTTCATCCTTTGCTGTGTGACTTCGTCATCAGACAAAGAGCGCACTTCAATCGAGCCACGATCGTCAGAGCCGTCGTTGACATAGTAAGACCACGTCATCACCATAGCAACGCTGTCAAAGAAATCATCAAAGTCACGTGGCACTAGTCATATTGGCTCTAAGATAATATTTACGCATGGAAGATAAATCGGTTTGTGTTTGGATCCGAAAATACTGTCCTTGCTAATTCTCATACATACTTTACAAAATAATGGACATTAGCAATGACATTAAAAAGCAACGATAGGAGAGCATTATTTTAAAAAGACTAATAACATCTAACGTACGATATAGGCCTAACCATCAATGACACGCATCGGAGATACAATTGACTTTAACTAGATTATCTGAACAAAGCGTACCATACGGAAGATGACATAATGACATAATAGAACAGACCTCTAGAGCAAGGCCATTGTGCCAAATACTGGATTAGCTTACCTTTTTGGGCATGATCAAAATCCCTAATTAAAATCCATAACCAAAATCCACCTACTATTCAATTACTCATACATATCGTTTTACTTTTCTACAGCACGATGGCGGCCTGCGCATTGAAACTGCACACGATTCCCCGAATCCCATGTCCACATCCGGCTTCCATCTTCTGAGAGACTACCTGGAGAGAGAAAGACGATGGAAGCTTCTTGCCGACTCCTCCTTCGGCAAGACACAAGGATGCACACTCGACAGATGGTCATGCCCCTCCACAGCTGTCTTAAATGCCATCTTTTCTCGATCGGTAGCCCAAAATCCCAAGGCAACACTTGGAGAACTCTACTCTAAGCTCAGTGAGTGTGGTCTGCCCGGAGCGGCAGAGATTGTCCGTAGGGAAATGAAGGAGTGGAATCTGGGAGTGACTGGATCAGAGATTACCCAAGCCAGGGGAAGTCAATCCAGGAAATCTCCTGAGCCGAAATTTCCCGTACAATGTTCAGGCGAAGATTCTTCACTCCCGCGACCGATTTGTAACGCACAACAAGAGTCACTTTACGAGGTGTTAATGCCGAAAAAGGAGCGAGAAAGAATCGCTCAGGCACGGCCTTCACCGACCGGGAACCGTGTTTCACGTAGAGGGCCTGAAGAAAATGACGAGGAAGAAAGTCGGATTCACACTCTCCGCTCCACCAATCCGCCAGCCCGAGCCCAGCCTGAAAGAATCGATCAGGCGCGGCCTTCACCTACCGGGAACCGTGCTTCATGCAGAGAGCCTGAAGAAAATGACGAGGAAGAAAGTCGGATTCACACTCTCCGCTCCACCAATCCGCCAGCCCGAGCCCGAGCCCAGCCTGAAAGAATCGCCCAGGCGCGGCCTTCATCTACCGGGAACCGTGCTTCACGCAGAGAGCCTGAAGAAAATGATGAGGAAATCTTTGCTTATGCAGACTGCTTAATTAAAGATCAGAGTGGACAGCTAGAGGAAAATATATTTTCGATTTACCAGAACGCGCAGGTTATACCACCTTCATCATCGTCGTCGCAGTTGCCCAGAGGTTACGTTCAATAGAAAAGTAAGCAACGAAATCAACAAAAGTAAGGTGGATTAGGCGAATTTCGGTTTACACAGAGCACAATATAATTATTTGCACGTCAAGGCAAGTTCATTTTAAAGAATACAAACTTACTAAATTTGACAAATTCAAAAACGATTGACAAACAGTCTTTGAAAAGAAAGCATTCGATATCAGTCAGCTAATATGTCTTGTAATTTTGACATTAACGCGGCAGGGTAAGATTTCATTCGCAATACAAAAACATTTTATCAAACAGCAAATTGTGGGTTTCTTTTAACACTAATTATGTTATTTTATTCCTGACTTTTGTCAGAAACGTAGGGCGTAATTCATTGTACAGTTGGTTTTTTTTGCTACGTGGTGTATACATTCTGATTATTTGCCTATTAAAGTTTGAAGAGAAAAAAGTTAACCACATAAGTAGGCATCCAGAGCATGATAATGTATCAAATTAGAAAACAGTCCGGTAGACCTAGACGTTAAAAACTGCATCAACCTTTGTCAATATGAGATTATGCTACTGTAAAGTTTGCTTAACGCGAATACACATTATTATATAATTTCAACGATAGTATTTTAACAGTACGACAACTTATAATCTGAAATCGCATTTTTTCACCAATTTAACACTTCTTCTTTGAAAGCACTTTAATATAAAACAGTTTAAAGCTGGTATATATACACATGCTTTTTGGATGTGGCACCGTGAAAAATAGATTTTCAAATTGAATTGATAATTTTCTAGCATTACACAAGTTACGAGCTTTTCAATGAGACATCGAACGAAAAAAAAATCGGCCGACGATTTTAAGTAACCAATTAATTTATTTAAACTTTTGAAATACGAGCGTCCATTCAGTTCTGAAGCCAGCGGGACCTGTGCGCATCCGCTTTTGAGACAGTGCAGTTATGAATAATAATTTCAACAGCACACATTATACATAATGTGCATGCACATGTACATGTTTGTATGAAATATTGAAGCATGATGTACAAACATGTACATGTGTTTTGATTTTTTTTTTTTTCAGTCCAGACATGTCAGAAAATATGCAAAATTCACAGGGTGTTTTTAAACTTCTATTATCTTCTGTACAAGAAATGCACGATTTTTTGAGAATGGAAAAAAGAATAGAAACGGATGTATAGCACTTCAGCTCAATTACTTTCTGTATATAAATATGTATAATTAATTAATTATGCTCTATTTACATGAACATGTACATTTAAAAAATGAAATAATAGTACTAATAATTATAGCTTTTATTATGAGGCAGTTTAACGAATCAACACTGCAGATCCTCAAGAATTGTCAATAAATATTGTGTAAATTAGTGAGAATAATAATTATATGAAAGCTTCTCTTTAATTCTCATGGCTTTATTTACAAGCAGTGAGTTTATATTGGAGCTGTATTTAAAAGTTTTGGTTACATGCAGATTCAGTCACTGCATCAATCCATAGGAAATCGTTGAAAAAGACACGTGGTTAAAGATGTGATTGTTCACAGGGAGACCGTCTCAGTTAGAAGCTTGGAAACTAGACTATATCTACATCCTTAGCGCTGCCAGTGTGTGCAGTATCTGCAGTCTGGTGCTCTGACGGCGAATGTTGACGACACAAACCCTTCTTGTCTGTGGTTGGCGACGTTACCTTCCTCGGATTCTTGAAGTATTTTCTCTGCGTTGTTTTCTTGGGTTTCGAGTCTTGGCGTCTTAGTCCCAACTTCTCCCTCCACAGCGCCCTCACTTGTTGAGTGAAGGTAAAGGCCAGGAAGATGTAGACGCCTTGAAGTGACGTCATAATGCAGAAGATGTAGAGTAAGACGATGCTTTCGAATGCAGTCGCCAAGAAGCCGAAGATCCAGGTAAATGCCAGAAGAAATCCAATCTGAAATCAACCACCATGAGTCTATTAATATGTGGATGTCGGCGTTGTTTACTTGTCATTGTTGTCGGCTCTTGGTGCGTTATTGATGATAAGGAAATGATTAATAATTATCAATTATTACTATTTAGTAAAAACAAATAATATAACTGATATCCAATTCATAGTTTATGATTTATTGATACTGGCCGAAATTTAGTCCATATTCCCTTGCACAGCAAGGGTAAATGATTCTAGCAGATTCGGCGATTATGCAAAACAAGACTGTGTCTTGACCTCAAGATTCCGACCATTCAGCGGGCGCCTTCTATCGGGTCTTCCGTAACCCGTTTTTATATTACAAAAACATGGCATTGGCAGCCAAATTGACCAATCGACAGCTTAGTCTGCATTTCTGATCTAAATGACGTCACAATTTCTAAAGTTGCCTCCGATTGGCTGGCGCGCGGAGGCACATATGAAGATGTAGTAATTGGTAACAAAGATATTTATAAGTGAGAACGGGTGAATAATATTTATGATACTGTTTGTATTCCTACCTTTACAGAAATGAAGGCATCCCTCCGTTTGCGACTGGAACGCCCCTCTTTGGAACACACATTGGCAGAGGGCGCCCTTCGGAAAGTGAAGCCCATCAGTATCTTCACGAAGAGTACAGCATTAGCTACGAGAGAGACGCAGATTGGAACCACAAACCCAACTATCTCCACGATTGTGTCGGTGATGCTGCAAGATCGTATGCCTCCATTAGCTTCAGACACTCCGTAGATGGTTTCCATAGAGACGAGGTGAAGAATGACACAAATGAAGACAATAATAAGAGGTCCTCCCCACCCGAAGAGACTAAAGTACAAGAACGAGTGACGGAGTTGGCTTGCTGCAGCCGGCTTGGCCCCTGGCCCTAGTGTTCGAGAGAGGTAGAACGCCAACGCGTTGGTCCAGCTAAATGTGGACAAGCACACGTAGTGGACTAGAATCGCGAGTGTAGTACAAGCGGCCTCACTGACTGATCTAGCCATATCGTCATCTGTCATCAAAAGTAACAACTGAGTCGAAAAGACAGCTACAATCAGCGACATGACACACTGTCCTGGCAGGTTACGAAGACTTGGAAACTCAACATAGGTGACGAAACTTGCAACAAGTGCCAACATGGATATGAGAAAGCCAGTTGTTGTGACTACAAAATTGACTTGCAGTGCTGGGACAGGAGGGGTGAAAACAAGATGGCGGCACACCAAAGCTCCACCTGTATCTAAGATGGCGTGGTTGGTATCTGTCAAAGGCTCCTCGGTATCATTCAGAAGTTGAGACAACATCGTAGAGTTTACTTTAACCAGAGGGCAGTTAAAATCGACAGGATCTCCGCACATGGTTACTATGTGAGTGATGTTGGAGACACTGTCATTTCTTAGAGTGTAACTTATCTGGTAGAGAGATTCCTGCAACGAATTGATGGTGTTAAGATCCAGAAGATACAGCGCCTTAGATTTGTTCCAAGATGTCAAGTAAACACCACTCACATTTCCAGTCTGATAGACTTTACATGTTGTTCTTGATGACGGAATACACCCCTTTTTCAAGACAACTTTCGTTACGGAGGCCATAAAGGGACACATCTGGTATGGTCTTTCTGTATCTCCACTCAGTATGTCGTCAAGTTCTTGTACTGTTGAATTAACAGTTAGATGAACGCGCTCCCGGCGCGTACAGCTTCGTTCTTCAGAAACTAGTCCCTGCGTCCTACACCATTCACCTGACACGACAGGTGGATATGGCAAACTGAGACAATCCCGCCATAACTCACATGGATCAAGGGATGAATTCCCACCAAGACACATATCTACCTCCATATCTACGTACCCAGGTTCGATACATTCACTTTGGATGATACCAGTCACATCAGCAGGTGGATTCTGCCCCAGACAGACGCCATTCACAAGCGCAAACCCTTGCGGACAAAATAATGCACGGCAGCGCAAGGTAAACGGATCCAGAAACTCGTCCTTCCCGCAAGTATTTTCAATACCAGTGCTTCCTAATGACAGTCTGTTTCCTTTGAAGTCCACGAGCGCAGTCAGTGGGCCGGGGCCGCCAATACCCTGCGGAGTCATGCTAAATCTTTCCATTTGGCAAATTGTTGGGTGAGTGGCGTTGTTGCAAAACGCGCAGTGCCAGTTTCTGTAAGCAACGTTGCTGACTGGATGAACTACAGGCGTCAAGTACGATCTGCAAGCTCTAATGACTCGTTCGTCATCATAATCAGAAGGACAATCGTCAATTAAATTTGGAACACAACTTCGTAGTGTGTGTAATTTATGTTTGAACCGGATGTTACTTTCATTAAAGATTTTTGAGGAATTCAGAATGTTTACAATTTCATCTAGGCCTATATAATTTGCGTTTCTAAAAGACGGATCAAGGGGCACTGTGAATTCGATTCTCCAACTCGTCACCGTTGCCAACGGAACTCCATGGCAAATAGCACAGTAAATGTTACGAAATGACGTCATTGCGTCGTCAGATGACACAACAGGAAGTAGAAGCAGAAGGTCAGACTCGTCTTCCGGTGCTTCGCAGAGATGTCGAACGTCTGCGTCGTTCCAAGATGGCGGACACTTACCAACCATCAAGTATCCTTGCGGTAAGTCATACTCATCGTCGTCAATGAAAGATATCTTGAAAAACTTGGGATTTGTCAAAGAAGACGGTAATCCGACGCAAACCTGGTAGGTAGGTTCGTTGTAAACGTGGAGGAATGTGGAGGAAGAGTCGTTTCCCATCGTGCTCTGCGGTGGATTAGCGTCATCTTCGATCACGTGATCAAGGAAATTGTCACGGCAACAATCACCGAACCTCTCACAGAGTTCGTCGCATGCGCACAGGCGTTCCACGCTACAGCTACCGACTTTCTGCTCATACACGTCGCAGTTCAATGCGTTCGTGAAATTATCTGTTGAAGAGAACAAAAGGGTGACGTCACTAAAAAAAAAACCTAGCCCGTTATTGTCTTGCGTTTTGCCGAATAAAAACAGAACAAAAATAATGTCAATGGGAGACTTTTAATTTTGAGACTTTTGGTGGCAGCAAACCAGCCCTTTGAAATTATTTGCGTCAAGTTTAAGCTCATCCCGTTCCATGCTGAAACAGGACACCAGCTTGAACACCGCCAAGGCGCTGCGCTCCTGCATGCTGGACCGGGACATCTGGACGGGCTCGAGACGGGCTCGAGCTGCCATATGGCCTCGACTTGATTGATTGATTGATTGATTAAGCTAATGTGCGCTTGTTTAAAATGACGCAAAAATTAGAAAGGGAAGGGAGTGTTTGGTGCCATCAAGCGTCTCAAAAGTCTCCCCCCCACCCCCCCCCCCAAAAAAAAAAAACAACAACAACAACACCACCACCACCACCACTAGGAAAATCAAGTCAAAATAGATGGTGTTCAACCATACCACTAAATTTGAATCTTGTATGAAGTGAAACAAGTTTAGGAAGACGAAAAGGGCGTGGAGCAGTACTATATATATTTAACTCATATATCCGCCATTCTGACGAGGAGCCATAACTTTTACCACTGGACTGGCCCATCTTTTTCAGATTTTAATCCGTACTTGATGTGGAGCGGAATAATTTGCCTACCAGCTATTTTCACCGATTGGAGTCGGCCACAAGTTGGTAAGAAAGATATTGATTGCACCCGCCCCGCAGATGTAAGTCGGATTTCGAGACGATGAAAAGATTAATAGATGTACGTGCCAGTTACACGGAGTAGAAGCATGAATGCAGTCGGCATCTTAGATGCGAAATTCTCGATCAATAAACAGATGAGAAACGGCAACATATGAGATATGATTATTTTGATCGTGTACGTGATGGATACACATGTGCCCCGATCATATAAATCGCAAGTGTTCACGCATTTTTGATAGCACATAGGCCAAATAACGCATTAAGTACCTTGAACTAAAATGTTTGTATTGACCAAAATCTTGGCATGACTGTAATACCGTTCCTTTGTTATTGTTCGTTCTAGCAATGAACACGTTCCACGATGAAATATAACTGCATTAAATCCTATACGGAGCCAGCGTTGAGAGACGACGGTCGCTGTATGTGCTTTACTCAGCGCTGATGCTTAGAGCATGGAGAAATTCCTTCATATCATGTAAGTTTCTCTTAGGGCAATTCCGTAAATTCGGACGTACATGTCACCCACTTTAATTAATGAGCTGTTGTTGAAAAAGCGAATGTGATACATCACTAATAACGACTAATGTGACATCTAATGAGTACAAAACAATTACAGACCGAACTAAGATTCCACCACCTTATACATCACGTGGTCGGACGTACACAGAGAATTGTATTTTACGAAATTGCCCCTTTCTAAAAAATAAAACCAATAAGCAGTGCCTGAATTTCGTGTCTTGTTTTTCCTTCCAAAGCAGTCAAATTAAACAGCTTTGGTTTGAACCTTTGTCCGGCCATTTTGAAAATGTGTTACCACCACACTCTGGTCTCTTAAATAAGTTAAATCGTGATTGTGATGTGACTGAAAAGAACAGAATTAGAGTTTACACACACTCCGTTTTTGTTGAGGACTTACAGAGATTTTTCCTAAAAATAAAGTATCAATTTTCCTGTTCATGCACTCTGAAAACAAAAGTGCTAAATAATGAGTGCTAAGCAATGTCGTGCACTTAACGTGCAAAATTCAGCACCTCAAAGGTGAAGTCTGGATGTGATGTTAGAAAGTGCTAAAAAGAAATTGGTGCTGAAAAGGAGTGCTGACTTCTTGATTACACTTGTGGTGTAAAAACGTCTCTTCAATAGCAGTATTGACATTAACCAGGCCTGTGTAGCATGAAATGGCAAGATGAGAAAACATCAAACAATCCACACACATACACCGTGTGTGCCACGTCTATAAGACTGTAGCATAAACATTTTTATCCAGTTATTCACTCGTTTCTCTTTCATTTCATTTCGTTTAATTTGCTCATCTTAGCGCCAGATTTTCTGCAAAATAAATTGCTATTTATCCATTGACGGCACAGTAAATAATACAGATGGCGTTTGGTTAAGATAATCTAGTCACGCTATTATTATTACCCTGGAAAGATGCAACAATCGAGCGCTATATCCTTCTCTGTTTTAATTTAATTTCATCTCTGGCTCCACATCAGTTTAGGAATTTGATCTCAAAACCAAAGAGCAATAAATCGTGGTCTTATGTTTTATCATTATAAGATGTGATGTTCCTTGAGGAGAAACGGGCCAATTATATAACAGCATATAGGTCTTCATATTCATGATACAATGACTTTAAAATATGGCTTATTCTGAAACAGCCTATGCAATTACTGTCATTTCCAAATTTCATTTTTAGGCAGATATTAAAAGAAAATTTAACATCTATCTTGAAGAAGTAACTCGCATCATCAATTTGACCGCGGATAAGACAAACCTTACCTGCATCCCAAAGACGCTCCTCTACGTCCTCCTGCGCTAAAGCCCCACCCAGTAACGTACCAGCCACGCCCAGCAACACCAGCATCCTTGAGATGCGAGAATGCATCTTGGCTTCTTCAGCTGACTGTAGATTGGCCGATGCAGGAAACTAAACTCAATTACCTCGCAGTGCAAATTGGCTCGAGATGTTTTCCTCATGGGGTTCGGGAGCAATATGCTTCGGTCGTTGCGATGACGCTGCTTTTTATAGCACTGTCGACTTGGCTGCTAGCTCATGACAACATCTCGCTCGTTGAATCATGACGCGACCCACTCTGCTGCGCGCACGTACTACTGTCAAGTCATCCCAGACCCGTTCAGTGACTCTGTGTTATGATTCGGTGCACTGATGAATATCTATGCACAGTGATAAACGAATTATTGAATAATACAAATGAGAGTATACATTTAATGAGGTTTGTCTGGCTTTGCGAGATGTCTAACACAAGAAAGACGTCAAACATTTAGTAAAAATGACCTCCACAGAAATTATCAATTTCAGAAGTAACAGTTCAGTGATTTTTATTTGGTTGATACAGGGATGCGTTTTGGTGGTCATAAACAGTCATAACCAAGAATTGATTCAGTTGTTTTTTTGTCGGCGGATTTCTTCCCAAATATTAATTGGGCAAGAATAACGCATGGTAATGTTATACTCAAATCCCTAAAATAAGTATCCAAAGAGAAACAACAGTTTTTGGTTATGATCGCCAAAACGCACCCCATGGTGTGGTCTTTTTTGTTGGTGTAGAGAGAATGTTGTCTCAATTTTAAAATCTGCTAGAAATTCAACAGTTGCATAGCGCATTTAGTTTTCCTTAAAGTAAATTAAAAAATTGCCAACTACTTAATTTGAGCATGGAACGTTCGTTGATAAATGAACTCAACAAGACCGCTGACATCTGCCACAATCCTCCCTCGCTTCATTACTCTCAAGACTATGCCGGACATTGATCTTGTCACACATTAATCTCTTATCCTAAACCTTTCCTGCTAAATTACATTTCTTACAGTGGCCAACATGTATGCTATGTAGGGTAGGGGGTCATGCCCCCCCCCCCCCTTGAAGCGGCCCTGGCCCTTCACGGTATTTTGGTATAAATTGTGTCAAATTGCTCCAGCACAGTGTTTCAGTTGAGCATTCTTATTCAAGGTCCATTTAGAGATAGCGAGTTGTGTTTTATAGTTATTAATCATTCATCATCACCGATCATCGAATTGGTTTTCTAGGAAAGGCTCATACTTTGTGTTTTAAGAGCAAACTTCTAATGGACATTTAATTAGGGACACTGGGGAATGATATTTGTAATGGGCGCATGTTTGCATTGTGCGAGACTGTGTTTCGCACGGAGTTATCTCCTCCGCATTTTAAGATCTCAACCCAGAAACCACTTGGGAGATGCATTAAGACGTGTGTCACTTCACACCATCCACTTAAGACGTCAGGAACGGAAAAGGACTGTCCAAATCAATTTCATGCTCTATTGAAGAGTACATTTCTTGGTAAATAAGATTCATTCTCCGAAGACGGTGAGCGTTCACTGGTTCTCATCAGAACCAAATCTTCATCTAACTTAATAATTATATTTTTCTATAGTGATCCTCAACAGTTCCTTAATTATCTTTCCTTGAAGATGGAATGTGGAGCATGAGAGGGAGGCTGTATGTCTTCACTGTTTACGTTAGCTCATCTGTAAAATGGCGACCGTCAGAGTTGGACACATTGTCAGCGAATGAGGGCGCCCCATTTTCAGGTTCCAGCACACAAAAAACAAAGCACATTTTTGAGGTAAGTTTAGAAAAATTACATAAATCTGAAATAAAGATATAAAAATATTTATGTACGTCCGTTTATACTGCAACATGGATTCGATTGTTACAGCGCGCGCCCCATTCACCCGTGGATAATACGCCTACTTCACGGGAGGGGTGGCCTATTTGCAGACCCTTTTTTGATTTGTTGATGGACCAAAGCATAAGCCTTCTGTAAGTATTCTTAATCAGTTTGTTTCTCACAAACACTTTTAAATATCTGTCTTATTGTAACTGTATAATTAAAACTTTCGTTCAAGTCCGTTGTTTTTCTTTGAATTTTTTCCCCTGTAAACATGCAACAGTCGTGTTCTTCATAACCATACACTTTAGGGCTTTAACCATTAAATTGAGTACCGGAACCCTTCCCGGAACTGCGCCGATCACGAGAATCTCAAGGTCCTCTCGTTAATAAGAAAACATGCGCCGTGCACTTCCTGCAACCTGTCATCCCTATATGAGAGCTCCGCAGTTCAGCCGTAAACGCTTCACTTGACTCTGTCACTTGATTTAAAACAAAAATTCTCTGAATTCACTGTATAATATCTGAATTGCTGGATGAAAATTATATTGTTAAGTTTAGATATCTATTGTCTTTGTGTAAAGTGAAACAAATAACAGATATCACGACGGACTAACTGACAGAAATGCACAAAAAAGAAGAATAATTTTGAACGCTGATTTTTTGTCTGGGTTATTTACATAAAATTTTAATTTTAATTCAACCCGTTCCCCTGCTATTATTTCAGCTCTTAAAAAATAAACAATGCAAATAAGGTGTAATACTCTTTTTTTCAATGGATAAACATAAAAAGTAAATTCATAAATCCAAGTACCTTGAGACGCAGTCGTGGTTTTTATCTATAAACCGTTTCTCCTCTCGGAATATTTTGATTGTCGAGCTTGTCACCACACCGAGTCGGCATGACAACACGTCCGCATCATCATTCTAAGAACAACATGTGGGGAATGGATAGGAGTGAAGTCAAGCGCACCTGTCATGCAACATTGATGTCGGGCCCGCTTGGAGACTTTTGGAGTAGTATGACAGTCAGAACTTCATAAAAACCCGCAACGCAAGAATGCGGTCATTGCGCATCAATATCAAGGAGTAATGACCGGGTACATAAATTGTAAGGAATATCATAAAAATCGAATTTTGGTCATGAACTCCGCAGAAAGTTTCTTGAACTGTAAAACATGACTCGGAAGTGAAACAAATTGAAGCATCCCACGGTGTGATGAAAAGATAATTTAAAGGCACGTAGAATCGAATAATTGCATTTACATGTACATGTAGGCCTACCCGGTAACGTTGTTGCTTCTAAGAAATGCACAAAAGGCATCTGATCCTATTTCCTTTAAGCCCCGACATCTTACTCTCCAAGTAAAAATATCTATGACAAAAACGAACAAATACTTATTTTAAAATTTTGTTTTAAGTGTGAACGGAAACATCACACCAAATGAGAAGTTAATCCTTGGGCATCAGAAGAATGTAGATGACATTACTGAACCGTCATGACATTAGAAGAGTTCATTTCTCAGGGATGTATTCCTCACTCAATCGTCCGGGATTCAATTAGATCTAGGGCTAGATCCATCTGCGGCGATACCTCGCGATTGAATCTTGCCCTGAGTGCTGAAGCGAACGCGACAGCCGGCGGTGGACTTAAGCCGAACTCGGGCGGATAAATTGACTGGATGCCGCATTAAATCAGCCCCATGGCGAGTGAAGTTTCCGATCAGTAATCTGGGCATGCCGCTGTGCTTTTCCGTCTTTCTCGTAATTCTCACTCCGTAATTCTCATTCTCATCTCCGAAATTATTTATTACCATCCAGACTGGCCGAAGTGTCATTAATTAGAGACGTTCCTGGCTTAAGAAAATAATCTGCAAGTGCATGATGATGTTTCCATGAAATATGGACGACCAGAATCTTACGCCTGTACCTAAATCTTCCGCGAACACAGTCCAGTGAAAAATAAACTTGATTGTAGCCTGCACATTCTTGAAGCATTAGTTTTCATGAGTGTGACTTCAGTTTTTAATTATCAAAGAGAAAGTACATGTTCCAAAGCCACCTCCTTGTCCTTTCAGACTTCGGGTTCCAAATATTGAATCGAAATTCAAGTCTGTCGGCCTCTTGCTTCTAATTAATTTAAAAACTGTCGCCGTCCGTCATTTGCCGGCATCAATTAGGGTCGTTATATTGTAGAAAACTCGACGGGGAGTTTGGGAGTTTAATCAAGTGATTTACAAGAAGACGGGAGATCGGATATAGTAAAAATGATAATACACATAACGTAAATAAAGACAAACATAAATCAAAAATGAAAAGCCTTATTTAGAGTAAACGACGAACGATGTTTAATCTTCTCAGAAATCAGAAAACAGAAAGGTTCTGTAAAACCATAACATTAAAGCCGAAAGGTTCAATTTGGTGTTCGTTTATCACTGCAATGACACGGTTCGCGGAAAAGATAATAAAGTCCAACCAATAGGCCTGCTTTCTAAAAAAAAACTGTTTAGTGCTTTATCGTGTTTCTGGGATATTTGTTAATTAAAGAATGAATGTTGTATATTATTTGGAGACATGTATGCTGCCTTTGAGATGCGCGCAAAATACTAATTGAAATCGGCTGATGTATCTTCGGGGGAGGGGAGGGGGCCGGGGGGGGGCTCTCGATTGGTCTCCAACTTCCGCCCAATTACAACCACGTAAACCAGCCATGGCCAAGTTGCAACTTCAAAACAAAAACATAAAGCAAATTGCCATATGAAATAACAATTTAAGTGAATTGGATGCACGGAAAAAAGTGAAGGTCATTTTCTTGTAATCCGATTCTTCATCAAAACATAATACCTCGGAGTCTGCAAATGAAAAGTTCCAATCAGTGATCTTTATCAAATGAAGATGTTTTAAAATACTTGGAAATCTATTCCATCTGTGTTAAGTTGAGCGTAACGCGCACGTTACAGTCGTCTCCCCCAACTCTCCCTGTGTAACCGTTGAGGCGTACTTGTGCACGGAGTCTTAATGTTCTATACGGGTAAAGATATCATTCATTATTATCTTTACATGATTAGATTAAAACGTGAGATTGTCACGCAGGTTACTTAATATTCACAGCGTAATGGAAAAAAAACACCTTTGAGGATTGGGGCGACACTTAAATGAAATGTACAGCACGAACAACGTTTCCCTTCAGTAACTCGTAGTCGTAATTAACTTCCACAGCTACGAGGCGCTTGAAATATAACGTCCATATATCTGCATCGTATGACGATGATGAATCGTTTTCAATTAGAATCAGCCACAGAACAAACCTACCATTCTCAATCATGGACTACTCAAAAAGATGTTTCTATTTTCACAATGTACTCACATTTTCTCAATAGGTTATACTTGTAGGTCGATGTTCATATTTATTTTCACTTTACTTCACATTCAACTCCAATACAAACATCGGACGTAATAAAGTTAATAAACGTATTAAAAACGTAATAAACTCCAATACTGAATATATTGCCTTCGATAACATCAAATAATGCATTGTATGTGTATTATTATTATGTTTACAGGCCGATTTAATGCAACAATATTATTAGCAGTGATTTTTCATCTATATGGCCCAAATTGTTATCCAACAAGTTGTTTCCAATTTCATTTCGGTATCAATTATTCAACTCAAAACCTCATTTAGTTTCTCTGACATTTCTCATGTTTAATTATATTCATCAAGTTAATTAAGAGTTGCACATAGAACATGGCTTTTCGCGTCATGTGAACATTTACTTCATTATTTGTCATTTACAATATTATTTTTAATTTTGGCAAAACGTCTTTACACTTATTCCTATCATTAAAGTTATTATTTACACACAGTTGCATAGTATATTTCTCCTTTAACGTCAAATGTTATTGTGCGTCAATCACAAATTTCAGTATTTCAGAAATATGAAACAATCCAAGCTGCTTAACATATTTCAAAACAGGGGAAGGAATTGAAAAAAAAAATCGAATTGGCAAATAAAGCTAAATAGTAGCGCAAACTGAAATCACATCTTTAAAATATTAAAGTAGTACTATTTAGAAAATAAATATTTCTTCTATGTTATATTTTTGTGGTTAGCAAGTTAGCATCAAATTTAAATTACAACTCCCAAATAATGAAATACAAGGATTTTCTTTCAAATATAATCGATATGACCCTCTTTGGTCTTCAAACCTTCAACATTTTTCCAGCATATTGCAAGTATCAACATCAAATATAAAAATTAATTACATATTAAATAAAAAAGTTTGCTTCATCATTAAACAAAAATCGTACTCGATATTTTAGCCATTGACGTTTAGTTATTGAATTACTTTTTCACAAAATTTGAATTACATGTATTAGCTGCCAGACAATAATTCGGCTCTCAGGGCGGGTTCATTTGTGCACAAAATGAAAGCTCTTGTTCAGAAGGTTGCAGATGCCCAGAATCAGAGTACAGCAGTTTATTCGTTAAAACAAAACATACAAATTGAAAAATTCATTAGGCAAAAAAAAAATCCATTTTTCAAGAGCATGGGATATGCATCTTTAACCCCAATAAACCCCCTTGAGTTATTTACCAGGATCCTGTCACTCCAGATTACAAGTGCAGTACTCGCTCCAACAGAATCAAACAAAACATGCAGTTGGATTTTGAAGAGTTGGGGTGGTTAGGGTTAAGGTTAGCACACCTTTTCTGCTGCCTGTTAAGCAGCGCCATGAAATAGGGACCTGGAGTAAATAGCCTTGTTAACAGAATTCTTTGCTTCCTGAGCAAGCCGTCTTAAGATCACAGATGAAGTTGGTTTTACACTGGGCATCACACGGCTGAGTGACGTGACTCTTGTAATAATACCTGGAATAAATAAAAAACAAAGTAAATAATGGGCTCCGTGCACAGGTACCCCATCAACGACCAGAAAAGGAGAATTGGGGTGATCTAGACTGGTTCCCAATCCATCCACTGCGTATTTCGAATGTTTCCAAAGTTATTGGGGGCTGGGATTAGTCTCGGAGACCATCGCAAGTTGAATTAGAACAAATTCGTGTGCCGACGATGCCTGATGCTCACACGAAGACGCGGTGGCTAATAGCTTTTGTAAATTTATGAAGTTGTGCGCACCAAAAAAGTACCCAAGGAGCTCTCAAAAGAGGTACAAACGCGCCCTCTTTTGTTGGCGCATGGAGCCCATATTGCACGGAAAATAAATGGACAGTCGCACTACAGATCCAGGTTTTGTGCTTGGCATCTGTCTGTGAGGTGTGTTTGTTCCAGAGGGCTACATGAATCAAAACTTTGTGTATTCATTGTTACTGAATTAAAATATCAAAAACACCCCAATTGATTGCTGCTGAATGCAGGTATATAATGCCAACAATAACAAACAGAGCAGGAAATATTGAATGATATATCACTGTCACATCATGCTTAACTGACATGGCTTTAAAAAAAAAATGAAAAAAGACTGATGGCTTTAATATCCACTGAAACCTTACTACAGCCACTCCATTGAGCATATCCAAAAAATGAGAGATGCTGATGATGCGCATGCCACATCCAATATATTGCTAGCAATATTCCCCAAACTTCTTTATAACACTCATGGTATTTAACATCCTGATTTAAAAAAAAGTATTTTTTTTTAATTTAAATCAGATTTTTTTTATTTAAAAAGAATTTCACAGCTGAAAATACTTATATAAACAAACAAATATTGCATACTCACTTGTAAAATTGATCAAATAATGTGCTGTTTACGGCTTCAAATTTGCCCACCAGTTCGTTCCAGTCCACAGCTTGCAATGCCTTCATGCCATAGGCGGCCTGTAAAAGGGTGAAATGTAAATTCAAAACATGATGAAGCTAACATTTGTCATTGTTGACTAATATCAGTTGTAAAGAACATTATTAAGGGAATAAATATGTGCTTGGTCAAGGGGCCTGGCCATCAAAAATGGCACATATTTATTCCCAAAATACCTTTTGGTCAAAAAGTCAAAACAGGTCAAAAATGTACAAATTGCCAACGATTTTGTTCAACAATGTACTTCATGTTTTGTGAAACACCCCTCTTGCCATGCTTAAAACCAGCTGGGGTTTCATCACAGTTTAAAACCACCCATGTGACAGGCTCTTGACCATTAGGAATGGGTAAACTGTCTCAGCTATTTATGAATAGAAAATCTAACACATTAATTTTAGTGGTTTCTAGTATTTACTGTATTATGAATGGAATTATTTTTGACGAGTGAATTTATGGTATCTGATTTTGTCACAACCTGACACTTTTGGGTCACTTTAATGAGCATCGGCACTATAACTATAACTATAACTATAACTTACAACATTTATAATGAAGGGGTCCCTGGTTCACACCCTACTCTATCAAATTTTTAAATAAATTTTAAACAAACAGAAGATGTACCTTTGCTGTGTATTCCAGATTCCATTTGGGGTTATCGGTAAGGTTCGCATCAGTAAGATTCATCACGTAGGTTTCATGATCCAATACAGCCTGGCAAGAAAGAAATAATGTGTAAGCTGGAGTTACATCTTGAGATTTAGAATTCTTTGATGACCCTGAAGTGTGCCTTTTTTTCTAGGCCAGAAGAAGAGGCTGAACGTTCTCAAAAGATTAAAAAAATGAATCGGGGATAATCCTCAAAAGTTTTATCATCTGAGCAGACTCCAATTTTTTTTTAGGGAATGTCACAAAATCAACTATGCAGTGCATCGATATATTTTCAAGGATAATGTTACCCCAGAGGTGAATAGAATATCAAAAACAAACCAAAGATCTTCTCCCTTTTGATATTCCTCACAAATTTCTGGACGCGATTTTCTGCCGGGCAATCTTACCCATGAGCTGTTCTTGTAGTTGCCATCCACTTCGTAGGTCCTATAGTTCGGATTGACGTAGGAATAGGTAGTAACACTGCCCCCGTTGTACAGCATGCTGGTCGGACGTTTAGTTTTTGGTTCAAAGAATATCTCAAAGCTGTCCTTATGGGTGTGCCCGAAAAACTGGCCCCGGATGGTGCTTTCATATCTGAAATAAGACAAAGACAGAAATCATTAATGACCACCAATCCTGTTATCTTTCTCTTAAATGTTTGTTTTTGCAAATGAATTTGTGGAAAAATACACAAACTTTTCCAATTTGCTTGGGCCAAGATCAATGACAATAACTTTCTTTTGTTTTTCTTTTTTGTTTTTGCCATGGTTTTGTTATTGTTTTCACAATACTTTTTGGTTCTTCTGAGCGTTAAGTTCTGCTCATTTTTGTTCTCAGACACGATGCAGAAAATGTCAGTTTAAAGTGTGGGAGGAAACCTTGAATTGATACATGTATGTGGGAATCCAAACACTAACAATAACCTACATGTAGTAACAATCTTAACATTAATCTTGGTTGACCTTAACCGACCTGTTAACAATCTTATTGTAGTTCTCGCTCCATTGCTTAAAGCAATCTCCACTCCCAGGAGGAATATGTCCTAAGATGTGCACATGATCATGGTTATCCTCTGCTTTCTGTAAGACACCAATCAGCCACTGTAGCTCCTCAGCGGGGTCATCCTCATTCTCCAACAACCACCTGACAATTAACAACCGAGTCACAGACTTGTCATCAAGTCAACCACAAACCCATCACAAGTCAAATCACAAGTTAATCACAAGTCAAATCACAAGTCAATCACAAGTCAATCACAAGTCAAATCACAAGTCAATCACAAGTCAAATCACAAGTCAATCACAAGTCAATCACAAGTCAACCACAAGTCAATCACAAGTCAATCACAAGTCAATCTCAAGTCATATCACAAGTCAAATCACAAGTCAATCACAAGGCGAATCACGAGTCAATCCTAAATCAAACACAAGTCAATCACAAGTCAATCACAAGTCAAATCACAAGTCAGTCACAAGTCTATTACAAGTTAGATCACAAGTCAATTAACAAGTCAATTAACATTTAAGGAGATAAAAAAGGTAGGGACTAGTTTAGCCAGGTCTGGGATAGACTCCCACACACAACGCCACAACTCACCAGTTTTGATCATTGCACATGTTCATATTCAATGACACCAAAATGAGTCCATTGTACAGTCGTACACTGTAGTAACCTCCCCTAATATACAAAAAAAAAAACACCAAGAAAATCATAATCAAACTACATTGAGACAAAAATAGGAGCGAGCAATGAACACTTTACGTAAAAACATAAAATTCAATTCTGATTTATGTCAATACTCTACAAAGAATTTTCACAATGAATTTTAGAATATTGAGTTGTATTTCTGCACATACTTGATCAAGGTTGATGTTGTATTTTTTGGCAGCCATTTTGCCTCCGTCACCCACGAATCCACCATAGATTGATACAGCCATGTGATGGAATTATGTCCAGTGATAAACGGAGGAGGAAAACTGTCAAGGAAACAAAATAATTCAGAAGATAAACTTTTATTCCAAATATCCCAATTTTATTCTTATTCTTGGGTCCTACAAATCAACCTACCACTTATCACTCCAAAAACTTTCTACAATTGAAAAAAAAATGCTTTGCCTGTCCTAAATTAGAAATGTCTATATTGTCTTCAAATTGTGTGACCCAGACTCCATAGTTTAAAAGAATTGTTTCCAACTTGCATCCTTAATTGGTCATATATAGATCAAGGGCTGTTAGCCATTTTGAAATATGATGAACACTCTGGCAGTGGATTTTGGTATATGCAAAAGAGTTTACAATTTCCAAATAGTGCCCTCCTGATGTGTCTGCCAAACCTCAAAAAGAAATTGTGGGGACCAGTACAGAGGTCAACAACATAACTCCTCACGAGAGTTCACTTGTGACATTTAAATATAGAAACTATCCACCCTCAAACTATGTTATATTTGTAAACTATGGACTGGGCCAAATTTTACGGAAGCCATTTCATAGTAGTCCCTGTGCATATTTCCAAATTGATATGCTTCAAAAACAAGTAAATTCCTTAAAATAAAAATATTTTCAGGCTATATGAGAGCAAGTTTTTTTCTTTACTCTGGAATAATTCACAAAGTTGACTTTGCTAAACTCTGCCATCGTTCCCAAGGTCAACATTTGGCTTTTTGCCTGCTAGAGTAAAATAGAAAATGACCTTTGCCGAGATCTTATCAGAAATGCAAACACAAATTAGCCCCATCTGTTTTCTTATCAAATATTGTTATAATCTCCTGAACTTAAATACCTCTATTGAATCCTGATATACGCAAACACTTGTGAACCCAAACCTTCAATAACCTTTTAAATAACACCTGACAATTCCTGTCCTTTTTTTCTATTCCCCTGATTTCCAATTAAACCATGTTGCCTGCCTTCTTTTAGTTTTACTACTCATGAAAACAGCAATTCACTGACCTTTCAAATAAAGAATGTGTCATTTTAGCCTCTGTATCAGATAAAATTATCAAAATAACTTTGTTATCAGTGAAGATGCAGCGCGTGACTGATATAGGCTCGTAAACAAGTTTGCTTTGTTTATTTACCTATTTACTGGTGAACTCTCATGGTTACCAACTGCTGGATAGACAGGAATACCGGGCAAGTAAGTCTGAAACATTGCCGTTGTTTGGTTGATAATACTGGTTTGATCTTCACGTGTCTGATTCCAAACATCGTGTGCAGGTAAATCTCCAGTAAGGTAGACGAAATCAATCTGTAGAGATTATTTACAATAAAAGTTTCTGGGCAGTTAGGAAATCAGCCATTACCTTCCCAAAATACCCACAAATTTGACACAGTTTTGCAATATAAACTTTTGAGTCAATGTCTGAAACAGAGACTGTACATGTGCTGGGGGGGGGGGGGGGGTCAGTTTAAACATACCCAAAATTAAGAGTCTTAAACTAAATTCCTGGTGTAGTCAATGCTGTTAATCCTCCTTAAGTTTGAACAAAGTCACAAATAATTTGAGAAAATGAATCACTGGCCACAAGATGTACTTAAGTACATCCAAAAACCTTCAGATGGTCCTTTTAAATTGTCTTGGTGTCGACGAGGGTAATCTAATGTTTCATTACCTTGTGTTGTTTGGCGACAGTTTGTAGCAAGTTTTCAAAGACTCTTGTTGGTGTATCACATCCTCTGTAGTCTCCCCATTTACCAGCAGCCGGTTTGCCCTTGGCTTAAACAAAAAATTGGGGAAAAAAGGTAGAAATTTAGCAAAACTTGACAAATCTGGGTCGAAATTGAACCAGTCATGTGCACTTGAGAAACCTAACACCGACACTATTGATCACACTCTAACAGGTCAATTTTGATTTTGTGGACCATTACTGGAGTTAAAGCTATAGTCCATCATTTGTAATTTGTGCATTTTGTTCGTTTGAAGCAACAAAAGAGTTCAAAATCTAATAAAGGATACTAAGCAACTAACCTGATAAAGTTTCAGCTAAGCTTCAGCTGTACATTCCGAGAAAAGCAGCATTCTAAGATCTCAATTTCAAATCAAAAGTTACTGAATCATGTTTTGAATTGCAGCTATACGCGACGTCGCGCACTGATCCGACGAATTATAACAACCGCGCGCGCGTGTGCGTCGTTCCAATACTTGCGCGCGCTGCGCTGAATAACAAAACGAACTACTAATTTAAATTTTCCTACGGTGCTTCTTAAGAATCACCGTTGGAAATGCCTTCTTTCGTTGATTACTTCAAAATGACAGCTTCCCAGAAAGAATAATTTCACAGGGAGTTTAGTTCCCTTACTATCTTTCAACTAAGTATGTTTTTCAACAATAATTACGCCAGTTACTTTTCGGATGGCTGCAAATGATGGACTGTAGCTTTAAATGAAACTGAAATTGAGACCTGTTTCAGAGTGCATCAAGGAAAATGGTCTACAAATATCTTACAAACACCGCCAAATTTCACTTTCATTTCAATCTGCATCGGCACAAATATAAACAAGGAAAACTCGAACCATGAAACTTTGAAGGTCAAATAAAAAGTGGAGGGTAGATTCTGTACCTGGTTTCTTATCATTAGAGCGACAGCAGAGTGGTTCACCGCATTCAACCTCCGCTCCTTCCTGATACATCCTATCCCAATGTAAATCACTCAGGTGTAGAATGGTCAATTTAGGAGAACCTGCCTAAAATGTCAGGATTGAAACAAACAGAACATCTTACCCTGATATTATATCACCATAGATATGATTTGTATGTTAAATACTCAGCAGATTTGAACAGATAAATGTCTCTTGTTTGCATAATTTGTGTATTAAAGTCAATATTTAAATACTTTATGACCTAACCAGAAGTGTGTATGAAACTGATATTGCAGAAACTTATATATTAACCCTAACCCCTCGAGCGATTTACTAGGAACCTTCCTTGCTCTTACAAAATCCAACACACAAACTGTTGAACTCTAATTATGGGGTTATTCCTATAACCCCATGTAAAGCATAATCAGTTTACTAGTGCAGTACTCACTCTAACAGATTCCAACAAAACATGCAGTTGGATTTTGAAGGGTTGGGGGTGGTTTGGACTAACTAGCAGGAGTTGGGTGATATTTTGCAAAGATCTCCAAACAGGAAAAAAAAGGGTGGAATTAAATTTTCAGATGAATTAAAGATAATTGTGTAAATGACATTATCGAGAAGATGAAAGTGATGACGATGGGTGAACTCCTTTTTCCTGCCTCTTCCTACCTTGGGAGGCTTTGGAATAGTCACCGGGGGCTTGGCTACTTTAGGAAATGTAACATTCCAAGGAGTGTTGGGGTTATAGGGCACGTCGCAGGAACTTCCAACTAGCATTCCACAGATCTCATCTGGAGTGGCATAATGACCGGTTAATACTCCAAACAGTTCATCCTGAAAAGAAAACAAAAATATAAATCATTGTGGATATGATGGAGTGCGGTAGCCTCGCAGTCTGCAGCATTGAATTCGTGGTCAGCGGGTAATTCTGCAGGTTGTGGGTTCGAGTCCAGCCTGGGGTTATGGTGCGTGTACCCTTGGGCAAGGCACTTTGTCACTCATTGCTTCTTCCCACCCAGGAGTAAGTGGGTACCTGTGAGGGCAGAGATGGTTATTGTGGTTGATTTTAGCTGCTTTGCGCCGAAATGGCAGCTGAAATTGTCTTTGGAATGTTTCATTGGCCCAGTGAACTGGGTAATAATGATGTAGCACCTAGAGCTTCATAAATACACATTAATATTATTATGATCTGTTGTCCGACTCTTACAATGAGCATTTACATAGAGTAGTTTACAGGGTTGTCTTTGTGTAAGAACTAAAAGTTTTCTTCATTTCCTCTTGATTGTGCGGATTTCCCCAGAATTTTTTTTACAAGATTTTCCTCTGACCCAGTCTGAAAGTGAAACTAAAGTTTCTTTCGCTTTCATTTTGATTTTTCTCTTGATTCAAAGCTTTGAACTGAATAAGAACAGTGCTTAATCACATACTGACCTAATAGTAATACAATAAATAGAATGCAAATGAATTGAGTTGAACAATATTCACAAAATAGAGATGAATTGACTTAAACTTTAAAATTGGCAGACTTATTTGTTTTTTACTCACCTTGAATTCTCTTGCGATGTATTCACAGACTCGTGGCGTTTCAATTTCTCCCACTTTACAAAATTCTACCATGACGTCCAATATGACATCTTCTGTGGTGTTTTTCTCAAGCAGTTGATCAACGATGTCCATAATGGCTTTACAGGCATCACACTCTAGCCCACCCATAAACGGTAACTGAAAGCTTTGGAACCGGTATAAACCAGTTTGATCATGATTGAGCTTGATTGGTCTGGTGGATACCGGCTGACCAACAATCAGGAGTAACAGGATGATGAGGGCAAACTGACGCATGCTCAAAACCTGAAGTAAAAATACATACAAAATATTTTGGAACTCGTGCAAATAAACAGAATAAATATGAAATTGAACAAATGTTTATCATCCAGACTGCTTTCACTTCGATGATATCAAACGAAGGACTAATGTTAACTTAACAATACATACACAAAATGACACATGACAGAAGCTCACCAAAATGTTTAGTGAAGAGTTTAACGAACTATGTATATTCAAAGGTCTGGGAAACAATACAGCAACACAACAGGAAATCCAATTCAAAGTTTAAAAAAAATGTTAAAAAAATACTAGTATTTTGTTTAGCTGTACTTCTGCCAAGTGCCAGGCTACAAACACAATGACCGTTGGCATGGTCAGATGGTTGGCAAAAATACTAGTACTAAAGCAAGGAGCAGTTTCCTTGCAGGTTGCATTAGGCTAGTATAGTGGACTTGTTAATACTTACGTTTTTCTTACTTCCAGAACTGTACGGTGTTTTACAATAGGTCTTTCTGTAACTAGGTAAAAAAAAACTTACACTAGTTACAGTTCTGGTGGAACTGTACGGTTTTTCTACGGTACTCACTGACACTGACACTGCTGACGAGGGTTCCCCTCAGCTCAGCCGTGCGCGTGCAAAATTAAAAATACAGCACTAGGGAGGTCCTATAGACTCAGCACTGGACCGGTGACCGTGGCGCAGTATGTTTTTTGTCAAGTTCACATCACAAATGAACATCGGGAAATCAAAGCAAACCGCGATTAACCAGCGGCACTATTTATTTGTAAACTAAGATCACCTGATACAAGACATGCAAGAGATCACATGACGCGTCACTCTAGCTCTGATGATGGAGAAGATCGACCACATGCACACACGCATTATGTACACATGACATGTGAGTGGGCGGAAATTGGTGTTGCAGTGTATTTTGTTCGCTGAGTAAATTGTCCGACTTAGGCTGGGGGCGGGGCAAAAGCGGATGGGGTGGGTGGGGGTTAGCCTCCATTGGACAACCAATTCCTGATCCTGATCCTGTCAATATAATATGTTCCAAAAAAAATTGTCACGTAAGTTGAAACAATTGAACAATTGAAAATGCATGTGATTCCTCAAACTAAATTTCAATAGACTCCTTGCAAAGAGCGCCCTCTCTGATGAAAGATTTTTAGAATTGAAATCCAGTGACAAGGAAAGCGCAACATGTTTTCTCATGCCGATCTCTGGGGCTGCAGGCCAGTTATAGGCCTGATATTGCTCATGACTGGTTTATGTCCTCAATTTTGATGACAGCATTTTGTGGACCGTGGACTTGATGGTTAGTGTAAATAAGAATTGCAAGTGCAAAACTGAGCTGGCCGGTGTCTTGTACGAAAGTCTTGTATGAAATGATTACTACTCACTTAGTCGTGATTGTCAACTGAAATGAAGGATTTCCGGCCATTTGTTGAACGTCACAATGCAAACTTAGTGACCTATAATGCTACTATGTCCTCCCTCATTGGAGACCCATTAATGTGAAGATTACAATTTGGTAGTTACATTTTTATGGGACAAAAAAAGGGGGTTCATTTTTGGTCAATTTTTCGGGATCCAACCGACCGACCACCTAGTGCCTGTGTTAAAAAGAAGGCCAGAGTAGAAGCCGTTAACGGGACTAGACTGTAAGCTCGTGTTTCAATGAAATTTGATTGAGATTGGGCACAAATTAAAATTGCTCTATTTTGCAATGGAGCGCGCAGGCCTTATTACCAAAATCGCGATGGCCTTCAGGACTGCTTTCAGGGCTAGGGATGATCATCTTTGGATGGAATTTTCTCCCAAAAATTGAACAGAAAATAAAAGATGATGAAAGCGTTTATTTGATGTGTCTCAAACTTTTGGAGAGTTGTGAGTATTTCCCCTGAATTTTTGAAGTGGGCGTAACATTTATCACTGGGACCTATGGCAGTTTATTTACTAGTCTGCAACCCTAGATCTTTGACTGGGAATAAATTATGTCCTCAGTGAGGGAACTAGAGTCGATCGCACGGGCATGCATAATTATTACCGATATTGCAGACCAATAGATGGCGCCCTTTTAATTCAAGAGACCACACGTGACTTAGTCGGTCACGTACATGTTGAGTGGATGATGTTGTACACGTCCGTGCGTGCGCGTGCAGCTGTACAACCATGGAGGATGGTACAACCAGGTATACATTGTACGCTTGAGTGAATTTATGGCATGGCACAGTAATAAACATCATACGATACAAAATATGCTCACACACTATCCCGAGAATCATGGCGCCGGCAATGTCATTCGAGAACTGACAAAAAAACAATACAGCGGAGCCCTTTGGCACCCCCCCCCCCAATATTCCGCCACAGATAAATATGACACACAAAAAAAACCAGACTTTGGCAATCTGCATACGTTTTGAAAAAATATCGATAATACCCGTGAGTCATTCCCAGTTGATATAGCGTGACATCCGATATGTCCTCACAAAAGCGTTTACCCAGAAAGCTGAAAAGAATGGAGCAGCAATGCATGAGTGTCACCAAGTGGAACCTTTGTAACTGTTATAGGCCTATAAGCATCTATTTGAAGGATCATCCAATGACAATGTTCCTCCTCCTCCGTCGTGCACAAAACAGTCACGTGCAGCGCTAGCGTGCGTACTATACGCATACAGTCTACCGTTTACCGATCGATAATTTCGTGGATCAGTCTTATTAATTATGCACGTGTAGTCTGCTTCGAATTCGCAGCTAGAATTAAACACACATTGTAATAAGTTGTACATACACAAACACATTTTTTAGCCGCCTGTGTTGTGTTACGTACGTATTGTGGTGAGAAGTCAGCATCATATTATAGAGAGAAAGATGACGTTTCTGTAAATTTGGTGACCTTTTTGTTTGCACATCAAACAGTGTGGTGACCTTGCGACACCGTTCGCAGCCTCGAGGCCTCCATCCTATAGCCGGCCTCCGCGGCCGAGTCTGTGGACATTTGTATCCAGTCGATTCGCACCGGGCGAGCTATCGTGTGATGTGATCGGTAGGTACGGTCAGTATAGCTCAGTAGCGAGGTCGTATTTAACAACGTCTATAAACAGATCACCAGGCGACAGTTTTACTGTGGACAGAGTGGAGGGAATATTTTCATCATCGGAGACAGATTAACGTCACTGTCAGTGGAGTATTCCCGGAGGAATGAACAAGCACAAACCATGGAGATGTGATTACACGCATTCGTCGTATGGCAACGTAAATTGAAATACACTGCACTGTATGTGTCTCGTTTGAATTGACTCAGATGAAATTGCGGAATTATTTCAGTTTGACCACAATGGATTATTACTTGTACTCCACCATCACTGGCCTTGCCTATTTGTTCTTGTGCGTGGAGATCATCTGCTTGTACATTTTACACTTCATGGCTGTTCTCTACACGTAAGTACAGTCATGTATCGATAATAAATAGTGTAATTCATGATCGCGCACATGCACGCATGCAGCTGCACGTTAGTAACGGTGTCATTTACTTGTTTACAAATTATTCACGAAGGTCAAAGCCACACAATTTAATATTAACACATTATCATTTACAAAACCAAAACACTCCCTTCTACAATTTCACCCATCTTTTGAAAACCCCTACTGCGTGGTCTGAGTTCGAGTAATTAAATATTGGTCTGCCATTTAATTAGATAAAGTAATGACGGAGCGTCGGTATAGGGAATATATTTTTCCTTCATTCGTGATAAAATATTCACACTACCGCAACGCCATCCATCTATGCGTTACTGGACTCCATTTTGTTTCTATGGATCGAAGCCTTAATTTACATAATATTGAATATTATTATTAATGAAACGTAAAACTCTCAACAAATCGTTTTTACCTGTGTATTAAAACCCTGTCAGTCAATAAAACGTGTACATGTACGTTTATTTTTATGACTGTTTATATATAATTATACGTTTTAAGAGTTTTAAACGAAGTATTGTATTTGTTTGCAAACCTTGGAAAGAAAAGCCGTAATAAGCTGGATGATCTAATGACATTTTTGTGTAGTTCTTGATTCTAGAATATATTCTAAAATATACTTTAGGTAACATTTATCATATACGTACATGTACAAAACACTTGATCCTTTAATATGGCTGAAAATATTGACCTTTGGACCCGAAACCAAATATGTATGTGTATGTCGTAACTGATAAGTCTTTTCTAAAGACTAAACTTAGATTACAGAAGGATTCCTTTGATACTAGTGTAAAACACAAACTGTCATTGTTCATATTACATTTTAAGGGCACCCTAACCCTGAAAACCTAATTTTATTTTGTTTACACTGCCGGGTATCAACACTATATATACGACCGTTATACTACACTCTAAAAACACTCCAGTGAAATGACTAGAAATCCGAGTCCGTCAAAGTTGCACCCGGCTGACCCTATATAGCTGTAGGCAGTTGGGTGCAAGATCGACTGTTTCTTGTCAAATCAATTTTAAGGAGTTTTTACAGTGTACATTTCGGAAGGAATGTAGTATCCATGCAGGAGCATGCAGACGCCCAGATTCTTGTCTTTTCAACATTTTTGCATTGACTGACTTTCAGTGAGATGATCATGATCAAAAAAGTGTCGTCAGGATGCAACAATCTTTCCAAAATGCCCAAGGCTAAGGTAGAGTGAAGAAACATAAAATGAATGACTGGATTCATTCTGTCAACTCAAACAGTTTAGCAAAGCCCCAAAGTTGCAGGTCAACATCTACGGATGATCGCATGATGGTTTAAGTTACGAATAGACAACGTATTCGAAGCGTCAGTTGCGTTATCAAAATGTACCATAAACAGAGAAATAAACAGAGAAACCCTCATAACATGATTGAAACAATAAGTTGAAGTTGAACGAATGATGAGAAATTAGTAGTGCAATTCAGAATAACATTAGGTTAAAATCTGAATCGAAATGTACAATATTATATAGTAAGCTATACGTAGAAATCAGGGCGTGGTATGGCATAATCACGCTTTGACTGAGTGGTCTTATTATGAGTGTCCATAGTTATTACGTAAGAGATTTATTGTATCTTTGTTGAACGCACATAGTACTTTGTATGCATGGTTGAGTATACGCTGAACCTATGGCTGAGCACAGTCACGATATAATTTTGTTCATATGCGCTACAGACCGTAGCGAGCATAATTTTATTACGGTAATTGAACATGATGAAATTGACATGTGGCTAACTGCGATCACCAACAAGAACCATATGAAAGAATATTCAGGACATACGTACTGCTTTTCGATGACATGATTTTCAGTTCAGCTTAGTGGACAATTAGCTACCTTTACTCACTGGCTTCAATTTTTTTTTAGCAGTTTATTTCGTAAAAACGTAAATGTTTAGTATATTTAAGTCTTTGATACTTGTCTTGTAATGTTTTTATTTTTTGTCAGGAAGTGGAAAAGTGTAATAAATTAAAAAATAAATAAAATTTAATAAAGTTTAATTTATTCAATATGATTGTAAAATAAGATCATAGGTTTGCATTGTGAAGATAAGATTTTTACGAATTACATGGGCACCATGTGACAAACCTCTTTTGTGAGTTTGTGAGGTTCTAAAACAGTTAAAACCTTTTCTGTTTCCTTGTGGGAAAATTAATTTGTAAGCTAAAGTGAATGTTTAAAATATGGGCCTTATTCTCGAGTTGGCCATTTTTGTCGAGTTCCCTGAATGTATTTCAACGGCATGGGTCCAGGTTCGAATCCCGCTCATCACGTACAATCAATTAAAGTTCCAGGTTTCACAGAACTGTATCCCATTTTTCTGCTTAATTATAGAAAGCTGCATATGCACAGACACCCAACCAACGTGCTCCGTGATGACCTGCCTGGAGTGTCGATCCTCAAACCACTTGTTGGCGTCGATTCAAACCTTCAAGACAACTTGGAAACATTCTTCAAACTGGATTACCCAAGAGTGAGTACTGAAGGTTCATTGGGCTGTTGAAAATGTGGAATATTTATTAGAATATGAATGGATAATAATTACCGAACCCGAATAATAAAATCATTGTGTCTTTGTAAGATAAAGATTTACGGTACATTGTACATAGCAAATTTACGGTACATGTGACAAATCTCGACCGACGGGCAGTGTCGACTCGACGGGCAGTGTCGACTCGACGGGCAGTGTCGACTCGACAGGCAGAGCACGGTCTGAAACGTGGAGTATCACTCAGTCCTTTTCTGAATATCACAAACTCACAAAAGAGATTGTGCTACCGCAAATCGAAGTCTTAAAGCTATCTTCACCATGCAAACTTTCAAATCGTAACACAGTGTCTTTTGGGGCAAAAATATGCGCGCGTCAAACACAAGCCTTGCGTTTTATGAGTTTTCTAAACCTCACATTAACGGTAAATGATATTTGAAAATAGTTACTGATCGCCCTGGTGTAAATGTCCCCCCCCCCCCCCAAAGAAAAAACCAAACCACCCAACAATTGTGGTTATTTTCTTTGAAAGGAAATGATTTATTGACGCGCCTACTACGCGTATTGCACATGCACATCGCACACTCTGTTGAAATCTCCAGTCTCATCATAATGTATTTTTTTTTAATTTTCTATCATAGTTCGAACTGCTGTTTTGTGTACAAGAAGAAAATGACCCGGCACGCAAAGTGGTCGAGTCGCTAATGGAAAGATATCCACACATTGATGCAAGACTTTTTGTCGGTAAGTTTTCTGGAAAAAAATCAGTGAATCTTTCTCTTTCCTAATTTTCAATTAAAGCATCGGATCAGAAGATTAGTCGTAATAAAAAAAAGAAACGGAAAATTGTAAGTAACAATATTAATAAACACGCTTACATTATGAAAGTTTTTATCACAATTTGTATTCATTTCTGCTTTATTGATATTTTTTCTCGCTTTTTTAATGTATGAATTCATATCAGTGTGTTTTTAATGTAAACAGTATTGCGATTCTGCTGCTGGCGGCAAAGAGTATACAAAAGCACAATACCGTTCATAATAAAATAATAATAAAAACTTCAAAAGGTTGTTGGTAATCGTAAAGACTTAAATTATTATTTGTTTTCGTTCACAGGTGGCTGTAAAGTAGGAAATAATCCCAAACTCAACAACCTGATGCCGGCATACTCTGCGTCGCAGTACGATCTCATTATGATTAGTGATAGCGGTATTAAAATGGGTAAGTACACTGACAAAAGTTTACCATTAAAGTTCCTAACACAATCATTTCAAATAATAACACCCATCACTAAAGACTTTCATCAATATTTCCGGTTGTTTATAATATAAAATGTATTACATTTGTTTGTGAATCGTCGCAGTTTTGTGTAAGGGAACCGTTTCCTTCCAAAGCTAAATTTGTTATTTTCAATTTCATGGACGACAAGTTTTACTCTAACAGCCGTAGAGGAGATATTACTCAATATAACAAACTCGTTTATTTCTGAAAAGGAAAACCGTTGTGAAATAAGTTGAATGGTTTCCTATCATGAGTTCTTCTCCTCGTTTGGACAGTTTACACGGACACATTAACGGAGATGGTTTGTAAAATGACGCCTGATGTTGGGTTAATTCACGCTCTTCCATATTGCTGCAACAGAAAAGGGTTCGGTGCAACGCTAGAAAAGGTGAGAGCACCACCGTACCTTTTCTTTTTTCGTTTGGAGATTAAAACTAGCTGTTTAAACAGCCTTCGTTTTGTGTCTAATACCACACGTTCGAATACAAATTACATATACCGTCTTTGTAAATGATCATGTATCATTCCAACTGTTTCGCTGGAATTTGTGTCTTTGCAGGAATCCAGAAGTGTAGCAATAATATCATTTGGCAAAATATATTTATAGTTCGATTGTAGTTGAATATCGCCGCAAGTAATGGAATGTTTTAATTAGTGATTTTAATTCCGCCTGGAATGGCATGTGCATTCGAGGGTTCATTTCCCGCCAGATTACCTTCAATTACGTTTCAAAAAAGACAGAAAAACCTGTCTTGCCAGTTGCCAACCAATGTTCGTGTCATATCTTTCCTTTTGTTTGTCAACAGGCGTATTTCGGTGGTGCCCATGGCCGTTTATATATGTGTATTAACATGCTTGGTTTCACCTGCGTAACGGGAATGTCCAATCTGATAAGACGAAGTGTCATCGGTGTTGCTGGAGGATTCGAAGAATTGGCCAAGTACATATCTGAGGATTGTTACATGGGACTTGCTACAGTCAAAAGGTACGAAATACTTCTACACTAACAAAAACGAAAAAATAATTCAAATTAGAAAAGAAAACTAAATTTAGCAGCGTGTAAAAGTACTTATATTGCGCAATCTCAATGTACATATAGCTTTAAACGTTATAAATGCTTTGCTTTATTTTTTGAACCGTTTCGTTTTGCTATTGGCGAATTGATTTTGTCCTTTATTTCCCATTCTTTCAAATGATATTCATGAGACAATTTCTACAATTCAAACGTGAAACGACCGTATATTTCCGTTTACAAATATGCACATGAAATGAGCACGCTGTTCATTTTCCAGTCGGTTATTTTCACAGCGACATATTTTCATGAGACAATTTCTACAATTCAAACGTGAAACGACCGTATATTTCCGTTTACAAATATGCACATGAAATGAGCACGCTGTTCATTTTCCAGTCGGTTATTTTCACAGCGGTCTAAAGATCAGACTAAGCAGCCTTCCAGCGATGCAGAATCCAGGCAACTATTCAGCCAAGTCCTTCGGCAAAAGAATGGTCAGGTAAGCGTGATTAACAAGTTCATTAATTAACCTGTTCAAGGTAATTGTCACCGTCACCAAATTAAAGATAATTAAGAGAGCCACGCGATCATGTATTTGTGTTGTATTTTTTGCAACATATTAATTTTGAGTAAATACATGTATTGAAGACCTGTCCTTGGTAGTCATTAAAGCTATTTTGAGCTTTTGAAACCTCTGATCCTTCAGATCCGTTACCTAGGAAACGACTTAAATTCGGATCTGGAATGGTTTTCATGCATCATCCACAGAACTCACAGAATAAAAATCATTATTTTGAGAGGATTATTTTTATCCCAACAAATACACATGAATTGGAAACTTTTTTCATTCAAATAATTGAAAACCTGATTTTTTATTTCTTAGATGGACCACAGTGCGAAGCTCCTCTGTACCTTCCACGATATTACTAGAACCGTTTTCAGAGATGTTAGTGTGTGGTCTCTGCTGCACATGGGCCGTCTATTACCTGTTCGATTGGGACCCCATACTATTCTTCATGCTACATCTTCTGCAATGGTTCGTGTTGGATTATATACAGTTATATGCTCTACAGGTGAGGGACCATCAAATCTTAACAATTCAAAAAAGGCAAAAATATATCAATATATGTCGACCGCTAATTTTATTACTCGTAAAGTCAAGTTGTAAAAATCCCGATTGTTCATGGAATGGATTAAATAGTTGAATTTGTTAATTGCAAAACGTTTAGTAAACAGTACAACGTTTCATTACTTGTGAAACGTTTTATTAAATGTAAAAGTTGCATTAACGGGAGACGCTAGGTCGTGAACATTTGATACTTTTGGTAATACCAGACGATATTGATAATCTGTAGAGTTCATGGATTCAGTATTTGAATTTATCAACTGTAAACGTTTCATCAACTGCAAAACGTTTTATTAACGGTCGACGATAGGAACGTGAACATTTGATACTGTTTGTAATCCCAGACGATCTTGATATTTTTTATAGATTTACAGAATCGTTTTTTAAGATGTCTCATGTGCTTGTTTCTTTGCAGAGGGAGCCCTTAAACTTCTCCAAGTTCGACTATGCCGTTGCCTGGGCCTATCGGGAGTGCACGACATTGTGGCACTTTCTTAAAGGCTGCGTGAGGAACAAAGTCACGTGGCGGACGGGCACCTTCAAAGTCAAATGGGGTGGCTTCCTAGAGGAGGTCTATTAGACGAGGCTGAAACTAGACCAGTGCTGTAAAGGTTTAAAGATAAAAGAAGCCTGAGTTATGCAGATCATATATTCATAAAAAAATAACAACAAACAAATTACAACAACATATGGCCAGTTCCCAATGTCAACTTCTCCACAGACGACAGTACTGGGTTCGAATCCCCTCAAAGTTGCTCACAGTTTCCCACGGGCACGAATAAATCCAGAATGCTATTCAAAAACCTAAAGACATTTCTATAAAATCTACATGATCAGAATGTTGAATTTCCAATGAAAAACATTGCCTTGTTATTGAACTACCTCAACAAATTACTATTTTCAAATATTAATTGAAGAGAAACATAAAATCCCACATTCCATGAATATTGTAAATCAGGAAAAGACACTTTCTACGGTCATGCAGACGATGTACTATTTTTTCATGTGTTTTATTTGTTAGACCACAAATCAATATTTAATTTCCATAATGTATTCATCTTTGCCACTGAACTACGATCTGGATGATCAGTTTTTACAAAATAATTTAAGACCATTTGTATTGCCATTCCATATTTATTTCGTCCAGAGAACGGACAGCAAACTAAAATGATTTATACACTTATATACTAATGACTTGTAAACATTATAACATTAATAGCCCCATACATTGTACATGTACATGTATATAGTTTGTATACGATTCCTTTTTTGGGTGGCAAAAAAGGGTCCACATGTAATTTAGTCTCGATTCTCAACGTGGTGCTATATAATCTCATGTTCCGATATATTTAATCAGTACCCAGACAGCATCTAAAAATAGAACCAAAAGCTGACATAAAAAGCATTCAGCCATTACGCGATTAATCTTGGAACACGGTTGGAAAATTGTGTTTTCTTAATGAGTCACGTGCATTACTGTATTGACTTCCAGGCCTGACGTCAATAGGCTTACTGAATAACCAATGCAAGATATCGAATTTCAAATTGGATATTTTAAAAACAATTTAAGACAATTCGACCGGAGTCTTTTTTTTATTATTTATATCAGTTAAATTATCTTCTGGTGATATGACGCCAAGCAAAAAACATACTTGTTTCGGATTGGTCGAACCACCAAAAATGTACCGGGTCGAAGCCCCAAAACTAAAATTAAGGTAGTATTTCATTGATTTTGACTTCAGCTGAATTATTTTAAATTTAATTTATTTTTTTCGATAGTCATATTGGACCTCTGGTGGACCAAGGTGTAATAGATGAAGCCCGGATGATATACAGGTTATAATTTGTAACCTGCCCCAAAATTGGGCGCGAAATTTCCGAGTGTGTGATTTGACATTGGCATTGTTAGTAATTGTTCCTGAAAATGTTTGCATTAGAATGCATAACATTAGTCTGAACTTTGTAATATGTGTGTGAGTGTAAAAAAAAAAATGAAAAGGGTAAATTCTATCGTAGTTTATAGAACCATGTTGAGAAGTATTTTGGGGCATTTTATGAATTTATGCCATCATCTATAAATCAATTTTGATAATTCCTTTGATGATTTGTGTTATTTTATCAACATTGCAATAGTTTGTGGAGGAGTTGTGCTATGTTTTTTTTAATTAATGAAGAGGAATTTATGATGAATTGATTTTTTACTTTTAAAAAAATGGTGTTAAATGTAGCTTCAATGATTTTGATGTAATCGATTCATGATAAAAAACATATAATTTTGATTCATGCAACTAATTATCAGGTGACTTTAAATTTTCAGAATGCAATAAAATAGTTTATTATGATGATTGTTATTATGCTGCTTTGGTTTAGTTTCGTTATGGTGTTTGCGTTTGTTTAGAAGAAAAAAATGGGGGCGGGGAGTTAGGCCCCACCCACTACCAACAGGGGATGCAGACACCAATCCACGTAAATTTCAACTTCTGTTGCAGAGACAAATCAAAAATAAATGATATTAATGCAAACGTCTGTATTTTCTCTGGGTACATGTTTGGGAGTCGATATACTTTTGAACACCATGCTCGTGATTTTTGTATAGCGCCCTCAATAGTTTCATCAAAATATAAAGCGTGGTTTTGGGATCGAAGGCGGATTTGTCTCCGTTAAGTGGTGTTTTTTTTTTACATAAAACTTGAATGAAATAATTATGATAGAACCGAAAAGGAAAGCAGAGGAGCAGGCTCTGGTCCATGTGAAGCGACCCAGGAATGAGTTAGTCGCGGCTTCTATGGGTGGAAGCATCGTTTCGGCGGTAAGCCATTAAGCCAAACTTCGAGCGCTCATTACTTTGTGCATAATGATTTGCCCCGTATCCGGACAATAGATGGACATTAATTTTGCGGGGGGGGGGGGGGGGTTGAATTAAGGGAAGGGCGAATAACAGCATGTGATTTTCTCAACTCATTGAAGCTTTGGAGTCCCCTCCTCAGGCTCCTGAGAAATATGGCGACATTTTGGGTTTTTTTTTTTGGTGGGGGGGGGGGGGGGGAGGAGGCGCAGATTTGTGGCAATTGAAATGTTTTCTTTCTTTTTTTATTTCCATTGAAATAACTAACTTTTTGTTAGTATTATTAAATTGTCATTGTCAGACTCGGATCATGGTTTGTAGCATTCCCTTGCATCTAATGTGAAAGAATGTCCTAACCCTTTGTTTATCATATGTTTATGTGATGATTTTTTTGTTCATAATAACACTTGCATGACTTCTCATGTTTGGTCGCTTGTTTTTATGACAAACGCAGGGTCCTCCAAGAACATCCAATCTTCTGGCTCCCATCATGCTCCTGACTGGTCACGGAGCAGAAATCTTCTCAGCTAAGTTCCACCCTGATGGCAACACACTAGCCTCTGGGTCATTCGACAGAAATATCTGTAAGTTTGTCTTTGTTTTCTTGTTGCGGTACAACTTCAAATTACTGAATAATTCATGAGACTTTTTTCTTTGAGGAAGAACATATTTGCATATATTGTCATTTAACTTAACACCATACTCTTTTGTTTTAAAACTACACAGTTTAAAAAAAATGCAAACTTGATATAATACTGATAAGTTGAAGATTTGCAATATATGGTTAATGCTCGGCATTAAATGATTACATTTTTTATCACTGCTGCAGTTTTGTGGAGTGTCTATGGTGAATGTGACAATTATGCAGTACTTCGTGGACATCAGGGTGCAATCATGGAATTACAGTACACAACCGATGGGTAAGATTAAAATAATCAACCTACACATGGATCTCTGTCAATCTATTTGCTTACGTTTCCTAATAAGCCTTTTACCGATGCAAGCTGTAATTGAACTGTCTTTCTTATTTGTTGTCATCTTCCTGCTTTCTCCTTTTAGTGATTCAGCTAAACTTTCAATCTACACTAAATGCTGTGCAGATCCCTTTTCACGTTCTTCTCGTCATGTGACTTTTTTTCCTCAGCCAACTGGTATCCTGCAGTACTGATAAACTTGTATGTCTATGGGACACGGAGACTGGTGCCCGAATCAAGAAGATGCGAGGTCACACAGCCTTCGTCAACTCTGTATTTCCAGCCAGACGAGGGCCTTCTTTGATCGTTAGTGGCGGAGATGACGGAACCATAAAGGTAGCTCAAATTCCTTTGTTTATTATTATTTTTCATAAAATATAGGGACCAGGTTTTTTTTACCCCTCAGCCACTCAGGGGTAATATTTGTGACTTATCCCTCTGAGCTTGGTTCAAGCCAACTGTTTTGGTTTCTGGCTGGGTCTTTTGAGTAACATTTCTGTCTGTAACTGAGGCAAATCGTTGCCCTTGTTGCACAAATGCATTTATTTTGTGGCAATTCAAGCGTTATGTAATTTCAGTCCTGAAAATGTATTTCTTCAAATCTTATACATCCTAGTAAAGGAGTTTTGGATCTTTTCTCTGAATCACTAGTAAGATATCATGGTTAATTGGTTCTGTCACGGACATTACACTTCTTGCCAAAATATGGAATTGCCCATATACAACAGCTTGAATACATGGCACTTTTGTTTATATCTTCTCAGCTTTGGGACAGTCGCAAGCGAGGTGTTGTCCAGACATTTCAGAACACTTACCAGGTCTTAGCAGTCAGCTTTAATGACACCAGTGATCAAATCGTCTCAGCTGGAATCGATAATGACATCAAGGTATGTTTATGTTGCCTATTGATAATTGAGAAAATTGATGTAACAGGTGGAACAAAGTTTGCTTGTAGTAACTAAATCTACCTATTACATAATTTGAATAAAAGCCATGTTCTTTCTGAGTGATCCCTGTTTGCTATTTCCCAGGTTTGCAGCATTGCTAATGTTAATGTTGCAAGCATCGTGACTTTTGACGTGATCCCTGGCTACATGACATGTATGCATTAGTGGCTTTTGGCTAGCACCCCTTAAACAAAGGCATGGACCACAATAGGGAACAGCCAACATAGGCCTGGATAGCTCAGTTGGTGGAGCTCTGGAACAGCGATCTGGAGGTTGCAGGTTTAAGTCCCGCTCCAATCAATTCTTCTTTTTTTTTCAACTTAAAAAAATCCATGTTTTGGTACTTCAGCACAAAGTTGAGTGACACTAAGTCATGCTTTTATGCCAAATTGAAGACTTGTTGCAATTTCTTGTATCAGGTTTGGGACCTCCGGAAAAACGGTTTGCTCTACAAGATGCCAGGCCATACAGACTCGGTAACTGGTCTATCGCTTAGCGGAGATGGCTCCTATCTACTCTCAAACTCTATGGACAACACATGTGAGTAAAAAAGCATAATCTTGAACAGTTCTGGTTCTGATGGTTACTATGCAAACACCTCCTAAGTGGTTATCTCGCACAGGTTGATGACAACCTTAGCAAGTGCCTCCTTGGAGAGTCGACTGATAGAATTCTCACAGGTGAGCCGCAGAATATGAACCAAAGGAAATTTGAAGTATAGTCTCCTCAGGCCCAGGTTCTAGATTTCAGTCCAGTTATTTTGTAAGTTTGACAATTTATGTGTAATTATCAGGTAAATTGTTGCGGTAGCACCATGTGGCAAAATCTCTTTTGTGAGTATGTGTGGTTCTGAAAAAAGTTCTGTAATACTTGTTTTGACAGTACGCATCTGGGACATCAGACCGTTTGCACCTCAAGAGAGATGCGTAAAGCTGTTCCAAGGAGCACAACACAACTTTGAGCAGGTAAAGTCAATCGACCCATTCGTGGTTACGGGTGCCATCTTGGCCAGGGGGCACAATCGACAAGCAGCGCAGCACTAGCGAGCAGTCACAACAAAGGAGCATCAGGTCAATTGGATGTGTGCCGTGCATTGCGCTCGCTGGTGCTGCGCTTAAGTTTTTCCCCTGACCATGATGGCGCCGATAACCATGAACTGGTGTATTATATGTAGTTTTCTGTTAAATACTTCAACACCTTTTTCCACCTTGTGCACTCGTTGATTCCTCTCATGGGGGGCAAAGCAATAAGTATGTGAAAACTCTCCCTCTTCAATGTCTCGAAGTCGCATACAAAATGGAGTACAAATGAATGATTAACCCCAAACAGCGCCCTCTGTTGTAACAGCACAAAGCCAATAGAGTCTGATGAAATTATCATCTTTTTCCTTCCAGAACTTGTTGAGATGTGCTTGGTCTCCGGACGGGAGCAAAATAGCCGCAGGATCAGCTGATCGATTCGTTTATGTGTGGGACACAACGTCAAGACGTATCTTGTATAAACTACCTGGCCATGCAGGCTCTGTCAATGATGTAGCATTCCATCCTCGTGAACCAATCGGTAAGAGTCTTTCCTTGTCTCCTCTGTGCTCACTGTGAAATGAATTTATTGTTAGATGATGGTTCATTTCATTTAAATGTGTCCCTTCATTATTAGAGCAACCTTTTTTCTGATCAAAAGGGAAAGGGAATTTGTTACTTGTTCAGTTTAAGTGGTGGTGCCCCAAAATTGAAATCATTTTGTATTTTTGAGGCGTCCTGGCAAAACGAGACAGAAATGGACAGAGATGAAAATGAGGGTTTTCCAATGTTAAAAAAGAGAATACAATTCTACTTACAAGATAATATTTGTTGCACTTCAATTGGAAATTTCGTTTTCAAGTTATGGCTGTTTAAAGTTCACAATTATCAACAGAAAAAGTCCTCTAATGTTTCGCGTTCTGTTGTCTTGAAAATGAAAGATTCAAATAGTTTTGCCTTAAAAACACTTTTATTCCACGATTTTTATACTATTTCTTTAAAATGTGTGTAGTGTGGTTTTCTTTGCATTTTTCTTCACTAAGGCCTATGCCCCGTTCCGTCTCATTTTATGAGAACACCTTACATTTGTGTTCAACTTTATATAAAACTCTTCTTTCTTTGTTTTCTACACACAGTTCTCTCCTGTTCAAGTGACAAGCAAATCTATCTGGGAGAGATCATGTGAATATAACATCAACCAATCACATTGGCTGAAGATCATCATGTGACACGCTTCAACAAATGGACTTGGACTAGAGAGATCATGTGATGAACCTTTCAACCAATCACAATAGTTGATTATTAAGAGATGTTCTCTCACTTGGGTTTATTATTATCAAAGACATCTGTCAGTTGATTTGATTGGAGAGTGCTAACCTACCGTCAACTTTCTGGGTGTGAAGTTCTGACCATCCAAATCATCGACCTATAATACCACAAAGGTCATGACCTCAATCGACCTGGTGTTGACCTTGCTGTTCCTCGAGATGTTTCCGGAGACATTTGGATTTTCTCAGGTCAATGCTTTGTTGGAAACTAGATGTTGCTCTTCGAAGAATGAAACGGAAAGGCCTGCTTTTGATGTGACAGACTGACTGGAGGCCAAGTCTGTCAGACATTTTTTTTGTAGATTTGTCTTCTGTGCTTATTTTAATTGTAGAAATGTCATTAAAGACTTTTGTCATTTGTGAATCTTGATTAAAGACTTTCTGTTATGATACACTTTCACTTATGGCTTGTAGATACAAATTGGGATGGAATTTGGAAATCCTTCACCATTTTATTTGGGATTCTTCTTGTGTGTGTTGGCAAAGAGAATTGGCTGGCCTTGGGTTGTCGGAGATTGTATCTGATAGTGATAGTTGACCAATAGATCGGCATCAATTGAAAACCTCTGATACATCTGATACATTCTTGTACTATCAATTAAAAAGTTCTGTAAATAGAAATCGGAGTCATATTGTTTGGAACAATTGCTTGTCAGCTATTTTGAGTTCTGGCCATATTGTAGTATGGGTCTACTTACAAAATGTCACCTTTTGGGTAGTTGTGAAATAAAGTTTGTACAAAAATATTGAATCTGTTTTCTTTTTTTGTGTCTCAATTTGATTGTAAGTTTAGATCATTGATGGTGCTTAGCTATGAAAGCAATCAATTTCATTTCATTCCATTACTCCGGGGTCCTCATTGCTGAGAAGTACAAAAAACAAACAATACATGTTGATTATAGGTCAATGGCAGTGGAAGACTAGAAACAAAATGGAGGGGGGGGGTCAATTCTGAAAATACTGACTTGAGTCTCTTCTTTTCCAGTTTTTGTTTACCTAAAATTTCCCTTTCGTCTTTGGAAGACAATTGGGGGGGGGGGGGGGGGGGGGTCATGCCCCCATTGTAGTTCCGTTTTTTATATGGATACAGTGTTTTTGTTTTTATTTGTTTCTGATTGGGAAAAGGGCTTTCAGCTTCAGGAATTCATGAAGCTATAATTTTGAAAAGCAAGAAATAGATGATTTATTTTCTTAAAAATAATTTCATGTAAGTCTAGAGGGCGCTGTTCAAGACCAATAATTGAGGGCGCTCTTTTTAAACGTTCAGAAATTGTCTTCTGCAAGTTGCATGCCAGCGTGCCAGGCCATTTGGGACTTTTCCTGCTTTAGAATTGTACATATTGTGCAGTATTTTGTTGTCATATTTTCACAAGAAGTTCGCCTCTATGGCAAAATGGATGCTTACAGGAATCTATTGTGTCCTATTTGTTGCCACGAATATTACAAACAAGGTAAGTTCCAGTTGTTTCAGAGCAAGATTCTTCAGGTCAGATTCTTTCATTCAGCATTGAATCATCATGATCATGTCATGTTATTTCAATCGAAGTGGCTATCGTTACGGCAGCCGTTTTTTAGCGCCCTCTACGATACTTTTTTGATACGCACGCAGGTATATAATTATTTGTTTCCCCCACGTTTTAGCGTGCAGTGCGACAGTCGATAGAGTGTAGGATTTTGCACCGCGAGGTTGCGGGTTCGCATCTCAGTTTTGCACTCAAATTTTTTTCCTTTTCTAAACTGAGGCTTTGGAGGATTTTTTTTAAAAGGGAAATAAAGTCTGAATTTCATAACGTTCAAATTCACTTTTTTTCCTTCTAATTTTATATTTTCTTCTCATGTTTTTATAAAAGTTGCAGACTTGCAGTACTACCGTAACGATCAGACGATAGAAAATGGGAAATGCGTTACGGCTGCCGTATTAAACGATAGCCACTGCGTATTTCAATTTATTTTGTCATGTTTGTGTGTGTGACTCTTGAGTTTTTTTTAACATAGCCTAGGTAGCCTACTAATTAGCCCCATAAATGAGGCCAATTTACTGGACTACCTCCGCAAATAAAGGCCACACTTGCATGGGCGTCGCCAGGATTTTTTCTAGAGGGGGGCCAAAAAAAATTTTGCCCAAAAATGCCTGTATTTCTCAACACATTCTCGATTTATCAGTTTTAGAGGGGGCAGGGACATTTTGCCCCCCCCCCCCAACCCATCAAATGTACACCACTATGTCTTCGTGCCTCATTTTCTTTTCTTTTTTCTTTTTTTTTTTTCTTCCTTTTTTTTTTTTTTTTTTTTGCTTTTCCAGGGGGGGGGGGGGGGAGGGGGCAAGTGCCCCCCCCCCCCTCGCAATGCCCATGCACACTTGGGTCATGTACCGGAACATGTACTATGTAGAACTTTGTCAAGTTTTTATTTTCACATTCATGATCAGTATCACTGAATGAAATTATTCTAGCCATTGCACGAATACAACACCTGAACTGCATAAATCCTCATCATCTGATTGGTCAGAACCACCAATCACGTGACTGTGTAAATGTGTAATGGATTTTCTATTTATGGTGGAATCATGGGAATTGAACATTGTACAACTTGTATTTTTGTGGTGCGGCCGGGCTGTGAGTTTGGCTGAATAATTCAAGACATGTAATTGTTGGCCTGGCCTGTTTTTGTTTTGTAGATGTGGCTCAATGATCACTGATCCTTAAAAGCAGATTGCAATTTATTCCTGCTACTGTATCAGTGACAAATGAACCCTTTGTTTTTGTTTTCTGCAGTATGTCTTATCTGTGCTTCACTTCACATACCCGACATTATTCCAAGAATGGCAGACATTAGTTGGCGTCATTGTTCTATTTGGGGCTGCCAATCGAGGCTATATCAAACTGACTTATGACAGGTAACAGTTTTATTAATGGTGCTTATCCACAATTTTAAGAAACTTCAGGACAACTTTGAGTGCTTTTGCCTTTATTACAAGCAGAAAATGCAAACAGGATCCATCAGTTCCTAAACTATTAGAAAAGAAACCACGGATGAGTAAATAACTATTAAAGTTTAGTTACTCATGATTTTAATCGCTAAGTATTTTGCAGATTATTTACATATACAGTGTTCTCCAACCTGTGAAAATAACATGGTGCCCCGTCATGCTTTCTGAGGCACCCGCCAAGCTTTGAAAGTTGCGGCCATGTTTAAAAAGTTCCCCCCATGCTTTAAAAAAAAATGAAAAAAATAATAAAAAAGACAACAAGTGGGACCCTCCAGGGTATATTTTGGTCAGAAAATCTGCCAAAAGCTGTAACATGCAACTCTTATCAAACTGACAAGCCTACCCACTGTAGCAATCCATCAGATCAAAAGTCTCAAGGCCAAACAGCCTCAGAGTCCCTGGTCACTGTTGTATTAAAAAGAGCTGATGCTGAGCCAGTATTGTTCTTAACTGTTAATACTGTGTTAGGAATGGACTAAAATGCTGTTATCCATGCATAAATTACATGTTCATCTGCATATAGCGCCCACCCCCTCCGCTTTTTGACAGCGCACCGACCTTTAATTTTCGAAGTCGGAGAACACTGCATATTATTCATTTTCACCCAAGAACTCCATCATTACAGTACAATTTTATTGTCAGAGTTAAGCTTGACCTCTTTTGCTCATTTTGATTGATTTTTGTTTTTCATATTTTCTACAAGGTCAGCTCTGTTGCCATGGTTACCTGCAATGATGTTCTTTGTGCTGAGTATCTACGCAGGATCCAAAGCTCTGTCAAAACTTGTAAGTCAAAAATACCAAATGAAGCCTTGACATACTAACATATGGAACATTTTGCCCTTAATTGACCTAACATTGAAGTACAAGCACCATAATTGTTTTGCAACAAATAATTCTACAAAAATCCATTAAATGTAAGTTACACTAAGTTGTTCATCGTCCATAGTTTGAGGAGATTTCATACTAGGGAGTGAGTGAGGAGGGATGTTGCCCAGTTTTTTGATGATTTGATAAAAAATGCAGTGATATGAAGTGTATTGGTTTTTATTTGTTTCCACTTTTATTTTCATTTGTCGCAATAGGTTGTTCCAGCATTTGTCATCCTTCAAAATATCGTAGAATTTCCTGCTTACATCATTGGAATATTTCTTAACAACCAACCGACCAGTTTGCCCAACAAAGTCAGGTATGTGCTGACATTTCACATCATCGCTTAAAATTGAATCCTAACGCTGCTCAATGCAATAAGACCAAAAATTTAATAAACTTAGAATGGGTGTAGTTTAGCAGTTCTTTCTGTAACTTAGATTCCATTATTGCAAGTATGATAACAGGCCTTTTATTGAAAACTTTAAACATATTAAACCTATATTTCAACTTGCGAGCCTTTCTGATTTTGAAAGTAGCCTATAATATAAACACCTGTATTATCTATTCTGCCATACATTTTTTTAAAATTCAAAAGAAATTTTAAAAAATCAGTTTGACCCACTATAGTTATATGCCAATATAACATTGTCAGTAAACTTCTCTAAATTTCGTTTACAAGTGTTTTAGAATTGGGTCATTTACATGAAATTTCTTTGAGGTACATTCATTTAGTGGTGAAAACTTGAGGAAAGCAATTCACTGTTTTTCTGCTACGTCACGCTGAAAATTGCACCCTAAAAACCTATAATCTCCTATATTATGGTACTAGATAACCTTTGACCCTATATTTTGATTTTCGAAACCTTTTAAGGCAACCTATATTGATGAAGAGGCTAAGGGCACTGTGAAACCTATGATAACTAATTTTCAATTTTTATTCACTCTTTGTATTCAGTTTGGTTGCTGGGGTGATTGCGGCGTTACTTACATGGATAACAGATCCACAGGTCAGTTACTACATGTAGTTGCATTTAATTCAGTTTTGAATATTTGTAATATTTCCTTTTATTATGTTGACTGTTTAAAAAAGGGCCCTGTAAATGCGTCGTTTTTACAGATTTACCAGGAAGTAAATACAATTTTGTACATTGTTAATCCCGCACTCTAAATCTACCAAAATACAGCGCCCGATTCTTAGGGTTATTCATTGAACCAAGAAATAAACCAACTGAGGTAGTTGACAAGTAAGGGGAGAATGCAAAATTAACAAAGAGGTTTAACAAGGTCTTACCAGTTTGTTTTATAGGATACCTTAAGGGTTAAACCCCAAGTTACTATTTGTTTCATTTTGCAATCTCCCTTCAATAAATGAGTGAATAAATACAAAATGAACAATCCACCCACAGTCTGGTTAATATTACTTTCAGTTCTCGTGGCAATTTATACAATTGTTTTTAAGTTAATCTTTCATCTTGTGAATAGTTTCATTGTGGTACCCACTGCTACATCAGATTCAAACCAGCCAACCGATCCCACAAACTTGGCACTAGAAAGCAGGAGATCGTGGGTTCGAGTGCTACCTGATTGTTATTTTTCTAACTTTCACTTGAGGGTGGGGGGGGGGGGGGGGTGGGTCACACTGAGTATACAATGTTTTGCGTCATTGAAGGGCAATACCTAATACTGAAGTTAATCCCATGTTGACTTGTTTTGTTTAATTTTGTAGAGAGACGAGAAGGACAGTGTGGACGGATATTTCTGGATGTTAATTTACATCCTCTCAGCCAGTTCCTTTGCCTCATACTCCTCAGTCAGAGGATCGGCAGTTAACCTCAGGTAATTTGATTTATTTTGTGTTTTATTTCTTTCTGCTCATGAAAACAAGGATTCCGCAAAAGCGCCCTAGCCACTGTAGCTCACAAACCTGAAGAAACCTGCAGAGAGAAGACAATGTAAAGATAATACACTTTTAGAGGTGGGAGGAAAAGCCCAGAAGAATATTCTGGGGAAACCCACGGAATCAGGTAGGGACTGAAAACCCAATACAGATGTGGACCAGGGGAGGAATCGAACCCTGGCCATAGAGGTGGAAGGCGAGGACAGTAACCACTGTTCCAACCTGCCTGGTTAAGGCAAGTTACACAATACAGTCCGTGTAAAGAACATCATTTTCGCATTCAAATTGATTTTAAAAACAGCCGGTGGGTAATTCCAGCATAATGGATGAAAATGTCCGTGACAGAGCTTTAAGAACTTGGCTTTCTAAACCTGATTTCTTCCAAGTCTTGTACATCCATCATCTAGTCATGGTCAAGGAGATTACAGACTAGGAGTTGTGGATCATTTCTCTGAATCATTAATTAGATATCATGGTTAAATGGCGCTGTCACAGATATTTCATTTTCCTCCATAACACTGACTAATCCGATTGATAAAAAGACACAAATTAAAAGCTGTTCATTGATTTTTTGTTTCACTTGACGAGCAAATGGCAATCTCGATTTTAAAAGATCTCAAGAGTGATATAACAAATTATGTTGATTGGTTTGAATCAGATTCAAAACATCAAATTTTCCTTCGTCTAAAAGTAAGTATTTTTGTCTTTGTTTGGTTTTTCTTGTTTTCAGTGAGGTGGAGAAGTTGTTGTATTGCTATTTCTTTAGCGTTGTTGCTCTTTCTCCAGCTAGCGTTATTCTCGGTAAGTAAAACTCATTAGAATAATGCAAGATTTGTTCTCATTGATTTTGTAGTTTGACTCTAAAGGTCAGGTCAGTTTGGCATGAAGCTGTCTGAACCCTAAACAAATCCTGCCACTGGCAAATCTTTTACTTACATAAAGAAGTTCACAGAAACAATAGCTACACAAACCTAAATCAGGGGAGCTCATCACCAGTGTGTATATGGTTGGTTGTTAGCAACTTTCTTGCAGTCCAATCTGTTGTGCTGGCTGCTGTGGGATATCTTGGCTGTGGTGGATTTCTGCCAGTTCCATCTGCTGTGCTGGCTGCTGTGGGATATCTTGGCTGTGGTGGATTTCTTGCAGTTCCATCTGCTGTGCTGGCTGCTGTGGGTTATCTTGGCTGTGGCGGATTTCTTGCAGTCCAATCTGCTGTGCTGGCTGCTGTGGGGTATCTTGGCCGGGCGGATTTCTTGCAGTTCAATCTGCTGTGCTGGCTGCTGTGGGGTGTCTTGGCTGTGGTGGATTTCTTGCAGTCCAATCTGCTGTGCTGGCTGCTGTGGGATATCTTGGCCGTGGTGGATTTCTTGCAGTTCAATCTGCTGTGCTGGCTGCTGTGGGTTGTCTTGGCTGTGGTGGATTTCTTGCAGTCCAATCTGCTGTGCTGGCTGCCGTGGGGTGTCTTGGCCGGGCGGATTTCTTGCAGTTCAATCTGCTGTGCTGGCTGCTGTGGGGTGTCTTGGCTGTGGTGGATTTCTTGCAGTTCAATCTGCTGTGCTGGCTGCTGTGGGGTGTCTTGGCCGTGGTGGATTTCTTGCAGTTCCGTCTGCTGTGCTGGCTGCTGTGGGGTGTCTTGGCTGTGGTGGATTTCTTGCAGTTCAATCTGCTGTGCTGGCTGCTGTGGGGTGTCTTGGCTGTGGTGGATTTCTTGCAGTTCAATCTGCTGTGCTGGCTGCTGTAGGGTATCTTGACCGTGGTGGATTTCTTGCAGTTCAATCTGCTGTGCTGGCTGCTGTGGGGTGTCTTGGCCGTGGCGGATTTCTTGCAGTTCAATCTGTGGTGTTTTTTCTTTGCGACAGCAGATGCAGTGTTTGGGATTGAGGCAAGAATATGCCTTTACCAACGCATCCCTGTAGTCTGAATTTACACAGTTGTAGACCAGAGTGTTCACTGAAGCATTCAAGGCATTCAAGACGGTTGCAGCAAGCTTCATATCAATCTCCACATCCAAAAAGTTGATTTTATCAGTTAATGAGAGATCAGACAAATCGTTGATCAGTCGATACAGTTGCCGGATGATATAAGTGACGTTGAGAGTGAAAAACACGGCCGTGTTTACAATGAGCATGATAACAACCCGTCGCAGTTGATGACCATGATCAGCAGTTGACGAGATCCTCGGTTGTTGTCCTAGTTTCTTGATGATACAAGAATACAGGCAAACATTGATGAGCAAACCAGTTACATGAAGGAGAACAATCAGCACATAAGCAATCATTCCTCCAACGAAACCTCCCCAGTTAATTGAAGATTGAACTGCAGCGCCTGCAACGATGGAGATCGTCCATATAACCACCAATATTTTGGCAACTCGCCTTTTGCTTTGTTTGGACCTGAACTCCAGTGGACGAGTTATCGCAAAGAATCTTTCACAAGTCAGAGCTGTGACAATCAAGTAGGACGCGATATTTGCCGTGTTGGATAGACTGAGAAGGAGAGATGAACGCACCTCATAAATTTCACCGTCATTGGGCCATAGGATACTTGTGATTACAAGTGTAAGATTGGTTGTATCAGCCACGGCTAAATTCGCCAAGTAGACATTGATAATAGATCGCATCGATTGGATACGTGCCACAGTAAACAGAAAAATCAAATTCAGTAAGATACCAACTGGTGCCACATATGTATCAATAGAAACCAAAATATTGTTGTTTTGGCGGTAATGACTTGCAAAATCAGCCACAGCCTTCTCATAGGAGAGGTTTGAATCAATGGAGGGAACCATTTTTACTCCAGTTCAAATGAATCAGTTAACATCAGTACCAATATGATGATTGAAATCTGTTGAATGAGATTAGTTCACCAAGGAGGATTCATTTTATACTTGATCATTTTACGTAAGTCAACTTAAAAACGAAAGAGAAACTTTGTTACAATTTTTTTTCTCGGTTATTTCATGGAAGTACTGGTACGAATAAAACCGAAACTCTGTTTGAAAAGGACAACATAAGAAGTTGCATTTGTTTTATACTCAATCTCACGGAAGTACTGGTAGAAATGAAATTGAACCTTGTCAAGAAGATGCCGTATGAAAACCAGACGTCTTACTTCCAGAAAAAATTGCCATGGACACTTTCGCATTAAAAAGGAGTTATAAAGTAACACAAGTGCAACCTGTGAAATTTATCTGCCACCAAATAAAACTTCCAAACCTTGACTACAGAAGTCTTTCTTTAATCAATAGTTATTTGAGACTGCTTTGAAACTGAAACAGTCTGTGACGTACGTGTAACGAACAGATGCTTTCAAAATTATGGAACTTGGAGATGTCATTCTGCTTTCAGTCGCCTGTCAATTTCTTTTGCTAATTCCAAGTATGGAACAACTGAATCTAAAGACAGAACTCCAGCAAATATTCTTTCAATAATAATATTTCTTAAATGGTTAAAGGGACACATCTGCATGCAGGATTCTTTCCAAGTGGGTGGCAATCTTGTTGAAGTACGTTGTAACTTGCCAGCTCTCTCACAAGCTTTTCATTTGAGGTTTTTCCTCCTGTAATTGCCTTTTCTATAACTGTATTATGCAGGTTATTGTTTTACTTTCATTTTGGGACAAAGGAGGAAATAAATCTTATGTTTATAAACAAAATTAACAAACAATGAGCACATACATTGTACACAGACCACCATCCCCTCCCCCATCCCCTCACACACAAAAATCATGCCATTCAGATATATCCAAAACCTTGACTTTGTTTCGTTTCTCTGTTTTTATTTTTTTATTCAGGTGATATCTTGGCATCTAGGGATTTTCCTCATTGGTATTTGCATCAATTCTACGTCGGCTGCATTCTTAGGTATATCATCATATCATCAGTTCTGTTTGCAATGCATAAATTTACTTTCCTGTGTTTCATTTCTTAGATCTTTTAAGAGTCATTGTCAAGTCTTCCAAAGGTCCTATCACAAGTCAATCACAAGAAAAAAGTTATTACTGACAGGTGATGAACAATTTCCATGTTATCATCCATATGCACGGTTTGAAATGGACTTGAGATTACTTACAGATGACTAATGAATGACACTTGTGATTGACTTGCAAACACTTGTGATGACTTATGATTTGCCTGTAAACACTTGTGATGACTTATGATTTGCCTGTAAACACTTGTGATGACTTGTGATTGAATTTATATTTAAGTTATGATGATGAGTTAATTTAAACCTAGCTTTCATTTCAACTTGGAATTCCATTAATTCTTTATGTTTCCATTTGCCCTCCATATGTAAATGAGAGAATACATTATTGTATTATCTTATCCTTCTGACATTAAAGAGCAACAAATGACAAGAACTGTGTCACTTTCTCTTTTCAATCCATGTAGTGGTGTTCTCGGAGCTGCTTTAAATCTGACTGGTATCTGTGTTAGCCGGTGCCCAGAGTCATCATTGCTATCAGGACTAACCATAGCCAATGCCAAGACCATGCTTATCTTGTCATCCGTGGTCATCTTTGAGAGGACATTCACAGGAGACTTTGCTCTAAGGTTGGTAATACTAAAGCACTAAAGTTTTTATATTTTTGTCCAGATAGGGTTGGAGTGTTCATTTAGGTGTAGTACAGGAATCAGATACCCGATTGAAAACACAGGTACCCGTTAACCCTAACTCCCCAGCCTAATTTCCTAGGAACCATACCCATTCTGGCAAATTCCAACACCCACATGGGAAATTGTACAAACACTGTTGGGCTTAGTTTCTGGAGGTATGTCAACCCCAGTGTAAAAGACCATCAGTTTAGGGGTACTGTACCTATCCCAACAGATTAAAACAAAACCTGCTGTTGAACTTTGATGGGTTGAGTTCAGTCAGGGTTAAAGAAACACATCCAAAAGTATAACTCTCAGAAATCGCTATACGGATTGTTCATAAAGGCGTGCACAATAATACTACCACATTGATGCGTCAAATACAGCAAGATAAAAGTGTGTACAGTGAGCTCATTACATGTAGCTTTACGGTGTCAATTGCACTTTCGTATTAGCATCATAAACATAACCTGTTTTGGTTTTCCATGAAGCCTGGTTTGAATATATTTTCAACATTTACCCCAAGTGACATTCATAACCTTTCCTTTTCATTGTCTGAGAAGTTACTTAAGTTGGTTATGGGTACTGGATCCTATATTTTGGGACCAATTTTGGTACTTATACCTGCTTCTAGTGCACAGCCCTTAGATAGGAAAGGAAGGCCTTTATGGTTTAGCAAGACAATGCTACAGGCAGATAATCTGCAAAGCATTCTGATTCAAATATTCCCAGCATTCTCTGTAGCTATTGTCGTTCCCCTTTTGTTGCAGTTTTTTGTAACCTTTTTAGCTGCAGGATAGCAGCTCAACAAATTATCATGTTTCTACGTTAGTATGTAATTTAGTTAGGTAGTTAGTATCAGTAGCCCAGCCTCAACATGTCACATGACCAAACTGGGGTCAAAGGTCATCATGGGTTCACTTTGTTCAAAATTCAGAATTTTTTTATGGTTCAATCACATGACTCATGCATGAACACATTGACCCGCGGTTTCCAAGATGTTTTTGATCGAGCTTGTTTTCATCGGAATGTTACACAGAAAATAACGTTCAGTCCACTCGTTGCACTTACAAATTCAACATACGGTTTTTGCTTTCATTTCAGTGTGTTCCTAGGAATCAGTGCGTACTCGGTGTTTACGGTTACCAAGACAACAAGCAGCACCATAGCAACGGATGAACTGGGTGTCAAACACGAGGCTGAAAGACTGGAAAATACATGACATCGGTTCCCATGGTGATCCATGACATCAGTTCCCATGGTGAGACATGACCCCAGTTTCCATGGTAATCTCCCCAACCCATGTCTTTCTTGATCAAGCCATTCACAAGGGTTCTTATATGTGGTTTTTAACGGTACTTGCCAGCATATTTAAAACAATCAAGCCCCATATTTTTTTAGAACAATATTTAAAGGAAAGTACGTCTATACATAAAAGAATAGATCCTTTAAGAATCGACTTATAGAATCAGATTTATAATGTTCAACTTTCATGTTAAACCCACCAAAATTCATTGTTGAACCCAAATTGTCAACATTTTGGCTGTTTGAATTTTGAAATATGTTTATCTTGCATCAAAAGGTATTTCTGTGTCATTTGCACAAAAGTCATTTTTTGACAAAATTTTATTAAAAAAGAAAGGTTAACCCCTTGGTTTTTTTTTCCAATTTTGGCCAAAATGAAATTCTTTGAATGTGCTAGGAAGATGTCTGAGGGCCCCTTCAACATACTTATTAAGGTTTTTTGAACTATCTTGCATCAAAAGGTATTACTGAGTCGTTTGAACAAAAGTCATTTTTTGACCAAATTTTGTTAAAAAAGTAAGGTTAACCCCTTGCGTTTTTTTCCAATTTTGGCCGAAAATGAAATTTTTTGAAATTTGCTAGGAAGATGTCTGAGGGCCCCTTTAACATACTTATTAAGGTTTTTTTGACCTATCTTGCATCAAAAGGTATTACTGAGTCATTTGTACAAAAATTATTTTTTGACCAAATTTTATTAAAAAGTAAGGTTAACCCCTTGCGTTTTTTTCCAATTTTGGCCCAAAATGAAATTTTTTGAAATTTGCTAGGAAGATGTCTGAGGGCCCCTTCAACATACTTATTAAGGTTTTTTTGAACTATCTTGCATCAAAAGGTATTACTGAGTCATTTGCACAAAAATTATTTTTTGACCAAATTTTATTAAAAAGTAAGGTTAACCCCTTGCGTTTTTTTCCAATTTTGGCCAAAAATGAAATTTTTTAAAATTTGCTAGGAAGATGTCTGAGGGCCCCTTTAACATACTTATTAAGGTTTTTTGAACTATCTTGCATCAAAAGGTATTACTGAGTCGTTTGCACAAAAATAATTTTTTGACCAAATTTTATTAAAAAAGTAAGGTTAACCCCTTGCATTTTTTTCCAATTTTAGCCAAAAATGAAATTTTTTGAAATTTGCTAGGAAGATGTCTGAGGGCCCCTTAAACATACTTATTAAGGTTTTTTGGGACTATCTTGCATCAAAAGGTATTACTGAGTCGTTTGCACTAAATAAGATTAACCCCTTGCGTTTTTTTTTCCAATTTTGGCCAAAATGAAATTCTTTGAATGTGCTAGGAAGATGTCTGAGGGCCCCTTCAACATACTTATTAAGGTTTTTTGAACTATCTTGCATCAAAAGGTATTACTGAGTCGTTTGAACAAAAGTCATTTTTTGACCAAATTTTGTTAAAAAAGTAAGGTTAACCCCTTGCGTTTTTTTCCAATTTTGGCCAAAAATGAAATTTTTTGAAATTTGCTAGGAAGATGTCTGAGGGCCCCTTTAACATACTTATTAAGGTTTTTTGGGACTATCTTGCATCAAAAGGTATTACTGAGTCGTTTAAACAGAAGTCATTTTTTGACCAAATTTTGTTAAAAAAGTAAGGTTAACCCCTTGCGTTTTTTTCCAATTTTGGCCCAAAATGAAATCTTTGAAATTTGCTAGGAAGATGTCTGAGGGCCCCTTAAACATACTTATTAAGGTTTTTTGGAACTATCTTGCATCTAAAGGTATTACTGAGACGTTTGCACTAAAATCATTTTTTGACCAAATTTTATTTAAAAAGTAAGGTAAACCCCTTGCGTTTTTTTCCAATTTTGGTCGAAAATGAAATTTTTTGAAATGTGCTAGGAAGATGTCTGAGGGCCCCTTTAACATACTTATTAAGGTTTTTTTGGAACTATCTTGCATCAAAAGGTATTACTGAGTCATTTGCACAAAAATTATTTTTTGACCAAATTTTATTAAAAAGTAAGGTTAACCCCTTGCGTTTTTTTCCAATTTTGGCCGAAAATGAAATTTGCTAGGAAGATGTCTGAGGGCCCCTTTAACATACTTATTAAGGTTTTTTGGAACTATCTTGCATCAAAAGGTATTACTGAGTCGTTTGCACAAAAATTATTTTTTGACCAAATTTTATTAAAAAGTAAGGTTAACCCCTTGCGTTTTTTTCCAATTTTGGCCGAAAATGAAATTTTTTGAAATTTGCTAGGAAGATGTCTGAGGGCCCCTTTAACATACTTATTAAGGTTTTTTTGACCTATCTTGCATCAAAAGGTATTACTGAGTCGTTTGCACAAAAATTATTTTTTGACCAAATTTTATTTAAAAAGTAAGGTTAACCCCTTGCGTTTTTTTCCAATTTTGGCCGAAAATGAAATTTTTTGAAATTTGCTAGGAAGATGTCTGAGGGCCCCTTTAACATACTTATTAAGGTTTTTTTTTAACTATCTTGCATCAAAAGGTATTACTGAGTCGTTTGCACAAAAATTATTTTTTGACCAAATTTTATTAAAAAGTAAGGTTAACCCCTTGCGTTTTTTTCCAATTTTGGCCCAAAATGAAATTTTTTGAAATTTGCTAGGAAGATGTCTGAGGGCCCCTTTAACATACTTATTAAGGTTTTTTTTAACTATCTTGCATCAAAAGGTATTACTGAGTCGTTTGCACAAAAATTATTTTTTGACCAAATTTTATTAAAAAGTAAGGTTAACCCCTTGCGTTTTTTTCCAATTTTGGCCGAAAATGAAATTCTTTGAAATTTGCTAGGGAGATGTCTGAGGGCCCCTTTAACATACTTATTAAGGTTTTTTTGAACTATCTTGCATCAAAAGGTATTACTGAGTCGTTTGCACAAAAATTATTTTTTGACCAAATTTTATTAAAAAGTAAGGTTAACCCCTTGCGTTTTTTTCCAATTTTGGCCGAAAATGAAATTTTTTGAAATTTGCTAGGAAGATGTCTGAGGGCCCCTTTAACATACTTATTAAGGTTTTTTGGAACTATCTTGCATCAAAAGGTATTACTGAGTCGTTTGCACAAAAATTATTTTTTGACCAAATTTTATTTAAAAAGTAAGGTTAACCCCTTGCGTTTTTTTCCAATTTTGGCCGAAAATGAAATTTTTTGAAATTTGCTAGGAAGATGTCTGAGGGCCCCTTAAACATACTTATTAAGGTTTTTTGGAACTATCTTGCATCAAAAGGTATTACTGAGTCGTTTGCACAAAAATTATTTTTTGACCAAATTTTATTTAAAAAGTAAGGTTAACCCCTTGCGTTTTTTTCCAATTTTGGCCGAAAATGAAATTCTTTGAAACTTGCTAGGGAGATGTCTGAGGGCCCCTTAAACATACTTATTAAGGTTTTTTTGAACTATCTTGCATCAAAAGGTATTACTGAGTCGTTTGCACAAAAATTATTTTTTGACCAAATTTTATTTAAAAAGTAAGGTTAACCCCTTGCGTTTTTTTCCAATTTTGGCCGAAAATGAAATTCTTTGAAACTTGCTAGGGAGATGTCTGAGGGCCCCTTAAACATACTTATTAAGGTTTTTTTGAACTATCTTGCATCAAAAGGTATTACTGAGTCGTTTGCACAAAAATTATTTTTTGACCAAATTTTATTTAAAAAGTAAGGTTAACCCCTTGCGTTTTTTTCCAATTTTGGCCGAAAATGAAATTCTTTGAAACTTGCTAGGGAGATGTCTGAGGGCCCCTTAAACATACTGATGAAGGGTTTTTTAGTCTGTCTTGTGTCAAAAGGTATTGCTGAGTCGTTTGCACAAAAATTATTTGTTGATCAAATTTTATTAAAAAAGTAAGGTTAACCCCTTGCATTTTTTCCCAATTTTTGCCAAAAATGAAATTCTTTGAAATTCGCCAGGAACATTCTTCAGGTTCTTCTTAACACATTAATTAAACTTTTTCGGGAACAATATTTTGTTCCAAGGAAATAATGGATTAAAATGTTGGGTGGAAACTGTCAAAATTGGAACTTCAGCAATATTAACGCCTTGTACCTTAATTTATGTAAGATTTACCCCTTGTAACTTTATTTTGTAAGGTTTACCCCTTGTATTGTGTAAGATTTTACACTCGGAACTTTACACTCGCCTTGTACCTTAATTTATGTAAGATTTACCCCTTGTAACTTTATTTTGTAAGGTTTACCCCTTGTATTGTGTAAGATTTTACACTCGGAACTTTACACTCGCCTTGTACCTTAATTTATGTAAGATTTACCCCTTGTAACTTTATTTCGTAAGGTTTACCCCTTGTAGTGTGTAAGATTTTACACTCGGAACTTTTACGTCGCAAGAACTTAATTTTGCAACATTAACGCCTTGAAACTTTTTGTAAGATTAACGCTTTGGAATTTTATTTTGTAAGGTTTACCCCTTAGAATGAAATTATATTCCTTAAAAAATGTATTGCATTTCTAAAAAGAATTTGTTTGAATAAATTTCTTGAAATATATTTAGTGTCAACCTAGTTCCTATTTATTTTAAATTGTTCAGTGTTGCAAAATCCTTCCCAGTTCCTCATCCTCTTTCCCAGTGCCTCAGCCTCTTTCCCAGTGCCTCAACCTCGTTCCCAGTGCATCAACCTCATTCCCAGTGCTTCAACCTCGTTCCCAGTGCTTCAACCTCGTTCCCAGTGCTTCAACCTCGTTCCCAGTGCCTCAACCTCGTTCCCAGTGCCTCAACCTTGTTCCCAGTGCCTCAACCTTGTTCTCAGGGCGTCAACCTGCTCAGGGTTTATTCCTTAGAATAAGTTAAAGTATTGTTCTTCTTAAATCTTAAACAAGTTAACATCCCAAAGTTTTACCTTCTTTTTAAATGTAAAGGAAACAGTTTAAATCAAAATATTTTCCCCCTTAAAAATCCAATTCCCCAAATCAAAGACACAAATAAAATGAGAGTTAAACTTTGCAATGTATTTTATATTGATAATATAGAGTTTTATTCAGATAATTTTTGACTTCCGTTTATACAAGATTCACAACTTGATGTAAAAAAGTATCTTTAAAAGAGAAATACAAAACATATTTTATTTTCTTGAAATACACAAGCTCGTACGGTCAAAAATCAAAGTTTTAAATAATCACAATCTTAAACAAGTTAACATCCCAAATTTTTACCTTCTTTTTTAAGTGTAAAGGAAACAGTTTAAATCAAAATATTTTCCCCCTTAAAAACCCAATTCCCCAAATCAAAGACACAAATAAAATGAGAGTTAAACTTTGCAATGTATTTTATATTGATAATATAGAGTTTTATTCAGATAATTTTGACTTCCGTTTATACAAGATTCACAACTTGATGTAAAAAAGTATCTTTAAAGAGAAATACAAAACATATTTTATTTTCTTGAAATACACAAGCTCGTACGGTCAAAAATCAAAGTTTTAAATTACGCAAAGTCAGTGACAAACTTTTAAACTAAATTTTAAATCAAAGGACAAATTTACAACAACTATTTGATTAAATAATAATAGCTAATGTGCTCACATGAAAATTAGTTTGGGTAAAATGTTTATTACTTCAAGGCAAAGGCAAATTGTTGTGAATGAAAACACCAATAAAAAAAACCATCTTGGCAACATTTATGCCACAATCAAGAGAAAAAACAGTTCCGTTAATTAAGCATGCACTTGTTTAAATATGGTTCACGGACAAAAACTACTGTTCAAAGTTTTGACCGATAGCTTAAAAATAATAAGGGGTTAACCTTGCACTTTTATCAAAATTGTCAGGTTTTACTCAACCAACTCTCGTACTAAATCAACTTTCAACAAATACTAGCCCTAAATTTTTTAGCAAAACTTAAAGCATTATTATATATTACTCAAAAGTTTGAAGGAAGTTTTAAGCTGTTTAAATTAATGACAGAGTAAGTAAGATTCTAAATGATTCAGTGATAGAGCAGATTCTTCGATTTTCTTTTGCATTCAAAATTCAATTAAAAATCAAGGGTCTAACCTGTTTTATTTGAAACAAATAATTAAATGCACAGTTTGGTTTGACGGTATTTTCTGATTAAATTTTCATCGCGAGATGTTACAAGATTTCCTCATAATTAATTGTAGCATGATTTCAATAGCGACCTGTTGGCGTGCACCACGTTCCCAAAGTGCAAATTCATCAGCTGAAATAAAAAGAGATAAAAAAGTCAGCACATGTCAAGAGTGAAATTATGTTAATTAAATATTAATTACGGCAAGGTACAAGTGGCTTTCTTATTCATGAGGGGTACATTTTGGTGAACAGTGGGGGGTAGAAAGTTGTGTCAATCATCAAGAAAAGACAACTAAAATACTTTGGGAACATCAACTGCCACGAATTCATAACAAAATTGTATTTAATACTGAAAGAAGATATGAACAGTTTGGGAAATTTGATTTCAGCGCCATCATAAAAGTTGCCCCAAAAAACCCCCCAATTTGGCTGTTGCAAATGGCGATAAAAAATCCTGTTAGAAGATGTCATATACACCAGCGATTGGAATTAGCAATTAAAAGAACTACATGAACTTTAACGATTAATTGTGAGCTGTCCCAAGTAAATAGAAAGTGATTTGTTTTGTCAAATACTGTAAATGTTTGTCAAATATTGAACATCTTCAGTGCATCGATTCCTAAGAAACACACATTTTTGCTGGCTCACCTTGCTACGTTGTAACTGTAGAGTTGTCAGCAGCCGTGTCTAGTTTCTTCCAGTCTCCTGTGCAGCAAGGGTGACCTGAATAATCAAAAGCATGAACCAAAGAAAATAAGGGAAAAACAAATAAACAAAAACTACACTTTTTGAAATACTAGCTATTCAGAGTTGCACTCAACCAAATTATTTTTGCACCAAAATCCTGTTGAAATATGGCTTTTGTGCTTTTACTATAAATGTTCCAAAATTCAATAATTTTTTTAAGCTTGATTTCTTTGTCCTTTCTGGAAACCAACACTTTATAAATTTGCTGGATCGAAGTTGGTCCTTTGGTTTTCTTTAGGAAGTTTTGGTCGGATTAATAAGCAACATGGACTGCAGCATGTAAGCAGTTTTAATAAGAAAATCTGCAAATTAATCATCCAACTTTTCAAATTGGAACCAAATACAATGTAGATTGCTAAATTGATCATGACATTATTTTCTGTCGCTGATTTGTCGACTAACTCTTGCCAAAAGATAAGATTATTTCAGTGTACGTGAGTTTTAGTAGATGCATACACATCACTTTCTCCAACTTGTACGCATAGTTTTAAAAATAAACATACAAATAATGCAAAGGGCAAAATTTTTCAGACACAAACGCATCAAAGACAACTGACCAAGAATACTCAATTTTTAGCTTCCAAAATTTAAAACCCACAAAGAATGCACTTTCAGTTGACAGCTTGGAGCATGATATGCGGTCAGTATAAATGTCCAATTTGTGACTGGAATTCCACCCTTTGCACTGTGACCCAGCCAGTGAACATGAATCAGAATACTAAAGAAAGAGTTTGCAATAATTTGCTGAATTTGGACACCCAAAACCCAGGAAATTTGACGAATTTGATTTTAAAATCGGAAAGTTCCATTTTTCAGAAGAAATTTATGCACACTGTAAGTGATGAGAAGAGTGAGATGCAAGGACAGATGGCAGGCAAATTTGAAGCGGCTTATGAGTCATGTTCACTGAGCAGATCAACCATCCTGGTAAGGTCTGTTTAAACAGGGCCACCACGAGAAGGTCCCAGGATACCAGCCCCAACACGCTTTCAGTATCGTCAGGCCCATTGCTGGATAAAAGGTAGGCCCCGGAGGGCCAGACACAGTTATCGACTGTCCGGTCCGCCCGCCCAGCCCCGAAGGACCAGGAAAGCACCCTAACCTATATGCGTGCCCCCCTAAGTCCATCCCCCTTACGGGTTCATGCGGTCTGATAGGAAGTAGCAGCGTTTGCCGGCTGTGAATACAGGGCCACGCCCCTATAAAGAGGGACGCACTACCTGCTCCTTTATGGCACGGCATCCTAGGGTTTCCAGGCCGCTGCGTAGGACCCACGCCCCACGTGGAAGGCGGACCTACCACGCGGACGCAACTCGCCCCTTGAATCTGTGCTGGATTTTCGCCGCACCTCAATTGAAGCACCCAGTCAGACTCCAATTAGTAATCGATACCGCCGCACCTCCCTAAGCCCCAACGGCATAGGGATATAGGAGATCCCATAGCCTTTAAGTTCTCAGAGGGATATAGCAGATCCCCTGAACTAAAAAAAAAGCCCTATTTAGAAAGTGAAAATTTTCATTTCACTACTTGGTGATCCACATTTATTTAGAAAAAAATTATATCCAGTGGCTGGCTGGCTGGCTGGCTGGCTGGCTGGCTGGCAGACTGTTGCTTGTAGTCGATACTGGACAGTTCGAAGAGGGTTTGCATCCAAAGAATATTTATGCCTTAAAGGCGGTGCACCAGATAAATATAATTTATTGGAGCCTTGCAGCAGGGACGGATCCAGGGGCAAGTTTTCCACTAATGGTGCCAGTGACAGAAATGATCCAATATGCTTCCTGTAGGATGCCATGGTCCAATGCTTATGGTGTTTGACTCATATATGAAGGTGAGTGGGTTCGAACCCCACCAGGAACATGGTGTTAATGTCCTTTGGCATGACACTTAGCAACAATTGCCTCTCTCCACCCAGGAGTATGAACGGATATCTGTGAGGGGCAAGGACCAATTGAGTGCTGATATTGGCTGTCGCCATTTCCCATGGCCTGATGAACAGGTTAATAAATGTATAAAGGTGCTTTGAGTTTATTGGTACGATGGAAAACGCTTTCTACGCACAATTATTATTATTCCCATGGAGTTGATCCCCCCTCTGATTGCCACCCAAGATCCGCCCCTGGATGGACATGGGGATATAGACGATCCCATAGTCCTGTCGATCTCGCGTTTGGATGTAGGGATATACAGATCCCATAATCCATCTTGATCCCTGAGGTCATCGGAATACAGCTGATGTCTTGCAACATGCTCAATTTGAGCCGACGACCTGTGGAGAAACCACCACCAATATCCCACCACCAACCCACACGTCACGAACACATACCCACCACCAACCCACACATCACAAACATGTCATGTGTTCTGTCAAAATCTTACTTATCTGGACAACTAGCCTAAAACTCTTTCTTTAATTTGTTTCGGTTTTTAATTCCCAAAAAAACTTCATTCATTACAAGGATAGTTTATAAATTTATGTGTGATTAAATTTGTGGCGTCACAAAAATGGACCATTATTTGTCTTTTACGATTTGGAGTTTTGCGTTTCACATTTCACATTTATTCACAGTATATTTTGTATTCTAGACAATTTTAATATCAAAATAAATGAGAAATAGAAATCAGAAAGAGAATCGCTCCTACATTGTGTTTTTGTGGTCTATCTTCATACCAAGCTCTGTCCAGAAGGCAGATTTGACAAAACACACAAAATATATCAACCACTCTGGGAAACTATGAACATTTTCTAAAACAAAACAAAAAGATAATCAGTGAACACATAAAATTTACAAATTGTGGCTTTTTGTAAATTGGGTTTTGTAGTAATCCAAATGTATTTGAAATGGACATAGATTTTTTGTTGTCCTCTTAGGTTAAGAAAATGTTTTGAAAGTCAGCAAAATATTTCAGTTTATGGTTAGGTCAAAAAAAAAAATATTCGGTCTCTGGTCAGACCAAAGTTCAGGAATTGACGCGGCCACACGGCTTTTTTTTTTTTCTTCCTTTTTTTTTTTTTTTCTTCAGCTTGGATTGTACAGACAAGCGGGTACTATTTTGCTTTTTGGTGTCCTCATGTACATTGGTGTCCTCCATAATTTGCCTTGGTGCTTTCGATCATTTGCCTTGGTGCAATTTCCCATTCCTTGGTGCTCTTTGGTAAAAAAAAAATGAGGAGATGCGGAAATAGAGGGCGCTGTTGGAGCTACCGCGGAACATTTTGAAGAAAAAAAAAGATCGACGCGCATGCTTAAAATCGACGCGCGCGCTGACCAGAGACCGACTTATTTTTTTTGGGCCTTACAGATTTTTTTTTTGATTTTTTTATGGAACGCTTGTGTCCTAGAAATTTTCAAATTGGGTTTTGCTCTTGACCAAGAAAATCAAGGTACATTGTAAATGTGCCTGCCATGACACTTGCAAATTGCCATTTACCCAAGGTGGTTAACTTAGTTAAACAATAAGGTACAATTAAGAATGGAAAATGGCTGGGCTCACTCTGAACAATCCATCGAACGACTCCACTTGCAAACTTGGGTCTTCAGTTCCTCGGTCTTTCACTCGGTCTTGAGTTCCTGGGTGTTCACTGGCTCAATTTGAGCGCTAACGGCTGAAACAAAGGGTCAGTCCTACCTTAGTGAACACATCTAGCTGACTTGCTTGCTTGCTTGCTTGCTTGCTTGCTTGTGTTCTTTCGTACTTGCTTCAATCTTGCTTTATCATCTATTGCAACAAAGAAGGAAAAGGAAAACAAAACTTAGTAAAGTAACAAATTACAAAAAACCTATGAAATAAAGGATGGGCAAGCACAATTAAAGGCCTGTGATAGGATGAATAAAGATCCTCAATTATTCTCCAATCTAATAAATATTTCAAGTCTCCCTTTTTATACAAATTTTCTTTGGACTAGAACAGTCGAAAACATCTGTCCACTCCAAAAAGTTTAGTGTCAAAACATTTCCTACAATTATCGGTTTTCTGTAAAAAAAAATCTTTAACGGGAATGTATACTTAACATTTCCTAGAGGAGCATGGCTCTCAAATACTGAAGACTGTTCAGATCTTTGAAAAATGACCTTCCCCAAATTGTCCTCAGAAATGATTGTTGATGTATAATATGTACTAAACTGTGTTTAGTTCAAACTAATTATCCAAAACAAAATCTATATCCTCACAGATGGTGTTCCGTACTTACTTGTTTTGGAAAAGCATCCATCTGGAAAACTTCTTCATCAGCTCAAATGGATTCAAAGATCGCTGGTCGTCGAGGTGGCCTCAGACTCAGCTATCTGTGGCTGGCAAACTAGGTAGACATCCGCGTCCAGCTGCAGCCAAAAAAAAACAACGGGGGACAATGACCATTCATAATAATAATAATGACAACAAAACTCAACACAAAATAAAGACGGCGAGCACCACTATGTACCATGCAAGCGCAATACTGCGCTCATGAATCGCACGACACCAACCGTAAATCGCAATTTCACCCCAAGAAACTGTTCAAAATTACAAAAGATGTCATTACAATTGAGAGAAGTCATTTTGGAATTTGGAATGATAAAAAATAGCTTTAATTTGATCACAACCAAAGAGGGGCCTTACACTACACAATTGCCTAGACATGCTAGACGTCAGGGGTGGTAAAACACGCCCAGGGGTGGTAAAACACGCCCAGTTTATCTACCATTTGCATTAAACTTAGGCACCCACATAAAACCCACTTACCTAAGTATCGCCATTAATTTTTGTTGGCCATGTTAAAGGTTTGTATGTGGAGATATAAGTATTGTTATAAAATTAATTAATGTTTCTTGGCTGAAATTTTATCGACAATGTCATTGTCAACTTGAACTTGTGTGTCACGTGCCACTGCCACAACTAAGTTACTTAGGTGCACATCATGGAGCGAGGTGGCGCCAGTCACTGGACAAAATGGCGTCACGCTCCGTGCAGTGCTGCAAATTTTTGCAACAATTTTCCTCACAATTTTAATCCAAATTTTCATTCAAATTCTCCCCACAAGTTCCCCAGTGCGTCCATTGGTTTATACTCAATTACTTAAGTTAAACAACGAAAGTTTTAGGCATGAAAATGGCAACTTACTTTGTATTTTTGTGACGGTTGTGGATGTCATACGTCGTACATGCGCCCGCGAAGAATAAATGACGTACAGTGCCACGTGCGTGCGCCGTCGTTTGAATGGGGGCGCTCTTCCTATTTTATCCGGCCTGAGTTTAAAGTCTTTGCGCCTAAAATTTACTCATTAAAACAAAGTAACTTCATACATTTTATAGTGATTAAGTTTGTTGCTTCCTTTTGCTCAAGCTTCATAACCACTCGGAAAAAAAAATTACAGTACGTCTTGCATGAATATTGTGACTTTAAAAAAAAAAGAGAAGTTCAGGTTTGAACATTGTTACCCCTTCCTTGCCTATCATAGCTCAATCTCCGAGAGCGAAAACATTATTTCCTCGTGGTGAAAAAGGGCTGAAGTGAGTACGATTTTATCGCTATTCGTCATTTCAGTTGATTAAAGACTTTTACTCCAGTTTTCAAAAAAAAAACTGGAGTAAAAGAACACACATTTAAATAAAATTCAACAATATTATGGCTTTTTAAGTTATCTTATAAAACTTTTGATAGGGAGCACCCCCAAAACCCCCTGCTTCTCTTATTTGAATAACAATCAAATGGTCACTTATTACAATTATTTAGCGTCTTAAAGATAAAACAAAAGCACGAGCACATTTCTTAGAAAGAAAATCCAACTTGCTTTTATTTCAAAGATAAAATCATTGGCTAAAATCAAATAATTAAAATAATACAGTCACTGTGTATGATTATTATCTGCTATTTTTTTTGGATTCATTACAAAGTCTTGAATCAAAATTTAGCAACTTAAGTCTCCACTTTAAGGCAAAACATTCTCTTTTTGATGGGGGGGGGGGTAAAAAAAAAAGGGTAATAGAATGCCCCCAAAGCCCAGAATGATGAACTGTTCGGCAGAAAATAAATAAACCGCTCTGAATCAGCAATACAACTTTTTCCCTAGGTAACTCTACTTAATCCATTGTACATGTACTTAATTTTGTTCACTGCATTTCATAATTTTGGTTCATGTAAACTATAAATAACACGAATGTCTGTTAAAATTATTTCACAACTTGAATGACAAAAAAATTGAATGAAAAAACACAAATTTTCCGTATATGAAGTCTTACCAGTAGTTATAACATTATACAGAGATAAAAAAAAAACCAGTTCTCAAAAGGTAGCAACAACTGGTGTTATCTTGGGTCGAAAGGTGAAGAACTTGGACTTTACAAAGAACTTATCAAGAAAGTAGACAAATCTCAGTTTGTTTGAATTGTAAAAAACTAATTATTCACAAGATTTTGTGAATGGAATAAAGAAATGTCCTAATTTAAAATAGGTCATCATGATGTTTTACTCTCCTGGTTTCTATTCTGTTGTGAATCCTCGCTTGTCTGTAAGCTCTTCTGATATGCCTCGTTATTCCTGGCCCGCCATTGCTTAACCAGTTTCCGTACCGGTTCAACGATGGCATTAGGGTTCCGATACAACATATGATGATCAGCACCATTAATCAGAATGTGTTTAGCATTGGGATGAGCTTCAGACATCAAGCGTTGCTGAGATTTAGCCCATACCTAAAACAAAAACAGTTAAAAAAAATTAATAACAATTCAAGCAATATCAAGGATTCTAAATATTCTAAATTCCTAAAGAGGAAATACCAAGCTTTCAAAGACTTTCAAAGACAGTGTTTTTTCAATTTTGAATGACAAACATGAGAAGTACAAAAATTGAGGAAATCAGCTGCCCATCAATGTTTGGCATAATTTTTGGCCTGTGTGAAGTGTTGATTGACTACTCTTACCTTGTTGAGTGAGCTAGGTAATTGTTCATCGTAGTAGTTGCCAGTAATGACCGTCACAGACACAGATTCAGGAAAAGGCTTCACTTGGAAGGCCGTTCTGGTAAAGAATGGAAAAAAAGTATAGACTAGTGTTACATAATAATTTTATGTAGCTCAATAAAATAATCCAACCACTCCCAATGGTGCCAGAATGTTTCTGAAAATGGAGGCACACTGTGTGTACATCTCTGTATCAGAGTATCCAACTGTAGGCAGACAAAGAGGAAATGATTCAAATAATGGGGGAGGCTAATGCCCCTGCGCACCCCTCCTGCTGCCTTGGGTCCCTCCCCTTAATCAGTTGGCCTTTTATCAAACTAGGAATACAATAAAGAGTAAGATGCGATGTGTTCCATACCTCAGCTGTGACAGACTTTCGTTGATGAAATAATGCTCATCGACAATGGAGCTCAGGTGGCGTGGCTGACACAGCAAATATTTCTGTTATGACAAAAATTAAATATTTTTCAGTATAAATTAATCAGAAAGATACTTACGTTGTGGAATTTTAAAAGGTGCCTGTCTCACTCTGATTATGATCTCTCAGTGTTGTGCATCAAGTAAGTAAATTCTAATAAGTATAATCAGTTGGAGTTAAAAAAACCAAAACAATAGCAATGGCTCTTACTTGTCTCAAGACGACCTTCTCTGGAATAACCTGGCCTGTGATTGGCTGCTCCATCAGACCTAGCAACAAGACAATCCTGGATAGACCAATGGCAGCAGAGAGTTGAAGGGATTGGAATGAAGGCAACAGGTGATCAAACCTACAAGGGAAAAATTCAAACAATTAAATTACAAAAAAAAACACGATAAGAAAGAAACAAGTTGAGTTGGACCCAGAAATTTGACAGCTGGCCATCTAATCTGGACAACTTCCGTTGGTCAGTAAAAGTTGGACAGTCTCAGCTTGACAGTATAGGACATAACTCATACTTGTCGAGTCAGTCAGTGACTCAATCAGTCGAGGAGTTGGGGAGGGAGCCGGGGAGTCGGGGAGTCAGTCAGTAAGTCAGTCAGCAGACAGTAGGCTGGCCCTTCAGATCCAGCAAACATAACAAACTACAAAACAAAATTCTATGGAAATTTGAAAGTATAAAATAGCTACACAACTCACCAGAAGCTGCTCCATATTCCATCGTCAAGCTCAAATATTCCTTCCACTAAGGGATCAACAAGAACAAGGTCCGACACAGTGCTGGAGATAAAAAAAATAAAGATAAAATTGGTTCAAAGTAGGTCAAAACTTGTGGATGCCACACTTGAATATAAAAGAAACACTTCACATTTGCTTTGCAATTTTGTTTTGTAAAAATAATGTTGACTGACCTTTCATACATCTGGGTGAAGAACCTAGCATTTATGGAACCAAGTTCAGACCCAACCATGATAAATGGTAGCGGCTGGTCACTGCTTAGTCTCAACAGATGAAACAGATCTGTGGACATCCTGAAATAAAGTGACAAATAATGTTTCCATATAAGCAAAAGGAACACAGATACTTTACATCAGAGGGCCGGTAATAGATTGTGGGTTAGGGTTAGGGTTGAGCCCTTGGATGGGTAAGGCCGAGTACCACCATTCATGAGTTGGATATCTTTGTATCCACTCTGGTATTTCAATTCCTTATCTATCCATTATTTTGATGGATTATGATGGAATTAGGATTATATCTAGAATTCGACATTTGGTTTCATTTTTTAGAACAAGTGACCCTAAGACTATCCATTCCAAAGTAATTCTTACCTTTCTACAGTGCTAGGCTGTCCTCTTTCTTTATTAACAACTGTGTAAGACTCTGATGAAAAATTCTGTATTGAAAACAAAATTATGCAAATATTCAGAAGGGTAGGAAATAACTGCATTTCCATATTATGATCGGGCAATTTTGTTCCAATATTTAAATGCATCAATATTGAAGATGCTGTTCGTACCATTGGTGTTCTTTCACTGAAGCCCAGCCCTGCACGGTCGTAGGAACACACCTTGTGGATAACAGAGAAAAGAAGAAAAAACTATTTGGTTTAACTGAGCTATTAGAATAAAATGACCTTGCCGGTAACAAACTAGATTTACTCTGGGCAATAAAACATCACATTCCAAGTGAAAGTCCTCCAAGCCAAGTGTTGTACTCAAAGTCTAGGTGATCTTGAGTTGACCAACAGGGCTCAACAAAGTCTAAATCCAAGAAACTCACCCGTGTAAATTTAGCAATCCTGGGTTGAATCAAGCACCAGACATCTGAAGTCATACCGGTAGGCGCATCAAGAACAACTGAAAATAAACACAGAGATACATTGTACTTGCTGAGTACCCAAAACTACATGGTTGAGTAGATTCTACCCTTCATAATGGGTAGCATAAGCACCGAGCACAGGGCTGCCTGGCAAACCAAATTACAGTCAATTTTATGGATACCACATCTTTGTGGCCAGATGGAAGTGTTTGGTGGTATAGCAAAAGAAATAAATCTAATTATGCCACCGTAACCCAAAACTAATGGGACATTTCTATTGTAATGCCCTAAGATTGCCACATGACCACAAAGATGGCGGTACCAATGAAAACAGTCTATGTCAGTACCTGTTGGTGCCCCTGTCCCAGCACAGTTGAGCAACAGCTTGTGATTCCATCCAACATCATACAGCTCACCTACCCAAAAAATCGAAAGATCAAAAAATAAACACAACAGTCTCAAATCAAATATCAAGATAAAAAGGATATTCATTTTAATATAGAATTTAATTAATAATTATTTACAAATTGCTGGATGTATGAGGTCTCACCTTCTGGTTTCAGTTCTGCAGCTTCTCGGTATAGTGACGCGTGGTTCAGAATGGCAGGCAAAATCAGAACAAGAACTACATACTTCCCAACATGAAAGCATTTTGATAGAAGACCCTGTTTGATTAAAAATGGCATTAATTTATAATTAGATCTTGCTAGAAAGAAAGAAATGAACTGATATTTAAAATTTAATATACAGACTAAATTGATCTTGGTTAAGATCCATAGTAATAGGCCCCCATCAATCATGTATCTGGGTTTTGAAGAATTGTATTAAAGAAAATATGAAAAGAATGTAGTATCCTGACACCACTTCTTTGGTTGTACACACAGTCCATGTAGAGTCGAGTCCATTTTCAAAGTATTTTCTAAGTTCATAAGTTCATTGAGGTAATTAATTGGCCCTAAAAATGAAAAAAGTTGTGTCAGGATGCAACATTTTTCCTAGTAGAAAAAGTAGAATACAGTCATAAGTCAACACTTTTTTTTTCAATTTTATCACAAAACAAAACAAAACAAATTTGTTATATTAAAAAAGCAAATAACAACAAAAGAAGATGAGACCTTTCAAATCGTGCTGGAATATAGAAAAAACCGGGAAAAGTTCCATACTCGGACGTCAATTTATCTGCTGCCAAACATATTAATTGTCACCTCACCTTGTCCTTTGAACCAAGAGAAATCCAGGAAGCTGTGTTAAGGTGAAAAAAAATTTACTCAAAATGTGTTTTTAGAGCACATTTTGGATGCATACGTCGTGCAGAACTAACTTGAAGCAGCCGGTCAAAACTGATTGTAGTGGCTGAAAGACAGCGGTACGTTATACACGTGACATCAACAACCATGACGTCGCATGAGCCTGCCAATGATAGTGCAATACGTCATTATGAATATTTATTTTCTCATGAATATTTAGTTTATTTCAATGGATACTTCAAATACGTCCAAAGATTGATTATTGCAACAGCGATCGTGCGCGGCCTAGCGGTTAAGAGTCTCGTGTATCAAGCAAGCGTCAGAGGTTCGAATCCCGATGAAGTAACTGACTGATTAATAAATAGAAATTAAGGAAAGGAGAGGGTGAGAGTAGAGGAGGGAAAGTGGAGGAATAACCATAAAAGATGTAACTTTTGGCGCTAGAAAAATTAATTGAAAAAAGTGACGTCCGAGTACGGAATTTTTTCCGAAAAAACCTAAAAGTTAAGGATTGCCTACTTAATTTGTACAAGTTCAACTGATACCTTTTGGGGTTTTGTTCCCCTCTTCCTACTACTCCGAGAACTGGTTGAAGTTATGCGATCTCCAGCAACAGCTTCGACCGACGACGCCTCGCTCCGGTCGGCACCCTCCGTCGCTGTGGTCCCCGCCTTCGCAGGTGTGGTTTCTGGAGATGTTCCCGGCGAACTGTTTCGTCCTTCATTTCGTCGTTTCCTTGATCCGCCTGCGTCTCCTTTGCCTCCTTTCATGTTGTAAATATCTTACTTGACAAATTGATAAGTGCAAGATTTCTAAAGAGTGTTGTTAACCACAAAATAATAAATTTTGCTCACCTAACTAACGCAACTCACAAGTCACACTTCCTTGAATGGGCGCAGCCATTTTGTTTTCAAATTGATCAACATTTTATTTTGATTTCTAAAGTGTGTATTCAATATTGACAAATAAAATGATTTCAAATGAATACAAAATATATACAAATCTCCAAGGTTTAATTTTCAATTTTTATTCGCTCAAATTTATTCTCATTTCAACAGAAATGTATTTACTCTACTAAATGTCATTGATCAAGACGACTATAATTTGTCACCTGATCTGTCACATGACCTGTAACTTGCATGAGAAAAACGAAGTTCAGCTCAGCCGCGCTTGTTCAAAACACTACACTTTGACTCGCTTTGGGACAAATAAAATTCGAGAAAATGGCGTCAGATGATGGGAAGTCAGCCTTAAATCAGCAGCTTTGCAAGGACTTTGCAGATATTACCGGGACTGATCCTGAACTGGCTTTGTATTATCTGGAACAAAAATCTTGGAAACTTGAGGTCAACTTGATTGATCATGTTGATGTTGATTCAATGATTGTTTTGATGATTTATTCATTGATTGGTCACATGAATTTGAAATCAGTTAATACTAGTTGTAGGAATGGGTTTGTTTTTTTTCAAAATGGATCTCCAAAAATCAACTTGAATGTTTGTGATTGGAGAATGATTAACACATCTGGATGAATATAGTATGAATCGTTCTTTTAAGAAACTGAAGTGAAACGAGAACATTTAATTTTAAAATGCAATTTTATTTCATTTTTAACTGCCCCGGCTTGTTCCAGTTTGTTTCACTTGCACAATGCCCAGTGAACAAATAATTTTCCTTTTTTTATCAGGATGCTGTCAACATGTTCTTTGACAGTAATCGACCAAGCAGACCAGATGATGACACCAGTCAGACTGTAGAGGGGGTGGAGTCTGCTAAAGACGAAGGGGGTGGATCTCAAGGCAATGCTCCTGCAAAACAGTTAGTATTGTACTAATTCACTTGTAATAGCTTGTGATGTACTGGTGATGACTTGTGATGGACTTGTGATAGATTTGTGACAGACTTGTGATGGACTTGTGACAGACTTGTGATGGATTGTGAGTACTTGTGATGGACTTTTGATGACTTGTGATGGACTTAACCACAACGATGGTATTTATAATCGCTCAACTCCTTTACAACAGAGAAGCAGCAGTCACCACAGATCTCCCATCTCAAGCTTCATCATCAGAGGTCAACGACCTGACATCCTCCTCCAAAAGATTCCGTCTCATTACGTGGAATATTGATGGTTTAGATCAAAGCTGTCTCAATGGTCGAGCACAAGCTATATGCCGAATCCTTAATAGGTAAGTGTAATCAATCTCGCAATATGGCGTCTTGAAAGATTGAAATTAATAAATTGAGATGTCTGGTCACATAAATTCCACAGAATTGGGACAATGTGTTTATTGGTAAGCAAGCATTCTCAGAAGTAAGCCTGACCTTTGTCCATTTTTGCATTTTAATGATTTATTTCTTTTCTTATTAAAGCTTCAATCCAGATGTCATCTTCCTTCAAGAAGTCATCCCTGAGACTTGTAAGCTCATCTGCTCTCAACTCAGCAACTACAAACCCTTCCCTGCCTCCGACCACGCCTACTTCACTCTCATCCTTCTAAAGAAGAGCACAGTCACATGCTTGTCTTCCAAGATTGAGAGTTTTCCTGATTCAGCAATGCTGCGAGCTTTACAAATTGTAGATGTATGTTAGAGTTTTAAACTCTTAATTCTAAGCTGAAAAGAATACCTTTATCCTTATTTGAATGAGTACGATGAGTTTGGTCAAAGGTTCCAAGATTTCACTTCATGTCAAAGTGTTCAAGAGCTTTAATTAAATACCTGTAGCACTTTTTTTCTATCTTAAAATTTCATTTAAATCTCTCAAAACAAGAAGTATCTTTGGATGCAATTTGGGAGGGAAGGGGATAAAGGACTTATCAAATCTTGAGAGAGGGTTTTGCCCATTGAAAGCTGTAAAATACATAATTTTGCTTGATTTTTGACAGTGTAAGTGTGCAGGCCTTGATCTCCGTCTCATGTCATCTCATCTTGAGAGCACAGGACAACCAAAGGCAATCGAGGAACGACAGAAACAATTCTCACGAGCTGTATATCTGATGAAGACAGCTCCTGCAGAACATACTGTCTTCTTTGGAGGCGACACAAATCTACGAGACAAGGAGGTACATTAAATTCCATTTTGGGGGTGGGGTGGGGGGGGGGGGTGGGGATGAGGGTGAGGAAGGAGTGAGGGGTTACAATTAGAGAAAATGCCGGAACTACCTTTGTGATACGGCATCTCCATCCATAGATATTTCCAGTGTGTGTACATCGTGTCCTTCACCCATAACAACACCTCACACACGGCACTATCTACTGAAATTCTGCTATGGGCTCCGTGCATGAACAACAGAGGGCGCTTTTTGACCAATTTTGTGAGCTCCTTGGATAGGACACATTGCGTGTGCGTTCTGAGTCGGGAGTGTATTGCGCGAAGTATGGCTCATTCATTTTATTCTGAATGTGCACAAAGCAATTGTGTCTCCACCGAGTGTCGGGCGTCATCGGCAATGTCTCTCCCAGTGGTCTCCCCCAACTCTCCCTTTCTTACCAACGAGGGGGTAATCATGCATGGAGCCCATTGAGATTTCATGTGGCTATGAACAGTGGGAAGTTTTTCAAATACGAATCAAAAGTAGTAGTATATCAAACATACTGATGCATCAACTGAAGAGTTTGAATGAATCTTACAGGTGGCAAGGTTTGGCGTACCGTCTTACATCCATGACGTCTGGGAGATGTGTGGCTCCCCATCTGGAGCAAAATACACTTGGGATCTGACCCAAAACGACAACCTCGACTGGCCACACCCGAACCGACCACGCCTTCGTTTCGACCGGCTGTTTTTGAGACACCCAAAGACGGCACCGAGACTTGAACCAAAGACATTTAATCTGCTAGGCACTGAACGGCTGCCGTGCCATAAGTTTCCAAGTGATCACTGGGGCATCGTCTGCGATTTTGAAGTGACGTCCTCATAATCCGCAACAGAAGGTTCGCCTTCTAAAAAATTTAAACCTCTGTCATCTCTTGCATCATGAATGTTTCATTCTCCTCCATTGTCTTCTCTGTAGTATTGATTGACTTGTACTTGAGGGAAACAATTGATATGCAATGATTTTCATTTCAAAACTTTGCAGCATAAGAGTGTCTTAAATATTCATTGAGTCATGAATGCACATTTTTGCAACTCAAACACTTCCAAATAAATTTACAAAAACGATGATAAATTATTTAATTTTGTTAAAAATCAGTTGTTTTATTGTACAAGAATTGCCACAATAAAAATGGCTAGTTACATGTAAAGATGTAATTCATTTGTTACAAAACCTAATACCAAACACTAAAGTGTATTCTGCAAGAGCTTGAAAAATGTTTGTCATTTTTTACGTCTGTGACAAAATTTGTAGGCATTTTTTAAAAATTTTATTTAATTCCTGTCCAAAACTAGGAAACCTGGTTTGAAAGAATGATAAAAACTATGTTTAAATCTGTGTAAAAAAATTTATGACCAAATGTTGTTTTAACCCAGTTTTGAATACTGGTGGGAATGTGTCGTGACTAACTGTTATCACGATACAGTACGGTGTGGTGGTCACTGTAGACTGGTGCCTAGTCTGTAACATTTAAAAAGTGTGTGTACAAGTCTGGTACAGTGGACTATCGTTAATACAAAATCAGCCCGACCTAGCCAAATGGGACCCGTTTGGAGCTTAATATCAGAAATTGTCATGTTGCAGTAGATCGGCAAGCCAAAATTTAAAGGGGTGGTCAATTATTTGTTTCCATGGGAACCTTATCTGTAAGTCCTGTTTAACCTTTCTCCAATTTTGTTGTTCAGTCAAATGTCTTTCAAACCTATTATCATCCCGTTTTTATCAGTTGACTTTTTATATTTTTTAACTGTAGGATTTTTAAATGCCATTTCTCAAGAATCAGTTTCCCAACTTCAGGTAAGTTGGTGGTTAATATTTCCATTACTCAGTACCCCTAGATGTTACAAACCATTGGAAAGCTCTTGTTCTACAGCATCCAAATATATAAATATCTCAATTCTTAAAATAAAATCTGACTTTAAGCTTATTTTGTGTTGACAGGTCATAAATGTTTGTCGCATCCAGAATTGTGTATTAAGTGCACATAAATGCACAGTCGGGACCAAAGCTCAATGTTCACTATATTCAGAATGAACAGAATTTGTATTGTACCAAGAGTCAACTGTCAGTGTGAAATAAAACGGAGTAACGGAACATGTAAATTGCCCAATAGCATGGATAATTATCAAATATTGCATGAGTGTAAAGCTGTAAAGAAAAAAAACATCTGGAGTGCTTGAGACAACCAATAAACGGGAACAAATGTAGCAATATATTGGATCAATTTGTTCCTCTTTATCAATATCCTTTGGAAATAGTGGCCTTGCTGTGATAAAATTATAACAAATTATAAAAAAATAATAAAATTAATGTATACAAACACTGTACACTAACACAGGCAAATTCAGTGTAAAAGAAATACATGAGACAAAAAACCAAAACACATAACTCTACAAAACATATGTACAATTTTGTTACGGAAGATGCTGTGTGCAGTGTTAACATTTGAAAAGGGACCTCCTAAAACTTGCATGTTCCAGTCAAGTTTCTGCTTCAAAAGTCTATTTTTTGGGGGACATTCATGTATCATGTTCATGTTCTGAATGTACATGGGTCATTCTACATGGATAAATTTGATGTCCACTTTTAACCTGTCCATGTTACCTCTGACTCTGTCCATTTTGGCTGCACTCTTTTATGCCTTCATTTCCAAGATGGTGATTTTGTAAAGCAAATTGCCTATTTAATTTCCTAATTATCCCATCCACAATTAGGGCTTGATGTCCTGTAAAAGTTAGAGAACAAAGACTGTGCGATTGGTTTTCTGCAAAATGGAGTATTTTAGAGGATTCAAGAATGGTCTGGGTCAAACTGACCTCAGACTTGGGGTGAATCTGCATGATGAGGATGAAAGGATTAAATTCATGTTTAAGCATTAACTGATTGTTCTAGTTGAGGATGTGCACCTGTCTGTTTAAACTTGAAAGTATTTCAAGTATTGAGACACTATGTTATTACAAAATGTACACGTATTTGGCTTTTAACAAAACATGCTTATCTAAAAATGAAATTATATACACGTCTATTTACAATCTTAGGTAAAAGTATGAAAGTTCAAGAAATTGAGACCCTGAGCCTAAGTGCCATTATATGAAATCAAATTTATCTGAAAATGATGTATCATCTAAAAGAATTGTCCTGCTGCAAATGTGGGTTTGGTTTATATGACTTGAAGCTTTGCATGGTAAAGAAATAAATGCATGAGATATATTATATGTGCTCTGTCCGTCCGAAGGATGGGTTTGGTTTTGTTAAAGTTTTATACTCGCTTTTATTCATCCTAAGTTTTAAATGGCATTTTGATGAAAACAATAATCGGGTTTTGAAAGTAAGTCAGATTGCCAGTATGACTTTTTTCAAAGGGATAATCCCTTTGCAAATAGTAATACTGGCAATCTGATTTGCTTCCAAAACATATCCAAATATGTTGGTGTTACTTTAGGTTCACTTTCCTGAAATCCACTAAAAAATGTGACTTCGAAGAAAAACAATGCAAGTTATGGATTCCAAAATGAAAGGGCATCGCCAACTTAAACTTTCACAACCAAACACAACACATCCAAGACATATAAATTGTGTCAATTACATTAACCTGCGATGGCAATGGCTGGGGGTGTGCATCGGAACCGGGTACCCGACCGCTGATGTCAGGAAGCGGTTCCAGATTATGGGATCGGGTACTCAAAACAAAATTTACAGATTACTTTGCACCTTCTCAGACAATAAAAAGGAAATTTTCTTGACGGCCATTTGTTTGGGATTTTCAAAATGAAAACCAGGCTACATGGAAAACCAGAACAAATTTCACATTTACGGGCATTTTAAAATTGCAAATCCTTTAGTCCACACAGATACAAGTGTGTATAGTGTGCACTGATGTGGTATTGTCATCATGTGCACCAGCACGGCACCTTTATGAACAATCTGAACAGCTACTTCCCGGATATGAATTTTGGGGTTGGCTTTCTTTTACGGGTACCCGGGTACCCTTGTTTTACTTCAGTAGGGTACCTGTTCTCGCACTACTCGTAAATGCCCACCACTAGCAATGACAGAAAATATAGTACATTTCTGTCATATTTAAATTTAAAAAGAAAAAAAAATTAAAGAATACATTTGTATAAAATTAACTTAAAACGAAATGACAACTGGACATTTGAGGAAATCTCTTACTTGAAAAAAAAAAACAGGAATTGAGATAAAAGATGGACTTAACCCAGTCCGTCCTGACGTCCACGTATCCGTCGGGCTAGTTGGATATCTTTAGGCATGATGGTAACTCGCTTAGCATGGATGGCACATAGGTTAGCGTCCTCAAACAAATGAACTAAAAAGGCTTCTGAGGCCTGGAAAATAAGAAAAAAAATCAAATTCTAAACTTTGGAAACCACTTCAAAGTTCAAACTGGTATGATCTGTCACTTATAGTCATATGTAAATGACTTTTTGCTATTGAAAATTTACCCTTATTGATATAAATCAACAATAAACAAATAAACCAAAAAATATTGACCCAAAGTTTGCTTTTACAACATCAAACAAAAGCAACTGGGCCATGAATATTTATTTTATGGCGCACAATGTTAAAGGCAGAAGATTTATTTTTAATTTATTTAGGCCTACCTCTTGAAGAGCCATGATGGCTGCAGCTTGCCACATCAAATCATGATGAGAAAATATACTGGCCACTTCACGGACCTTTATACCAAAAAAAGGGGGGAACAAAAGATTTTGCAATTAAAACAAACCCACTGACTTATACGCTATTTCAGATTTTTATAAACATTTTTCAGTCTCACTGTTAAACTATACTTAGGTTTTAATTAAGAGCAGGAGCAATTCAATTCTCAAATATGCCAATTCAAATTTTAAATCCTTGCTTAAAAGAATGAATAAAATTTATCATTGTTTAACCCTAACCGAACTTAACCCATCAAAGTTCAACAGCAGGTTTTGTTTAAATCTGTTGGGATAGGTACAGTACCCCTAAACAGATGGTCTTTTACGTTGGGTTTGGCATACCTCCAGAAACTAAGTCCAACAGTGTGTGTACAATTTCCCATGTGGGTGTTGGAATTTGCCAGAATGGTACGGTTTCTAGTAAATTATGCTGGGGAATTAGGGTTAATGGGGAAAAAGCTTCTTTTTTTTCCACAATCGAATGGACTTTGCCTATATTCTAAAATACTTACCACTCGTGCAAATGGGAGTTTAGCAATCAGTAAACTGGTTGATTTCTGGTATCTGCGAATCTCCAGCAAGGCTTTGGTGCCTGGCCTGAATCTGTGCTTCCTGCGACCTTCTGAAACAGGAAGTTTGTACCACTGACTTGTCATATTTGTTTGTCTTTTTGTATTGTTTACATCAAATCCTACATTTAATTGCAGAGTATTTTACCTTTTTCTGATTCGTGGCTCTAATTTTTTTTTTTTTAACAGAAGTGAATTCCGAAATAGGTCAGATTCCCATCTTTTTAACGCGAAGTCACAACAACAATGTTAAAGCAGAACCAGACGAAGATTTGTCACGGTAAAGTCCCTAAAAACAGTCACTGCGCGCATGTGTGCCGGTGGTTCAATAATGACAACAATCAGGGACTTTTGAACTTTTTTTTTTACAAAAGTGCATTAAAATTAAAATAAAGCCACGAAATAATGCAGAACCACCACTATGGCTGTGCACGTCACACCATTAGTATACAGTCCCCTACTGAACATGCTGAAAGTGAAGGTCTGAATGAAATAAAATTTTATTTTTACAATAGGCCTAACATTAACAATCAAGTCAATGAATAGGCCTGATAAAGTTACTTTTTAACAATTTAAAGTTTGTCTCAAAAACCGATGAGCCAAAAATAACTTAGACCAAAAACCGTGAGGTAAAGTTCGCTTACATACCAGAATTAGGAGCTCGAGGTGGATTTCTGCCACCCGGTGATTTCCGACTGAGCGGACCACTTGACGGTAAGCTCGCGGGTGACACCACGGGTCGCGGGGACGGTGGACGCGGCGGTCGATTCTGCTGCTCGATTGGTTCCCTTCTCTTCGGAGTTGCACCCTTTCTTCGCTTCCCTCCAGCCGGCTGTCTCGGATACTGGTTTGTCCGAGCCATGTTCCAAAACAACCTTAAAGTCTCTGACAGGAGCTTGAATTAATCACGGTTACCTCAGTCGTTCCGTTGTCATGGCATTTGAGGTGAATTTTTGAGTAAATTTGTGCAAGAATTCCACGAGTTCGAAAATCTGCGCCCGTGAAATGGCGCCATTAAACAATTGAGGGCGCTCTGTAAGCAAGTCCCACAAGAGGGCGCTATTTCAGTTTAAAACTAAAAAAAAAAGTTGAGTGGGCCATTAATTTTTTAGCAGCTATCCAAAAAGTCACCGACTAAACGATTGTTGAAAGCTTACTTATTCTAAAGCTATTAATGATACTAAACTCCCTTTGAAATTTTGCCTTCTGGCATGCTGTCATTTTGAAGAAGAAAATTTTGAATTGATCAAAAACATATATATATCTGATATCAGTTGCCTTCTAGATCCTAGAATATTGTTTTCTTGGAATATACAGCATTCACCGATCTCAAAGTTCAAGTTAGTTGTTTAAGCAGCTGTCTTTTGATTTTGAGCACTTTTGCTACTTCAAAACGATAAAAAATACACAAATGACAAATGATCTACTCTACCTTTAAAGTACATGTACTGCATTGCCTTAAAAAAAAGCCCAATTGCCTTGTTAATTTTAAGAAAAGAAAGCAATTTATATCAAAAGCAAAATAAAGCAAATCAAATTCCCATCCAAAGAATTATAATACCTACATTACAAGACGATACAATTAGAAACTTGAACATAAACATCACAGAAATAAAACAAAAAGCTCTCATTTCTATACATTCTGTCAATAGCAGTTTAATTTTTATCACATTAAAAAAATTCCCGGAAAGATAAATTCCAAAACAAATTTAATCTGTATCTGATTAAGTTTATTTGAGAAAGATCTAAAATTGTGCAGGCCAACATAAAATGAAATTCACTGTTCTTCCTTGAGGTTTTTAGCACAAACAAGAGCAGAAATTGGATACACAGTACTTGAAAAACAACAGCTAAAAGTATTGCTTAATCTACTTGGCATTTTACTTGGCACTTATCTTCAGTTTTCTGTACAACATGCAACAGTCTGATGCCTAAGTACTTTACACACAGTGTGACACACATGCGAGATCTATTCAACGATCCAAGAAAAAAACAAAGGCAATATTTACAATTAAATTAAAATCTTTACTTAGTCTTTTCCTTATTTTACAGCAGCAAGGTTTTCAAGTTTATCATGTTTTGACTCATGATACTCTAGTCATTGTATAAAAAAGATGAAGTTAAAGTAAGGTAATACATGTACTTTACGACATTCAGATAAATAATATCTTTAAAAAAAAACACAAGAAACTTCAAGACTACCACATCTTCTGTAGTGGATTAAAAATAGTTTCACTTTGCTGTCATTCACAAACCGATTCATGAAAAACCTTCTACAAACTGTTTTTGTGTGTGTAATTGTTTGTAAGTACATGTACCTTCATTGCACTGGGATAATATGTACATTCAGGTATAAGAGATTGTCATCATATGCAAAAATTGGTAATTTTTGAAATTTCAAGATAAACTCTTCCATTACAGTGATTAGAGTTTAACTGCCTAGAAGCCAGAGTCTTCGTCAGATGATGGTTGCTGCCAGGATCTACCTTTGTCCAATAGAGAATCAGAATGAACAACCTGACGAGGAGAAGCCTGAAAGAGTACGAAAGAATTCCTTTAGGTCTTCAAATTGACACCTACATACACATACATGATTAGGGCAACGCTTTAGGTAGTCCAAAGAAGACCTTGCAAAAGTTGCAAGAACCTTACTTGGGACTCACTGTGGTTAGAAATTGGTCCTTAACCATATCTGTCCTGAATCCTCACATTTTCAGATGACTTTTCACACACCCGGGGAATTAGGGTTAAGTATATAAGTGGTGTGCTGTGGCCTTGTGGTCTAGGGCATTGAATTTGTGGTCTACAGGTAATTCTGCAGGTTGTGGGTTCGAGTCCAGCCTGGGGTTATAGTGCGTGTGCCCTTGGGCAAGGCACTTTGTCACTCATTGCTTCTCTCCACCCAGGAGTAAATGGATACGTGTGAGGGCAAACATGGATATTGTGATTGGTTGTAGCTTTCATGTAGGACTTTTGTTCATGCATGTCGGACATAAGTATCCGCTGTGATTGGTAAACGCCCCGCAACCGTAACCAACCCAATCCATCAAAATCCAACGGCATGTTTTGTTGGAATCTGTTAGAGTGAGGACTGCACTAGTAAACTGATTATGCTTTACATGGAGTTAGGCGTACCACCATAATCAGAGTCCAACAGATTGGGTGTTGAGTTATTATGGTATTGGATTTTGCAAGAGTGAGGAAGGTTCCTAGCAAATCACTCAAGGGGTTGGGGTTAATGGATAAAATCTACTGTGGAAGATATGCCATTTTGCTAAGCCACTGACCTCTGTCTGTGAGCGATACGTCTTTGCCCCCCATGCCTGACCAACCAGCGACGAATCAACTCTGTGCGTTCCAGCGCTATCACCTGCTTCCTGACTTGAGCCGCTGAACAACTCCCGGCTACTACTGCATTAAACAAGTAAGGAATGGAATTGCGGGGATAAGGACATTCATTACTGGCCAATGATCAGGGAGGGGTGTGGGCACTTTGTAAGACTGAGTGTAAAGTTTGGTACGTTAACAGGGCAGTCAACTCTGCCACTGATCTATCTAGCCAAGTCAGCTGAAAAGTTTTCATTTTTAATGACAGAAGAAACTGACTTACTCGTGAACCATGGAGCTTCTAAGTCCTGTGCTGCCAGGCCGGGTGGGGGAGGCTCCGTCTGGTAAAGACAAAGGAAAAATGGATCTTAAAAGCAATATTAGAGTTTGCTCTTCAATGAGAAAGCCTATTCAGGCAGGATTGGAACCTGCAACCTCCTGCTTGCTAGTGCAGACATCTTATCTCTCGATCACCAAGTTTGCCAATTCAAGTCGCTGATGAGCAGTTGCTGACAAATTATTTCCATGTTAGAATTCAAATGAGAACCAGGCACCCCCCCCCCTGTGACTTTGGCTGATAACAACATATAAATAGTAACAAAAACAAATGCGAAGGAGTGAGTACTTACTTTTAGACTCCACCCAAACTGGATGTCTCTGAAACAAAAACAGAGAAAAGACGCAAAAAAGATATTAAAATGCGAGTACAAATATCTAACCAAAAAGTCAACAACTCCACAAACAGCAGCATTTATGGTTCTTAAATGATTTATCTCTAAATGGATAGATTTGCTTGATAAATTTATTTGATAAACTTCAACAGCACTTCCAAATAGAAGTAGAAGGTATTTCAGAGGTTATTAAATGCAATTTTAAGTCATTACCAATGAATATAGGAATTTCATTCGGCCCACCCTAGCAACACAAACCTCTGGCCTCAAACTCTACTATTAGGCCAAAAAAAAAAATAAGTCGGTCTCTGGTCAGCGCGCGCGTCGATTTTAATCATGTGCGTCGATCTTTTTTTTTCCCAAAATGTTCCGCGGTAGCTCCAACAGCGCCCTCTATTTCCGCACCTCCTCAATTTTTTTTACCAAAGAGCACCAACAGTGACCAAGGAATGGGAAATTGCACCAAGGCAAATGATCGAAAGCACCAAGGCAAATTATGGAGGACACCAATGTACATGAGGACACCAAAAAAGCAAAATAGTACCCACCTTGTCTGTACAATCCAAGCTTGAAGAAAAAAAAAAAAAGCAAAAAAAAAAAAAAAGACCGACCATTTTTTTTTTTGGCCTTAGATAAAGACCAGTATTCTTACCGGTCCAACAACTTGAGAAGCACTCTCGAAGTCATCATCGCTAGTGACAGGTGCACTGAATGTTCCTCCGTACTCCCCAGCAGTGACGTCACTCAAACTATCAAAGGCTCCATACTTGCCATAAGCATTGCCACCTGCCGTGCTTACATCATCGCTACCAACAAGTCTGTCAGAAACAATAATAAACTCTTTTCATGACAACAAATTAATGCTGTAGTCTTGTCTATCACAAGTCATTAGAAATCTGTTGAAAATCCATCACAAGTTAAAGAATTGCAAGTCAATCACAAGTCAATCACATGTCAATCCAAGTCAATCACAAGCCCATCACAAGCCCATCACAAGTCAATCACAAGTCAATCACAAGTCAATCACAAGTCAATCACAAGTCAATCACAAGTCAACCACAAGTCAATCACATGTCAATCACATGTCAATCGCAAGTCAATCACAAGTCAATCACAAGTCAATCACATAGTCAATCACAAGTCAATCGCAAGTCAACGCATGACAAAAACATTCCTTTGTAACTGTCCATCCACAGTTACTTGTTACTGGATGTGTGAATCAACTTGTGATTTACTTTAAACCAGACTTGTGATGGACTTGACTAAATCCAAACTTAGCTAAATATAACAACTGTAAGACGGTAATGGCCCTTAAGTCCAGGCATTTACCTTGCACATTTACTGCAGATTGCCACCTTGACCTCTGGTTCAGGTGGCGGGGCACGCCGTCTCATGGACTGTGACAAACAGGACGAAAAATTGGAATAAACACAAAACTTCGGTAAAACCTAGCAAATCAAAAAGTAAAGTAAGAAAGGACACAGAGAGAAAATATGAATAAAGAGAATGAAAGACTTCATCATTTGAAAATTCATGCTTATTACTCCAGTGATAACTGATATAAAATGAGAAATGCGGATAAAAATTTCGAAAAAATTTCAAGTCAAACCACAATTACCCCATGCAAAATTGATTCAGAATGAAACATGCAAACATCTATGTGAAGTGGCACCAGTAGTGAGGCACCAATGGCGAAGTTTAAGCATTTGTTGACATTAAACCAACATACTGATTGATTGATTGAAGACAAATCACAGACTGACTCACAAACACACAGTTACTGAAGACCAAGCACACAACATCTCAGATATAAATGAGAATATTTTCCCAAGGACAACATGTATTTCCATGTTAAGATAACAGACAAACATGCAAAAGGGAAATGGCAAGAATTACTAACACCACCAACATTTTTTCAAGAACCCACCATAAGTGCTCCAAGAAATCGAGAAGAAACCTGGAAAGACCACGGACGTAGCACACACAGAGAAATTGTCAACAAAAGAGACAACTTGTAAACAACAGGTGTAAAGATTGGGTAAATATCCCAATACATTAGCCAATCGCAAATGACTGCCGCCCCCTCCCCCATGACCTCAAGTTGACATGGACCATACCATTTATGTTAGGTAAAAGCCATCATGCTTTCATTTGAAAGTACATAAAACTGTTGTTAATTACTTCAACCAGAGAACAATTAACTTTATACTTTTCAACCCCTGACTTTACTATTTCTGGATTACTATGATTCCTTGTATTTCTTACATGGACAATGGACAGCTTATCCTTCATTTTTAATCTAGACTCTCACCTTGCTGACTCTCTTTCCTGAAGACTTGGCGTTAGTTACTCCCTCAAAGGCTAAATCATCCATATCCTCTGTATAAAGAACAATAAAAAAACGCCTCTTCATATTTACCTTGAAATAACACAAATAATTATTTACAGGTTAAATCTATTTAACTCATTTTGTCCTTTAACCCTCCTCTTGCTAAAGAGGTCACCAATGGTCAAAATGTTCTTCCTCACCTCCTGGCCTACTGTGTACAAACCAATGGGGGTCTTGACCAATATTGACCCAAGTTATAACCAGGCTGAAAATGCATGTTTCCATAGGATGGTTAAATCTATAATCAAATTCAACCAACTCAAGTCCAACAATGAGCCTCATCTAACAAAGCCAAAATAACTCCAATCAATGCAAACCAATCAAAACCCAACAAAATCCCACAAATCTTACCCAGTAGATCTGTAGCCTCTTCATATCCCGCCTGATCAGGGTCAGTAGGCTCCTCTCCGCTGTCCAAGTAACCGAGTGTCTCCACCTTGCGTTGAGCAGCAGCCATCTCAGCCAGTTCCTTCTTGTGTTTCTTGGCTTTCTCGCCAGGTTTCTGACGAAGCTCTTTCCTAGAAACAGCAGGATCAAGAAGCTTTCAATCTAGGGCCACTTATTGTCCACTAAAGGAGTCATCTTTTGAATGGAGTTCATTTTGGAAAACTCTAAGGTGTCTGCATAAAAACTGGATCAAAACATTAACACTGATATATCAGTCTAATTTTGACAATTTTTTTCAAATTGGATCAGTAGGATCCTTTTAAAACTGATACTCCTGGATTGAGAAAAGGGAGTAAGGTTAAACAACTTTTACCAAGGTTGCAAACATATCGGTCAAACAAACATTGTAAATTTGATTCCAACTATAAAACCAGCAAAATTTGAATCAGTGTTGAAAGGCTACATCACTCTGAAATTAAAACTTTTATCAACTTCATTTTCAAAAACCTGTGCTTAAAAATCCAGCTATGATAGCCTCAAAATCAAGCATCGGATTAAAGAATAAGATATATCAGTTCTTACAGTTCATTACTGGATGGTGCAGTTTTCCGCGTTGGCTCAGTCTTACTATATTTCTTCTGTAGTTTAGCAGCCGACATTTCTTCTTGGAGTAACTCAGCTTCTTTCTCTTCTGCAGCAATCGTCCCGTTTCGTCTTGGGGCCAGAGGAGAATCCTCGTCCCCAGATGCTGCCCACTGTTTAGCACCTGCTGAAAATAAATACACAAAGCAAGAAATAAAATTCTAAGAAACTTTAAGTCTTATAATGGAATTCACATGTCAACAATTCCTTGGCTGAAGAAATCTGAAGATTGTGCAAGTGAAAAATCTTACAAGAATGAAAGTGAAATCTTCCATTATTTTTTTCCATAAACATCAAAACTGAAAAGCAACTGGTTAATTTGTTGACATCTTCACTCAGCTGGAAGGAGCCTTGGACATTTCCTTATATTCCACAAATCCCAGCGGCAACTTTCCAGGACCTCATTAAAAAGGAAAGCAATGATCAACTAACGATCAACTAATGATCCAACAGTCCACTAAATATCAACGCCATCAACTGATTGCAAGTAAACAACCTCTGAGCAAATTAATTCCCCATTACAACTTGAACCACCCTTCATAGAAATCCACAACCACGCATATCCACTATCAAGCAACTCACAATAATAATTGTAATGCTTAAATAACGATTTCCATCGTATCTACAAACTCAAAGCGCTTTACAATTACTACCACGTTTATCATCAGGCCATGGGGCCAGACGGCAGCCAATATCAGCACACAGTCAACCTTGACCCTCACAGGTACCCATTTATACTCCTGGATGGAGAGAGGCAATTGTAGCTAAGGCCAAGTTCGCGCAAGGACTATAGTTGACCAATGGTTAACTAACGTTTGCCCGAACTCTGTCTAGTCAACGGTGGTTGACTACGCTAGTCGACTATTTGGAACCAGCCTACTGGTAACCAATTGCCGCGCGCATTCATAACGCTAGCAGAGAGCCAGGATCCAGAAGTTTTGCGATGACCAGCGTTTGACTAGAGACGTTCGCACGTTGCTATCAGTGCGCAGGCGTAAGGTACGTCACAAATCAACCACTAGTCGACAAACGGTCCTTGCCCGAACTTGGCCTAAGTGTCTTGTTCCTGGCAGGGTTCAAACCCGCGCACCATCGTGCATGAGTCAAACCCCGTAACCACTGAACCACTGATATTCCACAACTAGTCCACTAACTATCAACACCGTAACCACTGGACCATGGCATTCTACAACTGGTCCACCAACTATCAACAGCCAGACTGACTCCACTCATCACCTGACTGAAATGAGACGGTCTTGCCTTTGTGTTGCTCTTTCTTAAAGATTTGCTCCAGGTCTGCCTCGGAGGTTGGCGTGCGCTTCTTACCGGTGGAATCCATCTTCTTAGATCTACGGACTACGAGTTGGGATCAAACGATAACGAGCAGGAAAGGAGGTAGAATAAAACAAAAATAAGAGAGAACTGGAGTGGGACATGCGAGGGGGTGGGGGAGGGGCAAGTAGGTGAGGACGGGTCCTGTAAGGGGGTAACATGGGTCAACAGGGGAATAACGGATGGTAAGGTAGACATACAGCAGCATGGCGGGAGAGATACAGTGACAAATGGAGTGTCAGACAAACATGGGGTAGAGGTACAAATGCAAGCAAGGTTGAAGGTAACATGAGCAAACATGGAGACAGAAATGGTGAGGCACATGGTAATAAACGTAGTACAGAGATGGTGGGCAGAGCAAAAGTAAAGATGTATACGCATGGGTCAGGGATTAAAAGGTCATAAAACAAAAAGAAAAAAATCCATAACAAAATAATGAAGAAACAGAGTGAAAGCATTTGAGAACAGAGGAAGTGGGGAAAAATCAGAGATTAAAATTAATGGCAATGTTTGCATTAGTTTGATTACATGTGCAGTGGACCTCATTATTTGAGATGAATGCACGCTTTTTAGGAAATGGCATATTTTACTATGGTTAAGGTTTTTTTTTATCTAATGTTAGAATGCGAAACCAAGCATGCAACCACATGAAAAGATGACAGTGAAATCTTGTAAAATTTCTGCTCATTCTAGTTACAAAACAAACGACTTACTGAACCATGCTGACAAAAATCATGACATATCAAGCTCAACCAGCATCAGAGCTGATTAACCTAATCGGAAAATTCAAACTTGTGAGCTGAAGAACATTGTATTTGATGAACAAAAACAAAATAAACCGAATACAGCAAGTTAATACTGCAAACATAACCAAGCACAGATTAGTTTAAGCATAGCAAAGAACGTATTGCACTATGTATTTAAATAAATCATACATATTTTTAGGTAGCCAGCAGTGCACATTGACTATTAACAGAGCATTTGTGTCTTTGCAGACACAAGCTAGCATGCAAGCATGCAGGAACAGACAGACAAGCTAACAGGCCCTACAGAGACAAGATGCAACACAGTGAGCAGAGACAGTCAGCCAAACAGAAAGGTACACAAACAAACAGATGGATGGGCAAATTGCCAATGAACTTTCAGATAAGATATGAAGGCCTGTTTGGTGAAGTGAGCAAAAAGAGTAAGTTTGCAGTAGAACCATGTAACAAATCTCTTTTGTGAGTTTTTGAGTTTCTGAAAAGAACCAGGGAAACTCAACATATCAGACACTATGCTTTGCCCATCGTCAGTCAGCCAGATGCTGATATAAAGACATAATTTTCATTACTTTCTTTGTTCAATTTAATGCTTTTTATGCACAGCCTGATTTTTACCTATATTTCTCGTTTCTATTTTAGACATAACTTTTATCCTGACTGGCCACAAAGTCATTTGGGATTATATACATTAGGGGAGTCAGGTTGGTGTAGCGGTACTTTCCTCGCCTTCCATCGCTGTGACCCAGGTTCGATTCCTGCCTGGTCCCCATGCAGATTGGGTTTCTAGTCCCTACCTGATTCCGTGGGTTCCCCCAGAATTTTTTTTTGGGTTTTTCTCCCACCTAAAAATGTCTTCTCATTGTCTTCTCTCTACAGGTTGCATTATCAGATTACCAGAAAGATAATACATAAACATTTGTTGGTCTACAAAGCCCATATAACATCCATGCAAAGGTGACCATGCAGACCCATAACAAGCAAACAGTAGGAGAGACAGACAAACAAACTCAAGACGTCTTACCTTGTGGCTCAGTCTCGTCCGGTCTGCCTTTGAGTTTCTTCATATGATGGACCCATGGTCTTTCATATCCCCTATCCTCACCCATCCCTGTTAACGCTATGATACAGTGCGGTTCAAGATGGAAACAAAAGGATGATGGGCAACCCCATCCACCAGAAATCTGGTGAGGATTGCCCCATCTACAAAATGAAAATACCCAGCACTGCCCTGCTTCATAATGGAACATTCCAGATTTGGCCATAAGCCCCGCCCATGCCACATTGGATGTGATCAAAATGTTAAAATGGGGAGGGACTTAATGGATCAGCGCATTTTGTGCAGTGGGGGGTTTGTACAAAGTAAAACATATCCAGGTTAATGATGTCACAAACCTGTACAAAATTAGGGCAAAATGGGTGAAAAATGTGAAGGAATAATGAATTACTAGAATAAATGTAATGGCAGAAAAAAATTCTGTCTGTTGGCTAACTGTTAAAAAACACATCAATCACTACAAAGTGAAGACACACATAATGTTAAACACATGAAAACTAAAACAGAAATGATTTGCAGTCAGCTAATGTTTTATGGTAGGAAGTTGTGTCTAAACAATAAAATTCTTCTCTCTTTTTCATTTTGTAGAGTGTCTGTTTGATGGTGAAAGTGATTGTTGTGCAAACATACAATTAACAACGCATTTTATTAAAACAGTTGAAATCACCAACAATTCAGAATCACTTTATTTAATTTTGTCTGATTGGAAAACTAATGATCATGCTGAGGAAAGTGCAAGTTAAAATTAATTTCAAACAAACAACCAGAACAGCAATCAAAACGACAGAGAAGGAGATTATATGCAAAGGGTGATTTGATATCGAGACATGATTATAGAAATTGCATGAAGAAGTTGATCAGGGTACTACACAACGTGTACACACACAAGCACCTACTTACCAGGATCAGCTAATGTGTTCAATTCCATAGGATTGACATCATGGGTTCAAAAACAAGTGAGAATTTGTCAATATTGTTATCAATAAATATGGGTTTTTCAGTCATTTAGATATTGACCAAGGTTTAATCATTTGTTTTTCAGGTTGTTTTCCAATCATACATTTGTAAATTGAGACAAATTGTTCAGTTAAAATACTTTGCACTCTACAGAATTTGATAAATTCGCTTGAAATTTGATTTTTACAATAAAATGCGAAGATCAAGATTTCGGAACTGAATCAAGATGTCTAATTTTAGAAAAGCTTTGGGTGAAATTGTTTTTTTTTTTAACTTACAAGCTGCTGTCCAGCCGGACGTAGTTTTACTCTTTCCTCCCAGATCTAAGCTGCTAGATTTCTTCATGGCTGGCATGGAGGCTGACAAGTCAGGCTGTTCAAAAATGGAAAAATTAACAAATATAAAAAAGCGCACAATTATGAACCTGAATTTGTTGTTTTCCTTTGAGAAAAGTCCAGCTTAGGATTAAAATGTTAGGCCCTCTAACTTTGTTGATTTATGAACTAATATTACCAATTGAACTTTTAAACATTTTTATGTTTCAGTGGCTTTTTTATGGTCATCAAACTTTGAAAAGAATTTTTACTGATGTTTAACTGGGAACATTTATGTTTTAACAAGTTTCTACATGTTCATATGGTATTGCTAATGCAGGCATCAGATTTAAATTATGACAATTTATAAGCTAGAGATATATCACTTGTCCGAGAATTGGCCCACCTGCTAATTTTTTTTGGTATTTTCTTGGGGGGGGGTAAGGGTGTGTGTAATTTAGTTGTGTTGTTTTATATTTTAAAATTGTTTTTCTCTGTCAACTTTTTTTGTTTTAGTGTTTACAAACCGGTTTAGGGGTCTTCTCGTCAAAGCGTTGTAGAACTTTCAAGAGATACGGGATGGGTTCATTTGGGAGATGCTTGATCAACCTGGCCATCAAATCCTGTCAAAATGTCAAAATTTAACGAAATTCAAACATGTCAAATTGCTCAATTAAATAAACTGAAGCAGCACCGACTGTCCAAGTAACTTTGATGCTACTTATCGCCTTTCTTATCATTTGGACTTGATCTGGCAACAGTAATGCTAATGTCAAAGGGAAAACCAGAATTAGAAATAGCAGCTTTACCGGCTACGCGTTTTTGCACATATTTGAAATTTCTGTTCAAATTACAAGTAAAAACTCACATATGACACAACATTGATCCTTTTAGTTTATGCAGCTGATCAAAACGATCAGGCTGAACCTAAAAAAAAGGTATTTTTGGTGCAACTCTTGGTGTGCGCAACCTAACTGTTCATTTGTCTCGTCAGCTGTGAGTGTGACTGTGTTGTGTACAAAATGGCACCTGGCCGTTTTTCCAAACCTCAGCTTTGGCTCCATCGCGTCGCTGGCTCCAGGTAATGTCCAGGTATGGAACTCTTTCCATTTTGAGTTAATTATAGTATAATTTATACTAGTCCGAGTAACTTGGACCCAACTTATCGCCTTTTTTAACATTTTGGACATGGTCTGGCGATAGTGGGGTCCAAGCTAATACCGCAACCTGGACAACATCATCCTGTCACTGTCCTAAACCAACATTTTCCAACAAAAAACATCAGATTTCACCTTCAAAACGGCCTCCAAATTACTAGATATGCCACCTGAAGTACAAGTAGACATCGATGATTAAGATGCACCTGGCTAGCCAGCCATGCGCCTGGCTAGCCAGCGCGACTCCTAGGCGTACCGCGAACTTACACAGCACTCTTCATCAGGAAACAGTCGTCGGCGCGGCGCAGGGGAATCTGCCGTGCATGCAGTGCATTGTGCGCAAGCGCGCCGTCACGACCTTTGCATGAGGTCGAGGTCAGACACCATTACCCAATTGGGAACGCGTACACACAGTGTATCATGCAGTTTTGAACGTGAGCACAACGACAACCTAGGCTGCAGAGGGGGTCTTCAGAATTGAACGGAAAATTTCACTTTTCTTCCGGATCGTAAGTAAACTTAAGTACAACCATCTTAATCATCGATGTCTACTTGTACTTCAGGTGGCATATCTACTCTAGTAATTTGGAGGCCGTTTTGAAGGTGAAATCTGATGTTTTTTGTTGGAAAATGTTGGTTTGGGACAGTGACAGGATGATGTTGTCCAGGTCGCGGCATTAGCTTGGACCCCACTATCGCCGGACCATGTCCAAAATGTTAAAAAAGGCGATAAGTTGGGTCCAAGTTACTCGGACTAAATTTATACAAAGTAAAAAGTGTAAAATAAATTTACGAAATAGATGCAGTACTAGGACCCCTCCCCCGGCTACATGGGCCAAGATTAGTAAAAATCTTACCTCAAAAAGTGCGCTTATCCGATGTTTCTCGAGGTAAGCCTGCACTCTCTGCTGGCTCGACATCTTGGCAATTACACTCACAATAAAAGTGCAAACAAGAGAAGGTAAAATGGACGATTTATCTCAAGATTTCAAGACGATTTTTTGGCAGGATATTTCTAACGTAAGACGCGCCTTGATTGATATTGAATTAAGATTGTTTCAACAGAGGGCGCTACATCGATAGTACGTGACCGGAAGTTTGGTCAAAAAATTATTCAAGGTTTTTGTTATGATCGCGGAGCTCAGGGACGGACGCACAGGGTTATTTTATTTATCGTCCGATATTTGATATCGTAACTTTGGAAAATCTGAGACTGTACTGACCAGAGAAGTTCTGTTGCTCTCCTGATTAAAAATGAGTGGGGAAAATCGTCAGAAGTCGTCTCCGAAGGTTTGTCACTTTTCTCGAGACGGTTTTCGTGGTTTTGTAACACAAGGCTGCAACAACAAGAAGGGTCATTGATTGGTTGTTTGGTGGGGGTGTGGCGGGGGTGGGCACTGCACCGCAGGTTCGGCACAGCTTGGACTGTTGGAGCATAGAGCGAGTAAATCTGATGGTTTGTCAATAAAAAATACCAAAAAAATCTTGTTTTTGTCAAATGATTTGTGTGCTTTAAAAACTAAAAAAATAGGTATAATTTTGTCAAATCCTTGCAGAGTGATATTACAAGAAGGAAGATTAAATACTTGATTGAAGAAGATCCACTGGAAATTGTATAGACTGTACTAGTACAAACAAAATTATTGAGATTATTAATGACATGAATATTTTGAATGCAAAAAAATGTGTTTTATTTGGATTTTTAGGTTGAACTTCACATACACTTAGACGGCGCAGTGAGAGCATCCACTGTGTGGGAACTTGCAAAGTGAGTCAGCATTAATTGCCACCCTCCTAGATTAATGGATTGAAAATGGAACACACTGATAGTGATAAAAAAAGCGCAGTGGCTATCGTTACGGCAGTTGCAACGCATTTCCCATTTTCTATCGTTACGGTAGTACTGTAACTTTTATAAAAACATGAGAAGAAAATATAAAATTAGAAGGAAAAAAGTGAATTTGAACGTTATGAAATTCGGACTTTATTTCCCTTTAAAAAAAATCCTCCAAAGCCTCAGGTTAGAAAAGGAAAAAAATTCGAGTGCAAAACTGAGATGCGAACCCGCAACCTCGCGGTGCAAAATCCTACCCTCCATCGACTGAGCTGTCGCACTGCTCGCCAAAACGTGGTGAAACAAATAATTATATACCTGCGTGCGTATCAAAAAAGTATCGTAGAGGGCGCAAAACAACGGCTGCCGTAACGATAGCCACTTCGTAAAAAAAAAATTTAAAGTAGAGATCATTTGCAGCTATCCAAAAAGTAACTGACCAAATCATTGTGGAAAACTTACTTGGTTTAAATATAGCAATATGGCACCAATCTCCTTGTGGAATTATTCTTCCTGAAGTAAACAATAAAAGAAGGCCATTTGGAAATTTTTGTTAGCAGTTCGTTTGTAATTTTTTTTGGCAAATCCAAAGATAAGTTGTTAAGCACTCGTAGTTAGATTTTGAAAAATGTTGTTGCTTGAAATGAAAAACATGCAAAAATGACAAATGATTTACCCTGTCTTTAAATGATTTGCCAGGAAACGTGGGGTTGAAGTGCCGGGCTCCAACCCGGAGGAACTAGCTCATATCATCAGCAGCTATGAAAGGGGGGACCTCTTCAGTTTTCTGAAAGCCTTCGGAATCTTCACACCAACTATTGTGTAAGTTAATTTTTTTCCCTTTTCTCTTGTTTAAAAACAAAACAAGAATTAGAAAAGCATTGCCATTTCATTTTGTCACTTGTCAATTATCACTTATCAATTGAAGTAAAGTGTCTTGCACAAGGACACAGAAACCATTTAAATCTGCATCTTGAATGTCCATCAACCTAAAACATAAATCCTTTTTTCACACTTCAGTGCTGACAAAGATGCAATTCGACGCATCGCCTACGAGCTCTGTGAGGACAAAGCAAATGAGGGTGTAGTCTATCTTGAGATGCGTATCAGTCCGCATCTTCTGGCTAACGCGGAGACGAGTTGGTATCAAGATAAAGTCAAGGATGTTCTCTCAACGCGGGAGGTGATGGCAAGTATCGTGGAAGGACTAGAAGTGGGGCAGAGAGATTTTAACATCAAAGTCCGATTGATTGTCAGTACAACTAAACAAAAACCAGGTTGGCTAGCTAATGTTTACAGATGTTTTATTATTTTATTGTAATTTTTTTTACACCAGCCCCTTTTCCAAAAGCCTGCCGATAATTGCGTTTTTCCTTCCTTTAAAGAATGGGCTGCTGAGTGTCTCCAACTTTGCAAGGAATTCAGCCCCATGACAGTTGCCATGGATATCGGAGGAATAGAAAACATGCCGCTGGATCCTGCAATAATTAAAGCTTTCCAAGTAAGAAACTAAGGGAGCATTTAAGTTTTTGGATCAGTACATCAAAATTCACACCATGAAAAGTCAGAAAACTAATTGAGTACACAGACCTACACAGTATGTTAGCCCTGCCCATTGTTGGTTGTGTACATTTCTGACAGTCGGTGGTAACTTGACCGAAAGTCGCGTTTGACAAACAGAAGTCTGAAACAGTTGTCATCTCATAAAGAAAATTATTCTGTACGTGATAAATCATACAGTACAACCCTTAAATTCTAATGTGAATCTTGATTTTGAAGGAGGCAGAGCGTTGTGGCATTCATCGCACCATACACGCTGGAGAGGACGGCCCAACTAGCGCTGGTAATGTCAAAGAAGCAATCGAGTTACTCAAAGCTGAGAGAATTGGGCATGGGTACCATGTGCTTCAAGATGAGAGTATCTATCAGGTTGGTTTGGGTGGCTAGTGGATAAATGGATGGGTACCTGATGGGTACTGAATGGGTAACAGATGGGTGTCTGGGTGCCTCGTTGTTAGGTGCTTGGGTGCAGAGAGAATTGGGCACGGGTACCACGCGCTTCAAGATGAGAGTATCTATCAGGTTGTTTTGGGTGGCTAGTGGGTGAATAGATGGGTACCTGATGGGTGGGCCATCACTGCGTTATGGGGTAGTTTTTTATTGCTAGGCAAATAAGGACTGAGTCACGTGGACATTCTTCTGTCCCGCAGCGTTTTCGGTCCCAATATAGTACCATATATGCACCCGTTTTAGGAGCATGATAACTTGAAGGTTTCAGTATTTAACAACGCAGGATGCAAGGCAATTTCTTGGCTTGATGATGAAGATGGATTAATATCATTGTCATCTCATTTTCTTATCCAGATGGTCAAAGACCTGGACATTCATCTTGAAGTTTGTCCAACATCCAGCGTCTACACAGGGTCATGTGACCCCGACTACAGCAAACATCCAGGTGTTAGGTAACGGGAAATTGATTCTCATCGGTTGACAACATCATTATTCAAACAATAAAGTTTTGTTTTGCAATTTCCCAAAGATCAAATTTATGATTTTACAAAAATGTACTAGACTTTTAAAACCCAACATATTTGTATGTTTTGGTTTAGGTTTACCAAAGACAAAATCAACTTTTCTCTGAACACGGACGATCCTTTAGTCTTTCGGAACACCATCAATGATGAGTTTGAGATTGCAAAGAAGTACTTTGGACTGACGGATCAAGCAGCTATCCAAGTTGTAAGTACAAAAAACTCAGTTCAGATTCAACATTTACTCAGATCTCACAGGAAATATTGTAAGCCACAATAGGCAGGCCTTAGGGCTACAGTGTTTACACTTTTGTTTACCCTGGCCAGTTTGGAATGTTTTATTGTCCTTGTTTTCTGTCCCTCTATCTCCTCTCTCTAGTCAAACTGTCCACCCTTCCTTCCCTCCCCCCTGACATTCAAATGACTATAAGCAATTACTCGTCAAGACTTCCAAAATGTACACATCAAACGTTTAATTGTTTTGTCACTTTTCAGACATTGAATGCTGCTCGCTCGGCCTTCCTGCCGGAACAAGAAAAGCTGGAGCTTATTCAACAATTGAGGGCGGCATACAATCTTACCAATGAGTGAGTTAAGTGAACTCATGGTGTTTTAATAACTACAGGTATTTATACAGCGTTTTGAAAAAAGGTCATATATCACTAAAAAGTGTTGAACCAAATGTTTTCTTTATTTTTACTGAAAAAAAATATGCATATGTAAAAGCCCTTATAAAACAAAACTTAAAACTTAAAAATAGAAAGTTTGCCATAGCGTGTATTTTTTTGGCCATTGCATTTTAATTCAAAATATTGCAAGAAATATATATTTGGAAAGTAGAACTTTGTCATTTGTAAGTAATCATGCAAGATGGAATAATTGATCAAGTTTTCACACAGAATGGAAATATTCTCATTTGTATTTGAAGAGTTAACTCAAAGACTCAGGAAGTTTTACTTATATGTACAAATTAAATTAAAATCAGTTGTTGAATATAAAGAGGCTGTGACAATTAATATACAAGTTCCAAAGATGCTGTGGTTAAAACGGCGGGGTCCCATAATGCAAATAATCATGTATTCAGATTCGTATTTAGTGCCCAATGGTGCTATTATACTAGTCCCTTCAGGGTGAACATATGAACTACTGCCCTCATGGTAGGTCAATAAGTTAGTGTATATATTCTTCATGTTTGTGGTAAAAATTAATAATTTTTTTATTTCATCAAAGGTACAGCATTTGTCAAACTTGTAGTCTTGATGTGATGTTAGGAATCTTTTGCATATTACAAATGTAGCTCTGTATTATATGAATTTAATGAGGCTTATCAAAAAAAAAAATTCAATAAAATGAGCATTCTCTCTACACGTCTCTGGTGCACTCGTCGTCGCTTGGGTGGCCCCTTGAAAATGAAATGCTTCCAAAGAAATTTCAGAGGGTTTTTTTTACGGCAGTATCCTTCACAAATACACAAAAATGGCACACTTTTTAATTAAATTCCTGACCCAACCTTTCAGGTTTAGGAAAAAAAAAATGGTGCAACCCGACGCCACTTTTTTGTTCATGATTCATTCAATTGCAAAAATGTTGATAAGACATGAATCTGGGATTGACATTGAGAAACATTTCCAACTTTTGTTAGGAAATACCTAGAAAATGTTTTCTCCACTTTACAACACTTTTTCTAACACCCATTTTGGCATCAGAAGTGCTTGTGTGCATATGTGACAAGAAACATTTTTTTAAAGTACTACATGTACTAGGCCTCCTATTTACAAAAGTCAAATAAAGGCAGTGGATATTTAGCCGGAGACGGCAAACCTGCGCAGTTACTGTTTTTTTTTGTACTAAGACATTTTCCAGTGTCAAATTTTGGTCCGGCTCCATGCCAACGTTATCGTTGTAACTTCGTATTCACAAGATCAAGATGGGAATCAGACCATTTTACAATTTTGGTCTTTTTAAGTTAACAAAAATCCCCAAGAGCCACAAATCTGAAAAAAGAAATGTAATACTCTGCAATAAAATGTTTGAGACATGTTAAAATAATAAAAGAAGTATATTCATATTTTTTGGGGATGGGGAAAAAAAACCTTGAAATAGGCCTATCGCCAGCGGGGATTGAACCCGGATCTTCCCGCTCAACCGTTGCTTATATCCACCACTAGGCCACATGTGCTACCGTTTAATATATATTATAATTCAGCCCTATCTTAGAGAGTACAGCGCCCTCTGTTGATAGGGATTGCCGCCGGCAATATGTCCACTAAATAAATGACAAGAAATGGATGCAGCACATTATGAAAACTCAAGGCCTTCCTCAAAAGATTCCTACCTAAAAAAGTGCACTTATCCGATGCTTCTCAAGTCAAGCCTGCACTCTGCTGGCTCCACATCTTTGGCAATAAGAAAGTCTCTCCAGACCATAGTGTGTCTGACAGTTTTTTAAGCGCCTGTTTTCAACAGAGGGCGCTATATCGATCGGACGGACGTCGCGAGTAAGTTTTGCTTGGGGGGAACAACTTTTGCTGCATCCCGATTCCCATTCAACATTTTTGTGACATCTCCACATACACACGTCTGATATTAGTTTTAATCGTAACATTGGACCATCAGTGCAAATCAGAGAATTTTGTCGCTTTCTACTTCTAGAATAAAAATGGACAGAGAAAATCGTCAGAAGGAATCGCCCAAGGTTTGTCACTTTCCTCGACATGCATGAGATGTTTTCGGTATAAACAATTTGCCTCGCGCCGGGGATATAGCAAGATCATTGATTGGTTGTTTGTCGTGGGTGTGTCGTGGGTGTGTCGTGGGTGTGGTGGGGGTGGGCACTGGGCGTTCATGTACATGTGGCTCAGATTTTGCTGATACGGCGTAGTAAAAATCCGAGCCTAGTTCGGCTGGTAATGGTTTCTTTTACTAATATAATACTATATCATACGTTAACTTTTTTATGTTTTCTGGCATCAGTATCGACATGATTGTGAAAAAACAGTAAAATACTAAAATAGTAAAAATTCATATTTGATGTTTTGGTCTTTTTTCCCCTTAAAACTTGATAAGAACTTCAAATTCCGTCGGGGTTAAGAGGAATAGTTCGGCTTGTTGCAGTATCAACTGGCTAGCACATTAGTACAAAAACAATTTTTATAATTCATTATTTTGTCATCTCTGCTTTTTTAATTTGATTTTCCTCCTTTCTTAGGTGGAACTTCACATCCATTTAGCTGGAGCTGTGAGAGCATCCACGGTTTGGGAACTTGCAAAGTGAGTCAACATGTATCCGAACATTTTGGACATTGTAACCTGATAACTAGATTTTTGGATCAATTATTAGGCAAACTGTACTGATTTGGTATTTTGGTTTAGTTGCTTTGTTTGTTAAGTTTTACTTTAAAATATTTTTCTCAAATTTTGTTCAGGAAACGTGGTGTTGAAGTGCCAGGTTCCAACCCTGAGGAACTAGCTCATATCATCAACAACTTCGAAAGAGGGGACCTCTCCAGTTTTTTGAAAACGTTTGGAATCTTTTCACCAGCTTTTGTGTAAGTTTTCCCTTTTTTACCTGGCAAAATAATTGAATTAAAACACTTTTGTTGCCATTTTGTCCTGCCACAATTTTTTTCTTTTAGAAATTTGAGGATAACTCATCAGTTTTGTTTTGGATGTTAAGGACTTCACCTTGTTATGTCACTGGCCTTTGGTCCTATATGTAGAGATACAATTGCTGTAAAGTGCGTTGCTCATGGACATATGAGCCATTTCTCATTGTATTTTTACCCTGAATGCCCTTGAACCATTTCCTTTTTTATGCGTTCTTTAGTGGTGACAAGGATGCACTTCGCCGCATCGCCTATGAGCACTGCGAGGACAAAGCAAATGAGGGCGTGGTCTACTTTGAGACACGTGTGAGCCCGCATCTTCTGTCTAATGCACAGACAACTTATCACGATAAAGTCAAAGATGTTCTCTCAACGCGGGAGGCAATGACAAGTGTCTTGGAAGGACTAGAAGCAGGGCAGAGAGACTTCAACATCAAAGTCCGAGTGATTGTTGCTACAACTAAGCACAAACCAGGTTGGCTAGCTAATGTTTACAGATTCTCACTTGTCATCCTTTTCTGGAAGCAGAATCCAAGCAATAATGACCAAAGGGTGCAGTAATAGTGTCTACTTTTGGAGTTATTTTTAAGACTATTTTGCATTACTTTTAAAACTCAAGATACTTTTGTGGTACACTGCTCAGTGTTCAACTTGCACATCTTTTCATACCAGCCCCTTTTCAAAAGGCCTGCTAAGTTTTGTTCTTGCACCTGTTTCATTTTTCCTTTCTTTATAGAATGGGCTGCCGAGTGTCTCCAACTTTGCAAGGAATTCAGCCCCATGACGGTTGCCATGGATATCGTAGGAGTAGAACACATGCCACTGGACCCTGCAATTATCAAAACTTTCCAAGTAAGGAACTTGGATAAGTATGTCAGAATTTACACCAAACAGAATGGGTTTACACTGATAATGGCCAAGGAATGAACTCATCTGTTTATTGTCTGAGAAATAAATGCACCAACTATCATAGAAAATTCCTTCCAGATAGTGAGAATACTTCTGATGTTGAATAATCTTGATTATAGGAGGCAGAACTTTGTGGCATTCATCGCACTGTACACGCTGGAGAGGACGGCCCAACTAGCGCTGGTAATGTCAAAGAAGCAATCGAGTTACTCAAAGCTGAGAGAATTGGGCATGGGTACCACGCGCTGCAAGATGCGAGTATCTATCAGGTTGGTTTGGGTGGCTAGTGGGTGAATGGATGGGTACCTGATGGGTACCGAATGGGTAACAGATGGGTGTCTGGGTGCCTCACTGTTGGGTGCTTAGGTGCAGAGAGAATTGGGCATGGGTACCATGTGCTTCAAGATGCGAGTATCTATCAGGTTGGTTTGGGTGGCTAGTGGGTGTATGGATGGGTACCTGATGGGTACTGAATGGGTACCAGATGGGTGTCTGGGTGCCTCGTTGTTGGGTGCTTGGGTGCAGAGAGAATTGGGCATGGGTACCATGCGCCATGTGCTTATCAGGATGAGATTGTTTTTTTTTTTTTAAAGGGTGGTCAGTGGGTAATGGGTACCCGTGGGTAACTGATGGGTGCAGGGGTGTTCAGGCTGCCTGACCGATGGGCATCTTACTGAAGTTACTGTTGGGTGTAAATGGGTACCTTGGTGTGTTACTGAAAGGTGTGTAGTGAATGTTTAGGCATCTGTTGTTGGAGCATGATAACTTGAAGGTTTCAGTATTTAACAACGAAGGATGCAAGACAATTTCTTGGCTTGATAACGACGATGGATTAATATCATTACCATGCCATTTTCTTTCAGATGGTTAAAGACTTGGACATTCATCTTGAGCTTTGTCCAACATCCAGCGTCTACACCGGGTCATGTGACCCTGACTACAGCAAACACCCAGGTGTTAGGTAACAGAAAATTAATTCTCATCGGTTGACAACATATTCAAACAATAAACATTTTGTTCTGCAATTTTTTAAAGATCGTATGGCAATTTTACTGACCTTAAAACCCAAACCATTTTTTTATGTTTTGGTTTACATAGGTTTACCAAAGACAAAATCAACTTTTCTCTGAACACGGACGATCCTTTAGTCTTTCGGAACACCATCAATGATGAGTTTGAGATTGCAAAGAAGTACTTTGGACTGACGGATCAAGCAGCTATCCAAGTTGTAAGTACAAAAAACTCAGTTCAGATTCAACATTTACTCAGATCTCACAGGAAATATTGTGAGCAACCATAGCTTGACCCATTTGTCCTGTACCACCCAAAGTGACCCAGCATGGTTTGACAGATTCATCAGGGAATAAATACAATGTAATACAATGTAACACAATGTAACACAATGTAATACCATTTCACTTCAACCAAAATACTTGTTCACATTTCAGTCCTGTACAAACACATTATCAGACACTTTTTTTAAACTCTTTGGGGTTATTTTTCAGACATTGAATGCTGCGCGCTCGACCTTCCTGCCAGAGCAAGGAAAGCTGGAGCTTATTCAACAATTGAGGGCAGCATACAATCTTACCGAGTGAGCTTAGAGTATTTTAAACTTATAGTAACTACAGATATTTACAAAGTGCTTTGGAAAAAGGTCAAATCACTTAAAGGTATTCAACCAAATGTTTGTTACTTTTTTTCAGAGAAAAATAGGCACATGTAATAGCACTTGTGATATGATTTAAAATTATTTTGCAAAAACTGGGAAGCAGTTGTTTACCTCAAAGACATTTTATTAATGCAGGAAAAAAAAGAGGGATTTTTCAATCTTCAACTACACACTGCTAACTGCAGAATCTAAGCTTAGTGCTGTTTGCTTTCTCAAAGAGTCACAAGGTCCAAATTCATTTTTTGCAAGTTCCTCGCTTTTTTTGAGTTGCCTGTGAATAGAGTAATGTACACATTCAATGCAGTAATTCTCAGGTGAAATAAAAAATATTGGAAAATGATAGATGCACAAGTTATATATATATATTTTTTTTGTGCTGTTTCCCATTTCCCATTTCCTAGGGTACACATCAGGTAGACTTTTACAGTTTGCAGTGTCTGTGACATTTACATGAGTTAGAGTACCCAAGCTTTTGGGCCGTTGTCCTTCCTCGGGAGCGATTTGGGCATTTTAAGTTTATTTTCGATTGTCGGAGCTTTCTGTAAATTTAAGTTGGAGTGTGTTTACATCAAACAAAATTTTAAATTTAAATTGTGAAGAGACAGTTTGCTAAAGTGTATTATTTGTCATCAGATTTAAGTACAAATATTGTGAGAAATACAAATTTGGAATGTAGTTTTAAATTTTATTATTAAAAGGAATCATGGAGATGCAATACTAATCAATGATGAATTGATCAAGTTCCCATCCTAAAAGGAAATGTTCTCTGATAAGTGTAACTCAAAGACTCGGGAAGTTACAAATTCAGTTCAAATGAGTACTTGAATAATCTAGAGGCTGTGATAATTAAAATAGAATTTAATCGATTTTGTGGTTTAATTGCGGAGCCCAACGAGTGTGCAATCAATAATTATGTATTCGGTTCATATTTAGCGTCTGATTAGGCTATAATCCTTCAAATGTCCCCTCAGGTGAATATATGAACTACTGCCCTCCTGGTAGGTCAATGTGTATATTGTTTGTTGAAGTTGAAATAGATTGGAATTCCATCAAGGTGCTGCATTTTTCAAAACTAATACATGTTTGACTATGTATTTGATATATTAGGAATCTATTTTTAGAAACTGTATTACATTAATTAAAGAGGTTTATCAAGAAATTAAATCTAAATAAACATTCTATACGTCTCTGATGCATTTGTCATTGCTTGAAATGCTTCCAAAGAAATTTAAGGTTTTTTTATTTTAATTTTACAAAAGACAAAATGGCACACCATTCAATGAAGTTCCAGGACCGAGGTTCCTGGTTTAAAGACTCAAATTAAAGTAACTCACCAACAACACTCTGATTGAAGATTATACCTTGTTTATTCCCGCACTAGTGATTACAAAATTCTGGATTAAAAAATATATCAAGATGCTAAAATTCATGATAAAAAAATACTGTAGTTATTTGCTGGCAATACCACAATGTGGATGCGAGTGTTAACTGACAAATGTGCCTAAATTCCGTAGGAGTCCACATTGACTAAATTCCCTGAAATCTTTAAAAAAAAATATATTAGTACCATTTTTGACGTAGTTGCGTTTAAATACAAGCTTTGCCTTCAAAATTTAACACATCTTTTGAATTTAATCTCTTTCAAGGAACTTTGCTAGCAAGACCCAATTATCAACAAATGATAAACCAAATGCCAAGTTACCATGCCCGAAATGGAATTGGACAGCCAAATGCACATCACCTAATCAACACTGATCTAACCTGAAAAGGGTTTTCCCAGGTAAAACTACAATGTATAGTACCAAAAGGTCGCAAGTGATCGGTTACTAGTGGTTTTCCACTTTTCCGCTTAAACGTTGAACTTGATCCGAAGCCCTGGGTTGCTAAACAGTGCAGACTACGAAGTGAATAAGACCGTTACAATATAGGAATGGTTGACTTAACTTAAGTAGTAATGTTAATTTAAAAAAATAAATAAATGCTAATTTAAAAAGTACATCAAAATATTCAACTTGTTTTTGGTTAGCTCTGAAACAAGTGAAACGCTTTAACAAACAGTACAAAAATATACAAATATTCATACTGAATTAACAAATGCTACAAATTTACAAATTGTTAGTTCCTATTAATCAGCTAATTCAACCAAGAATTTAGCGTTCATACAAATGTTAAAAAGCTACATTATCCCAGAACTTAATATATAAAATATTTTCATCCAAAACGAACAATATATGTGACAATTCCAACAACATCATTTCTTCTTTTTTCCTCCACATTCCACAATAAATTGTTAGTACTGTAAATATCTGACAAATGTTTAAACTTTCTCCAGCGACATGCTGCAACATCACCTCAAATACATGTCCATGAAGTTCTTTTTTTTTACTTTCTTCAACGGTTTTACTCAAAATTTAAAATTTCAGTTCTAATGACTTCCATCAAGTTTAAGTTGAAAACCAGAAAAAAAGATTGAACTTTGATCTCAAATCTATTTAAATAATGATATTCAGTTTGATGGTTGGCGTAACCTTCCAGAAATTTTAGAAGTTGTAAATCAGTGATTGAATCGTGGTTCAATGAGAATTCACAGACAATCTTGAGGTAAATTTGCAGGACAGTTGCTGTCAAGTAAAAAAATAACATACACCAACAAAAAGTACAGGTGTAGCAACACCATGTGTAACAAGTAACTAAAAGGAACTAGAATTCACTTCAATTTAAAATTATGAATTCGTGGTTGTTTAAAGCATACAAACATAAAATATAAAAAAATAATTAAAACTGTAACGATATAAAAACATTAACTCGTTATCAAAGTGTTAAAAAGTTAGGGCACAACATAATATCAAGTCTAGTTTAGAGATTTTGACAGGAACTCTCAAACAGAAAGATGATGAATAAGCAAATCAAGCAACAGGATGTGGGAAATTCTTGAAGAGGAATAATAGCAATTAATGTCCTGATGAAATTTTATATTTTTTCTTAATCCAATGAATTAAGAAAAAATCCTTTTTATTTTGTCAGCAAGTTCCTGAGATATTGATTTGGCATATGAGCACAGCTTCACCTGTTATCATGGCTTCATGAGATTGCTTAGAAGTGTGCACACTCTGCAAATTTAAAAACTACTAAACTAGAAGTAATTATCGCCGAGTCGTCGCTGCTCTGAGGGGTCATTGTAATAATGCTCCTGGAAAGAAATAAAATTACAAATTTATGATTTGGACCTGGACAGAGACGGTAGGAATGAGACAACTGTGCTTGTAACATTTGTATAAAAAAAACCACTAATTTATTCTTATTCATAAATACCTTTCGTTCAAAAAGTCAAAACAAGTCAAAAATTCACAATTTTCCTGCCAATTTTGTTAAACAATTTTATCTCATGTTTTGTGAAACACCCCTCTTGCCAGTTCTATGGTATGTGGCTCACGTGCGTAGTGCTAAAAATCTCCTTTTATGGAGATTGGCGTGCGCACGGCGCACACTGCGCTATGTGGCGCAGAATGCAGCGGTGCAGCAATAAAGTGTTTATAACCAGCCAGTGTTTAATCAGCAATTTAAAACCACTCATGTGACAGGCTCTCAACCAATAGAAATGGGTGAACTGTCTTAGGTATTTATGAATATTTAAATTAGTATAACAAAAAATGCCTCAAAGATGGTAGCTCAATGCTAAAGGTCTATAAAACCAAACTGCTAATCTGGTGAATTTTGAATATTCAAATTCAAGCACTTCCTAACACAACACCATCTGTATGTTAACAAACTGACTTCAACTACAAGTTGTTTAAGCTTGTGTACTCACCATAGCCTCTTGACCTGTTGCCATGTAAGGTCGCATGAAGGTGGAGGATTGTGGGTAATCAGGAACCTGTGGCAACGACAAACATCATAATCATGGTTCCATAAATTGACTCCAAAAGCTTTAAGAACTCCAAATACACTTTTCGTAAACAACAAGTTTCAAGTTTAAAACAGACAAGTATGTAACATTTATGATATATAAGAAAGTGGTCTTAAACGTATGAACAGTCAGGAAAATTGACATATACACTTACCATATCATTTGCATAGCCCACTCTCTGCACTTGCAGTTGTTCCTGCAAAAAAAATATAATAATTTTGTGAAATATGTTCCTCATATATTTTAAAGGAATCACTCTCATAAATCAACCTCAATTTAAATTCTAAATTATTCTGTCCGCCATAGTTGCCTTCCAAATTGTCAATTTTTCAATTGGTTTCAAAAACCTGACCAAGACGATTAACTCCACAAGCCTAGAGCAATATTTCTATGATTAAAGTTAGTTACATCTTCAACACTCAACAAAATCGACACCACATTTAAAATGCCCAGTGACTTAAATAAAATATTATTCATTAGTTTTCCAATGACCCACAAATGACACCTCAAAACAAAATCCCTTCAATAAATTGTCACCATTATTTCCGTCATGTTCCAAGGCGTTCTTCACAACAGAACTTTGAACTGCATTAATTTTTAGTCAAACTACCACCCTATTGCCAATAATTAATACAACAACTCGTCTCTGAAACTCCTTGATATAGGCCAAGCTATGCAAGTACTAGCTCACCCTACGATGATCCAAATGAGAGAACGGATCGTGGACCGGGAACACATCGCTATCATCGTAGTCAGGCGACGGTGTGTCGTTGGCTAAATCCACTGAATCGTAACCCATCGAACCATTCTCCCTTTCAATCTGTTTAGATTCCACGGATAGTCTTGATAATTGCAGTTTCATTAATTTTTAGTTTAGTCCTAAGCACCCTAACACCTTCTTCATAACCATCCAGTCCACTCCATGTGTTACACCATGAATATTAATTAATGTTACGCACAAAATATTTACGAACCATGTTTAATTCATTACAGTACCATACACCTTTGTAAATGAAAAAATTAGAGAGGCCTTATAAATTTCGTCTTCAGCAAAGACTTCTTCAGAGGCAAAAGAAGAACAAATGTTTGCTAAAGACAAAAAAAAACAGGTCTCTCTAACTTTTTGATTTGTATATTTCAGGGCAATCCAGTCAGTGAGCAGTTTGCAGCAGCTGAATTATTTGTCACCTTAGTAAACGATTAGTTAGAGTTAGCAAATGTAAAGGGGGGGACTTCCAAAGGACATGATGGGGTAAATGAATCATTTTTCCAATGACAAAATTAGCTATTAAAATATTAAATTATCGTTAGCATGATTTTGAAAGTAAAAGACTACCCACCTGCTGCAGACGACTGGCCAAGTCTTGGTGGTTAGTCAACTGCTCTTCATCCTAAATATTCAGAACGACAAACAAGGATCATAGGTCATGACATGGGTCAGAAATTAAATACAGAAAGTCAAACAAGAAAAGAAAGTCTAACACACACATATGTATGACAATATCAGTAAAAATGTCAGTGGGTTTTGTAAATTCAAAAACTGATCTCTCTTCGAGCAAACGTCAATTGGAAGAATGTGGAGGGGACTTTACCTCGAGATATGGGATGTCGAATGCTTGGTTCTGGTACGAGGTGGTTCCCATATCCGAGCTCTGTTTAAGAAAGAAAACAATTGCAGTTATCTGAGTTGAAGTTAAACTCAAATTGGATGCTGCATTGTATGATGCATATTGTTAAGAAGCTGGAATACAATCGTCATTTATAAAAAATGTTAAAACGTTGTAGGAAAAAATTTTTTTGCCTGCATTATGAAACTGGCGTTTTGAAGAAAAACCGTGAACAAAATTACGTCTTTGCTGAATATAGCTCACTCTCATTATGAACAATCAACTCACTCTTATTATGAACAATATTGAGTATAAGCTGCAGGCAAGTGTGATTAATTTACTAGCAGCTGATTAAAAAAAGATTAATTTTCAAACTTTTGATTTTAAAACTTCAATTTAAAAGTTGCTTCATAACTCTTCCAAAGTCATTAACAAAATGGTGAACCACCAACATAGGGCTGGAAGGCTCAGTTGGTAGAGCACCGGATGGCAATCCGGAGGTCGCAGGTTCAGATTTAATGTAATACTTACATCATCATCATTACGCCTGTAGACTCCTGATCCAGCATCAATCTGAGAAGTGTGTGAAGCAAAGCTGGTTGAGATAGAGCGCCCTCTAGGGTTGCGAGGTGGATCCACAGCCGATCCCTGATGCTGAGGAGCAAGACGCGACATCTGCACAAAAGTCTTGCGTTGCTCCACGTCACGACTTCCCGGATACTTGGGTTCCTCGTCAAGACGTTTACTCAGGAAGCAGCAACACGCGATGAACAGACCAGCCAAGACGACCAACAGCACCGCGGCAACTGCTACCATGGCAATGACCAATGGTGACCAGACGTCTGTGATCTCACATCGATCACCTGAGTAGGGACTCTCACATCTACATTTAAGATAGTCAAAAAGAAACGTCAAACTTTGTGTAACAAACTCCAATGTTAAACCTCACACTCAAACTTGAAACCTCATACTCATTGCCAGAACCTCAAAATCCCAAACCTAAACCTCAAACCCAGACCTCAAAACACTAAACCTCAATTTCAAACCTTAAATTAAAACCCAAACCCAGACCTCAAACCCAAACCTTAAACTCGCATTCAAACTTCATACTCAAACCTCAAGCCGCAAACCCATACCTCCAAACCAAAGCTTCAAACCAAAACCTCAAACCCAATCCTCAAAATTAAACCCAAACCTCAAACTCAAATCTTAAAGGGAATATACATCATTTGCTTTTGCTGTAATTTTCAGAAATGGATGGAATTGGGGGGTTGGAAATATATAGCAAATATAGTTACACTGACTTTTTTGAGGTTTTGGGTTCGAAAATGCTATAAAAACCAAGAAAACAATCATTTTCCTGTAGTCTGGTTCCCTGACTCCATTTAAGAAGAAACAGAGCAGTTTACATATATTGGGGAATTGTAAGGTCAGGGAACCAGTCTAGCTGGCTTGTACCCGTTCATAGGTGTGTAATCGATTGCAAACAAGTGCGATGGTCAACTGGGGCCAGTATTTGAAAAAGAGCCAGTTTTTTCCAACGCTGATCGGCCGATCAGCGTTGGAAATTGATACAAAAATACCACTTTTCCTGAAAATGACAGTATACCAGGTGCCATGATTTTACAGGATGCTTTACACTGTCATTCACTAACAGACCAGCAAGGTATTTTTAAATGATTTGGTAGTTTTATTTTTTGATGTTTGCAAATGTTGTATTTTCCCTTTAAGTTCCAAACCCAAATCCAGACCTCAAAACCCAAACCAGCCCAACCAACCTTATTCCCCTAAGTACTGTTTACTTGATACAATCTGATGGACTTACGAGCAGGTGCTATCATAAGTGACGGGATCCGGTGAACACCTGCCTCCATTCTTACAGAAACCATCCGGGCAAATATCTGCAAGAACAAACGTCAGAAAAATAGTGCTTAAATCTATCATTAAAAAGTTGCAGCACCGTACTGCCTTCACCGGACACGTCACTCGCCTGGCTGACAATACCCCAGTTAAAAATGTCCTGGGCATCGCCATCAATTCCAGGAGCGATCAACGGCCAACTCATGGCTGGAAGAGACCCTGTGGCCATCCCAGATCATCTTGGTTGAACAACTCGGATGGCCTAGCCAGATGGACTGCATGTGGAATGAGGCTGTAGGATGCGAGCACAGGAGATCGGCATGACGGAGCTACGCCGTCTATGCCAATGAGTGAGTGAGTATGTAAAGTCATAAACAGCCGATAATTTAACAATTCACGCTCAGATTCTAAAAATCACTTATTCAATCAATATCGTCATTTGACCGTTACTTGGAAAGATAAGTAACTCCTATTGGTCTGAGAACTTCAAATACGTACGGTTGGCGTAAGTCAGTGACGAGGGTCTTATATAGAGGGCGCTGCCTGCAATCTCTCCGTCGGCCGAGACGCTGTTACTCATCTGCCTAGTAACCATGTCCTCATTCATGCTGGTGTCTTCAGAGAAAGTGAGGACATATCGGATCATGATGCTGCCACTAGACATGCCGACGATACTAGATGAGATGTATGTACTCTCATCTGAGAAGATATCGTCCAGCTAGAAAGAAAAAAATTTAAAAACATCAATAGTGAGGACATTCTAAAACAAAATAAGCTTGAAAGAATGTTTTCGACACAAAACCAGCACAGCACAAGAACCATTTTCCAAACCATCAAGTTGTAAATAAAAAAATACACACTGCTAAATTTTGTCATCAAGAATACAGAAATAATGAAATTAATAGATTTTCAAAATTCATCTTTAAACTGAGAAAATTAAATTATAGTAGAAAGATTTACAGAATAAAAAACACATTGACTTAACACTTTAACATTGAAATCAGTGATTAGCAGGAATCCCAATAAGCCAATGCAACAATTTCAAAGTATCTAAGCAAGACGCTGCTCAAATTTCAAGAATAACAAGCTACGAGCGTAATGGGCAGTATTGAATACTGAAGAATTTCAGAATAATGTAAGACTATCTTACCACAGTCGTGACATCACCAGCAATCCTCTGATACTGCTCTGATGTCGGGTCTTGAAGATCTGAGGTAAACGTTGCCTCCGAGCTGCCAATACGAGTAATAGCAAACGACCCGCTGAACTGAGATGTTGCTGAAAAATATAGAAACAATAATCAGTTACTTAACCGAACATAAATTTCTTAAATTTTGAAATGCATGTGGGCATGTGGTGATGCTACGAAAGCTATTGTGTCCACAGTGTATGCTGTTGCAACTATCAAGTGAAATTCCCACTTGAATAGCGTCCTCACATGTGCGCATTTCTGAATAATATGGTGTTGCATTCAGACCATCCCAGTTTTTGCATTCCACACTCCATTCCTCAATGATGCGATTTAACAAGGAACCAATGTGTCCACAGTGTAAGCTGTTGCGTCTACAGATGGTAATTTGCGTTGAAGAGCGCCCTCATATGTGCGCATTTCTTAATAATCAGGTGTTGCATTCAGAAATCCTAGATTCAGCATTCCACGCTCCATTCCTCACAGGTGCGAATGTGAATTGAGAGTGCATGCTGTTGCGACTCCGCATTACACTTTGCATTTGAAGAGCGCCCTCAACTATACGCATCAATGCAGGGTGACTTACGGACGCAAGTATCTCCAACCAGGAAGAAGCCAGCTGCACATCCACATAGGTAGCTTCCTTCAATATTGATGCAGACTCTGTCCATGGCACACGGGTTGTTCACAACGCACTCATTCACATCTGAGACAGAAAAGACAAGAAATTACTATTCAAACACCGACATCTGATAAACAAGAAAAACAGATTTGGCACTAAAAACATCTGATCACAAGTCCTTATACAAGTCAAATTGCCCAGGAATTTTATCACAATTCGTCTGAAAAAGTTGGGACCCGACTTGAAATGCGAAGGCTTGTGATAGACTTGTGGCTCTACCACGGCACCGTTGGAGCATACAGTCATGAGACGCAAAAACGTAGGTTAAACATAACCACCAAAACCTTGCCAGCAAATATGCAGAAAACTGCCTCTAATTTTAAGGAAATTTGAACATTTTCATCAGAAATTAACACAAAAATTGAGATTCATACGTGTGACAAATGTAAAATTCATACGATGTACAGCGTGGGAGAACATTGGATTCATACTACGCGTTGAGGAACATTGGAGTATTTTGATGGAATTTTCTTGAAGTGATTTTTCACATCAGAGCACTTATATGCTCTTCTGCCGGGCACCCCACGGTATTGATGACTAAGGTGTACAATTATGATTGTTGATTTAAGCTTGACATGCTTGTTTAACAAGTACAAACCAGATGAAACTGGTAGTCTCCATGCAAGGCTTCCTTCAAACAATCTCAGTAAGACCATGTGTGAATAACACGGCTATGACTAGCCACAACACACACATCTATGAGAAATGGCTGCAGTCGCTTCCACAGCAGCATATGTAGTAAGAAGCCATAGCCGACTATCAGACACAGCCTAAGTTTGACAAACATGTACCTTCTGCGCAGTAGTCTCCCGTCCAGAAGGCTGTACACATACAGACAAAGGAGTTACCGTCAGGAACACACGAGCCTCCGTTATCACAAGGGATTGCTGGACAACTAGTCAAACCTGGTGTGCAAACAAAGAAAAACAGCAAATATTCCAAACTCTCCTCCAGTGAATTGTGATGAAATAATAATTATTAAATGACAAGTATTTGATTCCAACTCTGCTAGACATTTTAATCAATCATCATAAAACTTACTCAGCATGAATGTGTTTGGTGAGACCTCATTGCCGTCATCAAACTCATTCGACGTCGGTACCAAGGCAGCGTAGAATGCAGCTGATATCTCGGTATCATTCGGAGCAGGAGTACCAGTGAAGGAAATAAGGAATTCGATGATAGCCTGATCATCGCCACCAACTGAGGTAGACGTCAAGCTAATGCCGACAAAGTCACTGCTGACCGAACTACGACGGAAAAGTCTGTCAAGCTGAGATCAAAGGATGTTTAGGGGGGGGGGATAAAACAGACAATTAGTTTCACAAGCAGACTAAAGAAATCACTCTTTTGTCGCTAGATGTCTAACATTTTTCATGGAACAATATAAGAAAACTCCTACTCTGGGCACAGCATGGTAACCAGTGATATGCACAGCATGGTAACCAGTGATATGCACAGCATGGTAACCAGTGATATGCCCGACCTCTTCAAGATGTCATGAATAGAGGACCACACTAGACCAAATGTGATCAACTGACGTGGGTTTGAGCCAAGTAAAGTAAAACGTTATCCCAAACGTTCTCGCTCAAACTTGGCCTTTCAGTAAAGACCATCACCATGGCGACCTCTCTCCACTGACCACACCAATATTTTAAAAAATTGGACCAGCAACCCATACTTACATCGTCTCTTAGAACATCCTGACTAGACTGAATGAATCCTGCGTTGAATGGTTTTGCCGTGGATGCAATACTGACTAGTTCCACACTACCGTCTGTCTCGTACGATGCTGTGATAACACAAGAGGAGTTTGTTACAGAGTTGTACAGAACTGACAGCGTTATGAAGTAAATGTTATGGAAATAAAATCTGAAAATATAGATATTTGGCCTGGGTAGAAGATATTTCTATTATCAAGTTTGTAAATTGCAAACTTTGAGGACAGAAATAAGACCTTCTACATTCTGCTCATAAATACAAGCACTGTAAAAATCAATGAAAAATGTTGGAAGAAGAACAAATTTCCTTTGTGCATAAAAACAGTGGCCCCTCAATCCAGCAAGAAAAATCGGTCATTCATTGGCCTCAATTAATTGTATCAAGCCTTCCCTTTACAACGATCATGAAATAGGACATTTTATGATCGACCGTTATGAAACCGAATCCAACATGGAACTTACGGATTGTTTCAAGCACAAGCACGGAGAAAGTGCAAGTGTCTGCGTTTCCAGCGGAGTCAATGGCCGTATACCTGACCTGCGTGGAGCCAGACTCAAATGTATCTCCAGAGTTCTTGTTAGAGCTCAGTGTGAGGGCGCTAGTGTCATTGGCCATCGGTGGAGTCCAGTAAACAGCTGCGACGTCAGTTGTTGACAGGATGTGGATGGTTTGACCCGCCGGGCAGTTCATGATGACTGGATCTCCACGATCTGGAATCAATACATGAACAATATGCAGTCATCAAAAAGTAAACTGCTAAAAAGAAATTGATATTGGTTGCTCTTAATACTGCGGATACAGCTTATCATATCCATAAAATATATCAAGTGGCAGAAATCTGCCATTTTATGACAATACTTTTAGCAGATTTACAGTTTTCAACTTTGTAAAAGAGGGCCAACGTTTTTCTCAAATTCTCTTTATTGAGGTAGAATTCTTACCTTCGACAGTAATGACAAATACACACTCAGCAGACTGTCCTTGTGAATCGTAGGCCGTGTAAGTCACCGTTGTATCACCGATTGGAAACTGGTGGCCAGGAGCATGGCTACCAACCAATTGTGGGTTGCTACGATCATCGGACGGCGTCGGGAAGGAGAAACTGACTGTAGCGTAGTTCTGGCCAGGATCGGTAGGCACAGTGGAGCTCGGGGGACATGAGACAAACTCTGGTGGAGCATCATCTGAAAAAAAACCAACAGTTCGGTTAAGACTCATAAATATTTAGTTAAGATTGTATAAAAGTTTGAGTACAGAAACTGATCTAGTACAAACACTACAACCAAGATTTCTCAAAAGCCATCAAGAGTGAATGTGACGACATGAAAATGAACATTTTACAGAACTTTGTCCTTTATTCTACCAAAACAAGTTATCATAATTACCTCTGCATTTTTATTTTTCAGCTTGAAATCCTAACGAATATTATTGTGAAAAATGTGACAGTTTCTGTTGATGTTCAAGATTTGTTTCGAAACATGAATTCAAGAGTAGCTCTCTCATGTTGGGAAAGGGCCACAATGTACAATGGGAGAACATTGAAACATTGGACTTACTCTCAATAACAATGGTGAACTCGCAAGTGTCCGTGTTGCTGCTAGGATCCCTGACAGTGTAGATGACGTCATAAGATCCGACCATTAGAGTCTCGCCTGGTTTGTGATTGTCGTTAGCCATCAGGGTATACTCCCCAGAATTGTCTGTCGCGACAGGTGGAGTCCAGGTGATGGTTAATGGTGCGTTGTTGAGAGTGACTCGGTTGATGTCTGCTGGACAGCCTTCAATGACCGGATCTTCACGATCTGTGAGGAGGAAAGAGGGAAGAAAAGTGCTTCTTGAAATGAGTCAAGTCCAATTTTAGAACAAAGGTAGGTACACATTGGATCAAGCGAGGGTTTAAATGCTCAGAAGATGTTCAGCAGGATTTACTGTGCTTTTCTGCAGGATTTTCCTATTTTCTGCAGCCCAAGGGAGAACCCCCCCCCCCTCACAATGACCCTCAAAACATCTTTTGTCCAAATATGTGACTTCAAGAATCTTTGTCACAATTGTCTACAAACTTCTCGAACGATAAAACCTCAGTTAAAAAGTTAAAAATATTCAACAACATCCTTTTGAAGGCCCGTCTGTTAAAAAAAAAAACATTTTAAAAATCATATTGTTTGCCTAACCAGGGTTGTTAATAAAGATATTGTGACAGTTGTTGAAACAAGTATTCTGTGTCATTTTCTTTGTTGTTCCAATCAGTCAGAATACACAATAAATTGCTTTTTCCCGACAAAAAAAAAGATTTTAGGGTCATTGCCTTTAAATGGTAATTTTCTTTGAACGGATTGAGCAATTATTTTAATATAAAAAATAATTTTGGGGGTTTGGGTTCCGCTATTTTTTACTCACCCTGTAAGTCCCTAGTAAAGTGTAAGGAGCCAAATCTAAAAGATTTTTGTAGGATAACAACAAAATGGTCCCAACTTTCTCCGTACCTATGACAGTAATGTTGAATTGGCAAGTTGCTGTCTGCTGGGCGGAGTCTGTTGCCACATACTCCACAGTCCATGTTCCCATCGAAAACTGCCTGCCAGGGTTATAACCGTTCACCTCCACGATGATCGGCGTGCTAACATCATCCTCTGCTACCGGCACGGCCCATACAACCGTAGCAAAGGCTTCATTGAATGTGGTGTTGGTTACGATGTTGGACGGGCACGTCACAAAGACTGGCGCTACATCACCTGAAGTCAAGAAAATGATAGCTCGGAGGAGTCAGCGATAACCTGGCATTTCTCTCATTCATTTTTATTTAATAATATTTTTTTTAAAGAAAACCACATAAGGAAACTCGCTAAGTACATTATAATTATTTTATGGTTGAATAAAGAAATAAACTGGAGCAGAGTTTGAACCCGTGACCTCCGGATTGCCGTTCCGGTGCTCTACCGACTGAGCTATCCAGCCCTATGTTGGCGGTCCCTCATTTTGTCAGCGTCTTTGTTCAAAAGGCGCTAGTCAGAAGCCAACATGGGGCTGGATAGCTCAGTTGGTAGAACACTGGATCAGTAATCCGGAGGTTGCCAGTTCAAACCCCTCCTCAGTCAATTTCTGTGTTCAACCTTTAATAAATTTATTTGATTTTGGACAGAATGGCGCAATGGAAAAAGTGAAATATAAGTCAAACAAAGGAATTAAATTAGAAAGTAAACAATTCAAATTATGAGTTATGAAAAACTGTGAACTGCTACAAAAGTTTTAAAAACCACAGGATTTCAAAGACACTCTTGTCTAACCTGTAACATTGACGGTGAAGTTACAGCTCTCCATGTTGCCAGCCTCGTCGATCCCCGTGTAGATGATGACACTTTCACCAGCGCCAAACATTGAACCAGGCTCTTTGTTTGGAGTCAGGGTCACCTACAATGCCAAACATCTTATGAGTTTCAACCCACTTATATTTTTTTAAAATTTTTTACTTAAATTTTTTTTTTTTTAATTTAGAACAAGACATGACTTGCTAGATAACTCTCAATGCAGGATATTATTCAGTCAGTCAGACAGTTGATCGGTCGGTCAAACAGTCGGTCGGTCGGTCAAACAGTCGGTCGGTCGGTCAAACAGTCGGTCGGTCGGTCAAACAGTCGGTCGATCGGGGAGTCAGTCGGTCGGTCAGTCACCCACTCAAAGGACATGAGGCTGGACCTTTGGATCCACCAAAACAAGCTGAACTTTGCTTGGAAGAAAAGCTCAATTTGTGATATCAATTATTTCTGGGCAAACTTACCACACCAGAGTTATCAGTAACTGTTGGCGGAGTCCAGTCAACAACGATCATTGCATCTGACGGAGGCTTGACAACATCCATTCTTGAGGGGCAGTTGGATAGAACGGGGCTCTCTTCATCTGTAATAAACAAAACCAACCTCCAATTCAGCACAATTCCTAAAAGCTGCGCAATACTGACAATACACCTCTGCCAACCTCAGCTAGACATGCCGATAGCGGCCTAAACATCTTTGTCACTTGAGGGTGCTTTAAATCAAGCCGTGCATGCTACAGATTAAATATCTTGCTTGGTTTGGTCTCATCGTTCAAGGAAACTTAAATTATTTTGTGTTCAACTGAACACCGATGAAAAGTTTCAAAAGTTTAAAATAAACTCCACTTTGGGAAAAAAACTTCCGAGTCCCTTCCCATACCTTGGACTGTCACAAAGAAGACGCATGTATCCGTTTGACCCTTGGAATCAGTAGCAGTGTACGTGACAGACGTATTGCTGACGCTGAAGACATCACCAGGGTTGAGCGATCCGACAACGGTAGGATTGCTTTCCCGATCTGTTGCCGTGGGAACCGACCATGTGACGGATGCATTGTAACGTCCCGGTTCAGTGGGGACGACTTGGTCTGATGGACATGACACGAACATTGGCAGTAGGTCCTCTACAAAGACAGAAAAGATTACATCAGTAAGTTATTAAATTCAACTAAAAAGAAAGTGAAGCTGGATTTCAGCCTACAACTCCCTGAAGTACGGGTGCTGTAATGGCGCAGCTGTAGTGGAGTATGCGGTGCACTTCAACATTTCCATCAACTTTTCTCGTGCAGTGTTGCCAAACCTCTTTGTTGATAAATTCTGCTAAACCATTCTTTTCTCCAAATCATAAATCATTATTATCTCTTTGCACCAAGTGTCTGTAACTCCAGGCGAGTTAAGGGCAAAACAGCACCTATCTCTCTTCACACGCCACCTAAACCCCACCTCTTTCATCAGTTCTCTCTCACACATAATGACCTGTACTTTCATAAACACATTGACTTATCACTGACCAACACCCCTGAATGACATATTTTCAGATACTACGCGACTTACAAATAGTTTGTATTCTTATTATTGTAACATACCATCAAGTGTTGCATTGTAAATAGTGACAATGAACGAGCACTCTTCAAAATTGCCAGCTTCATCCTCAAATCGGTACGTGACGGTGGTCTGACTGCCAAGTGCAAAGGTTTCGTTAGGCTGGTGTGTTGCTGACTCGTTAACGACAGCGACGTTGTCCATCGCTGTCGGTGGTGTCCAGTCAACGACACGGGCTTGTGTAGCATTCACTGCGATATCGCCAGGACAACCGGTGATGACTGGTTTGATGGTATCTACAGGTCAAAGGTCATGGGTATACATGTCAATATCAGGTCAAATGCAAAGAAACCCGTTTAATGAGTGGTACAGTCCTTTAGAATGGGAAAATTCCAAAAAAGTGTATTTTAATTTCTAATGAACTTAAAGGAACAAGAACACTCCATCAGACAATTTGTTCAATGAATACTTTTGTAAAGTATCTAAATTTCAGCTAGAGCACAGTTCATGTTCAATTATGATACAAACCTCCAACAGTCACATTAAAGCTGCACTCCGAAGCATAGCCCGATGGATCCGTGGCTACATACGTCACGAGTGTCGTACCCAACAGGAAGAAATCTCCGCTATTCCGATCTGACGTAAAGCTGACCACTTCAACGTTATCTTCGGCCAACGGCTCTGTCCAGTTTGCTTGACCGCTGGACTGACTGACATCACTGGACACGGTGAAACTTGCCGGACAATTCAAGATAGTCGGAGGAGTTCCATCTGCGGTAAAACAAAGTCAGCAGGATTTTTTTTTTTACAATTTCAAAATTTCAAATATCTCCTTGATACATCATCTTTATTGTAACCTTATAAAGGGGAATCAAATGTATCATTCCAAAAAGTACAAATTTAAAAATCTTCTCCTGTTCATTTTTCATGCAGGTGGACCTCGAAATGCATGAGTTGCTGTAGTACTCTGCTTATTCTTTGCTAAACTATCCAAAAACTGCCTCAGCATTGTATGGTTTTAAAGATTTATTGTGGAACAAATACAAAGTAATAAAATGTAGTACAATGTAATACAAGGGGAATACATAGAATGTAATACAATGTAATACAATGTAGTACAATGAAATACATAGAATGTAATACAATGTAATACAATGTAATACAGTGTAATACAAGGGGAATACATAGAATGTAATACAATGTAATACAATGTAATACAAGGGGAATACATAGAATGTTATACAATGTAATACAATGTAATGTAGTACAATGAAATACAAGGGGAATACATAGAATGTAATACAATGTAGTACAATGTAATACAAGGGGAATACATAGAATGTTATACAATGTAATACAATGTAATGTAGTACAATGTAATACAAGGGGAATACATAGAATGTTATACAATGTAATACAATGTAATGTAGTACAATGAAATACAAGGGGAATACATAGAATGTTATACAATGTAATACAATGTAATGTAGTACAATGAAATACAAGGGGAATACATAGAATGTAATACAATGTAGTACAATGTAATACAAGGGGAACAAATACAATGTAATAAAATGTAGTACAATGTAATACAAGGGAAATACATAGAATGTAATACAATGTAATGGACTGATTTTCCTGTGACACTTAACTCAACCTTGACCACTTACCAATGATGGTAACATTGAAACTGCAAGTATCGGTATTAGCAGAACCGTCCTCTACTGTATAAACGATCAGCGTTGTACTTCCAAGAGCTAACAGCTGACCATCATAATCAGATGTAATAGTTGTCACACCGGTGTTATCGGTAGCGTTCGGCGCCGGCCATGACGGCACGGCATAAGAACCATTGGTTGACGTCGGGAAGTCCAGAGATTCCGGACAGAAAGTGAAAACTGGCACCTCGTTGTCTGGAAGAGAAAACATTGAAGTTCAATTCGGTGATGTCTTAAATTGAACAGATTAAATAGACTTTACAGACTGTCTACATAGTTATGTCGACAAAATTACAAGTTTTAAAATTGAGCCGACAATTCTCTGCCTCTGCTGAATCCAGAATGATTTTTGTCCAGCAGTCAACATTACTGAGGTGCGCCACTCTCACACACATGTCACACACTTCCTTAACCCTATTGCAATGTGCATATATGCACAAACCTGTAATGGATTCTACTTTTAGTCATCAGAAAAGTTTGATAAATCCACTCACCGGAAACGACGACATTGAAGCTACATATTGCTATGTTCCCTGCAGCGTCAGTGGCTGTGTACGTCACTGGATTTGTACCAGCAGGCATTGGATCGTTGGGATTAGCATTAGAATCAAACGACTCAACGCCAACGTTATCGGTCGCCATCGGTGGGATCCAGAATGGGTTAGCGGTGGCTGCACCAGGGGCTAGAGTTGCAATGGTAGTGAGTGGACAGCCAGTGATAACTGGATCTTCAGCATCTGATAATAAAAACAAATCACAAGTCCATCACGAGTCCTCACAAGCCCGTCACAAGCCCATCACAAGCCCATCACAAGCCCATCACAAGCCCATCACAAGCCATCACAAGCCCATCAAAAGCCATCTTGTACCAGGACAAGTAGCAAGGTAATCAAATAAAGTGCGACAAGTGAATTCCTTTGTAACTGCTTATCACCTGTTACTTATGACTGGACTTGTGATTGACTTGTGACTTAACTGTGACTGAACTTATGATTAAATGGCTAAGACTAACAACTGTTAACTTATAATATACAGGGTGAGTAAAAAAAAAAAAAAAAAATGTCGGGACCATTTTTGTAGTGAAGTTCTGCAAGTAGCTCTTTCAAAATCTAGGATATGAAAGCCCCATTCATAAGCTTTCTTTTAGTACAAGAATCGTTCAAATCACTCATGTACTTTTCAAGTTACCGAGTTTTAAACACAGCTGCCGTTTTAGGGTTCTGTCCACGATAACAAAAAAAGTTCAGTGTTCTCTCAGCAACACGAAAAACACATCACATAAGGATGTGTGTGAATTGTTTTCGTTTTGCTGAAAGAACACACACCTTTTGTGTGATCCATGGACAGAACTTTAAAACAATGGTTGCGTTTAAAACTCCGTAACTTGAAAAGTAGATAAGTGATTTGAATGATTCTTGTACTAAAAGAAAGCTTATGAGTTGGGCTTTCATATCCTAGATTTTGAAAGTACTACATGCAAAACTTCACTAACACAATTGTCCCGACATTTGGGTTTCGTTTTCTTTTACTCGCCCTGTATTTGATAAATTTTCTAGGGCAAAATTGAGTTTAAACTTAAATCAACCACCAACCTTGCACTGTGATGGTGAATTCACAGACTGTGACCAAGCCCTGGTTGTCGGTAGCCGTGTAGTTGACCACTAACTCTCCAACTTGAAGGGTCAGCGGCGAGGTGTGACTGGCCACAAAACTGACCAGTTCCTGGTCATCTGTGGCCGTAGGTGCTGTCCAGCTAGCCACACCATTGTCCATCCCTTCAGTGGTGTTAACGACAAAACTGGCCGGGCAGTTTACAATCTTGGGAGCAACAGCGTCTGCAGATGTGAGGATTTTATTATGGTTAAATTTCATTCATAAAAAATTGAATCTTCTCAAGATGGAATTTTGCGTCGTTTTTTTTGTAAATCAAAAGTTTGGTTTTTGTAACACACTGAGTATACAGAGTGTATGTGTCAGTGAAGAGCAAAACCTAATTTGAATTGACTGTTGCTACACCACCTTTTTCATTGCACAAACAAAAATTTCAAAACAGATTTGTACAGACTTACCAGCAATGGTGACAGTGAAGCTACAGGTGTTGGGATTGCCTGATGAATCGACAGCCGTGTAGGTCACCGTAGTGGTCGTATTCACAGCAAAAGCTTCGCCCATGTAGTCAGTGGTTACGTTGGGGGGTCCAGCGTTGTCGGTAGCAACGGGAGTGTCCCATGATGGAACGATAGATAAATCTCCAACATTCTCCAAGTTCAGCGTTAGATCCTCCGGGCAGAAAGTGAAAACAGGAACCTCGTAATCTGGAGAGAAACATAAAAATGTCTTCATGTTGCCACGGTAATTCAACACAATGGAATACTCGCAAATATCAATTGGAAAGATACTGTCACGACAAAAACGAAAAAAATCACATAACATCCACAGAGCATCACAGATGAAAAACTCATAACAACTTCGTGACTAAAACCAAAGCCGTATAACAGCCAAAATAAAAACCAGCTTCAGGCCAAAAAAAAAAATAAGTCGGTCTCTGGTCAGCGCGCGCGTCGATTTTAATCATGCGCTTCGATCTTTTTTTTCTCCAAAATGTTCCGCGGTAGCTCCAACAGCGCCCTCTATTTCCGCACCTCCTCAATTTTTTTTTACCAAAGAGCACCAAGGAATGGGAAATTGCACCAAGGCAAATGATCGCAAGCACCAAGGCAAATTATGGAGGACACCAATGTACATGAGGACACCAAAAAAGCAAAATAGTACCCACCTTGTCTGTACAATCCAAGCTTGAAGAGAGAAAAAAAAAAAAAAAAAAAAAAAAAAAAAAAAAAAAAAAGCCGCGTGGCCGCGTCAATTCCGGATCTTTGGTCTGACCAGAGACCGAATATTTTTTTTTTTTGGCCTAACCGGTGTTTATTACAGTACATCAAAAGTCCTGTCACAATAAGACAAGGAATGAAGATCAACAAAGGAATGCCTAGGACAAAGTTCAAATAGCTTGTGATTTGACTTTGGAGTGATTTGACTTTGGAGTGATTTGACTTTGGAGTGCATGACTTGCTGGGTTGAATAATAAAGTAAAGTAAAAGTGAAGTCTGTCACGAGCCGATGTGGCCCATCAGGCCGGCGTTTATCTCCGGTTTCAGTAGCATGAAACAACTGAGAATATTTCTACTCCCCCTGGATGGGATGCCAGTCCATCGCAGGTTACTCCCCAGCTAATGTCGGTACCCATTTATACCCCTGGGTGGAGAGAGGCAAGTGGGGTGAAGTGGCTTGCCCAAGGACACAATATATGACCAGCAGCTGGATTCGAACTCCTGACCCTTTGATCGAGAGTCACGAACCCTAACCACCAGGCCTACTCCCTTCAGATTTATAAAGGCAGGAACAAATATTGTTTGAAAATTGAAAAGAGAAACAAAGCAGGAAAGGGAAGATAAGAGCTTTCAATGACAAACGTCCTTTCACGTCCTCCAAACCTACCCATGACAATCACCCGATATGAGCAGTTGACAGAGTTGCCGCTAGGATCGGTGGCCGTGTAGACAACGATGGTTTGACCGATAGGGAAGGTATCACCAGGTGAATAGGTGGAGTCCAAGATCATGCCACTCCCGGAGTTATCCGAGGCTGTGGGATTGGGCCAGGACACGGTGGCGTTGGGCTTGCCTGGACTGGTGGAGCCTGCCAGGCTGCTGGGACAATTCATGAGGACTGGTGCTTCGGTATCTGTGTGGGGGAGGGCAGGGAGGGAGTAGGGCAAGGGGTGTTGCAGGGGGGGGGGGGGGGGTGGAGGGGGTGTTGTAGAAGGTGGGGGAAGGGGGTGGAGCAAGGGGTGTTGGAGGAGGTGGGGGAGGGGGTGGCAGCAAGGGGTGGGTGAGGAAGTTGAACAAGGCAAGGGGTGAGGATCGAGGAATTAGGCGGGTTAACACCAAAACAGAATATCCGTCAGTGTTGATTCAATCTTCACAGGTTTCAGAACAAGTAGACTCAGACAGCAAATGGTAAAACACCACTCATAAGTCTTAAATGGTACTCACCCTCTACAGTGACATTAAACTGACAAACGGCGACCAATCCACGCTCGTCTGTGGCAATGTAGGTGACCTCAGTTGTTCCGATGTCAAACATTTCTCCAGAGTTGTAGTTAGTTGTGAAATTGACGACTCCCACATTGTCATCGGCTGTGGGGGCTGTCCAGTTGGCTTGGCCCGTCGCTAAGCCTCGAGCGTTAGGAACAGTCACATCATCAGGGCAACCAGTAATTTCTGGTTGGGTTCCATCTGAAAATGGAAGACCAAAATTACTTCAAAAACTCTCTTCAAATGTCAACTTCATTTGTTGTTTCTTCTAAGGATTCTATAATCAATTGAGTCGGCTGTGCACTTGAAAGATAACGAGGTTTGGGCATGGCAATGTCACTCAATACTGGGGAAATGAGAAAAAAAATAACTCAGAAATCATCAGTCTTTTATATCCTCAAAAGTAACTCTGAATAAGGAATATTTTTAGTTCTTAAGGAAAAAGAAAAGACTTTCAGCTTCACTCACCTACGACTGTTATATTAAATGAGCACGTATCCATTAAACTGAAGTCATCTACAGCAGTGTATGTGATCGTCGTTACTGTGCCAACCATTAACGGCAGACCGCTGTAATCATTGGTTACGTTCAATGGGCCAGCATTATCCGTCGCAACGGGCATGGGCCAAGTTGGAATAACATGGGAGCCGTTTGCCCCGGTTGGGATCTCAAAATTGGCTGGACAAAACGTGAAGACCGGCGCCTCAATATCTACAATACAAGGAGAAGGTCAAGTGAGAATGACTGTTGTTGATTAAGCATGAATGGACACAACATGGACACTGAAGAATTGTGTCCAACTTGGCTGCAACTAAACTCAGAATGGTGAGAATACCAAACTTGAGTTCCGATACCATGGGTTCATTAAGCATTAACTTCTCCACAACTAGTCCCAGATATTGAATGCAACAGACCTTTATCATGCTGCCACCATTTTAGACGTGTTCCCTGTTCCCAATATCCAATAACAGTACTGAATGCTAATGTTTTTAAGCAAAAAGGAAACAGGCTGTTTTTCCTTCCAGCTTCACTTTGGTTAGGTTGCTTTGAATGGGAAAAAATCACAATGGCTGCAACATGACAGTGGTCTGTAACACCTTACCTGAAATGATCGCGTTGAAGCGGCACATTTCAACATTGCCAGCGGCGTCCACAGCTTCATAGACGATTTCCGTTGTGCCGACCGGAAGCACGTCATAGGGTTTGTAATTAGAAGTGAGGTTGATCACTCCGACGTTGTCTTCAGCCGTCGGTTCAATCCAAAACACGCTGCCATTACTAGCTCCCGGAGTATTGGTGCCAAGTGAATTGATCGGGCAACTGGATATCACTGGCTTTTCCTGGTCTGTAGGAACAATCGGAGAGAGATTCAAATTGACCTATCGCGATGCAATCACGTCAACGCAGCTTGTGAAAAATTGTCCATACATGATATACAAATGGATGCAAAAGGCGCAAAATCTGAGACAAACAAAACTTATTGTACAAAAAACTCCATGGGGTTTTCAAAGGTCGTGGTAATAACTCGTAAACGGCGACAGGTCAATTGTTGGTTAGATCTTGTTCGTTAAGAGTAACAGGGAATAAAATACAATACATCACAACACTTGAGTAAAAGACACTTTGATCAGTTTTCAATGGCCTCAGTCTGGCACAATAGAGGGCGCTGTTTCAATGCCACGTTGAAGTTATATAAAGAAATAGTTCACAAGGCTATGTGAAGTGACTGCAGCAGCTACCAACAGTAATTCAGTCATGGCTAAGTTTATTGAAGTAACTTTACATGCATGGTGCCACACTTCAAAACTAAATTTTTTTTTCCATATTAAATTTTTTTGAACTAAATTTTCAAACCTGCTTCAATGAATGGGATGTTTCTTTAGTTTAAGCCCCCCCCTCCCCCAAGATTACAACGTAAGTATCGCCTATTGAGACTTTTTCAATGAGTTCTACCTTCCACGGTGACGTTAAACTTGCACTCCGCAGTCAAACCCTCAGCATCTGTAGCGACATAAGTGACTTCAGTTGTGCCCAGCATTAAGGGTGTTTGCAGGTCAATGTCAGGTTCAAAGCTGACAATGACATCGTTGTCTGTAGCAGTAGGCTGGGTCCAGTTAGCTAGCGCTGTCGGTAATCCTACATCTGTTGGAATGACCATGTCCCCGGGACAGTCCGGAATCACTGGTGGTGTTGCATCTGGTAACCAAGGAAACGCATGAAAACATCAGCCTCATATTCCTGGATACTTTCAATTTCAAGCCCATTTTTTCATATAAAATTGCAAAAAAATGCTTCTCAAAGTACACATTTTAAAACGGAAATGTTTTACTCACCAACGATTGTTATGTTGAATGCGCAAGTTGCAACATTGCCGCTGTCATCGATGGCACTGAATGTTACAAGTGTTGAGGAACCAACAGCAAGCGTTGTCACGTTGTAATCGCTCGTCATCATTGGTGGACCAGCATTATCTGTCACGTTTGGCATGCCGATGGCTGGTACAACGATAGCGCCGTTTCCGTCGGTGTTAAACTCCATGCTCATTGGGCAAAAGGTGAACATTGGGTCCTCGTTGTCTGTGAGATGAAAACAAAACAAATCCAAATGTATAATTAACGAGTTTTTAAATTACGACATTTTGTAGTTTTGAGGCCAATACAGGATGGCAATGAATATATTTCTATGGGAAGTACTTTTATAGGAGCATGCTTACAAGTTTGCCGTAACGTAGTAATACAGACGCAACCTAGTCCTCAATTCAAATACAGCAAAACAGCGCCCTCATAGGGCCCAGCTCTGTTAACATTAAACTAGCTCCTAGTCCTCTGCTCTGGTTCAGTGTCAATTACTACACAAGCAAGCTTCAATTTTCTTAATTTCTAATTTGAGACAAACCCGTCAGCTAACATCACTCTAACTAATCTAGAGTCAAGAATACTCCAAATTACACAAAATCTGGGGACAGTAACTGTCCTTCGAACTTGGCCCTACTTTCTCTGAGCTCTGTAAATCGAAATTAAAATTGATCATACCCTGGATAGTGACTACAAATGAGCAGTTGACTGAATTGCCTGCAGCATCCACAGCTGTGTAGATGACGTTGGTAGGGCCAATCGGTAACGGCTCATTAGGAGCATAGTTCGATGTCAAGTTGGTAACGCCGACGTTGTCGTTGGCTGTTGGGGAAGACCAGAAGGTGGTACCGGTGGACAGGCTGGGGGAGGTGTTACCAGAGACGGGCGGTGAACATCCAGTCAAGACTGGGCTTTGATCATCTGTAAGAGAGATAACCAGAGATTAGTGCAGGCTGGGGGAGGTGTTACCAGAGACGGGCGGTGAACTTAATAACTATCTCTGCCCTTGCAGGTACCCATTTACTCCTGGGTGGAGAGAAGTAATGAGTGACAAAGTGCCTTGCCCAAGCAAGGGCACATGCACCATAACCCAAGGCTGGACTCGAACCCAAAACCTGCAGAATTACCCGCAGAACACAAATTCAATGCACCAGACCATGAGGCCACAGCGCTCCAGACCATGAGGCCACGGCACTCCACATAATCCAGAGTAAGCGAAGTAATCTGGAGTAATCCAGATATGAGAAAATATCAGGTGATAAGAAGAATCAACAGGAATCAAAGGATTAAAAGAAATGTAGAGATTAGCAGCTAAAAGGATTACTATCTATTTTGAGATTAGTCGACATGCAGAAAAATGAAGATGACCGTACATTAGAAGCAATAAATAAAGTGAACATCCGGTTTTTAAGAGAAAATATTATCCGAGACCCATACCCCAAAGTATTAACGCCAAATCCTTTGATCCGTACCTGTAACAGTCACAGAGAAATCACAGCTGGCATTCTTTCCGCCCCGTCCCGTTATGGTGTACACGACCACGGTCCGCCCAACCTCAAATGAACTGTTGACAGGATGAGTGGACGTAAGACTTGCCATCATACTGCTGTTATACATCGGCGCAGGCCACGTCACGATGGTACTATTGGCTCCTTGGTCAGTGGGTTGAGACACATCGGCTGGACATGCTATCATCAGAGCATCCCCCTCTAAAGATCAGAAAATGTATTCAATATTACAACTCGATTGGGGCAGACAATCATTCTAGGCTGGAGTGATAGGGTGTTGGGCAATTCTTGAGGAGTTTTCAGACTCAGGACTTGGGCACTGCGTCTCAGTAACTGCTCAATATTCTGCTTCAATATTGTCAAATTTTGTATCAAAAATGTCAAAGGTCAAAGTTTGGATTAATTCAATGTAGCTGAAGTGAAGTGAGGGCCAAGATTCTTGGAATTGACTCTTGTTCTAACCCTAAAGATCATCCCAGCCTGTTACTACCAAGTACCCCAAACTGCCCAGCAATCTGCTCCTAGTAACACTCAACACAATGCCACACAATGCAAAATGAAGTAAGAAAATGTCACACAAAGCAAGAAAATGTCACACAAAGTAACAAAATGCCATAGAAAGTAAGAAAATGTCACACAAAGTAAGAACATGTCACACAAAGTAAGAAAATGTCACACAAAGTAAGAACATGTCACACAAAGTAAGAACATGTCACACAAAGTAAGAACATGTCACACAAAGTAAGAACATGTCACACAAAGTAAGAACATGTCACACAAAGTAATAACATGTCACACAAAGTAAGAACATGTCACACAAAGTAAGAACATGTCACACAAAGTAAGAACATGTCACACAAAGTAAGAAAATGTCACACAAAGTAAGAAAATGTCACACAAACAGCTGAATGTTTTGCACAGAAGCACCAGGACACTTCACTCACCAACCACTATGATGTCAAAATTGCAGCGTCCAATGTTATTATCTGGATCGACTGCAACGAACATGACAGGATGGGTACCGATAGCGAAGGAATCGCCAGGTCTGCTGGCACTTGATGGCGATATCGCCGCACCGCTGTTGTCAATAGCAACCAATGGTTCCCAGGTGACGGCGGCCATGTTGCTTCCAGGTGGGGTTTCCGTGGTGACGTTGATCGGACAGTTAACGAAGACAGGGGCTTCCATATCTGACAAGGCACAAAAATTCAACTTTTACAAAATAAACACTTGAACACTGTTCTTTTGAATATTCCACTTTTAACCCCCCAAAAAGAACACAGTTTTCTTGCAGATATTCTCATTTTTTGTATCCAACAAATGCTTACTTATTTTCTCTACACTGATTCTTAGATAGTTAAGCCATTTGTTGAAATTGGAGAGAAAATTTGCTTAAAAATTGAACTAATGTGCAAGAAAAATATGCCTTTTCTCATATCCCACATCTGTTTATGTATACCGACACTTGTTTTTCACTGTACTAGGTGCCTGATAGTCCAGTAGGTAGACCATGAGTACGGCATTTCGTAGGTCCAAGGTTTGAATCCCCCCAATCTGATTGGTTCAAATTTTCATTGATAAAAAACTACACATATTGCCACTGTGTCTTACCATTCACTGTAACGATGAAGGAACATGTGTTATTATTCCCAGCAGTGTCGAAGATCGTATACGTCACTTCCGTCATTGCCAGCGTGAAGTTGTCATTGGGTTTATGGGTCGATTCAAAGACAGTGACATTGTCATTGTCAATGGCTGTTGGTTCCGTCCAATTGACGCTGGCACCTCCCATGCCAGGGTCGTTAGGGACGGTGATGTCGGTGGGACAATTCACAAACTCTGGAGCTGCAGAATCTGTTGGAAAAAAAAAATAGCAATCAAAATTTGAGACTCAAAAGTTTTAGTTTAAAGAAATTATTTGTACTCAATGAATCAGTCAGTGGGGGAGTCAGACAGTCAGTCGGGCAGTCAGTTGGGGGGTCAGTCAGTCAGAGGTGCAGCAAACATTAAATTAATTGAATGTTTAAATTGATTATAAATACCCTGATCAAGGAATTCTGATTTCCGTACCAACAAGAGCAAAGAACAATTTCACCTTTTATTTGACAAGTCTTTTTGAAATGACAGAACCAATCTTACCAGTGACTACGACGTAGAATTCACAAGTATCCACATTGGTGTTCCCTGAAGTATCTGTGGCGGTATAGGAAACGTGCGTGGTACCGACTGGGAACGAAGTACCGGGTGCTTGTGACGGAATGACAGACGCAACTTCAATGTTGTCAGTGGCATTGACAGGTGGCCATGACACGTTTGGCAAGGATGCCACGTCATCGGATACAGCCATCTGACCACCGGGGCAATTGAGTATGATAGGTGGGGACTCATCTGCAGGAATACAATACAACAAATCGGCACTAAGTCAATTTTTCCTCCAATTCCATTCAATTCGAAATACTTTATTTATCCTTAAAAAGGCAATTTCATATGGTTGGACAGCTCATTAACACTTAGTAAATTACAAGTCGAGTAAATATTTAAAACTTAAAACAATCACAAACAACATGCCCTTATCACGATTCAAATTGGTGTAAACACTCATCCTATCTGAAAACGTCAGAACATATTAATTTGACATCCCTTTTTGGTTCATTTTATGAAAAAAGTTCACTGGTATAAAATTTTCATTTTTCGGACAACTAATGGCACTGTTGCTGCGATGTCATTTCAGAAAGACACTGTTCAGTTTAAAGGTTTTCTGTTCAAATTGTGAAAATTTGCTTAATCAAAACACGCGTGTAAAAAGTTTGCTCATTGGCTTACTGACATGTAAAAAAAAAATCATCAGAGAAAAGGAAATTTACGACAGCAAAATATCCAAAATTCTGGCAGTTTTTGTAACACTCAAGGCTTCTGACCTCACACTTTTACTCATGAATATGGAAACTTGCATGAACCTAAAGAACACATAAAGGCACCAAAATACCCTTGAAAATGTCAAAATGAAAACTGAAAATAGGGTTAAATTGGTCACAATTTCCAAGGATTGTATAAAAAAGTTTGACATTGCATGGGCCCTTTAAATAAAAATGTTAAGTGATTAATTTTGGGAAGTTGAACAAAAAGATTTGAAATTTGATTCTGTTTTGAGATTTTGAAGACAAAAGTGAAGGTTAATCCAACTTACCGATGACAGTGATGTTAAACAAGCAACTTGCCGTGTTGCCTGCCTCAGTGCTAGCATTCAATACAACTTCTGTGACACCAAACGGAAATTGGTCTCCCGAGACATACTGCTGATCCAGAGTAACATTACCACTGTATTCAGTCACCGTTGGCGCAGTCCAGTAAGCCGTGGCGTTGCTGCTACCATTGTACAGGTACAACTCTATGTTACTTGGGCAGTTGACTAACAGGGGAACATCCTCAGCTGAAAAAAAAATGTAAAAATAATAAAAGATTCTTGAGATGAATGAAAGAAACGATTATGGTTACATGTGAATATAGCTGGATCTGAACAAATCTTGGCCCAGTTTCAGAAAAGAAACAAGTACAATTTTCAGCTGTTCAACTAGCACGTCATTATCAGCGATTAAGAGATATAAGTTAATAACCATAACTAAGTTCCAACCTATATTCAGTACATTTTGTACACAAAAATTGGGAGCTAAGGATGACATTCAGTAAAGCCGAATGTTTATTATAGGGGTGTTCGGTCAAGCGTCATTCCACTTTAGTAGTACAATGTAATACAAGTACTAATGGGTCATAATTACCTTTGAATATATGAATTCCATAAGGGGTACCAAAACTGTCTGAGCCATGACCTCCTAGAAGCCTTCCTGAAGCCTCAACACGCTGAATGCTGGAACGTCTCCGTTCGGTCCAGTAGATAAAGTTATAGTAGACGAAGAGATCAAATTTTTGCAAGCTTGTTGTGGATTGGACAAGAATAGTCCGATCCTGGCCCAAAAGATCCGAGGATTCAATGACATTGAAATAAGAATCACACCAGTATAGCCTTCCCCCTGCAGAAAGAGAGAACATTAAGTTACATGTACAGTTGACTCTCGTTAGTACAAACTCTGTTAACCCTAACCCCCAGTAGTTCCTCAGGACCACCCTGCTAAATCCAACAGAGTCCAACGAGAGTTTCCTGCTCAATCCATCGTGCCTCATTTTCAGTTGTCTGCTGAATCCAACAGAGTCCAACATGGGGTTATAATAGGGTTCAGTTGCCTGCTGAATCCAACATTTTGCATCAGGAATGTACACAAGGGGCTAACTTCTCAATCTAACAGGCTGCATCGGGTAAGTGACATACCGATGGTTGGATCCTGTTGGATTCAGCAGGGTTAGGGTAAATACAAATTCTGGTTATAACAAACACAAAGCCTTGGTCCCGACTGTGCATTTATGTGCACAATGAATGGGACTGATGTTCCTCTTAATACAAAATTCTGATTTAACAAACAATTTGGCTACGCCCGAATGAGTTTGTAAACAAGACTCGACTGTAATATGTTTACTTTTGGGGAAGGGAAAAGGCAATGCTCCCTGTGTTGCCAAGTACCACATCTTGGAAAAAAATGATGCCATTTTCAAGTCCACAGATTTCCAAGAAAAATAACCTTTACATGTCATTTCTTAGAAATCACAAGTTCTATTTCTGCTTGTCAGGGGAATCAAACCCTTTACAATCAACAACCTTGCAGGAACCAAATGTATGTTTTAAGTTTAAATTTTCATTTTTTTTAACAGCAACAAACTTGATGATCTTCCCTTTTCTTAATTCCTGCAAAACTATCCAACTCGTGTGAGTTCTCAAAAATCTGGAAGGCCAACCTTGTTTTCATTTAAGTGACCAATTACCAAAAAGTTATGGTCCTATCAGGCACTAAGTGTAGCAATCTGTGGCTATCACAGGGGGGTGTTTTGGTGAAAATATGTCCCATTATGCGCCATGGATTGGAACCATTCAAGAAGACTTACCTTCCAAATCGAGGGCTACACCATTCGGCCTCTTTATGTCAGTATCGATAAGTACGCGACTACCTGACCCGTCTGTGCCAGCTCTTTCAATCTTTGGTATGGTACCCCAGTCTGTCCAGTACAAATGACTACAAGAGAAGAATGAAGTGGGAGTCAGGGAATCAGTCACCCCCTACCTCAACATACATCAAACATTGGCTGCCATGGCACAGTCTAAACTGGTCCCATGCTGAACCTCATGTACGTACCTGTTAGTAGGATCGACTACAATCGCCCTTGGTTCCACATCTGCGAGGGAAGAGTTTGTCAAGTTGAAGACCACTGATCGTTCCCGACCATCCAAAGTAGCTCTCTCGATCAGATCACTATCTTCATCCGTCCAATACATCACATGATTCTCAATGTCAAGTGCCAAACCACCAGGGGCTAAAAAGAAAAGGAGAGAAAAGTCGCTATTAAAATTGAAAGTTATCAAGAATATGGGCTCCATGTGCAGACAAAAGAGAGGGCTTGTTGACCGCTTTTGAGTGCTCCGTGGAAAAGATGGGACAGTGAAATAAGGCTGCATTATGCTTGCATAAATAGTCTGGCGCCATCCCATTCAACAGATACCAATTAATGAAATCCACTCAGGGAACTAGACTAAAATGGCCAACTAGTACGTAACTATGGCTTACATCGTAGATCCCTAACGACAACTTCTACTCCACTCCCGTCTAAAAAGGCCCGGGCTATAACATCCAAGGTGACATCGGTCCAATACACCATGCGCTCTACTGGGTCGTAGTCAATGGCGATGGGTTGACTTATGTTGACATGGCTAGCATCTAAACCCGGGATGAGAGTGAAATTGAAGGTGTCCGTGGGCGCGACATAAATGCCTGCAGGACTCGCAGATGCCACAAAGACCAAGTCATGGGGATCTATTATGGAAATCAAGGAAAATAAAGAAGAGATTGATTATTAACTCTGCTCGTAGGCCAATGAAAATGTACTAAAGACCATCTAAGCTTGATCATGCAATGTACATGTACATATATCACCGGTTAAATCCAAAGCATCTCTGCCCACAGGTACCCATTTACTCCTGAACAGGAAGGGGCAATGAGTTCACAAGACTGAGATTGATTTATTCAGTCAATCATTAAAAAAACAATCAGGAATTTGTAATGTTGAGCTGGCATAAATAATGTCTCAATTTAAAATACCATACAATTAAAACAATCACCGCAAACACATTAGTACAAAAGTAATATGCATACAATTACAATAACTATATTACATACACATTTAATAAATGAAAAGTTCCTGTCATTTTAAAACCCCACGGCCGACGGTATAAAACTATTTCTGAAACGGTTGGTTTATAGCCGACGGTATAAAACTATTTCTGAAACAGTTGGTTGTTGCACCTATTGATCTCATCCTCCTTCCTATAGACATCATGTGGAAGAACTCATTTGTTGGGTGATGCATATTTTTGACCACAGTTACAAAGGCTCTTGACTATAAGGACACATGCATAAGGCCAAGGCACGTCTCAAGGACCATCGCCTGACTTAAGACTGGGGAGGGGTCATCAGACCTGGAACTTTTATATGTGCAACATTGTGAATACATAGTCCGTATGATGAAGTGCATAAAAGTATCCAGAAGGGGGGGGGGGGGGGGGGGGGGTGGGGTCAACCCCCCCCCCCCCCTCCTCCCCAGCTCTGTCAAAAAAAATACATACAGAGCCAGCTTGGTAATGGGGTATTTGTACACTGTTCTGTAATACAGGTTTAAAATTGTCAGATTTGAACAGCGCCCCATTGAAAGAATGGTATGTACCCCTCCCCACCTATTGATTTTACAAGGTCAATTGTCTGAAAAACAGAACCTGTCCACATTTCAGGAATGATTTGCTGATGAAAACCCCTCCCGCAAAAATTCCTGGATCCGCCCCTAAGCATCGTGCAATGTAACTGTTGCATGCTAATTCTGTAAATGTGGTAGAGACATTGGTGAGACAATTTCGAGTAATTATTAAAAACAAACACTGCAATGAGCAGCATTAACTCATCACATTCACTGAGCAGGTGGGTTCATTCTAAACACCCCCGCCGAACCCTCCCCGAAACCCTCCGAACCCCTACCCATCCCCCCACCCCCACCCCAAGGGTACAGCTCTGTGTATATACTCACGGCTCTGGGATTCACAGTATAATCCAATGAATGGAGCAGCACAAATGCAAGTAAATCCCGTCGAAGAAGCAACACAACTACCTCCATTCCAACACGGCTCACTTGAGCACTGGTTATCTGTGGAATTAGAATATATGAATATTCATCTATCTTCATGAATATCAAGTCAAAAACACGTACCAAATCATAACCATGACTTTCCAATGATATGTGAACATGGGAAATTGTGTTGGACATATACCCCTTCGGTGGTTTTGACCTTATTAGAAAAATGATCTATCTTTCAAAAAGCCAACTTGAAGCTAGCTGTTTTAAATCACTTTTCTTCAAAATTGTTTCACTTTGTACTGCATCAGATCATTCCTGGACTCAACTTTACAAAGTAGAAAAAGGTTTCTTATCATTTCATCTTCCAAGCTACTTTTTTCTAAGACAAAGAAACAGATACAAAAAAAAATGTTTGGGATTACAGATATAAAAACAAATAAAAAAGTTCAGTATCGTACTTATAAATCTTCATTCTTTTAAGGCCTATGGGAAAGATGATGAAATCAATTACTCTGAACTCACCAAAAACAGTCACATTAAAACTGCAAGATGCGTTGTTTCCCACGCGGTCGGCAATGAAGTATGTGACCGGGGTGTTTCCGACGGAGAAAAGACTACCGTTCAGATAATCTACCTCAACAACGATCACCTCCTCATTATCCCGGTACTCAGGAAGGTCCCAAGTCACGTTAGTGGAGTTTGTTCCTAGGTCGGCAATGCCAGTCACGTGGGCAGGGCATATGATGATAGGACGCTCCGGGTCCGTGGCTACAAAATCAAAACAAATCCACACTTTTTCAGTGCAAACTAAATATACACATTCCACAACTGGCAATTTCAATCAATATTCCAAAATGTCTGGGAATTTGTTTTCATATAAAATCATGATCAACGAAACAGGCTACTTTAATTAATAAATTTTTAGCGGTTTTGGCAATCACATACGTGTTGCCCTGTTGGCGAAAGGCAAAATGACACACTCATTTGCTGATCGTGCGTTTCAATTTTTGAGCGTATCGGCTTTCGATAACACACCTATATAGAATACAAACGCAAATATGTAAATAGCTGTGCACAATTTCGAGTTTCACAAAGGTTTGTGTACAAACATGGATGCGCCCAGCAGGCATCACTTTGTACATGACTCAGTGCTCTAGTAATTTAATATAGCTCTATGGGATAAATTGACTTTCTGGACATTATAATATAGTGCTTATATAGCGCTTTATACCAAAGGTCTCAAAGCGCTTCACAATTATTACCCCTGTTCATCAGGCCATGAGACCAGTTTCTGCAGCAGCTCGAGATCAGCGCAATCTGGTCTCTACCTTCACAGGTACCCATTTATACTCCTGGGTGGAGAGAGGCAATTGTAGTAAAGTGTCTTGCCCAAGAACACAAGCACCATGTTCCCCGTCTGGGTTCGAACCTACGTACCGCGGCAAGTGAGCCGAACACCGTAACCATTGGACCACAACATTGTCAACATGCAATGGTTTATAAGGAAATTGAAACCTTCCAAGGTGCCTAATTTTTAAAAAGGCAAAACTTACGATAGACAATAACACTGAAGGTGCAGTTGACTCCATTGCCAAACGAATCGATGACAGTGATGGTGATATCTGTAGGGCCGAGGGGAAACTCCGAATTCTGCGGATGAGACGAAGTCACAGTGAAGATTCCTGAGTTATCACTGGCTGTTGGCATGGTCCAGTTCAGACGAATCGTGGTACCGTTGTCGGCAAAAGCTTCCACGTTCTCTGGACATACGACCATGGGATCTTCAACATCTAAGAAGCAACACAACATCCAAAAAACAAAATTAAAATCTTTCATTTTTTCCATTTGAAGTGCAAACTACAAGGCTAATTCTCATGTAATTACCAAGGGTAAAAACTTTCCAAGTCCAAATAAATATGCCTGCCAAGCAAAAACGGTCACCAGCTAAAACACCATGTGACATATACCGCTGACTGGCGCCCTGTAAACGTGCTGTGAGTTTTCGCAGCAACAATTGGCACAGACACACCCCAACTCAAAAGATGCAGGACTGCTTACAAGGTATTTCAAGGTTGTTTCTCACCAAGTGTAAGTAATTTGCCATGAGCAAATTGGTTATTGGCAGATTTCAAGCACAAAAATATTAGTCTATGACTGAAATGATATAAATGATACTGCTATTTTGGAAGATCCAAACTTGAAGTTGACTTACCAGAGACGTGCACAGTGGTCTTACAGGTTTCCACATTTCCTGCGCTGTCTATCGCACCATAGGTCACGACGACATCAGCGATTGGAAACATATTATTCCGAGGAATGTCGTCAGTCAGCGTGACGAAGCCAGAATTGTCGGTTGCCGTGGGTTGGGGCCACATGACAGACGCCATATTGGATCCTCGGCTGGCATTGGCATACACATCTGATGTACAGTTTAGGATCTGGGGTTTCTCATTATCTGCAAAAAAAAAAATTAAATAAACATCTAGCATAGAACAATAACATTTTATTGAGCGACACTGAACACTGTACCACGATTTATAAACGGCTAAAAACATACATACTTAGGACCTAAACTAGGGCGATTCCATCTGCATCAATGAAGTCAAGTCAAGTCCTTGCTTTTACACTTGATAAACTCTATGGCATTTACGTCCTAAGGCAGGCAACAAAGACTACTTACTTTATGAGTATTTATCCAAGCAAAGTACAAACGATGGAAAACTAATCTTACCTTCGATTGTAACGGTGAATCGACAGAAAGCCTCGTTACCAGCAGCATCCCGAGCGTAATACACAACATTCGTCATTCCCAAACCAAGCGCGTCACCAGGTTGGTGTGTGAAGTTCTGGAATGTCACATTGACGTTATCCATGACCACGAATGGCACGGAGAATGTGCCAGTGCTTTGTCCAGGTAGAGTTTCGTTAGTGAAGTCCGAAGGACAATCGAACATTGGATCCTCATCATCTTGATAAATATAACAAATAATGGCAAGAACAGTCAGTTGATGGCATATGGATCCTCCCCGATTTATGATAAGCCCCGCCCCTTTGCTTTGCTTATATCTCGCAATACTAGTGGCCTCGTTTGACCAAGATACCGTGATCACCTGACCAAAAGGTGTATTCTGATTTGTCAAGGTGCACTATTTGACTGACAGACGGGAAAGGTATATTCATGTAAGTCCCATCAATGAAATTGAAGCATCGCTGTCGAGGTACAAAACTTCCAGTGTACAATGATTGTTTAAGTTCTTGGTAAAATGACAGATGCAAATCAAAAGCCGCATTCTAGACTGACAAGTAAAAAGTATGTAAAGTCTATCACAAGCCAATTAATGTGGCCCATCAGGCCCTTATCTCCGGTTTCATAAACATGAAATGACTGAGATATTTCTACTCCCCCTGGATGGAATGCTAGTCCATTGCAGGTTACTCCCCAGCTAATGCCGGTAACCATTTATACTCCTGGGTGGAGACAGGTAAACGGGGGTAAAGTGGCTTGCCTAAGAACACAAAACGTGGCCAGCAGCTGGATTCAAACCCCTGACCCTCTGATTATGAGTCACAAACCCTAACAACTGGCTCACACTCACCCTAGACCGACAAGGCATCTCCTCAATCAAATAGGATTTATAAACCAAAGTTTGTTTCAAGTAGAAATAATTGGTATTAGCATGCATGAGTTTTGTAACGTCTTGTTTTTGAAAATAAAGAAGAGGGGAATTACCTGTGATTGTGACGTTGAATGAGCACATGGCCGAATTGGAGGAATTATCAGTGACGCGGTAAGTCACTTCTGTGACTGCGACAGGAAACGCTGATCCGTTGGGATGAGACAGGTCAACATTGAAGGACCTGGAGTTATCTGAGATCATCGGTGCAATCCATGAGATGGTTGCGTCTGGCTGACCTGGATCAGTCATGCTGCTGACATCACTGGGACAGTTGGCAATCACTGGATCTTGATCGTCTGTGGCAGTCAATCCGAAAATAAAACCATCACATCAACCACAAGAGGGGAACCACATCAAGAAATGGACTAGTGTGGGATTTGAACCTGTAACCTTCTACAATAATGTGATACTTATATAGCGCTCTATACCTTAAAGGGAATGTACATCATTGGCTTTTGCTGTAATTTTCAGAAATGAACTATTTGTGGGGTTAGTTTAATAGATCAAATATTGTTACACTGACATGTTTGAAGTTTTGTGTTCGAAAATGCTGGGAAAAACCATGAAAAACAAAAATGTTCAAGTTGTCTGGTTCCCTGACTCCACTAAAGATGAAATGGATAAAAAAAATGTTGGAACATTGTAAGGTTAGGGAACCAGTCTAGCTGGCCTGCACCAGTTCATGAACATGGAACCAATAGTAAACAAAATTTGGACTGAAAAAAATGGTAAATTTGGAGCAGTAGTTGAAAAATAGTTAGGTTTTTCCAACGGTGGTCGGCCGACCACCGTTGGAAATGTATACAAAAGTACCATTTTTCTTGAAAATGACCTCACACCAGGTGCCCTAATTTTACAGGATGCTTTAGACTGTCATTTACCAACATCCTAGTAAGTTATTTCGTAACAACTTGGTAGTTTTATTTTTCGGTGTTTGCAAATGTTGTAATTTCCCTTTAAGATTTCAAAGCGCTTTACAATTACAATTACAAAGACATTTTCTGCAGCAGCTCAAAATCAGCGCAATTTGGTCTCTACCTTCACAGGTACCCATTTATACTCTAGGGTGGACAGAGATGATTGTAGTAAAGTGTTTTGCCCAAAAACACAAGCACCAAGTTCCCTGTCCGGGTTCAAACCCACGAACCACGGCACCCGAGTCGAACCTCGTAATTATGTAAAGTGAATAACCTTATTAATATAACTTTGTTTATTTCCGTTTTCACTTTTTTAAGATCGAAAACTAATAGCCCTTACCTAGAACGGTCACAGTGAAGTTGCAGGAATCACTATTGGAGAGAACATCATAAGCCGTATACACCACGATTTCAGATCCGATGTAGAACAAGCTGCCGTTTTGCCGAGTGACATTGACGGATACCACTCTGTTATTGTCCATGTATGGTGGTGGCAGCCACGTTACTGCGGTGGAATCACTCCCGTTGTCAGCAGGAAGGCTGATGTCGGCTGGACAGTAGATCATTGGCGGCTGGGTATCCGTGGCTATAAGATCAACAAAGAAAACTACAAGTGTATGTCTATCCAAAACAGAACAAATGGCTTTTCCACATTGTGTTTTAATTCAAAATAACTACCTTTATATTGAAATTCAATTTTGGACGGTTTAAGACGGCATAAGTAAGAAAGTTGTGGTGACAGAAAAGATGTCTGAGCAGATTTTAAACTAAATTATTCTGCTGTCCCTTGGCACAACGCCAAATCTTATTTTCAGGGAATAAATGCAATGCAATACAGTTCTAACAGGTTAAGCAGTTGAACCCATTTCTACTTACAATTGATTTGGACAACGAAGGTACACTCTGCCATGTTGCCAGACTCGTCCATCGCTGTGTAAATCACAGTGTATGTGCCGTTGTAAAACTCATCTCCAGAATTGTAATTAGAAGTTAAAGTCACACTTCCTGAATTATCCTGTGCCATAGGGGGAGCCCAGACGACTGATATGTTGGTGCCGGGATAGGTGAACCTATAGATGTCACTGGGGCACATGGTTATTACTGGATCTTGCACATCTGTCAGAAAAAAACCCAAAATATTCAAACAAAATCTGTCAGATTTGTGGTTAGATGTTTGAAGTGTGGAGTGAATTCATAGCACAACAAGCAGGTGGATTCATTTGAATGACTGCAGGAGGGACTATCTTCTAGAGGGGTGTTCAGCTTCGTAGGGGGAAGGGTTCATTTTCTTTGCAGTCAACGTGGATGGGTTGAGACCCCTTAAATCACTCCCCGTCCCCTAGATCTGCCGCTGCTGGCTGATTATAGTGATCACTGATTGACCGACTGTGGAACTCACGTAGATTTTCTTTGATTCTGTAGGTTGTATAATTTTTGTTGGTACTGGGTGTTGGCTCCGAATATTTCTCTTGTCTGTTTGTCATCCATCACAGCAATGAAGGCTAGCCTGCTACCTACTGCCCATCGCGCTATGTCACCTTTGTCTACTACAAAGTCAACGATTATTTCCCATCACTCGGATGTAAGCTGGGTCACGAGAGACCCAATATACGAGTCCATCCTAAAAAAAACCCCAAAACAGGATTCCTGTCGATGCACTTCAATGATTCCATACCTTGAACAATGACGTCAAACATGCAAACGTCGGTTAAGCCGGCATCATCAATCGCGACGTAGGTAACTCCAGTGGTTCCAATATCAAACATCGTGCCTGGGCTCTTGGTCACAGTAAGCGTCACCACACCAGAATTGTCCACAGCGGTCGGCGGGGTCCAGAAAACTTGAGCGTCGGATTCATTGACTGTCGCGTTAGCTACGACAACTCCAGAACAATTCATGATAACGGGATCCTCCTCATCTATTCAGTAAATGAAAAGAAATGATTCATTAATCAACTGACTGAGAAAACTATGCATGTTTTATTTTAAATTTAAGTCAATGAACCAGATTTTTGAAATCAAAAATAATTTCAGACAAGATGCGATTACTTGTGAATGGTATTTTAGTGACCAACTAAAAAGGTTATGAGCAAGTGATGGCGCTATACCAACACTTTTTCAGGATCAAACACTAGAATATCTTGTTTATCATAAGCAGTTAAGAAAGTTTATTTCATTTAAAAATTCAAGATTGTAATAACATCACTTTTGAGCTGTAGCAATTTGAAAATCTACGTTAGTAACGATGGCTTCACGACTGCTTAGAGCCCGTCTCTAGTCATATCTGGGACGAGTTCCTGACAAGTTGCAGACATTGTATCGGGTGTAAGCTGCAGGATTCTGAACAACTCCCAGCAATTTTCCGGATTGGCAAGTCAAGCAGTTGCTCCATGACGCATGTCCAGGACAAATGCAGAACTTCCTCAAGACGAAGTGAATAGATTCTACCCGTAACTTGTCCGGAGCTCGTCCCGGAAATTGAGATGTGCCCCTAAACCCCATGTGGCATCATTACAGCATGGTAATTCGCTCAATTAGAGTAAAGCCTATTGTCCAAAATGATTTTGTTTGCACCCACCAATAACCGTGAAGTTGAACCGACAGGTAGCATTCAATCCTGCCGCATCATGTGCCACATACACAACCTCCAGCATCTCCCCCAAGTTAACGATGGTCCCTGGCAATGACGTGTTGGTGTAGTAGACAACGCCAACGTTGTCCATAGCAACTGGTTCCATCCAGGTGACGTTAGCGAATGCAACACCGGGGTCTGTTGGGACATCGGCACTACTCGGGCAGGATGGGAAATTTGGAGGGGTGTTGTCTAGGGTAAACATGAGAAAGGATACAAAGTGAGATTATGGAATTTAGTATCAAGTTAATCACAACAAATGCGTTTCTTCTTCAAGGTGTTTCGCCTGTAGCCTGTAGCCTTAACCCTACCCCCTATGCCCTGTTGGCTAGGAGCCATCCTCAATCCTCCAAAATCCTCCAAAAGCCACCATGTAAAGAATTAGATTCAGCTTCAATCCTCCAAACTCATCCGTTATTTCTTGAACTTGTTTACAGTAGAGGGGAAACCATTGCCTCAATCCTCTAACAATTACTGTTAACTTCAAACACGGGATAAAAAAAAAACATACTGAATCATGGTATTCCAAGTTCTGGGTGATATTTTCATAAAATATGAACCTTTCTCTCTGCCTTAAAAACAAAAACTCACGATAACACTTGCATTTTGCATGTGAAAACAAGATGCCAGAATGACTACCTAAAACCTTTCATTTTAGCCCCAAACCAGTTGTTGCTTTACAAAAAAAAAACATTTAACCACATTCTATCTCACTGACACACCTCTCAAATATAAGGTCTTGATGTCCCCTTTCATTAAATACCAAATTTGAGGTTATAATGCTTGTGGTTCTGAAGATTTAAAAAAAAAAATTCAGCTTTTCTGCCCTGTCCAGTTTGCGTGGAATAGCCCAGATGTTTCCATACATACCTACAACAGTGACGACAAACTCGCAGCTGTCGTTTAAACGGCTTGGATCACGGACAGTGAATCGCACTGTGGTGTTTCCAACTGTGTACAGATGTCCCGGATTAGGCTGCTGGTCCAGCGTATACATGTCATTCTCAATGACCACCGGTGTGTCCAAGGTCAGATTAATGCCATTTTGGGTAGACATGGCACCAGTAAATGCTGTGATGTCCTCCGAACAATTGACAAGAACTGGGGCTTGGGTATCTGCAAGCAACATGAAAGGTTCAAATATTCGTTATTGGTATTTCTTTTTTTATTATCATGGCAATAGAAAAACAAACACCACCACTTGAATATTCTGAACCAAATTTGGGTATTCTTAATTTCTTCCAGTGATATTCAACAAGTATTTGTCTGAGAGACCTTGAGTTCTAGTCGAGTACTTTTCCAGGTACTTTGTTTATTACCAAGTATTGAGCCCTTTGTTATGAACAGTGCGAGTGCGCCTAGCGTAAATCAAGTCAGTGCTGGGGGAAAATATAAACTTGGGACTTTGGATACATAAAAATACTTGGTAATTAAACGTTTGGGTCAGAAGTACCCTAAAGGTACTCGAAAAGTACTTGGCGAGTACTTTCCAAATGCTTTTCGTCTTAAAAGCTTACTTCGTACAAGATTCTGATTGTCCAAGGCCTTTAATTCATTTTGGTAAGTAAGTAAGGTCCAATGTCTACATTATGCGGTTTTTCCATACCAAAATGTCCTAATATCTGGTAGTTAAGCTAGTACTCAGGAAGTACTCGACAACAACTCCTGCTTAAATAAAGACAAAGGCAGCTCCCTGCTCCAACTGAAAATGACAAAAATGTGAAATTGTTGACTGACCTTCAACAGTCACAGTGAAATTGCAGCTAGCTCTGTTACCAGCTAGATCATATGCCGTGTAGCGAACCTTCATGGGTCCGATGTAGAACAGCGAACCATTAGGGTGTGATAAGTCCAACCTTGTCACACCCACATTGTCGGTGATGACAGGTGCCGGCCAGGTGACGACGGTGGAATTGGAATCAACCTCCGCTGGCAGGACCGTGTCGTTAGGACAGGTAACTACCATTGGAGACTCATAATCGCTGGCTGTAAAATAAACAAAAAGTGGCATTTTGACACCTTGTGAAGCGGACTTGAGTAAAAGGATTGAAGCCTGGTGCAAACCTTTCCGATTCAACGGAGAGTCCCATCACCAGTGCGGTTAGAACCCAATGTTACCCATATACACGCCCAATTCTGTTTTTTTATCTGTCACATGATGATCAGTCACATGATGATCAGTCACATGATGATCAGTCACATGATGATCAGTCACATGATGATCAGTCACATGATGATCAGTCACATGATGATCAGTCACATCATGATCAGTCACATCATGATCAGTCACATCATGATCAGTCACATCATGACTAGTCACAAATACAAAATGAAAGCTGTTATACATTTTGAATCATGTGATTTCATTCGTGAATCTGATTGGTTAACAGAAATATCACGATGGTGAAATCAGAGCGCTGCCTCGCTTTCCAGTGACATCGGATGCAGTGAAACCGGATGCCAAAAAAATTCAAACCTGTTTGATTTCATCCTGTTGCCCTTTTCAGCATACACCTCTGTACGATGGCCCAAGGATCTGGAGAGGCATTAACTTCAGAAAGGTGCGCAACGGGCTTCAGTGGACAGAACCAGCCCAAAAATTGTTGATAACCTTCATTTTCCACACCACTACCATTTTCAGTTAACAAAATTTCATATTCATGAAAAACTTTGTCTCGATGCCTGGTAAAAAAATGTCTAGGTAGCGAGACAAGAAATGTTTGAGCAGAGCAACAGCCAAAACTTCAGATCGTTCTAAATTTAAATGATGTACATTTTGAGCAATAAACAAACTTGTTTTCTAGTAACATATGCTTGCTGGGCGTGAAGGTGTAGCCCACTGACTGAGTGAGTGAGTGAGTCACAGTGTATAATAATATCCTAAACCGTTTCATGTTGACAATGGGCTGTACCTCTGTACAAGTTTCAACTTACAGTACACAGTAACGGTGAAGTTACAGCTGACTGAATTGCCATCAGCATCCTCTGCCGTGTACGTGACGACGTAGGTACCGTTCATGAAAGCATCTCCAGGGCTGTAATCCGAGGTCAAATTGACAGATCCACTGTTGTCCATAGCCAAGGGATGTGTCCAGTTGACGGTGACATTCATGCCAGGATCAGCGAAGGCTTCCTGGTTGTCAGGACAACGGCCTAGTTGCGGTGGCGTCACATCTGCGAGAGCAGAAAATGTGTTCATCAACACAACTCAATAAAACCACAGTTCAGCAGAAGAACTTGCTTTCTAAAAACAGAGTTTTTTTCATTCTCTCTTAATTTTGATCCTGAAATGCCTTACCTTGAACGGTGATCGTGAATAAGCAACGGTCGTTGTTTCCTGCTTCGTCGAAACACGCAATAGTGACCGACGTATCACCAATGGGATACATGTCGTTGTTAAACTTAGAGTTTGTCACAGTGACAGCCCCAGTGTTGTCAGTGCAGGTAGGCGTAGAGAACATGTAGACGGCCAAGGCTGCCGAGTCAGTGGCGTTAATGGTGACATCTACAGGGCAGTTTGTGATGTTGGGCATTTCATTGTCTGTACAAAGATAAAAAAGAATTTGCAGCAGCTTGAGATCAGCACAATCTGGTCTCCAAATTCACAGCTACCCATTTATACTCCTGGTTGGAGAGAGGCAATTGTAGTAAAGTATCTTCCCCAAGAACACAAGCATCTTGTTCCCTGCCAGGGTTCGACCCCCGTGCCACGCACACGGCATGCAAGTCGAAAATCGTCACCATTGGCCCACAGCGCTTCTTTGAAGTTCTATCAAAATCTAAGATGGAGCTCATTCAAATTGTCGTTAAAATTAATGATGTCTACTCACTTTGATCAAGTTTTGTTACGTAATTTATCTTGCATCTCGATATTAACTGGTGTTTGACTGATTCAAGAATTTATACCGTTGCTTTGTGGTTCTGGTTCATGACTCGTGATCAGAGGGTCAGGGGTTTGAATCCTGCCGCTGGCCAAACGTGAAACTTGTGACAGTTTTGGATGTGTTCAGTCGTTTCAAGCCAAGGAAACCGGAGATTAATGCCAGCATTTCGTACTTTTACAAACACGCCATCATTATAATAAAAAGGGGAACTACAGGCTGGATTTGAACTCCCTATCTGCAGTTTTACCAATATGGCATACCACACAACGGCATTCCAATCCTTTCAATATTCAGACTGATTCAAGTCGGTCTAAGAATTACCTTCCACGATTACGTCAAAGTCGCAGGTTGCGTTCAATCCAGCTGCGTCGTACACGATGTACGTCACACCCGTTGGACCTAGGGGCAAAGTATCTCCCGGTTGATGGGAGGAGCTGTTCATCGTCACGTTAACATTATCCGTAGCTTCAGGGAACATCCATGACTGAGTGGATGTGGCTAGCCCAGTGTCTGTTTCTATGGTAACATCCATACAGCTGGCGATCACTGGAGCTTCAACATCTGCCCCAAAATGTCAAAAATGTCAAATTTGTCAAAAAATGAAGGAAAAAAAAACAATTCTGAAAATACGGCTAACAATGAACAAGGGAAAAGGTATCCATGCGTCATAAGTCATAATTGTAAGTTGTGAAATTCTTAAATTCTATAATCCAATGCTGAAAACATGTACGTCAAATAATTTAAATCAACAAAATTCAAAATACAAATTTCAAAGATCTTGTCGCCTCCCAGATGTCGAGAAATAATGCATATTCCTTCAATTTTACTCTGAATTCTTTTTACCTTCTACAGTGACAACAAATGAGCAGATGGCCGTATTTCCAGATGTGTCAGTAGCTGTGTAGGTCACCGTGCTATTTCCCAAATCAAACACATCGCCTGGATTGTGCGTGCTGATGACATCATCGATTCCGACATTGTCCGCAAAGGTAGGTTCTTGCCAGTAGACAACGGACGTGGATATCGCAGGATCTGTGCCGTTGACCACATGACCTGGACAAGTAGTAACCGTCGGATCTTCGTCATCTATAAGAAAAAGAATGTCAAACAGGTCAAAGTGAGAGGAATCTTAAGCAAACAGATCTTAAAATAATGGGCAACAAATAAAATGTGAACATTTGTCAGCATCTCACCAATGTATTTAGACACCCTGGCTTTACGTTTCTCAATCATATATTGAAGGTTGAAAACAAATCCCCGCACACAGTTCCGATTTTTGAACCATGCTATACAACACCCTCCAAAACAAGTCACAAATTGTCTTAAGGCAACGAGGCTTCAAATCGCTCCCATCATTGCACGTACATGACATAATGGAATCCACCACTGACTCACTGGTTGACATTCATGGACTTGCTACACATGGCTTTTATCACAATAGCAGTACAGGAAGCTAGGCAAAACCAATCGGATACGCCTAGCACTGCTTCAGGCCATTAGGCCCAAGTCCATCATACTTCATCAATAGTTGGTCATATGCCAGGCCTTCTGGACCAAAATAGGGGATGGATTTTGATGGAGTTGTGGTGGTTAGGGTTAAAGATCAAACTAAATGGTCCAGTTACCTATAACTTCGACGATAAATACGCATTCATTCGTGTTTCCTGCCTCATCTGCGACGGTGTAAGTTACGGTGGTGTTGCCAAACAGAAACACATCGCCTGGACTGTGGCTCTGATTGCTGACCACAATTCCAACGTTGTCATCCAACAATGGTTCAGACCAGTGGACGGCGCTGGAGTTCTGACCTGGTGCGGTGGTGTTGACTGCATCGGCTGGGCAATTCATGATGACCGGCGCCTCGTTGTCTAGGTAACAGGATAAAAAACAAATACAAGTTCTTGTACCAGCTTTCAATTTGGGTTGATATGTAAGTCCAGCTACACACAAGATCTTTCATTTCCGGTTCACTGACTCAGTCGTAGGTCTTTACAAACTCAGTCAAGACACTCATTGAAATTAGGTATACTATATCTGCAAGCTAGCTTGAATGCTTGATCCCGATTGGTTGATCCATGGCAACCACATTGTGGTATTATACCAATACTGCATGCTACATATCGCGCTGATCAAACAAATTCTATTATTGTTTATATTCTATAAATATAATATACTACAAAAAAAACAGCATCTAACCCACATTTTGACATTTTTATTTCAAATTCATGTATATTCACTTTCAGATTAAATAAATTTGACCAACAGATTGAAATACACAACTAGCATTTAATAGCTTACCCACAACTTGAACAACAAAGGTACAACTGGCTTCATTCCCTGCCTCGTCTGTGAAGTTGTAAGTTACGGAAGTATTTCCCAACGGAAACACATCACCAGAACTATGTGAGCTTTCATTGCCAATGACTCCGACGTTGTCAGAAACCATAGGCTCCGGCCAGAAGACAAGGGAAGAATTTTGGTTGTCGGTAGTGTTAGCGACAATGAGACTAAGACACATCAACTGTGGAGGCTCATCATCTGGAAACAAAGAATGAAAAAGGGCAAGATCAAATCGTTGCACTTTTGTCAGAAAACATCAGGCGACTATATGCAGGAATCAAATCAGCCAACCTTGCGGAGTTTCAACCCGAGAGCAATTTAAAAAAAAAAGAATTGAAGAAACAAAAAATCTTCTTTTTGTATCGTTATCAATCTTTATCTGTACCTTACCTTCAACCGTAACAACAAAGGAGCAGTTCATGTTAACATTTCCAGCGTCGTCTATGGCCGTGTAAGTAACGGTCGTGTTGCCTACTGGAAACACATCGCCCGGCACATGAGAGCTGCTGCTGTTGGTAACGCCAACGTTATCGGTGATGACTGGTTCCTGCCAGTAAACGACGGAAGAGCTCACCCTGAAATCCGTCGTGTTGACAACCTCCATCGGACAACCCATCACAGTCGGAGCTTCAAGATCTAACCAAACAAATTAATTACAAAGAAAATTACTTCAACTTATAAACCCTAACCCCTTGGGTATTTTTACTTAAAAGTATCCAAAATCCGCCAAAATCCATCAATTTTAAATGTTGGTGGACAGTGAGTCCATCAGAATCCACAATAGCCGGGAGTAAATCTGTTGAGATCCTGAATCCATCAAAGTCCCCAACTGCTCAATATGCAGGTATCCTGAATCCATCAAAATCCTGCAGTACCGCTAGGCTTCATGTCCTGAATCCATCAAAATCACCAAACTTTTTCAATATGGAGGTATCCTGATTCTGACGAAATCCTCCAAAACAGGGGTGTGGATTTTGATGGATTCAGGTACGTTAGGATTCGTACAATTTGCTCCAATATTTTCCCCAAATTATCCTTCCTGTTGGTAAGTCAATATTCACAGCAAATGTAGAATCCTACGGACAAGTTTCGAACCCTCATTGGTTTCTATACCACCTGAGTACGCTTGTGGATTTTTTCCTGCTACCTTTTGGACAACAATGAGTATACAGTGTTTATAAATATGTCCTATCACTCACCAACGACCGTGACGAGAAACGAGCATCGGCCAACATTGCCTGCCGCATCCTCTGCAGTAAGGTCAACGCCGGTCTCGCCCACAGGGAAAACACTGCCTTCCATGTGGCTGCTGGTCATGTTAACGACACCAACATTATCAGTGACGTTAATCCCTGGCCAATTGACAGTGGTATAGTTATCGCCTGGCATACCAGGATTTGTGGCAATCGTGATATTCTCACAGCCTGAAAAGACGGGCGACTCTTCATCTGGGGGGGGGGGGGGGAGAAACAAGATCAATCAGGGAAATCTCTGGCACTTGCAACCAAAAATGTTGTTAAACAGACTGATGTACAATTAAAGTTCAAGACATGAATTTTGTTAAACGACCGCGTTCATCTCGCCGATCTATTTGCCAAAAACTTGCTAGCTTCTGGAAAACATCGTCACATGCTTCCCAACTCAAACTCACTAAATGGAATCTCAGAAACTCCAACCACTTTAGCATGCCTCCTATCAGCACTCAGAGATGTAAACAATCTCCTGTCCCCTCTATGATTAGATCAATTAATTCTCAGTAGTTGTGGTTTTTAGGTGTTCATATAATTCGAGCGATTTACAAAGCAGTGCGCCACCAAGAGTTTGCCGTGGAGAGTCCATTTTTCAATTTACGGTCGACAAAACACGGCCGATTTGAATGAGTGTCAGTAGACAACTTGAGCTCATTTGTTACAGATTGTTACGAATTGTTTCTCCTATTTCATTTGGTTTTCATTACATATTTTTTTACCTGTGATGACAGTCTCTGTTATAGTTTTTTTGTTCAAGCTTTACTGTTTACACATATATTGCTTAGTAATCATTGTAAATATGAACTTTCACTGTAAAGCAAATATATTTAGTCTCTGGACTTTTTCTTTGCTCACCATTTTTTAACAATAAAACTGAAATGAATGAATGAATGAATGAACGAAAAAACGAAACATGGACCATCTCAGATTTACCTGTAACTGTAACCAGAAAGGTGCAAACGGCCTCATTTCCGGAGGCGTCTGTGGCCGTGTTTAGCACGGTCGTGTTCCCCACGATGAAAAGTGAGCCTGACCTGTGCGACATGACCACAGACTCAATTCGGTCGTTGTCGTCAAAGTCAATTGCCGTCACAAACTTCACATAGGACATATTACTGCCTGGATTAGTTGATACAGCTGTGTCATTTGGACATGACAATACCTCAGGAGGCTCCAAGTCTGAAATAAAACAAATTCAAAACATTCAAAACCTGAAGCTGTAAAACCATGGGGGTATCACACATGTCTAACCAATAGATACTTTGACTTCACCGCAATGGTGTGGAGCATTTGCTTTTTACGACTTATGTTTTTGTTTAAACAACAAAATCGTTCAATAATCTTAGGTCACATTTCCAATGTTGTGAGTGTGCTCACCCAAGACACGCAGCTCAAATTCACAAATGGCCATGTTGCCTGCTGGATCTATCGCTGTGTAGCGGATGGTGATGTTTCCTATGGGCAGGGAACCGTTATTCTCGCGAGTTGAATTAAACGAGACCAGCTCGACATTATCCGTTGCCATTGGTTCGGTCCAGTTGTAGGCTGCTGTATTCAGACCTGGTTCGGTGGTCAGGTTGTACACGGACTCTGGACAGTCGGTAATCACTGGATCCTCTTCGTCTGGTAAGAACAACAAAATTCACCAGAGATGTGTCAATCTTTACAATCAACAATTTTATAATTTTTTTCTAATAGAACAAAGGCATTGACTGCAGTGGAGTATGAACCTGCAACCTCCAGGTTACTGTTCGGTGCTCTACCAACTGAGCTGTCTAGCCCTGTCCATGATTTTATTCAAATTCTGAACAATGAATATAACTGTTAACCAATTGATTTGACCTGAAATATATAATCAAAAACATGTATTAAAGCGGGTCTGATGTTTAAGAAGGGCTTGATAATGTGGCGTCACAGGTACAAAGCTAAAAAGCCCAATTCAGTTGCATGTTTCAAACCAAATATTGATTCAAAGTTATCTGATAGTAGTATGTGAACAAGAGCGGCGCTTTTTTTACCAATCTCCAGAGCCCAGTGGATGCGAAACACGGCGTGACCGTACAGGCTCACGCCGATATAACGCAAATTGAAGTACGCACAACTTATTTTATTTTGAATGTGCACAAAGCCATAGCGTCTTCGCGTGAGCGTCAGGCGTCGTCAGCAATGCGTTCAAATGTCTCTCCCAGTGGTCTCCCCCAACTCTCACCGTCTTACCGTTGAGGGGGTACTTGTGCAGAGAGCCAATCATTCATAAAAAAAACCAGCACAAAACTTCAGGCTGGGTGAGTCCAATATTTGTACGCAAAAGAGTCATAATCACCCCTATTTGAATCAATGGATCGATCCATTAGACCCCGACCACTGCAACGTTGGTTGAAATCAGAGCCCTGATTGGTCACAATCACCACGGGGTGTGGCTCAGTGGAGTAGTCTTTGGTGCAATCCCCAAACTGCACTGAATCCCACCATAATGACTGTAGAAGCGTAGCCATGTATCAAATCCACTAAAAAAAAAAAAAGCAACCCAACTTACCCTTCACGATGATTAGGATCACACACGGATCAGCGTTACCACCAGCTGCATCTACGGCAGTATACTTGACACTCATTTGACCATACGGTAGAAGAACTGGAAGCATTAGATTAGGGTTGGCCTGTGGTACAATCATTTCTAAGGAATTATCCTGGACGATTGGCGTGGCATAATTCACAAGTGCCATGTCACGTCCTGGATCAAGTACGAACTCCACGGTTTCTGGACAAGTGATGAATTCAGGAATACCAACATCTGCAAAAATGGAAAGAGCCACAAAACGTGAAAGAAACACAAGCTTATTCATATGACAGCTCTGTGTTTAAGACCATCATTCAAAACAGTCTGTGTGACGGACTTGTTTATCTACTAGTTAAGTTTTTGTTTCAGGTTTGCATGGTCAGAGAGAATAAGGTAGGGGCAGTGGTTACTGTCCTCGCCTTCCACGGGGTTCGATTCCTGCCCTGGTCCACATGTGGATTCAGTTTTCTGTCCCTACCTGATTCTGTTCAGAATATATTATAATATTGACATTGAGTCCCTTCTTTTCTTTTCTTTTCTTTACTTTTCCCTTAATATTTCTTTCTCTTTGTCTCTTTTATTTGAATTTTGGGTGGGCCGACGATATACCCCCCCCTATTCCCCCTGCTACTACCTACTCACCTGTAACAGATACAGTGAAGTTACAAACAGCACTATTGTTGGAAGTGTCTGTGAACGTATACGTCACTTCTGTATCACTCCCTGCAAGGAAGGAATCTCCTGGGTAATGAGTCGACGTCACGTTGATCTCGCTAGGGGAATCGCAGTTATCAGTGGCGTTTGGAGGAGCCCAGGAAACATTGTAATACATCTCTGCCGTTGCATCCATAATGTTCATAGGGCAGTTAGCAATCACTGGGGGCTCAACGTCTATCCCAAGATAAAACAAGAAGAGATGTGTTTATATACCAACCTAAATGCCTGGCCACCGGGGCCCAATTTCACGGCGCTGCTAAGCACACAAATTTGCTAAGCACAAAAAAAACTCTGGCTTATAAAAGCAGGTTTCCAGCCAAAACTCCATTTTCATGATTTTCATGCTAAGCAAACAATAGCTAAATACTAATCACAAGCAATATACATCATATGGAGTTTTGGCTGGTAGCCTTTAAAAGCCCGAATTATTTTTCTTTTTTTTGTATAATTATAAACTTTTGATATTTTCTTCTAATACCAACATTTGACATTGTATTTTATTTTTTATGTGGTAAAGCCTGGGTCCTGTGCATCGAACAGGCATAGCTGTAGTGTTTTTTTGTTGGTTCCAAACAATTAAATCAATTGCACCTGTTACATACCATTAACGGACACAGTGAAGCTGCACATTGCAGTGTTGCCTGTTGCATCAGTAGCATTGCAACTGACGATGGCTTCACCGAAATCGAAAACAGTACCATTCATAGTGTCACAAACCACCGTGACATCGTCTTCATCCTCCACAGTAATCACATAATTCACTGTAGCATTTTTCATCCCAGGCATCGCATCAACGCTTACATCCTGACACGTGATATTTGGGGGTGCATCATCTGTTAAAAAAATGGTGACAAACAATGAATACATTATGACTTGATGAATGCAAATAAATCCTTTTTATTCCATGCAATTCAAAGGTTACATGCTCTGACTAGTAAATTGTACAAATAATGAATGTTTTTGAGTGCAATGCATGGTAAGAACAATGTCATAAGGTGACTTCAATCTGAGACTGAGACCAAGAGCCAGAGGATCACGTCTTGGCACAAAACTGAGAAAGAAACTTGGAGGTCTAAGCCCGAGACTGGGAGCCCTTAGTCCGGAAAGGAAACTGAGACCCGTAGGCCAGAAATCAAGACAAAGACCAAGACTCAAGATGTTTGTGAGTGAGACATTTATCAGGATGTCTGAGATGAACCATGGGGACTTCCTGTGCATATTACATAAAATACTGCAAGTGAAACTTGCGCGATCCCCCTGGCATGCCAGCAGTATTTACACAGTCAGTAAGTAAACACACTTTTCAGGGTACCTACCTACAATCAACAATGACCTCATTTGACCCCTAGAGGACCTTTGACCTCAAATGTCTCAAGTCATCTTAAATCCTCCTACCCAAAGCTTATAGTCATCAAGTTTGGTTGAGATTGAAGTCTGACTTTTCAAATAACATCACTAAACAGGATAAAAAAGTACCGGTAACGTGTACTGAATTATTAAGGCCAGTTCGCACTTTCACATGACTAAAAGGATGAAAACGCATGCTTGCAGTTCAACTGTTGCTTAATTGCTCCCAACACAAAATGTTCTGATGGTTTTGAATTTGAATTTCTAGACTTAAAACATTACAATAGATACATGGCCACGAGAGACAGAGACCAAGACCAGAAACCAAGACCAGCTATTGCTACAGACCTACAAGTACTCCCACGCAACTCACATCCGGGCAGAAGGGGAGGGGCATTGGTGAATAAGTGAGAAGAATAAAAGAGAAGTGTGTAGGCCTCCAACTTACCAATTACCGTCACGTTAAATGCGCACTCATCCATGTTGCCTTGTGCATCAATGGCCGTACAATTTACTGGATTTGTACCTGGTGGAAACTCTTGACTGATCGGGATAGCAATTGTCATGCCTGTCAATACATCTATGCACACAGGGGTGATGTTCCCGTCGACAAAATCAAAGGCAGAAACATTCAGAAACAACTCAGCTGCTCTGGTTGCATTCACAACTTGGTCGGATGGACACATGAGAATTGGATCTTCATTATCTACACACACACACAAACAAACAAAAATCACCCTCCATTCATGAACGAAAGAGCAAGACAGAATTAATAGAATGGTGTCATAGATAATTATATACTGGATGGCTTTGGGGGATATATAAGAATATATTGCATGAGCTACAACAATAATGCACGAGTCGAAGACAAATGCAATATTGTCATAGCGAGTGCAACATATTCTGTAATATAACCGACATACAGATCCTTGTCATTTGATTGGTGGAACTCACATCACATGACATTCGTTATCTACTCCCATTCACGCAGGGTCTCAAAAAGTCCCATTCGCCCATGGGGAATGGGAAATACTATCCAACAGTTAGGATCATTCTTGTTCAGTGACGCGGTATTTGTGTGCAAATGCATGCTGGTGTGCGCATTCAGCGTTGCGCGTATTGTTCTTAAGAGCCAGCGTTACAGCGTTTTGTTCAAACATTTTCATGAAGAGGTGGTTTGGAAGAGGGAAATACATTTTCCTCAAATTTTGTGTTGAAATAAAAGTTCAAATGCATCAAATGACAAGGATCCATGTGTCAGTTATATAAAACAAATATTGAGTGGCTTTAAATTGTGAAATGGGAGGAATATCGCTCGATAAAATCTGGACTTTTCCAGTTCACTCACCTTTGCCTCGTGAAAAGGAAAAGTCCAGATTTTACCTTGCGATAAAATCACATACGTAAAAATGTAACCGTTTAACATTTTCTTGTTTTTCTCCGTATGCATTCCTAAGGAACCAATCAGTGATTGCGAAATGGGGAGTGCACAAACATATGCAGTTGATCAAGCGTCACTTAGTACATGTTCAATGCAGTGATGCCCCGCACGAGTGCGCATACCACCAGTATCGAATGGGAAGCCAGCGTTTCATAAAATGGCTGTGCCCCATTGCTGCAAATTCTCCAAGACGTTACTGCGAGAAATAAAAAAACAACTGAACAAGGGTGCTCTTAATGCAACCATCACCACTGATCAGTCGTCTTCAGCCAAGACGTACCATGATTTTTAACATGTACATGTGAGTGTCGTTGTATGCGACAACACATGAACTAGCAATCAATGTAAAAACCTTTGAATTTACAAGTGACTGTCAATTGCAGCACAGATCTAGTAACAATGCACTTGTTTTCATTTGCAAAGAATGTTGTGTCTGACACCACTTTTTCATCTCAATGGAGGTCAGTCATTGCAAAAATGTTGAAAAGACATGAATCTGGAACTGAGAAACGTTTCCAATTTTGTTAGACAATATTCACAACAAAACAAGTGGCATCTGGGTACGACAGTCATTCCTGCTGTAGGGAAGCCTATAAGTGCCATTCAAAGTATAATGTATATAACTTTAAATGGCACTAATGGGCTTTCATATCATAAGTAGTGTCATGAGTGCACTGACCTGTTACAGTAACATTAAATTCACATTCAGTAGCAGCTTCGTTGCCCGCTGCATCGAATCCACGGATGTTAACTGTCGTCACTCCCACACCAAATGCAGCTGGAGACTGATGGGATGCTGACAGGCTTGTCCCGTAGTCAACATTATCAGTGATTGTAGGTAGTGTCCAGTTGACAGTTGCAGTATTATTACCAAGGTCCGTGTCGAACTGTAGATTTGCAGGACAGTTCTGTAAGCTAGGAGGCTCAGGATCTATGGAGAAATAAATACAGTACCAACAGTTATAGGCCGACAAGCATTGATAAAATGAGATCTCAAAATGAAAGATTTAGTTGGGCAGTGGATATTTAGCTTGATCTGCCTTAGCTTAGCCCGGACCTCACTTAAGCTACAAATACTACCGAGTAGTAACCTGTAGATGTAGTGCATTTCTTTCCATACAACTGTACACAACACATGTAGATTTTTCCAAGTTCGTTTTTACGAAATATATTTTTTCCAAGTTCGTTTTTACGAGATAGTCCAGTCAGTACAGCAGGGCGACACAGGATATCTGAATATACAGCAAATGAAACTTTGCTTCGTTCCCACGTGCCTCAGGGGCCTGTACACGTGGGCTAGGCCTAGGATCGATCCAGAACTCGCATGTCTGATGAACGCCATTTAACGCGCACGTGACACTTTGCACACAAGAAAATCCCGTAAAAACGAACTTGGAAAAAATATATCTCGTAAAAACGAACTTGGAAAAAATATATCTCGTTAAAACGAACTTTGGAAAAATATATACTTGATGTACAGGGCTTTCGTACATTCCGATTTTTAAGCCGAATCGCCGCGAAAAGCAATTCGTGAGCCCGGGAATGGTGTGACCCTCGCATAAATGGACCGATCCAGTAAGCACCGCCCCATGGTATTCTGACCAATCACAGCCGTGATTTATGTCCGACATGCGTGCACAAAAGTCCGACATGCGTGCACGCGCGAATGATGCGCGCGGCAGGGAAATGCAGGGTGGCATTGGAGAGGAGCACGTGTTAAAGGGAATATACATCATTTGCTTTAGCTGTAATTTTCAGAAATGGATGGAATTGGGGGGTTGGAAATATAAAGCATTATAGTTACACTGACTTTTTGGAGGTTTTGAGTTCGAAAGTGCTATAAAAACCAAGAAAAACGATCATTTTCCTGTAGTCTGGTCCCCTGACTCCATATAAGAAGAAACAGAGCAGTTTACATACATTGGGGAATTGTAAGGTCAGAGAACCAGTCTAGCTGGCTCGTACCCGTTCATAGGTTTGTAATCGATTGCAAACAAGTGCAATGGTCAATTGGGGCCAGTATTTGAAAAAAAAGCCAGTTGTTTCCAACGCTGATCGGCCGATCAGCGTTGGAAATTGATACAAAAATACCACTTTTCTTGAAAATGACAGTATACCAGGTGCCATAGTTTTACAGGATGCTTTAGACTGTCATTTACCAACATCCTATTAAGGTATTTCGCAAAAACTTGGTAGTTTTATTTTTCGATGTTTGCAAATGTTGTATATTCCCTTTAATTTGCCCACGTGCGCAGTGGGAGGAGCTTACTGGATCGGTCCATTACGCGCGCGTGGACCGAACTCAAGTCCACTGACTTGAGTTTTACTTCGTGGTGACTTCGACCCTCTTTACTGTTTCCTGTTGAGAAGGTGTTCAGGGTCGAGATCGACTCACAGGCAAGGGAGGGGCCATTTTGACAGCTCTGAGACATTTTTATCGAAAAAAAAGGTTTCTTAACGTGAATAGTTCAAGGAATGCATGTAGAGTTGGCTGATCACCTATCGAAAATTCCCATAGTTAATTCGTTGGCGTGATTGTTTATATACTTGTTGGATATGGAAAGATTTATCATTTTGAAGATTTAATTTAAACATTATTTCCCGAAATTCTTGTACCCCCTGTACATGTACTTAAAGGGAAAATACAACATTTGCAAACATCAAAAAATAAAACTACCAAATCATTTTGAAATACCTTGCTGGACTGTTTGTGAATGACAGTGTAAAGCATCCTGTAAAATCATGGCACCTGGTATACTGTCATTTTCAAGTAAAGTGCTATTTTTGTACGCTGATCGGCCGATCAGCGTTGGAAAAAAACTGGCTTTTTTCAAATACTGGCCCCAGTTGACCATCGCACTTGTTTGCAATCGATTACACACCTATGAACGGGTACAAGCCAGCTAGACTGGTTGCCTGACCTTACAATTCCCCAATATATGTAAACTGCTCTGTTTCTTCTTAAATGGAGTCAGGGAACCAGACTACAGGAAAATGATTGTTTTTCTTGGTTTTTATAGCATTTTCGAACCCAAAACCTGAAAAAGTCAGTGTAACTATATTTGCTATATATTTCCAACCCCCAATTCCATCCATTTCTGAAAATTACAGCAAAAGCAAATGATGTATATTCCCTTTAACATATTCTCAATTTATAATTTTTTCGAGGGTGGGCGGGGGAAAATGTAGCCAACCCCAACCCAATTTTTGGGACCCACTTTTTGGGAGACCAAATTTTTTTGGGCCCCCCCCCCCCAAAAAAAAAATTGTGTTCTGGTGCATTTTCAAGGAATGCATTAAAAAAAAAAAACTAAGGCCCTATATTAAAAAAAACCAAAAATTACATTGCATGAGCCCTTTTAAGAAATAAGATTCACCCTTCAAAGAATACCGTGAGAGTTATAGTTGAGCAATGGATAGTATTGGTAAAAAATAAAACCTACCCGTCACAGTTACTTGGAATGTGCAAGAGTCCTGCGTTTGCGTTGAATTCTCATATGCCGTGCATGTGATGTTGTTGACGCCATACTCATACTGAGGTGATCCTGATAGAGTTATATTACTACCGTCGTTGATGGTACACGATATGTTGGTAACCACAGTGACCACTGAAGAGCCATCTTCTAAATCGTGCGTGGCAACAGGTTCAGACGGTTCCAGGACGATTGTAGATGAGAAACTCTGCCCATTATCTGTGTTGCCTGTTGCCGGTTGTGGACACCAAATCGTGACAGTGGGAGCTGTGAAATGTAGGAGGAAATCAAACCAAAACTGCATTATTTCTGGTGCTCTTGGTTTTTGTTGGAGTGCATTGCTCTCATTCTGAGACTAGTCAAAGTTTGGCGCGTATTTTGGAAACATGTTTGACTGTTATCTTTTGGGACGGTCATGATTGATCCATAAGGTTATTAAAGGGGCACTAGGTCCTTAAATCCCCGAATATTTCATGTTTTTGGATTGTTTACTTAGCCTATTTTAAACATCTGGCTGAAAGGAAACCAACCTAATGTCTTACTGTTCCCGAGAAAAGACGAAAAAAAAACCCCGCTTGTTTACATCGGACACGACGGAGTGCGAATACGTTTTTCGTGTCGTTCTCTGTGTAAAATGTACACGTTGTGTTTCTCGGGAACAGCGGTGACCAATCCCCAATGCAAAAAAAAATGGTTTCTTCAAAAGGCGAACACTTAACGAATGAAATCACAACTAACCACTAAAAGGAAAAAAACAGTCTGACTTTCATAGGAGTCCGGTTTTCATATTACACCGGCATTAATTGCCGAGTTCGGGCTGTCGGTTCTTGACACAGGTGTGTTCTCGCGCTCGAACGGCGGGAACATGACCCACGAATACTGCACTCGAAAATGGATACGTACCACCTACTTCTAGAATGAAAAGGCACTTCTAACGAGAGGTATATCTTCTAATTCTAGAAGTACGCACCACCTATCCGTCAGGGTGTTGAGGAACAATATTCCTGCGTCAAGAACTAGACCTCCCTAACTCGGCCAATGTCCCACTGCACCATACAGTCGATTCTCGTTTATTATATCGGAATTTTGTGTGGAATGCCGGCCTCATTCATCGTGCACATAAACACAGCCGGGACCAAGGCTTTATGTTTGCATAAGGCCAAAAAAAAGATCGGTCTCTGGTCAGACCGAACATAGGACCGAAGTTCCTGAATTGATGCGGCGACGCGTTTTTTTTTTTTTTCAAGCTTCAATTGTACAGACAAGGTGGGTACTATTTTGCTTTTTGTGTCCTCATTATACATTGGTGTCCTCCATCATTTGCCTTGGTGCCCTTTATCATTTGCCTTGGTGCAATTTCCCCATTCCGTGTTGCTCCTTGGTACAAACATTTGAGGAGGTGCGGCAATAGAGGGCGCTGTTGTAGCTTCCGTGTTAATTTGAAGAAAGAAAAAAAGGTTGAAGCCCATGATTAAAATCGACGCGCGCGCTGACCAGAGACCGAGTATTTTTTTTTTAACCTACCAGAATTTAATTTGTATTAACCGTGTAATCCTCCTACTGTATTAACAGTCACAAACAGTCAAACATTTTCATAATCCCCTCTCATGCACTGCCTTAAAATAACAGTCAGAACATATTTCAAGCTGCACTCAGCATTCAAACACCGTTTGAAATTCTAAAACACGGTTGAAATCGATTCAGTATACATGTATAGCTTCAATTTTTCAACTCGCCATAAAACCTTAAGTTAAAACCCTCGGAGGAAGGTTGAGCGCTAAACCACAACGAGTTCATCTTCTAAATTTATTAGAAGACAAACTTTGTATAAAACGATGTACGAACGGTTAAGCTAGTAAAACGCTCCCTGGTTCAAGACAGCATTAAATCATTTCAAACCATTTCAAACGAAGTCCGTTTTAAATTCGTCATTTCTCATCGAGTTAACGGAAAAATTCCAAACTGGGCCACCACTCATATTCCCTAATATGACCTGTAGTGTACCCAAAGTTGTAACTGATATGAAGAAACACCATTTAAAGAGTGCAAAACTTCTTAATTAATAATCTAACTTTTTCTGTCATTGCCCATAGACTTTGTGCAGGAGGTCTGAGTGGTGGTCCAGTATGTAATTTTTTCTTGGACTCCTTTTCATATTATTGGTTAATCCCTCGCACATGACAGGTCACTTTCCCATATATGATCCTAAAAATAGCATCTTATCGTACCTACGCATGCGCAATACTACGTCCCAAGAGTTAATATTCATGGAGTCGGATATTCACGCTACACCGGCACTGGAGCGCGTGTTGAAGTGTTAACTTTTGCGCTTCTGGAAAGATGTAAACTAGAGGTTTTGCGATTTTGTGTGTGATTTTGTGTGAGATACCGACTTATAGTATTTCCGACTTGTGTCAAGTCTACTCGCCGAGGTGGAGTTGTGTGATTGTCATCATGTTTACCGCGGCGTGTCGTATAGACCCTACATCAGTTACACCAGGAGTCCCCCAGGGCACCGTACTATAGGCCCTTTGATGGAAAGATTTCCATATACGAAGTACACTCAACACCCTGTGTACAAACCCTATGAGATTGGACTGAAAAATTCTAAGTGTTTTCTAAGAGAATGCTTGTTTTTTCTCACTGCTCAAATTGACTTTGATGACATGAGATTGCTATCTGGGGGCTTGTTAGTCAATACAGAGGAAAATGAGTGAACTTCGTATATGGAAATCTTTCCGAAATGGAGAAGGATTTGTCATGGTTCCTTCACATCAATCAAATAGCAAGCAGAGCTAATAGAACCCTTGGTTTTGTGAGACGTAACCTCTCCAGATGTGATCCAACAGTTCGAGAAGCAGCCTAAAAAACACTGATTCGACCACAGTTAGAATATGCAGCCACAGTTTGGGATTCCCATCAGTCAAACCACATCAACAAACTGGAAAAATTACAGCGGCAAGCAGCAAGATTCGTAACAGGTGACTACAAAAGAACATCAAGTGTCACAGACATGCTGCAAAATCTTCAATGGCCAATCCTCCAACATCGCAGAAAAGTCAGCAGGCTCACGATGCTTTATCGCTCCATCCATAAAGAAATTGCCGTTGACATCCCTTATTACATCACCCCAGCAGAACGACCACAAAGAAATAGACATAATCAGTGCTACGCTTCCTTGCAATGGCGCACGCAAGCGTACCACAAAAGTTTCTTCCCAAAGACGATTGTACTGGAACGAGCTCCCTGATGAACGTATCCATCAAACATCATCATCCCAATTTAAGATAGCCCTAGGAAAACATCTTACATCACAACCTTAATTTCACGCTTGCACGGCACCGGCGTGTGAAGTCAAACTGGATGATGCCTAGAGGCGATATCCAGTCAACTTTCTGAGATTCTGAGAGGCAGATGTGATACCGGTTCGTCTGTCTTTACATTGCACAATTTTTTTAGGTCATTAAATCGGTATGATACCCTCCCGAGTATTTACAAATAATCCCATTACCTTCGGCTAACAGTGAACAACTTGTGCTAAAAAGCAAAAAGAAATCATCAAAAGTTAAAAAATGAAAAGGAACCAAATAGGATGGTGCAAGAAAGGATGAGGCGAGTGGCTGAGATGGGAGGGCGGTGGTTGGATGAGAATGGGAGTCGGATTGAGGTAGACGTGGCGAGGACAGTGAGACATATCAAGGCGTCCAGTGTAAATTTGAGTTCACTGAAATACTGTTGCCGAAAGTAACCCCAAAGCCTGTCTCGAACGTTGCAACCTGACGCTAATTTTTCCTTCATGTATATGTATCATCTCATTAAAAGTCAGTCATTGCAAAGTTGTTGAAAAGACATGAATCTAAGACTCGGAAACATTTCCATATTTGTTAGGAAGGGGGGTCAATCAACTCGACTGTTCAGACAACTCGACTCGGGACAGCTCTACCGTTGGCGTTGGGACAACATGACCGTACGTGCTCTAAATGGAGCTGTCTCGAGTCGAGCTGTCTGGAGTCGAGTTGTCTCAACGGTCGAGTTGTCTGACATTCGTTTAGGAAATACTTCAAAAGTTTTCTTGACTCTCCTTGTTATGTACACAACTTAAAGAATTTGTGTCTGGATTTTTCATTCTTTCTGTAGTACCATATTCATAATGTCGTCATCGATTAAAAATTAGCCCCATAAATGTGGCCTATTTACTGGACTGCCCCCGTAAACATAGGCCACACATCCACATGTACAAAAATCGTGTCGACTTTGCCAAATTTTGATTTTCACATTTAGGCTTAGTTTGTAGGATTTTTTTGCTTTAGAAGCATACTCACCCTCTTTATAGGCTAATCAGAAAGTGCTGCCTTTTTCAGATGTATATTTTTTGTGAAATTTCATGTTGAAATTTTGATACGCAAACGTGTAAAAATTAATTTGGAAATTTCTTGAAAAATATACATCTGAAAAAGGCAGCACTTTCTGATTAGCCTATAAAGAGGGTGAGTATGCTTCTAAAGCAAAAAAAACCTACAAACTAAGCCTAAATGTGAAAATCAAAATTTGGCAAAGTCGACACGATTTTTGTACATGTGGATGTGTGGCCTATGTTTACGGAGGCAGTCCAGTAAATAGGCCACATTTATGGGGCTAATTAAAAATATGACTCAAAACTAAAAGTATTAATACTTACAAATTGGCGCGATCACTGAAGGAATGAACACGAGGAATCCCAAGGCAAATAGATGTTTGGCCCAAGGCCCAGCCATGTTGACGTGACTTCCACAGAAAACCTCGGAAGATTTGCTGTATAACTCCAGACAAAACGGCAGGAAAAGGAAAGAGAACACACAACCCGGGAAAAATCTCTTCCCCGCCCGTTGGACTGACTCGTGCTCGCTTGGTTGCGATCCGGCACTAAAACGGAGCTGGAGCTGGGCTTGGGCGTTGTCTCTCGCACACAGCGTGCCCCAGATCTTCAAACCATTCATTCCAACAAAAGCACACAGACAGTATCTCCCTTATTTGTCCACCCGGAAACTTTTGTCCACCACTCCGCTTACATAACCGCCATTGAGTTTCGTTAATCAAGTATGCAGCATTTTGCTACCAGTGTGTGCCTTAGACGATTGTAAGCGCGCCATTTCCAACCAGTGTTGTTAACGATCAATCTGGCTTCCATAATCTCGGGAAGAATACGAATAAAGGCAGACAATTTCTGAAGGTATCCTCGATTGAAATGCTAATCATCAACTAAGGCTTAGGGGCCTTTTGAAAACCAGATTGGAGTATAATAGAGGAAAAAGGTTTGGCCCTTCCACATGTCCCCCTTCAAGCCAAGGACCTGAGCAAACCGAATTATGCAAGAAGTTAATAGGTTGTTTATTGTCCCACAGTTTTCGATTTTCTAACCTCGTCAGCGATCACTGTAAAAAATCGTCGTATATTTAAGTTGATTTGATTTCATTTATATCACGACTGCAACCGACTTCAAGATCATTATTTATATGCCTGTAGTTTCACTTTCATTAGTCCTATACTGGCTGAAATGTTCTTACATGAGGAAGTTTAAGACTATAATTATCATGCTGCGGCCATCTTGAGTTTGGTCTTATTCAAGTCAACGTAACCAAAGCGAGGCTGGAAGGGAAAATAGTTTGGTTCCTTTTTGCACAAAAACATCATCATTCTGCATTCACTACTTTTATTGGATACAGGGAGCACGACTGAAAAGGCGGCAGCATGATAAAGGTCTATAGCTAAACACTTTCATTGAATTAATGCATTCCTGATCCTGTCCTTTTATGTGACATCATGGCCAGCATTAATGTCTTCATTTGTATCCGGCTCCAACCTTTTAAACATATACATTGTACTTCCAAAAAAATCCAGGAAGAATTGTTTAGAGTGAGGAAAAATAATATTCCTAACCCTCAAGGATAGACGAAATTTAAACATCGAATAAAAGGTTAGTCATTTTTCTTCCTCAGACCATCAGACCCTATACATGTATAGTTTACAGGTCTGTAGGCTATGCACAACACGATCTTTAAATTGTCAACCTTTTGCCGGAACCATAAAAAAGATCCAATTTGGTGGTGTCTGTGAGGAACATGGTTGAGGGGTGAGGGAGGAAGGTCTTCTGTACCCCTCCGTGGTACTGACTCTTTCGATCCAGGACACAATTCAACCCAGCCCCGTCCTCATTCATTTCTGACACCGGCAAAAAGATTGAATGGGCTTGCATCACGCCACGGAAGCGTGCACATCATTGTGCGAGCTCCCTTCCTATAGTACGCCAAGGCCAGGCGGCAGCGTTGGCTTCAGAAAAAGTGTCATCACACCCATCCTACCCTATTGGGTGATTATCCAGATCAACCATTTTGAATCAACCTACGAATAAACACCGAGGTTAGCTTTTGTACTGAAGCCAAAAACCACGCTTTATGTTTGTCCTCTGGTCCGACTTTTTTTTTGTTTAGCCATAAGGCGCCCCCCAAAGAAAGTCTCCGGTTTCTGGAATGCGCGCGCGTCGCCGTAGCCATGCGCGTCGGCAAAATTTAAAAAAAAATCAATGTAAGATGATGTCTTAAAACCGCCAAACTCACTGGTTGGACTGGAATCCTGCTGCTGCACAATTTTAACGTGTTTTAAATGGGGTTACGATCGAGTATTAGCTTTATGTGGCCTCTCTGGGCTCCCATACATTTTGCACTAAATTTAGTCGGGCACCATTTGCAGTCATCAGCCAACATTTGACGGGGAAAAAAAGTTTAAAAACCCCCCCAAAAAACAATTAAACTAGCGCCTTGACCAAGGCTAATATTTTTTGAGAAGAAGCAATCTATGCATATTCGATAAACAACAGCATGCACATGTACATGTACATGTATTAATACTAGCCAACTATGGGAGCGACTGATTGGACAATAGCCCGTCACGTGACTTACGCGCTCTTCCCAATGCTTTACGGATACGGTTTAGGTGTTGCACATAGTAAACACAAACAATTATTCCGATTAAAGTTTCATTAATGTTATTTTCTGCCGTTTAAGGAAAACAAAACTAACTAACCACATTTGTTACTAAACAATTGTGAAAAACTCGGAATCCTCTCTAAACCTGTATGAGATTCTTGAGCTTAAAAAACTTGACTTTCAATGGCAAATGAAAAGGAATATACAAAGGATCATAATCATTAACATGATTCATGTACAACGTACGCGTTTCGTGCTTGTTTCGCCCCCCCCCCCCCAAAAAAAAATATATATATATGTGCACCTCTTGTAAGTGAACCACGAATGTGACAACTGCAAGAAATTTAAACTGTACATGCCGCTCCGTTCACAATATACAAGTACCCCCTCACCGGCAAAGAGAGTACAGTTGGGGGTGACCGAACGTACGACGCCATCTTACTGACTGCAATTCATTTGCTTACTGACTGCAATTCATTTGCTGCGAAGCGTCACACACAAGGAACAGTGCGCGTCAACCAGCGAAATGTCCCACCCACAAGACGTCGTTGCTATGTAAAACGGCGCCCTCTTTTGGTATCGCACGGAGCTCATATGGACTGAACTATGCATGGATAGTTTGACAGGTGTTTTGATTAAAATAGACAGTTTGAAAGACTAGACTCATACCGACACCGGTGGTCTACATTAACCAATGCGACCCCTGTATTATAAGCAGTATAGCGGTCTTTGGAAATGACATGCTAGAGCAAGAAAAACCGCCTACCTGGTACAACGTAGATCTGTACAGTGCAGTTATCCTCGTTCCCAGCTGCGTCAGAAGCCACATAGAACCACGTATAAGGGCTCGCACTGAGAGAGAAGTTGTACAATGATCCGGGGGTGTAGGGGCCTTGAATAGCCCCTGTATCGTAGATCATAACATCGTAACTTCCAGAGTTGTCCGAAGCATTGTAGTTGGTAGGGAATGGCCGGTACGCAAACAACTCGTCGCGCTCTACGTAGACTGTGGCATTGGATGGACACACGATGGACGGAGGATCCTGGTCTGTGCACAAATGGTGAAAGAATAGAACAGAACATTAAAAAAAAATCATATCCAATAAAATACCCACCACTTGCGCAACTTACAGCCACATTACCACATTGTAGTAAGAAAAGTTAAGAGTTTTACGAAATGTTATATTATATAGGCCTAGATAGCATTTACATAAGGTGATGAAATGCTCATTGGGCATGTGTAGTGAATATTGTTTTTGTTTGGTTTGATATTAGCATCAATGTCAATTGGGACCCTTCATGCATGAATAAACAAACATTTTAAACGCAACAGATCAGCGATATATAATGACGTCACGTTAAAAGTCATGCGCACCTCCAGTAGGAGCTTGGTGGCTTTCGTCGACTCCCTATACCTGGCTCCAATAGGAAATCACACGCGTCTACAAAGCGTGATGTCATCACGTTCTGAGGTTAGTAGTTATTATATCTAGACCATGTGACCTGTGACGTCACACCAAAGGCCACCGACAGGAAACCCAAACATTTAAGTATCTTTTGCACGTGAAGTTGTCCACATTAATCAGTCACCACTTTTACACAATTACATTTTTGAGAAACACATGAAGAGCATAAGAGCCTCTGAAAGAAGGAACATTAATAATAACGTGACCACAACATCTAATCTGTACATTCAATTAATGTAACATGGTATATTAGTAAAAGATGTTCTCATTCTAATTGCCACCACCCAGCCCCCCCCCCCCGTAAAATCTGATGAATTGGGGGGATTGAAAAATGTAACCGCACCTGTGCATGTATAGTTAACACGGAGGTACTTTCCAGTTCCACCGCACGGATCACCACCGAAGTTAGCGTTACTTGCAGTGAATGTGCAATTTGACATTCCTTGGCATAAGCTCTGGACAGAGCTGAGTGAGACATCTGCATCACCGCAGGGAATCAGGGACCCAGCCGGGCAAATATCATCATCCACCCCCATTCCAATCCGTCCGTATAGTGCAGATAACACATCGATAGTATTAACCTCGTCACAACCGAGTGATACCTGGCTATTTTCGCACTGCTCCGTGATTCCTAAAATAAAAAGTTAAAGAAAGATGAATTGTTTGGGTTGGTCTGAACCTGCAAACTCTAGAATAATATAGCGGCGTATGTTGGCTGAGCTTTCGAGCCGTACGTTGTCGGTTCCCCATTTCGCTTTATTGGAGGGCCTAGTTCCAAAAAAATGATGACTTTTAATTCAGGTCGCCGAATTTGTCTACAGTTGGGGTTAAAAAGCGTGTTTTTTTTCCTGAAATAAAATATCAAGATTTTGTGAATTATTTTGTGGCGTATCGTTTACTGAGTAAAGGGTGTATTGGGAGAATACGTGCCATTATGAGAGGGGGGGCACCTGGGGCAGACCGCTGCCCCCCCCCCCCCCCCCGTAGCTGCTCCACTGTCAGAATGATATATTACAAAGTAGGCTTTAGTGCGTGGCCCATTTGAATCGCACGTGGTGTATGGGCAGCCATGGGGCAAAGTGAACTATACATACAATAATGCAAATAACACAATTGATTGATTTCCACAACATACAGACAACTCGGCGAAAATAGACAACTCTTCACGCATAATTGTACAACTTTACTTTTTTCGTAAATATTTATGAATTCTTGACATTTATTTGAAACAAAACATGTAAATCCTAAATGACATCTTGGTCTTCTATTAACGTTCAGTTTTCACCCGATCGCCACTAAAAAAAAATAGTAAATGTTCATCATTTTACGAGTACACCGAGTTGCGCTAGTAGGCATGTATTTTAGATTTTCGGAAGTGAGAGGTCAAATGTTGGCACGATTTTCCTCATTCACGTCAGGCGATGTATCAGTTTCCATAAATTGAGATGATAGCAACAATTTTAAAAAGGCCTTTTCCGAGGGTGAGTTTCTTAAGAAATCAATGTACCAAAAAAATCTCTGAATTTTTGTAGGTTCATTTTCCTATTCAAAGGCTCCAGAAGCGCGCCACCAGCGATGAACTTTCAAGCTCTGTCTGATTCGTACTGCGTTATACACGCAGGTGCATGGGACTCGAACCCACGACTGCTTTCTAGCAGGACGTCGTGGGTTCGAATCCCACCCGAGTGATTTTTCCAACTGAGATACTCGGGAGGTAACATAAGTGGGTGTAGAGTGTTAATACGTCGGTGAAATATTGATTTTTGAAATAGGATAAGTAAACAATCCAAAATATGAAATTTTCGGGGATTTCGGGCCGCAATGCCCCTGTTAAAAAGGTGCTCACATTAATCAGTTTATGACACCGTTTTTTACCAATCACATTTTACAAGACATACATCATGAAGAGCATACGAGGACTGTTTGATGAAAGTACATGCATCATTGAGACCGCAACATCGAATTCACGGTGCATAAAATTGCTGAACTTGGACTATTAGGCCCCCCCCCCAAAAAAATCGGTCTCTGGTCAGACCGAAGTTCCGGAATTGATGCGGAGAAGCGTTTTTTTTTTTTTTTTTTCAAGCTTGAATTGTACAGACAAGGTGGGTACTATTTTGCTTTTGTGTGTCCTCATTATACATTGGTGTCCTCCATAATTTGCCTTGGTGCCCTTTATCATTTGCCTTGTTGCAATTTCCCCGTTCCTTGGTGCTCCTTGGTACAAAAAATTTGAGGAGGTGCGGCATTAGAGGGCGCTGTTGTAGCTTCCGTGTTAATTTGAAGGAAAAAAATCGACGCGCGCGCTGACCAGAGACCGAGTATTTTTTTTTTTTGCCTTATAGATGTTCTTCTTCAAATTGCCTCTGCCCACGAAAGCAAATAAGGTGAATGGAAAAAACCATAGAATTGTAAAATAAAAGTGCACCTGTAAATTCGCATGTATAGTTAACACGGAGGTACTTTCCAGTTCCACTGCACGGATCACCACCGAAGTTAGCGTTACTTGCGGTGAATGTGCACGTTGACATTCCTTGGCATAAGCTCTGGACAGAGCTGAGTGAGACATCTGCATCACCGCAGGGAGTCAGGGTCCCAGCCGGGCAAATATCATCATCCACCCCCATTCCAATCCGTCCGTATAAAGCGGATAACACATTGATATGCGTGTCACAAGCGAGCGATACCTGGGTTTTCTCGCACTGCACCACGGTTCCTGGAAGAAGAAAAAAAACATATTTAGGCTTAACACTACATCCCTACCTCTTACCAATAATCTACATCATTGACATCCAAACATTATACATATCTAAGATTATTATTTTCTCATCAAAACATCATCCGTCAAAATGGATGTGTTTCAAAGCCTATTGCAAAAAAATAAGTGTGGATTAACCAAATTTTGGAAATGGGGGCAGTATTTGAAGAAAAAAAGTCGTCAGGTTTTTTTTCTAACGATGGTCGGCCGGCCATCGTTGGAAATTGATACAAACATTCCACTTTTCTTAAAAATGACAGCACACCAGGTGCCATGGTTTGCTTGAGATATTATTCACATACAGTCAAGCAAGGTATTTCATAATAATTGGAATTTGTTTATGTTTCCAAATGTTGTCTATTAAATCTGCGAACTCAACAGTCGCCTGTTCATTTCCTGTTAATAAAAGTCTCGAGAAACTAAACTTTTTTGTTAACTTCCGTTTCCTTATGGACCGATCCAGTAAGCACCGCCCCATGGTGTTCTGACCAACAGGGGTGATTTATGTTCGACGTGCGTGCACTAAAGTCCGACATGCGTGTACGCGCGTATGATGCGCGCGGCAGGAAAATGCAGCGTGGCGGAGCACGAGTTAATTTGCCCACCTGCGCACTGGGCGGAGCTTACTGGATCGGTCCATTATACGAACACCAAGTGCGCTTCAAATTCACCCTGGTAAACTTCCGAATGATATTGAGCCTGCACACAGGATTTATTCGACACTGGCTCTTTCGTGCCGACATTCTCCATGTACATTGTATTCACCTTCATTTCAACACTGAAATCATGGAGGTAGTGTTGTGTTGCTAAACACTACCGGGATCGACGAGGACAAAACTCAAAGAAATATAAAAACGGAGACCAATTCTGGGTCAAAATAATTTATTTCTGACAACTCAACTGAACATAAGATTACATCGTGAAGCGAACAGTAATAAATGTTGGGCGTTGTCGACGGCGCCTCTAGACCAACTGCGCCGAGTACAATACAGTGGTTGACTTATAAAGACAGTCTTGCATAACATGACAATTGCATTACTTAAATTCCAATCGGCCCTGCAGCCGCAGACCACATTTAAAGGAAACACAAGAATGCTTCGCAACAGTAGTGACGAGGTTGCAGGACGCGCCCAAACAAAACCATTATATCACTACACATCAGGTCATCACTAAGCACAGTCCAGTAGCCTTTTATGGTGAACACAATAATGAGGGCGCTCTGAAAGGTAGTTACAAGGACGGACCCTGAACACAATTTTGTTTGGGGGAGGCCAAAAAAAAATTGTTACCCCAAAAAGCGGGTCAAAAAAAATTACGGCGCGGGGTTCGGGGCCCGCTTAAGGGCCCCAAACAATTTTTGGATTCTAGATGCTCTGTGGTGCAAACTGAGGCAATTTCTGACCACTTTAACCAATGTTTGGTTTTTTTTAGGAAAAGATGGTGGTGTACTCATTGCCTGCCTTTATTGCGACGTCACATAAAAAAAAATTGTTTCTTTTTTTTTTTTGGGGGGGGGGGGCATGGCCCCCTTTGACCCCCCCCTCCCTGGTTCCGCCCTTGGGTAGTTAAAGTTGAATAAACTGCAAATGAGTTTGTCCATCCTGAAATAGCGGTGTGCTGTTGTGTCCGCCATACTTCAAAAAGGGCTCAATGCAAGTTGCAATCCCCGTGCGAGTTTCATCCCAAAAAGAGCAAGTTCTTTTTCTAAAACTGATATTTTTCTAGCGAAACAAAAGTTATTCACTTTTGAATGAGACATCGACCGAAACAATCAGCCCATATCTACTACTTCACATTTCGAAGTACTGGCTGCCAGACAATACCGTGCTCGCGGGGTGGGCTTGTTCCTGCCTCACAGTTATCGATAATGTTCGGAGTTTGCTCGCAACTTGGGTCTGTTTGTGGGGGGGGGGGGCGGATTCCGCCCCCCTAAGATCTCAGCCATCGAAGATGAAAAATTGTGAAACTCACTACATGCATAGAGCAACTCTTCCTAAACATACCCAAGAAATTTCATGACTATAGGTCAAAGGGTTTTGGAATTATGGCTAATTAATTATTCATATGTACGAATGGCAATTCTGCTCTGTATACACGACGTATTATGGGAAAATTCAGTTTTCACGGCGCATAGCGCCGGAAAATTTTTCGCTACGCGGCAACCCGTGGTCCGATTTTTATGTTTTTGGTATCAAAAGATGCGCAAAGCTCGAGGCTAAAAAGTCATAACAGCTTGGGTCGCGAAACTTTTTTTTAGAGGCTATCGCGGAAAATGTTGAGGGGGGGGGTGGATTCCGCCCCCGGCCCCTTTAGGATTAATGGAAAAAAATCGAACTGGCTGAAGAGTGAATGCGAATGTGAAGCGAAAATGGCTCCCCGAAACACTCGATGCGAAATTCGCCAGAGTTGAAATGTTTTCAACTTTTTGCGAATTCGCAGCGCGAATACTCCCGGCCCTGGCCCGGCGTGACAACACAAAATCGCGTTAAGCCTGGTTCATACTTCACACGAAGTATGAACAGGGCTTTAGATTTAAGCACGAAACGGCCTTATAACAATGTAACAAGGGGAAACGCCTAGGTGTAGCGTTTATAGTAAATAAAAAAGAGCCAACTTTACCATTTTGACACGACGAGGGTCGGAATAAGACAACCAGAAGCCCAATCAGGAGCCAACACGTTGGCCACTTGTGCCCAAGTGACGCCCAGACAGCCATGCTGGGCTAGCTAAGGCTTCTTCGGATGACAAGGCCACCAAAAGTCCTCTTTAACTCACGGCTCAGTCGTTGAGAAATGTAATTCCAAAGCACCATAAACATGTCCGCTTTATTTGCTGGAGTTGTTCGAGTTCTGGGGCGGCTTGAGTACCGTGAGCGCTCGAAGGCGTCTCAAAACAGGGGCACGGCCTGCGTATTTTTTTTTTGCAGCATACATCGTATTTTAACCAATCACACACGCACCCTTACATGAATATTTATTACGCTGTCTGGATGGAAGAGACTGTGGCGAAACAGGGTAGTACAGACTGCAGCGAGTCTAACTCATGAATTATTTATGCGCGTCGAGAGCATTAATATTAATAGTGCGCGCCTTGACCAATCACAGACGCGCATCTGGGCGATTTAGCGTGGTGTTGCGACATCGCCCGGGCAGTTCGGAAGATGGCGTCGAGTCTAGCATAACTGTTTTATTGTGCAGGAACAAAAGAGCTGACGATCGACGCGAGCCGTAGCCGGAACAATAATTGCAACGACTGCATCAGGGAGCTTAGGTGAGCTTCAGTGCGACCAGTTGTGCAGCAATTTGTGCATTAAGACTGCCGAGTATTTGAGATAATTGTTATTACAATTTCAGCTCATCGTAACTCGTGGGTCAGAGTAATTAGTGGGTTGGATAAGTGTTGGAACAAAAGGGGACGAGTTGGAAATAATTGGTTGAAGGCTGGGAGGACTTTGGGTTGTGTGGGATTGCTTGTGGTCTGTTGAACACCGGAACGGTGGGCCTGACTGCTGAGGCGATCGCATAACCACTGGACAAATTGCCTGACTGGTTGACTCTGCCTTGGGTTCCTGTGAGGTACACTTAAAGCTTGCTTCCGCTAATGCTGTGTAAGGTTAATTGCGGTCCACATTAATCTCCGTGTGAGGATAATTAAGGCTCATTAATTCTGTGTATTGGGTGCGGGTTACATTTGGGCCTGGACTATAGTGGGCCTTGTGTGAATGTGAGGGGTAAACCAATTTTGATCGGGATAAGTGGAGCTCGGATTGACTGGAGGGATTGCTTGTGCCGCTTGTTCTAGACCTATTGGTTTGGTTCCCGGTGCAGTGCAACCCTAGTTTCCTTGAGCTTCCTGTCCACTGTGAGGTTTACCGGGGTAGCGTTCTCGGGGCCGTGTGAGGATATTATAGTTCAGTACCCCATTGTGCAATTCCTGTGAGGGTTACCCCAATCTAGGTGAGGGTAATTAGAGATTCGTATTAAGTAGAGACTTCAAGTTATTAAGTGGTGCAGTTGACCACAGAGATTAAATAAACCTGTTTATTAGTCGTGGTGCAGTTGACCACTATTACGTTTATCACAAGTGAGGATTATCACCTGTGAGGAGTATTGTAAGCTTATATCATTCCAAAGGGTGCAGTTGACCCTTATTTGAGATATTAGGATTATTGCAACTGTGTATTATATAATTGTATAAATTGATTGATTGTGTATATACAGATTATTGATAGTTGATTAGAGAATAAGACCAATCATTGATCGTCCTTGAAAACATTTGTCTCTGTGATAATTATTTGGATCATTGTGAAGGTTATTATAATTAATTAGTGCTCTGTTCACATTTGAGTCAAGCAATCACAAAACGGTGGTATATTTCCACCAAACGAACTGCCCCTAGGCTTAGTCCGCCGTTCGTTAACTATATCCCCCCTTTCGTCAGGGTAACCGCTCATCCTTGCGCAAGGTTAATAAATATTTTTGTGGGATAATAGGAGTTGGCTAGAGTCCTGGGATAAAGAAGACCAGTCCCCCCGGGTTCTGCCAACCACCGGTTCCGCCACAATTGGTCAGGGGTCGGTTGCGCCACAATACTTTGGTTCTCGGAATGTTTTTCCTATGATTAAACCTATCCCAACCAACAAATATATTTGATGAAAATGGGCATGGGCTCGAACCACAGATCCTGCGATCAATAGTTCACTCCACTATCCACAAAATGAAAAAGTTTTTTTTTCAATGAAAGATGATGTCTCAAAACCGCCAAACTCACTGGTTTGACTGGAATCCTGCTGCTGCACAATTTTAACGTGTTTTTAGATTGGGTTATGGTCGAGAATAAGCTTTATGAGGCCTCTCTGGACTCCCATATATTTGCACTAAGTTTAGTCGGGCACCATTTGCAGTCATCAGCCGACATTTGAAGCAAAAAATCAGGTAAAAAAAAGAAAAAAAAGCCGCGTCGCCGCACCACTTTTTGGGCAAGCTCCATACCAGAAACCGGAGACTTTTTTTTGGCCTTGACTGTTGAATAGTAAATCCCATTCACCATGGGCGAATGGGATATTTTGATCCCCAGTGTGAATGGGTGCAATAATGAATGTCGCGTGATGTGAGTTCCACCAATCAAATGACGAGGATCTGTATGTCAGTAATTATACATGTATAATGATGGTCCTGGTTGCAGACCTTATTGCGTTAAATGCGGAGCCAGCGGGTTATGGTTTGTTATCGCTGGGATAGGGATAGTCAATCTTTTGAGCATTCATTGTGACTAAATTTAAATAAAAATTGCCGAACACCATCAGAGATCCACGCAACGCGTAAGTCGACTATATACAGGTCTAACGTACAATGGGGGACTGAGGTGTGTTCCAGTATGCAGCCCAGTGTGCACTAAGTCCCCATACTTCAAACTTTTAAAACTACTCTGAACTCGCACAGGTGTTCAGGCTGCACAGAAAAATAATGGTCAATATGTCATCTTTCATTATCTTTTCAACTTTTTTGTCGGTTGACCCATGACTTGTTGGAGAAATTCCCACCCTAAAAAGACGCACCCCTAAAACAACTGATATCTTTCCAGAACTGGCAAAGTATAGCCATTTTGACAAAAAGGATCCCTCCACAACCGTCGCTAAATAGCGCCACTTTCGAACCCAATGGCATACAAAATGCTCAGAATTGGAAGCCCCAAGTCCAGGCCAGAGGTGCAGTGCCATAAATAATGTCTTCAATTCCCTCATTTCATGGCTCCAGAACTCTATAATATACAATATGTAGAATAATGTGAGTGTGTATAAGTTTCATTTATGAGCTCGGCGGACGGATTTTTGGCCTATTTACTGGGATGCACCCTCCAGCAAAAACGTTGTCCAGCGATGGTTATTCATCCGTGTTTTCGAGACAGTCCTAGATCCTCCGAGGTCACAGCACCGGAGCGTAACAGAATAATTGAGCTGAGGTCGTTTTCTGTGTGAATGTCCTTCGCGTCTCCAACATAAAACTGTGAACCTTGAAATGGACCCGTAAGTAAGCCCTGGATAGGAAACTGCTCTTGTATCCTGATTCGATACCGCATTTGGCAAGTAATGGATATATATCGAACTCCGCATCCAGTGCTTGTGATGGGGTTTGACTTAGTCACCTGACAAAAAGTCGTGATCTGCTAATTGGTCAGTTCGCACTGTTTGATTGACGTGCTTTGTCAACTTGATGTTGAAAAGTTGAAATCAGGTGATTTTTATTGAACATTGTGCGCGTGCGCACACTGATTTTCTTGTACAATTTACCACATCAGTCAGCACTGGTAAACGAAACTGACAATTAAATCATAGTTAATAGGCCTCAACATCTGATGAAAACATTTGGGAAAGACTTGAAGAAGTTATATCAGCTCGACTTTTAATTCAGAAGTAATGATCCGTGACCCACAACAATATAATTTCCCTTGGGGTTGGCGTAAACACGACACTTTCGTTTTGGATATGCAAATAATTCCATAGTTACCTATTGGATAGACTAGTCTTGGTCTCGTCCAGTTTGTACCTATTAAAATCAACAAACAGAAAGGGATGTAACTATTCAAATCGAAAGCATCAAAAAGTACAACTTCCAATGTAACAAATATCAACAAAAATGTAGCCAAAGATCGCTGGAGTAAATTAGTTGGTGTTCCTCTCACGTCCATCTCAAGACGCCATGCAAAACCGAGCGGCAGAACGGCAGCATAATGTGGGAACCAGACTTGGATTGATTTGTAACCCATTGCACGCACGTACGGAGGCTAGGCCTATGTGTAAACGAGACCGCTTCGCACGTACATGAGGCACGGAGTCCCACACGTGACATACTATAATGAGATTGCGTGTCGGCCGTTGCTCCTAATCGTGCAGCGCTCTATCCTGCGTCTTCCATCTACAAATCCCAGTCCACAGATGCTTTACAGGCTATATTTCTCTCACACACACACACGTACATTGATCATGAAGACAGTAGTGCAATAGAACAGCGGTCAGGATGCAGTTACCATGGCTGCAAGAGCATTCCAAGACAGAGAGCGATGCTATATACTCGCCAGACGACAGCTGGTGCTGTTGATAACAGCGTGATCGGAGCAATAAACACTACCGACGGGAGGCGCAGATCTACGGGGAGACAGTCGCTGGAATCACGCTGATTAAACTAGACGTCCTGCGTTGAGACAAATTTACATTAGCCGATGAGAGTGTTATTTTAGTCGCGGATAGTGACAAACTATTGAAATTAGGCCATAAATTCGTACCTGCTGCGAGGCTTGGGGCGATTTTTATGAACTAACTGACCAGGAAGAATTTCGAGACAGTTAAAATTCCAAGATGAGTTCTTCTGATTACAGGAAGGTGAGTTATTCTGAAGAATTCTTCAATCAAGTTAAAATCCTACAAATTATCAAAATTGAAACTGATATCAAAATTATTGTATATGAAACAAGCTTGGTTTGGTTTGGTGCGGTTCACAAAGCAAAACTGATTTTCATATGTTAGAAATAACAAAACACGAATTGAAAGCGGTAGCTGATATTCATTGATATCCAATCAGGTGGGCAAAAACACTTGATCAGAAATAAAAGATATAATTACCAAATGATACCAAGGACAACGGAACATTAACGTCCAGAATATAACCGAAAAGAAAAACAAGAAATTTTGAGCAAAACAAATTGCTGAAACCGTGACACCAAAATCAACAATTGGTACAAAAGAAAACATTGACAGATTAGTTAAGGTTGTGGCACGGATGAGGTCGTAAGGAGATAAATTTACTGGCGAAATTCCAAGTCAAACTGGTCCCTCATTGAGATATTCTACCTATGGTGTCATGCGGGCAACTAAACGCGTATTAGATGGTCTATGTGCCACGCATCAACAGTGTGAATGCAACGTTCTATTGAGCATAAACATTACACTTAATTAAATCAATAACTGAAATCGTCGCATGAATAGGCGGCACGACAATGACATACCACTGCTTCTGCTTAGTTTAATTAATCAATTATTTAAACGAGAATATTATTTCATCGTTACTGACAGTGATGAATCACATTTCGTTTACGTATAACAATAATAGTCGTATATAATACGCGACTATACAACTAAGAAAAATATACTTGTAGGCCTATATATATATAAATTATGTCCTTAAGTTATAAACTAAACGCTCACAGCATATATTGAAGGAATTAACATGGGTTAAATTGTAGAAGAATTATATTTTGAATAGGCCTACACGTCCGCCTTGTTTGTTTTGACACAGTTTTCAAATCTGAGGGCCTAAGGGCATATAGATGCTATTATTGACCAACCAAACACATAAGGGGATTCAATACTGTTCAGATTGAATACTGAAAAAAATACTGAAACGACGACTGATTTCAGTCGACGAAATAACCTCTACAATCCTGCTGTCCAGCTCTTCACCCCTCTCACATTATAAACTAAGTTTTCTTTTTAAATTCACACTAAACGTGATTGTGAATATATTAAATTATTTTCCCATCAAAACAACAATCGTCAAAATCGAATGACATTCATCAGCGTTCAACCCATAATTGCGCTCCCAAAGCAGAAAATTATGCTCTAATAAAATATTTCACCCCCCTTTTGACATGTCTTCCCTTCATGATCGCAATTATATTACGATTCGTGCCAGCGTTTTAGGCCAGAGGGTGAAGCGACTCGACCGTAATCATAGGCCCATACCATTCCAGATGACAGAATACACCTGTCAGTATTAGTAAAGGGTCGGCGATTCCAACTCCCATGCCCCAAGGCCAGCATCTAAATGCGCATTATTACGATATGAAAATCAAAACATGTCGGCCTAATCCGGTCTGGTGGAGATAAAAGTGTGCTTATTTCGCCGATCTAGCCCGTCAGATGGATAGGTCTATCTGTGCATCGTGGATAATAGCATAGCCGTACACCTGCTTGTAAGAAGACTGTTAATTAATTGAGTCAAATGATATTTCTCCACGTGTTTTGTTTAAAAGCATAGGCTACTTTCAAAACAAAACATATTCACAATCACAGCCAACACCAACAAGACGGTGGGCGAAGCATGCATGTAGTTTTAATTAGTTAGTTTCATCAACATTTATTTCCAAGTCAAACAAACAAGGAAAAATATCAATAAATAAATCACTAAAAGAAGAATCGGAATTGGAGGCACATCCAAAGAAGCGTAGCTTGTGTTAGGGAGTGCCCGTACAATTACAAACGCTGAAGTACATACTAAATTGACAACGCGCAAACATTACATATTGAAGAAACAAAACAAGTACACACACAATTCCAGTGGTTCATCCAACTGCTAATTAGTAAGGATGGATTTAAAAGTAAAGAAGAAATACAAATTCACCTTTGAAGAAGGTAAGACTTAAGATTACGTTGAAAACTGAATCGGCTTTGGCTATTCCTTAACCTAAAGGTAATTCATTCCAGCGAAGTGGCCCCGAGTGCCTCATGCTGTGTTTAAAGACAGACGTTCAGAACTTGGAAATATGCGATAGGGATGATGACCTAGTATTATAGCTGTGTACATTATAATTTGCTTGAACCATATTAACAAAGTAAGCATGTGTATGACAGTCATCCGCTACTTTCATTACCCGTTGAAACCGCCAAACAAAACCAAGAAATGTCACCGCGCGTTTTCATGGTGTTTTGAAGCAAGCCACAAACTTTAAATAACTGAGCTTTGCTTTTGACAAAAATAATCCAACCATTCCTAAATCTAAGCTGATTAATTCCCCGAAATCCATTGACTGAAACTAGAACCGTTCTACTTATAAATCCACGGGGGAAAATAACCCAGAATATGTCACATTGCAAAGTACACGACAAAGCGGATTTGCTGCTTGGGTCGTTTTGTGTTGAAGATTATGAGAGTTTGGGTTCTATTATTTTCTGTGATGACTCGGTCAGCTTGGCGAGTTGTTTGTGCTGATATGACATCGGTTGAATCCTAATCAGAGGACAGAAATCGTCCAACTGATCGTCTTAATGCAATGAGCGTAGTGGCCCAAGGGAGAAGATCGTCTTTGATAACAACTTGGTTTATTTTAGAGTGAGCCCCGGAGCAGGATTTCTAAAAGATCATGAAAATGGACAAACAGCTAACGAGAAAATAGACACTTGAACACGAAGGCGAGAACGGTCGACGACCTCTGGCAATTTCGTTTCCAGAAACAGTTTTTAAAAAAAGGAGAGCTGAGAAAATCCAAATACCCTGAATCGGGGACTTTTTGAACTTTCTTTACGACTTGTTCCAAACTTGTACATAGAGACCGAAATCGTAAAAAACAACAACACACCAACAACCCAATAAACAATCAGACACACAAACAAACAAATAATCACCCCAACAACCCGACAAATAAAAAAAAATCCCAAAAGATGATGGAAGTAAAAAGAAAAATGCGTCAATTCTATAATGTTCAAAATTTACTCCAAATCGCATCTTTTCCAACTGAAGGTCTTTTATGCGGCGCGGTGGTTTGGATTTAGAGGTCGAGTAGATATGGGATATTTTTTTTATGTGCAATCTTAACCTTTGACCCCGTTGCCACAGGTTACCATGATGATGGACAACCCGTCTTACGACGGTTTCTTAGATGGGCGTGGCGATAGGAGGCCCCATCATCGCATGAAACCTTTCGTGTTGGTTACACTCCTCCTATTGGCCGTGGTGGGCGTGGCTGTAGCTCTGGCTGTCATCTTAACGGGTAAGATAAGTGGAACGGTAAGCAGGAGGTCGTGGGTTCATGTCCCAACCGTGAGCATACGTTGCTAATCTCATCGAGAGGCTACACCGTATACAATCTTGTACTTCTGTTATGATTAGCAAAGAATAGCAAGACATCTGCTCTAGTAAGTAGGAGGTCGTGGGTTCACGTCCCAACCGTGACGTTGCTGACCTCATCCAGAGGCTATACCGTATACAATCTTGTACTTCTGTTATGATCAGCATAGAATAGCAAGACATCTGCTCTAGTAAGCAGGAGGTCGTGGGTTCACGTTCCAACCGTCAGCATACATTGCTAACCTCATCTTCTATTATGATCAGCATATAATAGTGAGATAAGTGGGACAGTAAGCAGCGGAGGGTCGTAGGTTCACGTCCCACCCATGAGAAAGCATATTAATTTTTTTCCAAAAGCTCTTGGCACAGCTTACAAAATAACGTTGTTGAAAATCAAAGCAAGGTAATATTGCAGAAGACACGTTGATATGGTTGGGGGACAACCACGTTCGCGGTAGTGGTCGTGGTCATTGTGGGTTCATGTCCCATTTTTTCTTCATCCCAAGGAAGCTAGTATAAGGAGAAACAAAATATAGCAACAAATATAAGAAGACAACCCAGACAAGGGTTGACAAGACAGTAAGACAAGCGCAACTATGTATGTAGTTTTAAGGCTGACATTTTTTTTAGTATCAGCTGTCAGCAGAGAAATTGATACATGAATGTCAAGCGACCATTAAAAGCGCACCAGGGACATTTTTGAGGCGCGTCAGTTTCTTGTCATTTTTCAATTTCCTCGCACTTACATAGGATTCTGTTTCGTTTAATCAACATCTTCGGGGTCACGAAAGCGAATGCACATTGCGAAGGTTGAATATTGATATGGCGAAGGTTGATATCAACGTGTCGTTCCAGAGCCACCGTTAAAGCTTGTGCATCTGGCATTTTAATATCTAATGCACAAGTTAAACCCAGTATTTCATCATCATTACTTGATAATTAGAAACACAAACGGGATTTCCTGAAGCTGCCTGCGCATCCTCAGGACTTTATTCATGCTTGTCAAACTCCAGCATTTTTGCTTCTGGGTACAAAGTCGAGGCAGCTATGCCTAGACATATGGAAGCCATTCCCCCCCCCCCCCCCCACTTCAAGTCCCTGTCTGAGCGAACTACCGAAAACCTCGTAAAGGGTTCTTGCGTTGGTACTTACACCGCAGGGCTGTCATAAGTAAACCACGCTATGGTGCGATCTACACACATGAAGTGGGTCCGGAACCAGACACTGCTACACATGTTAATATTGAAACCTGATGCCGTTGAACTGCCATGTCAGCTATGCAGGCAATTCGAAACAGTCTAATTTATCTCTGCGAGGTTGTGCGACTACGAAAAACAAAACCAAGAAGAGGTCGCTGGGAATATGTGGGATATTGTAATCTTTGGTTGAAGCCTGGGGCAAAAATATAACGAGGGTAATAAATAATCAAGAGTTCTTTTTAACGGCGCCAGAAATTGTTATGACTTAAAGGCATGTTGTTTAATGTAAATGTCATTATGATTACACATTTTTACAAGCAGAGTCATGCGTTCAGTTTATTTCCATACCAAGCCCCTACCTGAAAGGGGTAAAAAAGAGAAAAAGATTTGAGTACCATGCCAACAGCTCTACGTGGTATATAAATGAAAAGTTCACTGACTTAATGATGAAGCAAAATATAAACATAATACGGCTATGAAGAAAGGAATGACTTTTCTTTGAAAAGCTTTTTCTTTTATTTCAGGAAATAAACCTAACTTGGAAGTTCCAGGTAAGCATACAAATATTTCTATTTTTATTCGGTCTATAGCTCCCGAGAAAATTTGCGCATGCGCACTCAGATGCACACAGCAGTAAAACTGAGCACGCCTCATTGGGATGAGTGGTATGGAAAACAAGGATTACAAAATAGAAATGGGACATTTTAGATTTGTTTCCATGATGAAGGTTAATTCAAAATTCGTATCAAGACACCATTGTGTCTAAATAGGCCTATCCCTCTATGGCCCATGGTTTCTCGTACATGTGCTGGTTATCTCGCGATTTGACGAGATTACCATAACTTAAACATCCTGGTTTGATTTATTTTAACCGCATGACAGAGGCAGTGACGATACTAGGCAGCCTACATATATCCAATCGGGAATACCAAGAAACTTACGCCGATAAAACCACAAAGGAATTTGCCTCCTTGGAGAAAGAAGTCACTGATGCAGTAAGTTGAACATTTCTCCTCAAGAAACTCCTCAGAAAAAAAGCAAAATAAAAAAGAACCATTAAACTTAAGTGTGTCTACTGCACGATTTCGAATCCGGTTGTTTGAACCGTTTTCACTTTAACAGAAAGCTTTCGTCACCATTATCTCCGGAACTAGAAACTCTCGGAGATGAGACTTGTCACCAAAATGAAGTCTTGAGGGTTCTAAATGCCACCCTATTCAGGTTGTAAATCTTCCCTTAACGACGGTAGCCATGGTAACAGAGCGACCCAGTCACATTAGCGGGCCTTGATAACGCGGTGCAAGTGTGTCATGCGTGTTAATGTGCTTGAACTGAGATCTTTTTGAAAGAAGTATTTTAGATATAAAGCAAAAATCAGATTTTAAAGATTAGTTTTCATTATCGACGGAAATGAAGTCGAAAAAGTGCCTTCGGAATTAAAGAAATGTCGCAGTTTCCTATGTCATACGTTATCGCGACTGTACAACACTGTTCCAAACTTTCCTTACAACGGGAAAATATTCAAGTTAAATACCAATCCTATAAAACTTTTCAATAGTGATGTTTGAGAGATGCTTGTCTTTTTTTCTTTGAAAGATGGACCGGCTTTACAACAAAAGTCTATTTCGTAACATTTACGTCGGAAGCAGCGTCTCAGGAATCAGGTAAGTTATTGGGGGAAATTTTTACTCCAGAACTTTCGCAATATTTTCTTGGTTATATTGCATCTCAAATTATTTTTAACAAGTTATACAGTGATACAAGTACATTATTTGATCGTGGGTGATATGTTGAAGGTAATATTACGGTAAAGTACATCTTACAAATATTTTGTAAAAGATTTCACTAATCGTGTTAAAGTATTTTCCACCATGTTTAACTCATTCCCAACATTCGTTACAATATTATCAATGACTTTGAAGTAAACAATAATATTTTGGGCTAAGTTTGGGTTGCATCCGTTAACTTTACCTTTCATTTGCTTTCTCTAGGAAGGGCAGCGTGGTGGTCGATTTCGCCATCCATCTTGAAATCCCCAAGATCTTGTTTGACCTGAAGAAGGATAAAGACAAACAAGTCTCAGCCCCTGAGTACAACGAGGCTTATGTGCATCTAGTCAAAGCCATTGACGGAAACGCATTGGGAGAGTTCACCATTATTGAATTTAGTCTGTCTTTCGACTCGGGTGAGTGGTGTCAAAGGTCAAGATTGTCAGGGGACCCTTGGTCGCGCTTGGTGGCAGCACACATTGAAGTCACGCTGAGAAACAAAGGATGTGAAAAATGACAAAAGAAATTTCCATACGGGTTTTATCGGCGACCTTATGAATAAGTTCGCAATTATTTATAAATAACCAGTGAACAGTTTCTCAGATGTAACAATTTAAAAGTGGCCTGGGACGATGCTGTTACGGTGAATCAAAGTAATCGGACATTGTCCATCCTGGAATTCTGCTTTTTACCCGTGTTCTTGGTCTTTTAGAAATGAATATATGCAATATAGAAAACAGGGCTTTTATCGGATCGGGTTGGATCAGAAGTGTTTTTTTTCTAACACGACAGAGAGTCTGAGTTTTGACGCCATCACTCTGCCGCCAGTATCCAGAACAGTTGAGCAGGCGGGTCAGCTGGTGCCAACGACTGCCTCGAACCCTCTACCAAAAGGTTGGTTCAAAATTATTTTTCTCTTTTCCCAAGAATGTTCTAGGCCACCTTACAAATCCGTCCCGTCCTTTTTAGTTGAATAATCTCTCTAGTATAAAGTGTAAGACCTGCATTTTTTTCCTTTTAAGGAGTTGATAAAGACGAATTTTAAAAGAAGAAGACAAAACTTTCCAAAAAGAAGACAAAACTGTTTCATTTAAACCTTAAGCCTACGGATCAAACAAGACTTGTTTTGGCACATAACATCATTTATGTGAGACCATAATACATAAAAAGGGAGGATTTTCAACAGCAACTGAAGTTAAATTTATCTGTTGTTTACCTCTTACAGTATTTCCAGTCGCTGTTTTACATTAACCTATAGTTGAATATATACTTTCATCAGAAGCAGTATTGTTAATTTCTCTCAGATTTTTTGGAAGATCGTCGAATCAAGTCAAATTGGAGTCAAGACAGCCGCAACTGCCAATAATAACTTCCTCAACAAAAACTCTCACAAATGCATTCTCTTTCCAAAAACAAACAGATGCATGTCCCATTGTACGATTCCCATATCTTACATTTAATCATTATAATAAGCTTGCGCAGAGGATGATGATAATATCTTATATATACACACTCTTCTTCTCAGATGCGTGCAACGATAACCCGTGTAGTAACGGAGGTACGTGCGTGCTTCAGCCTGATACCGACCCGTATTTCTCCTGCCAATGCCCCGAGGGAAGCACCGGAGATCTCTGTCAAAACGGTGAGTAAAAAAATGCAACACGATCTGATCATGACAGCTGTGTCTCTGAAATCCCTCGTGGAGTTCTTCCCGTTCTGCTGCGGCTGCGGCTTCTAAGCTAAGGTAACTCGCAGTGATGACGAGATTTACGAACGCTGGCTATGGCTTAACCAGCGTAATCTGATTTTAATGGATTTGCACAAATCAATACGATAGCTCTACTGACCAATTTTCACTTCGCTCAGCCTGTGGAGAATTAGGCGTGGAAACCGATGTTTCATGCCATATTACTCGTGTTTCACCGCCTCCGCAAAGATTTAGCAGCGGAGAAATTGCCACAATATGGCTGCCGTAGGCTACGAACCACCTTTAAAATTTAGTTGACAAATTCGGTTTTAACTCAATTTGATTAGTGACATTAACATACATGTATTGCTTTCTCAAATTCTAGCAATGATAAGGAACCTATAATATTTCCAAATTCTAGAACTGCCTGGATGTTACACTGGAGAGTGAAATATCTGATCGGCTACATCAAACAGAACCTTTAATGTTGAACAATAAAAGCTGCTTAGGGCAAGTCTGAACCTGCGACCTGCGGATCACCATACTGGTGTTCCACTTACCTTGTTACATTGTTTGTCGTCTGAATATCTTTTTTTGCTGGACATTGCTACCATAAAAATACGTATAAACCTTCACATTTTGGAAAGTCAAATTTATTCAATCTTAGCTCAACAGTCACTCTGCGACGCCCATCCCTGTCTGAACAACAGCACGTGTGAGGGCGGGCTTCATTACTATCGCTGTATATGTGCGGCGGGTTATGCAGGCGAGAGTTGTGAGACAAGTAAGAGTTATTACTCTCCATATGCATGACATGGTTCATTTGCATGGACGTCACACCAGCGTGCACCAATCACGTCGCTTAAATGTCGTCAAAAGTCTTAATTTCATTTACGAGCTGCGTCACACGCACACTTAACCATGGATAAATAAAACACTTTTGCACGTCAAGATTCACCAGCACAACTTTAACAATTTTCTCTTCAACGCGTTTGTAGGTTTTCAGTCGCGTGTTGTAATCGCATTGCCTTTTAAGCAATGTTATACATTTGTAGTTACCTACATGCATATTCTGTTCCTTGTTTGTAAAATAAAGCATTGTTTGTTTTTTTAGGCACACGTTAGAAAACGTAAATTCTGTGCCAACGCAATAATTCAAGACGGACATGGTTTTGTTTATCGTTCGTGTTTCGCTACAATGCATGCCTGCACGCGCTTTGCTCTGGCAACACAGAAAAGACCAGTGCACAGACTAATTTCATGTCAAAAAAATGTCAAGAGAGATGCTGAACAAATTGGAGTCTGTTTTCTTCTTTGTTTCAGTGCAAATTTCGCTGTGCGAGAGCAACCCGTGCCAACATGGCGGAACTTGCCGTGGTGACACGTACTTCTTTAATTGCGCATGCGCCTCTGGCTGGGGCGGCAGGTTCTGTGAATATGGTAAAACACTCGCGGCGTAATTTCTGTTTTATTATTTTTTTCTTTAAAAAGACCCCTTTAAAGGCATTTACCGAAAATTCAGTATTGTCAGGGCTTTCTATTAATATGCATGTCAAGTTTGAATCTCCAATAGGCACCTATAAAAGTTTATTTTTTTCGGTTAAACAAAATAGTAGCCATGTCCATATTAGGTATTCTAAACTGTTGTTGATCGTCAATAGTTTTTTAGCAGTCCTCCCAATGGTATATTAATTAATAACAACAAAACAAACTGATGATCTCTATTTTCCCACAAAAAGCCAAATTAACATATTTGGACTTGAATTACTCGTTACACATAGATACAGTCCGATTCTTCAGTTGTTTGTTTTGCCAACAAAATACAAACACTCCAAAATACCGCAAGCAAAACAACCTGCTTCAATCAATCAATTAAGTAATCAATCTTCGAGAAACACCTGTCTCACCTTTTCTCTGATATCTGTCTCATGGTCTGATTCCCGCCTCCAGTCGCACCGAGTAACCCATGCAACAGTAACCCGTGTCAGCACGGCGGACAGTGCTGGTTCAGCACCGTGGCTGGTCAGGAGCAGTACACGTGTATCTGTCCCCCAGGCTATGAGGGGAAAAACTGTGGAATATCCAAAAACACACGTATGTACAGAGGAGTGATATCGTCTTGACTTTCAATGTCTTGAGACGACTTCCTCATCCATCAGTCATCACCTTACCAGCATGAGTAGCATCATCCCGTCATCTTCATCTTTTCATCTTCATCATCACATTCCTCATCAGTCATTAAAGCAGTAGTTTTAAATAGAGTAATAGAGTATCAGTAGTTCTGAATGGAATACAAGGGCGGATCCAGGGGGGGCCAAAGGGGGCCATGGCCCCCCCAAAAACGAAACCAATTTTTTTTTTTTTTTATGTGACATCGCAATAAAGGCAGGCAATGAGTACACCACCATCTTTTCCTCAAAAAAAATTGGTTAAAGTGGTCAGAAATTGCCTCAGATCGCACCACAGAGCATCTAGAATCCAAAATTTTTTCGGGGCCCTAGCGGGCCCCGAACCCCACGCCGTAATTTTTTAGACCCACTTTTTGGGGGGACCAAAATTTTTTTTGGCCCCCCCAAAGATTATGTTCTGGATCCGCCCTTGATGGAATATAGTTTGCAATAGATATGATTCTCTATTAAAGCTGGGTTATACTCTTATCTTTCTGCTCACCACAGCCACCTTCATTGCCATATTCATAGCCACGTATATCGTCCTCACATTCCTCATGTTGATTTAGTGGTTTAGAATAAAGAAGTAGACCAGTGTTGGATGGAATTGTTTCCGAGTGGGGGCTGGGTTTCATTCGTACTTTTCTTTCTACTCATGTTTCTTTTGGTCCATTCTTATCCCCATAATTCCAATCATCACCATCACAATGCCACCTTCACCACCATCACCTCATTATCACCATCATGACCTTCATCAGTCTGTACCATCATCATCTGTCTAGCATCCTGCTTGTAGTTTCATTATTTTCTCACGCCAGTTCGAAAATGTGTACTATGTTTTTTTGGCCCTAACTTCTTTTCGGTTCAATGTGCCCCGAATTTTAATTGATACAAGCGCCAGCACGAACTGACTACGTCACTTATCTTGGAACTAAATCTGAATTCTGTTTACACGCTGAAACCGAGTTCAGTAAGCTTACGATAGCAATTGACGCAACAGGGAAGCGTAGCGCTTCTCGGAAATCTTCTCTTTTAAAAAAACAAATTACATACTTTGAAAACAAGTCACGAAAATATTCCTGATCAGGGAGAGGTTTTTGAGGACCATTCCCGAGGGTATGAAACTGAAACGAAACCCTCTTAGGCGAATTCCTTAGTTCGGTTACCATGGCAACGAATACCCCTAAAGCCAAGTATTTTGCTCGCGAGCAAGTAATATCGTTCTTCCGTGTCTTAAGACTGTAACAAAATACGCGATAAATATAGTCAGTGACGTCAACTAGCCTGCGTAATACAGCAGAGGAGGTTGCGATTGTGTGGGTTCCCATTATCGAGTCAGTTCACTAGGAAAACTTATTTGAATTTACAAAGCCGTCCGTTTGTTTTCTTTGACATTTCGACAGGAGATCCAGGCGCTCACGAGACTTCACGTGAAACTACGGGATTTGGAGCCTCTGGTAATAAATGAACGGAAGAGGACAAATCACACACTGAAAAAAAATCCGCCTAAAAACGCATTAACGACGTGAGGACACCATCACGTGACTGTATCAGACTATAATTTACGTTTGTAAAGTTAGTCCTGCTGCGAAGGCTCAAAACACACATATATTTTGGGTAAATACAAAAATTGCAATAAATTGACTCAAATGCCAATAATTGTGTTATTTTGTCCATTTCCCTGTGTAGAATGTATCGATATCCCAATCCTTCAATGTTGTCCCTTCCTCCCTTACAACCAAACCGTCTCCCCAAACCCATTCCAGTTGACAGAAACCCACGATGAACTTATGGAATTCTTCGAGTTGTCTTACCACTTCCTGACCCCGAGTTGTCACCCGGACGCCCAGCGAGTTCTCTGCACCATCCTAAACCCTCAGTGCCCGGAAATCGACACAACAGGTCAGAGTGGTGATGACCTTACGACGTTACTGGACTTCCAATTGCCATGTCGGTCTGTTTGTCGTGAGGTCCACGATTCCTGTCTTTCCAATTTACCCTCGCAACTTCGTAGGGAGTTCGAAGTGTTCGGTAACTTCTGCTATTCACTGCCGGAGTCGAAAGAGGAAAGCGTTTGTTTCCAGTCATCTCGACAAGAAACGCCGTATGAAGGTGGGTATTAAAATACGACGGCCAATGAGCTTTTATTACAGGTAAAGTCACGCGCGCGCGTATGTTTGCACCTGTTCTCAAAGACAAGGCACTCGCGCATTTCGAAATCCTATTGGTCGAGAGAAGATGGAATGCGCGCGTACCACCTGCGCACGCGCGAGCGTGGTAAAACGTGTATCCGGTTCGTAAGTGACTTCGTCATACACGCGCACGCACCACTGATTACGAGCGCCCATTGGATAAACACTCAAGTTGCGTTAACTTCCGGTTCCATTGGTGCCATGCTACACCATGTACAGTAAAGCATGGCTAAGTTGAGATGACGTCACACTTACAAACCGGATACGCCATAGACAGTTTTTGGCAAAAAAAAATAAAAAAATCTCGCCGCATCTCTGAAATACTTCGTCTAAAAACTTGGGGATTATCACATGTTGTTGCCCTACAATCCAGCTTTCTATCCGTGTAAAATTTTCTCGAAAATCTCACTTCACGATACTGGCGGAAAACGGAAGGTCGCCAAATTACTCAACGGACCTATTTGCGGAAACATCAAAATTCTTTTACCAAACTGAAGTACAAACCAACACTAACTTGGGTCAGCCAAGCATTGAAATAAAACCACTATCCTGAAGTATAAAATATACAAAGAAACAAATTTAAGATGATCAATAAGGGTCATATTCTTATGCCGTTATTGAGCAAGATGCATGCTCTCTGTCATTATTCAGTGACTATTTTTTGCACATTCACATCTGCCACCTCTGACACAGAAAAGAAAAAGTATAGATTTCTATTACACCTAACAAACTACATAATTTGCTTTTATGACATTGCCAGGCAGTTCGTCTAGGAGCTGATATGTGTGTTATATATTCATTCCCAGAACCGGTCGGGTGTAGGTCCTCACCGTGCGAGAACGGCGGTGCCTGCCTGGAACTCAACGATATCATCCGGTGTAGATGTCCGCGGGGCTACGGTGGACAAACCTGTGCATACGGTAAATCTTCCGTCTTTCAATCATCAAAACAGGTGTACAGATAATTGCAATCATTTTCTCTGACGCGACAGTGTTTGCATTGTGTGACTTCGTCGATGTAAAAATAATTTTATGGGTAGAATTCACACCTCAGGCGTATATGAAACATGAATTGTAAAAGCCCTTAAGATTTTTTGAGTTCGTCAGCGAATTTCGGATGAATTAATATTGACCCATTTCCCCCGAGGTGATTGTTCTACAATATTACCTTGACTGTATTAGAGACCTCTCCGCACCGTGTTGGCGCCCTTTTGCTTATCCTCACCAATAAAACAAACTTAATAATGCAGGAAATAACCGCAAATATTTGACTATATGATTGGTTTTTAGAGTTGCCGAGCCCATGTTCGCCAAGTCCCTGCCTAAATGGCGGCATTTGTAAAGTTGGCAGGGATTCCTTGATCCCTCGATTTACATGCGAGTGTCCAGCACCCTACGTACCGCCTTACTGTGACTCGGGACAGTGAAAGGTAAACATTTTTTAACAGTATTTGTTTTTTAAATTATCGCAATCACATCAAATTACAGAAATTTATAATGAAATTTGTGATAAATTGATTCACTTGTGGACAAGTTTACAATGCCGCACAATAATTTATTTTAGCATTTTGGAGAACAAAATATCGAAACAGGCCGACGAGAGTTATAAATATTGTTACAACATAAAATTATGAGAACAAAAGTGAAGGGGTTACCTTGACAATTTGACAAACGCAACTTAAAACTTTATTTCAGGTATTGGTTGCTCATGTCTCTAAAGTTGTTATATTTCGTGTCAAATAATTGCCGAAATGAAGCACTTCATAAGAGGAATTTACTCAAAGTATTGTTATTTTTACCAGTCTCGCCAATCATGCGAGTTGAACTCATTTGTCTTATATCTTGCAAATAGGAAGCACTTTCACTAACACACGTTGACAAATCACTGCGCACGCGCCATCTTGTGACCCTTGACCCTTATTACGTCATCTCAGAGAGCCAATCAGCTTCCGTCCCGATCCATGTGACGTCTGTGACAGTAAGAAGGGTTGTGCTACCTTTTAATTTATTTGAAAGACTGGAAACAGTATTTTTGAAATCTTATAAATGTTTTTAATTCATAAGACTTTTGCTCTTAAGGACGTATTGTTCATTTCCAATATCATTAATCATTTTGATGAACTTTTTTTCTTGGCAATTTTTTGGCCAATTGTCGAGGCAACTAATTTATTGTATTTTAAATGATTTGTTGGTGGAACCAGTGGTAATATCAAGAGGAAAAAGGGTTCCAGTCGATTTTTCCGTTGATCCATTTTACTGAAATATTTCTTTCCTCCATTAGTGAGTGTTTTTGCTCGGTTAATGGACGCATAATTTCGTTGTAAAGTTGAGGTTTATACTATTTGTTGCATGATTCTTAGTAAGAAAATCTATCATTCATCTCTGTAAATAATATAATAATTTAAACAAGCAAATATTTCAATTAAACTTTACTGTTAAGTACAAATCGGGTAGAGAATTGCAATTAATTTACATACGCTTCTCTGCGCATGCGTAAGCGTGCGCCCAGCTTATTAATTAATCAATTTACTTTTGTCTAGAGGAAACACGATTGCAACGTTTTACCCTTTGTAAATATATTTGATTAAAATTAATGTATCGACAATGTTTTAAATTTTTTCCATGGTGAAATCTCCGTATTTATTAACGATAATGTTAAATTAATATTTGGTATAATATGACACTATAGTGTCATATATAGTGTCATATACCAAATATATACCAAGTATACTTGTTCTTTCAAAATGTGAAACTTTAAAACTATAGCAGCAAGTTCCCATTTTGTACGACGGCTGTTTTATTTTATTGATCACCATTGAATTAAAAAAAAATTTTCGTTTCTGTTTTGCCTATCTTTGGTAAATTAAGGATATATATACATGACCTATTTCGAATCACAATTTTGGGGAAAACAAAGATGTTGTAACGACTCTATTGATGTGGCTCATAAATCCGAGTATATTTAAATCATGTTTTGACTATCTTTTAATGAACTTGACTTGAACAAAGTTGACATTAAATTTTGTCTTTTGAGTTTTCATGTTTTGTAGCTGCTTTTTGCTTAAATTGTAACGATTAGCCCTAAGCCTACAATCGACACTGAAAAGCTTGACATATTAAACACAAAAAAGTAAAATGTCAAATATCGTACTTAATTACAAATGCCAATACTTGTAAATTAGCAAAGCCTTATATTTACAAAAAAAAATTATATGTTACAAAAAATGTTCTAAATCACTTTATGATAAAAACATTGCATATCAAATCCGCCCAGTAAAATCAACCATTTTTTACACGATCCCTGTACACGATGCTTAGATTCATCTGCGTATGAGCTATTTTACATTTTCTTTTATACTCAACCGTTTTAATGTTCCTTTGCTTCAGGAAATACTAATATTATTAAACATTTAATAATAAACGTTTGACATTACCTATAAAAAAGTTGAACGGAGCTGGCTCTTACGTTTATCTTCTCCAAGCTGCACAACTATGACACCTGGCCGCCATTTTGAAGACTTCATTCACAGATTTCCTTTTCTTGTTTTCTTCAATTATATTTCGTGTTGATGATATCCTGATAATCATGGTAAAGACAGACGATTGTCCGTCGTCTCTTTGTTCTTATTCTTGAGCGGCCGACGGCTGAACTTCTTCCTGTCAATCGGTGACGTAGACGAGACGTCATTTACAACGTTGGTGGCGCCAGGCACTTCCGGGTCGGTTGCCACGGCGACATCTGCAAGCGAATGAGGGCGGGCTCGCCCTGTAAGATTTTCAGACAATGATATAATTGAGTGTGCACGTACCACATCACGCACATAATTGAATTATCGGTTCAAAGTGGGTCGTGGTAGCAATCCGTTAAGTGCTCAACGACTTAACAATTATTTATGCAAGCCTATAAACTCCAACAAAAATATTCATCATTAAGTTAAAATGGGGCGAATATTCAAAGATGTTTTCATAGTCTTACTTGCAAGCTTTCACGATTGAAAAGTATGGCCTAATTATGCAGGCATGAGATCGGTTACAATTTTAACCTGTCGTTTTTTACATAAAAGGGGAAAGGATGTTAACTTTTTGACATTTAAGATTTGATCAATAGGTTTGCTAAAGCATAGAGACAAATAAAATATACTTTAAAGCAGCAACCACGGTACAAACCTCTGAGATTGTTGGGCCTCGAACACAGTGGTCTGGACAAGGCGAAATCAGCAGCAGATGTGTTAGTGCCCCTTTAACGACAAACACAGGATAAAATACGGTGACTCATGACATCCGATTCTCATGGCATGAATTTATCAGTCCATTTCTGGATCAGGACAAAAACATGAGCTTTGAGTATGAATAGAAACGTCATGGGATTGATTTTTCCTTTTTATGATCTTTTCAATGTTTTACTGTGTTTTTTTTTCTTTGTTTAAAATGCCAGTCGCACCTACTGTTGATATACTTGAACTAGATACAGTTGAGTAAAATGACAGATTTATGTCACGGAATTAGTGAAAACATTACATGCTCTTTCCATGATCTCTCACATACGGTAAGGCTCTCAAGCATTGAATGGTGTGCTAGTGGCATGATTAATGATTAACGAGTCTAATTGCCATTTGCACGACTTAAATGTCAACCGACTTCACGATCGCCATGTGTCAGGAATCTCATGAACGGCTGCACAGACTCCAATCATACAAATTAATATGCTGTGTTATAATCTCTCAAACCTTAATGGGTTGGGGTGATGAGTGGGCGTGTCTAAAATTAACAGGGGGAGGGGGAAGGAGTACCGGTTCTAATGTATAGGAGGCAGCAAAAGGACTTCAAAACATGGAAGGTCAAAGGTCAAAGTTCAGACACTGACCTGTCCACCCACGTGGGTTTGACAGTGAGTACCACGTGATCAGGTAGTCCCTTGATCAGGCCTGCTACTCGTTCTGCGTTGAAACCTCGCACTAGTTTCCCGTCACCTCTATAATCTCGTCTCCTGCGAGAATTTTCGAGAATAAAATGCAATATAATGTTGTATTTTGTACAGTAAACCTAAAATGGATCTAGCTGATTTTTTTAAATCTTAAAGAACGGACAGCATAGAATCGGGGAAAATTTGATTAATTCTGAAATATTTCTAATTCTAGTTTATTCTTGAAGTGTTTTGGCTACATCTGTTACCTGGTCTAAGTGTTCCCTTTTTAGCTGCTGGACCATCTGCGAATATACGTGCAATCACAATAGACTCAGCCTCGTTGCGAATCGTGATGCCAATACCTGCAACATCCATCGGAAATACAGAGAAATCTGTGAGCTAAACTCCTTCTGATAAGTCACTAAAATGAAAGAACTTCCCGTAAGTTAAAGCCTGGAATAGATGGAAACGAGAATGGAAATTCATGGTTTCAGAAGAATAAAACGAGTTTTAAAATTGGCTTTTGCCTTTCATCAACGTAATTTCAAGGTCAAAAGATTACACAATACTCATCCTCAGATAAAATTTCATCAACGTTTGGAAACCATTTTTTTTGGTCATGCAAATGGCAAAGGGACTGAAAATCAAGGTATTATTTGAGTTGGAACAAAGAAAAGAACATCAGCCACGTGATTTCAACCGAAGTACTCATCAACATTATGCAAGTAAAAACAAGTTTGTGCGAAAAGTAGTGTGTCTATGTTAATATCCATCGTGCGAGATATAAATCATTTAAGGTATTTTGAGAAGAGATATTCTCCAGACTTACCATCCCCATAATCTTCTTCCTTCGTGAACGACAATCTCCGATGACTGTGTTTACGATACTTATTAGCGACCACCGAGGTTCTCGTTTTGAGTTCCCTCATGAAGTCATTCCTGCTCCGTCGGTCAGCTACAGCCAGCTGAATCTGAGTCAGCCAGTCCCTCTGACCGAAAATCACCCGGAGGTCAAACACGCCCTGCTTGGTGCAGATGGTGAAGTGGATGTGCCTACGACCCTTGTCGATGTTGGACATTGAGGAGATTTCTTCAAGAGGCAGGCGGTATAAGACGTTCTTTCTTTCTGCTCTTTCTGAGGATGCCGAGACCCTTAAAAATTGCAAAGAAGCGAAATTGGTTAAGATTTTGAAGGTGAAATCGAATGTGAATTGGGGTCGGTATAGAATTGCCGTACTAAAGAACACACCTCGTATCTGACTGAGAATTGCAAGCACTTGTTTTTAAAAGAAGGTGATGTGGTGACGATAGCGTGGTGAACGTCAAGATGGGGGTGCTTATAATGGTAATGTGATGATTATGGTGATAATGGTGAGGATAATATGTGTGATAACAATGGCATTTGACGTTGTTGATTACGAATAATAAAGGAAACTATACATCAGACGTACAAATTTAAGCTATTATTAAGTTGGTAAAAATCTTCACAAATTGACAAATTGGCCTACCTTCTTTTTCTCTCGACCCCTTCTCCGTCATTTCTTCCTTTTCGTCTCGGGTCCGATCTGAAGATAGTCAGTGTTTCCTGGGTCAAGACGCCAAATCTCGACCTCCACGAGTAGATGACGCCATGAGATTCTTTATCTAAAATTCCTTCCTTGATGATGGTAGCTCCGGCGTTTGATGGCGAGCGTGTCAGGGCGTGATCGCCGTCCGTGGCTGCCCCGCTACTGACCGGCGGTAGCACGCTCACGCCACTGATCCGCGTCGAACACATCTTAAGTATTTACTTTCGTATCTCACAAATGGGAAAATCGTAGATTTCCCCCCCCAAAAAAAATTACAGATTTTGTTGTTGTATTATCCAAGGGCAATAGAAGTAGCGTTGCCGCAGATCCAACGCTCAGTTATGATCCAAGTTGAGCATCGAAAAAGGAAGATTTCTTCAATACAAACTTTACATTTATCACTTCAACTATGGTAGCTCATCAACATGTACTAAGACAGCGAAAATCGACACAGACAAAACGTGAGCAGAAATCTGGAGAATAGTCCTCAAGAAAGTCCATTAGGCAGGCCTACATGCCAACTAAAGTTTACTTTAAATTCTTATCCTGAAATAACTGACGGGAGTCAGTGCAGTAGACATGCTTGGTGAGTCATGCACCACTGAAGGACAAAATGCGTGTCATGAGATTTCACCAGATTATATTCCATTAATCCAACTTACTTTAAATAGTGAAGAAGCGACAAGTTAAGAACGAGAACATTTCACCGGATGTGTCAGGTGCGGTAGACGAGCTTAAACTCTTTTTCTGTCCTCAAAGAGGACTACTACGTACTTGAGCAATATCCAAAAACAGGATGTGAAATATTTCAGAGATGTTATGATCGGATCTGAGCTGAGGAGGTCCCTTCCAAAGTTCACAGGAACTTCTGATTAAGGGTTGATTAGCCAGCAGGAATTGGATTCAGCCCTGGGCAGGTGATTCGGCTCGCAGGGACGGCGCAGCATGCTAAGCAGCGCACGGTGGTTTGTGTGGTTCCCGGACTTTTCTGGATGAGTAATCGTTGGACGGGGAGCGGCAGCGACCACGTCATGATCCCTTTCCTGCTGGGTGTTTGCAGCATGACCCCGACCCCGGGACCCCCTTACATGACCCTGGGGAACGACGTGACGTAGCATGCAAAAGAGAACTGTTTTGTTACACAAAAGACTCGAAAAAATATTATTAATTGATCATTTTAGCCACAGCTTTTCTAGTTTTATTACATAAAAATACATTGTTTGCATGCTATTTAAACCAAACTTAATAACATGCATGTTGGAACATTTAAAACATTGGGCATAAGGGCGACAAAAGCAGTACATACAATTAATGTAACTTTTTAGAGTAGGCTATATAGGCCTAAGTTATCTTATAGCCGAAATTCTTACTTGCGCAGTGAAAAAATTCTTGCAAACAGAAGCTACATCACAAGACACGCAGTTCAGATGGATTTTAGGCCTGCAGATGTTAAAATCTTTAAATCAATAAATTTATAAATCAAACTAACATGACTAGCAGTAAATTGTGTCTGTTCTTCGCTCCATTCATTCTTCGTTGAATCTTCCTATGTCTGTCAACATAATGTTATTCATCATCTTGAAGATAATTTTTGCCGAAAGAAAATCTGCATGATCCCAACACAGCATTGTAATTTAAGAAAATAGTCACGAATCTCTGTATACAACTGTGTACAATACAAACACAATAGTCTATGTCCAGATTCAGTAGAATTAAACAGCGCAGCTTTATCTTAACCGCAATCGTAACACACCAATTAAAAATATAATTTGATTGAATAATAATATTGAGATACACATTTTTTTTGGCAAAGCAAAACAAAATAGATGAGATTTTTTTTTTCTCATAAGAAACAATTATGTACATAATAGACAAGCACATGTAAGTTTTTTAGCCGTTCAATAATTGATTGCATTCATGTACGCATTCAGTATAGTTTAAAGAAAAGTCAGTTTTGCAATTGGTCTATTTTTTTCAAGATGTATCCTAAAATTAAATCATGGCTAATCAACAAAAAAGCAATGCACAAATCATTATAATTGATACAATCAACATTATAAACACAAAAAGCAGATTGTTTGTGTAGGCCTGAATTAAGGTACGTATGTGGACCATTGTCTAACTTTAAAAGTTTTACGTTTCAAACTTTTTATCGGAGGTATGAGTTTATAGTGAGTAATTTTGTACAAACCTGTTTTAAGTAAGTTTAGTTTAACACAATCAAGTACGATTGGGCTACAAGTACAATACCTTAAAGATACACAAAATGCTGAAGCTATAAGCAGTATATACAGAAAGCGGCGCAATGAACACAACCAACTTTGCCAAAAGACGGGAGCTTCGTGTTTTTCTTAAAAGTTCACAGGTAGGCCTACATCAATATTTTGCAGACAAGTTCACTTCAAACAACGACAAAAAGTCGTGGTGTTCAGAAATTATAATATGAACATTCTTCAGTGTGATAAACTGTTGATTTCTGAACATGTAACAATTTGGTGTAACATTTGGTGTTAGCGCAGTGTTTTCTGTAGCTTAATCACCTTGCTCTGCCTAGTATTCCCTGGTGTTATTACCGTGTTCCGGCGACTGTGGTGCATGGGGGAGGGCGGTGTTTTCATCGGCAGGTGAGTTGGGATCGAAGGTCTGGTTATGATAGACCGGAGCGGAAGCTAATGGCAACTGTGGCTTCTGGCTGTAACCTGAAGTGCGTGCGATAAAAATATCATTTTGATATCAATCAATTGCTGTTTAGGTTAGTGAGTTCAAATTGGAACTCATCGACTTCGAGAAATCTACTGAGGATCAAAAATGGAGTCTTGTTGATTTGGAAATACTGCGAGTCTAAACATAGTAGCAAGTCGTCATTGTTACTCTCACTCAAGCAATATTGTAGAGGGCGCAATACTGCTTGCTCATAGACTGGTTTCTGGTCCCTCTATCGTCCTTCCTGAGCGCTTTCACTTTAGAAACAGATTGGTTGACATAACCAATCATTGGTTGAAACAGCCACATATTGGTTAATATGTGTCCCACCAATCGCCTTGGTTGGACACACATTAAACAATATTGGTTATTTTAACCAATCTGTTTACGCGCCTTCGCGTGCGATTATTGTTCGACTTGGTTCGTCACTTGGTAACGGAATGATTTTCGGACTTAACTTCCCTTTAAAAAAAATCCTCCAGAGCAACGAATGGGAACAAAGACTGCATTTCATATTATCGATCATCAGGAGATGATTAAGCCCAATTTAGGAGCAAAAATTTTTGAGGGAAAAATAAAAGTGTAAACTTCCCTCCAGGAATTGAGGCTAGAACCTCCAGCATTCAGATCAGCGATTTGACGCACACGCCGGAGCCACGCTGACTGTCATATGAATATAAGGTTATGTAGCACGGCTTGTTGCCATGGATCGACCAATCAGGATGGAGGATTCAAGATTACTTGAAGATAAAAGAACTTATTCCGAAACGAGTGTCATATTGAGTTGTTCAAGTGATATGCTTCATGCATGCGTGTTACGCTCGATGACTTTATCGAGATGCAAAAAGCAATATTTGCATGCCGCCCGCTACAGTTCATGCACGACGCCACTACCTACCTGGTGCTGGTTGGCTGGGTATGGACGCAGGAAAACTGCCCCCGGAGTATCCAGCATACTCCGCCTGGGGTGGTGGCATAGCGACGGCCGGCCCGCCATAGTTCGGTAAGGGCTGACCAACCGGCTGCTGCATGGTGTGAATCTGTCCAAAAAAAGGCAAAAAAAAGTCTCTAAAAGTTTGGTTTTCTCACTTCTGCCTACAAATAAAGTTCATTTTCACCCATAGTGAGACATTGCGTTGGTACGGCAACAGTCCCCGTATGATATCTGAAACATCTAACCTACACTAACTCAAATCAGAAAGATAACTTTTAAAACACTTAATTTTTCAAGGTGAAATCGATCTTACCACGACAGTTTGAGTCGGTGCCACGTCATTATTGCAGCAACATGTGCATGCAGTGCAGCAGGAAACCATGGCAATGATCCACTCCAGGAATGCAAGCAACAAGAGAACGCCGTGCATGATCATATCTTGAATCTAGAACGAGAGAACATTTGTACAAATTAACCAAACTTAAAACAGAACAACTTAACCCAAACCAACCCAACCACAACCAACACAACCCATTGCAGCCAAGCGCAAATCAACCAAACTGAACCCAAACAATTGGCCCACTCAACCCGACCCATCTCAACTTCAACCCAACCCAACCAAACCCAACTCACACAACCCAACCCAACCCAACCCAACCCAACCCAGCCCAGCCCAGCCCAGCCCAGCCCAGCCCAACCCAACCCAACCCAACTCAACCAACCCAACCCAACTCAACCAACCCAACCCAACCAACCAACCCAACCCAACCCAACCCAACCCAACCAACCAACCCAACTCAACCAACCCAACCCAACCCAACCCAACCCAACCCAACCCAACCCAACCCAACCCAACCCAACCCAACCCAACCCAACCCAACCCAACCCAACCCAACCCAACCCACCCAACCCAACTCAACCAACCCAACCCAACCCAACTCAACCCAACCCAACCCAACCCAACCCAACCCAACCCAACCCAACCCAACTCAACCCAACCCAACCCAACCCAACCCAACCCAACTCAACCCAACTCAACCAATCCAACCCAACTCACACAACCCAACCCAACCCATACGTACCTGTTTCTGTGTACAATTATAGTATTTGTCAGAGTAGGGGCTATTGGAGCAGGCAAACACCTCGTACAATATTGCATAAATGTACACTCCCATCTGACCCATAGATACGAAGACCGACAGAAGAGCCATGATATAGTAAGCAGTAATCTGCGACGAAAAACAGAGAGAATTTGATGGCTGTGAGAAACAAGCTATAACACAAACTGCTTCTTCAACAATCCCAAGACTCAAACTTAAAATGGCATTCAAAAGCTGATAAAGGTGCAACTACATGGACAACAATCGAGTGGGACTTATCTATTATTAAAGGACCTTTTCCGAAGAAGGCATGTACTGCTGAGAAAAAAAGATGACAGCATTTGTTTGATTTTTCCAAACGGATCAAAGCTCATTTGAAAGATTTCAAACGAAATCTTTTTTGTTAACTCTTGCAACAGTGAGCTTTACGAAAATAATAAGTATTATTTGGCGCAATAATGGGATCCCGTTTATGAGATGAAAATGCAGCATATGCGGCGATTCTTCACGATTCCAGAAGAATCTACAAGATAAAAAGGAATCTTCTAAACCGGCACTGTCTCCTAAGGAGAATGAGCGGGATTAAGATGAGGAGTTTTGTTCACGTCTTACCACACAATTGTTCCTTGAAGCCGAGGCCAGAGCAAGTATACCAGTCATCGTGTAGAACTGAAATCATATCAAACGTGGATCAAGTTTAAGCAAATTGCCAAATCGCAAAGTAACGTCGAAAATATGATTTTTGTAAATTTGGAAAAAAAGACGTTGCTGAAATCAGTTTGGACACCCTTCATGCTACCAGCATTGATACTTCGAAAATTATAGGACACAGCTCCTACTTGTTTCCAGCATGTCAAAAAAAACCTTCGAATCTGGAGCATTGATGCATAATTATTACAAAGTTCAAATATTGAGCCTTGATGCATAATTATATATTTTCTACCTTTTAAAAAATTGTTTACTGAAACGATTTGTCAAGTTTCTTTGAATTAAATAAAATGCATTGTTTCCTCAGTAATTCAAACTAAGTTTTCGATTAACTACATCAAAGGATTTCAAAATCAAGGTTTAAATCACAAGAATTCGCACTGCACAGGAATCATACTTACCGCCACACCGGCCCATATCCCCACTGCAATGCTAGCAGCGTACGCATACAGTACAATAGCGGCAATACCACAACCACAACACCCCATACCAAAGATGATATGGAACACCCCCAGGCAAACCCCACACCCAACGGGGTATTTGTAATTAGTCGCCATCTTGGTCCAGAATTCCTGTAGAGAAATAATGAAACTTAATTTTTTTGGCTCAATACCTGAGGGTCGAAAATCACAGAATTCGACCATGGAGAAAAGAAAACGTGAAGCAATTGGCAGATTCAAAACGTTTCGGCTTCATTGCCTCTAGGTTACAAACCTAATGCCTTCAATTTTGAGGTTAATTTCGTTTTTCAGAAATGGATTCTCCTTTTACCTGAAAGAAATCAGTTCATCTATGTAGTTCAATCATAGGCTGTAGAAACATATGGCGAGGATTTTAGCAGGCCTAAATACGTTTCTTAAACATTTGAGAGTTCAACAGATTGTGATCAAAACGATGCATACATTTTCGAGATTTTGCTTTAGAGATTTTCGTTTCAGCAAATTTTCCACTTCCCAACCATCGAAAGATCAGATTTTTAATAATAGTCTCGATATTAAACATGTAATACGCGGTCGACATAGTTTGCATGCAGCTAATACTGGTAACTTTGACAACGGCGCACCCAGAACGACATGTCGTGATGCGAACGAGCAGAGTCATTCTTGTCGTCAATCACGAAACACGAGAAATGTCTCATACATAACATTAATTGGTTAATGTCTCTAGTATTGAACAAATGGTCAACAAAACGAGTTTTGAAAGATGTTTGATATGGCAGACCACTGAGTTAGGATACAACATTAACTACAGGAACAAAAGAATCACATTTCCTACCTTATTTCATAGATGTTGGCAGCACAAGTGTATATCCTCCGCAGACTATGATATTAGACTGCTTTCCCGTCCCGTTATGCGACGAGTTAAGATGAATTTTCATCCGAATCGGATTAATGATTCATTCGTCGTTTGTTTGAACGTTCAGTCAGTCGCCATGACACCTATCGCATGATTTATTTTCATTTATGCCAGTTGTTTGCGTTTGGCATTAAAACTGCGAGATCGTTTCGGGTGTGTGCGCCCAGTTTCGTTACTGGTCAACCAAAGTCCGATAATTATTAACATTCTGGTTAGTTTCGTCTGCTCAGATTAAACTGATCAGACGTGTGTGTTGTGTGACAACCACAAAATAACGAGTGACTTTACGGAGGCCTGGAGGTGCCATGGAAGCAATTCATTCTTGTAGGCGGTCTCGTCTTCAAGGGGTTTGGGCCTTTTGGCCTAAGGCTTAGGTTCGTTATTAATTTATGAGTACGACAACAATCATACAAGCTAAAGAATTATATTTTCTCCAAACACCGCAACACACAAATTTAAACAGTGCTATTTATTAAAGTAAACTTTAAAGTGAACTTTAGAGTCTGAGTATATGTGTCGCTACAAAAAATAGTCTGTTACAAGCTAAGCTTATCAATATGAGTTATTATAATCCTACACTGAATAATAAACATAAACGAAGTGCATTTTAATGGCTGGTGATATTGTTGGTATTTTTCACCATTTTAGTTATAGCTTTTAAAGTACCGGTAAGTCAATATTACCCCCAAAAGGCGTTGTGGAAACTCAGACGCGCGTGCGCAGTGTGTCTGCTTTTAACTAGTCTTGATGCAAGACGTTGTTAGCGGAGTAGTCCACGATTAACGGTACATACAATAAACATTACAGCGCAGCAGCATGCATCTCCCACTTTCAAAATACGGCCTGCCGTTCGGCACGTGTGTATAAGGGAGGGCGCTTCGGTAAATCGCTACACAGTCCAATAACTCGTGCACGCTGAAACATTGCATTGCTAGATTGCAAAAGACTACCATTTAACATGCGTTAAATGTATAGTCCATCATTTGTAATTTCTGCATTTTGTTCGTTTAAAGCAACAAAAGTGCTCAAAATAAAGGGTGCTGAACAACTATAAACCTGATGAAGTTTCAGCTCAGCTTTAGCTGTATATTCCGAGAAAAAACAGCATTCTAGGATCTCGATTTCAAATCAAAAGTTGCTGAATCGTGTTTTGAATTGGGCCTGAATTCAGCGTCCGAGACACGTTCTTACTGAGCTGATTGCAGCTACGCGATGTGAAAACATGAAAACTAGAAAATGCATTACATAACTTTAATAAGAATCACTTAAAACAAACTCTGAATAACATTGCGTTTCTCTCACGTCGATTATAGGCCTATGCTTCCGTGCAAAAAGCAACAAGACACAAACCATCTTTCCAGCTCATAGCTTTGTGGAGTATTATAGTTTAAATGTTCATTTGATAACATACTCTTGCAATTTAAGGACTATAAGGCCTTCTGTAAACAGTCTGAGTAATATTGTTTGGCTACAAGCAAATGTATATTGAATTAAATGCCCCTGCAGTGGCTATGACTTTCCATTTCTGACATCAGAATACATGCTGAATAAAACTAGGAATCCCATCCAGCCACTTTCTCTCAGCCATAAAACAGACCCAAATTACGAAGCCAGATCCCAAACCAAATCCGTGGTTACTAAAATGATACACTGTATTGTTAAATATGAATGTTCTAATTAACTAGCACAATCTGAGTATGGTTTTCTTTAATATTCTTATCCGTACAATTTGACGCTTCATTTTGGAACATTCACGATTCATTAATAGCAAAATATGATTGTTGTATTACTTAGGCCTAATGTATATATCAGGTAAAAATATACAGACTTTAGACCCAACTCCATGAATTGTTGAAACATTGTAAAGTAATGCATACATGGCCCCATTGGTCAGATAATAAACGTTTGAGAGTTACTTTAACGCTGCAAGTGACGTCATGATTCGTTAAGTCCAAAGGTCGTATTTTAACCACTGAGCGAGTTCCCCGTTCCGAAACTGACCGCTTGGTGGCGCTCAAGCCTGTGAATCTATGGAAGAAGCACAAAAGGTCAAATACGCCTTCGCTATAAAGTTGTCTATACCAGAAGGAAAACCATAGGGCATAATGTAGATTTGCGAATTGAAGTTAATAGCAGACAACACTAGGCGAGACCAGTGAAGCTGGTTCAAGAAAGCATAATTTTTTTTATTCAAATGATTCAGAATGGTTATTCACTGGAAGTTCATATAGGTCTACACAATGTAGCCAAGATTCATTGGCGTTATAGGGGTGATTATTATTACGATAACTTGCCCTGCTCACAATGACGGCCCAGCCAGCCAGTCACCCAGCCAGCTGGGTAGCTGGGCAGCAAGCGACCCGGGGAGCCAGGGAGCCAGCCAGCCAGCCGGCCCGCAGCCAGGAAGCCAGCAGGCGCGGCCAGCCGGCCAGATACGTACAATCAGCGAGATACGTACAAAGAGAGCAATGGGCCTTATTCACGAGTCGGCCATATTGAGCTGAAAATGAGGTAAAATCTTAATTTTTGATACTTGTGAAGAGAAATGAAAGCAAGTTAATTCCTAATTAATTCCAGTCTGCTTCAATGAATACCGTAATTTTAAATTTAATTGAAAATTCCCTAATGTTTACAGCCACATAAAAAAAGACGATAAAATAATGCTGCATTGTGCCTGCAAAAATAGTCTGGCGCCATCCCATTGAACAGTTAACACTTAATGAAATACGTTCAGGGAACTCGACAAAAATGGCCAACTCGTGAATAAGGCCAATGGGCTAAGGGTGCAACCCTGCAATAAAATTCCCACAGACACTAGTGCTAAATGCGCATACTACAAAATTATTTTAAAAATACTCAGAACTCCCACAGGTAGGGCCTATTCAAGCTGAACGGACAATTGATGATCAATGTGTCAGCTTTCGTTTTCTTTTCATTTTTTGGTGGGTTGACCATTGACTTTTCGAGATATTCTCACCCAAAGAAGACGACCCCTATTTTCCCCAAAGTGGAAAGTAGCCATCTTGAAAAACAATCCCTCCACAACATGGTAAAATAGCGCCACTTTCGAGCCCAATAGCATGCAAATGCTCAGAATTGGAAGCCCTAAGTCCGGGCCAGAGGTTCATTACCATATCCCTTCAATTCGTTAATTTTATGGCTCTAAAAACTTTCTAATGTAGAATATTTTGAGGGTATAACTTTTATTCATGAGCTCGGCGCACGGATTTTTGGCCCATGTACAGGCGTGCACCCCTAGGCCTCTGGTACCAGTAAAACATGGTTTATTAATGACTCTCGATTATAACTTCTCTAAAGTATAATACCTTACCAACTTATGGCTGGCCGGAAGGATTGTGTCCCACCACTCCCTGGTTCACTTGCCCAAGTTCCACTTGCTGTAGGGTCTGGTAGCGCATCTGAAAATACCATGAAATTCACAATAATTAAAAAAATATATATATACATGTATATTCACAATACCATCACACATCGTTATTCGAACACTGAAGGTATAATACGTTAGTTTTCTTGACGTAACTCGGTATGATCGTTAATAAACAAAACTATATTTTTTGAATTGTACAAACATGTAAATTTACGTCAATAACCGAGAAACTCAGTCTTTTTAAAGGCCAAAATACCATCGTAAGATCGCCCTCGTATGTTCAAGAATAAGGCCTGCGTAGTTTCATTGTTGAAGGCAACGTACCATAGTCTGGTGCTGAGACTTAGAGTAGACAGACATGCCAGCCATGACGATACCAATGATGGATGTAATCAGCTCGCCAACACCCAGAACGATCAGAGTGATGTCAAATGCCATTGGGAGTCGAGTCTGGGAAGCCTGGATACACAAGCGCATATCAGTATTGTACACTATGTAGTCAAATCCAATCACAAGTCCAATCACAAGTAACAGGATGAACAATGACAAAGGAATGGTTTTGTTTACAGTTCATTTCAATAGCTAGTAACTTGACTTGTGGACTTGTGATGAACCTGTGATTGACTTGTGACGGACTTGTGATTGACCTGTGATGGACTTGTGACTGACTTGTGATGGACTTGTGATGGACTTGTGACTGACTTGTGACTGACTTGTGATTGACTTGTGACTGACTTGTGATGGATTTGTGATTGGGAACAACAAAGAAAATGACACAGAATAACTGAAGTACACAAAGCTGTAATTAACAACCCTGGTTAGGCAAACAATATGATTTATAAAATCCTCTCTTTTTATTTTAAGAGGGGCTTTCAAAAGGACTTTTGTATTTTTAACTTTTAAACTGAGGTTTTATCGCTGGTGATGTTTGAAGACAATTGTGACGATTCTTGAAGTCGCATTTTTGGACGAAAGAGGTTTCTGGGACATTGTATTTGAAAGGTGATATTCTTTGAACGGATTGAGCAATTTCAGTATTTTTTTCAACTAACAGTAGCTTATGAAATTGGCTTTCCATTCATTATTATTGTTGGTGCGATATATATTTTTAAATATGAAATATAATTTTAAGGGTTTGGGCTTCGCTTTTTGTACTCACACTGTATTGGTAATAACTGCTCCGCGAAGAATATCCGACGATAAATGACAGATCAGTACCGCTTAAGCCGATGACACAGACCGAAGCAAGACAGGCAAAGCTGGATGCCACCAGGTAGCCCGCAGCCTGACAACGGAATGCATTATCAGGAACCAAACTTAGTTTCATAAAGCTTATACTATCTTGACTAAATCTGTATGGAGTAATTACCTGCGAACAAACTAAGTATACAAATATAAACATGGTAGTCGAGGAAGGATAGTCGGGCTCCCAGAGAGAACTAGTTTGCCAAAAGGGCACCAATTAACACCCAAAAGGCACCAGAACATCCGTGACTTGTTGAATGGCGACAATAAGGAGTCTATTCAAATATTGCATTGAACCAAATAATATTGTGTGGCATTATGTTGTGTTTGTTCGTTATATGTTTCATCTAGTCAAGCATTCTGATAAAATGGTTTCTTTACTGGACCTATAAGTCAAACTATACCCCCAATATATACCATATACATGAGCTTCGCCAGGATTTTTTCTAGAGGGGGGGGGGGGGGGCAAAACATATTTTTCCAAAAATTTCCTGTATTTCTCAACATATTCTCGATTTCTCAGTCTTAGAGGGGGGCAGGGACATTTTGCCCCTCCCCCAACTCATTAAATTTACACCACTATGACTTCGCGCCTCTTTTTCTTTTCTTTTTTTTTCTCTTTTTTTTTTGGGGGGGGGGGTTCCAGGGGACAAGCGCCCCCCTTGCCCCCCCCCTCGCGACGCCCATGACCATATAGCATCACCTCTCCATAACAGAATAAAATCTTCACAACTTATATGCTGACTTACCATGTGAGAACTCTTCTTGCATCCCGATATTAGGCCCAAGATCCCAGCTGTCAAAAAGAACTAAAAAGAATCCATACGGTAGTAAAAAAAAAACGGCGTAAGGGTTAAACTTCTGTAGGGGTGCACCAATTGTTCAAGGAGGCACTGAAAGCAACTGATATATTGTTTAAATGTGCAATTCGAGATATTAAAATGGGGGCCGGGGCATCATGGCATGGCCGGCAGCCAGGGCACAGACCTTTGTCACAGGTCACTCTGACGATCGACTCACCGGCCATCAAGGCCGCATCTGAATCCCCGTCTGCCGGGGTGCAAACATGATTGTCTATCTGATTGCCGACGAAATAAATTCGACAAACTTGCCACGTTTATCACGAATACCATATTGATAACTACATCACAGTTTGCGAAACTTACCAAGACTCCACACCAGATTGGATATCCAGTGATATGGAGAAAGCCATAGGGCGAGTAGCCGAGGGGTGTGCTAACACAGGCTAGGCCAATACCTAAAGCGACAGCTATGGCTCCAATGACTATTTGCAGGATTCCAGTGTAGGTTAAAGCCTGCCATTGCCCGGAGTGGCTTTGGTTGAAGCTGACTGTCTGCGGAGCTGGCTGCATCCTTATCTGTCGAAATTAAACCCACAATGATGCCAGTGAGTGGAGCTTTTGTGAGTGGAGGTTTTGTTGAAATTTGTGGAAATTGAAATTACATAAAAGACTAAACTGTTTTCTGAAGCAATGTTTACCGAACAATGTAATGTTTTCCGTAACGTACTATTATTTTAATACATTATGAAATTATTTCTCAAACAATGCGTGTTTTCAGAAATAATGTTTTCTAAAACTTTTTTTTATTTCCTAACAATAAAAAAAAAAAAAATGAAAAAAAAACCGTAATGTAATATTTTCAGATAGGCCTACATAAAAAAGAGAAATTTACATTTAAAAAAACCCTTAATCGACACTTCGTAATGTCGCAATCAACGACGCGCTTTTAAGGAAGTCAAGGTGTTGCAATAAATCTGATTAGTGTGTGAAGAGTTGCAGTCTATACACACACGAAGGAATTCACGTCTACATTGTACAAGCACTCCCAACGCAGCTTTTCACTTCACACCACCATAAAGGCGCTTAGAATGCTATCCCAAAATATAGGTGTTGTTGGTGAACTACATTTTGTGCGTGTGCACCCAAGCGTGACGACCAGACACAAATGTTTGGCCGTGTATCATGCATACCGATGATTCTGGCAACTGCGTCATACCAAACCCTTATATTCATAGTCAGTGCGATTCGTTCTTTTCCTCAAAAGTCGACCTGGCATCGTATCATCTTACATATCATCTTATAAAAAATTATCTTTCGTACAAAATCATGCACATGTTGTTATAACACATATCAAGATGGCTTCATGTATAAAACAGCCATTTTTTGAACATATTAACTGGATGTTGCTCCGTGTTGTAGTTATTAATAAGGTAAAAAAAGAAGAGATTTATTATGGTGCTACTGCAAACTTATCTTGTCTGAGGTACATCTCGAAGCTTTAATTTGGTTGTTCCCGATAAGGAAATATATACTTAAAGTTAAAGTAAAACTTTCGAAAGCATGAATAATTCGTCACAAGGACTAACCGAACTTGATATTCGCAATGATCTCACAGATGAAGCTATTTAAGAGAAAAAAAATAGTCTCTTCTGCTACTCTTTATGCCCTGCGAATAGAGAGAAACAAGTTGATTGGCTTACCAGTTATTGTTTGTCGATCGGCAGTGATGCAGGTATTGCCAGTATGTCTGGCTGGATTCAGCTATATTACTGTTTAGAAGTTTAGAAGAAACTCAGAAGCTAGATCAGTAGATGGTGACTTTATCGAACAAAATTTTTCTGACTCCGTACAGTGTGTAGCAGCAGTGCGGACTGAATGCAAACTACCCAATCAGTATAGTTCATTTCCAGACAATAGACTTGTCAAGGTATGACACCGTTCAAGGGCGGATTTAGAACACAATTTTTTTGGGAGGGGTGGGCCAATTTTTTTTTTGGCCCCCACGGACTAGAAGCCAAGTCTAGTTTCATGCATAATTTATTTGGTTCCAATCATGTCTTGCGTACGCGCCCATGGAGTCGAGGCTGGCATAAAATAGAAATAATATGAACTTATGACGTCATGACTAAATATAACTTTGCAAGAACAACAAATATCACTCCGCAACAGGTGGGTCTGTGGTTGAGCACTGTATGTCACTACCTACGAATTGATTCCGTTTCAACTTTCAAACACCAAGTTTTTGTTACATCTACAGAATCAAGTCAGGTATTAGGTTGATTGTGTTCGATAGAAGCAGAATATTCAACGACTTGTAGCATTATGTCTGCTGACAGCAACACCGTCTCGCAGGCCTACGTGCCGCCTCCCCAGTCAATCAGCCCACAAGTGATAATGTAGATTTATTTTCATGAGGAATTTGAAAATAAATTCGAATTAAACGAGTCACTTCTAATAAACCTCTTCAAGACATCGTCAGCTCTCAGATTCACCTGAATGCTTCAACACTGTTAACTGATAGTCTCATGTATAATAAACAACAACCAGATTATGTTCGAGTATTTATTTCTTAAATTAATATTGTTAGCATGTTCCAACATTTGGTTTTATAGCTGATGGATATTTATATTTTCCCCACCTGCGGAATATGTTACTGCTGTGTTTCTTTACGTACTTTCAGTGTTTTACCTTGAAGGGCATTGATTTTGTCATGGGGCCGGGTGCATGACCGAACCGGTAAAAAAGCAGTCGTGCTCCTGTGATAATTATGCCCACTTAAAACAAAAATAGGAAAAATACTTGCAACTCTCCATGGTGTTTGAGACACACATCAAAACAAAGCTTATTTCATCATCTTTCATTTTCTGCTCAAGTTTTGGGGGTTAACATGTGACCTTTGGGAGAAATGTCCATCCAAAGATGATCATCCCTGTACGTACTCGTTTATAATCCCGTCGCCATTTTGAAAAATGATGCCTGCACACCATTGCAAAATAGCGCGATTTGGAGCCAAATTTTATCCGAATTTAACAGAGGTATAGGAGCTTGTAGTGCCGTTCACGGCTTCCACAATTCTGTTTTCACCAACCCTGAAGTTCATGGCCCACAAACTGCTCTAATAGCAGAAAAAAATGAGGGCATATTAATCGTGATTTGGTCCGCGTAGGCAATTTTGGGCCTATTTACTGACCTGAAAATGGCGCAGCAGAAAATGCGTTCGCTCTGCATTAGCAATAATAATTTCCCTGCTGCTCTGCAAGTTCAAGGGTTATTGTCAAGGGCTACACGTTTGGCTGCACACGCACAAAATGGAGTTCGAATCACACTATTTTTTCTATTGAGTAGTATTCAAAAGGCCTTTGTTGTGTTTGATAGCGAAAAACTCCATTAAATTTTAACAGTGTATACGTGGCCATGAATTTTGTGCAGATCGACTATAGGCCTATGCAATGCTTCACACATGTTGTGAACTGCTTCGAATGCGGTCGATGTTTTGATAATCCTAATAAAAGACAGATTAAAACGTTAATTGAAGTTGTAATGTTAGTTTCAGGTATACAGGCGAATATCTTATTGAATCGATCGTACCATACTTTCAATGGGAGCGCTGTTCAAATCCGACGATTATGAACACTGTACGTGCATGTATAGTGTACAAAATATCCACGTAGCCCAGCTTGCTCAGTCCGACTGTTGTGCACAGGCAGACATTTATTACCGGTATAATTGTCATACATTTGGGGGGGGGGGGGGTGTCAGAGCAGGGGGGGGGGGTTCACAATAATTGTAATATATTTCTATGACAAAACAAACATTTCAGATCTGGGGTTTGGGGGATCCCCATCCCCGCGCCTGTGCCCATTATAGATTACTCTCCAGCTTAGTCCCTCTCCTGTGTGGAGAGAGGCAAGTGGGGTGAAGTGGCTTGCCCAAGGACACAATTATGGTCAGGAGTTGGATTCTAACCCCTGACCCTCTGATCATGAGTCACAAACCCTAACCACTACACCCCACTGCCAAACCATACCTTCGCTATACAGCGGGTAATTATATGCGAAGCAGAATAATTATTGCTCAGCAAATAAACATGCTAAGAAACAAAATGAACTGTGAATCAGTTACAAGCAAAGGATATCTCATGATTATAATGGCTGGCAACCTGGTTGGGCTAAGCCAATATTTGTGTGTGTTTATAACAAGTGGCTGTGCTTAGCCTACGTGAAGGTGGACCCAGGACAAACGAATGAATTTTTAATGACTCTTGGAGACGTTGGTGGCAGCAAACACACCAGTCCTTTTTTCCATTGTTGGCGTCATATTGAGCATGCGCACTTAAGCTAAAACATGACGTCAACAATAGCAAAGGACCGGTGTGTTTGCTGCTACCAACGTCTCCAAGTCTCCTAAGTTGGAGCGATTTTAATTTTCGAGCAATTTTGGACGCTTCCCATTTTGCAAAATTTTCCCGACATATTATAATATGGAATATAATTTACCATTCCCCAACGACTCAATGGCAACCCCACTATCACCTGTATCATCCAATCCTGTAATCAATTCACCTGGCATAACTATTAACACACCCATCATTGTGGACTTCATTGACCAGGTTATGATGCCGCCGGCCCCCCTTCTAGTCGGTCCGCAAGGCACCGAAGCAAAATGGCCGAAAGTTCTCATCGGCACAGGAATAGCCCAAGTCTCTATTGGATCTGTGTGCGCACTTCTTGGAATCATCCAAGTAGTAGTCGGCAGGCGTTATTATGGGACAATAGGACACCCGATTTGGTGCGGTCTTCTGGTAAGTTGGAAAAGCCCAAGTTTGACGCTATGCAACTAGCAGCTGGAATCCACAAAGGAACATTGCGGCATAGAATACGCCCATTTGGGCTACACAACGCGTTTTGAATGTAATGATTTTAATCTGAAAGAACATTTAAAGTAGGATTTAAACATCCACACAGCTATTCTTTTAAAAACTGGGCGTTTTGTGTTATTCTTGTGTTATTCGTACGAGAACGAATTTCGGGTTCCACTTTTGCAACCCCCAAACCGGGCTGTTCAGTACTATTGTGCTAGGTGTGATTCCAGCCGTAAATTGTTGTTGGCCTTCTGCGGACGCGTAAGAAAGCACATTTGTGCATTGGTGCTGTGTGTTATGTGACACACACAACGTGTATCGTACATTGAATGACAGGAAAAACGTATGTGTACTCCGTCGTGTCAGCAATGATGTACGTAAAACCGGTTTTTTCTTTTGTCGGGAACGGTAAGACATTAGTTTCCTTTCAACTATAGACCTTTTTACGAATAGCCCCAGTTGTTGAGAATTTTGATTTTCTCATTCCAATCCGTTTTTTTTTTTATCTTCAGTTCTTTCTTGTAGCCGGAATCTTCGGCATATTGTCGGGGTGGAGGAAGAGCTCTCTGTGGGTAAGCTGCCATCATTTTCCCCCGGGATTCGTTTCCATTTTGTTTTGTTTATCTCACAGCGGGTCAGCTAGTAATGAGAAAATATATAGTATAACCAGAATTTCCAACCAGAATATACATTTGTTTTACATGGAGCCAATTACCAAAATAATATCGAGGTTATAAAATATTGTCCGTTAAAGGTGTGTGTCAGATAATTGAACAAGATGTGCCATTGATTAGGAAGACAGAAGAGAAACGTCTTAGCATTCAATAAATATCTCTAATTCTCAATATTTCTTTTCCTTTGGCAGGGCGTCTGCTACTTGCTGATCTCAAGTTACTCCTGTGCAGCTTCCCTCGTTCTTATTTGCATGAGTGCCCTGAGCCTTAGTTATCCTTATAATTATGTGAGTTATAGTTACATGTACGTGAGTTATGGTTATGTAAGTTATAGTTATAGCTATGTGAGTATAGTCATGAGCGGTATCTGTGAGTATGTCAGGATTATTGTATCATCTATTGACTGAGATGTCTAGATTGCATTGCCCTGTCTCCATTCTAAATATAAACGTGGACAGTTTTCAGCTGATTTATTCTTAATAGGTTCTAATCAATAAGCATACTTTTTGTTTAAGTTGCAACTACGCCCACTGCGGGAACTAATGCATGACTAGCCAAGAGCCCAACTCGTTAATATGCATGTTAGACCTTTATGCGCGCAGTGTGATTGGTCTAAAACTTCTGGGGGAGGAGCTTAAAAACGGACCGGTTGCGCTGGATCGAGGTACTGCAGTTAAAGTATATTATTTAAGTTGATATCGATTTGTGTATTTCTCTGTAGCCATTGGTCACTGCGGCCGATGCGATTGTGATCATTTTGGCCCTGGCGGAGCTGACCATCGCCATCATCAGTGTCGTCCTGACCAGCAAGTTTTTCTTCTGTTCTAGACCGGCGACTCAGAATATTGTAAGAAGCATAAACATTAAACACATAAAATACAAACATACTATGCGCCTATAAATGCTTTATGTAAGAGAATACAGCCCCCCCCCCCCCACATAAAAAGCAGCTACGGTACCAAAAATGCATTAAAAACATAAAATAATTTATGAAATCAGTAGGCCTATAATAAAATACATAAAACAGGTCATAAATTCAGCATTATTTTTAGTCATCATCTGGGTGCAAGTTTGACTGCATTCCACTCTATTTGAACGCAGTGTTAAATGATTAAGTCAATTTTGAAGAATCTGCCGCGATGACTGTGATTATCCCCGACAATCCTCGGGAACATAGAGGCCTGTACTCACCGGTAGATGATGATGATTTAATAAAACCGTTATCAGATGTGAGTTGGTATAGGCCTATACAAAAACAACTTGAATTTTCGATTCAATTTGGGATTTTTATGACAGCCCCAGCTTCGCTACCAACCCTTGCCTCAACAACAAATGGCAGGCAACTACTATCAGAGCCAGGCAGCGCAGGGATACCATGTCACCACTCAGCCACAAGTTGGTAAGCGACAAATTTTAGTTGAAATATAGACCACTTGCATTAGAGCCCTCATCTGAGGGTACTAGCTTTTGTTAATGCATTTACTCATATTGTGTATCAAAGGAGGAAAAAATACACCGTCAATGTGACGTCTGATGCAAGGGTTCTATTACTCAGCGGATTAACATAGTATGGATGATTGTTGTATGTTCAAGAGTTCATGCAAGTACGCATGGCCAAGTTGCCAAATACTATCCTTTAGGATTGGGGAGCTATGGCAGCAAGTTTCTCGGGTAGCCCTACAAAGTCCCTTTTATGGAAGGAATTTAGTAACTTCACTTAAAACTAAAAATGAAGATTGTACAAATGTAAGTTTTAAGTGCATGCATGCTTTCACGATCACGATCGTGATCACTAACTGGCGTAGTTACATACAGCGCCCTCAAAAAGATTGTTTGAAATATGGAATTGAAACCGAGGCTGTCAGTGCTAATTAGCCACTGTATATGAATTGACCTTATCTTTTATTAATTCTGTCACCTAAAGGGAGCACCAGCTGCCCTCGCTTTCAGTGCAAATTTGAAAATCGTCATAATAATGAGAATGTTCATGCCTGTGTCTTTTCATGCAGGCTACACAACCCAACCGTTACCCTCGGCAACCGCTGAAGCGCCACCTACCGGTCAGAACCCCATCAATTAGAAGAATGGTTGACCTTTGACGTCTGGTACCGCAACAACAAGTCATCAAACACATTCCTTTTCTTCGAAACGTAGAATTCGTTTTCAGCTTCAATAATCATCGGGGCGATCGAGGAGGAGGATTAAATTCATGCACAAATATTATGGCCGTAAATGTTGACCTTTAAGGTTCAATGCTAGAAGTAATATGTGATGGACCCATTTTGGGCCAAAACTCTTCGAGGGAGGTGGCGAAAAGGTTTAGAAATAACAGGCTTTGCCAAAATGTGATCATGATTATTCAATAGACTAGGGCCTAGAAAACGTAGGCTAGGTGCAGTGACAAATAACACGCACGTACTCGTTGGAAGTGGAACAATATTTTGTCAGGACCTATATAGCTCTAATTCTGAGCTTGAGAATTGTATTTAAGGCAACAAACAATGTAATACTCAGATGTAATCAAGTGTGCTTACGTTATTTTGCCCTCTACGGCAGGCTGCAGTCACGCGTGCCGTACATGCCTTCAGCCGTTTGAATTTCGTGCTGCCATCTTGCATCCCGCCATGCACCGTATATCCATTGTCAAACTTTCTCTAAACGTTTGAGAGTAGGCCTAAAGTTACACCGTGTACATACAGCCACCACAGGCACGCGTAAACAATACTGCTTCCCTCGGCCTCGTAGTGCGCCTTTAACAAAAAACATGTACTGAAACTGTTTAAAATATATTACTAAGCTACGGCAGATATGTAGAAAAATTACGACTTAAGTTGCCATCTTTGTTCATCATCCACTACCACTACGCGCAAACCATGCCATACCACCACGTGAGTCTAGCCAGCCGTCCCCTAATTCTGTATCGTGGATCGAAGGCCCGCCCCGTTTTGTTTTGACCAATCGCAGCCGCGATTACTGACAGCATTATGAAAGCACGCGCGTACGCGCGCGCGTATGACGCGCGGTGGCGTTGGAGAAGCACGTGTGCAGGGCGGGGCTGTGGTTCGGTCTTGTACCCTATCTTGTAAAAGATTCCCCTGCGCACGCTCGGAAAATGATAAATTCAAGAGTACAATAAACAAAAACCAAATCCTGGCGACGCCATGATTGGGAATATACTAATGCTGCATCCGAATCTGTTGTCTAGAGCTAGGTCTAGGTCTTCGCTCCATTAGAAATACGCGGAGACGCGCTGACAATAGACGTAGCCGTAGCTCTGGAAGCCCGTTTCGGACACGGCCTAATTATTAATTATATAAGAACAAAAATGGAGGCAGGCTGGGCATGGGAAGAGAGAACGGTGGGGAAAATAATACCGGTGCTTAGAGCGCAATTCCACATTAATGAGATGATCCACTTTTTTTTCATGTGGCCTAAGTAAAGAGTGCCTTCAGAAAATAAAGATGTAAAACAGACAACAACTAAAAATCACACAAAGAGGCAAGAAACAAATTTCTGTGAATTCAACACAGCGTTTAAATATTTGTGTTATGTGAAAGTCCATGAAATTATATATTTTATACATCGTTCCAATCCTTTTATTCTACAAAATACTGCATGTTTTATTAATAGTAGGCCCCCCTAATTGCGTGTATTTTTTTCAGAAAATAATCTATGACAGATCTGTATACATTGTAGGCAACTGTCCCAAGTCAGTAGAAACTACAGTACTTTATTGTCTTGTCACACATTCGACGGTGTTTTCACGAAGTGACAAAAAATCATGCAACGAGGTCATTCCGAGATAATCGCATTTGCAGTTAATCCTTTTTTTTTAAACACCTTAATTTTCGACTAGTTTTTATAGTTATGAATTTAGGAAATTTTTGCATTGTCAAGTAACGTATGCTTTGTTCTTTGCTAATTCAAAGTTGTTTATTAGAAGTCTGTCTTAATTAAACTGTATTTCATTAATAAAGATCAATAAAGATATTCTTCACTTCGTGAAAACAGCAAAACCCATGCAGAGGCCTCACTATTTTGTCTCATTAAATGGTACACACTTCGTGAAAATAATAATAAAAAAAAAGGAAGGACCATTCGGGCCGTTTTGTTTATTGGGGGGAGGGGCAGGGGCATGGCCCCCAGTGCCCCCACGTTTGTAAAGGATAGTTGTGTTGATGTTTATATTAATTTTAAATGTTCTTTCCGGCCGAGTAATCAACAGCAGTTTATTCGTTCATTCAGCACGCGCATGCCTTCAGCGAAAATCGACCAATCAACTAAGCGAATTGGTACCTGGGAAAAAATAGTCCAGGAAGACCGTTTTAGCAGAATTTCGGCTAATTTTTTGTGGTAAAAAAAACAAAACCCGAGTCTGACAGCAATTTGACAGACTGGACTTTTTGGGCAGATTTCTGGCAGAATTCTGCACAAAAGGTTACTTGACAGAAAAACATAGCAGATTTGAAAAGAAAATTGGTATCAAATACACTTACATTTGCTACAAAACATGAAAAAAAGTTTCAATCTTTTCACTTGCCGGACTTCGCTGTGACGCAACCACACTTTGCCTGTACAAAATTTATGCAATTTCATGACATCATAATATTATGGCAATTTATTGTTTATAATGTAAATTGAACCTTAATTAGGGCAATACTACAACATATGCATGTGATTTTAGGTGTTTTTCGCGCCTGATTCTGGGGAATGAAAAATGTTTGAAGTGCATTTAGCAGAATTTGGGCATGACCTTACGGTCACCCTGAGTATGACGTATGCATAATATGCCAATAATCTGATCTTCATGTCATTCGTTTTGCGATTTTAGCGATCGCGAAAGTGCTCCCAATATCGCAGAAAATAGACGTTCATTATCTGGGTGTTCTACTTTGATTCAATTGTGATATATTCCAGGTAAAGTTGGATATGTAAATCTTCTGGGATCTTCATGTAAGATTTGGATTATAGTCGTTTTTGGATGCGGAAGTGCGACTGGGTTTTGCCTGTTTTGAGAATTTTTTTTTCTTCATGCCACTCGCCCCACTTAAGGCATGGAGTTTATGGGGCGAAGTGGCAAAGGTATACGCACAATGGTGTGTTTTTTGTTCTCTTCTTTTTCAGACGATCGAGGAGTAAGGACTTTTCATCATGACGCTTCCAGCTTACACCCCTCTCTCTAATGATCAACCCCAGATGGTTCAACAACAAAATCAACAACAACAACAACATCAGGTGATTCTTCGAAGGGGGAGAGGGATGGGGAGTGGGCGGGGAGGGGATGGGGAAGGGGGCGGGGCAGGTTCAGGGAAGCAGGAGGTGATGAGAAACTGGTTTATTTTTTACTTGGTCCAAATGATGGAGGAAAGTAACACACAATTCTAGTGTTCAGGCATGCAACTTTTCCTCGGATCAGCTGATTTCCTCTTTATTTTCACTTCCCATGTGTGCCATTGAAAATAGAAAAACACTGTACAAAGAAAGTCTTGGAAATAATGAAATTTCCTCTTTTTTTGTGATTTCCCAGTTGCATGCCTGAGTGTTCTACAATTAAAGTTACAAACTTCTGATCATGTAAATGATGTAGTCCGAGTAACTTGGACCCAACTTATCACCTTTTTAACATTCGGACATGGTCTGGTGATAGTGGAGTCCAAGCTAATCCTTATATGCCGAGCAACACAATTCTGTCACTGACCCAAAAAGCCAACATTGCCCAACAAAAACATCAGCAAAGTGTTAACTTTTTGGCTGAAAAATATGTCATAAATTACAATGTACTACCATGGAGCTATAAAACACCAATGTACTAGTACTACAGATGCTAATAAACTTGGTTATTTTAATATTCATTGGTCCTTTTTCAGGTGGCAGTGCAGCCTGGTAATGTACAAGTGGTGTCTGGGAACCAGACTCATCCTGGTAACTGGACGAGTATGACAGGGACGGGAATTACGCAGATAGTCCTGGGAAGTCTGACCGTCATTCTGGGCATTGTTGCCTGCGTCATTGGATCTTTCTATTTCTTCATTGGACATGCGTTTTGGTGTGGGATTGGGGTAAGATATATTGAATTGTTGTTGAAAGTTATAGTATATCATTTGCAGCTATCTATTCTGAAAATATTATTGTTGAAAAGCATATTTGGTTTAAAGATAGGTAATGACACTAAACTCCCTGTGGCAAACTCTCTGGCATGCTGTCATTCTGAAGAAAACGGAAGGTCATTTCCGAAGAAGATGCATTGTTAGAAAATTCCATGGTACCCCAATGCGTGGTCGCTGTAATTTTTTGGGTCAGTACGTGACATCGTTTAGCTGCGATGTTTTAACCTCTGGGGACATTTGATGGTAATCGATTGGAAAACAAATTTCTTTTTTGTACAATTTTTAAACGTTTGACCTTTTTTCTGTTGAATTACAGTTCTACTGTGTTGCTGGCATATTGGGCGTGGTCGCTGGACAAAAGCAAAACCAATGTGCTGTAAGTAAAATATTCAGCTTTTCTTCAGTCGTGGTAATACTTTCCTTGCAATCCACTTCTGGTTACCCTGGTTCGAACCCCTTCTTTACATGTGGCTCAAGTTGATTGCGTTTGTTTTCTGCAGGAGTACTGGCACTCTGAATTTTCATATCAATTCCAAATCCTTCATCATTTTCTAATTCACTCTTGACTTCTCTCAGGGAAACATTTAAGTTTCTGTGTCTGAGATCCAAATTTGGGATCTAATTTTCTGTTGATCTTGTGTGTTTTTTTAATTTATTAGGCGATTGCATACATGATATTGTCCATCTTCGCCTGTCTCGCTTCCTGCATCGTTATGGGAATCAGTGGTACTGCGGCTGCTTTGGACCGTTATAGCTTTGGCTTTTACACTGATAACTGGGTAAGACATAAAACCAATCCAGCCAGCTATCCGGTTAGCCACTCGGTCAGTCTGAAGACAATAGGGGGCCTTTGGCTCCAGCAACATGTGTTTAACTCTCTCCATAAACTGACGCAGTGGGTTTTTTATTTTCCATCGTTAGGAAGGTAAAGTGGCCGTAGATGCCATGTTGGCGATAGTTGCTCTGGTGGAGTTTGTGGTGTCCATCGTTGGTGCTAGCATGACCTGTGGCGCCATCTGCAACACCCCACCGGCACACACCGTGGTGAGTAGTCTAGAATGCTTGCAGTGCATTCTGGATCATGTGTCCGATTTAGGGATTTGTTTGCGACTATAAGGAGTCCATGCAGTACATGGTACTTCGATGTGGAGAACACATTGTATCTACACACTGATTTGCGAGTATAGCGCGAAGTACGCAAGACTTATACAAGTATAATCGCAATGTGCACAGACCTCTTTGTTTGAGCACCTTCCATATGGTGGGAATACGTCCAAAAGTTACTCTTAACTCTTGCCTTGTAACCATTGAGGAGGATATCTGTCCAAAGACTTTTCCACATTTGCCTTTAATTTGATGTTTTTACCGTCAGTATAATGCTACTATTGCTCCTGTGCGTATTACGCATTATCTGTGAAAGTCTTATCACTGTTTGTATTTTGTGTTATCCTCCCGTGATAGATTCACTACCAAGCCCAGCCCCAGTTTGTCGTTGCTGCTCAACCCCAAGGTGTCACCTACTATGCTCCCCAAGGCCAGCAGCAGTTTGGTAAGTCATTTCTGATGTTTGGTTTAGCCTGTCTCTGGCTTTAAACTCGGCGCTGTCCGAGAGCGAATAAGTAGGAGCTGGTTCTAATAAAGATCGCACTAAATAACGGGAGGAAAACGCAGCAGGGCACCAGTAGGTATTGTAGTATGTGTGACATTTGGATGGTAACCATTTCTCTTAGCACAGGTGATATCTATAGATCCTTCCTGCCCGTCGGTTAATCCCATTGACCAAGCAGATCATGACTTTTGGTCAGGTGACCACGGTATCTCAGTCATACTTGATCAAATGCAACTGGTAGGCGGGCCTTATGGCCAAATCAGGAATGGCCCATTAATTTTGTTCTTTGTTTTCTTTACCTGTTTATTTCAGCATCCTACCCTGCACAGCAGGTAGTGGCTCCTCAGGGGCCATACTTTCAAGGACAAGCCGTGCCCCAGGCTCCGCCCCAGGCCATGCCCCAGGCCATGCCTCATGCCGCACCTCAGTATCAGCCCCTCACCAAATAAATGGATCACAAGAGGTGTAATTGTATCATCACTAGTCATTGTAAGTCAAGTAAATCACAAGTCAATCATGTGTTAATCACATGTCAATCACATGTCAATTGCATGTCAATCATGTGTCAATCACATGTCAATCACACGAGTCGATCGCATGTCAATCAAATGCCAATCTCATGTCAATCACATGTGAATCACATATCAATTACAAGCCAATCATTAGTCAACCACAGTTAAGTGACAACCTAAATAAATAAAGAGTGATGATGAACTATAGCTTTTGCTTTGACTTGTGATTGACTTGTAATTCGTGAAAGTACACCTCTGACTTCCAGTAAGGTTCTTATTTGAGCAGTCTCAAGATGTTTTAACACATGTACAAGTACTTGTATTGTAACAAAAGGTATTGTAAGCAGGCACTTGTTCGAATGCTAAGAATTTATCTTTTTTTATTTGGGATGTATGTATTGGCTTAGCATGGACCATCCTTTCTTCTGCACCCAAATTTTAGTATATGTGCTGTTACTTTTGCATCTAAACTTGCCATTGTTAGTATTAACAAAGGATCTGTGGTGGACTGTAGTCACTACGCAATGCTTGAATGCGTAAAGTGGTGTAACGGGGTATGGCTACATCCCCCCAACCCCAGCTGATGGCCACATTTCCCCCGCCCCTAGCAGGGGTCCGTGTGCTCCCCCATAGCTATTTAAGTTATTTTCCCGAGACCAACATTTCTTGCTTTGTGAATGAATAACTTTGAGTTTATGTGATTTAACTGGCGGGCGTGGCCTCTGTAAGAGAGTCCCTGTTACAGTTTTTTGGTGCCAACGGTGGGACAGATTTGTTTAGCTTGCCATCCAATGTGTATTTTTTTTGTTGAGTTTGAAGAAAGATTTAGCAGATCAGTTATACTGTATTATATGTTAGAGGATGAAATAGACTATTATCATGTTGTAGCCATCTCGATTTTTTTCCCCATTCAAATCATGGTCAACGTATTAAACCAAAGCGAGGCTGAAAGGAAAATTAGTCTGGTTCCTTTTTGCAGAAAAAACATCATTCATCATTGTTATTGGATAAAGGGAACATGACTGTAATGGTGGCAGCATGATAAAGGTCTATTGCAGCGATTGAAGCGAAAGGTTGACTCGGCTAGGATTGTCTCAGCCCGTGGGATCCAAATTCCCCAGCCATGCCATCCCCCATGGGCAGAACTATGACACATACGTACCCAGTATGCTCGGCCTCATGTACAGAGTCAGTGTTATAGCTTCTTGTACTGATACTAATTATTGTACTTGGCCAGTGTTGTTATCAACTACGTGTGCTAAGATTTCTGGGGTTTTTAACAAGTGAATTAATGCTTTTGGTAATTGCTTTGGGAGGGTCCTTATTTAGTATGTTTGGTGACTTTTAAAATTAATGTGACTTTTTTGGGTGACTGTGTATTTTTAATAATGTTGATTGTTTATGTTTCCCATAAAAGACAATAAACATAACATGTTCTGTTTATTGTCTTTTATGGGCCCCATGGGAGACCAGTAGATTCCTCTGAATGGGCCACCCCGTTGAAATAAGAAAGAAATAAATAAATCAATAAATAAGATTTGTAGAGAAAATGTACATATACAAGTAGATAATAGCGAAAGAATGTTGCAATATGACGCCACTTTTTTCATCATATATCATCTCAATAAAGGTCGTTCAATGCAAAAATGTTGAAAGACATGAATCTGGGACTGAGAAACATTTCCAATTTTTGTTAGGAAATACAACATTTTCTTGACTCTCCATGGACTTTGTACACAACTGCTGAAGTGGCGTCTGGACACTGCATTCTTACTGGTAATAGTAGTACCATGTAATCTTTATTGAAACCAGTCAAACTGGATTATATTCTTATACTTATTATAGTTAAACGAATTTTGAGTCTTGTTTAACTAATTTGACTAGTTTAACTAGTTTGCATCAATCCTCCATCTTTTTTTCTCGAGTAGCAGAGTGAACTCTGTACATGTATACGCTTTGGCAATTGTACTCATTAATCTTTGCTTTGATATAATCGGTAATGTTGATGTCACATACTAATAAGATTCTAAAGTTTAATAAACATATGCTGTACTCTGCGACTTGTGTGTTGAGATGTTCTGTCGGTATGCCTTCTTACGTCAATTAAAACTTTTAAGTGTTCACGTTTTATCTTAAAAAACATTTTCCCTATGTGCATGGTTTCTTTCAAAATTTGTAATAAAAAGCTGTATCCTCTTTGAGCGATCCCCGTTTGCTATTTCCCGGGCTTACAACATTGCTAATGTTGCTAGCATCGTGACGCTGGGTGTGATGCCTGGCTACATGGCATTAATGCGTTTATGGCTTTTGACTAGCGCCCCTTTAAAAAAGACATTGACAAAATTGGGAACCACCAACATAAGGCTGGATAGCTCAGTTGGTAGAGCACTGGAATGCCAATCAGGAGGTCGCAGGTTCAATTTTTGTGTTCATCTTTAAAATAAAAACATGAGAATATACATGTACATGTACATGCATTGTGAGCCCCACCAATCAGTCTGCATGGAAACGAGCTTGAAGATTCCTCACAGCCAATGAAATCACAGCAGCTAGTAGCAAATGCCTGTCCTCATGTAAAAGGACAGTTATCCAGTCTAGCTCAAGCTGTTCAAATGAATTATTCAAAGTCAGCTTAATATTCAATGACAATCGTTCAATTTCTACAACATGGTGTTATTGAGAACTGGCCAAAATAGATGTAACAAAAATAAAACATTGAGTACTAAAATATGTTGTGCAGTTAATATGATAGAATAGCAATGACATTTCATTTATAGACGAGAAATCTATATTTAAAATACAATCTAGCTAAGCTGAAAGACAGGGAATTATATCAGGCTTACACTCTTGAACTATTTCAAAATTATGTTCTTGATCTGCAGGTTTCTGGGTGTGTTAGGTGGGTATAATGATTTGTTTTTAAATGCCATTTCTTTGCTGAAAGAAATGCCCCAAGACACTGTTAAGTGATTAGAATACACAGAAATATTGGAATATATCATTTGATGAATAATGAATATTACTGAAAATGCCATACGAATCATTTGCTATATAATATTTAAAATCTATTTCAAATCAGCAAATTTCTACAATCAATCAACTCATTTTTGTCTACAGTGCATACATTTCACATATCAAATTCACTCCATATTTACAAGTAGTTTTATCCTAATTTCTTGCCACTGGCATAGGAAGAGCTTCTGTTGTCTTTGTATAATTGGCCAATCAGAATCAGCATCACATGCAGTCAAAACCAATCAAGTATGTTACACTTGTGGCTGCTCTTCTTATACCAGTGGGGTTAGCAGTGTTTGTCATCAAAACCTGTGTATATGGTAAGTACTTTGTGAATTTCAAACAATTTACTGAACTAAATGCTGTTATAAAATAGACTTTCCTGATGATATCAGAATATTGTATTAAAAATACCCCATGATAAAGTCCTATCTGAAATAAAAATCCTGTAAAAATAAAAAGATTTACCCCTATGCTTTCAAACTTAACTGTTCAGTCTAAAAAAACTCTTATTTTAATACAGAATGAAAATAAACAAAAAGTTAAAAATTGAGTACGCAAACTGATAATATACCCTGGTATTAGTTTGTTTATGCCGTTGACTTGTTTAAAGGTAATAAGCGGAGGCATTTCAAACGTTTCCATCGTTAAAACATAACCACGTCAACCAAATATCAACATTGAAAAAAATGAAATCTACTACCACTTAGACGGAAGTTGGATCAAAATCAAAATTATATACATAACTCATGACCCTTCCACAGCTTCTATATACACCTCATAACCTGTAATACTACTGACTGGACAGCACACATACCTGATAACAAAATGGGAAATTTCATGAACTATATAAAGCTGCAAGTTAATTTTCAACATCATAAAATAATTGTGCAGTGCTAAAACTTTCAATACTTAAAAAAACAATTACGAGTACTAAGTCCAAGTACAGGATTTGAGTAAACCTTGTATTGGGGTTAAGGGTTACCCCTGTGTCAACAAATGTTGAATACTATGAGGTCATTGCTAAATTTAAGACAACTTCAGATGGCTCAAATTAGACTAGAGGTGTGAATCAAAGGTCAATCACAGGTCAAATCAAAGTCAAATCACAAGCTATTGCAAGTCAAGTCACAGGTAACAGGGAACGATCCCATGAAAGCATTTTATAGATATCTTGTGATTGCCTTGTAATTGACTTGTGATTGAATTGTGATTGAATTGTGATTGACTTAATCGACTTGTTATCAACTTGTGATTGATTGCGATTGACATGAGATTGACTTTGATTGACTTATGATAGGCTTGTGATTGCCTTGTGATTGACTTGTGATTGACTTGTGATTGACGAGTGATTGATGTGTGATTGACTTGTGATTGACTTGTGATTGACTTCCAATTAAATTGTGCTTGTCTAAGCAACTGACTTGCGATGACTTGTGATAATACAATTACAACTGTCTAGCCGATTTGAGCCATTTATTTGGTGAGGGCCTGATACTGATGTTCAGGGGGTGGAGCCTGGGGTGCGGCCTGGGGCATGGCCTGGGGCACGGCCTGGGGCTGAGCCTGGGGCACGGCTTGTCCTTGAAAGTATGGCCCCTGAGGAGCCACTACTTGCTGGGCAGGGTAGGATGCTGAAATAAACAGGTAAAGAGAACAAAGAAAAAAATTAATGGACCATTCCTGATTTGGCCATAAGGCCCGCCTACCAGTTGCCTTTGATCAAGTAAGATTGAGATACTGTGGTCACCTGACCACAAGTCATGATCTCATTGGTCAATGTGTACCGTTTGATTGACGGTCAGGTTGGGTCTATCACTTGTACCTGTATTAAGAAAAAGGGTTACCGTCTAAAATGTCACATACTAGAATACCCACTGGTGCCCTGCTGCGTTCTACTCGTTATTCACTGCTCAGCAAAAAAAACCCTTGATAATCATACTAGTTTCAGGAAATACAGGCTCTGAATTCTTTCAAACCTCTTCAAAGACGCTTGAATTTCAAAGCAAATCAGGCAACAGCCACACTGTCATGTCATCTACGTGTATACTGAGTATTGCTTGTTCTCAAAGATTGCAAAATCCACGACATTCAAATAAAATTGAACCAACTAGTTGATCCTTGAGTGTTCAGACATCTCTACTTGTCGAGTCCCACCTGAGCAAGCTTGTTAACTCCTTTTCTTATCGCTCTCGGACAGCGCCGAGTATAAACTCAGTGAGAGAACACACCAAACATCAGACTTACCAAACTGCTGCTGGCCTTGGGGTGCATAGTAGCCACCTTGGGGTTGAGCAGCGACGACAAACTGGGGCTGGGCTTGGTAGTGAATCTATCATGAAAGGTCAAAGGATAGTTACGGAGTATTCATCCGTCTTCTACACTTCCCAATCCTTCAAGTTTTGAAATCCACCTTTGCCCGTAGTGTTAGCACCCACACTTTGGATTCCTTTGAGATCTTCTGTGGAGTATAGGTGAACCTTCAAATCCCTGCACAGTTCTTTTGCGTGGTTAAGCTCAGGGCAAGTGGGCAGATTCGGCTAGCTTCAATGCTCTCCACAGTGCTGTGTTTTGCACAGTGACTCTCTGTGTGACACAGTTACTTCACATCCCTTCCCCTAAAACTGACCTGCAGAGTTTTGCATATTGCTCTGACTTCCCACTGGAAGGGCTAATGCATTACAAGCACAGAATCCTTAGCCTTTAGCAATCCATCCCAGCATAAATCTTAACCTTTAAACAGTTTTAGTAGTAAAACAAACCCTTTAAACTGGAAGCATTACCCCGAATGCACTGCAAGCATTCTAGACTACTCACCACGGTGTGTGCCGGTGCGGTGTTGCAGATGGCGCCACAGGTCATGCTAGCACCAACGATGGACACCACAAACTCCACCAGAGCAAGTATCAGCAACATGGCATCCACAGCAACTCTGCCAATCTAATGATGGACAAAGTGAACACATTGGTTGTAGGTTTATCAAGTTTTCAAGAGTAAAGCACAAACACATTTTTGTTTGACCCAAGGAGCCAACCTATAGCCCTCAGACTGACGAAGTCACTGACTAAGTCACATAATTTGTCACATGTGGTTGTATGCCTATGTTTCACTTGAGCAAGAGACCAATCAAAGTGGCCCCGCCCACTGCACACACGCTGAACTACATGTATGCCCTCAATGCATATTCATCAAGCCTGTGATTGGTCAAATAATCATTGGGCGGGGCTTTAATAGATCTGTCTACTGTGATGAAGACGGGAGATACATAATGCTTCAGAATAACATAGTTCAAGGTTACTCTGAATTGGTTTATTTAATGTTTTGTAATTACCCAGCCGTTATCGTAATAATAGCTATAATAGCCATATTGGCGGTCGATGGCCACCGCAGAAGCACTGAATCCCATGACGACGCAGGAAGCGAGACAGGCGAAGATGGACATTACCATGTATGCAATCGCCTAATAAATAAATAAAAAAAGACCAACACACAATTAAATCATCCAAGGAAAATTAAATTGTCACAGTACAACAAAGAAGCCCAGAATTTTTTCCGAAAATGATGAAAGTTTTGGAATTGATAGGGCATATCAGAGAGTCACTACTGTGGAAAACTGGCAATCAACTTGATCCACATGTAGTGCCAACGAGGTGGTTCGAACCAGGGTAACCAGGAGTGGAATGCAAGGAAAGTATTAACATGACTAAAGAAAAGCTGCATATTTTACTTACTACACATGAGCTTTGCTTTTGTCCAGCGACCACGCCCAATATGCCAGCAACACAGTACAACTGTAATTCAACAGAAAAAAAGGTCAACCATTGTAATTGTACAAAAGAAAGGTTTGATTTCATATAGATTAGGATATTACAGCCCAAGAAGTTAAAACATTAAACATTTCATATATTTGTTAGGCTAAGCCGTGGATAAGTTGGTAATTTAGGGAGAGCGCCTCTTTGATTTCATGGATGGAATAATTTACATCTGCTGTTTTTACTACGAGACATTTGTTGAGACAAATCGTTTCCAAAGCAAGAACAATTCAGACAAAAGTGATGTAGACCAAAAACTGTCGAGACAAAATGATTGCTAAATAACCAATGTCTGACCGTAATTTTATCCTCTGTCATTAGAATAAAAAACATTCTATATCCACATTTCAGAACTTACCAGAATCCCACACCAAAATGCATGTCCAATGAAGAAATAGAAAGATCCAATGACGCAGGCAACAATGCCCAGAATGACGGTCAGACTTCCCAGGACTATCTGTGTAATTCCCGTCCCATTCATACTCTTCCAGTTACCAGGCCGAGTCTGGTTCCCAGACACCACTGGCACATTACCAGGCTGTACTGTCACCTGAAAAAGAACCAATTAATAAGATAAGACCATTTATTTATTAATAGTACCTGTACTACATTATACTAGACCTACAATGCATACATTGTTTCACTGTTTTGCTCGCCTACATGTAAATGATCATAAAAACCGAGTTTGTTTCTTTTGCACCTATCAAATGTCCCCCCCCCTCCCCCGTACAAATTACGAGTTTTCTTATGCATGGTTGGTGCCGTGAGATTCAGCACGCCTTGCGTGTTCATGGTACACCCGCCGTGATCGCCACCTTCATTTTCGTGTTGCGTTTAGTCGTTGTCATCGTCATTTTACCCCAAATTTCCCTCAAAGTTTCAAAACCCTGCCCTTTACCTATACCTGCATGTTCTTAAAAAGCTAATGTCGCCAACTTGTTTGGAAGGTCAAATAATATCAAAAGAGGATTTCGTTCCCTTATAAGGAACCGGGCCTGTCACCGTTACTATACACGATCGCCAAAAAAATTACCTTAATCTTTCCCAAAAAAACTTCATTTTCCAAAAAACCCAGATGAGAAACTTAACATGCTTAATTTGTTTTTTTCACTCGGCCAGTAATACTTACCACCTGATGTCGTTGTTGTTGAACCATCTGGGGTTGATTAGGAGTGTAGGCTGGAGGCTGCTGCATCATGATGAAAAAAGGTCCTTACTGCTCGTCTGAAAACAAATCCCAAAAAATGAAAATGTTGTGCCCATTCTTGAAAATCACGCATTCTCGAGATTGGGCATGCACATTCTTGAGAATGTGCAACTGGATCCTTGCTCAATCTTGGCAAAAAATAACTCTTCCAGATTGAGCGCACATTCTTGAGAATGCGCGACAAGATAACGGTCTTGTCGATGCCGAGCACCGGCTGCGCTTGGCAAGTCTAGCTGAATCCTCGTTCACTGATTCTCAATAATTATACTGTTGCAACGCAAGGCGCTGAAAAGTAGAGTGGATATGATAAGTAAAGGCGTATTGATATGGGGGGGGGGGACCAGGAAAAAATAAGAGACATAATAATACTAGTGCAAAGAATTCTGATTTTTGGGATAATAAAAGCGGGGGGGGGGGGGGGGGGGGGGACACATAAGAATGAAGAATGTGAAGAATGAAATGAATACTGCGACATCCCATAGTGCTAATGCTATTTCCCATTTAAATTGCCACCAATTTATTGTTCACATCCCACCATAACGTCGCAGAGCTGGATTCTATCTAGTCAAAAGAGCAATTTTGGCAGCTTCTGGACATCGTTTTTTTTTCGTGGCACGCATATGATACATGCAGGGACTTGTAACTTGTCTAGCCTAAACAAAGCACTTCCCAGACTAGTTCCCAGTCCTCCGTTATTACAAAACTTCCCATAAATTAGTGGGCAGAAAAAAGCAATAATAACAGGTTTAATTTGATTCAAATTATCGTAGTTATACGAGTACAGAAGCATAGAACATTTTCTTTCCTCTTTATATGAATTGTTTCCCTTTTAACCGCTATAAAATTCATTTAACATAATTATGTCGTGCAATGTTTGTTAAGATTGGGCAAAATTCATAAATTGTGCACGTGATATTCCCACCCAAACTTAAGAATGAGCGCTCATTCTTAAGAACGCGTGCTCGTTCTTAAGAATGGGCGCTCATTCTTAAGAATGCGCGCTCATTCTCGAGAATGTGCATGCCCATTCTCGAGAATGCGTGATTTCCAAGAATGGGCACAACAAAAACAATGTCACTGGTCAATGATGCATTATTTCCTTGGCCAAGTCGCCCCATTGGCTCCATGCTTTAACTGGGGCGAGTGACATGATGAAAACAAACCAGTTCAAAACGCACTCACGATTCGGCAACTACTGTACTGAACTAGAATCCAAATCTAACATGAAGATTCCGTAAGATTTACATTCCAAATTTTACCTGAGATCTATCACAATCGAATCAACGTAGAAACACTTTTCTTCAATATCGGGACCACTTTCGCTGTGTACGCCCAACCAATGTCAATATTGAAGATTATTTTTTTTGACAGTGCGATGTCGTCATACGTCACGTTCCCATAGTAGTTGTGACGGTGTCGTCCCCACACGCGCTCAGTCTACAGAATGTTTTACCATTAACTTTGCTTTTCGGGATCGTACAATTTGGATAAAAGGTTGAAATCGGCAAACTAGGCGTGTGCCCTGCCCCCTGCTGATGACCTCATTCCTATTTTCATTTTGATATGTCAGTCATGCATGTCATGCAGGATCAAAGATTTTTGTGCAGGATGTTGTTCGCGGACAATTGAAAAAAAGTGAGTAAACTTTTGAATTCAATTCAATTCAATTCAATGCAACATTTATTTCCAAAATGATAATGACTCGTCCCATGCTCGTCCCCACTTTGTGCACATTTCTCAGGGCTGTCGTGAGCGAGCAGTGCTTTACCCAATTCCCAATCTAGGCATTTTAATTTTAAAACATTTTTTGCAATGCCAATGCCAAGGCAATGGATAAAAAGGGGAGTAGCTAATTGCAGAATACCCGGCACTCGGAAATACACCCCTAAAATCTCTGGATACGCGGTTGGAATCACTGGAAAAGAAACATTTCAAGTCCATGCCAGCTACGCGGATACGGAGTGGGGGGGGGGGTCCATTATTTGAGAACGAAGCAACACAAAAGGAATGGGAGCTAGTTGCTGAAAAATTGTAGGTCCAAACCAACCACCCTGTTGGTGGCTTCGCGGATATGGAGTGGGGGTCCCCTTGACATGCTTGAATAGGAGAACGAAGCAACACAAAAGGAATGGGAGTTATTGAAAAAATTTTAAGTCCAAACCAACTACCCTGTAGTGTTGGCGTAACGTTAGGCTTCTCTCCGTCAGCAGAGAAGCCTTCTAATTCTAGAAGTAATAAAAAGGTATTCATTTTAATACTACTTAGGTTTTTACAAATATATAGGCCTACTTTTGTCTTTAGATGTAAATAAATGCTTTTGTGTGAATTGTCAAATATGCAGGACAGCGTCACTGTCAGAGTTACTTAGGCCATCATCACCAAAAACATGGAACCTTCGCAGCAGCAACAGACTGTGGCCGTCCAACAGCAACCCATGGTATGAGCTATGAGCAAACAAGCGATATACGCTGATTTCTGGGGGGGGGGGGATGCCAAGTGTTGGCATCCTAACTTCTACTTCTAAGTAGTCTATGCCTGGTGGAGGCATGATCTATGGAACAAAACTTTAGTGTAGATTCAAAGAATCAACTTAAAAATATTAAACAAATAAGATGAAAGTAATTGAATTAATCACACAAGAAACAGGGAAAAAATGAAAATATTAAAGGTAGAGTGAAATCGTTTGTCATTTGTGCATTTTTTTTCATTTGAGGCAACAAAATTGCTCAAAATCAAAAGAAGGGTGCTTAACAACCAACCTGATGACATGTTAGCTCAGTGAATGTTGTATATTCTGAGAAAACAATAATCCAGGATCTCGATTTTAATTCAAAAGTTGCCTAGTCATGTTTTGAATTGCGGCCGAAATCAGCATCCGGGACACGTTCTCATTCAGCCGATTGCAGCTGCCCGATGTCACGCACTGAACCGACGAATTATAGTAACCACGTGTGCGTGTGAGTCATGTCAACGCCTGCAAGCACCCAAAACGAACTACTAATGGAAATTTCCAAACATGTGTCTTTAGACACATCTTTGGAGATTTCCGTCTTTTATTGTTTTCTTCAAAATGACAGCATGCCAAAACAAATAATTTCAAAGGGTGTTTTAGTGCCACTACTACCTTTAAGCCAAGTATGCTTTTCAACAATAATTTAATCAGTTACTTTTTTGGATAGCTGCAAATGATATATTCTCCCTTGAAAAAGACAGAAATGTAAAAACCTTGATCCATTTTGAGTGGGTCAGTACTGTCACAAAACCAGTTACAAGATGATTTGTTTTGGGTGGGAGGGGCTGGAGGAGGGGGGGGGCACCTTAGTATTTTCCAAATGTATCCAGTATTTGTCATATATTGCTTTTTCCATATCTAAATTTAGACCCTATTTTATCCATTGCATGTAATTGTTAGGTCACCGTTCAACCGGAGACATCTGTTTCCAATGGAGTCAGGTCTCGTGGTAACTGGAAAGGTTTACGGATCACTGGTTACTTGCAAGTCATTCTGGGTGTGATCTCTGTCCTGTTGGGAATTCTGGCCATTGTCTTCCATACACACATTTATTTTGTCGGCTACGCAGTATGGATGGGTATCTGCGTAAGTAGAATTGACAAATATCTTCCAAATATAATCACCCAGTGTGCAGAGTGCATAAAAGTGCTTCGAAAAGGGACTGAAAATTCTGAGGTATTTTTAAGTTTCAGACTTTTAACCTAATTATCACAGAGGAAAATGTAACAAACTTTCAACTTTTGAACACCAAATTTGTCAGAATTTCAAAGTGAATGAAATGTCAAAATGAATAGCTAGGTGAATTTTTTTTAATTTTTGTGAAAAACACAGAAGTAAAATCCATTGACAATTCGCCAAACATTACAATATCTGTTTTATGTTATTTTCAACAGGCTTCTCGACCATAGTATAGGTTTACTCTTCATCCGCTCATTGTTTTGTTTTTACATGATTCATTGCCAATCTAACTTTCATTTTGTGTTACATAGTAATGCCTTTTTATTCTGTTGGTGTGTTGCAGTTCTACATTGTAGCAGGGATCTTAGGCATAGCGTCCGGAGGAAAACAGAAAACTGGAGTGGTAGGTTTAACTTTCGTTGTCATTATTCTTTATTAATATCAATAAGAACAATAACAAACTAAAATAGCAATCGTAGTATTCACTTGATGTATTCTGGATTGGAAACATTGCTATCCTGCGTATGAAGCTTCTAAGAAGCATTTTTCTGTGTGATACAAATGCGGCATGCACTTATTTTTGTAAAAATCAAAGATAGTTATCATTAATTTACTACTTGTCTTGATTGGATAAAACTTTAGTGTGGCCACCTGTTTTGATATCCCATTACTTTTACATCCTCAGGTCGCGGGGTACCTGATCATGTCCATCATTGCAGCTGTTTGTGCATGTGCTATGATCGCGATGGCTGGTGTGAATATTAATAGTGACAGACATATCTGCCCAGATTGGATGTATCATAATATTGATTATGATTTGGCAAGCCGTGTTGGATGTTCCTCCTCAGAGGTAGGTTCCCAGTGTTGGTTTTGTCCCCAGTAATTAGAGCTGGTCCCAGAGTCCTGATCTCACTGACTGACTTGTCATTTGTGATCCGGGCAGTGCTATCATATAGGATTACACCGCAATGCCAACGAATGAGCTAAACCTGGCCCATTATGTAGACCACATGCTTGGAAAGGCTTCCAGTGTATAGCCATTGTGAATCAATTAAACAACATGTTTTGTTCTCAGGGACCAGCTCTACTTCCCAGTTGCATTTATCTGCTACATAAAAAAATATTTGGGGGAAAGAGTATTTCTGTATTTTTGACAAGATATTTGAAACTATTAACAGAAATATTTGAAATTCTGGTCAATTGAAATAGTGTCATTACAGCATCCTTACTGGCTAAAAAAATGTAGCATATTGTTCCCTACGTGCAGGCGGGAAAGGTCCAATGATTTGGGTAGTGATCTTTGTTTTTATGCCTTAATTCCCTCTGCAATCCTTCAATATGAGTCTAATTTTCTTATTTTGTGGGTTTTTTTTCAGGGGAGTCGTTTGGCAATCGATGCTTTGGTTTTGGTGGTCGGTGTGGCGGTGCTGGTTGTATCAGTCGTTGGAGCTAGCTTGACTTGCTCAAGTCTGTGTTGCTATCCCAGCCCATCCTATCCAATGGTACGAAAAAAAAGTCTTAGGAAAGTAGTGAAATATGTGATCACAAGTCATCAAAAGACATCACAGTTATCATAAATCATCCAGTCACAAGTCAAGACAGATGTTACTTGAGTATAAAGAATCGTAGGCATTCCTGTGTCATTGTTAATCTAATTTATACTATGACTCAGCTTGTGACCTGGCTTGTGATTGCTTTGTGATTGCTTTGTGATGGACTTATGATGGACTTATGATTGACTTGTGATGACCTATGATTGACTTGTGATGACTTGTGATTGACTTATGATGTTTTTGTAATTCACTTGCGATTGACTTATGATAGACTTATGATTCGCTTGTGATCAATTTTTGATCGACTTGGAACTGACTTGAAACCTACTTGATTACAACACTGGATATTAAAAATGTAAAAATACATAATTTCCCAATGCGTTTTCCTTGGACTTTATTAAACTCATGATGTCACCTGTCAGGTGTACTATTTTTAACCCATGATGTCATCACACAGGTGTGCTATTTTTATCCCATGATGTCATCACACAGGTGTACTATCAGAGTGCTCCACAAGTCGTTGCGGCTGGTCAGCCTGCAGTCCAGTATGCGTTTGTGCCCCAGCAGCAGCAGCAGTTCGTACCCCAGCAGCAGCAGCAGTTCGTGCCCCAGCAGCAGCAGCAGTTCGTACCCCAGCAGCAGTTCGTACAGCAGCCTCAGTTTGGTTAGTGTTGAGGTCAAAGGTCATGGGTCAGCAAAGCCACAAGGACAAGGCTGCATCCGAATAAATTGGCCAGGGCTTGAATTACATGTGTGCCTATGGGAAGTAGCTGAAGTCACTTCCCATAGACACACGTTATACTGACAGCCGTAGCCATGTCATTTGGATGTGGCTTAAAGCTGGGTATGAATTGGGTGTTCAGTGGCTATGGCTTCAAGTGTTGTCATTATCTAGAATAAGTAGCCCTAGCCATACAACATGGCTCATATCAGACATGGCAGGGTGTGAAAATGTACACAAACCAATGGGCCAAATCTGAACGTTGTAAGTTGTGAGGTGCTCTCTCACATACATAACTTGTTTCTTGTTTCCTTATTAGGTAACGTGATGTACCCAGGCCAGCCAATCATTGTCACCCCTGCACAGCCCCTCCAGCAACCCCAGGGGCAAGTACAGTACCAGACCACACCCCAGGGGACTGCCCCACCCCAGGCGCAAACCCAAGCTGAAGCTCCACCAGGCTACACGCCGACAGAACCCACCTCCAAAACTTCCAACTTACCTGAAGATCACCACAGCAAACCGCTCATTACCTAAAGGTCAAGGGTCATTGCACTAAATCTTCAAAAAGGCAAACTGAAAGATATTTATTATTATTAATCATTTCTGGTAATGAAACCAAGGATTCCTCAAAAGCGCCCTAGGCACTGTAGCTCGCAAGCCTGAAGAAACCTGTAGAGAGAAGACAATGAGAAGAAGTTACAGTTTTAGAAGTGGGAGGAAAAGCCCAGAAGAATATTCTGGGTAAAACCCACGAAATCAAGCAGGGACCGAAAACCCAATCCACATATTGGCCCAGGCGGGATTCGAACCCGGGTCACAGCGGTGGAAGGCGAGGAAAGTACCGCTATGACAACCTAACTCCCATCATATTTCTCATCATATCATCTCACAATATCGAAGGAAACCTTTGTTTTTAGTTCTAACTAAAGCAATTAACCTTTAGCGGGCTAAGCAAAAAAAAAAAAACGAAACCCAAATTTTGGGAAGTTCTGCATGTAGCATTTTCAAAATCTAGCATATGAAAGCCCAATTCATAAGCTTTCTTTTAGTACAAGAATCATTCAAATCACTCATGTACTTCTCAAGTTACGGAATTTTAAACACAACCACCGTTTTAAGGTTTTGTCCACGGATTGCAAAGAAGTTCAGTGTTCTTTCAGCAAAACGAAAACAAATCACATCACATAGAGATGTGTGTGAATTGTTTTCGTTTTTTGTGACTTGTGGACAGAACCTTAAAACGGTGGTTGTGTTTAAAATTCCGTAACTTGAAAAGTACATGAGTGATTTGAATGATTCTTGTACTAAAAGAAAGCTTATGAATTGGGCTTTCATATCCTAGATTTTGAAAATGCTACATGCAGAACTTCCCTAAAATACGGTCCCAACATTTGGGTTTCTTTTTTTTTTACTCACCCTGTGGTGTGTGGTGTAGAATAGGTTCCTGATTCTGAAATCTTTTTGGTGTTATTTGTTATTTTGGGGGTGGAAGGGGTGCTTTAAGCAGTACTTGGATATTTTACCTGTGTACTTTTAAGTTGTAAATAATATCAGATCCAGCATTTTATTTCTGAATGTGAGTTTTAACTTCTTTAAATACAAGGAAATTCTATATATAGCAGAACTTCTACTTGCCAATAATGTACAATTGGTACTTATTTTCGTAACTTTTTTTCAATAATATTGAATAATCAAAAAATGAAAAATCTACTTTAAAAAACCTTGGATTAGATTCATGGTTTAGATGTTACTTGTAGAATAATAATTTTACAAGGAATTCAACAGTGTAATAGAGCATGATTTAAGCAGCAGGCCACCAGTTTTAATACATAAATTGTACCAAAAAAGTAAAATTTTGCATGCCACTAATAATTTTGAGTCAATAGAGGGCGCACAGTCATGTTAACTGGAGCTTTGTACATTATAATTATTGAAATGCTTCTGGTTATTAATGTACAGTACAAATTCAGATTGTCATTTGTAATATTCCTATATGTTTTTGATTTTGTGCACGTGTAGTATAACATTAAAGGGAATATACAACATTTGCAAACATCGAAAAATAAAACTACCAAGTTTTTACGAAATACCTTACTAGGATGTTGGTAAATGACAGTCTAAAGCATCCTGTAAAATTATGGCACCTGGTGTGAAGTCATTTTCAAGAAAATGGTATTTTTGTATACATTTCCAGCTAGACTGGTTCCCTTACCTTACAATTTTCCGGCATCTATAAATTGATCCATTTTATCTTTACTGGAGTCAGGGAACCAGACTACTTGAGCATTTTTGTTTTTCTTAGTTTTTCAGCATTTTCGAACACAACACTTCAAACATGTCAGTGTAACAATATTTGATCTATTATACTTGCCCCTCAAATAGTTCATTTCTGAAAATTACAGCAAAAGCCAATGATGTACATTCCCTTTAAGCCAATAGTTACTATAAGGACACTGTTAAAGGGAATATACATCATTTGCTTTTGCTGTAATTTTCAGAAATGGATGGAATTGGGGGGTTGGAAATATAAAGTAAATATAGTTACACTGACTTTTTGGAGGTTTTGGGTTCGAAAATGCTATAAAAACCAAGAAAAACGATCATTTTCCTGTAGTCTGGTTCCCTGACTCCATATAAGAAGAAACAGAGCAGTTTACATACATTGGGGAATTGTAAGGTCAGGGAACCAGTCTAGCTGGCTCGTACCCGTTCATAGGTTTGTAATCGATTGCAAACAAGTACAATGGTCAATTGGGGCCAGTATTTGAAAAAAAGCCAGTTGTTTCCAACGCTGATCGGCCGATCAGCGTTGGAAATTGATACAAAAATACCACTTTTCTTGAAAATGACAGTATACCAGGTGCCATAATTTTACAGGATGCTTTAGACTGTCATTTACCAACATCCTATTAAGGTATTTCGCAAAAACTTGGTAGTTTTATTTTTCGATGTTTGCAAATGTTGTATATTCCCTTTAACTCATGGAGGAATAGTTAACTTCACTTTTTTTGTTTAATTAATAAAGTAAATTGTGCTCGTGCGGTTTTAAGCTAGAAAGTTTAAAACGGGCTAGGGGCCTATTATCCACATCCAGGCCCATGTAGCCGGTTGTAAACGTACTTGTTAAGTACCGGCCAAGCACATATTATTCCCATTCATAAATAACTTTCGGTCAAAACAATTTATATTTTCAAAAATTTCTAACTTTTTGGTTCAACAATTTTACATCATGTTTTGTGAAGCATCTCTCTGGCCATATCTATGGTATGTGCCTGGCGCGCGTAGTGCTAAAAAATATCCTTATATGCCGAAATTAGCGCGATGTCAGTGGCGCAGAACGCAGCGGTGTTTACCGGCGGTTTAAAACCACCCACGTGACGGGTAAACTGTCCCTCGGGTATTCATGAATTTTAATCTGTATTAGTGGGCTTTATTCTGTAAACGTTTGTACATGACTGTACTGAAATAGCTTAAGGTTACGTGGCGTTTCATCCTGACAGTTGTTTCATTAAAATTGTCGAAAAGAAAAAGAACTTCGTGAAGATTTCGATTCGATTAAAAATAAAACAACATTCACGGAAATGCAGTTCCTGAAGTGTCCACAATGGTCTGCAGCCCCATGGGCACAGTCAGAGTTTGACATTTTCATCGCCATTTTAATGAACACAGTTCACATCACAGTTCCCACTCAACATCCAGGCAGGAGGCCTATATTGATTGGTTTTATAATATATTGGTTTTAGTGGTCAAATATTTCTTCAGATCGCAACACAGAGCGTCTAAAGAATCCAAAAACTTGCGGGCCCCAACCCCTCGCCGTTACACTTCTCGCCTGCATTAGCGCTCATCGAGGTGCGCATGCGTCCCCCTCCCCCTCCCCCTTCCCCTTGAGAAGGGATTGACGCCCTTGCGAAGCTTGCTCGAGCCCAAAACCTACCTCCGTTTTCCATTTTTTTTTTATTTAAAAAATAGACTCCATGACATACAAATATTTGACTTTTTATTTTCCCGCGTAACTCCGCCCCACATGTACAGACAACTGGCTGACTAGGCCAAGTCTATCTGATGACAGTTTTTTGTGAGTTGACTACTGCGGGCGCTATTCACATTTAACAGTGAACTGAAAATGATTTGTTTTGATTATGACGTTGAAGTCGAAATTATTTAGAGGTCAAGTTGGGCTTATCAGTGACTGAAGGTAATTTTGTTCGTTCTTATTCTTCCATGATTTATGCGACTTTTCTTCCACATGTAATATTGATTTATATAAGCATCGATTCCTGGCTGTAAGTTAGCCCCACTAGTGTGGCCGCGGTATAGCCACACACTAGTTCCAGTGGGCTAGCTGTAAGTGTAAGTTTAACAATATCACAATTATTATTTTAAAGAATAAAACTAACATGACTAAGAGAAATACACCTCACCATGCTCACCTTGCCGTGTCGAAATCAGATGGGGACGAACGTGGGACGAACGAACTACAGAAATCGAAAGTGTGTGAACTGTTTAATTTTTTTTTTTTTTTTGCTAGCTTGATTTGAGTAATGAGGAATTCGACATTTAACTGTCGAATTCCTGACATGCCTGATGATAATTGGAGCTGGAGTAATATACTCAAGCATTGTGTCAAGTCAAGCTAAACTTTTTGCCATTTGATAATCGACAGAAATTAAGAGGTGCATCAGTTTTTGCATAAGGCATTATCATTATCGAGTGTTTTCTATCTTTTTTAAAATTACATAGGGCCTAGGGGCCTAATTAATTATTTTAAACAGATAATCATTATAAATTTTCAGAGGAGTTCGTTGTAAAGGGCAAACATCATGAATTCGCCACCTCCACCTTATAATGGTCATCAACAGGTCACACAGCAGCCACAACCTATGGTGAGTGTAGCCAATCAACAAACACTGAACAGACCCTTTGCAAGTACAGAGCGCCCTCTCAGAGGTCAGGCTTGAGTATTTGAATAAGCCCTTTTACGATATGGGCCATCTTGCTTTAGGGGCAAATTTTACACTCGTTGCTGTGTACGCATTGTCAATGGAAAACTTTGGTGCTTCCAAGTCATCATGCGGTCATTGCCGCGCCTGCATCTAGCAACGCGTGTTCATTTTGTCCCATGAGCAAGATCTATAGACATATTAGTGAAACACCTTATTTACAGCACTTTGTTATGCCAAGTAAACAAAATCGTTTCTTGTCCGGGATTTTTTAAAAAGGGAGGAGGTGCCACTTTTTTTCAAAGATGGCGGATTTTCCAAGATGAATTCATCCTTTTTCTCTACGCTTTTGTGTTCAAAGCCTGGAGTTGTCACCTTTTGTACCAGGTTCTATATTTGCATACGTGCAGCTACAATTCAGTTTGCTGGCAGCAGATAAAAGGCAAAATATAATTTGTTATTTTGAAATGGTTGTGTTTTTCGTTCAGGTTGCAATTCAGCCGAATCCGTCAGCCTCGGACACAACTGGGTCTCGTAGTTACTGGAAGGGTTTACAGATCACTGGTTACATGCAAGTGGTTCTGGGCGTCATCTCGGTCCTGCTTGGCTTTCTAGCCATTGTCTTCAAGTCGTTCATGTATCCAATCGGAATCCCGATTTGGTCGGGGATTTGCGTAAGTTTTGTTTGGTTGCGTTGGTTCTTGGTGACACTGGACTCTCCTACTATTGTGGTCTCACCAATTATAGTTTGACATTCTGTTGTCTCAATGTGTACTTTAATGTTTGCTTTCAACGTTTATCAACTATTATAAGTAACTTCTGTTTGGAATTTTGTGTCATTGTTTTAAGGTGGGGGAGGGGTTTGAACTCTAGTTTGAACTCTAGCCATAGGATTTGTTATGTGAAGTTCCGATAGCATTTCCATAAATTGTTGAGTCTTTGTGCACGCCATATGAACAAAATGGGATGTGCGTCAATTGACATACAGATCTTCAAGTATTTTATTTACATGTTGATTAATTTTAAAATTTTCATTTGCAACAGTTTTACATCATCACTGGCATTTTTGGAATTGCATCTGGCAGAAAGCAGGCAAAAGGTTTGGTAAGTTGATCTCATACTTTTTATTTGATCTTCAAATTTCCTTTTGTAAGGAAAGACGCTTGAAATTTATTTGGTGCATTAATCAGCCTGAAAGTCTGTTGACCTTAAAAATGAAATACATCCATGGACAAAAGAGGGCGCTATATGGCCCAGCCACTAATTCGAGCAAGAGTATGGTAGTGCCGTCTGTAGAGAAATTAAAGGTAGTATACAACATAAATTGCTTTTGCTGTGATTTTCAGAAATGGATGGATTTGGGGTTAGTAATTTTTAGCAAATATTGTTACACTGACCTGTTAAAAGTTTTGTGTTCATAGATGCTGGAAAAACTGCTGGATAAACGGGGCAATTTATAGATGTTGGAGGAATTGTCAGGTCATGGAACCAGACTAGCTGGCTTCCACCTCATCACAGATTTGTAACTGATTGCAAACAGAATGTGGACTAACTGAGTTTGGTATATTGGGGGTAGTGTTTGAAACAAATCAGTTTTTCCAACGATGGTCAAGCGACCATCGTTCGAAATTGATAAAAACATTCCACTTTTGTTTGAAATAACAGCACAGCAGGTGCTATGATTTCACAGGATGCTTGAGACTATTATTCACTTACAGTCAAGTTAGGTATTTCATAATAATTTGGTAATTTTGTGTTTGATGTTTGCAAATATTATTACCTTTTAATTTGAATGCCCTTCCCCGGCTGTTAATTGCTTTCATTGCCTCTAAGTCACTACATGTACCGTAGAAACTCAATATCCCTAAAGATCTGTTTGTTCCAACGTTCCACTGTCTGTCTGTCTGCAGGTGATTACATACATGGTTCTGTGTATCATGACAGCGTTGGCTGGCTGTGGTGTGTGCATTGCTCATGGCATCGGCATTTTGATTCAAGGGTTCGTTGGATGCCCTGACTTCCAGCACCATCCATATCTCAGTAATCATGACCCGTATGATTTCATATACAGGGTGGGGTGCTCATCATCATTCGTAAGTACCAAACAAACAAACAACTTTGTCTGCCATTTTTTTGTTATCCCATCAAATAAACCCTTGGCCCTTCCTCCTCACTTTTGCTAATTTCCATAAAAGTGTCTTGTGTACATAACAATGACCAGTGTCAGGGGTTGTGGTTGGCGAAGTGAAACAATCTGCTGCTTTCAAAGGGCCCATGTAATGTAACTTTTTTAATCCAGTCCTTAAAAATGCACCTTTAGCCTAATTGTCAATTAACATTTTGCCTTTTTAAAGTGTAATGGAGCCTTTTTGGTTTTAATGCTCATGCAAATTTCCAGACTCATGAGAAAAAGCGTGATGACATTTTGTGCGGAAAGCTCACTGTTACGGCTATTTCAGTTTCAATGTCAAGTTTGTCAAGATTCAGAGAAAAAGCTCCACATTTCTTTACCCTGCATCGTCATGAATCCTCCAAGTTTATATGATTTTCGAGCTACATTAGGAGCAAGGATTTGGTTTCATGAAATAACATTAAACAATATGGCTACAAAACCCCTGAAATTTCTCATACTTCAATTCCTCAATCCCGCCCCTCCCCGCCTTTGAAAAATCCAGAATCCACCGTTTTATAAAATCCAAAGATCTCCAAAATCTGCAAGTATTATACAATTGTTTGGCTGCATTTTGAGGAGTGTCGATTGTAAGATAACATTAGCAGTCAGCGTCTTTCATGATTTGATTTGTCCCAGTCATCCCGTGCAGCCATCAACGGTCTGATCTCTGTGCTCGGTTGCATTGAGATGATAGTGGCCATCGTTGGAGCCAGTTTCACCTGTTGTGTCTTGTGCCATTCCACCACTCCAACTCAAGTGGTAAGTTCAAATTAGGGTTGAGCATCTGTCATTGTCTCGATATTTTCCACATTTCCGCCCCCCCCCCAAAAAAAAACAGTGTCACATAGGCCAAGAAAAACAACAATCTGTGTTTCTGGTTACCGACCCTTAAAAAATCACTCAGAACCTGAATAATTTTATTGAAAAGAGTAAACGTAAATTAAATGCGTATTCTCAGTGAAAAATTGAAAACGAGTTTAACCCTTACCCCTTGAGTGATTTACTAGGAACCTTCCTCACTCTTGCAAAATCCAACACCATATGGTCAACTCAACACCCAAACTGTTGGACTCTGGTTATGGTGGTATGCCCATGCCTGACCCCACGTAAAGCATAATCAGTGCAGTACTCACTCCAACAAATTCCAACAAAACATGCTTTGGATTAAGATGGATTGGGGTGGTTAGGGTTTTAAATGACCCTAATTTTATTTATTTATTTTTTGTTTTTTTAAGGTAACCTACACTTCTACTGTTCCCCAGCAGACAGTGGTTCAATACGCTGCCACACCTCAACAGCAGTATGTCCAGCAGCCTCAGTATGGTAAGGTCAAGGGTCAAAGGTCAATCATACAGAATCCTGTCACAATAGACTGGTTACCTGTGCTCAGTGTACCCTTACATAGAGCACTTCTACATAGGACAGCTTTTGTTGCTTAATTTCAGTGACAGTGAATACAAATGTGCCTACTTTCATTACAATCAGGGTTTGTTTACCGTGTTTATTGTTCTCTTTCCAGGTAACGCTATGTACCCCGTGCAGCAAGTTGTCGTTGCGCCCCCTCAGTATCAACCCCAGGCCCAGGGGCAGGTGCAGAACCAACCTACCCCCCAAGGACAAGCACAGGCTCCGCCCCCTGAAAAGCTTCCTCCTGCAGATTTCTAAACTGCAGGACAAAACCAAACGAAGGATCACATCTCTTACCACAGGTTAGCAAAGTGAAAGTAACTTTTATCGTTTTGTTAGTTTGAGCATTTTTCAGTGTATGTTTCCTTGAAACAGGCATGGAACTTTTCCCCATATATGCTGATTTCTTTTCTTTACTTTCCATGTGGGCCATTGAAAATAGAAAACACTGTACAAAGTCTTGGAAAGATTAGAATTTCCTCTTTTTTCTTTTGGTGACTTCTAGTTGCATGCCTGTTGAGAATGGTTCTTGTCATGGATTCATTGACAAGCTTGTTGGTTCCAAACATTTAAACTGCTCTTGCGCACACACAGTGTAGACGAATCTGGGCTTACATGGTCCCCTGCAGTGGAGACACCATTGTGCGTGCTATTGTACAAAGCAACTGCTGCATGATGATGGATTATCTGAACAATAGCTAGCATAATGCTTCTGCCATTGAAGGGGGCCATCAAGATAGAATTGATAATGTGCCGGATTGGTATCTATCTGCTAACACTAGCCAATTGTATCGCAATACTGAGCACAGTAGTTTTCTACTACAATCATTATTCATTTTAAAGTAAACACAATAGTAAGCAGTAAACACAATAGTAGCAAACTAGCTTAAGTACTTAAATAAGTTATACAATAATGACATCTCAGTGTTCGTGCACATGTTTGCAATGATATTTTCACCCTATTTAGAATCCAACGTAGTATAGTGAAGTCAAATAGACGCAAAGTGTCACACTATACCTACGCTGTACTTGTTTGTTATTTGAAACTTTATTTTTGTTTACCATAAAAATATTTATAAAATATTTGTTCTAGTAGCGGGAGAGGAAGAAATAGTTATAGACGTTTTGAAATGGAATATTTTAAATTGTTTATATTGCACTGTTTACATTGGATAACTGAAATAGATTGTTCTGTTTTTAAATTCAAAACATGTTTTAATAACCATTCATAAATACCTAAAACAGTTAACCCATTCCTATTGGACGAGAGCCCATCACATGGCCAGTTTTGAACGGTTGATAAAGACCCGCTAGCTGGTCTTAAACACTTTTCCAGTGTCACATGAAATTTGGACTTGATAAAATCCATTCCCTTTTACCCTTTTATTGGTTGAACGTTCACAATCCTCGGTTAGGCATGCGCAATACTACCAATGAGTCTTGAGTGAGTTGAGTCAATGAGTTTCATGGTCCTAAATTCACACTATACACCGGCACAGCTGCATTGTGCGCCAAATGGCGTAGTACGCGCAACGCGCACGCCAATCAATCCATATAAGGAGTTGTTAACGACTACTTCCGAGAGGCACATACCATAACATAGCTAGAGGCTTGTTTAAAAAAACATGAAGTACATTTGTTGAACAAAATTGTTGGGAAATTATAATATTTGACTTGCTTTGACTGTTTGACTGAAAAGGTATTTATGAATGGGAATGAATATGTAGAATGGTTTGGAGTCAGGATGCTGATACGTCCAGACTCCAAACCTGTCTTTTAAAACTAGCCAGGCCCACATTTATTCCCTTATAATAAGGCCAGTATCAAAACAAGTTAGAAATCTGTTATCAGAAGTGCCTCATCAAACCAAACAAATTTGGTTTAAAACCAAGAAACAAACAGATATAAAAGTCAGCACCATATTCAGTTTTCTTTTAAGAGATTTTTTAAATCCATTTTATATTTAGTTTAAAAAAAATGGAAAGGAATGGCAGTATCCCATAAAGTTTGCACGGCCCTGTACAGAGTATGTAAGAGCGCCCTCGCTTGATGAGGCTACATGACATACACTCGATAACTTTCCATTTCAAGTCATTTTTGCCTGCCACTGAGCATCACCTGAAATATTTCATTTTTATTTTTTTAAGTTTATAACATATCTGACTATTTTTACACCTAGATATACTGTAATTGTATGTTTTAAAATTGTATATTTAGATTTTATTTAAAATAATACAGTATAGTTTCGTTAAAATCTCTGTATTTATTGAAATTAAAATTTCACGTACACCAAAAACACATTTCCGTTTCAGTTTAATGATCTTCATTACACAAATATATGAGTTTGACTATTGAATATTCAATATGAATACATAAGACAGGAACAGACTTGGAGCCAGTCTAGCCCTAGCTGGGACCATTCACTTTGTGAGGGGGGGGGGGGGGCGAGGTGAGGGTGAATCTAAATTTACGAGTCACTCCCCATCGTAATCGTCACCTTTGTGAAATAAATGCCCACTCGTCCAACAGTTCAGCTGTCACATGTGCCCAGGGTGGGACATATATCACATCTGGTGGTCTAAAACAGGTCTTAAATCTCCTCCTGAGATTTGTTTTTTGTAGACAGAGGGGTTTTTATTCATCTTTTTATTAGTTTTTAATGTTTACAAGGAAAAAAGTATGTTGTGGTTAAACATGCTGATTTTTCACTGTCTTTTTATCTTTGATTTAAAGGAACGTGTCTTATATGACTATGAAATATTGCCACTGCTAACTAGATGTCGAAAGTTTCATCCACAAAATGATACAACAAAAACTTAACAGTTAAAGGCCGAATTTGAATATATCCCCCCCCCCCGACTTGCAAGTGTGACGTACGGGACACGCCCCTCTCTACCTTCAGGAGTATTTGAGAGATTTTTTTTCCACCATAAAAGAAAGAACCAAGTAAAAGGGAAAATAAGACTAAGAAATTAAAGTTGGGGCATAAAAACCTATGACTTTAGCTCGGTTCAGTATTAGCAGGAGAGTCACATGAGTAACTGTCAGCCAATCAGCTCACGTGACCTGTTTATGCATTTTTTTACGCGCTTAACGCACCCGCAGTAGACTTAATGAGGCTAATGGTCTCCGAAGTCGATAAACCGTTGCCCTTGACCCTGAAGTTTACACCTTCGATACCCGGTCACGGCCAACACAATCACTCTTCGTCTGTCCACAACGAAAGTTTATATTCATAATCCGCCATTTTCTGTCACTGCTTACGCCCAAAATAGCCATTTATCATGTGTGTTACCATGGCAACATTTAAACGCGCGATGAGAAAGTTCTCATTAGCTATAGCAGCATTGACGTATGTTTGACTTCGTGCCAGTACTGCGCACGCCTTGAATGTGACCACAGAAAAAAACAGAGACTGAAAGTTGGACCGCTTTTATTTTCAGCTCAAGAAAGTCGCGACGAAGCCAAGAACCACTTTTGTTGATAGAATTATACCTCCAAGTTTCAGTGTTTGTATAGAATCTGTCTCGTTGAATTTACGGCTAGAGTCGACTCGGAGGTGATCTAAGTTTAAAGTGGGCTCGCGAAGCCGAGCCACTGGTGTATTTTACTCAAACAGGATTTTCTAGATTGTAAAAAGTATCCCAGTAAACTCGAAAAGTGGCGAGAAAAATGACGGAGGTTTTGAGCGAACGGATCACACTGAACATTGCGTCAATGCGCGATACGGATATCGTGCATGACAAGACGCAACCGTGTCCTACGGAGAAGCTATCAATGGAGCCAATGAAAGTCCGAGACGGGGAGGAAGGGAGCGGGAATAAGCAGCAACAGTCGCCGGACATTAACGCTAATCGGCCCGGTGTGGTACCAGCAGGGAGCGGCAGTGTGAATGCGGAAAGCACTGCTGTGGATGTGACCGACTCGGTTCCAGCGGATGGCGCACTCCTTGATGACGAACATGAGGTAAGACAGAATGATTGAAACTGAAATAACCGAAGTTGCTTCTGTCTGAAGGTGACATGCTTTAGCTTAATGACAAGAGGTGAGTTTAATAATAAATATTATTTGACACTGTATTGACATTGTGCGAAGAGCCCCTGCTTTGGACTGTATGCCCGTTGAATTGTAGCAAAATATATAGACCTAAACGTGTCGTACAAGATCGCTTGTAGTTTGTAGAAGCGACATTATTTTTGGTGTAGGATAAGTCCTTGAGGTTTTGCCTGCCACTTTCCGAGCAAAATCAGTGGAGAATTTCCAAATCCATGCATGCATTAATATTATTGATAGCACATCTTAGTAAAGACATACGGATAATTTTGTCTTAATGGTTGCAAATACAATGGCAGCATTGTGCAGGATAGAAACATTTTATGGTGAGAAACAAAGGACACCAAAAGTCGCTCCGATGTTTCATTGCCAGCCCTGAACGTAATTACCACGCCAGTTTTCTCGTGTTCAAAAAGTTACACCATTCCAAGTAAAACGCATTCATTTCACTTGATAAATTACGATATGAATACCTTTTGGCAAGACATTGAAGTACGCCAATATTGCGAGTCTGTTCACAACCATTCGGTTGATAGTCATGTCCCCATATGGCACTAACTTTCAGGTCTCAAAGTCGCATAAAGGGAATTAGGATCATGATGTATTACTCAAGACTTGTGCCGGCCTCGGTCTGGCTTCACAAAGAAATCGAAACAATTTGTTTGTGGTGCATTTTATCATGTAAAGTTGTCTCTAAAGACACATTATATTAAGAGGGTTTCAGCGGGCATAGAGATATCTTAGAATGCACGGAACAGGTGTGAGTATTATTCCTATCCCCCACGCTAAGATCTGGGATCAGTAGAGGTCGATTGAAGTCAATGTAGGGATCAGTGGCTCGCCAAATGCAGCCGGCCGACGGACCGTAGAGCCACCACGTCTGGGTCTACCTATTCTCGGAGGATTTAGTCTATAGGTATAGGCTTACCTTATGGTTATAACGTGACATGTTTTTTTGGGGGAAAAAAGACATTCCAGGGGATTGAATGCATGAAATCTTGCTGTTTTTGTCACTGCGAGGGGAGCGTGGCCAAGAGGGTCAGGGTTCGAATCCAGCTGCTGGCCATATGTGTCCTTGGGCAAGCCATTTCACACCGACTTGCCTCTCTCCGCCCAGGAGAGAGGCAATCATGGGTACCGGCGTAAGGAAATCAGAGATCAGACAGACCTGACGGGCGGCTATAATTATTGGCTCGTGACATACTTTACCTTTCACTTATATAATGATATTGATTGGTTCGATGATATGAGTCGGTCTGTCAGTCCGTCAGTTTGTCTGCATACTCTATATTGTCTTACGGTAGATATAAGCTTAGATTTTGACGACAAACCAAGACGGTATGTTTACAATGAAAAGATCCACCTATATTATGATCTTGTTGTTTCCAAACGAAATCTAAGCTTTCAACTTTTTCTTTTGGGTGATTTTTTTTCTCAGTGAGACGCGTTTGGAACAGCTATTACGGGGCTTTAATCTTTCCTCAACAAATCCAGCATAGATTAGTAAAACGTGTACTCAATAAGGCCCAAGTGTTTTAATCCGGCAAAACATCTTGAAAAAAAATATCAGAAAACCGCTTCCTTGCAAAGCTTTCATCTCACTCTTAATCCACGGGGTCTCTCATCGCGACTAGATTTGTCTCCCTAGGGGCGTGGCTCAATTCAGCATCAGTAATAGCCGAGGGGACCACAAGCGGACTCTAGGGTCTCGTTGGTTCGAGCGTCAACAGTATTTTATCGGTTCGTCGATTCCAAGTGGCGATTTCTGTCCACATGACGAGAGATTCTTGTTTCAGTGGCTCTTAGCGCGAAATATAATAGGGGGACAAAAAGTGCAGCGTAGAGTCAAGTACCTAATTGCGAAAGACTTATGTCCTCAGAGAGACAGGTCTGTGAGATGTTTATTATTTCAAAACTTTCCGTCCCGGTTGTCCAAATGTGGGTTTTTTTGCGAGTGATTTCAAGGAGAAAGATCATCATTTACCGGTTCAAAATGCGCCTATACCTGAGTTTGAATAAAGAGATTAGCTTGTGGTGTCGGTTGAGTTCGTGAAACAAGGACATTTACTTAAGTTTTTGGAAAGACATAACTATTATAATGACGATGTCGCCAAAGTCTCTGTTTTCATTGTTCCAGTGGACGGATAGCAAATTCTACGGGACACTATGCATGTCATGTGCAGCTAGAAGACAAAAATAGTCACCTTTTGTCCACGTATTGTATAGCACAACCTTTATTTCAATCGTTATTGAGTTTGAAGTGCAGGGGACTCGCATTTCACGAAAACATGGCAGTTTATGTTGCAAGAGAAATGATTTTTGTTAAAGAGAAATGATTCCAAGTTGCCGCGATATTATTCCAGTTCCCATCTGCTTCAGAGTTTACGATTCTCAAGCAGGTTAAGGATCAACCCTTGTACTTTCTGTATAAGTGACTCTCCTGGGCTTTTGTTGGAACTAATGACTTAAAAGCTTGTAGAAAATATCATTATATCTGTAATTTCAATCAGGTACATAAATTGCACGTAAGGTGTTCGGCCAAATGTAGACCAATTCTATTAGCACCTTCTGGTGCTGTACTTTGGATGACTTCTGGTAGGTCCTGCTCTAATTGCGATGCATGCTGGGTCAAAGGTCACTCACGTGGTGTCATTTTCTGTAATTTCATAATTTTTCAGCAGACATTATAATGTTCACAATGTGTTGTATTTTCCTCCTGTTTTTTCCCTGTTGGTTCAACGGCAATTTTACCATGTAAGGATCATCGTCTCTAAAACGGCATCGCGTACCAACAAAAACAGCAATTGGTTCACCTCAAAGGCAGCCCTTTTCTCTGTAACTGCTCGCGGGCTCAGCATTCCAAAGCCTCTTCCAGTTGTTTTTATAGTTTTGCGGAAAAAAAGTAAAAAGGGCTTTTAGCCAACAAAATGAGTTTCACAGTAGGCCTACATGTAGTCGTAATTTCTGTCAGCAGACGTACTTCGACGCCAAGGAGTGAATTCATGTGTGTAATTGATGCTCCCTGTCCGCAAGCTATATTCTTGAAAAAAAAATACCAGAAACCTCGTGGACAATATTGGTGCTTGATCCCTGATCTGAATTTGGTGCTGTTTTTGATGTGGGACCTATACCCACTTGTTACGAGTGGATCAGGTTTCTCTCGGAATTTACAAGAAGGCCGACGGTTTTGGGAGTAAATGTTGAAGGGTTTGGCCCAAGAGCATTCTCCAATAAAGACGTGAAGAGAAATGCATACTGTACTGGCACGATTTCTGAAAATTCTGAACACGCGCGACTACGACAGAGATTTGAAATACGGCCAGAAGTAGTTTCATAAACCACTCGTCATGCGTCAACACTGCACTCATTAAAACATTTAAAGCTCCCCCCTGTTAGGAATCAATGGATCTTCCCAAGGAGCACGTGCGAGAACATTATTAACACTTTCAACCAATCAAATTGGTTCGATTAAATACGGCGCACTGATTGGACCGTCGCAGAATGTCATGCGATTAACCTTTTCCCCAGGCTTTCAGATCGAAAGTTTGACTAGGTCCAGTCCATAATAAATTTATGACATGATAAAAATAAGTAAGGACCAAACCTCTTATATCAACAAGTGATATTTCCTTATCTACGTATACTTTAGTTCTTTCCCGCAAATCGACCGTGTGCCACAAAACCACCTAACCCAAAGAAAGTACAATATTCGGCAAACTGTATGTGAGGTCAACGATTTGACCTCATTTGAACTTTGACCTGTTGTTTGTTGGTTTAAATCGCGCCCTTAGCAGCGTTTGGGGGCACCATATTTTCCCAGTCTATATTTGCGCGTCTTTTGTTTACATTGGTGTCCCGGAAAAGAGGCAGATGTGAAAGTGTTATAAATGATTAAAATTCCAAGATTGAGTAGGTGCTGAAAAACTGCCGCACTTTATGACGATTTTAGTCCCCCCCCCCCGTAACTCCAAGGGAAAATGTCCATATGGTATCGTCATGTGGGAAAACGTTTTAACTTTAAAAATATAACCTTGCACATTTGAATGGGCGATGACGCGTGTGTTTACCAAGGAATGCAAGAGTTGTCAGCATTAAATCCAGTCTCAGAAGGCAAACTGATCTTGTGTTGATATGCCCAGCTCTGTCAATAGCGCCCTCATGTATTTTTCCCGAGTCGATAACGAATTGTAACGAAGACAGACACAAAAATATTACCTTCAAAAAGTTTCATACAATCTCTCACTACTTAAATGAGCTGCGAGAAAACGAAATTACAGTCAATTCACTCTTTTCCAAATTAAATTCACAATTTTTACCCGAGCACTCGACGGGACTTGAGGCAAGTCTATTCCCGCGTAGCCATGTTTTGAAAATAAAAAACACGTGCGTGTTGTGTGCACGGTGTCAGACATGTCAAATATTTTTGGTCGAATAATATTATCTCGTCATATAAATTTACAGCTGAAAGTTGTCATTTCAATCACCATGGACCCATTTTATACTGGTAGGTGTTTTGCAGAACTTTATTAGGCTTATTTTATTGCGGTAATAATGCGGCGCCATGGTGGCGCTGGCGAAGAAGGAAGACGTAACAAGTTGAAAGTAGTGGCTATCGTTACGGCAGCCGTAACGCGATTTTCAACTGTTGTTGCCTTGGATTGTATTGCAAAATCACCATTGCGAATATATCAACCAGAATGCTTCTGAAGCTCAATTGGATACACATTGGACTACTGTTCCGGGATCACACGCTCCTCAATTTTAATTAAAAAAAAAAAGAATTTAATAGTTTTTGTTTACTTGCAAAGTTTACTTTCAAAAGTTCATGCATTTATTTATCAAGTCTTTCTTTTTGGAGGATTTTTTTAAAAAGGGAAATAAAGTCCGAGAACCTTTCGGTTGAATGATAGTGTGGTTCCAATAGCCAGTCCTAACTTTGAAAGCCATGTTAGGTCAGGGAACCAGACGGTTCAGTAACGATATCAGTCAAAAATTGCGGTGCGACTGCAGTAACAATAAAGCCATTGAAGAAATTGCGTGCCATTTTGCCAAAACATCATATCTTGACGTGGTCATAGTTCATTAATGATCACGGGTATTACATTTGAACAGATTCAATAATTTCGGTTGTATGCAGCATTGTTCTAGGTGTTTTCAAAGTTGTTTTCTCAAAACTGTGTCATAACTTTATGTTATTGTGGTGGTTTTTTTTTTTTGGGGGGGGGGTTGGGGGTTGGGGGGTTGGAAGGGGGTGCAGTTAGCCTTTGCGGAGGCTTATTTTTAACAGGAAGAACTTGAAATTTGTCAAACCGATTACTTGTGTCATCTGGTTCACTCTTGTCCGTCTCAGAGTTCCTTGGGAGGATGTCACAACCCAGCCTTCGAACCAGACAGCTTGCCAGTCAAGTACAGCCAGCCGTCTTACAAATATCAAGATGCCTACCTCAACGAACCAAGAAGCAGCAAAGACAGATGCATGGAGCATTCTCGGACAGCTGTCGGGGTTGTTGTGGTCATAACGACCTGCATCTTGATCGCTATCATCTTTTTCATGGTCGGCCATTTTTCTGGTGAGTGTTAGGGCATGATTGGATGAACTTAAAACCTTTCAATTAGATTTACTATTTCAAGTTGACTTTTGTTTCCGTCAAATTTATTGCATAATACCAACCTAATCCATTTCATTTCTTATTCCGCACAGCATTGGGATGGTCTTCAAATGGTTCGGCACCGTCTTTATGGTCTCCATCTGCAACCACAGCAATAGGTCAGAAGAATTTTCATCATTTCTTGTTAATTAGTCATTGTTTGATGATTATCAATAATCATCCACAATCTTGTAAAAATCCACCATCTAGGGGGGAAAAAGGCACTCCTTCCTTTCTTCAAAAAGCCTGGATGAGAATGTATTTGTTTCTATACTTGGCTTAATTTCTTGCCTGAAAATCCAGTATTACTCCCCCCCCCCCTAAAAAAAACCCCTCAAAACAATCACTTGTTTATCTTGCTAGTGGTTTGAAAATTCCTCTTACTTTTTGAAATGTTATTGGTGATTTTTTTTTCAGCATCCGAGCCAACAAAAGCAGCAGTAGTGTCTTCATCATTGTCGTTACAGCAAGACTACCTCCCAATCTATGATGATCCAACGTCCGAAGAATACAGAGCGCTTGAGCAAAAGTTTGTCTCATATGTGAGTATGGATAGCTGTGACATTTTTGAAAAAAACATTTCCAAAAAGTACATTCACATTGTTTGATAACAAATTTCATTGTTTAATCCAGCTGTGTGGGGTCTTCTGTCATTTCAGATCGCTGACATTTTTCTTTCAAGCCACTTACGAGAGAGTTTTGAAAATGTTCAAGTTGCAAGATTTAGGTGAGCTTAAGGTCTTTATTCAAATGAAACAGGGTCCGGCATTTGGCCTGATGAATTATAACTTCATTTTTTTGTGGCTTGCACACGGATCCAATGAACATGAGTTAGTATAAAAGATGCAAACAGCCATAAATGTTCAAAAGGATTTCCATAATTCCTGCTAATTTTTTTCTCTTGTCAGACCTGGTAGCATTGTGGTCGAGTTTACAATCACACTCAAGTGGAGTCGATCGTCGGCAGGAGAAACCATCGACATCTCCAACCTTGAAGACATCATTAAGACAGAAGTTGAAGACGTGCTCAGAGACGGAGTCTCAAGAGACACAGAGAAGGAACTACTGGTAGAACCAGGATCCCTTACAGTGTCCAATGGTAACAGTTTTGATCATTTGCAAACCCCTCAGCCGTTAGCTTCCATTAACTTCTTGAATACTCGTTCTTCTTTCCTCTTTTAAACTCCTTGTCTTTTTTAGTTACAATACTTAAGGATGAGGACACTCCCACACCAACTCCGACACAAGATATTCAGACAGTAACAGAAACAAATCAAGGTAAGCATTACATTTTATTTTAATAATCACAATAGTACTGCTTGCTGACTCACATTGCGTGGGTTTTAAAATGAGTCGCTTCTCCATGTGTAGGCTTTTAGAACAGAGCGCCACATCCTTTATTATATCATGTCTTGAATATTGTAATTGGCATAGAACGGCCATTCTATGAAAAAGACTGTTTACTTCATGTACATTGCGTTGCATATAAATTACTCATACACACTGCGTTTCATTTAAAATAAAATTGTGTGATATGCACTGCGTTGCATATGTTGTTCGGGTGTGAAGGGTTCGTGTGTAGGACCGGTGTGCGCCTTGCAGGACTAACGTTATGCTGAATGCGCACCAACCCTGTCGCGTCTTTGTGTGCGCGTCAGGCGTCATCGGCATGCGCTTGAATGTCTCCCTCAGTGGTCTCCCCAAACTCTCCCTTTCTTACCGTTGAGGGGGTGCTGACAGAGACGTTGATTGTACATCGTGTTCCATACAGGTGTACTCAACTCTGATGATTGTGGTCTTTTTTTTTATTATTAAGGTGAAAAAAGTAAAGTGTGTTTGACATGTTTGATTTTTCAGATGGCCTAAACAGCGCCCTCTGTGGTCTGCGTCCAGCCATCCAAAGCAGCGACAGCCTTCAGTTTCGCATAGTGAACGGAATCAAAGTTGAAATGGGTGGCTGGCCGTGGATGGCCTATCTACGGTTTGATAATGTGACTGACGGCGGTATATTCTGTGGAGCTACGTTGATCAGTGATCGTTGGTTGACGACTGCAGCTCACTGTGTCGAGAAGTAAGATAATATAGGTCTTTAATTTCAATTGAAACAAATTATCACCCAAATTAGCTTCAGCGTCTTTCATTCAACTTCATTGTAGCATGCATTTGAATGCAGTTTGAGATCATTGTTCAATTAACTATCAAGAACATTCAATTTATTTTTATCAAGCCCAAGATCGGAAAAATACGCCAAGTCGCTCATTGATATTGAAATACCAGTTGCCTTGCTAAATTGGTGCACCCCCCACAATGGTTTTGTCCTTTGCCTCAAAAACATCTCAATTCTGGCTCATAATCCAACATATTTGAATTGTTTCAACAACTTGTACTTTACTTTTATGTCTGGTACCCAGCTCCCTAGGGCTCCAAACAAGCAACATCGTAGTAGGTGATAACCATCTGATGGAGGAGTCGCCACACCATCAGACAGTCCCTATAGAGCGTATCTACTCTCACCCGGGCTACAATACTAAGATATTAAACAATGACATCGCACTCTTGAAGTTAACCAGACCAGTGGAGATGAATGACTATGTCCGACCAGTTTGTCTGGATCTCCAGACGAACGAAGACATCATGGAGAAGTACACAAAATGTTACACCGCAGGCTGGGGAAATACTCAATACAGAGGTGAGCCAATGACAAGAAGCCAGGGAACCAGACACTATGGTATTTTCAAAAACATTGCTTCTGCTTCAGCTTTGCCTCCGATTTCTGAATCACTGACAAGCAAAGCAAATGGACATATTGAATGATCCTGAAATTCTCAAAAAAAGGGGGCCCTAAATTGACCACAAGCTAAACCAAATAAGAATCTATTTACCTCAGAGAATAATTAGTACTTGTTCTCGGTACTCACACTCGAATATTAAATACTTGATTCAAATTCAAGGTACTCATACTGAGCGTCCTAGCCTAGCCAGGGTTCTCATCCTAGGAGGGCGAGTGGGGGGCTGGATGTTACGGGGGGGGGGGGGGCACCCAATTTCAGCCGTACTGAAAGGTAGATTTTTTTTCCTCCATGAAATAAAAAAGTAAAGGGGGAGGGGGTCTGGTCACCATCTTCTCATGGTTTATGACTTATTTTGACTTTTGACCGGAAAGGTATTTATGAATGGGAATAACTTTGTGCTTAACTGGTTTTAAACACTATGTTTATAAGACCGGTGGAGTCTACTGGATGCTGATAATGACCCTCGTGTTAGGATCAGGTCATAAATAGCGTCCGGTCTTAAACATAATGTGCCAAGCACACATTTATTCCCTTATTAAAAATGGTTTTTAACTCTTTCAGGAAATTTCTCTTATGATCTTCTGGAAGCCGATATGTCTCTTGTAGAGCTGGAAGATTGTACTGAGGCATATGGATTTCGTCAGGTTGTGGGGATCACTATTACAGAGAGGGTGTTGTGCATTAAGGCAGCCCCAGACGCCAATGTCTCAGCTTCTGCTTGTCATGTGAGTTGATTTTCAATTTCTTTATAAACCCCTTCAACGTTTGACTCGCAAACCAATGGCCAATAAGTAGGGCTGTCCTGAATATTTAGGTCTGCAATTGTCGTATAAGTGTTCTCAAGCAAAACATTCCTTGGGGAGATTGGGCCTAGTGATTAGGTTGGTGACCCATGATCAGAAGTTCAAGGGTTCCAATCCAGCTGCTGGCCATATGCTGTGTCCTTGGGCAAGCCACTTTACCCCCACTTGCCTCTCTCCACCCAGGAGTATAAAATAGGTTCTGGCATATACTGCAAGAGAAAGTTTGTCCTTTGTTTACATAGATGAACACCGGCCTTATGCGTCATATTGCCTCGGAACAGACTTTCCTTTTACTTTTACTCATGCTGATCACATTTCAACTCATGTTTCTCTTTCCAGGGTGATAGTGGGGGACCAGTGATGTGCAAGGGTACCGCTGGTCGTTGGAACCTGGTGGGCATTATCAGTCAGGGTATACAATGTTCCAGTAGTCCAGTTGTAGTGACCAGGGTGGCATCTTATATCGACTATATTGCCAATGTCATTGATGGAGGTAAGATATCTTATTTGACCAACACCTTGTTGAAATGTTGAGGCCTGTCTAAGGAGCAAAGTGATTTCAAAATATGAAATCATTTTGTAATATTTGTATTTGTCCAGTTGAAACTAAGCCAGGTTCCCACTTCTTTTCCTTGATCACTTTGTAATTGATAAGATTGAACAGAGAATTGACTATGGGAATTGATTTGGCTGGGTGCACCCCTAGCAGCGTGAGGGTTGCTGTTCGCACTTCGTACAGTACGTGTGAGTTCCTAGGAGAACCCTGAACACTGCTTGTAAGGAATGTTTTCTTTTCATTGCAACAGACCCAGTTCCTGCCAAGTGTGAGTCGATCCATTCAGATACCTGTGCTGCACTCCTACCCTACGATCACACCTTCCAGACAACTCAAGGAGCCTTCGACCCCGTCATTGCTACCATGCTGGAGATCGTGGCTTGCCCGTCTCTTGACCTAACTCTCTTCACCTGCATGCTGCTCTTTGAGGGTTGCACGGAGGACGGACGAGCCAAGGTCCCGTGCCGAGAATACTGTGACCAGATCGTCAACCAGTGCGCGGTGGATTACGACAATACAACTGATGCCCCCTGGCTGCTCGAGTTAATTGCTCAGTGCCACTCCTTACCGGACGCTGGCAGACAAGATCAAATGATCTGCTACAAAGGTATGTGAGATAAACATGTCCATACATGAAGATATCTCACTGATGTTCACTGTGTGTACATGCTTGACATAGACCGTGTGCGTTGAGGCAGAGATAGAGGGCAGTGCTTTCATTTGCATGGCAAGCATGTGTAGGCATGAATATTGTCTTAATTTGGACGTAATGCTAAGATTTCAATTGACCCATCGCCGTTTGCGAGTTTGCCACGCCCCTTAGAGAACCCTGTGGAATTTTGTACATTAAGTTTTAATTGTCTCAGATTTTGCGCGTTCCCCATCCAGTAATATTTCACGTAATTGGACAATATTTCACAAGCTGCGTTGACGCAATTCTACTGCGATAGGCTAATTTAACAGCCTTTTGGCATGATATACAAAAAACATTCTTCATTGTGATTTGTTAAACAGAATTTTTAAAATTGTTTAATTCTGATTATTAGATGAAGACGCTCGCTGCGGTAACCAGACTGACATTATCTTGCCACAAGAGGGCAGCATAACTTTACAATCACACAACTACCCCGACTACTACGGCATGTACCTAGACTGCACTGTACTCGTCACGGCTCCACCAGGACATCGCGTTGTCGTCAAAGTGTGCGACATCAAGATAGAAGCGTGCTGTGATACGTTGGCGTTTGGCGTAGGTCGCGACTCGCATGACAAGAGAACAACATTGGCAAAGTTCCACAGTGAGGAAGACGTACGATTGGTTATTTCTCCTGAAACTTCAATGTGGATAAGATTCGCATCACGAGACAAACTCTATGAGGAAGGAAAGGGTTACTCCCTGGAAGTTCATGCCGTTTTAAGTACTGGTAAGTCCACAATACATGTTGTGTCTGTCTTACTTACTGCTGCACTTGACCATGAGTGGGTTGTAGTGACCTCCAACCTACCCGGTCAAGGGCAAGAGACCAGCACTTGATTGGTGACAGCTGCACAGCACATCTGCAACCTGCTTAAGCCAGGTTAGCCGGGGACAACCACGAGGCCTCATCCAGGTGGCCGGCCGTTGCCTAAGGTGGAACTGGACGGCAGCATCAAGGGCAAGACAAGCAGGGGCAGGAGCTTGGAGGTGCCGAAACATGACCCAAAAGGGTGTGTCACCTCCCTGAGATCTCAGACAAAATGCTAGGCCCGTACGCTGCTGGATGATTGCATTAGACATGAAGTCAAACCATCGGACTCCAAGTATGCGACGCTGACACTGCATGTGGAAAGCTTGAGTGCGCTCTTGTTCTATATCTTGCGTAGTGTGCAGTGATGAGTAGCGAGAGCGGGTGCGGGTTGGGTTGGGTTGGGAGTAACCCTGTGTTGATAGCATTTGTGTTGTTGGGTTTTGGTGGGTGGTGTGGGTTTTGGTTGGGTTGGGTTGGGTCGAGTTGGGTGAGTAAGGATGGGTTGGGTCGTGTCGGGTTGGGTTGGGTTAGGGTAAGGTGGGGTTGGTTAGGTTGGGCTAGGTCCGAGTAGGGAGGGTGGGTTGGGTTAGAATGGGGTGGGGTGCGGTGAGGCAGGTTGGATTAGGTTCGGTGGGGTGAGTTGTATTTAGTTGGATTTGAAATATTTCTATCTCACTACAGATGCATCAGCTCTCTGCAGCAGTGACTCACTGGATGGATCATTCTCCATCCCTGATTGGTGGAAATGTGATGACATCATGGACTGCCCAAATGGGTTGGATGAGACCAATTGCAGCAGAAAACTGCCAGGTGAGGATCATGGGAAGGGTCAGGGGTAAAATTTAGAAGTTTACGAGACTTCGATCTGCTTTTCAAAGCTATGGGACTTTTTTTTCTTAAGGTGAGAAAAGTAAAGTGTGTTTGACATGTTTGATTTTTCAGATGGCCTAAACAGCGCCCTCTGTGGTCTGCGTCCAGCCATCCAAAGCAGAGACAGCCTTCAGTTTCGCATAGTGAACGGAACCAAAGTTGAAATGGGTGGCTGGCCGTGGATGGCTTATCTACGGTTTGATAATGTGACTGACGGCGGTATATTCTGTGGAGCTACGTTGATCAGTGATCGTTGGTTGACGACTGCAGCTCACTGTGTCGAAAAGTAAGATAATATAGGTCTTTACTTTCAATTGAAACAAATTATCACCCAAATTAGCTTCAGCGTCTTTCATTCAACTTCATTGTAGCATGAATTTGAATGCATTTGAGATCATTGTTCAATTAACTATAAAGAACATTCAATTTATTTTTATCAAGCCCAAGATCGGAACAATACGCCAAGTCGCTCATTGATATTGAAATACCAGTTGCCTTGCTAAATTGGTGCACCCCCCACAATGGTTTTGCCCTCTGCCTCAAAAACATCTCAATTCTGGCTTACAATCCCAAATATTTGCCTTGTTTCAACAAATTGTCCTTTACTTTTATGTCTGGTACCCAGTTCCCTAGGGCTCCAAACAAGCAACATCGTAGTAGGTGATATCCATCTGATGGAGGAGTCACCACACCATCAGACAGTTCCTATAGAGCGTATCTACTCTCACCCAGGCTACAATACTAAGATATTAAACAATGACATCGCACTCTTGAAGTTAACCAGACCAGTGGAGATGAACGACAATGTCCGACCAGTTTGTCTGGATCTTCAGACGAACGAAGACATCATGGAGAAGTACACAAAATGTTACACCGCAGGCTGGGGAAATACTCAATACAGAGGTGAGCCAATGATGAGAAGCCAGGGAACCAGACACTATGGGGTTTTCAAAAACATTGCTTCTGCTTTGGCTTTGCCTCCGAATTCTGAATCACTGACAAGCAAAGCAAATGGATATATTGGCTTCATATCAACCAATGAAGCATGACAGGCACTGAAATGGGCACCCAATTTCATCCGTAATGAAAGGTAGATTTTTTCCTTAAACATGGTGTTTAAAACTGGCCAAGCACACATTTATTCCCTTATTAAAAATGGTTTTTAACTCTTTCAGGAAATTTCTCTTATGATCTTCTGGAAGCCGATATGTCTCTTGTAGAGCTGGAAGATTGTACCGAGGCATATGGATTTCATCAGATTAAGGGGTTCACTATTACAGAGAGAGTGCTCTGCATTAAGGCAGCCCCAGACGCCAATGTCTCAGCTTCTGCTTGTCATGTGAGTTGATTTTCAATTTCTTTATAAACTCCTTCAACTTTTGACTCGCAAACCAATGGCCAATAATTAGGGCTGTCCTGAATATTTAGGTCTGCAATTGTCTTATAAGTGTCCTCAAGCAAAACATTCCTTGGGGAGATTGGGCCTTGTGATTAGGTTGGTGAGGGTCAAAGGTTCCAATCCAGCTGCTGGCCATATGTTGTGTCCTTGGGCAAGCCACTACACCCCCACTTGCCTCTCTCCACCGAGGAGTATAAAATAGGTTCTGGCATATACTGCAAGAGAAAGTTTGTCTTTTGTTTAGTGTCATGCAAGACGTAGATGGACACCGGCCTAATGCGTCATATTGCCTCGGAACAGACTTTCCTTTTACTTTTACTCCGCATGCTGATCACATTCAACTCATGTTTCTCTTTCCAGGGTGATAGTGGGGGACCAGTGATGTGCAAGGGTACCGATGGTCGTTGGAACATGGTGGGCATTATCAGTCGGGGTATGCGATGTTCCGGTTCTCCAGTTGTAGTGACCAGGGTGGCATCTTATATCGACTATATTGCCAATGTCATTGATGGAGGTAAGATATCTTATTTGACCAACACCTTGTTGAAATGTTGAGGCCTGTCTAAGGAGCAAAGTGATTTCAAAATATGAAATCATTTTGTAATATTTGTATTTGTCCAGTTGAAACTAAGCCAGGTTCCCACTTCTTTTTTTTGATCACTTTGTAATTGATAAGATTGAACAGAGACTTGACTATGGGAATTGATTTGGTTGGGTGCACCCCTAGCAGCGTACAGTACGTGTGAGTACAGTACGTGTGAATGCCTAGGAGAACCCTGAACACTGCTTGTAAGGAATGTTTTCTTTTCATTGCAACAGACCCAGTTCCTGCCAAGTGTGAGTCGATCCATTCAGATACCTGTGCTGCACTCCTACCCTACGATCACACCTTCCAGACAACTCAAGGAGCCTTCGACCCCGTCATTGCTAACATGCTGGCGTACTTGGCTTGCCCGTCCCTTGACCTAACTCTCTTCACCTGCATGCTGCTCTTTGAGGGTTGCACGGAGGACGGACGAGCCAAGGTCCCGTGCCGAGAATACTGTGACCAGATCGTCAACCAGTGCGCGGTGGATTACGACAATACAACTGATGTCCCCTGGCTGCTTGAGTCGATTGCTCAGTGCCACTCCTTACCGGACGCTGGCAGACAAGATCAAATGATCTGCTACAAAGGTATGTGAGTTAAACATGTCCATACATGAAGATATCTCACTGATGTTCACTGTGTGTACATGCTTGACATAGACCATTTGCGTTGAGGCAGAGATAGAGGGCAGTGCTTTCATTTGCATGGCAAGCATGTGTAGGCATGAATATTGTCTTAATTTGGACGTAATGCTAAGATTTCAATTGACCCATCGTCGTTTGCGAGTTTGCCACGCCCCTTAGAGAACCCTGTGGAATTTTGTACATTAAGTTTTAATTGTCTCAGATTTTGCGCGTTCCCCATCCAGTAATATTCCATGTAATTGGACAATATTTCACAAGCTGCGTTGCCTTTTGGCATGATATACAAAAAACATTCTTCATTGTGATTTGTTAAACAGAATTTTTAAAATTGTTTAATTCTGATTATTAGATGAAGACGCTCGCTGCGGTAACCAGACTGACATTATCTTGCCACAAGAGGGCAGCATAACTTTACAATCGCACAACTACCCCGACTACTACGGCATGTACCTAGACTGCACTGTACTCATCACGGCTCCACCAGGACATCGCGTTGTCGTCAAAGTGCGCGACATCAAGATAGAAGCGTGCTGTGATACCTTGGCGTTTGGCGTAGGTCGCGACTCGTATGACAAGAGAACAACATTGGCAAAGTTCCACAGTGAGGAGGACGTACGATTGGTTATTTCTCCTGAAACTTCAATGTGGATAAGATTCGCATCACGAGACAAACTCTATGAGGAAGGAAAGGGTTATTCCCTGGAAGTTCATGCCATTTTAAGCACTGGTAAGTCCACAATACATGTTGTGTCTGTCTCACTTACTGCTGCACTTGACCATCAGTAGGTTGTAGTGACCTCCAACCTACCCGGTCAAGGGCAAGAGACCAGCACTTGATTGGTGACAGCTGCACAGCATCCACAACCTGCTTAAGCCAGGTAGGCCGGGGACCACCACGAGGCCTGGTCCAGGTGGCAGGCCGTTGCCCAAGGTGGAACTGGACGGCAGCATCAAGGGCAAGACAAGCAGGGGGAGGAGCTTGGAGGCACCGAACATGACCCAAAAGGGTGTGTCGCCTCCCTGAGATCTCAGACAAAATGCTAGGCCCGAACGCTGCTGGATGATTGCATTAGAAATGAAGTCAAACCATCGGACTCCAAGTATGCGACGCTGACACCGCACGTGGAAGGCTTGAATGCGCTCTTGTTCCATATCTTGCGTAGTGTCCAGGGATGAGTAGCGAGAGAGGGTGCGGGTTGGGTTGGGTTGGGAGTAACCCTGTGTTGATAACATTTGTGTTGTTGGGTTTTGGTGGGTGGTGTGGGTTTTGGTTGGGTTGGGTTGGGTCGAGTTTGGTGGGTAAGGATGGGTTGGGTCGGGTCGGGTTGGGTTGGGTTGGGTTGGGTTGGGTTGGGTTGGGTTGGGTTGGGTTGGGTCGGGTCGGGTCGAGTTGCCGGGTGGGTAAGGATGGGTTGGGTTGGGTTAGGGTAAGGTGGGGTTGGTTAGGTTGGGTTAGGTCAGGGTAGGGGAGGGTGGGTTGGGTTAGAATAGGGTGGGGTGCGGTGGGGCAGGTTGGATTAGGTTGGGTGGGGTGAGTTGTATTTGGTTGGATTTGAAATATTTCTATCTCACTATAGATGCATCAGCTCTCTGCAGCAGTGACTCACTGGATGGATCAGTCTCCATCCCTGATTGGTGGAAATGTGATGACATCATGGACTGCCCAAATGGATTGGACGAGACCAATTGCAGCAGAAAACTGCCAGGTGAGGATCATGGGAAGGGTCAGGGGGAAAATTTAGAAGTTTGCGAGACTTCGAATTGCTTTTCAAAGCTATGGGACTTTTTTTTATTAAGGTGAGAAAAGTAAAGTGTGTTTGACATGTTTGATTTTTCAGATGACCTAAACAGCGCCCTCTGTGGTCTGCGTCCAGCCATCCAAAGCAGAGACAGCCTTCAGTTTCGCATAGTGAACGGAACAAAAGTTGAAATGGGCGGCTGGCCGTGGATGGCTTATCTTCGGTTTGATAATGTGACTGACGGCGGTATAGTCTGTGGTGCTACATTGATCAGTGATCGTTGGTTGACGACTGCATCTCACTGTGTCGCATCCCCAAAGTAAGAAAGTATTGTTGCTGTTTTCCCAAGGGTCATAAAGGACCGAGTCACTGACCGACTGACTGACTGATTCCCTTAGTTTAAAGATGCATTCCACATTCTTTTTACAAGTTGCCTGTTTTAAGTTGATATAGCAAAACAAAAGTTGTTCACTTTTGAATGAGACTTTTACGGAAAAACATCGTCCTGTGTTCAGTTATTGCATTTTTTTATTTACAAGTTTGAATTATTGGCTGTCAGACAAGGTGCCTTTGTTGGGTGGGTTGCAGACACCCCAAAAACAAACAAGTTGAAAATGTAGAACAAAATTGAACTTGGTAAACTTGGAGCAGGGGAAATGCAACTAATATCTAAAACTTTAATTTTGGGTAGGAGTATGATTATCTAGAAAGTCTTGAAATGTTTGTTCTCTACGATATTAAAATCTGAAATTCTCGCATACAAGTCGAAATATACAACTGGTTTCATCACCTTGTGATACTTTACTTTTATGTCTGGTACCTAGCGCCCTTCAGCTCCTAATGAGCAACATCGTAGTAGGTGATATCCATCTGATGGAGGAGTCGCCACACCATCAGACAGTCCCTATAGAGCGTATCTACTCTCACCCAGGCTACAATAATAAGGTATTAACCAATGACATCGCGCTCTTGAAGCTTACCAGACCAGTGGAGATGAACGACAATGTCCGACCAGTTTGTCTGGATCTTCAGACGAACGAAGACATCGTGGAGAAGTACACAAAATGTTATACCGCAGGCTGGGGATATACTCAATACAGAGGTGAGCTAATGACAAGAAGTCAGGGTACCAGACGCTATGTCCACCTACTTCTTATCTAATCAGTGTTATAGATCCTCCTTGGGACTCACACTCACGTTGTTCTTTTGAGAATACTTGTCTGCACTTGTACTAGTCACAACGTCTCGAGTCGAGTTCAACTCAAGTAGCGTCAACTACTAGTAGTGGTAGTATAACTTGTACTAGAATATCAAAATACTCGGACTCGTTTTCACGGTACTTGTACTCAAGAAGCAAGGTACTGGGCCTGGACTGTTTGGTATCGAACTCCATCATCAATACTCGATAGCTTTGTACTTGGCAGTACGTGCTCGGATAAAAGTACTCAACTACAAAAATTGAGAATGAGTCCACAACCAAGAAACAACCGTCTGTTCCTGAATGGCATCCCAGTCCTCCTGAACCAAATAGTATGAGGAGTGACTCGGGTCGACCTATAGCTAGATTTTGGTTTCCGACCAGATGAACTTTACAGTAATCATTTTCCATTGACGAGACATTTGTAATTAACACTCTGTGTACGCAGTCTTTCATAATTGTTTCAAATGTCAATCTTTTCATGACCTTAATTCCAATCTTCAGGACAATTAAGGTTCGGCGCAATACGTGCGTCGTCAGTCTAAAGTGGATGTGAGAGGCATGGTTGGCGTGATACTAGTGCTTGAAGCCCTTAAACTTGACCAATGCAATTTGGTCGTTAAATGTGACTTTGTTTTTCCAAGGAATTCGCTCTGATGATCTTCTGGAAGCTGATATGTCTCTTGTAGAGCTGGAAGATTGTACTGAGGCATATGAAGTTCTTCAGATGTGGGGGATCACTATTACAGAGAGAGTGCTCTGCATTAAGGCAGCCCCAGACGCCAATGTCTCAGCTACTGCTTGTAATGTGAGTCAATTTTCTTGAAATAAATTTCTTTCTGAAGTCCAACAGTTTATGAGGAATACAGCCTGTCTAAAAAAAAATGGTACAATCGAAAACGATTTTTTTTCAATATTAAATCTCAACATAAGTAAGTCGTTTTGAGCATCACATTAAAGAAAAAAGACCAGGCTTTCCAATACTTTTTGTTTCATCTCATTTGCTTTTGTCAATCCAGAGATAACTCCAGTTTACTGCGGAACACAAAAATCAAGTTTGTTTCTTTTGCCAAGTTGCAATCTTTTGTGAGCTTCAAGACAGCATGGCACAGTACTCGAAACAACTCTGCCCATGCATAAAAGTGGCACAAAATCGATTTTGGTGTATCGCACTAAATTGATTATATCTCTGAATTGACAAAAGCAAATAAGATCAAACAAGCACTATTGGAAAGCCCAGTCTTTGTTCTTTAATATTATGCCAAGTAAGAATGACTTATTTTGAAATTTCATATTTAACCAATTTTTTTTCTGATTGTACCATTTTTTTTTAGACAGGCTGTACGAGGATTAACCCACAAACACTGGCTGGGCCACTGTACTGCTCCCTATAGTTTCCAGTATCCAAATCTATGATTTTCTAATAACTGTTCTCAAGCAAAACATGCTTATGGGAGAATGTGGCATAGTGATTAGGGTTGGTGATTCATGATCAGAGGGTCATGGGTTTGAATGCAGCTGCTGGCCAAATGCTGTGTCCTTGGGCAAGCCACTTCACCCCACTTGCCTCTCTCCACCCAGGAGTATAAAATGGGTTCTGGTATCAAGGGAAGAGAAATGGCTAATGCGTCATATTGCCTCGGAACAGACTTTCCTTTTACTTTTACTTCGCATGCTGATTACATTTCAACTCATGTTTCTCTTTCCAGGGTGATAGCGGGGGACCAGTGATGTGCAAGGGTACCGATGGTCGTTGGAACCTGGTGGGCATTATCAGTCTCGGTATGCAATGTTCCAGTTCTCCAGTTGTAGTGACCAGGGTCGCGTCTTATATCGACTATATTGCCAATGTCATTGAAGGAGGTAAGAAAGTATCCTGAACTTTGAAATGTTTGTAGAGTTTTTACTTTGACCAGCATCTTCAAATGTTGAAACGTTGAGGGCAGTAGAATAATATATTTGCAAAATATGAAATATTTGATTTGTCCAATTGAGAGTAAGCCAGGTTCCCTCTACTTTCCCTTGATCATTTTTTAATCTATAAGATTGAGCAGATAAATTGACTGACGGAGGATTCGAACCCTTGCCACTTCTGAAACACCTGTTGTAGGCGAGTCCTCACAAGTCATTCATGCAGTCCCAAGTCACGTCACAGATGGCCTTCATATCAAGGCTTTCGACGATCGTGTCCGATGATCAAAGGTCGGCCGCTAAAATAAACAGTAGCTGCCCGCTATGCACTCAGACATTCTGTACAAGGTTCGAACAGCGCCCTCATCACATGGCTAGGCTACAATATGCAAATCAGTTGGCGCTGAACAAATGCCTTGGAACAACCGTGCACCTTGGCTTATGTTTTTTTTAAATTTTATTGGTGGATTTTCAGCGACGACCTTATATGCAAATAAAGATGAGATTATTGGTTGTAGAGGCTATTACTTTACATGGAATGAGAGCTGGATAATGTGGCTACATTTTCCAACCAGACCAAATATAACTCGATATCAATCCAGCGACAAAATAACGAAAATTGCCCAAAACTAGCTTCCATTTTTTCCAGTCATAGCAAACTCAGGGAATTTGGGAAAAACACTGAACTTTCAGGGGAAAAGTCCGGGAATTTGATAGTGACCCAGAAGAGAAGGTTTTTGCCAGTTTGGCGTATTTGCATCTTGGGTCGTGTGTCCAAGCTGTGTCCATTGACTGACTGGCTATGGTGGTTTTTTTAGTGTTTATGCGTTGTGTAAATATCACACATCTCTGCAGACGATAACAATTGGCTGTGCCACACCACCTCTTGACTTCCCAGCAGCCTGTTAAAGTGAACACATTTCTCATTGAATTCAAGGAATTTGTTTTTCAGACAGTGCTGAGAACTCTGAACACTGTTTGTAAGGAATGTTTTCTTTTCATTGCAACAGACCCAGTTCCTGCCAAGTGTGAGTCGATCCATTCAGATACCTGTGCTGCACTCCTACCCTACGATCACACCTTCCAGACAACTCAAGGAGCCTTCGACCCCGTCATTGCTACCATGCTAGAGAATGTGACTTGCCCGTCTGTCAACCTGACTCTTTTCACCTGCATGCTGTTCTTTGAGGGTTGCACGGACGACGGACGGGTCAAGGTCCCATGCCGAGAATACTGTGACCAGATCGTCAACCAGTGCGCGGTGGAATACGACAATGCAACTGGTATCCCGCTCGAGTTAATTGCTAATTGCGCCTCCTTACCGGACGCCGGCAGACAAGATCAAATGATCTGCTACAAAGGTATGTGAGCTGCAACCATTCATACACAAGGATATTCCACTGATGTTCAAGTGTGTTCATGCTTGATATAGACCTGGTGCGCTGAGGCAGAGATAGAGGGCAATAGACCTTTCCACTAATAACTGATAACTATACGTGCATTTGCGCATGCGCGTAAATTGTCTTGAGGCAAGTAATGCCTATGACGATTTTACGGGCTTTCCTAAAGACAAAAGAGAAATTGAGAGAAAATGGCCTGACTGTTTGTCCCCCTGTACATATTCAATGGATCAGTCTTGCTTCTTAATTGCCTCAAGGCCCACTTATGCATCAATTATTCTCTATGATTTCATACCACCTGAGTAGCGTGAGCAGATCTAAGTATTGCATTAATTGGGACTTGATGCCAACATTTCAATTTAACAGTCTTTTTGGCATGCTATACAAAAAGCAGTCCTCCTTAATAAGATTTGTTAAACAGCATCTTTAAAGTTGTTTGATTCTGATTATTAGATGAAGACGCTCGCTGCGGTAACCAGACTGACATTATCTTGCCACAAGAGGGCAGCATAACTTTACAATCGCACAACTACCCCGACTACTACGGCATGTACCTAGACTGCACTGTACTCATCACGGCTCCACCAGGACATCGCGTTGTCGTCAAAGTGCGCGACATCAAGATAGAAGCGTGCTGTGATACGTTGGCGTTCGGCGTAGGTCGCGACTCGTATGACAAGAGAACAACATTGGCAAAGTTCCACAGTGAGGAAGACGTACGATTGGTTATTTCTCCTGAAACTTCAATGTGGATAAGATTCACATCACGAAACAAACTCTATGAGGAAGGAAAGGGATACTCCCTGGAAGTTTATGCTGTTTTAAGTGCTGGTAAGTCAAAAACTTACATCCCTTGTTAATTTCTTTGATGCGTTGGATTGAAATCAAATAGGAAAGTGATAAACAGAAAATATTGGGATTTGAAGTTTTGCTAAGCCATCAAACGAAATCCAGCTAATAATTAGGGATAAGCAGTGTAACTTGACATAATATGTTGGCTCATTGCCGGACATTGGTAAGCAAGTAACTGTTTGTGCTTAAGTACCAGGTCAAGGAAAATGGTTCAAATCATCCAGAAAATAATGCTGTAATTGTTTTGCAAATTATGGAGAAAGACATTGTGTTGGTATTAACTAATATAATAATAGGTGCCTTATGAAGTTTACATATCTACTTCATTGGTGTTCAGGCAGTATGCTATTATTACCCCTGCTCACTGGGCCAATGAAACATTCCAAAGACAATTTCAGTACATCAAAAATGTTTCTTTTTTCACGGATTTCTTTTCAGCTGTCCCACACCTATGCAATAATGAATCCTCCCAGTTTCCCTACTCTCCGCTTGATTGGTGGAATTGTGATGGAATAGTCGACTGTCCAGGAGGGGTGGATGAGGTGGAATGCCTTTATACTACAGTCGCACCGACAACAGAAGGTGGGTGATTTCTGTCAAGTCAACTCACCTCTCCCAAAAATGTAGAACTCTACTACCTGTCTCGCCTTAGCTGTTCTCAGAAACATAACCTTGTATACACCGTAAAGACCCTTTGCATCCACCTGTAATATTAGAAAACTGATTTTGTATCATTAATTAGAATCATGTTTGTGTAAGTCTGACTACATGTATTTTTTTTTACACTTGCTCCGCAGATACCACAACCTTGGTAAACGATTCGTTGGGTAAGAAAATTGCTCACATCATTAAAGGGAATATACAACATTTGCAAACATCGAAAAATAAAACTACCAAGTTTTTGCGAAATACCTTAATAGGATGTTGGTAAATGACAGTCTAAAGCATCCTGTAAAATTATGGCACCTGGTATACTGTCATTTTCAAGAAAAGTGGTATTTTTGTATCAATTTCCAACGCTGATCGGCCGATCAGCGTTGGAAACAACTGGCTTTTTTTTCAAATACTGGCCCCAATTGACCATTGCACTTGTTTGCAATCGATTACAAACCTATGAACGGGTACGAGCCAGCTAGACTGGTTCCCTGACCTTACAATTCCCCAATGTATGTAAACTGCTCTGTTTCTTCTTATATGGAGTCAGGGAACCAGACTACAGGAAAATGGTCGTTTTTCTTGGTTTTTATAGCATTTTCGAACCCAAAACCTCCAAAAAGTCAGTGTATTTTTTTACTTTATATTTCCAACCCCCCCAATTCCATCCATTTCTGAAAATTACAGCAAAAGCAAATGATGTATTTTCCCTTTAATTAAAAACAGTTATAGACTTGAGTCACAGAGAACTTTAGTATTTCGACACTAGATTTATTTGTTGTTTTTGAGGTGGCTGTGCGCATTTTGTACGCATTCATAATCTGAGGCGCAGGTGTAATTTGGAAATTCTATTGGTCAATGGAACACTGATTGCATGCATACCACCTGTGTTTTTACGAGAGATACCTGGTGGGGTACTGTACACAGGATCAATGGTACCTTAAATGTCGGTCTTTGTCTAACATTGCTGTACATGGGAAATTTGAAAGAAGAGGGATAAAGGGAGAACGATGCAAGTACCTCGTAAAGCACATCCGTAAGTCTCTACTGGTATTCCTTGTTAGAGACTAGTATAGATAAGCCCAAGCAGTGATCATTGTACACTAACGAGGCCCCCTTCAATGGAGGAACCATTGTGCATGCTATTGTACAAAGCAACTGCCCGTGACGGATTATCTAAACAATAACTATAGTACAATACTTTTGCCATTGAAGGGGGCCTTCGTGATAGATTTGACAGATTGGCCGGTCACATCATGACATGATTTTTTTGTGACAGTTGATGCTTTTAACCAAGTGGGTTGCGGTCTTCAGCCAGCGAGCTCGTCTTTCCGCATCGTTGGCGGTTCAGACGCCGTGCCAGGCCGGTGGCCATGGTTAGGATCGATGCGATATTACCGTGGCAATGGAACCAGCGTTCACGGATGTGCCGTCTCGCTAATTGCTCCACAGTGGGTCGTCACTGCAGCGCATTGTGTGCGTACTGCTCGGTAAGTCAATCTGTACTGACAATGGATATCCTTGATAAAGATGTATATTAAATCCTTTACATTTATCCCAAAAGTGACCTACCAAATTATTATCAACAAGCTTAGTGGATTTAAGATCGTACTGGTACTAAACACCCCGTGAAATTATTCCATCTGGCTTGCCGTCGTTAAGAAAATATCTAGAAATGTAGTTGATTTCCAACGATCAGCCAATTGACTGATATTTAGAATAAAGAGTGATCAAGCTAATCATCTTGTGATCACAAAGTTGTGTGTGAGTTTTCGAGGTTCTGAAAAGAACCAAGTGGAACTCTGAAAAGAACCAAGTGGAACTTGATGTTTCAGACAGTATACTCTGCCCATCATCTGTTCTTGTGCCATAAAGTGAAAGCGTCATGAATTTTTCACGAGGGCAGGCAAAACATTGAGTTTACTTTGGTTCTTTTCAGAACTTCACTAACTCACAAAAAGAGATTTGTAACATGGTGCATCTGTAATTCTTTTCGGATCAACATTGTCCGGGATTGATTACTTATTATTACCAATCACTATTTTTGTGTTGTAAAGTGAAACCATTGTGAATTTCTCATCATGTTAGAAAAGCCACCGATACATTTTACCCAACATTTTAGCAGTGCTATTGTGGAAACAACAGATACTTTTTTGTTTGAATTCAGTTATATGATGAATGCACCAATTCACGTCGTGTTCGGTGATCTCAAACGAAACCAGACATCATCGCATCACGTGAGAGTTGCAGTCGAGTACGTATACTTGCACCCCGGATTCAATTACATCACCACGGAGCATGACATCGCAGTGTTGAAATTAGCACATCCCATCACGTACACGGATTACGTCAGGCCTATATGTCTGAATACAGTCATAGACGAGTTTGACAACTCCAGTTTTTGTTATGTCGCTGGATGGGGTCTAACCGACAGGAATTCAGGTAATTACTCATTTATAGACGGAAATCACAGTTAAACAGGAGAATGCATTGATGGACCCATAGGGCAAACTCTCCTGAGTAACTTACTGAGTTACTAACTGATTAAGTCACTGACTGATTCACTGGCTGAGTCACCGACAGACTGATTCACTACGTTACAAACTGAGTTACTCACCGAGTCACTGACCTAGCCACTGACTGACTGACTCCCCGAGTCAGAGCCCGACTGGCATTTTTACAAATCTTGCATAATGTAAAATCGACATGACCACTCAACCATTAATTGTTTCTTCAATAATTTTTTTTATGTTTGGTAAACTTTACCTTGTATTGACTTAGGCCAAAAAAAAAAGTCTCCGGTTTCTGGAATGCGCGCGCGTTGCCGTATCCATGCGCGTCTTTATTTCAATGAAAGATGATGTCTCAAAACTGTCAAACTCACTGGTTTGACTGGAATCCTGCTGCTGCACAATTTTAACGTGATTTTAGATGGGGTTATGATCGAGAATAAGCTTTATGTGGCCTCTCTGGACTCCTCTATATTTGCACTAAGTCTAGTCGGGGACAATTTGCAGTCATCAGCCTACATTTTGAGGCAAAAAAATCAGGTAAAAAAAAAAAAAAAGCCGCGTCACCGCACTACTTTTTGGGCAAGCTCCATACCAGAAACCGGAGACTTACTTTTTTTTGCCTTATCTACCTTTTTCTTCACCTTTATTCTTTGTTTCCTATTAGTGTTCTTACCGAATCATCAACAGGAGTTACAGTTACGACTTCTGTCTCTACCAGACTGCGTCAAGTCCATCCAACATCTTGGAGTCCACGGAATCGTGACTGAAAATATGATCTGTGCTGAGGGCCTAGATGGACAGAGCCCTTGCAGTGTACAGTACACAGTTCTGCTATGTTGTATATTAGACACTAGTCCCGTTGTCCATTTCATTGTTTTTGCCAGACTATGACATAGGTCATGTAATTTAAATAAGGTCACCCAATTTAAATATTTACGGCGTACCAATAGGGTGCCGACGTTTAAGTGTACAGGAGAAGTAGGCTAATCAAACTCCATTAAAATCAAAAAGGAGGCATCCCAGCCAAGACTCATCTCAATCAAGGGGGTGTCACAAGCATGAGGCCATATTTCTTGCTCCCGTACATATGTGCGTTTGGCCGTTTCATGCTTCACGCACATGTGAAGCAGATTTGACATCATGAAACAGTCGCTGCAAAATTTGAGTTGGAATGTATTCAGGGCCCAATTCATAGCTCTGCTTATAAGATTACTGCTAATGAAAAATCCCTGCTTAAGTGCAGCAGAAAAGTCCGTGCTTATGGTAGACGTATTTCTTGGGTTAGCACCAAATTGTAAGTGGGGAATTCTTTGGTTAGCAGAGATTTTGGGCCCAGGTCTCCGGTCTAGCGTTATGCCAGCTATTGGATATATTTTGGTCTATCTCATGTGTTGGGTACGTGCGGTCTAGTGGTAGAGCACAGGATTCATGATCATGAGGTTGTGGGTTCGAGCCCCGCCATGGCCATGCCTGTTGTGCCCTTGAGTAAGGCGCTTTATCTCAATTACTCCTCTCAACCCAGGTGTTAAATGGGTACCGGCATTATTCAATGCTGGGAAGGTAACAGACTCGCTGTGGAGGAGGTGTGGCGATCCCCCCCCCCCCCCCCCCTACAGCAGCATATGAGTCTGGCCCAATCGCTTCGAAAGAGAGATGGGCACTCCGTTCCTGTGAACACAGGTTCGTCCCGTTTACCTTTTACTTTTTTGTCTGTGACAGGGGGATAGCGGTGGACCTCTGCTTTGCCGTAACCACCTTGGCGCCTGGCACCAGGTAGGAGTCGTCAGTGCTGTGTTTGGATGCAGCTCCAAGAATTATCCTGGGCTTTACTCTCGAATCGCTTCCTACATGGATTTCATCAACTCGACAATATCTGGAGGTCAGCTATCTTTAAGTCGTTAATTTACTATGGTTAATATTCAAGACAATTTCAGAAACTGGAAACAGGCACATCACTTTATTAGTCAAGGGTCGCCATGCTTTAAAAAAAAAATACATGCTTTCTTCCAAAAAAATTATAAATTGAAAGACTTTTAAAAAATATATGGCATTTGAACAAAACCTTTGAATTATTAAAATTAAATTAAAACAAACACCCTCTCGAAATTATCAGTGCTATCAAAAATAAGTTTATGTTTATAAAATTTCAAAAAGTACATTGCTTGGAAATCTTTGGTTAACAGTAATAAGATGGGTTTTTATAAAAAAAGTTCAAAATGTTGCTGATTAACTTGATCATGGTTGGTGGTAATGCTGATATTTTCTGCTAATAAGTAAAATATCTTGAACATAATTTTTTTTTAAACTTCATATTGATCCTAGATTCGCAACCCAGCTGTGAGACACTAGAAGCAAGCAACCAATGCACAGACCTGGTTCCTTACACAGACATATACGCCACCAATCAATCCTACTATGACAACTTGATCGACGGCTTTCAAGGCTACGAGACGTGTTACGACCAGGCAGATCTGTTTCTCTGTATGATGCTCACACCGGGTTGTGAACGAAGGGTAAGTTGGCACCTAAGATTGTTGGTAATAGGTCTCGTTCAAATGACGTCATTTCCTACAGACCATCCACGTGCATCAGCATTTTGAGCATCAACTTGCATAACACTTATCGGCTGCATCATATTTCGAACACATTTCAAGCAACAAGCGCGTGTTTGGAGCATTTTCAACACTGCGCAATGCGTGCTTGATTGTGTAAAATACGCAGTTGCAGTTCTCCTACAGAGATGGCCGTCATTGAGTGAGCCCTACCCAGAAACGTACCTACCGATTTAATGAAAACCGTGGTCAAAGTAAAGATAGGAATGGTACCAAATACCCAGTGACATGTACAATGAAGAGCAAAGCAGTTGAGAAACCAAGTCAGCAGTGTTCCATCCAAAGTCCATTATAAGTAAATCAATTAACAAGTCAACCACATATCCAATCACATCTAACAATGGATGGACCATAGACTACAATCCTGAGTGTCAGTTATCCTTAATTATCCCAGCCTGTGGTGTTAATTCCTTCTTTCCTTGAAAGTCTAGCCTCATATGTCTGAGGATAAACGCACTGCCAGAAACACCGGGGAGAACCCCTTCTCTTAGCGATAAGTGTTACTGGGTTCTTTTACATGCATTATTAAACACGCAGGACCTACGGCTTTACGTCCCATCCGAAGGACGAAGCGATAGTGGTTAAGTGTCTTGCTTAAGGACACAAGTGTCGAGACCGGGACTCGAACCCACACTCTGCTGAGCAGAAACACCAGAGCTTGAGTCCGGTGCTCTTAACCACTCGGCCATGACACTCCACAATTGTCACAGATAGAAGACTCGATTCAATTTTGAAGTCCATGTAAAAATGTGAATTTTTTGTCCGTGTGCTTACAGAATCAAATATCCTTTTTTGATGCACAGAATGTTCCCTGCAGAGACTTTTGCCAGGAGTTTTTTGATAATTGCTTCATGGCTAATGTGACTGGAGCCGGACTGTCGTTATTTTGGATCTTAGATTGCGAAATGTACCCCATGGGTCCTCCTGGAGAATTGTTCTGTACTGACGGTAAGATGTCAAGAAACTTTGCAAAGTGGACAAACCTGCTGACATAATTTAGGCTTTACACATTCCCATATTATAAACCGTTCCTCTGTGGCTGGCAAATTCATGCCATTCCAGGATTCAAAACCAATCAAGCGACTGTGTTCAACAGTTAAGAGCTCCCAGCCTACATAAAGCAGGATTGACTGGCTGTGACTGTTTATGTAACTTGATGCAGCTATGCTTTGATTGTAGCTGATTGATAAGCCAGCTGTGCCTACCACTTGCCTGCTTTTTGTCGGTTGACTGAATTTGACTAGTCACAGTGCTTGTGGAAATATGATCTGACTGTTGGTGACTAGCCTGTGTAAAAGGCATGGCAGGGGAAGAGGGTAGCATTGTTTGACTGTCTGTGACTGTTCAGACAGCAGGTGGGTTAATGCTGCTTGGACCAATGTTATGTTCGCAGCTTACAAAAGCGTGCATTCCTCAAGTTTAAGAATGTACATGAGCTGGGGGGGGGGGAACCTCAGTTATGTTTTGTAAAGGCCATCATCAATCTAGCAGCGATCACCTGTGCCAATTAATTAACATAGATTCAGATATTGTCAAAATAGGACCACGAAAGCACTATTTTTTTTATTGTAAGAGGGAAAGAATAGTTTTTGAGAGAGGAATTTTATTTACTTCCTTCACAGTAATATGACTACTTGCATATTGATTAATACAAATCTTTTGCTTGCATTTAACATGTCATTCAGGTGGATGATCTTCTTCATTATTTTGTGATTTTTGGGACAATTTTGTTCTCCTTTCAAGGCAAGGATGCTCGGTGTGAATTAAGCCACAACGGCAGCGAAATCCACGTTCCTGACGACGAACCGTTCATTTTGCACTCCCCGCATTACCCGCTGTACGACGCATCGCTCAGATGCACTTGGCTCGTTACCGCACCCAAAACCTCTCGCTCGCTCCTCATCAAATTCCTTGCGTTGGACTACGACATCGAAGACAAAAACGGTCTGGTTGTGGGGTACGGTCATGATAGCCAGAACCTAAGCACACAGCTTGGACAATATAACGGAATTAGCAACGCAAGTCCTGTGTTGATACCGTCCAGTCAAGCATGGATATGGTTTGGGACCATTAGTACTCCTTTAAGCCAAGGTAACATCACTAGCAACAACACAGATGGACTGACGGACAAACAGCCGGGAGGGTTTCAACTGGAGATTTATGCTACAAACATCACAGGTTGGACTCAGTATTCTTTACCCTTCTTTATAGATCGCTTAGAGGTTAGGAGTTCCGCTCAGAAATTTATGTTTAAAAAACATTAAAAAAAATTAGAAAAATTCAACCGTTGATGACCCATGCCCCATCCACCTAAAAATCTCGCCATCAAGTTCTAAACACAAGCAAATTTGATTCAAAAAGTCAGGGGAAAGTGGCCTGGAAATGCCTCAGATTGGACCACAGAGCATCTAGAATCCAAAATGGGCAGGCCCCAGACCCAACGCCAACAAGCATTTCACGCTCTGTGCTTGTATGTAAAGTTCCACTTTGGTATTTGAAGTAAACCTCCCAGTCTTGGATCAGGGAACAGGCCTGGTAACAGGCAGGGTGGTTTGGGGCGGTACAGGAAGTAACAGGCAGGGTGGTTTGGGGCAGTACAGAGAGTAGCAGGCAGGGTGGTTTGGGGCAGTACAGGGAGTAACGGGCAGGGTGGTTTGGGGCGGTATAGGGAGTAACAGGCAGGGTGGTTTAACTAATGTTAACTAATGTCAAGAAGTCAGGATGGATTATTCACTATGCCCGTACAATATTTTTGCTCAGCAAATACCGGTTACCAGTCAAAGTCATGCAGTATCTATTACAGAAGACTGGTACTCCGCTGATAATTGCTTAACACATCTCTTCCCTGTCTGTAGACATAAGCGCGCTGTGTACCGTTCCTCGCGGAGATCACACTATGGACCTGACGACGATGCCAGCATGGTGGTATTGCGATGGGTTTCCTGATTGCCCAGCAGGGGTTGATGAAAATGACTGTCCGTCACCATGGTACAACCGGGCCTGTAAGCCAGTAGAGTCACTGCCTAATTAATGCTGAAAGTCAGAACTTGATTTTTAATGATCAGATTTTAAACCAAAAATCCAGGTTTTAGTATAAGCAAAATTAACTACTAGCCTGGTGCAACTTGTGTGTTTATGAATCAAGTACGGTCATGCGTATTGCTCATTAGTTCTTAAACATTCTAGAGTAACCTTAAAAAACTGTTCTACCTGTCCACAGATCCAAGTTCTTTAATAAAATAATTATTTCTGCTTGTTTCTTATCAGTGTTTACATTAATGACCACTACAATCAAGAAAAAGTCTTAATGAAATACAAATTTAATTCAACTTTTTTCAGATTTTCTTAATTCTACAACTTGCGGTCGGAGGGGGAACACCCCCGTCTCCAGCCCTCGGATTGTGGGTGGTACACCAGCCTTAGCTGGTAATTGGCCCTGGATGGTGTCCCTCAGACAGAGCTCAAGCGGTGAACACTGGTGTGGAGCAACGCTCTTATCCGAGTACTGGGCCCTGACAGCGGCACACTGTTTGTAAGTTGCTGGTTTGTAGTCCTTCCATCAGACGACCCCACAAGCTCACGACAAGTCCAAGTCCTCCAGTCCCAAGTCAATTAGTCATAAGCTAATCAAATGAACCCTGAAAAAAGGCATTTCTTTGTCATTGTTCATCCCCTGTTAGTTGTGGTCGGACTTGTGATTGACTCAACTGCAACCCTACAAGTGTCAGCAAATCAGCAACATTGAACTTCTTCTCAAAGGACCAGTCTACATTGTCCTCTGACTGAGTCGTTGACCGACTGACTCCCCGACTGACCGACTAAATCCCCGACTGACTGATTGACTGCCTGAGACCGTATAATAATGTCCTGAACATCAACTTTTTGGTTCAGTACAACGAGGCATATCAAGTCTTGTTTAATTGTCTGTTTCGTCTTCTTTTTCCAGCGAATGGTTTGACTTTGCTGTTCTTGGTGATGTCCGCCTCGACACCAAGTCCTCATATCATGTCGATGTCAAAGTCCGAGACATGTACATCCACAAGAGTTGGGTCCAAAAGCCGAACCCGAATGGCAGTGATTTTTACCACGACCTGGCATTGATTAGGTTTGTCCGTCCTGTCCAACTCAACGATCATATCAACGTGGCTTGTTTACCTGATCCTGGAATGACGCCGATGGCAAATATGTCATGTGTTGCTACTGGATGGGGTTACAAAGAAGAAAATGGTAAGAATTACCTACATTAAAAGTTTGGGTTGGGTTGGGTTGGGTTGAGTTGAGTTGGGTTGGGTTGAGTTGGGTTGGGTTGAGTTGGGTTGAGTTGGGTTGGGTTGGGTTGGGTTGGGTTGAGTTGGGTTGAGTTGGGTTGGGTTGGGTTGGGTTGGGTTGGGTTGGGTTGGGTTGAGTTGGGTTGGGTTGAGTTGGGTTGGGTTGGGTTGGGTTGGGTTGGGTTGGGTTGAGTTGGGTTGGGTTGGGTTGGGTTGGGTTGAGTTGGGTTGGGTTGAGTTGGGTTGGGTTGAGTTGAGTTGGGTTGGGTTGGGTTGGGTTGAGTTGGGTTGAGTTGGGTTGAGTTGGGTTGGGTTGAGTTGGGTTGGGTTGAGTTGGGTTGGGTTGGGTTGAGTTGGGTTGGGTTGAGTTGGGTTGGGTTGGGTTGGGTTGGGTTGGGTTGAGTTGGGTTGGGTTGGGTTGGGTTGGGTTGGGTTGGGTTGGGTTGGGTTGAGTTGGGTTGGGTTGAGTCGAGTCGCATGCATTGGGTTGGGTTGGACTTGGTTGGATTAGGTTAGATGAGATTGGGTTGTGTTAGATAAAATTGGGTTGGGTTGAGCTTAGGTGGGCTGGGCGGGGCTAGGATGGGATGGGATGGGATGAGCTTAGTTGGGCTGGGTCAAGTTAGGCGGGGCTGGGCGGGGCTGGAATGGGATGGGATGGGATGGGATGAGCTTAGTTGGGCTGGGTCGAGTTAGGCGGGGCTGGGCGGGGATGGAATGGGATGGGATGGGTTCGGGTGAGCTTAGTTGGGCTGGGTTGAGTTAGGCGGGGCTGGGCGGGGATGGGATGGGATGGGATGGGATGGGATGGGTTCGGGTGAGCTTAGTTGAGCTGGGGTGGGTTAGTCTGGGCGGGGCTGGGCTGCCATTAGGTTTACATTATGTCAACTACTGATTTTTTTCTTTTGATGACAGGGAGTGATGTAGCCAACAATCTCCAAGAAGTGGAATTACCTATTCTTGATCATGCCATGTGTCGGCTAGGAGCACCTCAGCATCTGATATGTGCTGGTTATGATGAGGGAGGATCAGACACCTGTCAGGTAGGTGGCTATAATTGATTGATTAACTAATTACTAATTAAGTGGCTGGCTACCTGGCCTACTGGTTAACTGCTTCACTTTTCTTTCTGACTAACTTGACCTTAAATATACAAACCAAAAACATTTGAAGACCTGTTTCTTCCATCACAGATGGATCTTTCTGTTTGCAAAATTTGAGACGTTTCAGTCAATGGATTTATGATTTTTTTTTATTTTAATGATTGATTTGATATAATTGAATTGGATGAACTGTGGTGAAGTTTGATTGGGTTGGAATAGGCATCTGTTGGGGTTGGGTTGGGAAGGGTAAGGTTGTGATTTTTTGTGCTGGATTGAACAGGACGTGGATAGATTAGTTTAGAGTTGGGTGGATAGTGTTCTCGATTGTATGAGATTGGATGGGACTAGTGCAGATTTGCTTAGGCTAGTTTTGACTTGACTTGGTAGAGTTAATTCAGCTCAGCTAGTAGGACTTCTTTTATACAAGGACTCGATCACATGACGTTAAAGTACCACGTGACCATCTGGTTTCCATGTGATCGGCCGCCATTGCAGTAGGCAAGCGTTTGATCAGCAACCATGTCATGCGTTGTAAAGTAAACAATGACTGATGTTCAAGTAAAATAACTGCAAATTCTTTATCAAATGGCAGAATGATCACTACCTGTGTCGTGTACAGTTGACATAATTATGCGAACCCAGCACTGGGTGTTGGCTCAGCGTTTTTCTCACAGTGGTTTCTGACAGTGAAGGCTTACTTTCCTACTACCCTCTGGCGCGGCACGTTATATGATCTGTGCCTACTACAATGACAAGGCTGATTTTCCAGTACCCAGATTTTCCAGTGGCCTTGGTCACGTAGGTCAGTAAGAGAGATAGAAACAAGACAAGTCAAGTCCAGAATGTTTTTCCGATGCACCCCTGTAGGGTGATAGCGGAGGCCCGTTGCTCTACCAATCTGAAGATGGTCGGTGGTCGGTACTTGGAGTCACCAGCTTCGGGTTCGGTTGCGCAAGGCCGTTATCACCTGGTTACTATACTGATGTATCGGGTTACTTGGATTTCATCTTAGATGTCTTGAGTGGAGAGGACCATTCAATGGTGGTCAGGAAGTCAGTTTATGCTGTTTAGTAAACATGGTGATTTTTGTATTTTTTGTTTCAATTTGAAAAGTTTGACTCTTTTCAATTTTATTCCTTTCATTCAACAAGGAACACTTGCACACTAACTTTTTGATCAAAAACTTGTTATTGACTGTTTTGCTGGCCATCACTTTCGCATATCTTCTGTCTTATGTGAATGAGACCATTTGTGATATATCACCAGGAACTGCATGACTCATTCTTGACTGCCAATTTTTATAATCAGAGGGCGCCCTATAAACCAATCCGGGCACGCTATCACGGTGGCCCCCATCAATGGTGAAAGCATTGTGCTAGCTATTGTTCAAATAAGCTGTCATGGAGCAGTAGCTTCGCACCGTAGCTTGCACAATGGTTTGTCCATTGAAGGGGGCTCGTGAGTGTACAGTGCCCACGTGCTCGGGTTCGTTTATAGTGGAATCCGCCGACCAGAATTAGAAGCTGGGTGGTGTCACGCTCACACACATGCTGCACGCATTCTTAAAGACGAGGCCAAGGAGTGCATGTGTACTACCTGAGCACGACTCGCGTGAGCTTTGTGACTTGTCTGTATACACGTATAAGACCCAAAAAAAGTCTCCGGTTTCTGGTATGCGCGCGCGTCGCCGTAGCCATGCGCTTCGGCAAAATGAAAAAAAAAAATTTCAATGTAAGATGATGTCTCAAAACCGCCAAACTCACTGGTTTGACTGGAATCCTGCTGCTGCACAATTTTAACGTGTTTTTAGATGGGGTTATGATCGAGAATAAGCTTTATGTGGCCTGTCTGGACTCCTTTATATTTTGCTCTAAATTTAGTCTGGCACCATTTGCAGTCATCAGCCGACATTTGAAGAAAAAAAAAGTAAAAAAAAAAAAAAAAGCCGCGTCGCCCCACCACTTTTGGGACAAGCTCCATACCAGAAACCGGAGACTTTTTTTTGGCCTCATGAAATGTCTTTGTGTATGATTTATAACCTATATGCAGCTACCTGTCCTGCAGCCTCTTGTTGCAGATAGATGTAAATATACATTATTGTCTTTGTAAATTTGACAATTGTTTTCTACACTAACATGTACGCATTTTGTTTGATTATTTTGGTTCACAAAAGTTAGTTAATATTCTTTTTAGAATTGACAAAACAAATTACCTTGTTGTTTTTGTTGGTTTTGCTTTTTAGTTACATTATCATTCAGCTATGTTTTGCAGTTTTTCTTTCCATGTCATTTATTTTTAAAATTTTATTTGATAGATTTCAGTTAGCCTATAATTTTCATTTTAATAATTTCCTCACCTCAATTTGATGATGCTTAAAAGTTTGTGTATGTTTATGTTACTTTTGCACAATGAGGACAACCAATTCTTCATATTTTACAAAGAGTGTGTAAATAATGTACTAACCATGCTGTTTGGAATTTCACTCCAAAACTTTTATTTTAATTGCTACCAATATAAAGATGATTCCTTTATGAATGAGACACCAAACGGAAAAATCCACCGTTTAGTTATTGAATTATTTCTGTATAAAATTCGACTTATTTGTGGCCCCACAATAACTCGGCTCGCACAGGGCGGGTTCGTTTTTGCCCTAGTCAGAGGGTTGCAGACGCCCAAAATCGGGAAAAGAAATTGTTTCGTTAAACAAAATATACAAATTGATACTTCGGTACTGAGGAGAACATATTGTTTTCTTTAAGCACAGGGGCTACCTATCTTAAAGTATCGAACTGTACATACATATCCTTTTTAGTTCGCTGCATGCACTGAAATAAATAGATACTGTGAAAATACTCCGCGAGTGGGGGATTCAAATCTGTCAAATTTGTTGTTGTCGCGAGGATTTCCATTCAATCGAATATTATAGCATGTTCTTCATATTTTTGGTTTCGATCTTTCTGTTGCGAGTTTGTCCGGATCGTAGTTTGCATCAACGGATTTACGTGATAGGGGGTTTAACTACCACCCACCCCCAATTTGGGCTGCAAAAACTGGGGAAAATCCTGCAGGAAAACCTAGCAAATGTCTACTATACCCCGTCTTGGTAGCTACGCCCCCCCTTTGACTTATACCAAGATCCGCCCCTGGTTTGGGCAAACCAGGCCTAGTGCAGTCACGATCATCATCATGGAATATGACGCCGCGTTGCTCTTGATCCCCGGCCATAAACTAGATCGGTGATTTGCGGTCTCGCGTCGCCCGTCTAAGGTAATCAACCACCGTCATTATCGATCATTATGGCCCAGAAGATGGAGCAAATTACCCGGAATTTATCACGGCAGCTCCGCCGCGACAAGCACCGCGTTGCTGACTTCCCGTTAGTCCCAAATCCTCCAAATCTCTGTCTCGGGTTGTTGGATTGATGGTTTCAAATGCTTTTCGAATATCAAACAGAATTTGGGTATTGACTGTCCTGAATTCCTGTCTTTGTCACTCTGTCTTCGTGGCTTCCAAATTCCGTCTGATTTGGAGGCTTTAATTTATGGTTTAAACGAGCTTCAATGACCAAGCTGAGGTCTGGAGTCGAATATCGTATATGCTTGAACATTGTATAAATAAAATGGACTCGACAATCATGAATGACGATAAAACTGGAACTCATTTTTTTTGGAATCTGTTTCTTTTTAAGTTTCATTTCTTAAAATCTTTAGTTTCAGATAGCCTTTTCTTGTTCGAACTTGGAAAAACACGTCACATTTTAAAAAATTCTTAATTTTAGAACCAGTGAATTCTTTTTTTGATTTGGTGAAAACGAAAGGGATTTTGGTTGTTATTTCTGTTGTTCACATCGCATATCCCATGTTTTCCAGCTTTTTTGAGTCCCAAATCCAAGAGATCTATAACTCGTTACCAGTGTCACCCCAAACTCTCATGCTTGTACAGGCGCGCGAAGCCACTAGCAAACAATCTCAGAACATGTGACCGATGTCTCAAAATAGCCTCGTGTCAAATCTGAAGGAAGGGTGACAGACAAGTAAGAAAACAGAAGTGCCTAGAAGTGTTCATGTTTGTTCGACATGTTACAGAAAACAGCTAAGCATAAACAAAACGGTGCGGATGTTTGAAACTTTTTTCTGGAAAAAGGGTTTAGCACAATGCGTACGGCATTTCAAAGAAATTGGTCATGGAAGCTAACTGACAGGTTGAATGTGTCTGGTCGCGAAAATGTATTGTCTCTAACGCCACATTCTACAAAGAAAAAACCGTCTAATAAAATTTACAAAAAGTTTGGTACATATGGCACAAAAGAAGCAAAAGAAATAGAAATCAACACATGAATAATAGGAGGTCACCGGAAAGGTCAAGAAATTGCAATGAAATCGGCTTCTAACGAATATAATCACATTAGGCCTTGATGTTCATCTAGGCCTACTCGTGGGTGCATATCAATCGGCCTCGTGAAACACGATACCGCGGCGAATCGCTAAGGACCAGACAACACGAGTCGCTCTGACGCGCTGATCGAAGTCCGACCGTTCCATGAAGGGAACAGGGAAAGTCACCGGTATACGGTGAGGATGCTAAACGGCGCTCACTTGTCAGCGCGTTCTTGCTCCGCACGGTCGTGATGTTGCGTGGAGTTGCCTTCCTGGCGAGTTTACCGCGCGCTCCGAGGCACCTGTGAGTGAGCCCCACCTGTCACGCTGTTTTGATTGGAACAGAATGGAAACCACCACAGATTGCTCGGACTTGCACGGGTCTGATGAAGATGACTCGGTGCCCAGGCTTGGTGGTAGCGGTACCAAGGACTCCGCTTCGGAATTAGCGAGAAAGTTGCTGGAAGAACGGGCCGCGCACTGCTGCAGTTGTGATTTAGTCGCAAAGAAACCATACCCTGGAGGGAGGGGTGGGCGTGACAAGGCGGACACTCGTGGGCGGACGGATCAAGAGGAGTTACTGATGCCAGGCGTGATGGGAGACAGGGCACCGACCACCCGTGGGCGGATGGGTTCTGGACAGGAGCTAGAGGAGGATTCCTCCACGGAGTCTAGAGACACAGTGAGTGAGGTGAGTGGGCAGAGGAAGAAAGATCCAATATTTTCCCTAAATTCGATGATTACCGACGGATTAGTAATCAATAGTTTAATTCCTGTGTGAGGAATTAGGTTAAACCTGTTTGTGTGCTTCACTCTTCATATTAAACCAATCTTTTCTTTTTAGTTTCTATTTAATTCCTCGGATACTCCCACGTGTTTAAACCGAATTCAAAGAAACAAATTTCACTGAATAGGTCCTTAAGTCAAAGTATGTCACTTCATGAACTGACGTTGATAGTGTAAACATTTCATAAAAACGGAATTTGTAGTTTTATCAGAGTTTTATTTTGGCGACCCTTTCGCACAGTTTATAGCTTGAGCACCTGGCTAACATCAATGGCCAATAAACAATCTGTGGCGTTTATTGGCAACTTTCCTAGCAATAAAAAGTTCGGATTTACCTTTTCCTTCTCGAGAAAAGCTCTGGCAATAACTCACAATCTTGCTTTGCAGAAGGTCCACCTTTTTCAATAGGTTAGTCGGAGATATATTAATAGCTTAGGGTAAAACAGAAATAGGACGAGGATGGAATTGTTTTGCTAGCAGTTTGCATTTAGCGTCGTTTGATAAACATTGATGTCAAAAAGTTGTGCACTTAACAAAAACTGTTACTTGTGTTTCTCAAATGCGTTTTTAAAGAACATCTTACACATTTCTTTTTACCTTTTTGGTCGGTAACAAAGACGAGCGTGGGTCAGTTGTCTTTTGATATATACAATACCTACAGGTCCTCGGCAAAAGTTGCAGTTGTATACATAACATTTCAGATTATAGAAATACATTTCTGTTTAACTATGGGATGGTAAAAGTAGGTCTAGCTTTTGAGAATTTGTTGAACTATCAATTGTCATATTTTGTAAACCAACACGACAAAAAGATCTACCGTTTAACATTTTAAGAGCTACATTGATACCAACCTTTTCAATATATTGCAGGTTTTTTTCTCTCATTTGTTGAACACGGGCCTCGTGTTACGTAACCCTAACCCCGACAGGCTTCCAGATCAGTTTAAGAATTAATCAGTCGAGCCAACACGAGATCAATACAAAGACTTATTCCACGCGTGACTTTCCACGCAAACCTACAAGGTCCGCTTCTACCCCGCGGCACGGGTGTCGCATATCAGCTCGCAATGGGGGAAAAGATCGACAAAAACGGCCCAGAATCGCGTCGTTTTGTACGTCGACTGTCCACACTCGCGTTTCAAACCCTTCACGTCATGTGTAAGGGGACATCAAGGCATGTTATGGCATAGTCCTGGTTAAGGTAATCGCCTCAGGTCATTAACTAAACCCTGATCCGTTCCAATATTCAGGTCTTGGTCAGTAAACTCGGCCTGATCGATTAATCCCAGGGCAGCATTTCCCCAGAATTGTTCATATTAGCATTTTTGAGATCCTTTCTGTGTTCTTGATAATTATGACTGATAATTATGAGGAAAAAAGTCGGACAGCACTTCCGATACTCACGCCGATTGTTACAACGTTTCAGGTGAAATCGTGAAGCATGGCATAGGGTACCCCCATATTAAACCATGGAGCTCCATGATTAAACCAAATGGATTTGTAATTCAGGTTTTATAATCCAATGATTTTATAACTAACCTCATTTAGAAGTCTCATATTTGAATTTTCCACAACCGATTTCGAGTATTTTCCCAGGAACTTAAAATTCTCTTGAACGAAAGTATAAGACTGATGCGAGACACGAGTTCCTATCCCCATTAAAAAAACGACAAGTTTAATTGCATAATGTCCCATACCAAAAAGTGGAAAGTAACGCCAATTATTGTGAAACCATTCGTACTTATTTGGTAGACTTGTAGCACCAACTACCGGCGAAAATAAAACATCTCTTAACACAGCCCAGTCGAAGATAAATCACAATAAGTTTCTGGAAGACTCGTTGAAAACCAAATTCATCTTACATTGAACCACTGAGACTTAACGATCAAACAGACCGCTCCCTACACGCGGCCACAAGGGAACCATTCACAACCAGTTACCCACTTTCCGTCTTTCAATCATTTCGCTTTCAATTATTTTAACGGTGAGCCTTTGCACACAGCTTCAGCAGGTGGAATCATATCAATTAGGGAGACTGGACGGACAGGTGTTTGCAGTGTGTGACCGTGATGTACACAGCTGGGCTGCTGTGCGTGCGGTGCGTGTACATACATGACAATTAAGAAAAACATTATTAGAAAGGCATATCTGTATTTGTCAGTTTGGAAATCATTGTGCTTGTTGAAGGTGAAAATACATACATTTTGGATAATGAGGAAGAAGATTGTGGTGAGGTAGTGGTGAAAGAGGTCAAAGTGGTAACTACCGGTTGTGGGTACGGTGCGGGTTGTGGTGGTGATAACTGTTGTATACTTATGAACCGGGCAGTGCTGTTGCATAGGATTACCCGGCCCATTGTTGACAATTCCACTACTTATTCATTTACTTATTCGTGTATGCTCTGCTTATATTTTTCATTTGGTATGGATGTGAGTTTCAATTTAATTGAATTCAATTGTGTAGATCAGATTTTTGAACAGACTTCCAGTGAATAGTCATTCTGAATCAATTGAAGAGAACTGTGTACACTCGGGGTCCAGCTTTACAAGGTTTGCTTAGTCTTGTTTCTGTTGGAAAAGTGTCTCGGTTTGGAAACATTTTTTGAAATCATTTTGATAAATAATTGATCTTTGTCGTCTGATTCCATCGTTTTCGTTCATTTTAGACGCACCCGTACCACGTACACATCGTCGAGCGATGCCCAAACGGTGACCCCGTGGTGACCTTTGTGCCGGAACCGGAAGCCAACGGCAAAGGTCACTTCATCCGGCTTCCGGTCGTGGTCTCCAAGTATTGGGGACCGGACAGTTACCGGGCGAAGAAGCCTGGAAGATGCGTTGCTAAGGCAATCGTCTCCTTGGGAACGCTCCTGCTTGTAGCAGTCATCTGTTTCTTAGCGGGTTATTTCGCAGGTTGGTTTCTTGGAACTGCTTTTCTTCTCATTTTAACCAGTTTTCTGATACCTTGCTCTTAAAGAGATTATAAATTACTTAGGAAGTGGTTTGTTTAATTTTTGCATGTTAGTAAATACAATGTATTGGTAAAGTTGTCAGGTATAATTATTAACACACAATTTTAAGTCAGTCAAATTTCCTGTTGTGCTCTTATATCCAATTTTTTCATACTCTCATTTCGTGACCCAAAACCAAAACCAAAATCGAGAAATTGCCAACAAATCAAATGGAAATGGAAAGAAAATCATGAGATATTCCAATAATCTACAGGAAGACTAAACTCGATAAAAGTTGTGCAACAACTGACAGTTGGAGTTCAAATCAGAATACCCAATAGTCCAAGGATTGGTTATCGCTAGCCGGTCAAATGGCAGCTAACCTCCCCGAGGACACGCTGTCTTGCTCGGTACTTACCTGTCAGCCTAACACGGTGAGCTGTCAACGTTGCGTGTCCGTCGCAGGGCCAGGGTCGAACAAGTGGCGCATAATATTCATGACATACAAGTCGCTTTTCCTTTCCTACAGTTGGACGTTCTACGATTTTCTTCAAAGTCTTTTTTTCAGTAGTTATATATGGTTTGATCTGTATATTTATCATTATCTGCAGTTTATTATTTAGTCGACATAATTATTTCATGCCAAGTTCTATTTCAAACCACCTGCTCAAGTTTCATTTAAGATTTTCAACAAAAAAAATTCCTTTTTCTTCAACAGTCGATTTTCCAAGCGAAGAATCGTCGACTGCGTACAGCAAAGGTAATGTGATTTTTATTGATATACTTCTAGAAATATTTCCATCTTCCCTTGGTGTTTCGTGGTTGTGTTGTTCAAATTTACCATTGACAGTATATGGGTTCACCATTATTATACTTTCATATTCTTGAGTTTTGATTATTACCAAACAACGCTGTAAACGAAATATAAAATAGCTGTCCAAAACATTTACGAACAGAATGATAAATAATGCAACCCCAATTTTACTGAAAGGATTTTGTACTTGATAAAATTAATGTATCTTAGGCCTATAAGATGAAATTTTAAAATGAGAAAATTAAAAATGACTGTCAGTTCCAACCCCGTTAAACATGACCGTCAAGGAATTAATCAAGATTCACCCTGCAAACCTTGGACTCCGGGGCTGCGATCTTGAGCGGATCTTATCGCCTCAATCAGGCCGTGTGCTCTCCACTGATTTGTCGGAGATTACCCGCTCCTACAGCCTTCCCTGTCATCTCGATGTGTCGTGATTACTTCACTGTCAAAGCTGCACTTCAAGGGGCGTAGCAAACGTGGGAACTGGGGGTGTGTGACGACCCCGATAATTTATTTCAGTCGGCATTCAGAGCCCCAGTCGGCAAATGAACGACCACGGGCGTCGCTAGAGGAAGGGTGATATTGTTATCTTTTACGACTGAGGACTTGGGACAGTGGGGGATTTGCGATAACAATAACCCGAGGACCCGAGCCAAGTCCTCGGGAGGTTTTCGTGTATAAACCTTATAGGAGATGTTGAGAAAAAGTTAAGACAATAGGAACAAAACAAGGGAACAATAGAAGGTCCTCATAAGTATAGCATAACACGCAAATCGGAGACAGGAACCAAATTGAGGACGACTTCGATAAGAAAACGTGTACGAAAACCAATGAGAGCTGTTGCAAAAAGTTAAAGTATTAACAAAGGAAAAGAGAAGAGGAATAATGGAAAACCCTCGATTTACACCATAAACAAACCTGGGTGGGTGTGTGTTGGGGGGGGGGGGGCATTTCACACCCTAATTAATCGACTGTGCTGAAAACGATTGATACCAAAATGTTCCAAAGCCACATCTGTCTAATGTTCTTCTTGAGAACAATTTAGCCAATAATGAAATAAATTTTATAATTTAGTGTGTTTTGTCCACAAAATAAACTTTAGGAATTTCACATTGGCCTACATGTACTTTCCTTGAAAGTGTGCTACAGGAATTGTGGTCACTTCATTCGAAATGATGTTTATTATACCAATTTTGTCTTGTTTGGGTCATAGTACCGTGCTCTTGATTGTTTGTACCGATGACGTATTTCTATTTGAATATTCAGGAGGATTTTGTTCTCAAAAGCCACTCCACAGACTGAATAGGTTTTAGTTTGATTTTGCTGTATAAACTGACCTATGGCGCACCCTGATGTTCGCCTATAAATCACCAACTACGGGTTAAACACGAGGAAAATGATGTTATAAATCTATCACAGAACAGACTCAATTGGCGTGCACTCGGAGCAAAACTTATGAGGCAAGGAGTTCGTTTCGGCAATTACATGGTAATGAATGCTTATTATCGATCTCGCTTGAGCGTGGAACAGATTTTAAGGGATGGGTTTATAGGTTCACATGGCCGGCACCTGTGTGGGGATAAGGTCCCAGGGTTATCGAGGGAAGTGGAATAAGTCATGATGCGAAGATGTACTTACAACTTCACAGGGACAGATTATAAGATGGAAGAGGGTTTAAATCTACCACATCAATCTACTCCACAAAAAAATGCACCATCTCACAAAATAATTGTAGACCACATGCATGAAAAGACTTCCAGTGAACATTTCGCTAATGTCATGAAATACTACACCCCAAAGAGCGCCACACTTAATTATTATGACATTGTCAAACACTAAAATTCAAATCTTCCCAAAAACTGATTATTTTAAAAGTCATTCCCTCCTTTAGGGTAAGAGATCAGTATTGAATGCACCTGTTTCCTGTTAATTGCTTGTACTTTAGATCAACTGCGCAAACCAGGGGCGGATCTAGCTTTGGCTCAAGGAGGGGGGGGGGGTTGCAGGCACGTGCTACGTTTTTCTGTATGATTTTCCTTTTTTGGCGGCCCATGGCGAGTCGGTGGTTGGACCACCTAACCCCTACAGATCCGAACCTGCAAACACTGTCTTGGTATCAGGGAAATGGAGAAATGCCCAGTCTCACGATTGTTAAAAAAATACTTTTTTTGAAACATCAATAGCTCCTGGGCACTGTGCTGGGTGCCCGTCATGTTGTTTCCGGTTTTACCGCGACTGATGAGCGTACCACACGCAGGTTATGTTTTGGTAACACCAGTCCACATATGGCGAAGCCGAGGTGAAAGTTTGCTCTCGAGTTCAACATTCTGATAGAAGCGTCCTTCTCTGTACTCTATTCTTCGAGTACTGAAGATTATAAAGATGCTATCTCGTGAATATCTAAGATGTTTGTGGCCTTGAAATTACCTTCAAGCAGGTGACACGAAGCCCCACGCCCGACCGTGACTCTCCGTGACCCTGCCAAGGGGGTTTCTCGGTGCTCATTAAAACCCTCGATAGAAATTTAACTTCACGCTGCTTATATTGTGATTTTATTTATTTATTTATTACCGTCTGCATCTTCAAAATTGAATTTCGGTCAAGAGAAATGTACAACCAAATATTAAACCAAATGAAGCCCTGTTTAATAGGATTTAAATAACAAATAAAAATTGAATTTCGGTCAAGAGAAATGTACAACCAAATATTAAACCAAATGAAGCCCTGTTTAATAGGATTTAAATAACAAATAAAAATTGAATTTCGGTCAAGAGAAATGTACAACCAAATATTAAACCAAATGAAGCCCTGTTTAATAGGATTTAAATAACAAATAAATCAAAAATCTCTTATATATCTAAGATAAACTTGAAATTATTGATCATAGAATTAAAAGAAAAGTGGGACACACAATATAACTTACTAACAATTCAATCGACATTTAGATATGAGCATGAAGATGTGTCTTTTTTGTAAGATATTTATTTCTCGTTGCTATCTCAATTTATCATTCATTCACAAGGCCCAGTCAGGGTAGAAATGGAGTCCTCGTTACGTCAGCATTACGTCACTTCCTACAACGATCGGAACTCCCAGCGGTACCAAGATTTTTCCAGAAATTTTACGAAAGCGGTGAGTTTTGAATCTGTCGTGGTATATTATTTTATCTCAGCTGAGCAATTGCTCAGGCGCTATTTTCGTCGGTCGTCAGTTCAAATACCTTTCTTGCCGGTACTAATTTTAGTCGATAAACTCTACCATTACTGAAATTTGTTCTCACCAAGTCTGGTTCCCTTTACAGGTAGACGATGTATTCGGGAAGAGCCCATTACAAGATGAGTACTCTCACTGCACGGTTGACAGACTAAGGTAAGACATTATGGGTGTTCCCAGGGGCGGATCCAGAATCAAAAAAAGGGGGGGGGGGCCGAAAACTCACTTTTTCAGTACGAGTATTCACCACTGCTTTTAAAATATACAGTGTAGATTACAGACATGCACAATTATTTTTTTTTGAAATTACATGTACATGTATATCCTTAACTTAAAATTACTTCCCTAAACCCAGATATGAAAATAAAGTTTATACCCGGTTCACCATGTCACATCTGTCAAGATCTCTCACATGATTCCAATAACAGGAAACCCTTTGTGTCAGCACACACGTCTGATGGATGGCCATTATTAATTTACAATTTTGGGTCAAAGACCAGGTCTCTATCCCCTCGGGACTCCACAAACTCCGGATTTGGCAAAATTACCAAAGTTCTCTCAACACTCAAGAGATTCAATGTTTGACATTGTCAGCGGAAATTGATGGCTTTATTAATTTACAATACGGGTCAAAGGAAAGTTCTACCAAGTTCTCTCTGTGGGCTTGCCCATTCCGGAATCGGAAAAGTTTGCCAACATCTTGCAATCCACAGGAGATTCAATTGTAGTCCCAAGTCTCAACATGAATTTATTTATGTTCTCGGTGTCAGGTTTTGGGCCAGCGTTTTAGAGTGCACTGCCCGGTGCGCATCATGCGTGGGCGCGCCGGGTCCCCAGGCCGCGCGGCGTGGTACTCGCTCCGTCGTTTACGGAAAAGGTTACAATTCCCGCAGAGAAGTTTTGATTATTTCTGTCTCTTAATAATGACTCAAGTCTCTGCCTGGGAGCTCCTTGATCCCTCCATGTGTCTGCCTGCCTCCAAGGTGTTTTGTTGATGTCTGTAGAGAATGGTTGCGAGAGGAAAAAGAAAAGGAACACCACGAAAAAAAGAAAGAACATGAAACTGGAGTCAATATCTAACATTACCCGATACCCCATCGTTCAAGGGCATCCAGTTGACAGATCATGTGCTCCACATCTGTTTGCTTGCCTATGTTGGAATTTCTTATTTTTATTCTGTTTAAATTTTAAAGAGGTTCTGATGTACTAGTACCTGAATCAGGTTTTTAATCGCTAGAATTATTTTGTCATGCACGGGATAGTGTTGGTAAATTATAAGATTTCTGGTGGGAGTGGGGTTAAGGAATCAAGATGATGTTATTCAACTTTTGTTATGATCTTAGGGCTCCTACTACCAAACAAATATGTAATACATTGCTTTTTGGCAAAAAAGTATAAAACTATTTTTGTTTGTGGTCCTTACCGATGTAAACAATATTTTCATTGATAAATGTCACAATTGATAACTCCTTCTCATTATATATTCCTTTACGGCGCCCAAGGTATCAACTTTGATTTCCTATTCCTCATTTATCTGCCATCGATGTTACCAAACAAATATATCCCCCGTAGTAATGTCCCAGTTTGATATCTATGTGATCCCCCCCCCTCTCGCTGCTACCAACCACGTAGGCGTGGCAGTGTCATCGTTGAATTTACCGTCCAGCTGAACGGTCCCCCGACGTCTGACCACGCTGAGAAAAGCCCATCTGGGGACGTGGAGTTGGCAACCAGACGAGCTATAGTGGGGATCCTCAGAGATGCGGTGACGTCGGGTCAATTGGCGTCGCTAAATGTTGACAGCGACTCCATAAAGGTTATCAGAGGTAAAGTTGTTTTGTTAGTTCTATATCTGCCGACAGTGATGAAGAAATAAAATTGAATTGTCCGGAAAAAAACAAAGGTTGTACAAACTTTCATCACAGTAGAGAGAAAATATGCATATAGCTTTTTCTGAGAGATGTTAAATATGCAAATTACTTTAAAATCTCACCTTTTACTATTTCCAATGAAACCGTGATGTTGAACATATAGGCCTATGACAAACAAGAACAAATTTTTGAGAAATTTGGCATTTACTTTATATTGGTGTGCATTTAAACTACTTCCTAAGAAACTCTGCAAGTATTTTTTTCTTTCCAATACAGTAGTCTTTGGTCAATCTCCGGCATCCACTTCAGTGCCTAGAACGTTATGGCCGGAATGGGCCTCCGAACTTAAAACAGAACCAGGTATTAAACTATACATTGCTGAGAATTTAAGACCAACACTACCTTGTTTGTTTTTACATTTAAAATATCACAACACGCGCGCGTACGTCGCACCTGTTCGTCAAAGTTAGAAACACGCTATTGGGCGGAAGGATTAAGCTTGCGCGTTTCAACGCGCACGCGAGAATTTTGGCATTTACAGTCGAGTCTCGTTATAACAAACTCGATCGGACCTAGCCAAATTGTTTGTTATATCAGAATTTTGTATTAAGAGGAACATCAGTCCCATTCATTGTGCACATAAATGCACAATCGGGACCAAGGCTTTATGTTTGTTATAACCAGAATTTTGTATTAACAGAGTTTGTACTAACGAGAGTCGACTGTACTTTTTTTTCTTTCCAATACAGTAGTCTTTGGTCAATCTCCGGCATCCACTTCAATGCCTAGAACGTTATGGCCGGAATGGGCCTCCGTACTTAAAACAGAACCAGGTATTAAACTATACATTGCTGAGAATCTAAGACCAACACTACCTTGTTTGTTTTTACATTTAAAATATCACAACACGCGCGCGTAAGTCGCACCTGTTCGTCAAAGCGCGTCACAGTTAGAAACACGCTATTGGTCGAAAGGATTGAGCTTGCGCGTTCTAACGCGGGACGCGCACGCGAGCGTGGTGCATACACCTCATCAGATAGGCTTGTATAGTTGGAACAGCTCGCGCGTACGTGGCACCTGTTCTTAAAAGTTCTTAAAATGTTATTGGCTGATGGAGCGTTGAGCACGCGCTTGGTGTAACACTTCACGCGTGATAGTCTTTTTGCTTGATGTGTTCTACAAGGTCTGGTCAACCAGCGTGGCTGTGGTACACGGGCAGTGGACAAACCCTCCCTTACTCGTATCCTAGGAGGGACAGATGCCTTGCCTGGTCGCTGGCCATGGCTAGGCTCCATTAAGTATCAACTTGGGGACGAGTTGGCTCATCGATGTGCTGCGTCCCTACTGAATCCTGAATGGGCCATCACGGCAGCTCATTGCGTTGATGGGTTGGTATTCGTTTTATTTTGGTTTAGTCTGTTTCCGTATTGATCACTTCTTGCCTTTGACAACGATTTTGTTTGGAGCGGAACGTCAGCCAGCATACTTCGAGAATGTTTTAGCACTACCAGTTTCGAAAAGGCGATAATACGATAGAAAAAAACCACGACATTACTATTTACAAACTATATCATATATAACAGTAAAATTAAGAAGTCGTTTAATTTTCAGTGAAATAAATAATTATGAAACCATCCATGAAAAGATTAAAAACAAACAGACGCCAAAAGTAGAATGTTGCATTGGAATCTTAAAATGCTAAATCATTGTTTCGTGCGCAGAGTTCATCCGTTGGTACATGAACTGAAAAATAAAGGACGTCACCCGAACAGATTTCAACCAATGTAATTGAAAATCTATACGACAGAAATACACGGAATTGTGATGAATGTTTGATGTGATCTTTATAGTGGTGTTGGTGATATATTAGACCACATCATCTTCGGTGACAACGACTTGGACGGTACTTCCTCATCCCGTCAGAAAGTCGACGTGGAACGGATGATCGTACATCCAGGATTCAGCATCAGTCGACATGACAACGATATAGCTTTACTCAAACTCAGACAGCGAGTACGGTTTGACGAGAACGTCTCGCCAGTGTGCGTGGAGACGGAACCATACGAAGTCGAGCGATATCGGGAGTGTTACATCGCCGGATGGGGACACACCCAAGAATCCGGTGAGTTGGTTTTTGTCTTGCCTGAACTTTGTTCAGTATAGAGACTATTCAATCTCTATGTCTGTACCTATGTTTGTGTGTGGTATTTTGGTAACAGTTTCGTAAACTTGGTCTCATAGGTCATAGGTGCAACATGGCAACCTTCATATGATCATGATGTCAAAGGTCGCATACCAAGGTCAAAGGTTATCTGAGGTCAAGTTGTATAATAGGCCGAACATGTAAAATTGGTCTCATTTCAAAGATGCAACAAAACAAGTTCTGCAAAGTACGTGACTGGTCCAATATTTTTATATCCCCTCCCCTACAACCAGGCAATATTTCCAGGATCTTGCAAGAAGCTGAGATCCCCCTGGTCGGCAAGCCGTTGTGCTTCGAGCAGTTTCGTGACGAGGTCTGGGAGACATTCAGTCCCATCACGGACAACATGATCTGTGCTGGGAAGGTAACGGGCGGGATCGACTCGTGTCAGGTAGGCACAGATCTCATAATCACGGTTTACTCAATTATTAGAAATTTTGAAATGTAAACAAACATAGTTTTCAAATTTGTGACCAGACTCTGAGAAAACACTACTTTACAGTAGGCCTAAGGTGGTGCAAAGAACAACATGATTTTCCTTGTTTTTTGTTCAAAAAATGGTACAAATTTACAAGTTTCCATATTTCTCAGAATTGTAGCGTGGTCCGTTACAATTCAATCAATAAAGGTATACTAATAGCTCAGCCATAGATAACAGGTGTTGAACAAAATTGACAAATTTCTTTTTGTTCAAAATTTATGATAACATCTCAATTTACGTGAGACTGTGTGACGTTTCATTGCCTTCTGAAGACTTGTGAGGATTTTACTTTAAAAACTGTTCATTATTATTTGCTGCCTCGGTTACAAGATATCAAGAATAAAAAACATCTACTTTATAAAATGTATAAACCCTCTATAACCAGGTTCATATACAAGCCTCCGTGTGAACGTACATAACTTTTTTTCCTGCTTATGTAGAGTGACAGTGGCGGTCCGTTAATGTGCCAGGGCGTCGATGGATCCTGGCGCATCGTGGGACTTACAAGCTTCGGTTACGGCTGTGGTAGACCCAATTACTCTGGCGTCTACACACGAGTGTCCAGATACTGGGAGTATGTGACGTCGGTTGTACAAGGAGGTAAGCGATCAAGAATTCATTTGCCTTTTTATCACAGAAATAAAAATCCCTGTCTCAAAAAAAAAAAAATCTTTGAAATTTACTGTTCCAAAACGCACATCATGTGACAGTATGTATAATAAAAGACATGAGAAAATGGGAAATTTGAGAAACTTTGCAAGGGGTTAACCTTACCTTTGATGAAAAACAGCCCCCCAAAATGGTTAGGTGTTAATGTTGCATTTTGATTGAAAACTGCCCGAAATAATTAATTCTACATTTTCTATTTAACTTTGACATAATAAACCCATGGACCAAAGCTAATTCCATGTAAAAGATCATTGGGCAGATATCGTACTTCCATTGCGCTGTTTCGGACTTCTTTATTTTGTAGAGTGACCTTTGAAATTAAAACCTGTTTTCCATTTATCATTCACCTTTTCCAGAGCCTACTATCACATGTGAAGAGCTGACGTACCCAACCTGCCTTAATCGTCTACCCTACACCAAAGTTTTCCCCAACTCCCAAGATGATCTCTCCTTGTTATTCACCCTCCTCCCAAATGCCACCGACCACGCCCACCCTACCAACCAATCTTCACTGGTAACCACCTCTACACCTTCACGCGAGTTAATGGAGACGCTGGTATGCCTGACAGCGTTTCCTAGCTGTGAGACTAGCGGGGAGCCATCACTGGTACCCTGCAGGAGGTTTTGCCAGAGCACATTGGATATACAGTTTGCCATATCAGCTCGTTGTGAGAAGTACCCGGATGGCGCTACCAGGGATACTGTGTATTGTAGAAAAGGTCTGAATAATTACAGATTTTCTGTATTATTAATTTTCCTAATTTATATTATAAAACTTTTTTGGTATATATATTCGTAACATTTGGTCCAAAATTTAGTCCAAAATTGGATCCAAAATTTGATCAAAATAACACTTTCCTGTAAACGACTCAAAACTACATTTGGATGCAATATAAACATATTTCAATATTCATACAACAAAAGTTGTGAAAGTTAGGGCCCAAAATTCAGTGATTTGTTTTTCCGAGCCCAAAAAACCAATAATTTAACTGTTTTTACCCCAAATCTTATCCCATTCTTTCCATAAAATGGCACATTTGTCGCATATAACCTCAAGAAGTGCGATAAAGGGGTCCTGATGCATCTCCCCAGCAAATTTTAAGGAATTTCATTTTCGGCCAAAAACTGAGAAAAAAATTTGCAAGGGGTTAGCCTTAATTTTTGGATGAAAATATGACAAAATAAATTTGCAAGGGGTTAGCCTTACTTTTTGGGTGAAAATGCGACAAAATAAATTTGCAAGGGGTTAGCCTTACTTTTGGGGTGAAAATGTGACAAAATAAATTTGCAAGGGGTTAGCCTTACTTTTGGGGTGAAAATGTGACAAAATAAATTTGCAAGGGGTTAGCCTTACTTTTGGGGTGAAAATGCGACAAAATAAATTTGCAAGGGGTTAGCCTTACATTTGGGGTGAAAATGTGACAAAATAAATTTGCAAGGGGTTAGCCTTACTTTTGGGGTGAAATGTGACAAAATAAATTTGCAAGGGTTTAGCCTCAATTTTTGGCCGAAAATGTGACAAAATAAATTGGCAAGGGGTTAGCCTTACTTTTTGGGTGAAAATGTGACAAAATAAATTTGCAAGGTGTTAGCCTTTCTTTTTGGGTGAAAATGTGACAAAATAAATTTGCAAGGGGTTAGCCTTACTTTTTGGCCGAAAATGAGACAAAATAAATTATCAAGGGGTAAGCCTTACTTTTTGGCCGAAAATGTGACAAAATAAATTTGCAAGGGGTTAGCCTTAGTTTTTGGGTGAAAATGAGACAAAATAAATTTGCAAGGGGTTAGCCTTACTTTTGGGGTGAAAATGTGACAAAATAAATTTGCAAGGGGTTAGCCTTACTTTTGGGGTGAAAATAAGACAAAATAAATTTGCAAGGGGTTAGCCTTAATTTTTGGATGAAAATATGACAAAATAAATTTGCAAGGGGTTAGCCTTACTTTTTGGGTGAAAATGCGACAAAATAAATTTGCAAGGGGTTAGCCTTACTTTTTGGGTGAAAATGCGACAAATAAATTTGCAAGGGGTTAACCTTACTTTTTGGGTGAAAATGTGACAAAATAAATTTGCAAGGGGTTAGCCTTACATTTTGGGTGAAAATGTGACAACAAATTTGCAAGGGGTTAACCCTACATTTTGAGTGAAAATTATGTACAAATGATAAATGGGTAAATCACATTGCTGGAAATTATTTATTGAAAAAAAAACCCCACTTTTTAGCTAGATACAACTTTACAAATCTGTGTAATATTGTTATTAAACCTATTATGATTTTTAGCATTCTAGTTTTGTTAACTTTCACTAAGGTTTGATTGAAAAAACATAAAGTACATTAAAAACACAGAAATTAAGTTCAGAAATGGAAACTGTATCTACATTATTTAGCGGAGTTAATTTTACTCAAGAAATGTACATTTTGTTGTAATTTGCAATTAATATTTTATTAGAGACAACTCCGTCGTTACTGGATGCTATATTTCCCCTGAAATTGGTTCCATTGAATTCCCAAAAATATAACCATCCAAAATAACTACATGCGGTCTAAAAGTATTTTAAGTCAACTGGGCATGCGCGCTGACTTGGCCTTTAAAAATCATGATTCAATCGCGAGACTTTTACTCGAAAAGCGCATGCGCGCCAACTTGACAACTTTTCAATCCTCTACCGTACTGTTGAGAGCGCATGCGCGTGGACTTAGTTTATTTTTTTTTTCGTTGCGTTATATGAAACCGAATCTTTATATATTAGTTCCAAACATTTCTAAGTAAGCAAAGCGCAATGGCCTAGTGGTAGGCACTCTAGTGCTCATGCGGAAGGTACCGAGTTCGAAACCGGCTGGAGTCACATCAGGATCTTTTACTTCTTTTTACTTATACTTACTTAATTTCAAAAGAGTAAAATTCTGTTTTATTTTATTTTATTTTATATAGTTGGGGTAGACACGCGATACAAAACTCGGAGCGCCGCAGGTTTCCCTGCAGCCAGTCCGAGTTGCCGCGGCTGGGACTCGAACCAGGGGCGCCGGCTTACCCGTCGGCACCTCTACCGGGTGCGCTACCTGGGTCCCCCAGTGGAAATCACACTTCCAATAATTAAAACCCTTAGAATCGAATTACGCAATCTTAAAATAAATAATAAATAAAACTTGCGGAGCTGGGATTCGAACTCGCTATCTTGGGACTCCATGCAGACAGATCTACCACGAGGCCACACCCACTTTGAAATTTGCGCGAAAATTTAAATACTTATACTTTCGGTTTATACTTATACTGCGAACTTAATATACGAACTTAATATATACTTGGGAGATAAATACTGTGGACTTATTAATTAAAAGGAAAATTACCGTTTGTGGTACTAGACAGGAATCGGAATTTACGATCTCTGGTTTAGGAGTTGTGGGGAATTGGTGCTGGGATTTAAAATATATGTAGTATCGTTTAATACTTGGGAAATTAAGACGTTCGGGAATAGTTCTATTGGGTCCGATCGGCATAATATATTTGCAAAGGGTAAACCTTACATTTTAACTTAAAACATTTTGGATGAAAATGAGATAAAATAAATTTGCAAGGGGTTAGCCTTACTTTTTGGGTGAAAATGTGACAAAATAAATTTGCAAGGGGTTAGCCTTACTTTTTGGGTGAAAATGAGACAAAATAAATTTGCAAGGGGTTAGCCTTACTTTTTTGGTGAAAATGAGACAAAATAAATTTGCAAGGGGTTAGCCTTACTTTTTGGGTGAAATGTGACAAAATAAATTTGCAAGGGGTTAACCTTAATTTTTGGGTGAAAATGGGGCAAAATAAATTTGCAAGGGGTTAGCCTTAGTTTTTGGGTGAAAATGAGACAAAATAAATTTGCAAGGGGTTAGCCTTACTTTTTGGGTGAAAATGAGACAAAATATATTTACAAGGGGTTAGCCTTACTTTTTGGGTGAAAATGAGACAAAATAAATTTGCAAGGGCTTAGCCTTACTTTTTGGGTGAAAATGTGACAAAATAAATTTGCAAGGGGTTGGCCTTACTTTTTGGGTGAAAATGGGACAAAATAAATTTGCAAGGGGTTAGCCTTACTTTTTTGGTGAAAATGAGACAAAATAAATTTGCAAGGGGTTAGCCTTACTTTTTGGGTGAAATGTGACAAAATAAATTTGCAAGGGGTTAACCTTAATTTTTGGGTGAAAATGGGGCAAAATAAATTTGCAAGGGGTTAGCCTTAGTTTTTGGGTGAAAATGAGACAAAATAAATTTGCAAGGGGTTAGCCTTACTTTTTGGGTGAAAATGAGACAAAATATATTTACAAGGGGTTAGCCTTACTTTTTGGGTGAAAATGAGACAAAATAAATTTGCAAGGGGTTAGCCTTACTTTTGGGTGAAAATGAGACAAAATAAATTGGCAAGGGGTTAGCCTTACTTTTTGGGTGAAAATGAGACAAAATAAATTTGCTAGGGGTTAGCCTTACTTTTGGGTTGAAAATGTGACAAAATAAATTTGCAAGGGGTTAGCCTTACTTTTTGGGAGAAAATGTGACAAAATAAATTTGCAAGGGGTTGGCCTTAATTTTTGGGTGAAAATGCGACAAAATAAATTTGCAAGGGGTTAGCCTTAGTTTTTGGGTGAAAATGAGACAAAATAAATTTGCAAGGGGTTAGCCTTACTTTTGGGGTGAAAATGTGACAAAATAAATTTGCAAGGGGTTAGCCTTAGTTTTTGGGTGAAAATGAGACAAAATAAATTTGCAAGGGGTTAGCCTTACTTTTTTGGTGAAAATGTGACAAAATAAATTTGCAAGGGGGTAGCCTTAATTTTGGGGTGAAAATGGGGCAAAATAAATTTGCAAGGCGTTAGCCTTACTTTTTGGTTGAAAATGTGACAAAATAAATTTGCAAGGGGTTAGCCTTAGTTTTTGGGTGAAAATGAGACAAAATAAATTTGCAAGAGGTTAGCCTTACTTTTTGGGTGAAAATGTGACAACATAAATTAGCAAGGGGTTAACCTTACATTTTGATTGAAAATTATGTACAAATGATAAATGGGTAAATCACATTCCTGGTAATAAAATAAAATGTAGGCCTACAACGACTGAACTTTACGTTTTCAAAACTTGGTATTTTCTTATCAAATGTAGGTATCAACGCCGATTGTGGACCTACCCAACTCTACCCGTCGTCCTCAAACCATAGCGTCATCACATCACCATATTTACCCGGACTTCCGTACCGTACCGTGGGCTGCACGTGGTGGGTCTCCGCGCCGCCCTGCACGGTACTCGTCTTCAAGTTTACACGCTTCAGTTTCCCGCCCACGGGACGGGGTAAGATCGTCACAATCGGCTCAGGAAACGATGCTCAAAACAGGTAAAATTAAAATGACTTCAACAGAGCTGGATTTGCTGGACTTGTAGAATTTTTCAAATGCGAAAACTTGGCCAAAGTCGATTCCGCGCACTATCGGCAATGAATTTTCGACAAAGAGAAAGTAAAAATCGCTGAAAATATTTCACTTGCTCTCGGATACGTTTAAGCCCAAGTTAATTATACGGGGCAACTTTTGAAGGCAATGTCTCCCTACGACGTGCCAAAATTTCCGATTTATTTTCCATCCCAAATACGTTGTACTTGTGACGGTACCAAAGATACGAGTTGACACCAGGCATTGAAACACAAATTAGATTTAAAAAAAACTATTTTCAGATTTTAAAAAGGTAATTACAAACATTGGCGTTAGACACCTTTTGCAACTTTGACATTCCGTTGTAAATAGAAACAGCAACTGTTAACCATTGTTTCTTTCCCTTGTCCATTTCCCCGCTATTTTCAGAACTAGCACCCTCCATAAATTCTTTGGTCCCGCCACCCCTGCTCCCCTGGTCGTTCCATCCACCCAGGCCTGGCTTTCCTTCGCCAGTGTCGCAGATCTCTTCAATGAACCAGTAAAAGATTCCTACTTTACCGTCGAGGTTCATGTTGCTGACGTCCGCGAACAAGGTAAATATTGGTAGATTAAAGACAGAAAATTGTGACACGGCGATTTTCAAAAAGTTGGACACAATATGGCGTCCACTCACCAGAACCAAAGCTAATGCTTCAAAATTGTTGAGGTTAATTTTCTTAGTAAATACTGTCCCCATCATTTCTGTTTAAAATTGTTACATTACTGTTAATATTCGTCATCTTAAAAAGGCGTACAAACTGAAAGACCTTTGGAGTTCAGCAATGATTCAGTCTTATTTTCAGTGTAAACCGACATATTCAAATGACAAAAAAAGGCTGCAATGTGCTAGTGCAATTGATGAATTTAAAATTCGATTTTTTTTTTTAAACGTTACTTCGGTGAAATTTCACATTTTGTTTGTGTGTAGATCTTGCGGGCGATGTTTGCCTATTGGGTTTGGGAGACTGTACGGAGAATCAGTCTTGTTTCCCCGATTGGTGGCGCTGTGACGGCTTAACAGACTGTTCTGATGGCGAAGACGAGGCTAACTGCCCAAGCACGTACAGTCCTAACACGACATATACGACTGTTCCATAAAAACAATTGCTGTATACCGGTTGAAAAAAAAAACATTTTAAAAAGTATAAGTACTAACACATGTTTCTTTTATATGTAAATCAACTATTTATCAAACATGTAAAATGAGTACAATTGCTCAGACTTTTCCTTAAAAATGAGCATGCAATGACATTTACAGTTTCATTTTTAAAGTCCGCAAATATCGCTCATTAATGTTAAGTTTCATTTCATCTCTGCAACTTTAAGCTAATTTTTAAAAACTGTACTACTTTATGCCGGTTCTTGACATTCTTTATTAGCAGTTCATTTGTGCGCTATTCCGTAACTCACGCGCTTATTATATTCTGTTCTTGAGGGGACTGAGTCTTTAGCAGATCGCGCGAATTTTGTTTTATGTAAAATTGTAATTACAATATTTGTAAAATAAAAATCAATGTTATATCTATGTAAATTAATACTTATCCCTATACATAGTTTTATAATGAATACTGGGTTTATGAAAAGACGTTTCAATATTGGTGTTGTTGACTTTAACGATAACGATAGAATTTATTATAATTTTTACTGATGCCATTGACTAAAAGGTAAACAAAAATAGTCTTTTGCACGAAGTAGCAAGTTAATAAATGTGCCGCTTGTTAAGTGTCGTATTTGTGAGGTGATGCATGGTAGTGGTGGAATGTTTACATACCACCGAATGTATGTATGTTATTTCATGTAATCTGCGGTAGCCTTCGCCACCATGTGGTAAAAGTGTTCATTTTATACTAACAATTTTAGTACATATTCAATTGATAGATATTTCTTTCTCTTAATGATAGATCAAAGGAATAAATTGAGACGTTATAATAGATAACATTTAATTTAAAAAAAAAACGTAATACAAACTACACAGCGTTACTAAAATAATATACGAATCTCATTGAAGGTTACACAAGCAGGTTATTTAAGTTTAGTCTACGTAACAGACCTACAGGACTTGGCTCCGTGGATAACGGGTGATACTCAGACTAATTTAAGTTTTCGTTCTTTTATTTTCTTCAATTTTCGTTACCTCACACGATGACATCACTACCGAAATTTCCAGTCTGTAAATATATGATCAATCATTTACGGACGGCCATGAGTCATCCCAGATACCCCTATCATTTAACAACACCTGTTGCTTGTTAAATAGCTCCAAACAACCTGTGGGACTATTATCGATAATTTGCATAATTTATTTCTTTGATACACCATCGTGGGAAACGACACTGGTTCCATGCGCAGAAAAGATAATTTGAATTGATATCGTCTGCATTTGTATTAAGTGGAACAATATTATGCCATATTCTGTGAATCTCATCTGCTAAATTGTCGACCGTTTGGAATAAGTGGGAAATGCTTGAAGGTTAAACTCGCATTTTCTAGATTGGGCCGAATTTAACTCTTCAAAGTATGGCCAAAAATGGAATTCAAGGTCTAACGATGTTCAGTTTCTAAGTTTTTTCCAGTTCGAGCAGTTTGTTCTTTGAAACGTAATGTGTTTTTAATAAGGTTGTTATAAAGTCACCAGAATCCGGTAAAATGTAGACTAGCAAACAATTCACAGAATGGATTTCTAGCAGTAAAATATGTATGTTATACTGTCGACTTTTATACCAATTGTATCTACATGTACATGTAACTAGTAACAACAAGTGGATCTCAATATGACTCTGTCCTACACGTAAAATGTTCCCCGTTTTGTCATCCATTATCATGTATAAATTATTCCATATGCTGTAAATACACCGCCCATGGTACGTGTACTTATGCTGGGAGCAACCATGTGGAAAATAAAACAAAAGCTCATAATACTATGGACCAGCTGCCGCTGCCACAATGGATCCTATACATATGCAAATGAGGGCGCGTGTGCTGACGTCGTTGAATTTCAACGCGGTATTATTGGTATTAATTTACGATACTTATGCTGGTCTGTGTTGGTCTATCCTACGGCAGTTTCGTGTCTGTTAAATTTACTACTGACTGCATTCAAATTTGTCTCTGTTTCACCGAAATGTGATGTTATTTCTATAATTCTGTCACAGTCATTAAACTGGCACGCGTGTGTGGTTTGCGGTCAGAACAGCATGAACCATATGAGGCCATTTTTTGGTGTGGTTTGGGTTGTTTCCTGCGACGAAGCCTTAATGCAACAGCCGTCGGGTTCATTTCTGGCACGCGCCGTATTTTTTTCTTGTTGGATGATAAAGGCAAAATTGCATGTAATTTTACAATAGCAATTTATCGACCTGTATCTCTTGCGGCGGGAGGATTACGCACGACGTGTTCGATAACGCTGCATCAATGTCTGCACGATATCGCCTCATTTCAACACCGTTGTCGCCTTAATTATTATTTTGGTGTGGCCGTCATTTTTCCCTAATCATGGCGTTTTATCAAGTTTTCCTCGCACTTTTTGCGTTGTTCTCGGCCATATGTCTGCCTGGTATTGGTAAGTTGCAAAGTCCTTCCTTTCTATATTTACTGACTCACATTTTACCAGGACTTAGGTGAGCTTTTTAGTGTATCACGCGTTCACATTTTTAATTTAATTAATAAAGAAAATTAACCATTAACATGCTGTTATTTCTGTTCTTTACGTTCAAATGTTGAAGTTGAATAAGTTTGGTCAAAATGATATATGAATGTTGTCTTTTACAAGATAATTAAATTCGGGAACTGTTTTGTCAACAAAAAAAAGATTAACAATGACACCTTTAATTTAATTTCCTGTAATTCCGAAAAGCCAATTTTCAAATCACAAATTTTTAAACACTTGCTCATGCATATTTTTCTAACTTGTTCGTCAAAATCTATCTAAATACTCATACACAGCTCTGAAGCTTTTAGGTCACCAATAACAAGGCCACTCGAGATGTGGCAACACAAAAGAGAAAGAGAAAATAGGAGGTAAATTGAGAAGAAAAAAAGGAATACAAAGAAAGAAAGAAAGCTATAAATATTGGGCTTGGTTTGGAATGAATTATAATTCTTGGGGAAACAGAATACTGTACGTGTAGGAATAAAACCTCTGCCAGTAAAGAGCATTATTTTACACACTCTATTCTTTTCGTTACTTAAGTCGAACACCTTTATAACAAGGTCCTTGGGAATTATCTTGTTATAGCAGGTACCTTGAAAAACACAGACTTAGGGCATAAAATGTTGCTAGTTATAAGCAGGATGTTGTATCAACAGTGCTTTTCCTGAGTTCGACTGTAACTTTTTAATGTCCACTTTCCAAACACCAGCCTTTAAGTACAACGAGTGTCCCGGCCCAATCTCCGTCGACACAGCCCCAGACAGCCCGACCGTAGCCGTGACATGGAAGCACCCGTACCTAACCGGGCTAGGTCGGGTCGGGTCGGTCTCGCAGACCGTCAGTCACGACCCAGGAGAGCAGTTCCCTATTGGCCTGACGCGGGTCAACTACCTGGCCATCAACTCCACGGACTACAGGGATCTGCAAGTCTGTACTTTTGTCATCACTGTACACGGTAAGCACTGGATTTCAAAACAAAAATTACACCATGTGGAAAGAATCTCTTCTTGGAAGAAGTATGGTTCTGAAAAGAACCGCGGTTGAGTGTAGAATTGACGTTTGACAGTGTGCTCTGTCCGTCCTCAGGAGCGTGTTACCCGCAATGTTTATTTTTATCTTATCCGCCATGCAAAGCTTCAAGTCATATATACCAGATTTCAAGTTGGTTTACTAAGTTATTACGGAATTAGGAGTTGATTTAGTTATGCAGTTGATTCGGTTGTTGATTGCTTCTGGCATGTCTGGTAACCAGAGCTTTGTTGAAAGTGCACAATATGACACTAGACTAAATTTGAGACCGACCATCAAGGCAGCAGAAAAGGATGATGAAAGGACATTTTCCATTTGCTTAAAGAGGGAAAGAAAATACCGGAATTGGATTTCACAGAGAAAGCTAAAAGAAAAGTGGTCGATTGGATATCAAATCCACATGTCGACCTTGGTGGGGATTCGAACCCAGGTCGCTAAGGTGAGACAAGCACCACCGACCAACCTCACTCCAAGTTCAGTGGAAATTCAAAGCCAGCAATGAGCTGCATACCAGCCACAAATCAATGCGATTTGGGATTATAATTGTAAAATACTCGTCAAGTAGTAAACAGTCATGTAACCGGTGGTCGAAGATTTGCAGCCACTTGATGGCTCCGGATGGGAACAAAGGAAGTGGCTAAGTAAACTCAAGATCCAAACCATTACTGCAACTTTGGTGTTTGGTTTATTTTTAGATCGGATCCCGCCCGTGTTCAGCACCTGTCCAATCAACGTGACCAGCCGATTGGGCCCCGACCAGACGGAGACAGAAGTCACATGGGACATCCCCCAGGCCGTAGATAACTCCAAGTATGTCCAGCTCCTGTCTGACCACGAGCCAGGCACTAACTTCACCGCTGGGACGGTCGTGGTAACTTACACGGCAAGGGACACCACGGGCAACGAGGCTAAGTGTCAGTTCCCTGTCATTGTCATCCCGTTTGTTGTCACCACGACGACGATGGCGACCACGACAATGGAAGCCACGACAGCAGGAAAGGAGCCCGAGAAAGTCACAAGCAAAAAGGCCGGTAGGTTATGAATGGTAACCTTCAATGCTTTGTCCAGTTATCATAATGGTCAAATAATTACTTATCTAGTTATCTAGTTAGTTATCTAATCTCCAAACCAGTTGTTAAAGTTATTAACCGGTAAGGCAATGGAGCAAGAGTAACAATAAGGAATAGTCAATAGTTGATTCTGCATAGTTATAGTTTAGTTACAGTTATAGTTATGGTTACGGTTAAACTTTAACTTATGATTATAGTTAATTAAAATTATATACGTAGTTACATAGCATGAAGTAATCTATATTCCCAAAACGTCTTCAGCATCCCGATTTTTTTTTTCTGTTCATGTCCAGGAGAGAACGTCTCCTCAGGACCAGGGGTGGTAGAAGCCACGCCCATCGACTGGAAGGTCTGGGTTAACCGAGGTCTCATCATTGTCTCAATCCTCTGCCTCCTTGCCTTCGCAATCATTGCCTTCTTCGTGTTCCGCAAGTACCACGTCATCAAACGCCTCAAGAAGACACGCATACCGGACGAGGAGACAGAAATCTACCCGTCATCGGCGGGGGAGGAGTACGACATGTGGGAGGACCCGCCGGGCAGTCCGGCCTTTCAGGTCAACCCGAGCGGAGCATCGTTGAGCGGTAGAGGGGAGCAGAGACGGTTGAACAAGGCCGAGGAACGCCCGCTGCTCGTGGCCGGTGGAGAGCACTTTTAGAGTTGAGTTTTCTAGTCCTTAGTCAGTGTGAGCTAGATCGATACAATGATTGAGATATTAAGACAGTACGTAGGCCCTGTGCTCCACAATTCTTTCCTTAAACCTTCCAAGAGAGATAGAAAAGAGAGTTTGAGAGTTGAGTTTGAGAGTCTTAGAAGATAGAAGTGTAATTCTGGTCAGTAAAAAGAAAGAGAAATGAAGACAGGAGGCTATGTGACCCAGACATCTTCTGATGTGAGTTTAACCCTTCCAAAAATATAGTAACGACAGGTTTAGAGTTGAGTTTTAGAGTTTAAGAAATGTGGATTGAAACAGAGGTAGCGGAAGTGGAAAAGACAATCGGCTAGAAAACCAGAAGTGTTTTAAGTTAGGCTTAACCCTTTTTACGAAAATATAGAAAGGGAATTATGTTTTATAAATTTAAATACGAAGAGAGAGAGAGATTACAGAAGATTATAAAGTAAAGAAGATTCCTTGTGTTCAGAATCCAAAACGCTCCTCGCAAATTGGACAAAGTGAAAATCTTGTACATCCTAAATGTTTTTAAAAATATAGCAGCTATAATTATCAGTTCCAGTTGCCAATAACAAAATAACAGTACAATATTTGATTTAAGAAGGGATCATAAAAACGATGTTTTGTATACATTATGAACAGAGTAAATAAAAACATTTGTGTACAGACGAAAAAGACCTAAAGACTAAAACAGCTTTGTATGAAAAAAAGCCTTAATTTTTGGGAAAAAACGTGAATGGATGATTAATGCGCTTCTTTGTAATACATTTAAAATTTCTTCCATAACAGCAATAAGATATGAGGTCATCAAATGTAATTATTAACTTTTTTTCGGTGCAATAAAAGCAAATGTATAAACATTAGTTAAGTAAAGTATTAGGAAGTTCCAGTAGATTTTAAGAGACTTTAAATTGCCACAAATGTAAAAAGGGAAAGTACAGGTTGTATTTAAATATATTCAAACTTTTCAATTTTGAACAGGTTTTTTGGTTGTTTTATATTATCAAATTGCTCGATATTATCAATTGCTCGATGTAGATCAGATATTCAGTAACAATTATTCGAAGTAAATTTCGTTGATGTCACAATTTGTGTCGTTTTTTTTTCAAACAGAGACCGAGTTGTATCAATTCTTGTAAGATATTTTACATCCATTATGATAAAATTTCCAAACAATGCACCACAACAAAACAAGTATACAAAAGACATGTGGAATGTGAATAGATAGCAATTAAAGGTTATTTCTATAAATTCGTATGGGGATTTTGTTTGATGTTAGAAATCAATTTTTATTCATTTTCTGCTTTGATCAGTTTTGTGGAAATATATTTACTAAACGTTTTAACTGTTGTCATTTGCGTCCTTTTTTTCTGAAAAAAAAGAAGAAAAAGTTTTGATTGTGGAGGCCAATCCAAAGAAAGAATTGACTTGCACTACAGAAACCTGGGCTTAACTGGTCAAGAAAAAACCACTGTACATGTACATTCTTTTATTCCAATGTCCATGCCAGTATAAACACATTGCATGACCAAACCATATAAATGAAACGCTGCTGCTGGATTGACTAACTCTTAAGAGAGAAACGGAATAAATGGCGAAGGAGTTTTATTACAAACCCAATGAAGAAATCTCGAAACAAGATCAAAATACCAGCTAACGTTGTGATGCATAGGTTAGACATCTGGACTAGTAAGTCATTGGTTGTGGGTTCGATTCCCACTCTCATTTCAGAGCAAATGAAGTAATACAAAAACTATATACAGCCAGAAATTGTTAACCAAATATAATGCCCAAATCAGGAAGTATTTTCTGATCAAACAACGTACTCTAAATGACTATTTACAACAGGATCCATTATTGCTTCGAATTATAAAATGTGTGCGAAGAAATGTAAAAGTTCAAAATTTGCAGATTTTCCGAAGCCTAAATTTTAACTTGGAACTTTGAAAATTAGATTTGACAGATCAAGAAAAGGACTGGGAAATTGAGCAGAAATTCTGCTTGTCTACAGCACTGACAAATGTGGCCTATTGAATGTTGATTTTTTTTTATAATAAAGTTAATTTCAACTTTGGTTTGTGTACTACATGATGAAGGAACATTGAATTCAAAATGAGTTTTGGAAAAAGACGGTTAGAAATAAACATGTTCTCGTCTGAAAAAAAGTGCTACAGGTTAAAACAACGCGACAATAATGCTTATATATAAAAGAAAAACACTGAGAGCACTGTGCTGCATTATCTATTGTCAAGTACCACAAAACTATCAAAAGTTAATGCTACGTAGTGTAAAAACAAAGAAACTAAACTTAAAACAATGAAAGAGAAAAGGAACTTAAATAGAACATATCTACAAAATATGAGTACTCTACCAAAATTGAATGCCGCATATAAAGAATTGGTGTGAATATAAACAAAATCATTCATCCAGTTGTGTCCGTTGGGGTATGGCACTAAATCAAGTCATCAAAATCTGTCAATATCTCTTTTTTTTATATCCCCAATGATCCCAATCATAACTCTAAAACCCTCCTCCCCACCCCCCAAAAATTGTTTGCAGCCGAAAGTCAAACTTGCCCATTTGCCCTGAAAGTGTGCTTCTAGTGGTTGTACTGTTACCCCCTAGCTTCGGCCCAATCTTGGGTATTTTCAGACGCTGACAATTTATCGGCTTGTTTCTTGACAATAGACTGCCATCTATTGTCGCAGGTTCCTACAGAGATGTCACAATTACTGATTCTTATCTTTTGCCGATTCATTAAGTAGGCTCCATTTCAATGACCTTAATCTTACAGAATTCATTTTGAGAAAGTTTCAATTCATGGCAGTAGATCTACTCTCGGCTATAGAGGGCGCAATTCTAAGCTGGGATATCAACTCATTGTAGGCAAAGAATCAAGAACAAGTACCAGCATTGTCAAAGTACCAACGTCCAATGTGCAAGAGAATTGGCACCAAATGCAGCAAATTGCAAAATAATTCAACCCGCTTCGCAAATTCTAAACTTCAACAATCAACTTTTAACAATCTGCAGGCTGATTCTCAATTAAAATCTCTCAAAACCAAGCGACCTAGGATCTTTACAATTGCTTCAGACGAGAATATTTATCATGTTTACATGTAAACAAGCTATTTACACTCCGGAAATTTAACATTTACATCATTAAAAACGGTAAACAAAGAATCCCAAACTTGGACCACTAATTCAGACCTATGGGTCATTTGAAGATCACAAATATACATTTCATCAAGATCAAAAACCAGCAGGAAAAAAAAACTTGCAGGAAAAAACAAACTTGCAGAATGTTTTTACTTGTTCTATCAGATCTTGTCATTTTGTTATCGTGACTAAAACTATGAATACGTTTCTTGCAGTTAGACTCTGACTGAAATAGCAACGCGCATTTGAAGATGACACAAACACAGCTGTATCGGATTTTGGTTTGTCAACTGGTATTCGGGAGGCAAACAACATGAGCTGTTTATTAAAACTAGTGGGAACCAGTGTCTTTTTCTTTGAACCGATCTTTAAAATGCCTTATTTCCGCAGGATTCGCTGTTGCAGTTGTGTCCAATAATTTGACTTTTCAATATTTTTTTTTTCATAGAAACTATCCCTGCTATACCAGTCTAAAGATCTTCCGTTGCGAAGAAATATTGCTTTTTAACTGGCACATTATTATCAACAGTAATTTGAAAAAGAAGTCAGAAGCTAAAATTTCTGGTTATTATTTTGGTTGAAAACCCAGGCTCAGTTCCACAGAGATGCGCCGCAGAGAATACTGCTAAGGAAAGTCATGTGCTAAGCATGAATCGGCAGAGGACCAGCCACCATTAATACGCATCACAATACGTTTTGGCTGGTGACCTGTTATTGCTAAGTGGATATTTTCTATGCTTAGCATATTTCTGTGCGTCGCAGCTCTGTGAACCCTTAGAGACAAACCTGCTCAGATCATCTCCGTCTCTTCACTGAGACCGTAGCTGCTGTGCCGGGAGTCCGTCGTGATCGCGTAGACGGTGAGCTCTCGTCTGCGATGGATGATGCAGGGGATCTTGAGGAGGAGCGGCCACGCTTGCCATGGAGATGGAGCTGAGGTGTCAGGCGGCCTGACCTCTCCTGACCTTCAGCTCCCTCTGGGGAAGTCTGGGTCATGCCTACGAGGAAAATTAGGGGAAAAAATGGGAAGTATATTAGAAACTCACAAGTGAGTCACGAATTAGTAAAAAACACTCGAGAGTAACTGGCGCTCATGAGTATTGAAACTCATGAATAACAGACCCTAGTTACTGACACGAGTACAATGACACTCATTAACAACTAACACAAGTAACATATACTCGCGAGTGTTGAAACTCATGAGTAACTAATCTAAGTTACTGAGTGAGTAATTGCGACTGAGTAATTGACACTCATGAGCAACTGACATAAGTAAGTGACATAAGTAACAGACACTCACTAGTAACAAACACTCATGAGTAACCTACCGAGTTTCTTCTCCACCAATGCGAGTTGTTCAGCTGCTTCTTGGCACTCTCTCCGTTTGTTCCTCATGGCTGCCGAGTTCTGCTCCTCTTCCTGAGTTCTCAGCTCAAGCTCCACCTCGACACGCTTCTGGATTGCTTGCTGGAGACTTTCAAGCAACTCTAAGAACAAGAAGCAATGCAGGGTCAATACAAATCAAAATCTCAAGCATCTCGGAGTCAAACCAGAAACCAAAAAGAAAAAGTTCCAAGTGCAAAGAACTCAAAATCCTGTGTAACAGTCCAGCCCTACACAAGTTGGTCTCAACTAAATCACAAGACCAGCCACAGGTTACACGGGGAACGGGGACGGACAGAATGTTGCAACCTGACGCCACTTCGGCGGTTGTGTACAAAGTCTATGGAGAGTCAAGCATTTCCTAACAAAATTGGAAATGTTTCTCAGTCCCAGATTCATGTCTTATCATCATTTTTGCTATGACTGACCTTCACTGAGATGATAATGAAGAAAAAAGTGGCATCAGGTTGCAACATTCTTTCCAAATTTTCTTCATTTGTTTTTGATCATGTTGATGTGGTTTGATATGTTGATGAATTCTTTCTTTTTTTCCCATCATTCAAGGAATTTAACATTAGCAGCAATACTCACTTTGTGATTACGACAACAAACCGCAAGGAAGTAAATGATGAATATGGTGAGTATAATGAAGAGATATATATATGAATATATATAATGAGTATATATGAAGAAAAAAGCAGCGTCAGGTTGCAAGATTCTTTCCACAGGGACAAAGGAATGCTGTTGTAAGTTAATTTCTACAGTTGTAACTAGACTTGGGACTGGATTATTATAATGAACTTGAGAGGATTTTTTGTTGTTGTATTTTTACAAAATCACACACGATTACTCTAAGTACTTAGTCCTTTTGTACCTATCTGTCTTGAAAGTTGATGACATCCGTTAGGTATCGGCGCTCCAAATATTGCCCCTTTCATCTTCTCCAGTGGTAGGAATTGGTTCTGAGTTCCTCCAAACTTGCCGTTGCTCTTGATGCGATTTCCGTCTCTCGTCAGCAGGGTGGGGCAGGGTATGACCTTGACGATCTCTCGTCGGTACTCTGTTGCATCCTCTAAGGTGTCTAGGATGATGAGGTCTGTCAGAAGCTGGCCAAAGACTAGAGAGAAAAAAGAAGAGAAAAAGATGTTATGAGGAAAGCGAGACTAGGCTTGACTTATTGAGCTTCACCCTGAAGTCTCCAATTAGGAGATAATTTATTCTCAGTGACTCAGTCATACATTAGCAATATTCTGCCGACTCTTTAATTAATTATGGCAGAGGTATAGAGATATACACTGACCTAGTTTACAGCTATCTTCATTGGCAGGGAACTTGAGCAGGTGTCTGGCAAAGACTGGATTGCCCGTGGGTTGATAATTCTTGAGGTATCGAAGGTGGGGAAGCTCTCTGGAAGAAAATCCGAGGAAATGAAAGGCGGCATTTAATCAAGATAATAATATCTTCTACTTATATCACAACAAAATAACAGCCACTAAAGTGATTTATTTCACTCTTCTTTACAATTTCAAACGAGGAAGATGAAATGCACAAGAAATTCTCCAAGAAGATATTTAGGACATCAAGTAACAGAGGGTTGAGTGCAGCTGAAAAGAGATATGATTTATAGATAAATGATTTTTTTATACGAAACCCAATCCCGCAAGCTATGGTCAATCATGACAAAAATCACCTAAAATGAACGACAGGCAAGGAGCAGGCACAGCAGCATTAATAGGACTTTAACGAAAAAAAGACTAGAAACATGAGTAACTTCAAATATCTTACATAAGAAAACTTTAGGCTAAGGTTCTTTTGGGCTCCAGGTCAAGACTAGGTCAGCAGAGGTCATGACCTCTACGACATGCCAGGTCAGAGGTCATCTTCTTACCTATTCCAGTTGGGGATATTTTTCCTGAAGATGGAGTCGAGGGGCAGGACTTGTTGACGTCCGTGTGTGGCTTTGTAGACCTTCATTGCAGCTTCCGATGTCCTGACGACTAGGCAGTCCATGTCTGAATACATGTGCCAGGACAGGACGTGAGCTACCACATCGTCATCCACTTCTGCTAACTGACCAATCTGATCAGGACATAATCAATAATCAATAATCAATAATCACATGAGCGGATATGAGCTATCAATCTAATTCTAATCAATTGATCAATTTAATTGACCACTCTCATTAGAAAAAAAATCAATACTAATCAATAACCAATTGATAAATTTAATTCAATAAATAAGGAGAAAATCAATAACAATCAATAACCAATAGTCTAAGTCCATATCACGAGAGGACGATGATTGCAAATCTAACCAGCAAATAATCAATAATGATCAATAACCAATAGTCAGTAATCAATAAGAGCAATGATTTCGAACCAACCGCCACAGCCACAAATGCCACAGCCCCAGTCTACAAAGGACGTAATGATTGGTAGAACACTTCCGAGAATAATCTGCCTTGAGGATGCTTTCACTGGATTACATTTTTTCTGTTAAGAATCAGGCTATTTTCTTACTTTGCCGAGTATCGCTGGGTCATTATTCATGTCGACGTACGTACTCAGGCCACATTTCCGTCTCGGGGCTTGCATCAACGTCTCTCGTTGCCTCTGAGCCTGACCCAATAACCTCTGAATACTTTCCACCTGCGATAAACATTGACAATATCCACCGATGAAAAAAATCTCAGGTTCAATCACAGTACATCACAAATGTCTTAGTTATAAACTCAAACGTACTTACCGAGTTGATTTGGTTGGAGTGTATGGCCGTTTTCCTGAGTTCCCCCTTGATTTGGCTCTCATTCTGCTGTGCCTCCTGCACCGACACTAAAAATATAAATTAAAGAAACAAGGAAAGTTTACAATTTGTCTTCTACTTGCAAAAAAACCACAGCTATTTGGCACCACAATCTGATCAATAAGTACCCCTCTTAGTGGTGAAAATGTGCGAAAGTCAATGTGCAAAATTTAAAGAAAATGGAAAAGAAATAGATTCAATCACAAGTCAATCATGAGCCCACCATAAAATTACCCCACGCAATCACAATTAAACTGAACGCAGACAAAGGCATTTCTTTGTTACTCTGTATCGCCTTAAACTTGACAGGACTTGTGAGGTACATTTTAAACACTGGGAGACAACTTGTCAAGTTCTAACAAGATCTTTGTCTTACTTTTCATCTCGGCGACCAGCTTATCGGTAGTCTGGAAGAAACCTTGGAAGACGTTGATAGTTTGTAGCAGCGTGTCTCTCTCCTTCGTTAACTGAGCCATCCGATATTGCTTCCTGGCGTCTTAAGAAAACAACCCAGAAAAACAGAACGTTTCAAAACCTCTCTTCAAGCATCACAAATGATATTCTGTAAAACACTTTCATACTTTGTCAAAGCAGGATTTCAATTCCTTTTTTAACTAACCTGCCGTTCAAAACTGCTTTCATGCTTGTCAAAATTGCTATATTTCATTTTCAGTATTATTAGACATGCAAGTGAAAAACTAGCTTAAACCATAATAATCTTCATAATAAGCTTCATAAAAATATAATTATAGAAAGTAATCAAAAAAATAACCAAGCAAATGAATAAGCTCTTACCGTTGTAGAAGAGGAATGGTTGGACGTAGGGTTCCACGTTGGTTTGTTTGAGCTGAGGACTCTGAACCTCAACCTTCAAGGAATACTCCCCACCGTCTTTGCCCGGGGTGCTCTCCTGTAAGACTAGATTCTGGACCGTAACAGTTCCCTTGCTCATATTAAACTCCGCCGACGACGTGTTGCCGACCAACATAGGGATCTCATTGCCTCCGTCACCGCATAGACTGACCGTCACCTTCCCTGAGATATTGCCTCCTGTGGCGTTACCGTACTGGTCCTTGAGCTGTAGTTTGAGTGTCCGTACCAGCGATCTACTCAGCGATTTCTGAGTGTTCGACACAGTCATCATCGCTTGACGGCTGTCGGGAACCAGTTTAACCGGGGGACCGGGATTGATCATGTAGCTCAACTAAGGAGAAAATTTGGAGATTAATATCATAAAAAAAATCATGTAACTAAGCTGAGGAGAAAAACTGGAAATGAAAATTATATAAATTATTCATCAACGCTACCTCACCAATCAGAGTAAACACCATATAATTTACCAAGCATGAAATGGCCTCAACAGCGCCAGTTGATAAAGACACCGTGATGGTGTCGCAAGCTCCTGATACGAGCTCTGTAAGTTAAGTCACAAAAGGCTATCTATGATTTACTTCATATAATTCACATTTGTCACGTATACTCACCGTGTCACTGACAATGGTGTTCTGGTTTCCCGTCGACACCTGGAAGAACAGATTGTACTGACCAGCGACCTCTGGGGCTTTCCTCTTTCTGGTACAGAATAAAACATTTGATGCAAAAGTGAATAAGTGTTTGGATCTTCTTTGTCAATCTGTGGTCAGCACTTTTTTCCACAGGTTGGCAAACTGTGGAAGGTCCACGTTGCAATACCAAAATGTAATTGGATTGTTAACCAACAAAGGCTAACGAAGACTTAACAAAACGCCTCTTTTTTTAACATATGAAGGTGTTGATATACATCGTTAGGCAAGTTCTGTTGCCAGCCACGGCTTACATTTATGCCCTTGGGTACCCAAGCACTTCAGACCCAGACTTATTTTCTGTCTAAGCCCTCAGTTTTTTTTATCATTCACGGACAGTTACAAATTCAACCCTGTTCCCCTGCCATGCCTTTTACACAGGCTAGTCACCAACAGTCAGATCATGTTTCTTGTAGGCACTGTGACAGTCAAATTCCATCAACAGACAAAAGCAGGTGACTGGTAGTCACTGGCTTATCAACTACCTACAGTCAAAGCATAGCTATATCAGGTTTCATAACAATCACAGCCAGTCAATCCTGCTTTATGAAGGCAGGGAGCACTCAACTGTTAAAAACAGTCACTTGATTTATTTTGCCTGCTCAGCTGGCCTTGTTGAAATTGCCAGCAAGAGAGGGAGGGCAAATACACAAATAAACAGGAGTACAACCAAACAAATTGAGTTCAATAATGACCACCCCTAACCTGAAATAGAAGTGTCCAGGTTTATCATCTTGTTGCCTGTTGTCTGGGACGTAAGACACTGCCTGCTGGGAGGGTTTGTTCTGAGATGAGGCGTCAACTATCCAGAGTCTCATGAGAATGTTCTTGGCAGGGAGTTTCATGAATACACTACCGTCTTCCGCTTCTACCCTCACATCAAATGCTGGAAATAGGAAAAGCGGACAGCAAATGAGAATAAAACAGAGAAATAATTTTAAACTATGTAGAAGAGAGCATATAACTCTAAGGCTGGATTTGATTGATGTCGTTGATTGTGCCCCCTACCGCCACATTATCTCATCTTGGCCTGTCCCGTCGTAAACGACGATGAGTTCGACGTCTTTCACAATCATCAATGTAGGTCTGTGAAGAGACTGAATGCCCTGAGTGGATAGCAGAGCGCCAGGAGGAGCGACCAGTGCAACAGACTCCCAGGTATCATGCGGAATGTCAAAGGCAGACAAGTCTCGCTTAAGGACGTCCTTGAAGCGCAACCTAATTATCAAGGGGAACATAATTAGCCCCAGTACCGCCCAAATGTGCCTGACTTTTACTCAATGTACTGCGCTAACCTGCCCAAGCATTCTATATTTGTATGGATTGGTCACGGAATAAACACAGTGTAATGCAGGGGCTAATGAGTTAACCAACTCGTTACCTGGAAAGAAATCTCCAACCACAAGCGACCGTGTCTTATCATAATCCACCAGGACTTTGGTCAGCTTGTTAGGATCAGGCTGGACGTATACATCCACCGTGATGACCAGCGCGCTCCGGCCAACGATGGCCCTAATGGTCAGCTTGTGGTGTCCAGTAGCAGCCACGATGATTGGTCTACCAAACGTCGCTCGACCGTCCTTGTCTGCTTTCATCTGTAGGTTGACGTTTTCCAGACCGCTGGAGCCGGTGAGTGTCATGCGGGCGTTGGGCTCCGTCGTAGGATTATCAGCATCGTCACAGAGTTGAACTGTCAGGTTCTTGTCAAGCCTGGAACCACTGTAAACTGTTACGGGCTACCAGTCAAAAAAAGGGGGAAATTAATGCATTTTCATGATTTCATGAACCCCAGCTCCCTTTGTAATTTTTTTTTAACCATCCTAAATCCTACAAATCATCCATCCACAATTTTTCGACAAAGTCATTTTTGCAATTCATGGACTCAAGTAAACTGAAAAAAGACACTGAACAATTTGGGAACTGCCAACATTGGGCTCAGTTGGTAGATCACTGGAACGGCAATCCAGAAGTCACTGGTTCAACCCCTGCTCCAGTCAATTTCTGTGCTCAACTTTTATAAATTAATATAAAAAACAGCTCAAATTATCAGCAAAACCTGATTAAGTTATCAATCGTCCCTAAAAAAAAAAATCAAAACCAAGGAACACACCTCGTAGAGAGAAGTGTCGACAAACATCAGCTTGGTAGCGGGTCCAGCCAACATTTGCAGCTTGACGTAGTCGGTGAACTCATGATACTTGATGCACAGCTCTCGCTGGCCGAGGTTACCACCCTCAAACCGGACCTGTCGTAAAGCGAAGCCAGTATTGGACAGGATGACCTTCTGTAGTTGCTTCGTCTTGAGACCTTCGCCTGTCACCTCAAGATGGCTGAGAGCTCCGTGGGGCATCTGGCGAGAAACAAGATTATGAAAGTTAATGGTTACACACTTTCCAAAATAACGTTCAAGAGTCGCAAACCAAAGATGTGACACTGAAGTACGAGACAACTTCAACATTTGAAACAGTTTGGAGCAACTTTATTCACAGATCAACTGTTTGAATCATTCAGAATGACAAGTTTATTCAATAAAAAAATTACACAGCTCCTAATACAACTTGGTTTGCAGTTGTCAGGGTTCATGTGAATAGCTAGTGAGCTGACTTGGACTGGGTGACTTGTGATGGACTTGTGATGGACTTGTGATGACTTGTGATGGACTTGTGATGACTTGTGATGGACTTGTGATTGACTTGTGATTGACTTGTGATTGACTTGTGATTGACTTGTGATTGACTTGTGATTGACTTGTGATTGACTTGTGATGCCTTGTGATTGACTTGTGATTGACTTGTGATTGACTTGTGATTGACTTGTGATTGACTTGTGATTGACTTATGATTGACTTGTGATGGACTTGTGATTGACTTGTGATACTTCTGACCAATCACAAGAACCACAACCACCACACCAGTATTTACCTTCTTGATTGGGTTTCCATGTGAATCGGTGACGTTAATGACGATGTCTCCATCTAGGTTTTCTCCCAGTCTGGCCTTCCTGCTTCCTTGACAGACACACCTGATTTGAGACACCTCACCTGGCTCTGGTCTGTAAAATAAACCCAAACAAACCAAAAATACTAATAAAAAAACCCAGAAAACAGCGACCGATTGTGGTACCGCTGCAAAATCCAACTCGTACCAGCCACCCAACCCCGGCAAGATCAGTAGTGAAGTGGTAAGACATCTGCACTAGTAAGCAGGAGGTCTTGGGTTCGAGTCCAAGCTGAGCAAGCTTGAGTATTGTCGCAAGCTCTCAGACAGCGCTGGGTGTGTTGTGCTTCTAAACATTATATCAGTAAATAGCAAAACCTCGAGATGAGATTTAATATTATTCCATCCAATTCTGTTATTTTATAAGCATTGTATACTTAGTGGTGTCCTTGGGATCGCGAAAAAAATTGATAAGCTTCCTCGGGTGGGAGTCGAACCCACGACCTCCTGCCTACTTGTCTTAACCACTAGACTACAACATTTTACCAGTGGTGGCTGCTAATATGAATCTGAAATAGCAACAGGTATCACAAACAATATCTGGTATGATGGAATATTCCTCATACAAGGTTAAATTTGTGAGTCTTTCTTGATAGAGGAGTAAAAAATCAGAGAAGAAATTTCTGACCTGATAGTGAATCCAAACTCCACTCCCGATCCGTCCGACAGACTGAGCTGGACGTATTTGGAGTCTGCGGCTGAGCTAGGCACCTTGATGTCAGGCAGGATCCCCTGCTGGAGTTTGTCCTGATTGAGACGCGGCATCCAGCTCACCTTGACCTTACTGGCAACCTCAGGACTGATCTTGATCTGTCTGCCGCCCTCGTCGAATAACGCAAACACTGAAATGAAATGGAAGATAATACTTAACGCTTGTACGGACTGTTCCAAATTCAACAATAAGCCCCGCCCACCTTTTGACCATAAGCCCCACCAGAAAACTTCAAAGAGGGGAGTCAGGTTGGCGTAGCGGTACTTTCCTCGCCTTCCACCGCTGTAACCCGGGTTCGAATCCCGCCTGGGCCAATATGTGGATTGGGTTTTCAGTCCCTGCCTGATTCCAAGGGTTTTCCCTAGAATATATTTCTGGAATGTTCCTCCCACCTCTAAAACTGTAGTTGCTTCTCATTATCCCTTCTCTACAGGTTTCTTCAGGCTTGCGAGCTACAGTGCCTAGGGCGCTTTTGAGGAATCCTTGGTTTCTTGATTAGAAATAATTAATAATAATAATAACAAGAATAATAATAACTCACATATTCCGCCGATATGTTCTCCAGCTGGCCATTTCAGTTCCTGTTGATCTCTTAGCTTTGTGGACCCTTTTTTCTCCGTGTACCACATGTCGATGTAAAAAGGATTGGAATTCGGCAAGACTTGTATCGCCTTCTCAACTGGCAAGACGTCACTGAAATTCTGCAAATAAAACAGTGGGTGAAAAGTGAATAGTTTCAATGCAACTATGCCATCATTTTTTTCTCTGCTTGCAATAAACAAGACTATGGGATGATAGATTGCAGCTACTTACTTGGAGCGAGACTTTGGCCGTGATCCTCTGACCTTTCTTGAGATTCTTGAAGAAGATGATGTTGCCCGTCAGAGTCGTCTTTCCTGAGCTGCAGTCTCCGGAGTATGTTGGTAATCCTGGAGCACCAAGGAACTGTTGAACATAGGATGACAAAGAAAAAAGGATAGCGAATTATTACTGGAATGTGATATTTTCTAATTATGAAATTTAAAAGGAAAAGACAACTATAGACCTAACCTCACAGGGAGATCTAGGCAATAACTAAGGCTACAACACCTTGATACCAGTTTCTAGGCACCCATTCTAGATATTAGATCTGTGTACCCCTTCTGGGTAACAGTTCTAGTACCCAATCTGGGAACCTTCTAAGTACCTGTTATGTGGGTACCGGTTCTGAATACCCATTCTGGATACCAGTTCTTAGTACCCATTCTGGGTACAAGTTCTGAGTACCCATTAAGGGTACCAATTCTGGGTACCCATTATGGGTACCATTTCTGGGTACCCACAATGGGTACCTATTATGGGTACCAGTTTTGGGAACCCATTATGAGTACCAGTTCTAGAACCCATTCTAGATAACACTTCTGGGTACCTATTCTGGGTACCAGTTCTGAGTACCCATTCTTCTGAGTACCCATTCTTCTGGGTACCCATTCTGGGCACCACTTCTGGGTACCATTTCCAAAAACCAGTTCTGGCATCCAGCGTTGGCTACTAACTCTGGCAACAAGCTCTGGACATCAGTTCTGAGTATTAAGAAATCTGTCCACCAGTTCCGCCGAACCAATCGACCTACCTTACAGGTGACGTGTAGCTTGGGGTGGACGGTGATATTCCCCGCCTTGTCTCTGACCTCGATAGTCACATTCAGTGCCTGGCCGTTCTCAATGGAGATCTCCTCATCAAAGGTAGGGACAGTGAGAGAGTAAGGTGGACCTGTCCATAGGGGGAATAAAATTACTTGATTACTTGATTGTTGTTAATTGATTGCTCATCGGGATGGAGCTCAGCAGATCAGTCTATAGGCTCTGTGGGTAAGTAGCCCCTCAACGGTAAGAAAGGGAGAGTTGGGGAGACCACTGGGAGAGACATTCAAATACAATGCTGGCGACACTTGACGCACAACCAAAGACACTATGGCTTTGAGCACATTCAAAATAAAATAGTCGCGCGTACTTCTCGCATGCGTGTCAAGTCTACAGGGCTCTGGAAAGTGGCAAACAAGCGCCCTCTTTTGTTGGCGCAAGGAGCCCATTGTACTGACCTGGTGCCAATCTTATCTTCATCGTCTGTGTAGGGAACGTCAGGCCAGGTAGCGTCACCTTCAAGTTAAAATTCTTCCCTTGGAAGGAACCGACGTCACCGGTAGCCGTCACATCCTTGACTATGAGGGTGGTCCCCCTCGCTTGCACTCCGGCAAAGCTCAGCTGCAGACCGCTGCATAAAGCCAACATAGGGTCAGGTCATCATTTCAAGTGCATGCTGGGATATCTTGGGGAGATTTGTCTCAAGAGTGTCCCCATCTGATTGATCATGTGTTATTTTACTTCATTGTAAATTGCTCCTGCAAGTAATCCCAATATTTTTCCACAACTTGGAAATGATATTCCAGGTTTTTTATCACATAAATGATAATTCACCTTAAGGGTACTTGTATACACGTAAAATTGCACAGGGGTTGTTACTGGTCGACTTGGAGTCACATATTAAGCATTGATAATTTCACATCAGTCATTGATTTATGATACGTACATCTTACTTTTTTAATTGCACACAAATTTTCATTGACAGGAACTTTTGTTGGAACCGAAGGGACTACCTGTTGTCCTTGACTGACTGACTGACTGACTGACTGAGTCACTGAGTATAAATAATGTCAAAAACCAACACTTTCGGGTCCAGCTCAACTTAGGCAAGCCTTGTGTTACTAAATCAGGATGGAATTTTGCGTCAAGAAATGTCAGGAGATGGTAGAAAAGAGTAAGTTAGGTTTGTTGAGAGAAAAGGCGAGTTTTAGAATTAAAAACCCTTGTTCTTACTTTGCTTCTAGGAGCGGCCTCATATCAGGGACTGGTTTGGTGCAGTGATTGAACTCATCTTGCAGCTCTAGAGGGATGTTGAAGGGAATGCCCACCCTGAAGGGAGGGTCTAGCAACCCCACGCTGAACTTGCTGGGAGGAGCCTCTGAATAATTGACAGAATTAAGAAAGATGGTTCCAAACTGGCCCAATCTGGCATAAATGAACCATCTTAAATACCATCAAAGGAATTAAGATGCAGGCTTTATTCGTGATGCTGAATTGGGTCCTGTGGCTTCGTACATTTAACAGAATTATAAAGGAAGACGGTTCCTTGATGAAATCTGCATGGTTTACTGAGCTTTACTTCTGAATAAATTGTGGAAGGTGGCATAGATAAACTAAGACCAGTTGCCGGTTATCCTTTAGACTTTCTTCTGATAAGTCTTAAAAAGCACTTTGGCCAAACTGGCCCAATGTGGCGTAACTGAACCATCTTAATTTTACCATCAATAAGGAAAAGAAGGAGTGTGTTTGTGACTGGACTTGTGAATTCATTTGTGAATTACTAACCAGACTGAAAAAACCCTGCTGGATGAATACTTGATGGTTTACACAGTTCCGATAAAGGATAAAGGAGATATTGCTACAGGTTGTTGATTTTACCCGTGATGCTGAATTTGATCTTGTGGCTCGGCAGTGGTTTGCCACCAAACTCTGTCACTCCACTCTCGTTGAGGACCACCTGGATCTTGATGGTGTGATCGCCAAGGTTCTTCATGTTCTCTGCAAAACCATCAAGAAATTGGAAGTCATTTCATGAGGCTTCTTTAATTATCTAAACTGAACAAATCTCTTCAAATACTAGGTTTTGCATTGCCCCAAAGTAATTTTATAAGCACTGTATACAAAGCATTACAAAGTCTTCTGAGAGATAATTTACAAATTCGGACTGCATCACTTAGAATAATAGTGGGTGGGTATTTATAAAGCACACGTATCCACCAGGACTGGTGCTCAAGGCGCTAGATACATCATTATTACCCTGCTCATTGGGCCGATGAAACATTAATAACATCATCTGAGCTCCCTGGGGAGTATACAGCTCCATGTTTCCATTTTGGCGCAAAGCAGCTTAAATCATTCACAATAACCATCTCTGCCCTCACAGGTACCCATGTACTCCTGGGTGGAGAGAAGTAATGAGTGACAAAGTGCCTTGCCCAAGGGCACAAACACCATGACCCCAGGCTGGACTTGAACCCACAACTTGAAGAATGACAGAGAACTGAGAATGAGGGACACAGACAGTTTTACTTTCCAAATGGCGGTATCTGCAACAGCTTGAAAATCCTTATTGTATTCATTAAACGATTCAGAGCTTCAGATCATCCTTAGGATGTACTCACCCATTCTTTTGAACCAGTAGGACCAGGCCTTGACGTACTGACTGAGATGAGACACCAACTCCTCCTCACCGTTATGTGCTACACGAAGATTTGTAAAAAAATGATAACGATAACCAATCAACATCAGGAATGAAACTTTGTTAGCTCCAAGAGTTAAGTCAACCAGTCAGCTGGCTGGTTCGACGCTGTTATGGCAGCGGGTACAGCAATCAATGACTTTCAATGGATTTTGTAACAGGGAGATCATCTCTGAGATGTAAAACTTTAATTTCTTCTCATTGTCTTCTCTCCACAGGTTTCTTCAGGCTTGCGAGCTACAGTGCCTAGGGAGCTTTTGAGGACCTTGGTTTCATTACCAGAAACAAAAACGATAATAAATAATAAAATATCATCAGTTGGTCTCCCTTCATCAACATAATTCCTTCGTAACTTGTAAGAAATGAGATTCACGAGCTTGCTTGCTTGAGTCAAAAGAGAAGCACGTTTATGAGTAATAGAGGACAGGATGAGTGACTTACTATGCAGCATGACCTTGAGTTCTACAAGCAGCTTCTTGGGGGTGAGATGTGAACCCGGAAGACGAGAGATTGACTCTCCCTTACGATTCCTGATGTCGACTTGGATGGCACCTGGGTCACAGAAAAACAAATGATTAAAAATTGGAAAGGTTGTTTAACTCTGAATGAACCTCGGACCGTTCGAAATATGGTACAAGAATGTGCTGCTTGCACATCTTCATTCAAAAATGAAACAGACGCTTCTTAAGCAACGAATAGAGTGTTGCTTGGAACATTCACTTGGAGAAGTTCATTTTTGGAATTGAAAACGCATGCCGCTCCTCCTGGGATGGGTGTGGGAATACCTAGTGTTTTTTTTACGGATTTCAAGACGACTTGAAGACAAGTGTGTCTCACCTACTGTGCTGCCAGCTGCCATCCTGTCTCCTTGCTTGACTTGGTTACCCTCAGGCCAATTCACTACCAACTTCTCAGGAAGCCTGCAAAACCAGAGAAAAATGCAATACTCGACCAAACGGAGCACTTTTGTTTCTTTAACCCTAACTCCTTAGGCATTTTTGCTAGGATGCAACCTCGATCCTGTAAAATCCTCCAACTGCCTCCATGTAAAAATTGCACACAGCCTCAATCCTACAAAATCCTCCAATTTTTTTTTAATGTTGTCCTTGGAGGGGTGACCACTGCCTCAATCCAGCAAAATCCTCCAGCAATCACTGTCAATATGTTGAGGCAGAGCCAGTGACATCCTGGAGCAGTGCGGAGGATTTCAAGTATAATCTAGGCCTGAATTTATGCACGGCTGAGCATAAACAACACAAGGTCTGGCCCAAGACATTGTCACAGTGCATCCTCCAAAATCAGCCTAACATTCCTGCAAAATCCTCTATTTTGCAAAGAGGATTTTGGAGGATTTGGGAAGGTAGGGTTAAACATAATGGTTAACAAATGGCAAAAGAGCCCTCTATTGGCCATTCGGGAATTAGATCAAGATTTTCATCAAGTTGAATCTTAAGTTCTAAACAGATGTCGCTCAGTGTGATTTAACCAATACTTCGAAGTACACGAAATTTCACAGTGATTTGTCACATTCTACGACCACAACCTCATCAACTCTTTCGCAAATTACAAACTTGATGTAAAAAAATCTTCAGGTTCTGTCACAGAACCATAAAATGAAATATCTACTCGGTATTCTTGACCTACTTTCCCTCCTCCTCCTCGATGAACCTCTTCAAGACTCTGTCGTTGGCTGATCGCTCCAGCTTGGACAGGGGCACAATCTTCACCTCATTGTACAGCAATCTTGGCTCCTGCAAACAAAAACATGTAACACATATAAACCACCTGGTCAGTTCCATCTGCAGCAATTCTAGGCTCCTTGAATATTTCTTTGCCATTTAAAGGGACATTATGGCATGGAATACTCCTAATTGGGCTACAAAACATGTTTTCAACGAAATAATATTACATGGAAAGAGCATTTCAAAGTTGAATATAAACATCCACACAACCATCCTTTAAAAACATGGCTTTTTTGTGTTATTCCTGCGAGAACCTGGGACAATGAATTTCGGGGTCACAATTGTAATTAGTGAATTTGTTAACCAACCTGTGCAATCTCCATTTCTCCTCCTGTGGCAAAGACGTCCCCCTCATGATGTCCATACAGGAGAAACCGCTTGATGGTCCCAGTGATGTGGGGCATAGTACGAAACGTCCTCACCTAGAAATCAAAATAAGATCACGTCAGTACCAGTTCAAGGTTTCAGTAACACTATAAAACATAACCAGGCTTGCCTATTCAAGCTGGACACAAAATTCATAAAAGTGTCCTCCACAGTCTGAGTATGTTACACAGCGCCCTCAATTTTGAAGCACATAGTGATTAACAGAACAGGTGAATCAGCAAAGTGTCCTTCACACTCTCTCACTGTAAACTTAAATAGCGCCCTCTGTCGCTCATTCACATAATCCAATGGAGATTAAATTTGAGGTTGACTTACCAGTTGACCCCTCTTGAAAATTTTGCCGTCCCACTCGATAGCCTTGAAGACAGCCCACGGTGACTGCTGTCTCTTGACGGTCAGCTCTGGCCGCGATATCGTCCCCTCAAAGCCGCAGAATTTCACCTGTTTGTCGTAGTTCTCATGGCATTCCCTCAACCACTCGTGGAACTGACGGTCGATCTTGACTCGCTGGGCCTGAATCATCCAAAATGGAGAAAGAAAATACGCAAGTGGGAAGTCACAGAATGAAGGAATGGACCTTCCCGGCCTGACAGTCAAGCAGTGCACATCGACCAATTAGATTATGACTTTTGGTCACGTGACCACTGTAGCTCAGTTAAACTTGGTTACAATTGTTATGGGAAATGTACACAAAGAAAAAGTAGGCGGGCTTATGGCTGAATCTGTAAACGGTCCAGGACATATGCAATCAATACGGGCAGTTCACTTCACACACAAAAATGGCCTTTTGTAGCACATTTTTTGGGGGGAGGGGGGTAGGAGATGATTAGAGTAACAATGGATATGTCTTACCTGGCCAAGAACGATCTTCTGAAAGATTGTGTTCTTAATATCTCGGAGTCTGACCTCCAGGTCAATAAAGGTCAACTTGTTGGTACTGACTTCAAACTTGTCATTGGTCCACAGTACCCCTGAGATTCTATTGTAGCATTCGGTGGGGATGGGACCGCGCTTCTTAGGTGAGGAACACCAGTCAAAACTGCGAAACGATCGAGTGACAAATTGGAAGTGAATGAGAAATGCAATTGCAATTGCACCGGGTCATCGGAGATGAAAGGCAAGAAAACCACCAATATGCCAATCTTAGACAGGTGCGAAGCTGTAAAAGATTCAAACTTGCGAAGCATAGACAACTTCTTTTAGCTGCAAAACAGGTCACAAGCCAAAATGATATAGAGGTTTAATGTTTGTAACTGGTGCCCCGCTGGTTTTTGCTTGTTAAGTATATATGATGACTGAGACCAGTCTGCGCTACTAAGCATACAAATTTGCGCTAAGCTGGTATGAACTTTCCAAATACAGCAAAACAGATTAATTAATGCACAAAATGATTTCGCAATTATCAACTACTTTTAGCTTGACATTTTTTGCTGAGCATTTTTTGTGTGAAGTTGGGCATGTATTTTGAGCTTACTTTTCAACGTAAGTGTAAGGAATGAGTCTACCGCTCCAGTAGCATTCAAAGATGGGTCGATTGCCTCTGGCGGGTCTGTCCTCTTTGTAGTATTCTCCATCATCCATGTCACTTTCAGCTGAAGGGATAAATCCAAGATGAGATTGATCATTAAGAAAGAGCATGCTACTTATGAGTAGCATCGCTGTCCAATAGTTATGGTGTTTGACTGTGTGTCACAGTATGTTGGTTCGAACACCGACAGGGAACATGGTGCTTGTGTTCTTGGGCTTGACATTTTACTACAATTGCCTCTCTCCGCCCAGGAGTATAAATGGGTACCTGTGAAGGTAGAGACCAAATTGTGCTGATCTCGAGATGCTGCAGAAATCTAATCTCATGGCCTGATGAACGGGGATAATAATTGAGATGCGCTTTGAAACCTCTGGCATAAAGTGTTTCGAGCACCACATCATTATTATTAGTAGGATGACTGAACCATTGTGACTTTTTTTACGTCTTCATTATTTCAAAATTGATAAAAATTCAATCTTTTCAAACGTTTGCATACCACCTACCTCCAGGAATGGAGTCAATGGGAAACGTCTCCTTGTCATACAGGAAGGGATGATACCTCAGGATCCCTTCAACGATACCGGTGCCCTCAACAACCGCTCGGAATTCAAAGGAGTCTACTGCACTGCGGATATACCTGAAGGAAATCGAGAGAATTTATTTCAATAATTTATTTCTGTAGCAAAACCAAGAGTTTCTAAATTGTTCAAGTTATGAGGTGGTCCCCCTCCCCCCCTCGGAAAAAAATGAAGACATAGTCTTGGACGAACTAGACTCTGAAAATCCAATCCAGATGAGGGGACTGTCAGGATTCGAACCTCGGATCTCAAAAGTGAAAGGCAAGGAAAGTACCACTACACAAACGTAACTCTTGCAACATGTTTACGTTAGGGACAAGTAACAATTCCTTCATATGGTTATATATGTTCATTTTCTAGTTCATAGTTGAATTGAACATTTGAATGGCTCAAGAATGTTCTGCTTACTTTGTTTGCATATCATCCATGATGTCTCGCAGGCTGATGAGGCGCGGTGTCTTCCCTCGGTCGTAGATCCCCACGGTGATGTCAATGTTCTTGAAGGGGCTCATGGGCCGTTTGTTGCCCAAGCCAGAGGCTTCATTGCCGCGCGGACCGTGAATGTAGTAATGGTAGATATGCCTGCAACAAATAAAGACAATTTCTGTATTGTAGTTAAGGTTCTTGCGATGGATCACACGTCAATCACGAGTCATCACAAATCAATAACAAATTTTGGAAGAATTGGTAATGTTCCTAAAAATTTGCCAAAGGAACTACGCTTAATAGTTTAATTTTAAAGTTCTCTCTCTTCTTTAACGCCACTATTTAATGCTCTTGTTCTTGAGTATGCAATCATCAGACTTACGCTAATTGTCGACACCATCCGTTGAAGTCGTGTTTGAGATAATGGATGTGATCAGGATTGATCCCCGTGATGATGACGTGAGTAAAACTCTCCTTGCCAACTTCCTCGCTTATCAAGTTCTTTACGTTCTGCTCGTCACTGCCCAAGTGACGAGCATCGCCCACCTGAGAATAGAAAAATCGGAGGACTCATTTTCAGTTTTTATTTTCTTACACAATCTTGTTGAAGTCTGATCAACTTTCCCCATGAGGTTCACGAGCCAAAACTTACAACTGAAACAACTGACCAAGATGGTTAAGTTTGTGAATTCGGACCATGAGCTACTGAAAGACCACAAAATTGCAAATGGGGAAAAATTGGAGTCCTTCGGCCATCGAAAATGAACTTCACAAGAACAATTTTTATTCAGCAAAACTACCACTTTCTACCTGTGATTCAGAGTACTCCAGCCTGATTTCAAATTTCTCAATTGGAAGAAAGTAAAACTGAGGTCTACCTACCGGTCTGTTGCTGATGAAGCCACTGTAGATTGCTTCCCGATTCTTTTCCCGTCTCTCAAACTCCTCTTTAGATATCGTCAATTCATGCACGTCCCGGGAATCTTTCGGCTTTGTAATCATCTAGGTAAAAATTAGATTAAACCAGAAATCGTGGTAAAAATGAATGGTTTACGTCTCCAAAAGGTGATGAAATCTTAGAAATGTTACCTTTAATAATAATTGAACTAGATTTACATTAATGGATCGAATATTGGCCCTGCCAACCTTTGGTCTGTGTACATTTTCACCTGACCACAACTCTGGTCACCTGACCACATCTCTGGTCACCTGACCAAAACTCTAGTCACTTGACCACAACTCTTAATCTGATTGGTCCATGTCTACTCTCTGAGTGACAGACAAGAAGGGTCAATCATGAAAATGAATGAAATTGTCTTACCCTTGTTCCCTGACCAATGAAGAATATTGCTTGTTTGCCACCGACACCAAAGTAGGAGATATCGCTAGTCAGCGATCGAGGAACACTCTCGTTTGTTGGTGTGTTTGGTCGGCCATCCTCGTCATCTTCATTCCTAGAAATATTGACAACAAAACATATGACAGGTGAGAATTGTTTAAATTAAAATATGAAAATGTCTAAACGGAGATAACTTGGATTGAGAGGTGGTAGTTTCATTCCCTATATGTAATGGCCAAAGTAAAAATCCCGCCAACATTCAAATAACGCCAGATTTTAGGTCAGGACTAGAGTACATATCAGGATAAACAAGAAATCTAACCTGGCTTTAAATCAGACCCAGCTTCGAATGGCGCCCCTATTTAAAGTTTGGCCCAGCTTCAAATCCTACCCAAGTTCAAAATCAGCCCAGCTTTAAGTCAAGACCATTTCTAAATTGAGCCCAACTTAAACGTTTGGCCCAATTGCAAATCCAGACCATGTTCAAAAGCAGCCCAGTTTAAAATTAAGCCCAGCTTTAAATTCAGCCACTGATGTGTGCCTGGGTTCGCAACCTGACCAGATTCAAACCTAGGCATTCAAACATTTCTAGACAAACTTTTGAAGTTGTAACCCCATAAAGCGTTAGACTTACTGTTTAGGTTTCTTCTCTTTACGGATGAACTTTGAGAGACGGTAGATGGCCCAGTTGTTCAGCTGTCTAGACGTCATACCTTTACCATTGTCGATGACACAAATCATGCTTTTATCACCCGACTCATCCAGAAACTGAAATGTAAAACATAATTTACAAAATAAAAGCAAATGGAATCAAGTGAATCTTTATTCTCAAACTTCACTTATCTCTTCTTCTCACAAAAAAAAATCTCTATGTTGCCAGCTTGAATTGGAGTGCTATCTGAATATCGGAGAAGATCTTAACAATTGTGGAAAAAAGGGGACGAACCTGTGTTCACAGGAACGGAGTTCCCATCTCTCTTTTGACGCGATTGGGCCAGACTCTATATAATGCTCCTGTGGGGGATCGCCACACCTCCTCCACAGTGAGTCTGTTACCTTCCCAGCATTGAAAAATGCCAGTACCATTAACAACTGGGTTGAGAGGAGTAATTGAGGTAAAGCGCCTTACTCAAGGGCACAACAGGCATGGCCACGGCGGGGCTCGAACCCACAATCCCACGATCATGAGGCCTGTGCTCTACCGCTAGACCACACATGCCCTAAAAAAATGGTTGAACTCACCAGTCTGAGTTCAATTGACCTGGGGCCAAGGTTGTCACTTGTTGCTGTCAGGGAATTATCAATCAACTCAGCCAAGGCGAATGCTGTGAAGAGAAAGCACAGAAATACTGTCACAACTTTGGCATTTCTATGTCATTTGTAAATGAACAATGTTGTTTTGACCTTTGTCAAAGGTTGTGTTGTATAATCAGCGATGGTAGAGTCTTGGAATTGTTACGCCCCACCTTGGCAATCAGCACCAACTGTAGTTGGGATGATCCCAATTTAAAATGAGACTGTCCCAACTAATGTGTTCTGTCTTGAACACTTAAAGTTTAGACAGTTGCAGCTGAAGTTGGGACCATAGTCTAGTTGGGGTTTTACAGAACCATCAAAATAGTTCCTAGCCAGGTATTCAATTTAGATCAACTCTATCAAAAGTCATCACAAGTCATCATAAGTCATCACAAGTCATCACAAGCCCATCACAAGCCCATCACAAGTTATCAAATGTCATCATAAGTCCACCACAAGTCATCATAAGCCCATCACAAGTCATCAAAAGTCATCAGATGTCATCATAAGTCCATCACAAGTCATCCAGTCTCAATTCAATTGACAAGCAACAAGTATACAAACAAACTGTGACGACAGCATTTCTTTGTCACTGTTGTGACCCCTATCACTTGTGGCCTGACTAATGATTGGACTTGTGACTGGCCCGCAGTTAGGCAGAAATCTGCTGTTGAAACTTACGCAGCGGGTTTTGTCCAGCACTGGCATAGTATTCATATATTCCACTCTTGACCAGCGTGTCATAGTGAGGCAGGAATTCCACTCTTTCCTTGGCTGGGGCTGGCAGGTTCTGACTGATGTGATTGAGGATGTACAACGTATCACCCGAGTCAACAAGATCCTCTGCAAAATATAGAAAATAACCATAACAGTCGAGTTACTTAAGAAAGCCTGTTTGTCTATTTTTTTTTTTTAAAGAGAACAATAATTCCCTTAGAGTAACTGCAGCATCTGAAATTAACAAAGAATTTTATCTGTACACCGAGTAAAAAGTTGGCTGTTGTGAGTTAAAGCATCATTAAAAAAGGACATCTAGGGTTCTATATTATTCAATTATGTTTTTCCTTTTACGAAATTTATGGAAAGGCCTTTTCTTTTAGTACAACTGATTTTTTTTTTGGGGGGGGGGAGGGTTTGGGGAGGGTGTTTTATTTTAAAACTTTATTATACTCACCATATTCATCGTCATTTACTTCCTTGCGGTTTGTTGTTGTAATCACAAAGTGAGTATTGCTGCTAATGTTAAATTCCTTGATGGGAAAAAAAAGAAAGAATTCATCAACATGATCAAACTACTTCAACATGATCAAAAACAAGAAAATTTGGAAAGAATGTTGCAACCTGATGCCACCTTTTTCTTCATTATCATCTCAATGAAGGTCAGTCTTTGCAGAAATGATGATAAGACATGAATGTGGGCCTGAGAAACATTTCCAATTTTGTAAGGAAATACTTAGAAATTTCTAATTTCTAAATTTCTTGACTCTCCATCATGTCCATAGACTTTGTACACAATCGCTGAAGTGTTGTGTAACATTCTTTCCAAAAATTTATTTAATTTCAAAATATTTATCACTACGGAAAGATTCCCATATCTGGCCATCACTTTTCACCCTGTCATGCCTGTGCACAAACCCTATGGACATGATGGACTGGTCTGAACATTTCTAAGTGTTTTCTCAGTAAAAATTCAAAATTTGTCACTGCTTATTTTGACTTTTTAGGACATATTATCATTTTCTGATGGCTGATAGGTCATTTAAGGGAAAATAAGTGATGGCCAGATATGGGAATCTTTCCTGTCCGAAAATTGGGCAACCATCGGCCAGCACCGGCACAACCGCACGTAGGAACCCCTACGTGCGCGCGGTGCACGACGCACCAACGCTCGCAAGCAAGACGAACTTTTTACAACTTTAAACTTCGAGCAAGGAAAATTAAAACTACCTGGCGGATACGGTCCCTAAATGTCTGATAATTGAACACCCCTCCTAGATCGATTCTCCTCTCTGGCTCGCTGCCTTTTCTGCGGTCGTAAACAAACACAACCGAGTCTTCTTCATCCAATGTTTTGGTTGCTCTTCTCACGACGTTGGTCTTTGAGTTGGCCGCCATCTTTTTCATTTACCAATGATCGTTTGACGTTCCCGGATGTACAAGTAATATGCATTGGGAGCTATTAAAATGCTCAGAAGACTTTGGCCAGTCTAGTCCATGTCTTCGTCGTCCTCGGACTTCAAATATGGAGGGGGGGGGGGGGGGGGGGGGGGGAACAGTCTAGAAATTCATTTCTATATTCCCGTTCGTAAACTATTTAAAGAATTTACTTAGCGGTTTTTTTTATTTTTGAACTTTTTTTTAACTCGCCCCGAAGAACAATAATGTTATAACTTTCCTACCTAGATAAATATAAATCTAATTCATGCCATGAAAAACCCTTTCAAATATGGAGGCATATGTCATATTTGACCTCTGGTGACCTTTGAGAGGTCAATGACCTTACCCTATTTATAACAATTTTTCTATTAAAAAAAACCACTTTCCTATGACCCAAGTCTACGTCATAGGTCTTCGCACAATGAAAATAATTATCAGATGTGGGAACAATAATATCTAACCTCTGGTGACCTTTGAGAGATCAATGACCTTTGTAAACCTTATTTATAGGTATTTATAAGATTTACTCCAACTTGTTCACGATCCAAGTCTAAATGTTAGGTATTCATGCTATAAAAATACGTTTTATCTCAATATTTCATATTTAACCTGTGGTGATGTTAAACTTTCATCTTATCAGTAGACCAGAAAGTAATAACTATGACTTTTCAGGGACTTGAATGCCCCATCCCGACAGGACAGATAAGACTCTTTCCAGACCATTTCAAGTTCAGTCCCCTCCCATCCCAAATTCGTCTCCCTACTCCAATTTTTACCCCCCCCCCCCCCCAGCATTGCCACGCCCCCTTATCCCACATCCTCCCTGTATTGTTCATTGGCCACGCCTCTTAAAAAGTTAAAATCCCTGGTACTGAAGATTGTCCTGTGCAAAATAAAGGTAGACGAAGAACACCAGCGCGGTTGAACGCCCACCATGATTTTCACTGGTACCTTGCATAGCAAAATCTTGAATAATTTTTAAAGGGACCAGCGTGATCCACGAGTAAATCTTCCGATTAAATTTTCTTTCGTCCGAGTGCAATGGCAGACCTAAATAACGACGGAAATTCTGCCCCAGAGGTGGATCCAGCCGCCGAATTTCTTGCCAGAGAGCAAGATGAACTTGCAGGGTTGGAAGACGACAATTTTGTCAGCGGAGATCCGGCGCCGGCATCGGAACCAGTCGGGGAGTCGGGTGGGTGAATCAGATTTTTGTGCACGGTGCAATGGGAAATGGGACATTTGGGGGCGAATTTAATCTAAGTGTTATTGTTAAAAATGAGTCATGATTGTCAACTCGCCCCACAATTTGCCTTGGCCTAAATTATCAATGGCAGTGTGATCAAATTTTAATTAAAAGAGTTCCCTTAAATGAACACATGAAATAGAAATAATTATAAAATGACTCTTTGATTGAATGCTCATTTATGTCTGAAATAATTTGCCCTTTTCCCCACCCATTTTTACAAATTTTGTCAGTATTTTTCAGTATTTTTGTCCGGCATCAGATTATCAGAGATTGTGTTTTTCCCATTTTTGCCAAATCAAATATCTTGCATGCTGTTTTTATTTCTATATTCTTATTTTATGTGATTGTCAAAATAAAAGCTAGTTACAGAAAGGAAATGAATGAGCTGCATTTGAATTTGAAACCTCTCTGATAATACTAGGGCCGCACCTATGCATGACTCAAATATCGTTTCTGTTAATTTCAAGAGAACAACAATTATATTCAGCCAGGTTGCATTGAAATGTTAATCCTGATTACTCCATAATCTTTTCAAAATTTTCCTTTTTTGTCACTTGCAGGAGGATTGCTCGGTGATGACTTAGCAAGTTTTGAAGCTGATCCTATGATGGTAAGTTGCAACACCGAATCTCCTGTAAAGCTTTGTCTATCAAGTTCAGTCACTGATGTTAAGTTAAAACTATAGCTGTCATAGCTCTGTCATGCTGATTCGTTTTCATTTATACTCAGGACATTTTGTTTTGTTTTCCCAACAGGGTGAAGGTGAAGGCGAAGCTCAGCTCAACGGTCCGTCAGACACTTACTCATCAATCTCAGCAGTAGACAGGCTCGCTAACGAACCAGAGAAGATCAGACTTTGGAGAGAAGAACAAATAGAGATGCTTGAAAAGAAAGGTCCGACATTATAACCAAGTGGTGTATTAAAATAGAAGCGCTGAAGTCACACGACAAATAAAATCCTATTATTGTTTTAAAAAATATAAGGTTTGAAAAATTAATAAGTCAATTTCATTATGAATAAGCACTTTAACTGTAATATATGCCATCTTGTTAATGAGGCAAAACAAACACTTGTTGCTGAGCACGCATGTCAATCGAAAACATTTGGGCTTCCAAGTCACGATGCTTTCATTCCAATATCGCGTCTAGCAACGCATGTTTTTATTGCCCCGTGCACAAGATGGCGCATAGTACACTGAAAGTGCTTATTGGTCAAAGTGTGTATTTTCTCTAGTGGATTACATAACGATATCCCTACAGTATACAGCAGGCATTTTCTGTTGGAATTCCTGAACGGACATTCAGTTCCAGAAGCTGCATCTTGTATTCAGGACTTAGGAGGCGCTTAAGTTGGCTTATGTTGGATTCTGTTGAGACTTTGTTTTCAGAAGATGAGAATTAAATACAAAGATGTTTTTCATTTTTTCAGATACTGAAGCAGATCAGTTACAGAATGAGTGGAGGGAGATTGCTAAGAAGGAAATTGTGGAATGGACGGCGCGGCAAGCGGAACAGTTCACCAAGGCCCAGTCCTCCAACAGGTGGGTAGATGAGGCTTCATCTGACTTACGTGACTACGGCTGTCGGTAACACATGTGTCTATGGGAAGTGGCTTCTGCTCCTTCCCATAGGTGTGTGTGTAATTGCAAGCCATAGCCATAGCCATAGCCAATATGGCATCGTAGTTGATTTCCTGCACAATGATGTTCCGTTTCAGTAAAAAATGATAAGGGTATTAAACCCAGCCCTCCAAAAAATTGAAATTGTTAAGCTGTTTAGGATTTTTCAGGATTGGGGCAGATAGGCCCCAGCTATTACATTACTTTACTTGATCTTTGTTAAGCTAGAAAGTTGAAGTACAAATGCTGTTGGTTTTCTAGAAAATGGTGAATTTGAAAGAATTAGGAAGATTCCTCGCATTTTCCATCGATCAAAGAAATGAAAGAATATTGTCTGCACAGTTGTAAACGTAATGTGGCTTTGTGATCTGATGTTTAGCAGCATGTTTGACAGTATTTGAAATGTAGAATTGTCAACTTTGGGGTTGAGGTTGCACTGACTGTGATGATTAACATTCCTTCTCCCCAGGGCTGCGGAAAAGGCATTCATTGATGAGCGCGACGAGGAAACCCCCGGTCAGGAATGGGAACGAATCGCCCGCCTCTGCGACTTCAACCCAAAGAACAACAAGAACTGCAAAGACGTCACGCGACTCCGGTCTATACTGCTCCATCTCAAACAGACAGGGATGGCCAAATAGGAACCACGGAAGAAATGGGGGGAACGTTTTAGTATCGTGAGTCATATATATATAGTAGTCACAATGAAAATCCATTTCTCATAGCACTTCTCTTTTTTTACCCACCATTTTCTCATCAATCCATTTCAAAACACAATTATTTTTACCTGCATTTCTAAATTAGTAGGGAAAAATACTTTTTGCTTGGACGGAGGGTTCAACTTTGAGTCTTTTTTGGACCACCTGTAGATGTTGTTTTTTTATCCGCTGTGAACAAAAAAACTGAAAAATACAAATGTATGAAAGAATGCCATTACAGTGTTGTCAGTAGTAAGGAAATATTAAAAGCCAAAAGCAAAGTGTGACATGCTTAAATATTTTGTTGCATGCGTGGATGATACAAATGATTGGATTGTCTTGGTGTGATTCCGTAACATTTCTTGAGCAGAAAGGATAACTTTTATATATTTTTCTGGCAGATTTTGGTGAAGTTTTGTTGCACCGATTTTAGTGATGTTTTAATGTCTCCAATGCCAACAAATACACAAATATGCAGCTTTGAGTATCAGTGCTAAAGTCATAGTAAAACAATATGCGTGTTGCTGTTGTGCTTTTGAGGTTTTGGAAGTTATTTTGTGGTAAATCGGGGATAGAGGAACATACAAAATCCATCCATTCGCTGGTACACAAGTTGGTCGTATATTTAACAAGTATTTCATTTGTAGAATAGAAACATGAAATCCTGTCCACCCCCCCCCCCCCCGAAAAAATGCTTCATGTTATATGCCATTCCATGATATACATTAGACCAATATTATAAAAATGTAATCTTGTTGCGATTGTATTGTTTGTATTTGTTACTTGAAAACGAAAGTTTACTTTAGTGAAGGCAGTTGGAAAAGTGTGAGATTTGTGTCAAATTTAGCAGCAGGCTAACAGAACGTGGTGTATATTTAGTCGGAAGTATCGGAAGGAATTTTTCGTGATGTTTACAAAACTTGAAATTTGTAGAGTAGAATTGTACTTTTGTTGACAAATAGGCAAATTGTTAGTGTTTGAAATTAACCCAGCAACACACAAATAACCTAAGGCCAATGAGAACTGTGTTGACTATTTGTTGTCAAAGGAGGGCGCTCTTTATATCCAATTGAGGATTTTGTCCTTGAGCTTAAAACAAAAATCATTCTCTTTTGCATTTAATGTGAAATATTTCTTTGGGCAAAAAGTCATGCAGATAATTGTTAATTTTTAGCCTCATGGAATGTTACTTGTTACCTCTGTGTCTGATAGTAGTATTCATCCTAAATGTTTTCCCCGTTGTAACTTCGTTGGAAATGTTGCATTTTACCCCAACCAAGTGTTGATACATTTAATCGCTATAGACAAAGTAACGTTATGTTTTCTTACAGGTTACATGCTGTGTTACAATTTGGTTGTGTAAATGAACACATATTAGTTGACGACATCATGAAATTAATCAGCAAATTCAGACGATTATTTATATGAATACATTTGAGTCACAAATCATTACAACTTGTGTTATATTCATCGTGTAATTTGTTGTCCCGATAAATCCCCGTATTTTGACTGGTTATCAAATTTTGTGATATGTATAACAATGTATGGATACATGTTTAGTATTAAATGCTCAATATATTCAAAGAAAAGTCTGAGCATTGTGTTTATCTTTATCTTTGCTTGCCTCTCGGTCTCCTTTCAGTTATAGACCTCATGTGTAGCAGCCATCTTAGAGGGCATAGTTTATTTAAAAGTCAGAAATGATGAATGCACAAAAGGTTCAGACATGCATATCCCTGCACAACAAAGGCATTGCCCTCTAAAATGGCTGCTACGCATAAGATCTATTGTCCAAACAGTTGTGATTAGTTTCCTCAGTGGATTATTGGAATAATGTTTACAAAATATAGGTGGGTACAAACTATTCTGATCATTTTAATAGTCTAAATATTTTAATTATAAGAGAAAAAAACTACAGATAATGAGGGCGCCCTGCATAACTTACAGTGTAATTAAAACGCAACAGCCCAGAGGGCGCCCTGCATAAATAACTATTATTTGAAAAAAAAAAACCTGTGCCAGAATGAAGCGCCCTAAATAATAATTCAGTTCGAAGGAAAAAAAACATGAAATAACACAAATTTAAACAAATCCCCCATAGCTAGAGTGTATCCCACATAAATACCGACGTTATTTAAAGGGAAAAAAGAAATGGCGCTAGAGGGCGCCCTGCATCAATAAAAGCATAATTTGAAAAAAAACAACGGCGCCAGAGGGCGCCCTGCATTAATAACAGTCTAATTTGAAAATAAAAAGCAATAGGGCCAGAGGGCGCCCTGCATAAATAATAACGAAATTTGAAAGTAACGGCGCCACCAGAGGGCGCCCATCACAAATTGAAAGGAAAAAGCAGCGGCACAAGAGGGCGCCCTGCTTAAATAAATTTGAAAAGCAACAGCGTCAGAGGGCGCCCTCCACAACATGCCGTGGAAGAGCGCCCTCAATAGTTTGTTCATCGAAAGAAAAAGATGGCGACGTCCATGAGAAACAAAAAAATGTTTTTGCCCCATTGAAATGTTGGTGGTTTTAACAAAACTGGAGGAAGTTTATTGAACAAAGGTTACAATGGAGGAACTTGAAGATATTGCACAATCATCTGAAGAACTTGAAACAAATCGGTCACCAATAGAGCTGCATCTTTGCAAAGGAAAAATACTTGTGTGGAATGCAGATGGTTTGTTAACTTGGAGCAACTATAGAATGCAGGGCCACGCCGAAGCAAGGTTTTTTATTTTGCCTGGAGGCGTGGATGGAATAGGAGTAATAGATATGCAAACCTGCAAAAAAGTGCTAAGTACAGCGAAGGAATGCACTGCACTTGTCTTCAAAGCTTCTCATGAAGGATCGGAAGGGAGGGCGTGCTTGTAAATGTGTTGGGGGCACTGTCTGGAGCGGCGGAGGCGCGGAGTCTTGGAGTCGCAGAATCGCGGAGACGCGGGGCACTGGAGTGGCGGAGGCGCGGAGTCGCGGAGTCGCAGAGACGCGTACCGATAGAGGGCGCAATTCTCGGCGGAATCTTTTTGAGAACGAAGCATCCATATCCATTTTAAATGGGCGGGCCAATTAGGAAGGGAGGAGGGCGACAGGGCACTGTCTGGAGTCGCGGAGTCGGGGAGTCGCAGAGTCACTTTAATTGGGCGGGCCAATTAGGAAGGGGGGGGGGGAGGGCGACGGGGCACTGTCTGGAGTCGCGGAGGCGTGGAGTCGGGGAGTCGCAGAGTCACTTTAATTGGGCGGGCCAATTAGGAAGGGGGGGGGAGGGCGACGGGGCACTGTCTGGAGTCGCGGAGGCGCGGAGTCGGGGAGTCGCAGAGTCACTTTAATTGGGCGGGCCAATTAGGAAGGGGGGGAGGGCGACGGGGCACTGTCTCTCAGTGGTGGAGGCGCGGAGTCGCAGAGACGCGCACCGATAGAGGGCGCAATTTTCTGCGGCTCCACGACTCCACGATCGATTTTCAGAGGTAGGTCGACTGCGGTTCCACGCCTCCACGCAGCCGTACGGAGGCGCGGATGTAGAGTAAAGTGGCCCTGCATTCTATAGTTGTACCGTTAACTTTGTAATTGTATATTGGTGTGGTAAACGTGATCATTGATGATAATGATAATCATTATGATCACCATGATCATTATATTATTGATATACTTTTTTCATTATTGGCCGTATACTATGTAAACGATTCCATTATTTGATCGCATTGATTTCGAGGATCTCACGTTCTTGTATTTTTTATTTGGATTTTCCTTTTTTAGGGGAGGTGCTAAAGTTTAACTTATTAAACAAACAAACTCAACTACAGAACCAATGAGTGTATTTTAGATTAGGGCTAGGCCGCAAAATCTTAAGGATTAACCACTTGATGAATACAACAATTAGCTACTGATGTGGAACTAAATTTATATTAGTTGCAATGTACCTTTCAATTTGAAACATTTTTATCTATTTCAGATGTGAAGTTGTTGAGAGAGACCCATCACATTGTTGGTGCCTTGGTTGGTTCGCTACCGCGGTCACCGAGACAGAACGCTCAGCTCGGTTTGCCTCTACAGCTCATGCCTGAAGAAGCAGCAGTGCTGATTGAATATGGTAAGTAAAGATTGGTGGCCTCAACAACAAATCTGTGTTACATTAAGCCTGTTGGACATCTCAGAAAAAGTGCAAGGGCATGAACTGTATTTTGGTCTTTTCTTTCGGCAGATGTTGCAAGGATGGTGAATGTCAGGATTAAGAACCCATCAGTGGATGACGTTGCAACCTTCGAAGAGACAAGACAGAGGAGCTTCCGTGAGCAGGTACAAGTTTTGTTTAAAAACAAAGAATCAATTTGATGCTTTTTTTAACAGTTGTCAAATTGTGTCTAGCAACTAAGGCCAAAAAAAAAAAATCTCCGGTTTCTGGTATGGAGCTTGCCCAAAAAGTGGTGCGGCGACGCGGCTTTTTTTTTTTTTTTACCTGACTTTTTTGCTTCAAATGTCGGCTGATGACTGCAAATGGTGCCTGACTAAACTTAGTGCAAATATATGGGAGTCCAGAGAGGCCACATAAAGCTTATTCTCGATCATAACCCCATCTAAAAACACGTTAAAATTGTGCAGCAGCAGGATTCCAGTCAAACCAGTGAGTTTGGCAGTTTTGAGACATCATCTTTCATTGAAAAAAAACCTTTTTCATTTTGCCGACGCGCATGGCTACGGCGACGCGCGCGCATACCAGAAACCGGAGACTTTTTTTTTGGCCTAAAGGATTAATCATTGATTTCTCTTTTTTTTTTTATAGCAAGCATTGTGGGATGCAATGAGTGCAAAAAAGAAACAAGACTTTGATAACATCATCGCTCTGGGACGGACCACAAAGAAACATCGTCGGGCTGAGCGAGCCAGGAAAAAGAAAAGGGAAAAGGCTTCTGTTTCAGGTGAATCAGGGGGAGATGAAAGTGTGAGATGCACTCCTGATGCAGGAGTAATGCTTGATGGGGATGGTGAGAACAGTAAGAGAAAGAGGATGGAAGATGATGTCACCATGGCAACAGTGGTAGACAGTGATGAGTCATCAACTACAAGCTTAGTCAGTTCTGAACAACTCAAGGATTCCTCTAATAAACATGATGAGGACAGCACTGCCAGAACCCAAACATCCTTAAGTTGCATAGGGTCTTGTCAGTCATCCCTAGATGACTGTGAAAGAACTAGTGCAAGTAATGCTGATAAGAACAACCAAAGAGACTCAAATAGTGTTAAAACACATCCACTGAAAGATGGACAACCAGAAACGAAGGCGTTACTTGAAACCAATTCAGGTGTGATTAACCACAGTCCTGTTACCCAATCTGAGCAGCATTCTAGCACCAGCTGTCCCCAGAGGGTTGTGCCAGACACTGACCCAGACGCAGTGATAGACAGAGGTGATGTGGAACCGTCTCCAAACACAAATCCTGAACACAAATCTGATGATGTAGATGTTTTCAAGAAGCCTCATGATCCACAACCATGTACAGGCTACCTGGTTCATGTTGTAACAGGTAAGCAGTGCTCATTTACATAAGTATTCATTAATTATGTTAATGAACACATTAACATAATTATTCATATCACATTATGTTCTTGTTTTACATAGCCTCATCAGCCACACCAAAGCATGAAGTGGCTGAATGGGCGTACCCAAGAACGCAGCAAGAGATACTGAAATACCGAGTCTTCCGAGACCTCTGGGAGACGGGCTACTACCTCACGTCAGGCTGCAAATTCGGCGGTGACTTCCTGGTTTACCCAGGTAATATAAAATGTGATCAGAAATATCACATACAGTTGCAGTATTAAAACGTTCTCTAATTTTTTGAATGAGATTACTACAGTGTGAGGTTTGCAGTTTGCAAAAGCGACAAGGGAAAAGGCAACAATCTTTCTCACATCTCAGAATTGATATTTTTCAATGTTTTACAGCAAACCTTTCACCAATTACTTCGCCACCAAGTCAAAATCTTACCTCAAGTTAGTTAGCAGCATGAATACAAGCTAGTTCTTCTGTGAAAACTGCAACCACCTTCCTGTCACTGACAAAGCAATGTCTTCCATGGTGTGTAACGGGCACATGTAGTCCTGAGCACTCTTCTAAAATGTCATGGAGTAAATAGTGGACAGCGCCCTCTATCATTGAGGAAAAGTGCTACTTCCTTCACTTCCTTTTGACTTGACTTTTATCTACATGTATTATTTTTTTTTTGACAGGAGACCCGTTCCTCTATCATTCCTATTTCATCGCCGTCTGTGTGCCCCACGACAAGCCACTATCCCCTCTGGAACTGATAACCTATGGCCGACTCGGCACAAATGTCAAGAAAACTGTAATTTTGTGCTCTGTTGATGAGGAAGATGAGGTGGTTTATACATCACTGCAGTGGACTGGATTGAGCTGATTGTAAGAATCCATGATCTTGGGGGAGGGATGGGCGGGTCTAGGATGGATGGGGGGATGTCCAGAATTTGGATTGCTAGAATTCAATTGTTTTGCATATCAATTTCAGTTTGTGTGGAAATGTAAGTCCTTTCTGCAACAGTTTTATAAAGAGAAAAATAAAGTTTAAGATTGAAAAACTGGAAACATATCATTTTCTTCGCGTTCCCACTCCTTTTAAATGAACATAAGAGCATGCAATAATAGAGACATGAAACTGCGACATGTTGGTTTTTCAGTTTTTCTTCCAAATTTTGTTTAGCAAAATGTACAGTATGAAAATATTCCAGCTGCTGTCAATCACAGATATACATCAAATTACATGTACATGTTTACACTTTACAAAGTAGCTAGTTTGTAAAATGTTTAGATTTAAATATTACAAAACAGGTGAGACAATTCAATATAAATTTAATGTAAAAGTGACATTTTAGAGTAGTGCTAAAGTAACAACTTCGCATTAGTTTAATATTGCTGTATGTCTGCTGGGTCGGTTTTGTCACACCAGGCTCTCCATACTTAACAATTACCATTTGGTCAAAGTACATGTTAAGTTATGGCAGTTAGTTGTGGAATGTTGAAGGAAATTTTGTGACTCTTAGTTGTCGGGAATCCATGAAAAAAAGATAATGAACAATGTCTTGTTTGGATCAAAATACAGTTGTACCCGCAAGTTTGGTTGTTTCAAACTCTCTGAATAACATTTAAAGTTACACCCTGTTTTTTTTTATTAAAAAGTTACAAAATCACTTATTTACATCTTGTCATTAAAACTGATCAAAAATGGATTATGTATTTCAGTTCAGCACCAAATTTAGCAAATCGCACAGTCGACTCATTTACAAAAATATTTTCAAGAATTTCAAAATGGAGCATTAAGAAATACTCAAAATGATTCTCAAATTTTAGTACAGAATAAATGAATTTACGAATATTAAAACTTATTCAACAATGTGAACTCGGATGTATTGCCAAGTCAAACATTTTATTCACTTAATACCCGTCAAAACAGTTGCAACAAATTTTGTATTTTTGGCTAGTTTGCTTTAATAAGTAGATATCGGCATCATAGAAGACGATGATTGGTATGTCTGCTAGTGAAGATCTTAATCAGGCATTTTAGTTAGTGTCACTTTGAAATGACAAATTGTCAGCTGTCACCCAATGACACGCATACCTGTAACCTCTCTCATTGTCCACAATAGAGGGCAGTCTTCAATCCCATCATGGGTGGCTCTCCAACCTCGCGATTCTCCGCAGACTCCGCTTACTCTTGCCGCTCCCGACGCCGTTCCCTTTCTTCGCTGTGTTTTTCTCCCGAAGCACCGGACAGACGGAGTTAACGTGGAACTCACAGCAGCAGTTGGTACAAAAGTCGTAGCCGCAGCGCGTACACTGCCCTCGCTGGCCATTCATCAGTAAGTTCGCTGGTGACTGGCAGTCAGCTTTAGCACATTTGGTGAGCGATTCATCGGCTAGAAGAGATTCTGAGGCCTGCAAGGAAACAAAACAGAACATTTTCAAAGAATAAAAATTGTTTACATGTACTCTTGTAAGATGGTAATTTTTTACAGTTTATTTTTCTGAAGCGTGATAGTCTAAAAAATTGATTCAATCAATTTCTAAATCTGTTCTAAAGCCAACTACCTACCTCTCTGAACCTGTCGTGGTTGCTTGGTCTAGAAGCAGGCGTGCTTGAGGCTTGAGGTTCACCTAGTCTCTGAACCTCGCCAAGCGGGGTGGATGAACTCACTGTGGCTCGCTGCGAAGTCTGCAGAGGGTAATTCTCCTGTTGACAAAGAAAGCAATGAGTTAAAATTGTTGTTGTACCCGTATAGCCATCCTATTGTTCTCTTACTGAGTGAGTGACAGACTGACTCCTCGAGTCATCGACTGACTGTCTCCCTCCCTGACTGAGTCAATGACTGTCTGACTGAGTCATTGAGTGTAATTAAAATTCCTAATCAATTGACAAGGCAAGCGTAGTAACTAGTATTGTTCAATATGTGCTTCGATCAATGCCTGTAGAACCTTGCTAATAACACTGCTTTGATGAGTTTCAACAACAGCTATAAAGTTCTGTGGGACGGCAACAAGGCCAGGGTGATGTAAATTATGTGCCATTATATCCTTTCCCTCAGTAATTTTTGCTATTATACAAAATCACAGAAGCAGGATTAGTGGTGAGGCTTATTACATGGCCCTTCAATGAAATGCAATTAAGAAATCCAAGAAATGCTGATGTGAACAATGAGAAATCAGCAATCCTCCGATGAGCAGTGTTGTAACTGTCAAGTCCATCAAAAGTCTTTTAGTCTCAGGTCAAGTCACTAGCTATTCAAATGAACTGTAACAATGGCATTCCTTTGTCTTCTATCCCCTTACTTGTGAGTGGACTTACAAAAGGACTTGTGATGGACTGACTGCCTCACTGCAAATGAGTGCACCTACTATTATCTGATGCACTCTCTTACTCACTTTATTTAGAGGTTTTTGCTAATTGGCTTTGTGCATTCACCAACGTGTGCATGTCCGGATTGTCTAGCTGACTGGCCAAAAAAAAAAATATTTAGAGAAGGACGATGAAACTAATGAAATTGTTAGATTAAAATCACCTTGACACGTCTTCTTGGTTTTGATTTCTGCTGAAGGAAGTGTCTCTTCCTCGAAGTGATTTCTTTTCTGCGTCCTGCAATACGCCGCCATTCTAGACACACACCGCTGAATCTGGAAGGAAATGTCCAAATACACAAAATTATTTAGAATTTTTTTGGTCAAAATAACATTAATTTTTTTTAATTACAAGTTCATTCAGTCAACGTAAAAAGAAAAAAATTCCAAGCCTACATCAAAATAATTTGTACATACTTTTATTTCAAGGATTAAGATATAAAACAGTTATCTACTTGCACTTTGTGATTTTTCTTTTCAATGTTTTTTTTTGGATAATCAATGGTTTACTTCTTCCTTTTTAAGTTTTAGTAATTTTGTTTGTTGTACTAGACTGTTTTTAATAACACACATGATGTCATCAACCAAAATGAAATATATTAAGAAATACAAATAAACAATACAAAATTCATCTGATCTCGGGTAAAGTTGCTAATGTTTAATCTGTATCTTGTTGATCTGCAATTATACCTCACAATATCTTCATCACTGAACTCCGCCAAGATTTTATCCAACAATGCCGGTTCGTGATGCCCCAACTCGGTTACAATATCCATCGTCCCCCTCCCCACTTTACACGGTCGTTCAGCGAACATTCCTGGTGAGCTGTACCCAGAATCCTCCTCAGCCATTGCCCTGCTGTACATCAGACCAAGACTCTTGGCACCGCTTAATACTGGCGTTCCGTCAACTTCATCTCGAGGAACGATTCGGGTGAACTTCTTGGCAGCAGGTATGGACAGTTCTTCCGATGCTGTTCTAACTTTGAGACTTTTCTGGCTGGATGTTTGACCGAAGAGGCCCATACTACTGTCATTTTTTCTTGTTGCAGGAACATGAGGAGTTTTGAAATCTTCGGTCACACTCTTGTTCTGATGAGTAGTGTCTTCATCTTCACCCTTTGATTTTTGTGATCTTGAATTTGCTGGCGAAGAAATCTCCAAATTTGGAGAAAAGTACCCATCGTCTTGAATGCTTTTGGTGATTTTTGTACAAGTCTCTTTCACCAAGCCAGAACGCTTAGAAAGGAGTACTGATTCGTCATCTCTTGTGGTCGTAAACTCAGGAAAATGTCTTGAAGTTGATGTTGAACAATCTCCAATTTCCCTATTCCTCCTTGGACAATGCATTGGAATACTGCTGCTGGACCCAACATTGTCATCATTTCTGCTGGCTTGGTCGGCACAAAGCATGGAAGAGGATAAACAATATCTTATGGGCTTTTCTGCCTTCAAAATGGAACGATCCTCAGCCATTTTCGCCGAGATAAAGAAGTGTAGTGGTGTGTCACTCTCAGTTTGGAGTGAAAACTCGGCAGCAATGAACATGTACAGTAAGCAGTCAGTGTTGTTTATTGAACTCCAAACATGCAAACAAAAATCTCAGATTTTTGGCAGAAAAGGGCTCTAATTTAGTCCCTTGGTCCATGTGTACATCGACGAATAACCATAATTTCACTTGGCATTAGATCGGCGTCTTGATTATGCTTTGATTTTGAGAAAATCGGAAAAAATCGAAGACCGTCTCAACTGCGAGTTGCAGCTTTTCATTTCAGAATTCGCGCGGGATGACGTTTTCCCATCATCCTTTGCGAGAGACGCGCTGTTAATTTGGTCTTGCTCCCAGAATCATTCCCCATGTTTTATCATATGGAAAATACAACTGACTACTCGGCATTAAAATCCATGTGTTTTTGTGCGATCGTCTAACGAAAAGGTTGGCCAGTTTAGATACATTTGTTTTCATCTTTTCTGTTTCTGATTTTTGAAAGATGTTCTCTTAAATATAATGTCCACCCAAACTGTTATTTCTTGTCACCTTATGTGAAAAATTGGGCATGCTGTTTGCCTTTTAAACCATATCCCTTGCCTTGTGTCGTGTCGTGGACGTTGACGTTGTGTAGTTTGTATGCGTAGGAACGTCCATTCCCGACACTATAAACATTGTTCGTTAGAGGGCGCTGTTTTTTCCTCGTATAAAAAGTTTGACACAATGACAGCAACGTAACTCTTAACCAATCCCAAGACCAGAATTAAACATTTTAAATGATCCTAAACTTTGTCAAGTGTCTGCCACTCCTGTTCTGCATTTCAGGGAACGCAGTGGCTATTGTTACGGCAGCCGTAACGCATTTCCCATTTTCTATCGTTACGGTAGACTGCAACCTGGCAACTTTTATAAAAAAACATGACAAGAAAATATAAAATTAGAAGGAAAAAAGTGAATTTGAACTTTATGAAATTCGGACTTTATTTCCCTTTTAAAAAAAATCCTCCAAAGCCTCAGGTTAGAAAAGGAAAAAAATTCGAGTGCAAAACTGAGATTTGAACCCGCAACCTCACGGTGCAAAATCCTACCCTCTATCGGCTAAGCTGACGCACTGCTCGACAAAACGTGTGGAAACAAATAATTATATACCTGCGTGCGTATCAAAAAAATATCGTAGAGGGCGCTAAACAATGAGTGCCGTAACGATAGCCACTTCGTTCAGGGAAAGCCTAGGCTTACAATTAATTAATTACAAGTTTGAAAGATTTCATATTTATTACATTGTTTAAACTGAATTTAAATTACATTTATTCCAATTTTCCATTTCAGAATTTTTTTTTTTCCTGTTGCCATGGAAACACCTAATCCCAAGGAAGGTGGTGCACCTGCTACCGTCAAGCAAATTATGGTCTACATTTGTGGAGGTGAGGTTGTCATGGTTATCATTTTAAACTTGTAAGAAAGTAAGATTTCACTAAGATTAGAATTCCAAAGTTTACCTAAAACTGTTTCAAAAACTAATTGTCATTGATTGTGACAGGCTTTGGGTCTCACTTAATTTGTTGTTCGTTATATTTTCTTTTTGCAGAATGTCATCATGAGAATGAAATCCGAGCTCGTGATCCCATCCGCTGTAGAGAGTGTGGCTATCGCATCATGTACAAGAAGAGAACCAAACGAAGTATCCTTTTTATCAAATGGCTACTCTGGCAAGAAATCTGTCGCAAACAGAATTTTCTTCATGCCATTTTGTTTTATGATGTTCTTCCTATTGAATGTTGAAATTTTATGAACTCCCAAAAAAACAAAAACGTTTAATGAGAAATTTAAAGGGAAAAAACAAAATCAAAAGCCGTTTCCTTAACAGAAATATCACAGTGGTTGTATTTGATGCAAGGTGATCGATGCTGCAGGATGCCAGTTACAAGGCAGGCTACCAGTGAATCTCAACTCTGCCTGCTGTATAAATAATTATCTTCACTCGTTTATTCCCGGAGAAGCTTAACATCGATATGCCTGTCACTGTGGACATTTGTACCGACTTAAAAGACTTGTAACGTTTGGCTCAAGACAGATGGCATTGTGCAAAATGTCATAAGAGATATCGCGGTACTGAGTAGTGATAATGTCAAAGTTGATGCTGCAATGCTGAAGTTTTCCATCAACCTACATGTACAGTCGAGTCTCGTTATAACAAACTCGTTCGCACCTAGCGAAATTGTTTGTTATATCAGAATTTTGTATTAAGAGGAACATCAGTCCCATTCATTGTGCATATAAATGCACAGTTGGGACCAAGGCTTTATGTTTGTTATAACCAGAATTTTGTATTAACAGTGTTTGTACTAACGAGAGTCAACTGTAGTTCTATTTATGTAAATATTTTTATCTTTACACACTGTTTGAGTGGATATTTAAACTGCTCCGAGTAAAAAGTATACACATGTAATGATCTGCTCCTTGTCTTATATACTTCAGTTGTTTTAAATAGACATGTTCAGCTAAGAACTTCTGCACATCAGTCGATAACCTTTTTTTTATTAGAAATTTAAAATTTCAGGAAAAAGATGCTCAAAACTGATGAAAAATAATACCAAATGTTGCAGTTCTGCTGCAGTTCTGCTGCAGTTGAAGCAATTTGCAAAAATATTGTGTATGTGTTGCACCTGAAGTTTGCATGAAGTACTAGGCATTTTTATTGCATTCATTTTGTTTAACTTCTTGGAACTTCATGTACTTTCAATAAAGATGAAACATCATGCAGTATGAGGTTGTTAATGAATACTTTTCTTTGTTAAACGTTTTGTTCTACGTTAAACGTACTGCTTATAATACTTTTATGCATACTTGCTTCAGCCATGAGTTTGCCGAATACAGTAAACATATTCCACCTTGAAAAATAATTTCCATGAAAAAGTGGTCAATTAAGGTAAATGGTGCATCAATGCTTGGACTGTATCACTTCATCAGTGCACAGATTATCGGACCCTCAATTGCTCAAGCCTCAAAATCACTATTAAATTGAATTAGGCAGTTTTTGTTGTGTTTTATGCCCTTTTTTCACAGCCAAAGAATATCGACTGGTTTAATCAAATACCAGGCACAGCTGACGAAGGACAAATCAATTAAAGTCGCTTACCGTGCCAGGAAAATTGGGCAATCATTACTTATTAACGGGTTGCTATGGTAACGGCGGCCCTTAAATGTCTACCCAAAAGATTGATTCCTGCAGCATTTGAAGTGCCTGAGGGTATCGAGTGCCTTTTAAACTAGGTTTGATAAAATGAATTCTTAAACGAAGGACAAAAACAATTTAAAATCAATCCATCTTCTGAGGTCCGTTTAAAATCAATCCATCTTATGAGGTTCCGTTGATGTTGAAAGCCTGACTTCGGGTTGTGTAAAGCAGAATAGTTTCTTAAGTACAAAACACTTGCGCAGCTGTGAGTGAAATGCCTCTGGTGAAGTGTTCTGCAATCAAGGGACGACTTCCACTCTTTGTTGTAGCCATAGCAACAACGGATGTGTTCCTAAGCGTGCAAGATGAGAGCTGTCTTGGAAGAAAACGCCTCGTACAGCAAAGAGAGCATTCAGTCATCTACGTGACTTAACTGGGAATGCTAGTGTTGCACAACTGATAGAGCAAATCAAGTTGAAGCTTTCTAACTTGGAGAACATTGGAGACAGCTGAGCTGCAACATTTTTATTGTGGGGAAACCTTCCTTCGGAATTTTGAAGTGTTAAAACTTATGGACATAATGGAGCCTGAAGAATCACTGCTCTTTCCGACATCTTCATTTAACGAAACAAATTTGACAAGTACGAGAATTGTAAACTTGATTGAGTCAAATTTACAGACACCTCTAGCTACAATCCTTCTACGTACCGTGAGTATTTTTTTCGCATTCGTTCTGATCGTCACAAGTAATTTTGTGAACTTGGTTGTCTTGCCTCGGACCAAGTGTTTCGGTGAGGTGACGCGGTTTCTACTTCGGTCTTTGGCGATGGCAGATCTCCTGATTGGCGTTTGTATGGCTTTTAGCGTTTGGCCGGCTATTACGGATAATTGGCCTTTTGGAGATGTAGTGTGTAAGATTATTGGTAGCTCGGGAAGTCTCTTGGCTACCGCATCGTCGCTGACTCTCATGTGCATCAGTGTGGATCGTTATTTGGCGGTGATGAAACCGCTACGGTACATCACCATCGTTACCGTCAAACGAGCTCGCTGTGCCGTCACAGCGGTCTGGCTTGTGTGTTTCATCTACATCGCTTTTGTCGACACAGCAACCTGGCCGCCTCTTCAGAACATCACCTACGACCCCGTCCTCTGTAACTGCATCATGAAGTTTTTCGACGGCGAAGTGTTCCCGCAAGCGCTTGGTGCGGCTGCTGTATGTGTAGCTCTACCAAGCGTAGTCATCACCTTCGCCAATGTCAAACTTCTCATGGTCTCTATTCATCATGCCAAACGAATCGACGCCATTCCAGGAAATCGCAAAGATGGCCGACGTATACCGACCAGAGAACTCAAAGCTATCCGAACAACGCTCGTCATCACTGGAATCTATTACATCGCTTGGACACCGTTCCTAGTGACCCAGATATACACGGCTGTTTCTTCAGTCGCCCCAGCAGACTGGCTTCATTATTCATCCGGTTATCTCGTCCTGAGCAACAGTTGGTGGAACGTCTTCATTTACTCCTTTATGAATAAGAACTTCAGGAAGACACTCGTGGACTTGTTCACCAGAAACTGTGGCCATTGTAAGACGAGTAACGAAATGCAAAGTCACAGCAGTGTTGCGTCCAATTGCAGGGTACAATTTGAAGACGCCAACTCAACTCAACTCTCTTGAACAAAGCGTTTATCGCAAGAACCTCAAATCAAATTGTGGAACTATAGACAATGACTTTGCATGAGTTGCTGATGTAAAATAACAAACCTGATGAACTTTAGATAATTTTTTTTTTTTTATGCTAGGTAGCCTCTTGAACTGAAGCATCATTAGCGATGTGAACAACAGGCATGCAACTGGAAAGTCACCAAAAAAAAAGAGGAAATTCAAATCTTTCAAACACTTTGTACAGTGTTTTTCTATTTTCAATGACACATATGGGAAGTCAAAAAAGAGGAAATCAGCTGATCTGAGGAAAAGTTGCATGCCTGGAACAAGCAAATGCACACTGCTAGGAGACAGCACTCATTTTTGTGGTGGTGTACTCAACAACATAAAAAGAAAAGACTGAACAGTGTACAACAGTTTAAAATTTGTGATCAGCAATTTCTTAATACTGCTCTCATAATTTCAACGCAAGGAAACAAATAACAGGAATAACCCTTTAAAAGGTTTTTTTTTCACAAGTGAATGTATAAGCTCAACAAGTAGTACTTAGCTGTTGAAAAAAAAAAAAAAAATGTACTTGGAAACAAAAGGAAATTTTACCATATTGCCAGTGTGAGTAATGCATCATTTTTTTCTTACAAAAATCAAATCAATTTTGGCAAGCAGTGTCAAAAAAACGTGCTTATAGTTTCATGTTTGAAACAAATTGCTACAAAATTCCTACACTTCTACGGATACTGAATTCATCAAATTCTCTACTCAAATTATTTAAGGATAAAAATTCTTAATGTGGACGTTTGTGTCAAGACATTTCAGCCAGGTGCACATGAACTATGCAACGATGGACACAATTTCTGTAATAATACAAACATTTTGTAATAATATTACAAAATTCTGTAATATTACAGAAATATGTAACACAAAACTAACACACAACCTGTTGAAAGTTGAAGGTACAAGGCTTTTCACAATAAAGCAAGGACGCATAATTTGTAAATTCCTGCAATTTTCAAAAGAAAGACTCCTTTTAAATACACTTGTTTTTCTGACTTATACATCCTGGGCAAATTGTTTCGAAATAACAACAAAAGTTTTTACAACTACTTATCAAATCCTCTGCTGTTTGAAAGGATTAGAAAATTGTATCATATCACATCAAAACTTCTCTCCTTTACTTTTTGCTTTTCTTACAAGAAGTTACTACATATTTACCCGATGTTAACCTCTACACTAAAATTGTGTTTTGCAAACCCTTCACCAAAACCAACCAGAAAAGAGCCAACAGAAATTTATACACATCCGAAATCACAATTTCATCTCAAAACATTCTGGGACCACTTCAGAAAAGTCGCCTTAAAACTGAACCAAATCTCGAGAACAAAATCATGTGTAATGATGTTTATAAACCAGAACAACTTGTTCCTTCATCAATATTTTTGTACAAAAGTTTAAAACTTTGCCAAAAAGCTACCCAGTGCAAATACACATAAATCAATATTTAATCTGACTCTCACACATTTTGATTGTTTTTTTTTTTTGGAAAAATTATGAAACAAAAGAGAAAAACGTAGTGATTGATTTTCAACCTTGCCCTGATCATTGAAGACTCACTACATTCTGAGCAATTACAAAAAGGCTGCGGCATCACGCGATGGTTTACTTCTCGCGTCTAAAAACAGAGGGGGAAAAAGAAACAAAAGATTTGAAGTTTGGTCAGTTGTTGTTTTTGAAATAGGCAAAGATATAAACAAGCACAGGTTTTGGAATGGAATTGGCTTAGTTAAGAGTGTTATTAGTTGTACCTTAACATGTTGGCATACTCCACATGAAACAAGTGGGTAACGCCGACAATGGGTAAGGAATTTGATGTCCAACGTCATGGAAAGGATTCACATCATAGCGTTAGGCTCTGTGTCCTATGATATACGTTGGGTGTAGGGGGTGTCGGTGTAGGGGTAAAGTTGGTGGGGTTGGGGACTGGGGTTGGGGACTGGGGTTGGGGATGGGGTTGGGGATGGGGGTAGGGCGGGCGAAGGGGGTGGGGGAATTGGTAAAGGGAAGAGGGACTGTCCATGAAAAGGAATTCATGTCACAGTGACAGGTTCCATTTTGTAATGTCAAACGGTAATGTTCAAAGTTGGGCGACGGGGGTAGTTGCAAGTTTTGGGACTGTTGGAGGACTGTCAAAGGATGGAATTGGGGGTCGGAAGGAGGGGAGGGGCAGGTGGAGGGAGGTGAAAGATGACTTACTTCTTTTGTGCAATGCTGCTAAGCAATCGGTTCCCAGTCAAGAAGGTGAAGATGCCTAGGAGGCCTAGATACTGGAGAGTCTGGAACATGTTGAGATAGACCCAGTAGCAGTAGAACAAGCCCAGGATACCTACAAGAACAAACGAAGAAAGTTATTCTTCCATTTTTTTGGGGGGGGGGGGCTTCATACTTCTCGAGAATGCACAGCGAATTTGAAATCTGAAAAATATTCTCAGAAGTTTTTACGGAGTTTAAATGTTTTCAGCTTTTGCAACTTAGAAGCGCGAAACTTGCTGTGACAAATCGCATTTGCGCCGAGTATGAAACGGCTTTAAGTTTGGCTGCAGCACCTTATTTGCCTAAACTAAAATGTTCTCAAATAATGTTCCAAGTGAATGGTGTTTCGGAAAGAGCTTACCTGCGAGACCGAGATGAAAGCCGATGGCACCGATGGAGAACGTAAAGCCCTTCATGTTAGCGCCAAGCTTCACCCACTGAAAATAACAACGGAATTCACAAATAAACAATAACCACAAATGACAAAACTAAAAGCAAAGACATTCGTTCCTTTTTTACAATCTTTCAAAAAAAATGACCAAAATCTTCAACTCTGCAGTAATGTGGCAAATTGTAGTTTGTATTCGACAAAGTAGCCTTTGCTACCAATCTCATAACAATTTACTTTTTGTCATTCAAACTTTCTTTCCAACCTAACCACAAGTACTTAAAATGAAAACTTGATGTTGCAACTTTATTCAAGTACAAAATTGTGCCATCAAGTTACAATTCTGAATCTTGGCAAGCTCAGGTACCTTCACCCAAAAAAATTCCGAGGTAAAGTTTTTGGAAGCTTACCAGAATGACGAGCAGCAGCAGAGGAACAAGGCACAGTGCAGTGAAGGTAGTAGACACTGCGGTAGGAGGACGTTTCTCAGGAACACGGAACATGTGCTTGATCTCTGGCAGCTCAGCATAGCGGGCCTGGGGTGCTGGCTTGGTGTCCTCCTGTTCAGGGAACTTCAAGGTGACGTCAGCCTAGGAAAGAGAACAAAAAAGGCATTGATGGTGCAAGAAACTAGGAAGACGGGAAGGTGTATCAAACAGCCCACTTATTGCTAACCTTTGTTATAATTTAGTGCGATGCAACTTTTGAATGCCAAACTGGTGTAACATTTAACAGGTTCCCAGCAATTTATGAAAAAAATTAATTTCCATGAGTTTTCCCTGGGAAATTTTCAAAATCATATGAGAAATATTTTCACTTTAACAAGGTTGCTGAGTCAAGAGGTGGTGTAGCACAACCAATTATTGTCTAGAGAGGTGTCATAACCACTCTGCATAAATTCCAAAAAGCAAGCATAGCCAATGGACACAACTTGGTCACATGGCACAAGAGGTACCTACGCACTGAAGAAAATCTTTCCCTTCTGGGTCACTGTCAAATTCCCTGATTTTTGGTCTTTGTCCCAAATTCCCTAAGTTTCACTGACTGGAAAATAGAAACTCATTTTCAAGGTTTTCCCTGATTTCAGAGGTTGATTTTTGGTTGATTGCTCTTACCAAGTTCCAGGAGAAAGGATTCATGATGATGGCATCTCCAATGATCAGATCCAGGGTGTATTTGCCAGATTGCTGGTTGAAGTACTCACGGCCGCTCTCGGCGACGTCGAGGTTGAACTTGTACATCAAGGACGCATCGCCCTCAGCTGTGAAGATGACCTCCTGTTTGGTCTTGATGTTGGACAGACGGACAAAGGCCTAAAGAGACAAAATATTACGATTACAGGAATTACTACACAGCTCTTGTTGCAACTTTAATTTGCAACTACAAAGCAACTTTAGAATGGATATCAGCCCAAGTCCTCCAAAATCCTTTAAAATCTTCCAGGAGCTTCTTGAAGCTTGCCAGACTTGACATTAATCCTCCGAGATACTATAATAGTAGGGGAGTCACATTGGTGTAGCGGTTCTTTCCTCGCCTTCCACCGCTGTGACCCGGGTTTGAATCCCGCCTGGGCCAATATGTGGATTGGGTTTTCAGTCCCTGCCTGATTCCGTGGGTTTTCCTCAGAATAGTTTCTGGGGTTTACCTCCAACCTCTGAAACTGTTAATTCTTCTCATTGTCTGCTCTCTACGGGTTTCTGCAGGCTTGCGAGCTACAGTGCCTGTGGCGCTTTTGAGGAATCCTTGGTTTCATTACCAGAAATAAACAAATAAGTAATATCTAACAAGAGTTTTTGGAGGATTTTGCAGGATTGAGGAATGTAGGGCATAGCTTCTTTTATTTTACACCAGCACTGACGCCCCTCAACTTAAATTACAAAGAATTTGCCAATGGTAGATTTGGAGGATTCGAAAGGCCCGGCCAAACATCAAAAGTGAAATAAAACTTTGATCAATTTAACAAGATGATGGACACTTACTTGATGGACAGACAGCGGTTGTCCAGCCTTGTCCTTCAGGTTGAACTTGAGGACCACGCTCTGGTGATGGTCAGCCTCCAGACCCTTGTCCACTTTTCTTGGGTGGACGACCCTGGACAATGAAACACAAGCAAATAAATAAACATAATAATAATAATAAATTTGAGGGGCTTATTGTTCTTACTCACAGCAGAGCTGAATTACGAATGACAACCTTGAAAACCCTTGACAGAAAGTTATTGTAAAACATTGCTGTAGTAGTTGAGAAGCAATTGACTTGCGATTTACAAAATGATCCACCTAGAGTATCTGGACTACCACCCTGACTAACACTCACTTGACAGTCTTGGCGGTGATCGACTGATCCTTGTCGATGATCGAGATCTCCATGTTATCCACGGTGACCTCCGTCGTGACCTTGACGAGAATAGCGCCCTCATTCAGACCAATCAGGGCAGGGTTTGGTGCGGAGGGCTTGGCCTTGAGGGACACCGAGTAGAACGCAGGGGCTGGCTTGGACTCCATCAGGTTCAGCTGGTACTCCGTCCTGCAGCCCAATGAATAATAATCAAAAGACAGGATACCAGTTATTCTTTAACAAGTGAATTGTAAAAAAATTTGGCCAACAAAGGACAAAATCCGATGTATATTTTTAAAAATCTGGGAAAGTAGAACAGTTGGAAAAGTAACCAACCTCACTTGGTTATCATAAGTAAACCACACAGCGCCAACGGCAAAAGAGAAATAAGACATTAAAAAAAAAATTGTTTTTTACAAAATCTGAGAAGAGAGGTTTTATTTACGGGTTCTTGGTGCCCTCAAACGCCAGGTCTTTAGCGATTGCTTTCCCGCCGTCTTTTGGCTTTACAGAGGACGCCTCAACAGTCAGCTTGCCGACACTGCCTGACATCAGGTTGGAGACTTCCACCTTCAAAGAGAACGGATCAAGGAAAACAGACTTAAAATCAGCTGGTGAAGCTTTTAAAAATACTTGTAACTGGATTCATACAGTATTTTCAAACGCTTCTAGTAAAAACCACTCCTTCCAAAAAATGTTCCAAACCACTGATAATGTTTGCACATAATTCATTCACATACAACAAACTACAAAACCTGCTGTATCAGGAATCGTTTACAAAACTATTGTGTGCAGAGAAACAAGAATAAGGCACTTCTTAACGTGGGTACGTGCTTGACCCTCACATATCAAAACGTCACTTGACTACACAACACAATTGAGAAACAATTACCTTGACATTTGGTGCATTGGTAGAGACGGCCATAGATCCCACTCTGGTGAAGGCAACAGGCACATGGAACTGGAAATATAAAATGACAAGAAATATTAAGTGTACCTTAACTCACGGCAACGCAGTAAAACACATGTCTATGAGAAATGGCTTCAGCTCTTCCATAGGCGCATGTGTAATAACAAGCCACAGCCTAGTCAATTCAAACATGGCTTAAGGCTGTGTCCGTATTACCTGGCTACGGCTAACAGCAACACGTGTCAATGGGAAGCGGATTCAGCCGCTTCCATAGGCGCATGTGTAACAGCAAGCCATAGCCTTACCTTGTTACTAGCCAGAGCCTTGACTCCAACCACAACGCTGTAGGCATTGGCAGCCGTCTGTGTTGACTTACGGCTCAGGACAAAGTTACCCAGCAACACAGCTTGATCCTGTCAAAGTTAGAAGAGATCCAATGCTGTCAAACATCCAATCAATCAAATCAAATACAATCAAATCAAATCAACTCATATTTTATCAAATGCAATCAAATACAATCAAATCAAATCAAATGCAATCAAATCAAATCAAATCAAATGCAATCAAATCAAATCAAGTGCAATCAAATCAAATGCAATTAAATCAAATACAATCAATTCAAATCAAATAAAATCAATTCAAATCAAATACAATCAATTCAAATCAAATACAATCAAATCAAATCAAATAAAATGCAATCAAATGCAATCAAATGCAATCAAATCATATCATATCAAATCACATAACATCAATAGCAATCAAATGCAATCAAATCAAATGCAATCAAATCGAATTGAATCCAATCCAATCCAATCCAATCCAATCCAATCCAATCAAGTCATATCAAATCAAATCAAATCACATTAAAACAAGTCAAATCAAATCAACATGAAATGGTAGGTTGTGTCTGTTTATGGTTTGAATGAGATCATTCTTACCTCAGTAATGAGTGGTTTCTTATTGACTTTTGCAGCCAGCTTGTAAGCTCCATCCAAAAATAGACCACTCTGGAATAAGGTATCAAACTGCGGAGGAAATGAAAACATAGTATCTTCACAATTCAAAGCAATGTTCAAGAAAAACAAAAACCAATCCAGATACATGTAGCACTCAAATGTGCACTCAAACAATTATAGGATTTTACAAAGACTGGTTTTTCTAAGCTTGACTTAAATTTGAGAGTAAGGAGAATAAAAGGATGTGAAGATAATCAACATGTTCAGAGGGATCAACTAAGAAAACAAAAAAATACTCAAAATGTAGTTGGGAAAGATAACTTGGCAATTAAGAAGTTTTCTGTTCCTTTTACAAAGAAATTACACAGCAATATTAATACCTGCAAATATTTTTCATCTATTTCGTCTGCCTGGGCCACGATGTCTTCAATGAGATCAAAATATTTGTCCACGTTTGTTTCAGCTGGAAGCAGAGAGGCGATGTGCAAGGCATAGCTTGAGCTGCAACAAAATACAAAAACAACTGTTATTGACTAGAAAAACTTATACAGATTTCCAACTAACTCATCAAATGAGAAATCAGTAAACGTCTTGATGTCATAGAGAAATGGATTTGAAGTGGCTTACCTCGTAACACCATCGTCTTTTTTAAGAGCCGAGTCCAATGATTTTAGGACATCAGCAGGGCTGACTGTGGAAAAAAAATATATTTATTTTTTTAAATTTTAAAACAAGCACCAACGAAAAACCCACACAGTTAAAAGCTGCTATAACAAAAACTGTTTAAACAAACAACCACCAACCACTAAGGAACATTTCTTATGGACCCCTTCGTGTTCGTTACAGCCACGTTCTACTGTAATCTTTTTAAAGATATGCAAGTTTGAAAATATTACTTTTGTAAAATCCACATTCTTCAAATTTTTGTTCACAAACACGGCATCTGAACTAATTTCTACTTATAGGGCAAGTAACTTTTTTTCATTGAAAACATCACAAAACATCACACCATGAAATGATGCGATGTCATTATTTCTAAGTTTTATTCTTTCAGAAGCTTGAATTGGCAAAAACACTGACGTTACCTTCGTTCTGAAAAATTCTGGACTTACATTTCAGGCCAAGGGTGGTGAGGGCCGACACAGCGTAGAAGAGCGTTGCCATGTCAACGCTGTCATTGATGGCAGATGATAGGGACTGCTCGTTTACTGTAACCTGTGCGTTACAACGATCATACAAAAATTAGTTCGAGCTTCACTCTGTCTATTTAAAGATCAACATTCAGTATTCAATACAAATTCATAAAAAAAATTTTTAACAGAATTCAGATTCAAATTTGATGTCTAAGAGAATATTGAAATGTTCTGGACATTGTAGTAAAGGTTAAAGCCCATACCATCATAAGATACAAGGAATACTGGTTGTGGTACCTGCTGCTATATTGTTTGAGCAAAGCCAGCTGAGCCGGAAAGCTGGGTGGTCGAGTAGTAAGACGCCTGCACTAGGAAGCAGGAAGTCGCGGGTTTGAGTCCAACCCGAGTTATTTGTGAATTTTTTCTCACATGCACTCCGACAACAGTGAGTATACAGTATTTATAAAAATATGTCAGTGATGGGCAAAAAAATCAATATTGAAAATACAAGGAAATCTTAGGATGTAATGTTCGCTGTAATGCTATTTTTACCTTGCAGTTTTCCAGAGCCTTTGCTGCAGTGGTAGCATGGTAGACGGACTCCACGTTATTAGGGTCCAACTTGGCCTTCAAGAACGTGCATGCTTCCTGCAAAATAGAACAAGATTATCAGTGTAGCAGCAGCAATGCTTCAAATTTTAAAGAAAGGTTTCCAACATTTCTTAATTAAGACTTTTATTGGGATTGATATTTTCAAGCAACAAACCTGTGCATTAGGAATCGGCACACTGAACAGCTTCAGACCCAGGATGGAATAGTGGGCGTCGGCCAGGTCAGTGAAGGGGCGGGACGAGGCAAAGACCGCCTTAATCTTGGCTTGATCGTCCAAGGACAGGATGGTGACTGGGCTGAGCGCCTGGCCCAAGACGGCACAGATCAGGAACACTAACAGAGTGGCACCTTGAAAGACACACACAAGGGAAGGGAACACAATGGGTACAAGGGCCACAAAATGACAAATTCATGTTTAGCTTTGTTTCAAGATTGAAATAAAATGAGGAATCTGTATAGTTACTTTTTTGAGACAGATAGACCTTGATTACATATCAACCATGGCATTCATAAATGATCAACCTTGTTTGTACGTGATCGATTCAATGATTTTACCACTTAACGTGGACTGAATTTCAGAATTACATATTCCATTAATTAGTTTTGAGACAGATTTTAAAAGCAATTGAAAATTTTACAGCTCACTTTATAAACAAACATGCAGATGGACAACACTGTATTGAAGTTAAAATTCAAATGAAAAAAAAAATAGCGTTTGTTTGTCAACTATTACAAAAAAAAAATGCTGAAGTAAAATTTTTAAAATAGTGAGAAAAAAAATTACATTTTTTACTTGGGCCAATTCCTCTATTGACCATTGATTGTCTACTTTCATAAGTTTAAATTAAATTAGAACACCAACCACAATTAAAAGCACAAGTACAAGTAAAAACTTGAAATAGTGTAAAATGTCAAGTACCTATAGTAGTAAATAAAGAAATCCCCGCCCATTTTTAACTCCAATCAAAAACAAATGAAGCAAACCACACGCAGAACGTGTACGTTTGTGCATGTATCATGAACGAGTCGGTTGCCAGACTTCCATTCAACTACATTACACGTGGCACACGCTCCGTGCACACGAACGGACAAAACTGGGCCAACTTCCTCGTCAAAATGAGCTTTATTATGAGCTTTAACTATTCCCCAAAATAACTAGAAGCAAGCTAATCAATAGGATACGTCATGCTATTTTACACAATCTGATTATCGAGGTTTAATTCTGTGGTAAAGTTTCGTGTTTTTCGTTACCTCTTTCCATGGTTGTTGCTTCTGTAGCCCGGGGACCAATCAGAAAAGGACGGGTGTTGTACATCATCCTGACAAGCGAGGGCGCTATTCATAATTTCCTTTCCCGCAAAAAATGGGAAAAATTGAGTGTTTCTCAATGCAGAAAAAAATAGCAGCACTTTTTACCCCTCTTTAGTAAAATGTAACTTAATTGTTTTGTTTTCGATGGACGTGGATAACTGAGCCGATATTTTTTGGAAATATCATTTTAAAATTAAGAAAAACAAAATTATGACGCTAAAAGCTCCTAAGTAATTTTGCAGTTTCATTTGTATTTTGCTTTTACAGCATTAGTGGCGTAGCACGGTTATTTTTATTGGGGGGGGGGTAATTTTTTTAAAGAGGGCACTTGCACATCCATGGTGAATTGTAGACAGGTATTTTTTTCCCCGGACACTTGGCCTCCGTAAAATAAAAAAAAAAAGGGGGGGGGGGCTGGTACCATCTGTCGATGGGGGCCGCGCGGTGTTCAAAACCGACGATTATGCGCACAAATGGCCAATATATGGTGCTTTCAGTTTCAGGGCGATACATGTGCGAAATTCAGAAAAAGGCCCCCAAAATGGCAGGCACCACTTATTTTTTTAAAAAGGGCACAAATTCAGAAAAAAGAGCACTTCTTACAAAAAAACACTCTTTACAAATTATTGGGGGGGGGGGGGGGGGTAAGCCCGTTGAAAAAAAGGGTATTTGCTTGGAAAAGGGCAGTCTTTACAAAATATTGGGAGTGGGGTAAATTACCCCCGCTGGCCACGCCTGTGAGTATATCTGTCGGCTATTTCAAGTTTAGCAACTACTTTGTTTCCTGCTTTCACAGCCATTTTGACAATATGAAGTAATCAATTTTGACACTGGTATTTTATTAAGGAATTTTGAAGTTTTCTGCCTTATATATTCCCCCCCCCCCCGTCGCTTTGTCAAAGTTTTTTTTTAGTTGGGGGGGGGGATGGGCGTCGCCAGGATTTTTTCTAGAGGGGGGCAAACCATATTTTTTCACAAAAAAATTCTTGTATTTCTCAACAAATTCTCGATTTATCAGTTTTAGAGGGGGCAGGGACATTTCCCCCCGCCCCCAAACTCATTAAATTTACACCACTATGACTTCGCGACTCTTTTTCTTTTTTCCCCCTTTTTTCTTCCCCCCCCCCTTTTTGTGTGTTGCTTTTCCAGGGGGGGGGGGGCAAGCGCCCCCTTGGCCCCCCCCCTCCCCCTCGCGACGCCCATGGGGGGGGGGGGGGGTTGAGGAGAATCTGCTAAATCCTAGTCGCCAAGCTAAATGGATTTCGGGATCAGAGAAAAGCTTAACCCGATGACGTAAAATAATCCTGTCGTTGAACTCTTTGGCATCAGTGAGGGCAGTTCCACATGCTAACGACGGCAGAATGCCGGGAAGTTGACCTCTATACTGTGCATGCTGGCTCGACCAGATGACGCTCTCTCTAGTCTCCCGACTCAGCATCCAGAGATGCGCCAGTGTATCCTTAGGTGATTCTCACCGAAGCATTTGCAAGGTCAAATCGCACTGTGGCGGAATGTACAGTGATAATCTATTTTCTGATCTGACATTCTCAAATTGCATTCGGAATTATGTAGCGCGGGCAATGGTCGCACGATGAACCATCAGTAAGATGGGTAGACTTGTACTAGTCACTTCTTGTGAATTGCCGTGCCCAGGTACGGGAAAATGTGCTGATGTATACATGTACTCTGCATGTATGATAATTATGAGTGATACATATTACGAAAGGCTTGCACTTCGATGTGTCAGAGCCCTAAAACGTTTTTTTGGAAAGTGTGGTCACTTTTATGAACCGTAAGACAATAATGACGTAATAATGCAGTCACTTCTTTTCCTACAATCAACTTCAGAATAATGGTAACTGGGATATTCATCTCAAATGTAGCTTCTACGCAGCAAAACTGCATAATGATAAGCGAAACAAACTAAGACAAATGACAGATGCTGTTGCATTTCTAAGAAAACTGCCGGTTATTGTATTTTCATTTTCAAGGCAAATTAGTGTACCATGGCAAGACGAATAGACATGACATTAGGATGTACGTAAGACAGCCTTTTAGTAACGTCAATTGGCAGTAATACCGTTGCGATGCCTACACGTCAGTGTCCAAGCGTTCCAACTATGCCATTGCTTACACGCTACATAGAGCACAACGTACCCAACGGGTCACGACCGCGTCCCTGGTACCACGCTGAATGACGTCACGCCAATACAGTACCGTGCGATTTCCACAGGTCACTGCCAACCAGTGAATGGCTGTGGTATTGGTTACTTGCTTTACTGTTGAAGATAGAAAATACAATCTTAATCCTACTTGGCACTTTGTGGCTATTAATTTTGACAAAAAGGTAAGTGGACGTAAGATTAATCTTTCTTTTTTGCATTGAAGCACTCGAAATGTCTTTAATTACCTATTCTACAGGCAACGAGGAATTGGGAAGGAATGTTAACATTATTTGCAAGATAGACTAGATGGTTCTTTCATCAAAGCTGATATGCTGAATTGAATCAATCATTATTTTACTGGAGGGATAGTCTGGGGCCGGGGCGAAATTGCATTCCAAGGAATTTTAAATCATATGTCTGACTCAGAGTTTTCTCAGTAAATCATTTTGACAAATATTGTTTTCTCCTTTGATAAGATAAAGACTTTATTTTCTTTTATTTAGTGAGGAGATTTTTTTTATCTGATGGAGCTGCATTAAATTGCTAAATAGGGCTATATTTAACCACCAAAATGCGTTTGGTAGCATGCATGTTAGTTTTGTAGCATGCAAAGTCGGGGCATACGCAAACTAACTCATCCTTATTTCCATAATTTGTTCTAATTGTAGACAAGCCTAGACACCAACAGCAGGGTACGAGAATGGCTCACGCAGTCGCGCACCATGGGCTCTCGGGCGCGGGTGGTAATTCCCATGGCAACAGAAGATCCAAGCAGCACGACCGGAATTTCGAGGCTGTATTCGGCATGAACAATTCGCGCCGGTCTGGTTCCCGTCCCCAGCTCCGCAGCCACTACTCCGGGATGGCCATGGGTGCTTGTTCTCCGGGCGTTTCATTGTCATCCGGTACACACAGCGACCAGACTCGTGAAGCATCGATGACGTGCACGCAACTGATTGGTCTACGCGTGGTTTCCATCCTGTCCGCCATTACTGGCGTCGCCCTGATATTTTTTGGCCTGTTTTTGATTCCTGGAACCAAGATTCTTGCATTGTGTATTCCTGGAGGGTTCCTGGTATTCGTAGCTTTGTTGATATGGTGCATTATGTACGTACGCCACGGAAGATGCTGTACCAAGAACAGTGACAGCGCGTCCTTGGGTGGACACCCCGTAGAGGGCGCCACCCAGCGGCCTGCTAGGGGGTCAACGGAGGAAGGTCCTGTGAACCTACGCGTGGATATACCACCGTCATCTGACGTCATGACATCGTACGGTCCTGATACGAGAATCGACCATCAACATTCATACAGTCCACCTCCTAAGTACCACCAAATGTGAGTGACAATGCCATGGACATTGACATTGCTGATGATGAGCGATTGCTCGTTTGAATCATGATACCTAATCACCTAATAATTACTAACACATTTAATTTGAATTAACTCTAGAGCGCCACCAAGCGACCAATTATTAAAAAAGTAGTAGCGTAACGGTAACCACAGTCTCAATTTAACCGTTTCAACAACTTAATCTTTTGTCTTCTTTTTTATTACTTTTTGTTCAGGGGCAGGTGTGCATCTTTTCCCACGAGTGGAGGGAACATGGGACAACCGCCCTCTACGCCCCCACCGCCATACAACGAGATTACATAAAGTAGCATGCAACAACCGGCGTTGAACACGTTGAATGGTTCGGCTCCCAGCTCAGTGGAGATGGTTTGTTGTGCGCAGCACTGCACCTCAGCAAGAGAGGGCTCACTACAGCCATCCCGCAAAATTGAGGTTTTCGTCAAACAGAATCTAGACACAGCAGTAGATCGAGAAAGTGAGCGGTTTTTTTCTTCTGCCTCCCATACCAGCGAACGGACGTTTTGTATGTAAAGGTGCTTTTTCAATTGTTCAAAAAAAAAGAAAAAGATTTTTACCAAAATCTTAAATACAGCCTTTAAAGTTGCATGTGATATCTATGCAAAACGCAAACAATGGAAGGGGCTCTTCATCACGTGGAGACGTTTGTTTCGTATAATATAAAATATTATTTATTATGAACTAAAAGTATAAGCTCATGAAAGTTCATGAAACCTGCCGTTACAAACCCTAACATAGTTTAAATGGCTCGTTAATCATTGTTAACAACCGAGTCGTCATTTTGGCAAATTTCAACTAGAATTATCAAGCAATACCATTGTATTTTTCCGTACATCTTGTATTAAAGTGCAGATTTTGTAGATATGCATGTTGTATAAATTATACACAAAGAAAATAATACGCAGTCTCAATTGTATATTTTCAGCAATTCGTTATTACAAATTGTTTCTTCAAAATTAATAAAAGATCTGAATGTTTTGATAATAGACTGCTGACCTGAAGTTGTAACATAACTGAAAGTCTGCAAAAATGTAAGCAGTACTAATATGTATAGTATGTAAGTACTTGAGCATATTGGGCAGGCCTGAACAATCATTAATTAATTAATTTATTTATTTGTGAAAACTTTAAAGGTATAATTGCGTTTGAATATAACTGATGTGCAGTGTTTCAGAGCAGATGTACAGCCGTTTGATAATAATGTAAATTAGGTATAAATATCTAATGCAATTTCCGCCATGCATGCCCAGTCACGTGACAAGTATAAATACTTTCCATGCAACGAATATGTGCAACCTACTTGAGATTACTAACGTAATTGATGATATACTTAGTTTTTATGTACAAAATATCCATTTTTAGAACACTTGTGTCCAATGTCTTCAATATCACCGAATGGAATACGCCCTTAACAATTGAAGGGCCTTTAGGTAGTCACATTGATTATTCTGTCTGTGGCCGGAGGAACATTTTTATCGCTTTACACTTCAAGGTTCCATCGAGTATTTTCGAACATAGATCGGCCAACTTGCTCGGGGAGCAAAGGTGAGATTGGAGATTACTTGATTAAGAGAGATTGCATACTATACATGTAGTCTCAAGTGCCACAGACCCGCGAGGAACGCCGTTGTGACAAATTGCAATTTTAATGGATGCCTTCCCGAAATATTTGCCGCGTTGCTTCGCAATTCGGTTCCCGAGCGGGAAAATGATAATAAATCTGGTCGGCTTAAGAGGCCGATTCTTGCGGGATTCGGCCGAGTGAAAGGGCACAAATCAAACAAAGTTGGTGGCTGGAAGCAGTTGATCAGATGTAATAAAATCGCAAGTAAATTTAATATAAACCAAACTCTTTCTTTGGTTGCTGTTTTAGATGGTCGCTGGCTTGGAAATACAATTATGCCTACATGTACACTACAAGCATAATACCCGAGACAGCTTACTCATTCCTATTGGTCGAGAGCCCGTCACGTGGGTGGTTTTGAACGGTTGATAAAACACCGGCTGGCTGTAAGATTATTAACACTTTCCCGGTGTCACACGAAATTTTGGCTCCCATTAAATCTGATCCCTTTTGCCCCTTTATTGGTTGAGCGTTGAATATTTTCACTTATGCATGCGCAATACTACCATTGAGTCCGTATTTCTATTTCATATTCCTAAATTCACACTACACAACTACGAAGAGTCTGCTTAAGACGTATTTTGGTAACATGCACTCACATGTTTCTGTAACCCAGACGATCGACCGCTAAAACAGTCGTTACTTTGCTCCAGGTCATTTATTTGCAGATAATTTTTGTTTATGTAAACCGCTATCGGAATAACGTGAAGGTGGCAACCTCGGATTGCGAAGTCAGGGGCCGTAGTATTTTATGAGTTAATGCGATCAGACATCATCGGTGCCGAGATTAAAGAGACAATTAAGTTCTGGCCTGTTTTCGTTTTCAGGTCAATTCGGCCGCAACTATCAGCGGCGCAAATTGTTTTGATAAATAGACCCTTACTGCGAGTAGCCCATATAGAACGACTCTTGACTAAACCGAATGTGAATTTTAAAGTAAGACGTGAAGGTTTGCATGATGAATGAAGTTAGCAAATAAGTCTAAGTTTGCGGTTGCACAAGGAATCTCTTTTGTGAGTTTTTTGAGGTTCTGAAAAGAACCGGTGGTGGAAACTCAACATTTTGGACAGTATGCTCTGCCCGTCGACGGCGTTTTAAAGTAGACCCAGGCCTAATGAATAAAGTTAGCATAAATATTGTTACATGATGCTGTGCAAGCTAATCGATCAAGAGCATCAACAAATTTTGTCTGTTGCACGGTTTTTCTGGAACCGCCAATGTTCTTGAACCTACACCAAAACACGAGTTCTCGCGGCTAATTAAAAGAGACCGACCATGTCGTCAACTAGCGATCTAATCTAAGATCAACTTCTTACGGCCAAAGTCTACCATCACCGGTAAATGTGAAAACAAACTGACATTTTTTTTAATTTGCTATAAATAAACCCAGGCGCGTTGGAATCTAATTCGTGCCATTGTGAGATTAGTTTTGAATCGTTGAAAGAGACAAGAAATCTACAAAGCTGAAATAAGGGTGCGACATTATGATATCTCAATATAATTTGAGCTGCTTATTCAAAACAGATGTTTCTATCAGTGATGGTGTCATTATATAACTCGACTTTGGATCCTGTCCAAACACAGAATTATACACAATTCATTTCAGGCATAATTACCAACCAATGTGTGACGGCCCAGATGTGCCATTTACTGCAAATTTACTGTCATCGATCGATAACAACCATTAAAAAGATCCAGAAAGAATCATGATTAATTTATTTCGACTACTGGCAGTTCTAATGTAAACTTTCGATTTCCCTCCTTATCTGTATTCAGAATGCCAAAAACACGTGGCAGTTATCAAAATAGATAACCATAATTTATTTACGTAAAGGTTTGATATTTACCATTTGCATTTTAAGGCACGTCATTAGTACTTAAATTAGGATTACAAAACAAATTGTTGAACCATTTAACAGGGACGAGGCGATGATACTTTCGTTTCATATTTTTCTTTCTTTCTTTCTTGTGGACTGCAGCTTCTGGAAAAGGCTAACCCTATAAACCCAACAACTTCATCGAATGATACCAACAAAATAATACAAGTAGCAATAAATATGAGGTCTAATCGTCGTGTGCCCGGCAAATGCGCATATGCCCTCATGTGCGAACGCGTAATCACCAAAATGATCCCAGCAATAGGACATATGCAAAAAACTGCCTCCATTTTAATGAAATTGAAACATTTTTTTGTCCTAAATTAATACACGCTGTTCCAAAACTTATGATTCATACGTGTGACAAATTTCAAATTCGTACGATTTATATTACGTGTGGGGGAACATTGGATTCATAATAGGCGCGGGGGAACAATAGAACCTTTCAATGCAATTTTCTTGAAAATGATTTTTGCGTCAGAACGCTCATTTGCCCTTCTGTTTGGCACCCGACGTCTTTTTTTTTTTTTGGCGACGTGCAAAGACGACACCACTGTCTGTCTATCTTTTTACTAGAAATAAATGTTCAAATGTTGTGGATCGTGTGAACACACTAATACAGTCAATCATGACAAATGGAGCGTTCATACAACACATACATCATATGACTGACTATAAAGTTGACATAGTAGGCAAAAATTAACACACATTAAACACCGTGCTTCTGATAAAATGCTTTTACTCGTCTTTGCTCAGTCACGGAGCTATTTGTTTTGAAACTGAACTGAAGCCTTCATTTCTGTCCTGGTTATTCACACTGGAGGGAAAAATATAATGGATAACCAGGAAAACTTGCCAATTGTTCGGAGCATTTTTAAAGCGCCCATGCAGTTTCATTTTTATGCCATCCTTCAAAATGAACGTACCTTTGTGTCCCATTTAACCTTATTTCAATTTTCGCTTTGCCATTTTCAAGGGTATTTTGGTGCCTTTTTTGTTTTTATGCTAATGCCAATTTCCATATTCATGAGCAAAAGTGAGATGCCATTTCGGGCAGAAACCTCTATGTTACAGCTATTTCAGCACCAAAAGGTACCAGAATATCGGATATTTTGCTGTCGTTAATTTCCTTTTCTTTGGTGATTCGTTGATTTGTCAGTACACGACAGTAAGCCAATGAGCTAACGTTTCTGACAGATGTCGATGAGCAAATGTTTGGGTTCACAATAAATTATTTGAACAGAAAACCCCTAAACTGAACAGTGTCTTCCTGAAATGACGACAACATCAGCTCCTCAGTTGTCCGGAAACGTACGGACACATTTTTTAAATAATGTTTAAAAAGTACACTTTTCATTAATGTTAACCAAAAAGGGATGTCAAATAGTGTCCATACATTTAAGGAGAGTAGAAAGTTGAACAAAATGTGTTCCTAAGAAAAATTCATCTCATGAACCCTTTAATGCTTTTGCAAATAAATTTGTTATACACTAATTTGTAGCTACAGCATCTCCACGGAACTGGGCCCAGGTTCATGGGCGTCGCGAGGGGGGAAGCAAAAAAGAAAAAAGAAAAAAGAAAAAGAAAAAAAAAGAGAACAAAAGGGGCGGGGAAAAAGAAAAAGAGGCGCGAAGTCATATTGCTGTTTATTTAAAGGGTTGGGGGGGGGGGCAAATGTCAAAATATGATAAACAAGAATATGCTGGAAAAGTAGGCCTACAGGGATTACGGAGGGAAAATGTGCTTTGCCCCCCTCTAGAAAAAAATCCTGGCGACGGCCATGCCCAGGTTTAGCGCTATTTTGACATTATCAGTGGGAACAAAAAACAAAAATGTTTGTCTTTACAATGCCCATTCGTCTGTGACTGGTTCTTGAAATTTATGCCTTCACACATACATGGGCCCAGGTCTATTATACATCATGCATGACCTTAGCACGTATTGCATCATTAGGAAACCTTGGACGTTTTATCACACAATCATCAGGGTTAATGTGTAATGAAGTTTTCGATTTTGGACGCAAGGGATCGATTTACCTATTAACGCGCGACCATGGACGCGAGCGGGTTCGCGCCAGTAATTTAGTGCCGAAGTCTGAAACAATAGAGTACGGAAGCTTGAATTGCCTTATAAATTGTATTATGCAAAATTTAATACTTTGTTAAGCTGCATATTCATGTCGAAGTTTGCTCTTATTTTCTTCTCCTCTTTTTTGTTTACAAATGCTTGTGTGCGTTGTTAAAATAAATACAATGTATCGTGCTTATCTCAGTACAAAAAAATAAGCAATACAACATTGTACAAATACGAAGACGGTAAAAACTATTTTAAAGATGTAGTTCATGGTAATGTTAAATGTTTGAATAGAGGACTTGCGAGATTTGTGTTACAGTATTGTTCTTTTTGTATGGAGGAGAATAATTTAGTTGGAGTACCTTTTACATGTACAGCTATAATAATGACAATAATAATAATTATCTCCTCAGGAAATTTTAAGATGTGTTTAAAGAATGACGCCAGTTATTGCACTGTCGGTTTTTTTTTGAAGGGGGATGGGGTGGGTACGGACACGCGGTTGTGATGGAGGCGGTGGTTTCATTTCGAAAAGCATCGACGCTAAAATCAGGTGGCGGGGGGGGGGGAGGGGAGAGGGTAGATTGCAACGGGATGGACTGATTTTAAAAGCGAAATATAGAAGCTAATAAAAGCAAAAATTTAAGTGTAGAAAAATATTCAAACGGGAAGAAAATTTGATTTTGCAACAGGCAAACAAAACCATTATGGGTAAACAGTGGAATCTCAAATGGGGATATTAGTAGTTTCGTTGCAACGAAATTAGAAATTTCTAGTGTTTTTCTTAGAATTTCTCATCACGGCCCACATTTTCAGATGTTTCACTCAGGGTCTTGACAGTGTATGAAAACATTGGCAATAGTGTGTTATTTAATGACGCAAATGGGGATATTAGTAGTTTCGTTGCAACGAAATTAGGAATTCAGTGGTTTTTTTTTTTAGAATTTCTCATCACGGCTCACATTTTCAAATGTTTCACTCATTTTCAAATGGGGATATAGTGTGTTATTATGACGCAAAATTAATGGGGATATTAGTTGTTTCTTTGCAACAGAATTAGGAATTTCCATTGCTTTTCTTAAAATTTATCACGCCTATATTTTCACACTTATGTCTTGACGTTGTATACAAACATTGTCAGAAGTGTGTTGAGGACAACGCGGTATCGCGGAAGGCAATTCAAGCTTCCGTAATAGAGGTATCGTTTGGGTGTGTATTACAGTAGAATCTAGCCCATAATGAGGCTCACGTACTGGACTTCCTCCGTATTGTAAGCGACGTTAGGGATCAAAGCTCGTGTGGGAAAATTTGTGTTTAAGGAAATCGAAATCAGGACTATTTTTCCACTTGATATTCATATGGAATATACGTGGTTAATAACCAGGAAAAAAATGAATAAATTAAAGGTGATGACCCCTGACATTTGGGAAAAATGCAGCAGTAATTTTCGGGCAAACTCTGTGCAAATTACGCCTGAAAATTACAGCATGACTGTATTGACTGGGCATCTAGAAATACAGATTTTTTTTCCTGGTTATTAACTGGGTAAGTTTCTACCATTTTTATGTAAACTGAAAAAAAAAACCAGTCCTTCTCCACTCATGCTTTTTTCTACAAAACATCCAAAAAGTCTCCATTTTCGAATGTAATTTTTTAAATGATCTAAGAGGTATTCAGCGAAATACTGAAGACAAAAATATTAACAAATTCACAGGATGCCTGTACAAACGGCAGGCTTTCTGATAAAAAAGATTGGAAATCGGTCTTGTGTCAATCCTTGCAAAGTACCCTCCGATTCTGTTGTCACACTTTGACAAGTTTTTTTTTATTCGTCGTCATAATTATATGTTTCTTGATTTTGGGGAGAGGCAATGTGTTTTGAACACCTGTTAAAACCATCACTCTTCTTTGTTCCCTTTTCCATTTTGTATTTTCAATTTCTAACTATGCATGTCAATTCCAGAAACACCATTATTCAATGTACACCGTGCTTTCAAAAGTCGAACATTTTTTTGTTGGCAACAAGGTTTTAAACCCCTTTCTACATCTTTTTAGTCACGGGTCAGATTTGACCCGGTTCTTCAGTTTTGACCCGACCTTTTCAGGCTCAAATTGACACATTGCAGGGTCAAAATTGACACTTTTCTGGGCCAAAACTGACACTTTCCTGGGTCAAAATTGAAACTTTGAGCGTTTAAACTTTTCCGGGTCATTTTGACCCGGCAAGTTTGGCAAAAGTGTAATTTTGACCCAGGAAAGTGTCGGGTCAAAATAGAACCCGAATTCCGGGTCAATTCTGACCAGGGACTTTCTAGAGTGTAGCCATTACTTTACTTCATCCAGCTTCACCCATCTCATTTCATAAGTGGCGAGTCAGCATCACATTTTGTTTAAACGTCGGTGATTCTATGATCCTACTTGCTTCGATCTCATTGTTCCTGGATCTACCGTCCCTCCCCCTCCGAAAACAATTCTGGACTAATCGGATCCCCGACCGCCTGAACTTCACGTTCCTGATGGAGTAGATGACGATGTTCCAGTAACTGTTGGAAAGTAAGAGGATCTCTGAGATGAAAGGCGCTGCTGGGTGAGACGTTTGGCGAGTTACACCCTCGTAGCAGATGACCACAGCAAACGGGATCCAGGACAGGGCCAAGACTGCTGTGATGATGAAGAAAGTAGTGGCTGTCTTGAGGTCCGATTTCTTGATGACATGCCGGTTTTGAGCACCTTCCAAGACGTTGATTTGCCGGGCGTGGCGCCTGGCGATTTGGTACAACCTAGCGTACAGCAAGAGCGTGATAAGGAACGGAACAATGCCGAAAACCCACGCCGCCATCACGCCGATACTGTCCTGTTCGTTGGGATCGTCTGGGTCCACAAAACAGGTGTGGAAATGCGGGTGGTAGACGGCCGAGCGATTAGGCAGGAAGCAGTAGACGGCAGCAAAGGCAGCACCAAGCACCCAGACACTGCATAACACCACCCTAACCCTGGGGATGGTAACATAAGTCACGCTGCGTAACGGCCACACGATAGCTATAAATCTTTCCACGTTTACCACCACCACAAAGATACTACTCAGCGACAACAGGATAGTACCAACAGCAACCACCATACAAAACGTGTCACCGTACGGCCAGCGATCCGCAGCAGTAGCACCTGTAACCGGTATACAAATTAGAAAACCTATACCAGTATCTGTGGCAGTCAGAAACAACATACACAGTCGCGTTACCTCGTTGGTGTCTTCGCTTTTCAGAAGCACCAAAAAGCAGAGAATGTTGCCGACGATGACGAAAACGGTTGTTACGGTTAGGACCATTGTTTGTACGACGACGACCCAATCTTCGCGAAGGAAGACATCAGTTCCGTTTGTCGTGTCCAAAACGGTCTCCATGTCGCAAGGCAATATTTCCTTGTCGCAAGGCAATATTTCCTAGTCGCAAGGCAATATTTCCTGGCCGCACGTAGTCAATGCAGGGACCTGTACCAAACGGCAAGTCTCGTGCACAGATCTCGGTCAAACAATTCTCCGTTTTTGTTTTGTGGTAATTGACAGTTCTTGTTACCTTTCAGATGTCCCACATAATCTGCAGCAGTAACGGCAACTGTTATATTCAACACGACATCCCAATGGTACAGTTTACCAGGATACACAAGGATCCTACCACTATCAATTGCAAATGACTAACTTGACGTCACGTAAAGGTTCTTGTACACTTCCACGAATGATCCCTGTAGTTTCCTTCACTGACTGACTGCAAGTCAAAGTAATGAAAATCCTTCAGCATCCGTTCCCAAGCATCAGTTCCAAACGAAGAATCTTAGTGTCATTTCTCAGTATCATCATCAAAGCTACACCACAATTAGGACTCCTAAAAATAGATCGGACTTGAGAAGCCCTCAGATTGAGAGGTATAGATTCCTCCTAGAAAGCCCGACGTGACTAAATACCTCCGCCCCGAACAAAACGGCGGGCGAATTTTGCGACGCGGAAAATCCCTCACGGACACCGAACCCACGCGCGATCGTGATCAGACCAGTCTAAATATCGACCCAACTCTAAAAACAAAATCCACAGCTGAGTCTGATGGAAATGTCCTTTCACCAATTAATTCGCGTGTGCTTTGCACGGTGTCCCCTACAAATCTGAAGTGTTCCCGCCGCAACATGCAATGAAGTCATTCACCGAGTCGCGTTCCAAACAATCTACGGTCGCCAACGCAACACACGTTGATGATCAGAGAAAAGAGAAGAAAGGTCATTTTGAAGTTGTTTATTCTTCTCTTGGAATCCTCAAAAGGTAGAGAAGAGAACAGCGTGAAGTCCAAATTTCCGCTCTGTCATTCAAAGAGGAAAAAGCACTTCTGTGATGCATGTTGATACAGAAAATGAAGCGAAGCCGCTGTGAAAATACGCGAGATGGTCTTTTTTGTATCATACATAATGGGTCACTGCATTAAAGCGCCAGGCAGGTTGTACTGACGATTTATCCCATCGAATGTTAACGGCAATCTGGTCATTATAGTTGCAGCGTGGGTTCACGTCATCTCGTTATATATGCGATGTTTTGTTTCTTTAGGGTTTATGGTTCAGTGGTATATGGTATCATGAATTATGTATTTAGAGCCGACATGGTGAGCTCTTTTGAATCTACAAGCTTGACGACTGCATGTCAAAAAAGGTGCGTGCAGAAGAAAATTGAAAAGACAAACAAAAATACATTTTCCGGTTAGACTCTTGAATAATTTAGCATTTTAATGGCATAGGCCTAAAGGCTTGATATCAGCCGCCATTAAGGCACCACAAGGCGGATAGTCAAGACTGGCATACGCCTGCTTGATGAGCACCGTGCAAAATTAACTCCGACTCGAATAACTTTAGCGGTATCTGCGCTAATAACACAATACATCCTATGACGTCATATCGAACTCGCCGTTGGTGGCGTTCCATGAGAATTCGAATGATTTTGGCGTAACTTTTAACCTGTGCTCTGATGCATGCCGGGAAAATACTTCTTAACACATGACGAACACAACTTGATCACGTGACGAACGTGCGCTCCGCAATCACGCATGCGCACGGATGTTTAGAAGATATTTACATTTTGTCGAGGACAGCAAAATGGACTAGTTAATGCATTTAATTAAAAAATAAAAGTTGTGGGGAGTCTGGCAAGCAAAATTAATACGCATACTAGGGGAACGGTGGCATGATAATGTCAACATTATGAAGACAAATTTTGCAACATGGAAAGTGAAACACCACTGGAATCAATTGTTCATTTTTGCTTGACATATTCAGGACAATTTACAACCTGCTGGTCAAACAAAAACAGTCAACGTGTACGTATAACTGATGATTTTCATGCATCAATGTCCACCGAAAATGGCCATTTTTTAGCATAATGAAGCCAAAAGGCAGTCGCTCGCTCTGCAACTTTCATTATGTCAGCCTAGATGGAACGGGAGTAAAAAAGTAATGCAAATGATAGATGTATGGGCACTTTAATGGCTTCGTTTTTGGTGTTTTCGATAGCACGACGTAAAAGGTAGAGGCAATTTTAGTTAATAATAAAACATGATCATGCATCAAACATCGTACATGCATTCATCGCCATGGCAACCGATAATGATGGTACCATTTTTTTTCTGAGGAAAAGAACAATGTTTTGTTAAAAGAGTACCGTGCCGCAGGCAAATATCACCGGGGCCGGTATGAATTATTCACGGCATTGTTAATGGCTCGATTCACGGTGTACGCAATCGAGAAAACCGTCCGTTGTGGTAATTTATATCGAATTAACAAGAAACTTTTTAGTTGCTCCCTTTAATGGCGAGGGGTGTAGGACCGGAGTTTCAAAATGGACTTTTAATATGTGGTTTTTGAAGAAAATAATAAACACCGCGTATTTACACCAAACTGACATTCATTTTTTCATAAAAAAATGTTCGCCCGTTTATACAATGGGCTGATCAATTTTTCATTGTCAAAAAAAAAAAAAAAAAAATCTACCATGACACTGTTCATAATGTTCCGTCTGCTTTGAAGGTCGCCTTTTTTTTTTTTTTTTTAATGTATATTGACTTGAACGGTAGCCAATATTAAAAAAAATATCCTTCTTCTGAATGTGACCTTCCCTGGCACTCATTTTAATGTACATTATAAGCGCCAAAACAAATTTAACGAGTTCAGACCTATGGAAAAATTAGTTTTCTCTAAAAATTAGACATATGCTGCGTGTGCAATTGCAAAAATACAGCACTTTGAAATATAAAAAAAGTGAGTTCTTGTTTATAATGGAGGGCCTAGGAAAAAAATACGTTTTGTAAAATCAACCTTATAGAGGAAAAACGACAATGCGCACTTAGTTTTGTAACTTGAATGAAAATTGCAAAGAAGCTGTTTAAAGCGGCACAATCTGGACAGAACCGGTCAGTGTGGGAAAATTCAGACCAGTCAGCAATATGTCAAGATTTTTTAGTCAATTTATCAAATTGTAACGAATTTATATCTCGTTAACTAAACCTCACTTTAGATTTCAATTCTGGACACTGAATTTACGCAGCTGTTTTATTCTCTGTCTTCTTTTTTTGGAGGCAAAGGCAAAAACGCCAATGACTGAAACGTTGACACTTCGTTAAATGGTTCCGTACAGATATCATCGACAAATATTGATTCATCTGAAACTGTACGGCGACGTTTATTGACACGGTGTGGTTCTTGCATTTAGCAAAATATTTATCTCCGTGGCTGCGCATTATGCGCACTTTATCACTGCTGCAAAACACTTTGAAGGTATTGGTTTCATTTTAGATTGATGCACAACGAACCAATACTTGGTAAGAGTTTATAATGGTAAAATTACTCCTTGCACGATGAAAATTGAGGAACAAGCAAGAAAATTGATGCTTGCAACGGGGGAACACGTGTAAAATGTGTCTAAATTTTACCAAATTAATAAAATATTTTGTGAAAATGGGACTGAAGTGATGACTATGCAAGTGTATAGCCTAGTCACCATGCAAGGCTATAAAAGAAAACAAATTTTGTATCGTGCTCTCGACGCGCAAGAAGTAATTGATGCTTTCAGCGGGTGAACACGCGTCAAAAGAAGTCCATATTTTCTCGGTCTCCAAATTTATCACATTTCGGTGAGCGGGCAATGCACCGTTAACATTGAGTGATGACTGTGCTACAGTGCAGCAAAGAACCGTTTGGGATAAGAATGAAGAAAATGAGAATTTTGGTGTAGAAAGAAAGATCAAAAGAGTTAATTCTGAGGAAAAACATGCGAATAAGTACATGAGGCCATGAGGGACCGACAACTCCATTGGATTTATCAGTCGGGATTCGAACCAGGTAAATCAATTTTCGAAGGCAAGAATGAAAATACAAAGGAAGATTTCATTGAAAGCAAGGACAACATTTTGGTATGAAGGCTGCTTTAAATCTTCATCAAACACGAACCAAACCACACGAAGTGGCGTCTTATCGTGAAGAAATGGTACGATTAAAACGTGCAATTCATTGCCCGTGTCTCAACAGTTCATGTCACATTAGATTAATTGATGCGACGCACGAATGGAGTCATTATCATGTTCCTCTTTGAGCAACGTTTCAACATTAGGTTACGACTGATAATAAGTCTACATCACAACATGGAGAAAAGTACACGTACTCCCATTCAACACAACTTGGTCATTAACGCATTCAAAGTCATAAATCATTGTCAAGACAAAGGCTACGCTTGCAATTTGTGTGCTACTATTGCTGCATTTATTCTCTCGTCAATTATTACCAGTGCAGGGCAAGGACTTGGTGAAAGTGTCGATGCAATTAGCGATTGGTCAATAAAATGCGTTGTACCATTTTGCGTGGCGCGCCAATGGTGTTAATTTGACTAAATCACCTTACATTATACGATTGACATCTTAGATTACAAACACACACAGAAAGGAAACATCTACATGTACATGTATAAGCCTAGACGCCTTTAGAGCAGAACAATGATGTTTGGCTCGTAATGTACTTGTGCCAAGCAAATACGTAAGCCCATTAATGATAATGATAATGATAATGATAATGGAGGAGGGTATATACTGGCACAACGACTTAATTTGAGCTATACGGTTGGCCTTGGTTAAATTGAGGCTAGGTATGGCTATCAAAGTATACCATTTGGTCTGACAAAGTACCACGGGTAATAACCATTTGCGTAAATCGTTATACAACTTACATGGAAATAGCACTTTGTTACAATTCGTGTGTTACACAACCGCAAATGTAAGACTGCGCGTACGACAGAGCTCCAATTACATATGGCTTGCCTTGATTTTAGCAGTATTTTCATAACATGCTGTTTTCAAACAATTGGATTTATTTCTTCACATTCATCACCACTCTAAAGATTACTGAACAGAAGCTATACATGTGACGGTTCTTATTCTCTATTGCGCATGTATTTGTAAATTAAAGGACATGTGTTCTCGTCGACATTTCGGAGATTTTTGTTAACAAGCAATGCTAAAAGAATGACTTGCAACCGACATAACTTAGATATGACCATTGAATAATTACCATGGCGTATAAGACCCTTAAACCAACCAGTCATCGATCAATTTATATTCAAATACTGGTTGATGGAGAACGCAGGCGTTATATCTCCCTTAGATGGATGCGTTTTATGTATGTGGGCAAACAGTTTATCTCGCTATCTCACGTACGAGAATAACAGCATTGAGCGCACGTGCCTTTATGTTTGCAAGGGCAATATCAGGCTTGCCTTCATTACATTCGCTAAAAGGATCGCTATTGGCGCCAAAATGACACACGAGTCGCTCCTTTATCTGGCTATTGGGAACTGTGTCACGATCACCCGATTGTAACGAACTTCGTGCACAGATTGTGGCAATAACTAAGCTTATTGACGTTTTTTCATTAACCGCGCGTGCGCTTGTTGTAGAAAAGGTAAAGTCAGCACAGGGTAACATCGCCACGATGTGGTAGGGAAATCATTGCTGAAATTATTTTCTTCATCTGAAAGGTGTTGAACATGTGAACGGTCGAGACTAGTTCGTTGACCTCAGTGGTACCACGCTCGCGCCCAAGTGCAACGCGCGCACTTAGTGCTCCTTCGACCACTAGGGTTGCAAAAAATGCGCGCGTCTCGACTTGCAACGCGTGCAAATTGCATGTGGGCGTGGTTCCACCTATTAGTAATAAGTAATGGAGTACCGAATTGTGCGGCGTATGAAGACATCAGCGCAGCGCGTGAACCAGCGCGTGAACCAGCGCGTGAATCGGACCAAAGACAGCTGACGTCAGACTTCCTTATTTAGTTCGCCAGATAATTGATAAAGATTGTTTATTTGCTTTTCAATCGAACGTCCTTACTGCAGAGTCGACAATATATATATATATTTTTTAGTTTACATTATACGTAAAATAATTGGTCAACCCTTTTTTCAATTAACCAATGTATTGATTAATCGAACCCATGCTCATTTTCTTCGTATAATGGATTAGGCATGGTTCATATCAGATTTTTCAATCTTTCTTGTTATCTCACAGCCTTGGGTCTTCTGGGTCCCTAATCGCACTGAAATGAAGACGGATTTCCTAATCAATTTCATCATCAAGCCAGGGACCTCATACAATCAAAAGTGAGGCCACGAACGTGCATTGCCATGGAAACCTGGCTTGCGCGTGCTAACCAGAAGGCTCATTGTCGCTTTTTGTCGGTGGAGTTATGGCATCATCAAGCAATCAACATGCTCGAGTGTGTTTAGCAATACTGACCTGAATTCAATTCTTAGAAGAAAAAAAATCTTAAGAAGAAAGAAGTTTTCTCAATAATGGTTTTCAGTGGAGGGAAGATGTAAATTAGTCTATGGAATATCCCCTTGCACAGCAAGGGTCTATGATATGTGTACAGATTCGGGGATTAAATGCAAAGCAAGAATGCGTCTTGGCCTCGAGATTCTGACCATTCAGCGGGCGCCTTCTATTGGGTCTTCGGTAACCCGTTGTTTTACTGCAAAAACATGGCAGCCAAATTGACCAATCAACAGCTTAGTCAACATTTCTGATCGAAATGATGTCACCATTTCTAAAATGGACTCTGATTGGCTGGGGCGCGGGTCGCATACAATTTGCGTTGCTCACATGTATCAGACTTTGGTTACGGAGAGGGTTCCGTTGGACAACGGGTGATACTCAGACTAGGTGTAAAAACAACGGATTTAGAAATGTGTTTAGTGTCAAAAAAATTCAACATATCCTTTCGTCTTGCTATAATAATTTTTTAAGGTACAAAAATAAAATATTCAAAAACAACTTTTGCTTTCCATAAAAAGAAGCTTTCTTTTATCACACCAAGGCCTGAATTCCATTAAAGAAATAATGTACAGGAAGTTTGCTTTCGGATGCTTTAGGGCTTGAGGTCAACTTATGCAGAGGTCAAGTATGGGGTGCTGAGCTGAAAAAATTACTAATTTTTTAATATAAAAATAACAAACGTTTGCAATATTTCTAATTGAATAATTGGAATTTTCAGTACTTATGAAGTAGGTTTTCAGTTAAATCAATTCATTCTTGAAGCATTTCTGTTGTCAGGCACGGAAATGTCTCGTCTTCTTCTGTGGCTTGGAAATATATTTAGGTAAATAAGGTGCATTTTTTTTGTATAATGTATGGGCAAATATACAAAATAAAATTAATTCATAATAAATATTGGGGAAAAATAATAATAATAAAAATTTGAGAGGCTTATCATCCTTACTCGAAGCTGAGAAGCTGAATTGCGAAGGACGCGGCTACAATGTGGTTGAGCCACAGGCATGTAAAGGCGCCTATGGCTGCCACCATACCACCCATAGATGACCACGGAGCACAGCTTGAGATCAAAAGTGATTGATTTTTCCGGATGGAGGAAATTCAGAGGTCCCAGGAGAAAACCAACGCACAACTCTACTCACATATGGTCGCAGCTGGGAATCGAACCCTGGCCACTCAAAAAAAGTTGTGTTGGAGGGGGCGTGGTCCCGCCTCCCTTAATTTGATTTGAGGCTCACGTTTTTTTCATGATCTTGATTCTGACCTCAAAAACTTGGCAAGCAGGCAATAAGGGTGTCTCGAAGCTTCCTCCGCAAAGGTTCGTTCCCCTCACAAAAGATATGGGTGGAACCCTCCTCCAGCTGGATAATGGTATCTTCCGTTTGCTGTTGAGGACATGAAGAATAAGAAGGTTAAGAAGCTTTCATTTCTCTCAAAGGGGTGCTGTATGCAAAACCCATACATGTGATTTTAAGTTAGTGGAAAGATCAAATGGCAACAGATCTTTTTTCTCTTTCAAAAATACAGAATGACATAATTATATGGTAAGAATAATTTCATGAGGTGACAGATGGAATATTCCATTTCACAAGGCGAAGACGAGTGGAATGAAACATTCCATCTGTCCCCAAACGAAATTATTCTTTCCATTGCAAGAATGTGAAACATTCAGGTTTTTTTTATAAACACCTGAATAAATCCTTGTCATCTGATTGGTCAGAGCCACCAATAGTGTGGCCCAGGCGCGGTTCTAGAACCAATATTTTTTTTTGGGGGGGGGGGGGGGGGGGCTAGCAGGGTGGATCCAGAATTTTTTTCAGGGAGGCGTGCTAAAATGTAGACCGGTTATTTTCTCCAGACACTTAAGCCTCCGAAAATCAATAGGGGGGGGGGGGGGGGGGTCATGCCATATTTTCAATGGGGAGCGCCAATAAAATCCTAAAATCATTCACACTATATTTAATAACTACAAATGCACCCTTGTCACGACTATTTCTTTAGGGGGAGACCGTTCGCATGTACATCACAATCCTTCTTTTTGCTAATGCAATTTTTTTTTACAGAATTTATTTTCGGGGGGCTAAAGCCCCCCCCCCCCCCCTAGCCCCCCCGTAGAACCGCGCCTGGTGTGGCCGTGCAATGGAACTTCTATTTTTTCCATACGGCTGGGCCGTGCATTGGGACGAGTAATTCAATAACATGTGATCAACGACCCACAAATCAAATGACAGGGATTCATTCAGGTGTATAGTAATAATGAAATATGGTAAAAAAAACAACTAAAAGAAATTGATTAAAATCAAGAGAAGCATACCAAATGAATGATATGGCCAGATGCTGTGTCCTCCACTTTCACATCGGTGATTCCATTCTAAAGGAAAAATACAAGGCCATCATTTTAAATAATAAATTAGTGACATTATTTATACATAGCAATTCCGTCGTCATATTCTATTAATTGCAACAGACTTCATTGGTAAAGTATAGATGGCTTTACGTGATCTATACGTAAATAATTATTTGCCGTCATATAAATTCACCAGGAGCTGTTTCTGCTATAATATTGAATTTACCTTCGCTAATGCCTGTACAAGTTCCTCCACTTCAAGATTGCCGTAGACATACTGCTTGGGGTGGGCGGTTTCTGACACACCCCCGTCGTCTTCTCTCTTCCGCTTTCTGATTGGCTGAGAGGAGGGCGTGCTAGGCAGGGCCTGTTTCGGCGCCTCCTATAAATTTACACAATGAGTATGCAAACATGGATTTGAATGGGTACATATAATTTTCAGTTTTTGTTGTTTACAGTTTGAACAAATGGAATTTCAATAATCACCAAGTTTGCCTCAATGGATTTCAAGTAAAATTTAGAATTGTTTGTGTATTATAGATATGCTTGCTCTAAGAATACCTTAGTACTTAAAAAATATTTAAAATAATCATTGCAGTAATTTTTCTGCCTCCCACAAAATCCTGACAAACCAATTTAAATAGATGATCAAAAATATTATAAAGGAAACAACCAATATCTAATTTAGATCATCATGTAATAACAAGCACTTGTCAACAAAATGCAGAATAAATTTGAGCTGACTGGTAGTTTGTTCAATATTCAACCACTTTTTTTGCTACTGACCTGTAGTATATATTTATTATCTCGGGCAGTTATGGTCCCTGTGACTGTAGACACAAACACGCCTGGCTTGACTTCTATGGGTGCCAAGGATCCAGCAAGCTATGACCACAAAACAAAACCAAAACACTTACATAATACAGTGAACTAAAATCATGAAATGTTAGAAACGAAAAAAGGTACAGAGCCATAGATCCAGTGGTTAGGGTGTCCAACACAGGTGTGGTGGTGTGTGGGTTCGAACCCTGACAGGGGATCATGGTGTTTGTTTTCCTGGGCAAGACATTTTACCTAAATTCCCTCCCTCTACCAAGGAGTATAAATGGGTACAGCTTCATATGGGCAAATGCTGATAAATGACGTAACCATATATTCTAGACACATGTTTAGGACTTGACCTTACTCAAGCATTAACGAGAGAGACAGCACCCTCTAGAGGGCTAAGATGGAGACAGCGCCCTCGTGAGGCATAAGATGGAGAATTGCCTCACCTCTGGCGTGATTTCTATCCTCTCCAGCCTCCGTTTGATTGGTAGATGCAAGACGCTGCCTCGCTTGTACGGAGTAGGGGCAACCTCCTGAGAAAACAAAGCAAAAAATGGAACAAATTTTTCAAGAAATAGCAGCAAATTTGCAGAAAACATGTAAAGGCATGTCAAATTTCTAAGAAACTAAGTATATGTTATTGTCAATTTTTTTTTAAATTTTGACTCGCTGGAATTTGAATAATCGCCATGTTTGCCTCACTGCATTTAAATAAAATTTACACAATTTTGACAAAAAAATTGAAAGAAATGTCACTGGATTTACCGCTTCCACGACGAGATCAGTCCTGAGGGGTTGTGAGGTCGGTGGGGTGAGGTAGCATTCAGGCAGGACAACATGTAGTGGCTGAAAGAACGAGTAAAACATGAATGTCAAAGTACTGGCTAAGGAAGTATTATCATCATGCAATCATTTCCAAGATTAAGTTGGTGAATACTATCTTCATTTCAGACAGAAAATTCAACACTTTTAAGACAAATAAAATGAGTTTAAAGTCACACAATAGATTGAAGGGCCAAAGTCAAAGTTGTAATTTCTGAGAAAGTTTCAGAAGAGTTTGTTGCCATACAACTATTCACGGTAATACTTTACTTAATTAATTTTCATGGCCAACAGAGGGCGCTATGACATATTTAATCTTTAAATTTTTAATATACCATTAACATGTTGCGGCCATCTTGATTTTTTTCCCATTTAAATTTATGTAACCAGGCTGGAAGGAAAAATAGTCTGGTTCTTTTTGCACAAAGAACATCATCATTCAGTACAGTTATTGGATACAGGGAACATGACTGAAATGGCAGCAGCATTATAAAGTTCTATTCTTCAACACTTTCCAGTCATCACTGGGGTTAAACGCTGCTATTTGGAGATGATATTTGAATGCTTGATGTTCACCTTGAGTTCTTTGATCATCTTGGTCGCTTGAGGGAAGCTGATGGCCGTATCAATGGGGCAGTAGCAAGCCTTCATGGCCAGGGGCTGGTAGGGAGCCAAGGCATCCAGATAGGAGAAATTCGGCTCTGCCAAAAAAATGAAAACAGTCAGACAGGCTTTACATGCAGGTACATTTAAATGATTTAATGGTGTTACTTAAGAATTAGCAGTAAGTTTTAGCTAACTATAGTAAAAATTTGTGCTAACCTTAAGCTCATTTTCAAGGCCTGGATATGCAAACAGATGCATGTGCATTGAGATTTCAATTGTAATGTAACTAATTTAAGCAACTTGCTCTGGGGTTAAGCGTGCCTTTTGCTGTACTTACTGCTTATCGTCTCTGCTTACAGGCTCGTTAGCAGAAAACTGTGTGCTTAGCCGCGCCATGAAACTGGGCCTGCTGATCACTTCACTTAGTTGAAATATTAGGAATGCTTTTTGCCTCTGTTACTTCCATGAATATCAATTCAAAATTTTGATATCAGACTTACCGATGAAGATGACGGTATTGCTGCTGGATTTGCCCCATAGCTCCATGAAGTGAACAGCATCACCGAGACGCAGAGATGGGTGACCAGTGAAGACGACGCAAGGCGTCTTGAAGTGACTGCTGAAATCACCTGAAAGATAAAACAAACCAAATGGGAGCACATGTTAATCACAAGTCAATCACATGTCAATCACATGTCAATCACATGTCAATCACAAGGCAATCACAAGTCAATCACAAGGCAATCACAAGTCAATCACATGTCAGTCACATGTCAATTACAAGGCAATCACATGTCAATTACAAGCCAATCACATGTCAATCCCAAGTCAATCACATGTCAAGCACATGTCAATCGCATGACAATCACATGTCAATCGCATGACAATCACATGTCAATCTCAAGCCAATTGCAAGTCAATCACATGTCAATCACATGGCAATCACATGTCAATCATAAGTCAATCACATGCCAATCACATGTCAATCACATGTCAATCACAAGCCAATCACATGCCAATCACATGTCAATCACATGCCAATCACATGTCAGTCACATGCCAATCACATGTCAATTATAGGTTACCATGTATGGTTGAGAAGTGTTTCAGTCGGCCACTCTTGATCAACTCAGCGTGAGGAAACGGCGGTTCGGGGAGGAACACTTTTGACTGCTTCTGGGCACAAAGCCTGATGAAAGAAAACAGAGTTAAATTCACACAAGTTAAAAATAAAAAATATGTGTTGTCATTCCATCAATACGACACTGACAAATGACACTGACAATTGTCATCACAAACAAAGGATCACACTCACCATTCAGAGAATATCTGTGAATAAGCCAAGGAGCTATCAGCGACCGGCGACACAAAGAACATCGGGACTTGCGTCAGCCCGACGGAGTCCATGTATCCAGACAGACATTCAAACAAGTCATAGATGATGCCTGATGGGTAGCAGGGAACCAAGACGTTCCCTCCATTCTTGATTGTTACGGCTGTGAGAGGGAACCAGGTAAAAAGCAGATTTATCGAAAAGTGTCAGTGATTAAAACTGGAATTGAAAAACTGTAGAACTTTATAGAATGAAAACAACGGGGTTAACAAAAGGTTGTTTGCTAAAGCGGCTATTGGTAACAGTGATGTTCAGTTGCCAATGCTCTGCATGTTTGTCAAAAAAATTGGGGGGTGGGGGGGGGGCAATGGAAGAGGGGTCACATGAAAGGAAGACTACTCACTGAGATTGCTACAGAATTCTCCCAGCATACTGTCTGGATTGTGAGCGGGTGTCTGCGTGATGCCGGTCAGTAGGAGTAGGTCGCTGTTCTTCAACGGTTCTTGGAGGATAGGGATGGAGTGGGTGGTCAGGAACGAGGAACTAGAGACGTAGCAAACCTGAAAATGGAAGACAAATCAAGAATTTGAAAATGACTAATTTAACTCTGGCCCCACCAGATGCAACACAGGTGTCAAAGTCTGTGGGACCTTGCTGCATTGAGCCATCAACACCAGTGCGTGAACTTTTAGTTCTGAGACATTGGGAGCTAGAGCTAGTAGTAACGTTGCCATGGTTGTATCCTGCTGCAGTTGGTGACCACAGACTCTGAGGCAGTTTGGCCTTAGAATGTTCAGCTAAATATTGAATCTTATTACAAAGTGCAGGCTTCTTACTCTGTTGCAAGTTGTTGCACTGCGCTGGGTTTCTAGCCAAAATATCCTTGAGGATAGAAAAAGGTTGTAATGTCTCCATCTCAAGGACACAAGTAGTGCTTGACCTTTGACCTCTTACCTTTTCATAATCGGACTTGATGACCCAGTTACAGCTTCCGAGGCAGTAACCAGAGCTGTGGGGCGACACCATCAGAGAACCAAACAAATTCTGTTGAGAAAATACACAAAGAAAATAAAATGTCAGCTGATTCAAAACAAAAATTAATCCCTGTACCACCCCAAACCAACCTGCCTGTTACTCCCTGTACCACCCCAAACCACCCTGCCTGTTACTCCCTGTACCACCCCAAACCACCCTGCCTGTTACTCCCTGTACTACCCCAAACCAACCTGCCTGTTACTCCCTGTACCACCCCAAACCAACCTGCCTGTTACTCCCTGTACCACCCCAAACCACCCTGCCTGTTACTCCCTGTACCACCCCAAACCAATTGCCTGTTACTCCCTGTACCGCCAAAAACTGCTCAAGCACTTTATGTTTTTATGGCATCATCAGGGAATAAAGTCAATGTAATACATTGTAGTACATGTTGTTATAGACTAAACATCCATCTGTGGATTTGTGCTATTTTTGCAACTTCACAACAATCCAGTAATTCAATATTTGGTTTTGCCCTTCACTGACGTATAAACACTATACTTAGTGTGTTACCTCCCGAGTGAAAGATGGAAAAAATCACTCGGCAGGGACTCGAACCCACGTCCTCCTGCTTTCTAGTGCAGACGTCTTACTACTCAACCACCGAGCTTGCAGGATCGGTTGGCTGGTTCAAATCTGATGGATCCAGTAATTTTGAACAATTCACAATCAACAAAGTTATCAACTCACCAGCTTTTCTGAGAAGGCTGTCACCCTGACTTTAGACATACATGAGTTGATGTCGTGTGTGGTGTAGCATCTTCTCAACGACGTTGCCCAGGCGATGTCTCTGAGTGGAGCAGGCAGCATCTTCAAGACAGACGGCTTCTTCCAATTTACGGCAGTCTTTGCTCTTGGCACTCGCTCCATGTATTCCACAAACTCTTCCATTAGCTGTCTGTTCGATCAGGAAAAATATTTTTTTTGGAATAATGGAATAAGACAAGACTCAGGGAGTGACTCAGTCAGTCAGCGACTCGGGGAGTCGGGGAGTCAGTCAGTGACTCAGTTAGAGGACAATAGGCCAGCCCTTTGGGCCCAGCAAAAAAAAATCCTAATAATAATACCTTCCAGAACAAATAATACTACCGCAGTCTTATAGCGCACGTATCTACCAACAATCAGGTACTCAAGGCGCTGGAAATTATGTCTATTAGGCCTATTAAAGACATTCTAATAACATGACCCTACCCCTACACATACCTGCCTGTCTGCTGAGTTGGATCTGTGCAGTACACTCTACCCTTGAAACCAGTATACTGAAACAGATGTTCAAACATAAAACAATTGTGTAAATTATTGAGATTAATTTGACATATTGCACATAATTGTACAGCAGCATCACAGCTGTACAAAAATTAGAAATTAAAATTTGGGGAAGCAAAAATCTTAATTTATGCTTTAGATACAGTCATAAATATGGATCCTGTTCGGAATGCAGTGATCAAACGACATGCCCCTAGTACAGAGGGGAATTTGATAAAATTATTTGTTGATGCCGCGAGAGGGGTGGGCAGGGGGGGGGGGGGGGCAGGGGGGGGGGGGGACAAAGTCTGAATTCCTACACATACCTCTGTAATGAAGGGCAGAGCCAACATACAATGGTAGTTAGACACCAGAATGGCATCGACGGTTGAGAAATCCACAATCCCCAGCTGAAATGGTAACCACATCAAACCAGAATTTGTGATTTTTTTTGGACAATTTCAAGCAAGTATGATTTAGTGCTTGTTATTCCGTGATGAGTTTACTCACCTCTGGCAAGCAGACTTCTGGTGAACTGTCCACAAAGACTCGCCCACTGCATTCCTTAAGTTCCTAGAATGAGAAGGAAAAAAAAGTTCAACAAGAAATGGTCAATGTGTACGCACTCATTTTAACAAGTTCTTGAATCGTTTTTAACCTACTTTTTTCAAGTCGTCTTTGAGTTGCGTTGAGATATCTCCGGTCACTGTCCATGGTGGTAGTGAATTCAAACGAGCACTGGGGAGAAAATGGCAAATCGTTCAGGTTATTGCAAGGTCAACAGAATTACATGAATTTACATCACTGTACTTTAAAGGTTTTTTGGTTGTCTTTGTTACTGACCTTGGAACTAGAGTTAAAGGAAGAAAATGCTGGAGTGATGTCAGATCCAAACCACAGTCCAGGAGAATGGTTGTGCTCTTGAAGGTCAGCAGTAGGCATGGCGCATTAGGATGGTCCGATAAGCAATACTAGGTCACATGATCAACAGAAAAAGAGAGGAAAAAACACTGAAAATGCAAGCACGAAGAAAGATGTCATTTTATTTCTACGCATTGGTTACCGCAGTCGAACTATTATTTTTGCTTTCGTTGTACATCAGAGAGTATACTTTCATGTGAAAACTGTATAGATAAGGAATGTTGACAGAGCCTTTGAGAGAGATTTGTACAAAGTTGTAGGTGAATCGAATTTGTGGCCAACTTAGTGAATTTAACCTTCGTTTATCACGCGTCGGTTGAGGGCGTCAACATGCAGTGACACTGACATGTAAAAATTCACTAAGTTGGCTACATTATTCGCATACAAATCTCTCTTAAAGACTTTGTCAACATATTCCTTACACAGTTCTCACATACACTGACATAGCCTACTCTCTACAACTACAACTGTAAATTGTATTTAATTTTAAGCAAAAACAATTCTTTTTTCTGTTTCGAAAGTGGCGTCAGGTTGCAACATTTTTTTCCATTCTTTCCCCAATATATACTATAAAATATAGTCATTGGCCAACTGACAAACTTTGCAGGTGAAACAAACAAAAAATCGACATAAAAAGCATTGGAATTTGAAGCGAACTTACTAGTTTCATTTTGCCCGGTTGATCTCTTGCATTTGCAAAAAAAACAAAACATGGATTGACTAAAACCAAAATTCTCACTTGAGGGCGCTCTATCACAATGACGTACCGGTAGATTTTTTGGCCCCTTTCAATATGCAATACAGCCATGCGGCGCACAGGCCTAGGTTGTTTGGTCGACATATCCTGCAGCGGTTCTACACAGTACATAAACTCCTACATATCATAGATCATAGATGCTACACGGGGAAGAAAATCCTATTGAAATGCGCATAAAAAAAAGTGATTTTGATGAGGGTCGAGATCAAATTATTAGTAACCACTCTCTACACAGTACAAAAAAATCATCCTACATAGATTCTACCTGTGTTGAGAAGCTGTCCCCAAAACGAGTTTGTTCTGTATTTCAAAATTGATATTTCGTCCAGTGATTTGTCATGACTGAGTAACATTATGAGATTTAATTTTATGCAAAACCGTCAAGCAATAAAAAAGAATATGACCGAAACAAAAACTTTAAATCCACGTTGACTTCGGATTGTCGCGTTTAAAACACTACATTGTTGCGATCATATTATATTTATTGTTCGACGGTTTCTCATGAAAACTCCTCATGTTACACATCGTAAAAAAAATATCAGTGCACTTAATTTCAGTTAAATACATCTTGTATTCCTTGAGTTATACCTCGAAAAACCAGTTATTCGGTTTTGTGGGTTCTTTTTATTCCGCGTTGATGCTTTGCGAAGAACACTAATTATGTGGCGCGCCCTCTATTAAGTATAGGCACGTGCGCACGTTTTGGTACGACACCACTAGTTTTATTTGGCACGCCCATTCTCGAAAGAAACTAAGCTGTTGTTTGACGGTTTCTCATGAAATTGAATCTCCTATATGTAACACATCAAGACCGATCACTGGGCGAACTTACAACTTAATACAGCTGGGCCTGGTGGGCTCGGGTTATTGCCCAAACGGCGGACTGTCAAATTTTGTGCACATTTCAATGGCTGTAGGATCCATGTGTAGAATCTATGTAGGAGTTTTGGTACTGTGTAGAATAGTATAGGACTGTAGGATCTCGACCCTCCTCAATATCAACTGCAGTAGTAAGGTACTAGTTGGCCTACAGTATAGTGTGGGTATCGGGTCAGTGCCCATGCGAATGACAAAGTCCAAACTTATCATACAGAGAAACTGCGTGTCATACACTTGCATTATTCAGTGCTTTGTGTGCAATATTTTTCACACTAAAATACGATGTGAAATATTTTGCAAATACTGCAAGGTTTGGACAACCTCCTTCACCTGCCATTAAAATGGCTACGTCGCCTATTTTGCCAGCGCTGTCGAAACACAAATATCATGAAGCCTATAGTGTGTACAGTAGATTGAGCAACAGAGAGACAACTTTAATCGAATGGTTTCGTGGAAATACACATTTGTTGGCCGACGCCATTGCAGCGTCGGTGCGGTCACAGGATACGGAAGTAAAGGTGCTAGGTGTTGGGGCCGGCGACGGTGCGTATTAATTTATTATATCCCACTACATGCAGTACATTCTCACATCATTTCGTCAAAAAAAGTCAACACAATATGTGCATCATGACTTGTGCATGGTAGACGTCTTACGCGATATACTGATATTTTCAATTCTTCCAACCGAATTGTACTTAAAATGCAGGTCATGTGGAAAGCCAGATCTTCTCTGGGCTCAGAGACAGTTTAGGACATCACAAGATGAATGCGACCATTGTGGAGCCAGAGGCAAGCAGCTTACAGCGCTTCCAGGATCTAGTTGCTAAAGAGCCTCTGCATGGTGTCACTTTCGACTGGAGATGCCAAACTTTCCAAAACTACGACAAATCCGAAGAGGCAATAGGCGACAAGTTTCACATCATAACTTGCATCAGTAGTCTGTATTACTTGGGAGACTTAGACGATGCTTTGAAAAATCTGTACAGCAGACTCGAAGATGGCGGCATTCTACTACTTACGGCGTCCAAAGGTAATTGGCCTAAATAAGAATGTGCGCGAATAAGTTCGCGACTCGCACATGTGCGCGAGCGTCGACGCGTACGCGCAACCACGCGCGCGGAAATTCTGAATTTGCACAATATTTTTTAAGAATTTGGTGACTGTGCGTGCGAGACGCGGAATTATCGCGGAATGCAGGCGTGGGCGCGTGATCCTTGCGGCTATGATGGATTTTCTTTGCCATTTTCACCGTCCAGAAGGCACTGTTGCAACACATTGGTCCACAATTTCAATAATTCTAAAGGGAAAAAGACTATAGATCCTCATACGCACGCGCACTTACTTGAAGGCGCGGTCGCTAATCCCAAATGGAGCAACCTTTGAGACATGGGGACTCCCACCAATATAATAGGCTAGGCGTCGCGGAATCAATTTTGCGCCATTTTGGCACACGACCTGTGTTTGACTAATACAAAAAAAACCAACGCGATGATTGTTTTCGTTCAATTAGGTGGAGTAGGTTGGGGAAAGATGATGCAGTATCTCCAAACCAAGCTGGACAGCAGCCCATGCACAGTATTCTGCACCTCCTCCGAAGTCCAAGACGCATGCAAGAACCTCAACATGCCTGTCTCACAGATGCACGTCATCAAGATGCACCTAGATGTCTCGATGTGTCTGGACAAACCTCCTGACCAGCTATCACAAGACGGGCTGGCTCTGCTGGATTTTATCACGTATAGAGAGGATTTCGTTCGGCGAGCACCGCCAGATTTGCGGGACGAGGTGCTAAGATTCTTTGGCAGCGAGTGCTCAGAGAGAGGTCCAGCTGGGAAGTTCGTTCTCGATGAAAGCACCTTGGTTGTCGTTCGTCGCGAGGGATGAGTCTTGATTTTGATTTTTGGAAGGGTTAACCTTTCTGATTTAAAGGCATATAGGATCATTATCTTATCCCAAGAGTAATCTGCTAATTGTTATCAAAAAGCTTATATTAAAGATCGTATAGTACTGACCAACTCGTGAAATTATTCCGTCTGGCTTGTTGTCATTGAGAAGAACAATATTCGTCAATAATGAAACGGGAGATGTCCTTAAAAGCTAGCCTCCCTCGGTGATCCATGGGGCATTCTATTTTCCCTCGGCTTAGCCTCGGGAGAAATAGAACGTCCATGGCTCACCCCGGGAGGCTAGTTTTACTACACGGTAACACCACTCGAAGCATTCCATATTTGTATAATATTGCTAGAGATACAGCTATTCAGAAAAGGAATCTTTTGGGGGGACGGAACTCGAAAATAGCATGGGGAATTAAATAGAACTTTATGACCTTGACGAATGTTAATGTTCAATGTCTTAACTACAACAGCGCCCCCATACGTCAGCATTTATTGTAAGGATTGTCAACAGTAAAGGACAGAAAGGCAGTTCACGTTCCTTTCAATTGCCAAGGCATTAAATGTAGTGCCTTTTTTCCCTTTCATTGAGATTATTTCATGGGCTCTTTATAAATTAACTGTATTTTTCATTTTTTTTTGGGGGGGGGGGGTGGCAATGGGGGCATTAATGTTAAAACCCAAGTCTACCAAACTCATATTATGTCATACAAAATATGCTGCACATCTCATGTGATTTTTAAGTATGTTAAAAATAAATGAGGTAGGAAATCCAATTTACTTTTATTCAGCTTTTGAATATCAAAATATTTCAATAATTCATTGATCAACAAGAACTGAAATAAAACACTCGTACAACACTAATAACAAGATTTAAATTTGTCTAAAGTAATTTCTTTTATTTATCTCTTCACAAAACATACACCAAGAAACGTGAAAACTGGTATATGAAACAAGGCACAATAGAAAAAAAGTCAAGATATCTTTTGGAATGAATTTAAATGGGAAATATTACTAATAATACAATATTTACTGAAAATGGAAGTTTGAAATTTTCTCTTCAGTATTCGAGTTGGGTTTAAATGATTTTTTAAGGCACTTAGTTGTTGGAAGTATTCCAGAATAGAATATGAAACGGAAGATGTCTTTAAGTGTACAAAAGGAATTTAATTTTTAGAAACTACCTCTGGCACAAACAATGCTGCATCAACGAGTGTTCAACAAACTGGATGATTTCTTTTTCAGACGTAGACCTTGGCTGTTGACTTGCGTAAATAAGCACACTCCGTCACTAAGGATTTGTGCTTAAAAATTAGCGCAGGATTTCTTTGCTGGCGCACTTAGCGTAGTATGTGATGATAACCGCGGAATTCCGCGGTAAACGGCGCTATGAAATTGGGCCCTGAGGCGACGAGAAACAATCTAGATAGATGCTATGAATTGCTTGATCCTTAGAACAGATCGTAAGCATCGAATAAGTCTGAGATACCTTCATTGTCTTCTAATGCGAATAAATAATCGTCGACAGCGGGCGGGGAGAGAGGGACAAAATCGTCAAAGTCGTCAGTACTGTTCTGGTCTTCCGTTTCCATCAGGAAGCTCTTGTTGAGGGGGGAGATGTCATCTTCGTCGACTGTGGAAGACTTCAAAGCTGGATCACCTAGCGAAAAACAACGGGAAGTTTTCAAATTCTTTAATATTGGGATTGAAAGGGAAAAAATACAGATGTCCACAATTATTTTACAGATTTGTGAATGGATTCTCAAACCTCAAGTTTTGATCGGAATCATCAGTGTCGAGTCCGAGTCTTATGTCAAAGGTTAATTCAAACTCCAAGTCAAAAGTCATAACTCAAGAACAAAAATTGATTCCTTTAAGTCTCTATAATTTTGTATTTCTATTCATGTTAATGTGGACACTGGGTTTCTGTAAAACTTCGGACTGCATTTTTGTTGCTTAAAACCAAGACAAATCCAACTGCTTGCCCTACTTATATTTGAAGAGTTGGTGCAAAATTGAGCATGAAAAAACAGCAAGATTCCAGCTGCACACATAAATCTGAGCTCAGTCCCAAAATGGAAGCCTTGGGAATGTCAATAATTGTCTTACTCTGCAATTCTACAGTGTTGTTGTCAAGTTGTCGCAGTTAAAAGTAACAATTAAAAATTCTTCCACAAGTAAGATGGGATGAACAATGACAAACGAATGCCTATGTGTCGCAGTTCGTTCAAATAGCTTGTGTTTTGACTGATACAAAATAACTTGTGATGGACTTGTGTTGTGCAGACTTTTCTGAAGGACTCGACTACACCAGATTCGGAGTAATTGCAGAATACCCCGCCACTCGGAAATACACCCTTATATTCTCTGGCTACGAGGTTGGAATCACTGGAAAAGAAACAATTCAAGTCCATTGCCAGCTACACGGATACTGAGTGGGGGTCCATTATTTGAGAACGAAGCAACACAAAATGAATGGGAGTTGCTGAAAAAATTCTAAGTCCAAACCAACTACCCTGTTGCCGGCTACGCGGATACGGAGTGGGAGTCCTCATATGCTTGAGAACGAAGCAACACAAAAGTTATGTGAGTTGCTGAAAAAATTCTAAGTCCAAACCAACTACTCTGTTGCCGGCTACGTGGATACGGAGTGGGAGTGCAGTGGAGCATGATGCATAGTACATACATGTAGCGCTGAGAAGGTTTATTGAGGGCAATCAACTCTGACTCCTTAGCCGGCTACGAGGTACATAGATAGAGTGGCGGGTATTCTGCAATTGTGCCCCACATCGATTCTGCTCTCACCTTTACTACTTGCCGGTGACCCACTGGTATCCGATGAACTGTCTTCTTTGCTACATTCTTCAGGACAAAGGTAAACCTCAATCTGACCTCTGGTGCTCTTTAACCAAATCTGGATGCTCTGAAAAAAAAAAGAACCGATCACAAGCATTACATACATTTGCTTAATTAAATTCTGTACTAAGTAAAAATGTAATGCTTAGCAATGGCAAAGCAGAGTACCAGTCACAAACAATACACATGACATGAATTTTGGCTGGTGTCTCATTTTTGCTAAATGTGTTTACTGTGCTTAGCAGAATGAGGCTGAGAACCAGTTAAAAAACTGTATACTTTGCATGACTGTTTTGGCTGGTGACCATTTTCGATAAGCAAATAATCTGTACAAAGCGCCTCACCTCTCTGGGGTCGGGTACCTCTAGTCTTGTCTCTGGCGGCGCCTTGATTGCTATAACTGTTTGATCTTCAAAGCTCTCGATGCTACGGATGTCGTGGTATGTGACATAAGCATATGTGTGGATGTGAGTTAAGAAAAAATGACCGCTGACGTTGCACCAATCAACAAATGGATAATTTAAATTTGTAGGAATTTTTTTTACAGTGGTCACATTGTTTAAACTATCAAAGTCACCAAAAAACACATGGTTTGCAACAGAATTTGAGAACAGATAATTTGTGGCAATATTTGCTTCTGTAAATTGCAAAGGATATCTAGCGTTGTCGGGGTCTTCTGTCAGCATCTTGAGCTGCACCGTTGCATTGTGGACCAGGTCGTCTAGTTTCCGTTCTCGTAGATCGAGATCTGCAAGATCTTCAAATAGAATCAAAAAGAATATGCACACCATGAGAATAACGATCACAAGAATATATTGATTTTTTTTTAAGCTTAACATCTGACAAGTTGTAAAACTGCTATTAGTCAACGGAGCATTGAGTGCACAGGATCTAAAACTCAGTCTGGGACCAAGACTTACCTGAGTGTAGATTAACAGATGCTGCTGTGATGGGTGCTGTCTGGTCGTGGTAAGGAAACTGCTGGTGTTGGGCTGCGACTGAGTTGGTTGTACCTCTGTCCATTAATAAATAAATATGACCAAATAAGGAAAGTGAAAATAAGTGACCATTCCCATGTCTGTCTCAAGTAACAGGGGAGGATCAATAAGCAAAGAAATGGAATTGTTTCAGTTCAATTGAATAGCTGGATTTGGGCGATAACGTGATTTAGGACTTGCGTCACTCTTTGTTTACATGTGCACTTTCTTATGGGAGTCTGATGGAGACAACGGTTTCATGGCCGCATAGAAAAGCGCAGAAGTAAACAAAGTGTGACATCATCAGAAAAGAGGCTTATAACATTTTTGAAAGTCACTAACTTCCACTGTATGTTGTTTTTCGACTTCTTCGTGATGAGCTTGATTCCTTCTAAGACGTTTGTGATGTCGTAGATGCGACGCTTCTGAACTTTTAAGACTTCTGCAGCTACGTTAAGGTCTAGGACACCATCTTGGGCACCTCGTAATAGCCCGACAAAACGCTTTGTTAGAAGACCTAGCGACGTGTCGTAACGAGATTTCTCCAATGGTGATTTGACAACTAAACCAGAAAAGAGAAAAATTAAGTACAGGTTTTACATTATGTATGGCAGCCTTTCTTTTGGCATTACATGTACTTTGACAAAAAGAACTGCATTGGTCTTCTCAATGTTTGCACTTCTCAGCTGTTTGCACTTTTTGGAAAGAAGGAACAGTGAATTTTTAAATTAAAAAAATCACCAAACTGTAAATTCCAAAAAAAAAAAAAAAAAAAAAACATGAAGAAAAAATTTGCAGGGATACAATGTCAAGTTGCTTCTTATATTTAATATGAAAAACTTCATGAAAAGCTAATGTTGATCAAAATGTCCTTTTTATCCACAATTTAACTGCTTTGCAGGAACTCAGAAATAATTTTTTACTATTTCTTACCTCTAGGCATACTTTTAGGACTGGGTTTTAACACACGCTTCTTTGTGACTCTTGGGCTGGGCGTTTTGAAGGAATTCACTAGACCTACTTCGGGACTGGTTGGCACGTCTAAGTCCAACTTCCTTTTTGCCTGTTGAGAATCAAACAAATAATAAATCTAACACACCATTTATGAATACGTAAGGTCATCAGGTATGATTCGCACAGCACTGGGATCGAGAAACTTTTCAAATTTTCTAGAAAATACTTAGAAAATGCATTCGACGTATCTCCATACACTCTGTGCACAATCAAAGAAGGGCAGACATTTTAATATTGGGGCACCACCTAGCTGAACATTATCTGCAGAAAGAATCAATAACTTAAGTAGAGACTTCACATATTTTTTTGCAGATTTTTTTGGTCAGGCCTTATTAATATGAGTTATATGTACGCGGGCAGTAGCCTAGGCTTAGTAAAGAAAAACCTCAAATATTGAGAAGCATTTCTGGCAGAAAATGTTCACAATTTAACACCAAATTTGTCTACTTTTACTCATTTTCCTATATTGTGAAGACCCCCCCCAGTTCTGACAATGTGTCCGCCCCTTCGGATGTTAGCCAAGTATTAAGTAAATATTTGATTTGGCTCATTTGCTGTGCTGGATGGAGTCTATGCTTGAAATAAATATTTTACTGGAGCAAGTCAAATTAAAATAATTCATGAAAAATGATTTCTGCATTTTGGGAATTCTGAGAGAAATATACCAGTGGTCTGCCGAGTGTTGGACGCGTTCCTTTTGTGGCAAGATCCGGAGTGCAGTCCACGACGTCCAACAAGTCCTCGAAACCCTCCGCCCAGTTGGGTACCACTTCGTCCAAGTACGAGTTACTGGGAATCTCCGAGTCAAAACTCGGGCAAGGAAGACTCGAAAAATGCTGCTGCTGCTGTTTGTTTGACGACGAAGTTATAAGAATTCTCGGCTTGTAATGATGGGTCGTAGAGCTGGTCGGTCGTGCTGTACCCCTCGGCATGTTTTACGTTCGTGCACTGCCCACTTATTGTCAACAACGCAGCTGGGTTTGGGGTCGGCGCTTTCAACAAAACGGGGTCAAAATGTGGGCCTAAATTCCTCCAGTCTGGATTGAAATTCCCGAAACAAAAAACAGGTGGTTGGATAATGATACTTCAAAGACTGTTTGGGGTGATTGTGAAGGAATGATGGCAAATGAATGGGGTTGATTTGGACTGATTGTGAGAAGTGGGGGTAACGACGCAGCCGACCCGACCCAGCCGATAAAGAGAAGTAAAGTTTATTTTACCGAAATTTGCAAAGGGCGCGAGTTGTATTTCGCGGGAGTGACATATCACGTGCGGTTTGGCGCAAAGTGGCGCCCCGCAGCATGAATAAAAGACGACCACGTCGATAATTCGGAATTCTTCGGCCTAAATGAAACAAAGAGAAAACAAAAACTGCTATTCAATTTGTTATTTTTTGGAAAAATATAAAAAGAAGTATAATTTCAACAGCTTCATGGCCAGGCAATTGAAGCCTGATGAAGTCCTGCTTGTACGAACAAGTTATTCATGGTACAGGGCCATAGTGTACAAGTTAGCCGGACCTTTAAATTTTCGCGGGGTTTTCATTATAAATGGTGCCACACCGAAAGCAAAGCAAAGAGTGACTTTTTTAACCCACTCTATGGCAAAAAATAGCAAGGTTATAAGGCATGTATAGATAAGAGATTTTAAACGCGCTGTTTTTACCCACGTTTGATCGAAATCCCTTTTCTTCTCCAAAGAAAATGGGCGGAGGAATCATTGGATCTCATGATCATTGACTGCATTTACGTAGCTTGAGGGTCGAATTTACAGGGGTATAAAATCATAGTTTTGTAGGGTTATGGGTTATAGAATTAAAAAAATGAAATAAGTATCATCATTGCAAATGAGTATCAGGTTGGTAAAGAAATCAACGTAGCCCCTCCATGGTTGCAGTATTAAGTTCCACCATGGAGGAATTAAAAAAAACCACCACAATATAGGACTGTACATCCAACCATGGTTCAATGTACATCGATATTTCGGGTATTCGATATTTCTAGCTAGGCATTATTGAATTTAACCAGTTTACTGAGGTTTATTTCGTCCTTCACAGACTAAATCTTTCACGGGCTTCAGTAAGAATGCAACGCGGTATGTATGGGGGCTTCTCGCTGCACCCTTGGAAATTCGGAAATTTGAATAACAAAAACATGGGTACGGCAAAGTGCAGTGCCACGTAGAACCTGCTGCGGTGTAGGTATTGTTGCTAAGCATCCCTAGCGCGCGTTGATTGACCAATCAGAGGGCAACACCAAGCGGGCGCACAGGGGGGGGGGGGGGGGGGGGGGGGGGGGGAGGACCGGGGGGGGGGGAACCGGGGGGGGGGGAACCGGGGGGGGAGGGCAAACAAAAGTCTCCTGAAAGCTTTTTTCCTGATTGATATCTGCACACAACATAACTTTTTTTCGGTGAGACTGCAGTAGGCGTGGTTCAAGAATGAATATTAGGAGATGGCTGGGGGGGGGGGCCTAAAAATGCGAGTCATTTTTGAGTATTATTTTTTCATAAATTGATTAAAAATGTGCATATTTTTGAAAAGAATTTTCAAGAAAAACAGGAATTATTTTTAGTGCAATTTTTGTGGAAATTCCCACCAAGACAAGAATGAACGAAAAGGTAATAAAAAACCCACAAAATAAGACCAAACAAATAAACCAACAAAAAATGTAAGCAAGCAAAATAATAATCATGCAATGTTTACACTAAGCAGGCAAATAAAACAAAAGAATGACAAAATAAAAACTTAAATGAGAAGTGACAAACTCAGGAGATTGGTTTTTATTTCAAGCATCAATGAAATAAATGTCAATGACATGCTTTTACAACGAAACAAAATAAAACAAAATAAAATACATACATTTACAGTCCGAGATCACAGACATAAATATTCTTGCTTAGCATAAGTACACTCAACATGCTGTGTAAAAAAAAACATGCCACCAGACAGAGAGAAAAAAAAATACATACCTTCTTGGAGAAACAGAGTCTTAAAAAATGAGATCTAAACAACTGGAAAAATATGGCTGAAAATGGAAACTTGTTAATTTTCCCCTCACAATCTCTGACAGGTACATAAACTGAAACTTCACTCTGAAATGTTACATAATTTATACATTTCTTTGACAACTCCTTCTATTTCAATATAAAGAAAATAATAGCAGATACAATTAATTTCAAGTTCATCATTTCGAATTGTTTCAAACAATCCTGATTTTGTTTTGACTCGACCTTAAATATAACTTCTCAGAATTCTACGTTCTTTGGAGTTATCCTGATGAAAGCCCCAAAGAAATTGCACAGTTTAGAAATATTGAATATACACCATCAAGAATGGAAAGATTTCCTATAGATTAATAATTTCGTCAGAATGCAAAATATTGCTACAGGACACTTCCTAAAAGTCTCGAACACAATGGAGGAACTGGTAACCAGTCTAGTCATATTTTAGGCAAAAAAATTATCCTGTACTGATTCAAACAAGAAAACACATAAACAGAACTAACTAGAGGTTTGCGTTTGTTGTTACAAACGCAGAGTGGTCGGGTAGACAACCATTTCATTAGACATTGTCCAGTTAAGTTATGAATATGTTTATGTCAGAAAAAAAAGGACCAAGAACTTTTCCAGTACCAATTATTTTGTTCAAAAAGAATGCGTCTTTTAAGGTATGATAAATTTCAGTAAACAGTTGGGTACACGTACAAGTTAATTATTTCCGGTTTGATGGCGTCATCAGTCAAAACAGGGAAGGGAGGACACTTGTTTATCATTAAGTAAACATAACGCATGGAAATATGGAAATTAAGTGTACGTAATAATAACAGCTAACTTCAAGTTTAATGACGTCACAGTATTTGGAAGTAAAAGGTCAATATTAAGTGTAACAGATGTCATTTTGCGGGGGCAAAAAACAAAGGCATGAGACAGGGATCAAATGATGGATTTAAATTAAAAATAAAATGGTCATTGTTGAATTCTCCCTACAGTAACTTCCGGTCTGATGACGTCATGATTATGAAACCTTGCAGATTCCTTTGCGGTTGCTCACGGGATATAATAGGGGCAATATATCATAAAAATTTGATTGAGGGTTTTAACATTTTAAAAGATTAAACTGCTTTCTATGTGCCGCTGGAGGGCGCCCTTTCGTGGATGACGTCAAGATAATGTGTTTGTGATTGGTATTCCTCACTTAACACTTCCATAATGTATTTGTATGTAGTAAAATGCTTCCGTTTTAGAGTTATATTCAGTTTCTATTGCGCTTCCGGTAACACCGGAAGTAAAGGTCAAGCAGTTTTGTACAACCTCACGAAAAAACGAACACGATACTCTATTTAGTTCAAGAGATATAGGTCAAAGTATTTTGTCAAATCATGCAATCAAATCGCTTGTAATTTGATACCTGATGACGTCATGATTACGTAACGACAGTTATAACATCTTCGTAACATGTTACAAGTTCACACTAGGTTTTATGATCATACCGTAAACTGTTTGGAAGAAATTGTGCTTTGTTTCGATTTCAGGCTAAAGTCTTCATTTTGAATTCACCTAACTTTGACCTTCCGGTAGACCCGGAAGTAAAGGTCAAGTGAGTTCACGTACACGACAAAAAATGTTTATCAATTTTTGGTCTATCTGATTACAAGGTTGGAGCATAATTGATTATTTTGTTGAAGAGTTATAGATGAAAGAAGATCGTCATTTTTTTTTAACGAAAATCGCTTGTAATTTGACACCCGATGACGTCATAATGACGTCAGTGTAATATGCACCACTCGGAATGAGGGTCAATATATGTTAGAAGTTACAAGTTCATATCATATGCCGTTTAGGAGAAAACCCGCGGAAACGTGCTATGCAGATAAAAAAGAAAGAAAGAAAGGAAGAAAGAAAGATTAATCGCAACAAATCCAAAGAGTGGTCGGGTTGTGCCCGACCACTCAATTAAATTTGACAGTCTTTATTTGACTTTGTTGCTAGGCAACACAGCACCAAACTCACTTCGATGATTGAGTCTTTTTAAAAGGGAATGTACAACATTTGCTTTTGCTGCAATTTTCAGAAATAAATGGATTTGGAGGATTAGTATGTTAAAGCAAATATTGTTAAAATGACTTTTTTTTCACGTTTGGGCTTTTAGATGCTGGAAAAACCAAGAAAACCAATCATGTTCTTGCAGTCTGGTTCCCTGACCCCACTTAAGATGAAACGAAGCAAAATAGACTTTGGGGAATTGTAAGGTCAGAGAATCAGTCTAGCAGACTTGTACCTTTTCACAGGTGTGTAATCAATTGCAAAGAAAATGCGGAATAACTAATTATGAAAAACTCGGAGCAATTTTTGAAAATTAGCCAGTTTTCTCCAACGCTGGTCGGCCGACCAGCGTTGGAAAAATACCATTTTTCTTGAAAATGTCAGCACACCAGGAGCCACGATTTTACAGGATGCTTGAGACTGTCATTCCCTAACAATCCAGTAAGGTATTTCGCGATAACTTGATCATTTCGTTTTGTGATGTTTGCAAATGTTGTATCTTCCCTTTAACTGTATAATATCAAGCAGTCTTCAACTCCAAAATTTCAATTTCTTTTTGCACATTCTCAGAACCTGGCACCCAAGATTTTACCTTTTCTTCTTATCACCTACTCTAACCCTTCCAGTTGCATCTTGGTGCTAGTATGCCACATCTTAAAGCGGCTGAATCCTGTGTTGTTCGTCTCGTCATAGCAGAACCCTTTCCCCAAAAGTCGGTTCTTCGCTTGCTCGAACAAGCTCAAGAATGTGTCCCGGTAACACGCCCGCTGCAGGAAGTACTGGTACACTGTGGTTCCCGTGGAATCCTCCACTGTGTGTCCCCCTGGCAAGGAGGAGCCTTCTGATTGGCTGTCGGAGCTGACCAATGGGTCAATGTCTAGCGGGTCACATGGTCTGGATGGGATGGTTCCAACAAAGTCTGCAACGCGACTGCAAGTCTCCGCCTTCTGCAAAATAAGGAAAAGATGAAAACACTCCATTAAGGAAAGTGTTGCAGGAAACTTTACCCTGAAGTTACGTATTTCCTAAAAACCTTTACAAAAAAATTCTCTCTTGACCAACCTTGGAGACTGTCGGAGAAGATGGCCGTTTCATTTTCACCCCCACTCCTTCGCTACTCCCCGCCAGGGGGACACACTCCACTTGAAATATCGGGAAAGCCTGCTGCTGTGTGTCCTCGCTAGAGCTGACCACAAAGAGAATCTCGGGTGTTAGGAGTAGGCACCCCCCGCGCTGCAGGCCGTGGAATGTTACCGTGGTGACGTCGCAGTCCATCAGGATGTCTGCGTTGGGCAGTGAGTGTAGCATCTTCCTACAAAATCAATCAAGAAACAAAGCATAAAGAGTGTTTGTATTTAACAAAGATTTTGGGTGGTAAACTTTTATCTTAAGTGCCTTGTCCAAGTTGACTTACAAAAAAAAACCCACTGTAATTGAAGCATTTTTGAAATACAGCAGACACAACAGAAGGGCACTATTTTGAGTGGATAAACTCATTTGCATTGATTCAGATTTACTCAGTGTAAACAGCGCCCTCCTAATGTGTCCATGATTTCCCCAAAACAGCCAATACGGACAGGTTATACGCACTGAACATCTTAACAATGTACAAGGATATCATGGTTTTACCATGTGTATTTGAGTCTACTGTTGGTTGCCATGGCAGTCAGTGATGTCACACATTCTCCTTTTGGGCTTCTTGTTTCAACAAGACCAGCGCTGTGTAAAATACCTTCGAATCAGGGAAATGATAGAAAAAGATTGTTTAAAAACCAGTTTAATTCAATCCAGTATTATTAACTTCTTTGAGTTGTATTACATTGTATTTTCTTCAGACGCACCTTGTCCAGTCTGAGAGACAAACTCCGCGGCCCCGCCCAGCGGCTTGATGACCACGCCCACCAGACCTTTGCCGACGCCCCGTATGACCCCCGTTGCCTTCTGAGTTGGTGAGCTGACCTCAGGTGCTTGATGGAAGCTTTTGATTGGCTGGTCAGCAATGCCTCCAATGGCTCCTGTTTGTAAACAAAAATAGAGACACGTATAAACTAAATGGAAACACAATACGTGAATAAAATCTTTAAGATGGGGTTTCTTATTTATAGTTCATACTTACGCCAAATATTTTCACAAAATTCATTTTACATTTTTTGGCACATTAAACTTTTTTTTTATTTCATCAAACATATACCCAAAACTAAAACAATTATGTCAGTGAAGGCCAAAAGCCAATATAAAATTTCTTGGGCCATTAAATATAAACTGTGGCCGACTACTTTTGTGATCTATATACCAGATAGTTTTTGACATTTCCTAAATGTAAGTATTTCAAGACTTCTTACCTAATAAGCTGATACCAAAGCCACTCAGGCCTTGCATCAATCCATCCGTCACCCTGTCTGGCACCTTACGTCGTTGTTTCTCCCTCCGGGCGATGTGATCTTCATCGAGGGTCAGCCGATCCAGGTTTCGGGAAATGCTGGCTGCAAACTTTGTGACTGACGTCAGGGTACCTGGAGGAAACAATTCGTATGAAATTGCATCAATTTGAAGACCGCTATCACAAAAGTCGGCATACTTGAAGTTTGCCACAAGAGGGCACCAAACTCTGTAAAAAATTGCATGAAACCAACCTGCAGAAAGATGTCTGAGTAGTGACGACGTGCCGCTGGTTACCCCGGCAACAAACGCAGCTGGTCCCCTAGTCAGTCCCTCATATGGTAGCATGACGGAGTCGGTGAGGCCGCTACGGACGTTACGCAACAGGCCGGCTGGGTTGCCAAGTATCTCCAACGACCCTAACACCCAACCTAAAAATAATAATGTGGTGATTATATTGAGGTTTATACTAATGTCTTTAAGGGTTTATCTCCCATGTTCATCAGGCCATGAGACCAGTTTTCTGCAGCAGTTTGAGATCGGCGCAATCTGGTCTCTACCTTCACAGGTACCCATGTGTACTCCTGCGTGGAGAGAGGCAATTGTAGTCAAGTGTCTTGCCCAAGAACACAAGCACCATGTTCCCCGTCAGGGTAGGAACCCACTATAGTAAGATTTGTGGAAACATTTTTTTTCAGCTTACAAACAATTATGCCCATCAGGAATTAAATTTTACTTGAACGGTTGCCCAAAGCAGTAGAGACTAAAACTTTGAAAAGTGGGATTATGAACAGGAAAGTTAAACGTAAGATGCCCTCAAATTTTGCAAAAACTTACTCACCTGCTTTGAAGAGAGCACCAGACGTATAATGCACCGTGAGTGCCTGCACCAATTGTCTCGTTGTCGCAAACATCGGACCGCTATCAAACTGTCTAAAGGATAACGGCGTGCTGTCGACGGCGACAAACAACTTCAGAGAGGCGTGGACACTCGCAAACAATCTGATTGGTTGAATCAGAAACTGCCGCATGCTGATTGGCTCCTTCAGAGCACAGCTGGTGACGCGGACTTTGGCTGGGAATCTGTGGCTCGTGATTGGTCGGTTCTGTTCGTGTGACTTCGCAGGAATGAAGGTTTGAACTTGGAGAAGAAGGTCGTACAGGAAGTGATCTTCAAGGTAAAGTTCAAGAGGTTTAACCTCAACTTCCAGGGAAGCTAAACCGAGGAACAAATCCGTGCAGCTCTCCAACATGACCTGAGCAACAAGAGTGTGGTGCTGGTGACAAAAGTTTGCAAGCTCTTCCACTGGTCCGTCGCGAGATACTTCATCCTCTCCAGACTTTATCGACTCCTCTTGACTACAAAGGACGACAGCAAAATCGTACTTTCCCGCCCCCTTGAACATCTGATTGTCTACTTGGCAAGCCCGGGCAGACAGCTGTACTTGTTGTTGCTGAACTGGACTCTTTGTGCCACTTTCAATGATTGGATAACTCAACAGGAGCACATCTTGGATGCTGACGCGTAGCATCTCCGACGACTGAACAAGATCAGTGATTTCATCCATCACCATGACAACAACACTCCCGGCAGACAATCTGAATTTATATTGCAACTGAGAGAGAGAACTGGACGACATTGCAGTCTCAGAAGATGACTCAGTCTTTTCAGGATAAGAATGTTCCATCTCGAAAGCCAGTAAGGTGTTTGACTCAGCTCTAATAGAAGGCTCTGTTGAAGACTGCATCCCACTTCTGCCCCCAGATTTAGAGACATCCATGCTGAGTGGATCCACACGGATTTGCAACTGTGTCCCTACACAGTGACTAGAGACTAGGACATAGCCTATGCCAGCTACAGATACTATCTCAGATCTTTCTCTGTTGTCAGTAGCTAGTTGGATAGCCTCACTCCACGAATACTTGCTCTGTTTTAAATAACAAAAATCAAAATTGACTTAACAAAACTGGGTCTTTTGAAGATCTGTCTTCACTGGAATCCCGAAGAAGTTAACCTAATCAAAATTTGCAAAGATTTTTGACGGAATATTTTCACTGAGAGTTTTTGAAGAAAAAAAATTATGTTATTGCTTTCTGACATACCTCCAGAAAGATAAAAGTTACGACAGAAGCAAAGATTTAAAAGGCGGCAATTTACCTGTTTTTCTTCCCTGTGTTGTCTTTGTTGGCCTCTCGGTTCCTCCAGGCTTATAGCTAAACCAAGGAAGCTTCCTAGGCACAGATGAAGACTGGGTGTGTACGACCTTTGACCTCCGTCAGCTGAGGGCAAAGGTCGGTGGAGGTCATAGTGGACAAGGCAGTGAGGAAGGATAATGGGAATAGAAGGAACGGGACTATGTTGCTCCAAAACCTCCACTGTGGAAAAAAATATGAATAAAACATCCATGTTTGGCACTGAAAGAGATAAAAAAAAACAAAACAACAATACCATGGACTTAAACTTCACTTACGCTGTTCCGTCTCATGAAAAGGTGTCTGTCCAAAATGAAGAGGGTAGGAGCAGGCATTAGCAATGGTTACCCTGGCAACCGGGTCATCGTCAATGGTTACATACATGACCCCTTCCTGTTCTGCCAAGAGGTTCACAAAGGGTTGCGTAGCGATGGTCTCTGTTGTGGATGTTGTTTTGGGTGACGCCTGGCTAAAAATCTGGTTGATCTGTCAAAAAATAAAGAAATTAATTGGGACGGTCTAGATACCATGGAGTTCAAGGAGGGGAGGGGCGGGGCCGATGATTTTTCTGTTGGAGGAAGCTGTATTTAGCATCAATGTAAAAGCACATTGCATCAACATTTTCTTATAGTTAAAAAAATTTGGTTTTTATTGTTATGATGTCTGCACTTTTTCCTTCATTTTTCACTAGCCTCTTTCTTTATGGGGTTTATAAAACTGAAAGGGATTATAAAATTCCACAAAGAAAAAACTCACAGGAACTGATACTGGAATTCTTGGCCTAGAAATATCCAGTAGAATCCATCTACTCCAGTGAGTTTGCTCCTGATTGGTTGGATCTTTGACATCTGTTTTCCTATTGGTCCCCTCCGACTTGGCAAGAGCCAATGAGAGATACTGACTCTTGTCTTGAGTGTCAGAGGATGTTGGATGAGGAGATGGGATTGGCTGATTGTCAGACGGGATGTTCCATTGTGTGATGGGGATGTAGGTTTCTTCGGGAACAGCTGGAGGGACCGACACAGACTGCAGTGTGGAATCCTGCACAGTAACCTGTTAATGAGGATGAAAAATAAAGAGATAAACTCATAATGAACAATTTAGTTTAGGGTTTTTTACATTAATGTCAGGACAAAAAACATTGCAAATTTTGGAAGGTTCCATTTTATTTGGATCTTACCTTATTGGTTGCTATGGTGTCAAATGCTCTGAACATCACAGCTTTCTTGCTCTTGTTGCACAACATGAACTGAGGTAAAATTGTGATTACCCGAATGTTGTGCTTGACAGTTGATCTCAGTGCAAGACGAACGACCTGAAAATTGACAAACAGAAAGTTGACTTAGAAAATAAAATATTTCAATTTCAAAAGAATTTTCTGCACAAAATAATTTCCCGACTCACCCTGTTCTGTGCTACACCCATCCGCTGCACGGACAGGGTGATGTGGATATATCCCTCGGATATGAGGGTCAAAGTTGAAGGGTCGTGGGTCGTTGCTGGGACAGACGCAGCTACAAGGTGGATAGGTTTGGACTTGTTGCTGGTCGTGTATTTGGCTTTGCTGAGTTGCAAATAGAATCCTTCCTGTAAGATTGAAGAAAAAACAAAACAAAGAGAGTTCAAATAAACATGATGAAAGCTTAAAATGAAATTTAGAATTGCGAAAACTTGAAGGAAAAGATGAAACACAAGGCCTTGTTTGAAACTAAAACGAAGTAGTCAATTGCTAGTTCTCACTGCCAGTTTCACAGCTGAGTGGGTACCGATGAACGTGCACCTACCTTAAATCTCTGCGGTGCTATCGTTTGTCCTTTCTGAAGAAACAACGTCTTGCTGCCATCCTCCATGACGTCAATATCTAAATCCGTCTCGTTGACCATCAAGCACCATGGTAACACATCCACCATGATGGTGTTCAGGTTACGACTGAGGCGCGTCGTCGTGACCTGTAGGTCGGTGTTTGGTTTGTACGTGGTGTCCATGGTAACCATGTCCGGAGTAGCGTTAGGTGCCAGCGAGTGCGTGCCTGACGGGACTTCAGTGTTGCGAAGAGTGCAGTTGAAGGATTTTGTGCTGTTGGAGAAGAAATTTGAAAAGGGTGTTATTAAAATTTAATCTTCCAAGAACCTCAAAAATGCACCAGGTGGTTTTGCAGGATTTGCAGTATTAAGGCAAATGTAATTTTTCTCTGGACAAGAAGGGCAAGCCTACTGTCTTCTGACTGAGTCACTGTGTGACTGACTGAGTCACTGAGTTTAAATAATGTCTCCACCTGAGATGTTTGGTCCAGCTCCATTAATCTTGCTTTTAGACAAACTACAACATTTCTCCAAGTTTAACACAAAACGGAAATTTTTATCACCTTTCATAGTCAATGTGGTTGTACGGCCACGCCTCCATCATATTGGGATGCTGACACTGCTTAGCAATGGTTTCCATGGTGACTGGAGAGGCATCATCACTGTCTTTGGATAATCCCAGGCTGAGTTCATCAATCATGTCCGTGTTGATGGTGATTGGTGGGTTTGATGGACTAGAATCAAGACTGACAACAAAACAAATTATTTTCAATTTACAAAAAAATGTTAACCTAAAGTTTACATTAATATAATACTTCAGATATATTATGCAATATTAATATAAGATATGGACAATTCGTACTTTACTGTACTGTGAATTTAATCCATTCACTTAAATGAGGAATGAATTACTAAACAATTTGCTTTTACTTCTTGAACAATTTCTTAAGATTTTTGTTGAGAAAGCAGTGAAAAAAATTAAAAAATAAGAAAGGTTAATTATCTTACCCTAGTTGAAAGGTGAGATTGTGCCAGGCGTTCGGAGCAAACCGGTACAGAGATTGGTCTGAGCCTTGACCTTTGACCTGAACGACCTTGAGGTCATGTGGCTTAGTTGATTGAATATTCATGATCATGGGCCAGGGGAGGTGACAGCGAACGACGAACAATGGGCTGAACAGAACCTGCAGATTTGTAAACATTGCAGACAGTTTCAGCAACTAATGTACATCTTTGACAAAATGAGTTTCAAAAATTCTGTTAATTTCAAGTGAACAAAAGCCAATATCAGATGTGAGGTTTTCGTTTACTTGGCATATTTACAAAACTTATACTTCACTTAATACGTACCAGTCTCTGTACGTGATTTTCATGTTCTTCTGTGAAGATACGACACCACATATAGTGATGCACGCCATCCTGGTCAGAAACCTTCGCAAAACAAAATTCGGGAAATTTTGTTTTATAAAATGCTTTCACATGTGGGTCTTTACATATGTGTACGATTGAGTTGATTTTACTCAAAATACAAGGTTTTACTGTTCAAAAACAGAATACTCAAGGCTTTTGAAAAATAACTGTAAAGGAACAGTTTTTCAGAAAACCTTTTCACTCTAAAATCTAAATATCATGAATGGTGAGTTACAAATTGTCATTAAATATATAAAACACACCACAAAATTCAAACATACTTTGAGAACTGATTGCTCACGACTCATCTCCCCAGAGATGGCAAACTGTTCCGACCAATCACCACCCTCCTTATTTAGCTTGACTCTGACCCCTGTGATGTCACTGCTGCTACAGGTTAAAGAAGGCAGGCTGCTATTGGCTGATAGAGTGTGGAAGTGCTTAGCATCGATCACCTGACTTCCAATTCTAGCCAATCGGATGAGCTGTATCTCGAGGTCTAGGCTCAGGGCATTGGTGAAGAAATGCTGGCCGCAAAATATCACCTGGAAAGAAAATTGACTTCAATTAAAATTCTATCTGGGCATCTAAATTCCCTTTCTCTTTCAACTTTTATGTCTGTCTTTCATCTTCTAGCTACCTTCTTGTATTTCTTGACAATTTTTTCTTAGATGAAGGTTTTTGTTAATTTTTTAAAGGCAACAAGGTTTTTTACAAATAACTTTCATTTCACTCAATTTCATTTCACTCAATTGTAACATTTTTTCAGTTCTGGGAGAAAAGCAAGTTTTATTTTTTCTATCAAGATATCTTTCAAGATGCTTAGGAAAGTTTGACAGAATGGCTATATTTTCTGTTTAGCTTTCTGTTTGTTTGTCTGTAATGCCTTTCTGTCTGTTAAGAGGGTGGTGGCTTAGCTGTCTGTTTGTTAGGCTGTTTAGCTATCTGTCCCTTACTATGTCTGCCTGTCTGTCTCCATACCTGTTTCTGTAAAGCCGATATTTTCTTGATCTTAATGAACAATGTCGCCGTCTGGTCTTTGTGCTGCAGCGTACGTACAATCGTTCTCTCCTCATCAAGACTGAATGGTTCGGACCATCGCCAGTTTCTCCAGCCCTCGATGCATACATGTAGTCTCTAGATATGCAAAGCAGGTGCCAAGGTCAAAGGTCAAAATCACATAAGAGTCAAAGTTCAAAATCACTAAAACAATGCTTCAAAATTGCTTGTGCTGTGGACAAATTTCTTGACTATGGCTATGGCTAGATGTGGCTTCAGCAGCTTCCATTGGTGCATGTGCGATTGCAAGCCGTAACCATAATGATGTAGCCTTAGCCTACCTGTCGATGGTGTTTGTGCGTTCGCCAGCTGTACTCATGGCCCTTTCTGCTTTGCAGGACGATCGATTCATCCGTGTGGACCTGGCCAAATCGCAGGGTTTCGTCGGTGTCGTTGCAAATGGCGTAATTGCTGAACAGAAGATGCTCCTTGCCAGCTGAGTTGACCTGAAATTGATAACGGAAACAATTTATTTCACTTAGGAAATATCTATATTAAAATGGAACATTCCAGATTTTGCCAATAAGCCCCGCCCACCATAGTCACCTGACCAAAAGCCTTGATCTAATTGGTCAATGCACTACTTGATTGACAGGCAGGAGGGGATCCATAACAACCATTTCAAAAATTGAAACAAAAACAAAAAAAACCAACTCTGAATCCTTGAAATCAAAATGTTCCCAACGTACCTGTGATATTGCTTGTGCGGCCATGTTGAGCGAATGCACCGCTTCTTGACCTACGCTGACCTTGACTGACCCCAGGTCGACATGACCTTCTACATTTTGACCCCAGGTCGTATCCACGGTTGCGGATGCCCTCATTGGATGCAGCAGGGTTGCCATGGTGAGGTTGCGGTAGGTTAGGATGTCACACTGGACGGTTGTTGACATCTAACAAAAGTCAGACAATTTCCAATAATTTCATCTTTCTTATTTATGCTCAAAGTTGTAAAGGAATCAAAATAAATCACAAAAATCAATGTTTTTGACTTAATACTGAATGATTTGTGATTACTTGCTTACGTCACTCTCCTTATCTGAAGAAATTTCCTTCATAAACAAATACTAAAAGATGACTTTGCTGTGGAGGCTTATGAAAAATTACACAGGCCACAAAATTTACAAAGTGGACAGAAAGCGAACAAAAACTGACCTGTAGTTGTGTGTTGGCTTGAGCCGATGACCAGTGATTGAGATACAAGTCTGAAGTGTCTAGTCGAATGACCATGAATTCTTGGTCTGCCGGCGAGAGGTTGTCCGACACGAAAGGCTCCAGCCACTTGGGTTGCGCTGGATGATAAATGTAGAGTGTTAAACACAGCTCACAGCGAGACAACGGTGTAATTCAGTTCTTGATCAAAAGGGATGGAAGATTTGCCATACACATGGGAGGCGGGGAAAAGTAAGCCACGCCCCTCCTTCACTTCCTTAGACAGTAACATCATCATGTTTCTTGGGTACACACTTCCAACATGAATGTGTACAATCTTACGACTATCTGCCACATATTTCAAATGCATATTTCAAAACACACAGTTCTGAAGCAGTCTCCACAGTACAAAGTACTCTTTATATGAATAAGTTGGTTGCAGTACCGCAGCAAGCTCAGTGGTTGAGTGGTAAGACATCTGCGCTAGTAAGCAGGAGATCGTGGGTTCGAGTCCCACCCGAGTGATATTTTCTCACAATCACTAGGAACAACACTGAGTATACAGGTTTAATAACATACAAACGTCGGTGAAGGGCAAAACCCAGTATTGAATTTACATCTCCCTGATTCCATCACAATTCCATCTTATGTACAAGAAAGAACTCTGTCAAACTAAAATATCAGAGATACATTTACAGCATTTCAGTGAAGTGTTGATTCATATAAGTTGATTGTTCTAGTCATTACATTCTTTGCATAAATATGGATTGCAATACGATCAAATGCAATCCAAGAAAGCCTGGGTTATCTTCATATGCTATGGAAGGCATTTGCAACATAACTTGCATTTCCATGACGATATCAGGTTGTGTAACGCTTGTCGTAAATCCCTATTGCGTAGATAATAGATGACAACATTCAACCAGCAATTAGATAGAAACAAAATGTCTGTGAGAGTTCCGATTAGGAAGCTATTATAAGTCACAGCGCCCTCTTGTGACGTCTGAATGGAAATCCTGACGATGGACGGGAGCCAGGTTACGACAAGTGTTCCTGTGATGATGATGACAGTGGTCGCCAGTCGGAAACTCATTTGATGCGGTATTCTGTGACCAAATGCGCCGTTGCCTGCTTGGTTTTCGGCTGCGATGCGTCGCGCGTGACGACGCGCGATGATGGAAATGTGAACATACAATCCAAATATGGTAAACAGTACAAGCAACAGGAACACCACGCTTAAGTAGACTCTCCAATTGGACGACTGCCAAACGCACAACGTCAGACCATTCATCACGACGACGCTGCGATCGAACACCCCATAAACTAAAATGCCCCAGACAGTACTAAAAGTCCACGTTAAACATACAATGACCTTTGACCTGAAGACTGTCATAATCGTTGGGTACTGTAAAGGACGAGTGATAGCAATGTAGCGATCAATCGTGAGAAGACACAAAGAGAAAATGCTGAGAGTTTGAAAGAAGTATTGTAAGGCGTCGCGAGCAGCACAGACAAAATCTCCCAGCATCCAAGCACCGCTGACTATTTCCGGTAGGCGAAGAATCGAACACAATCCTGTGCAAAGATCCGATAACGTCAGGCTAGCCATGAATATCTTGGTGGTGTGATCCAAGCTCGTCACACGTCGTAATGCGAGAAGCATCAGCGAATTTAGAGTCAAGTTCAGGCAGGTTACAAGCATCGCTAGAAAGACGGCCAGAATTACCAATGCCAGGTCTGAGGATCCACTCTCAACCTCCACTCCTAAGAAACCTGACGTAGTGTTCGATACCATCCCTGTATCCAGTGTCGAGCTTGAAGCCATGCTTTCCAAAACTGGATTTTTTTCAGAAATTCAATCTCCAGATTTTTCCAGACAAGTTAAAAGAAATGCATTAAATGTCCACTCTCACTCCAAAACTACAGGAAAAGTGTAAAACTGGATTTCCTTATTTTGGTTGGATGTTAAACGCTCTGAAAACTCCAGCATATATGTGACTCGCCAAAAGGCTGGTAATAAGTGCCAGATCACTCAAAGTTCTAGTGCCTTCGACAGGGTGTGTGTTTAGTCCAAATGTCACCAACTGACATTTAAATTAGCTTTCCTCAAATCATCTGTAGGCGTAAGTAATGACATGGTTCTCTGTAAGCTTTTGTGGATCTCTGGTCACAAATAATGACATTATTGATAGCCAATCACAATGTTTTTACTCCTTTTGTCGACACGAGTACAATGTATATAGAAACAAAAATATCTGCACAAAAAACTCCAACCGCAAAAGGTTCATTGCATAAATATAATTTCACATAAATTAATTGATTTGGAATTACATTGTCATTTTGCTGCGGATGAATAATAGATCATGGCACTTATTGTGCAGACAGTGTTGACATTCAAGGTCGAAAAAGTACAAAGTAGATCCATTATGAGCGTCCATCCATCATTCGTATGCTTTCATTTTTTATAGGCTCCCCGGAAGTACCGAGTAAAATATATCTTTATTGCTTTATAAAGATAAAACAATAAAGGGGGAAAAGCTCATAGTAAATATAATTCCATTTACATAATTTATCTGCGCGGAAAATTGCTAATTGCTTTTTTTTCAGCACCTGTTTCTTTGGACAGTTCATAAATATCCTGCTCTCAAATGATGTCATTGTCATCAGCCTTGATGAATGCGTGGCATTGCTCTTTCAATTCCAGAGATGAAACAGCTCATTAATAAGATTGACGATAATTGAAATTAGCCGAGACAAACACTGATCTCCACAATTTATTCCAATTGTGAAAAGGTCAGACTATTGACGCTGAATGGTCATAACTGGTGGTCAGTCACGAAGGCACCCAAGCTTGACAAGAGAGAATAACATAATGAATCGATTCTGAACGGAACAATTACACTTTCATAGAATTGCTGAGGGAAGAATCATTTTAATATTCAACACAGTTCAGATAAAGTGAAACCGCATGCAACAAAATACCAAATTACAAATATGGAAAAGAGTTAAATTACCTTGTTTATGGCCAGTAACTTCAAGATTAACAAGACTATAAAATTTTACCTTTTTCCCCTCGAAACATGGTCCTAAATTTGACATAATCTATTGCTAATGACACACTTTGAGTAGTACTGTTATACAAATATTGAGTGGCTCAGCGTGGAATGGGAGGAATATTATCGCAAGGTAAAATCTGGACTTTTCCATTTCACAAGGCGAAGTATGCAAATAATGAATGCTTATGAGTGCAATGGTAAGAATAATTTCATGAGGTGACAGATGGAATGTTCCATTCCACAAGGAATAGAACTTCTATTTTTGCGGTGCGGCCGGTCCAAAGGGTTGGGACGAATAATTCAATTACACGTGATCAACAACCCACAGATAAGATGACAGGGATTTATTCAGGCATTGTATAATTGTTAATAGCTTAAAGACAAGATGGAGTAGTAAAAAATAAAAGACTAACCTTTTCCAAGAGTGTCTGTATGATGAGCTAGCCTGACTTCCATGCACTCCATCTTGAATCCTAAGGAGACCACTGGGAGTAAGTGTGCTGAGAAACTGGAATCTACCCTCATTGACGCAGCGAGGGCCGTGGGGGATATAATCAGTCCAGGATGGTTCTGGGGTGATAAAGGCTCGTCATCGCTGTGTAAGAAAAAAGTCAGAGATGGGGATGAGATCTAGAGAAGGATAGTATCGACTCTAATCATGAACAATAGGGGGAGCTATATCGTCTACCCGCATTAATGCAGCTAGGGCTGTGGGGAATACGATTAACTTTGATGAAACCCTCTCCCCTTCAAATATCCCCGCCCCAAATAAAATCCTTGATACCAAGTCCAAATGTTCTCTTACCTATCTTTGGCCACACTGTTGAGTACGACTCTCCACAGCGAAGCCACGGCTTGTCTGGATGTTTTGTCCGATGAGGCGGGCAAACTGAGGTGATAGGAATGCATCTCTGAGACGTACAGTTGACGGTAGACGCAGAAATCTTGTCTGAGATCGTCCCAGTACTCCAAGGTGCACGGAACCTGTGGCCAAATGATAAGTTTATTTTGTAACTTTACAGAATTTGTTTTGGTATTCAGTTGAACCACATTTATGTTTTGAAAGCAAAAAAATATAGCCGCGTCCTAATTACCAGGCTACGGCTAAAACTAACACAAGGGTCTATCGAAAGTAGCTGTAGCCGCTACCATAGGCGCATGCATAAATTGCTAAGTTGTAGCCTAGTTGTTCAGACATGGCTATATTTACCTCTTCTTCAGCAGTGGGCTCGCTATCGGCGGCACCAGCCTGATGCAGAGGTATTGGAGTTACAGATACGTGAGTCAGGATCCTAGGCTCGGGGTAACACCAGGTCATTGACCCCCAGTGACCTTTGGTGCTGTCTTGCAGGGCGAGGGAGGCAAAGACGATTTCGTTGGGCTTGGGACTCAGACCAACTCCATCTGAAGAAATTAAAAAAGGTAAACTTTAAGCAAATTCGAAGTGGTACCTTGTACATTATTCTAAAAATGTCTCATTTCAAAAATTGAACACAGAAGATAGGCCCTACTGTGGACAAAATGAGGCACTATAATGGACTATACTAAATAAAATGCACATTTACTGGGCCAGACTTTTTGTTTTGATTATTAAAGTAAAATATATTGCTATTTCAAAATATTAAACACAATAAAAAAAGGTAATTTTAAAATCATAACAATATGTGTTAATTATTGTCAACTTTTTTCCAACCTTTAATTCACATCTTTTTGTAACACTTTAACGGTATGGCTACAGCACTCTTGTTATTTTTTTCCCCCATTTTTTAAATTTAATAATTTTTTTTTTTGGGGGGGGGGGGGGGAATTGGTCCCGCCCACCCATCGGAATTCTTACCCCCATCACTGATGTAGCGGAACGCCCCAGCCCTTAAATCATCCTTGTAGTGTCGATCTGGCTGCTGAGATATTACATCCTTCAACAGGAAGACTGGGGCATGCTGGGAAGGGCTAGACTCCTTTGCTTTGACGAAAGTTTTGTCTTGCTCCTAAAAAATGGAGACACAACAGTTTGCAAACCTAGTATCTGCTTTTAACATACGAAATACAACATGGAGGTTTTTCTAAGTGGACGACACACTGTTGAGATAATTTTGATATACATGGTACAAAGCAAATGTTTAAAAGGGGGAATAAACACAACTATTTTTGTACCTGTCCACATTGGTTGAGATACTCCGTCACATGACGCTGCATCAGCGCAACACAGTTCAAATGCTCCTGACCCAGGAACACAGTCACATGACCCAGGCTGACCCCGGCCGTCACACGATTCATCGACCTGTCCGCTGCGCTACCGCCGTGTGCTGTCCAGTGGCTCTTGGCATCCATGCTCAGGTTGAATGGACCAATCAGGGGTCTCGTTTTATTGCGGATGGATGTCTTTAGGAGGAGTTGGTCCAATCGCAGTTTGGCTTGAATTTCTGAGACGATCCCTGTTAAATAAATATATGAATTTATAAACACTGCTTTTGCTGTTTAAATATCTCACATATTGTAACACACATTTAAATCATTTAAAGTTTTAAAATCTCACCATTGTTGTTTTGCAAATTGATCGCACCCTGACAATCACCAAACGAGCAGACGACGTGAGGATATTCCGAGTCCGGTATCGTTGCCATGACAACCACAAATTCAGTCATCTCCATGGAGACGCTCTTCACACGCGAGAGTACATCCAGGGCATCACTGTGGGTGCTGCTGTGATGTGATTGGCTGGATGGACGCCTGTTGCCGTGGCCGACGACAGGGGGATAGTGGGGCAAAACTGTAAATTAAAAAAAAAAAAATTAACAAATCTGTGAAACCTTTTTTCATATTTTACTTCAAAAGAACTGCTTCCACTGAAAAAATTTGCGTACCTGGTATTAGAACAGCGCCCCCTTGTGACAAGGCATCCTTCTCCGCTACTGGCTGGGCCGATATCTGAATGGATTTCGGTGGGGTGAGGCGTCTTATGAACTCAACGGCTTCGTCCACTTTAGCCAGGCTAAAGCTCACTTTGGCAGGACGGGCAATTTTCACTTTGGCGCTGGCTACAAATAAATAAATAAAATACAGAGAAATCAGAAAATGCTAAAAGTTTGGGGCTTTTAGCATTGTTTTCACAAAACCTTTCTCAAGGCTAACTTACCAAATTAAACAGAGCAAATAAACAAGAAAATTACACACCATTACAGGATGAATTGGGTTCGGAATGCTAAAATATATTTCCCTGACCGTACTAAATGTGACCAAATCCATAAGTGGGTAAATTTTCAATATTTTTTATGCACAAAGCACATATTTTTATTCTCATTACTCTAATCTTTTAGCTTCAGCAAGCTTCAATTTTTACCGTTGTAGGATTTTGTTACATTCCCTGTGGTGCTTGAAAAATCCCGGTGGGGTTAGGGGTAAAAACATTTCACTTAAGATACCACATGATTTTTTTCTTCAAGGTTCTCATGGAGTTCTTCTTGACAGATTTTACCTTGATTGCTGAGGCAGTCGTTGACAGTGAACGTCACAAGGGCGGGCCGTACCCCGGTCTTAGGGTGGGGCTCCCCCGGGCAAGTCTCAAACCAGGGTACGGTGAAGTCAGCTGGATTAGGCAACGGCTCATCACCAGATAACTCTATTTAGAAAAGTATGATATTGAAAATTGACTTATCAGATGCAAGACGAAAGGTGAAAAACTCAAGACAACCATCTTGATTTATTCCATGTAAAATTTTGATGTTGAAAACCTGTTCACCATTTTCATTCAATAAAAAAAGCATAAGTTATCCAGTTTTTAATTTCATGACAGTGACAACTTTAACTGATGTACAAAAAATCTACAACTATTGTAACTACTTGCCTCTAGTGGCGTTTTTCAGAGAAGCCCCTTCCACTGTCAAATCATAGATCGTTAGCTCGGCTCTCTGTTGCTGATGTTCAAGAGATAAAACAGCGGATGGTTGCATGACGGTTACGAACAAAAATGGCTGCAGCTCTGTCCGTCCTTCCTCAATTGTTGGCAGTGATTCGTTGCGTTCTTGATCATGAACCTGAGCCAAGTTTTCTTCGGCTGAGTTAATGCAAGAGTATAAAAACACCGACACCTTGCCCGCCGTGATTAGCGCGTCGATCGGAGTAAAGTTACTGCTTTTGGAAACTTTCTTGGCTTTCTGAGCTTGTGCTGAGGAAGACGATGGAATCTTTTGGACTGAAATTGGGACTGGAATCTCTTGCATTGCGACCTTTAGCTTTTGCCCTTTGACCCCTGCTTGGGTGGAGTCTTCACTGCCGAGTCCACTGTCGACGGGCGGGGAAGACTTCTTGCCCTTGTGACGAGCATCAGAATTCATTTCACGTGTCTTTGGCAGTTTTCCAGTCTGTACTGATGACATCATCTGATGCGTACTCTCGAGTCGTTGTGAAGGCTGGTTTTCCATTAAATTCCCAATTTTCATCAGCGATAGGAAGTTATCTTGGACCAAAGTTTGTAAGAGACACACCTGCCCGGTGCTAAGATAGAACGTCATGTCACTGGTGAAGTCAACTTCGATGGAGTGGCCACAGACTGTCACTGGCTACAAATGTAACACAAAGACATGTATCAAACGGTAGCCATATTGGTCTAGTTCCCAGACTGTCTAGTTCCAAACGTATATAATTATTAAAATGGAGAAATTTATACAAGTTGAAAAAAAAAAGAATTAAAAAAGACTTACTGATGACCTATGCTTGTCGGAAGCACCGTGCGCTTTGTCTATGATGATGGCAGGGGATGCGACAAACCGGATGTCAATGCCCACAACAAGAGGCAGGAGAGAGACTTCCCTTGGGGTGGGGCTGAGTATGCAAAGAGTTGGAAAAATACTTAAAAACAGCTGACTATTGAAGAAAAGTAATGACTATCTACAAGATTTCTGAACATTTAGATAATTTTGCTTTGTGATATATGTTAAATTTCTGTAAGTCAAGAAGTCATAATTTTCTTATATCAAATAATGTGGTCTAAATTAGAAATGAGAGAGCCAACAATCACCTTTGTATTGCATCTGTGTTCCACTCCAGGGCCGGGTTCTGAGAGTGTGGCATTCCGTCGATCTCACTCTCGCCTTTCCCTTTACCCTGGTCACAACATGCCTGGATCTGATCCCACAATGCAACAGACACACTGAGGTCATTGACATCCAGTTGGTACTGACGATCTTCAACATCTGAGCCTGGTGTCTGGGTAGTACCTGCTTGCACAGCACGTCTACGTAAAACAAAAACTTCTTAAACATGTAGCAAAAACTGAGATTTCAGAAAGATACAAAATGGGAGTGATTGATACGCTATGGAAATTTAAAGGTTAAAGGTTAAAGGTTAATCACTCACCTAAATATCTCCTTTTTGAGAACAAGTCGTTGTAGTGGGTTATCAGCATGTGGCCGGAGACACACCGAGTTGACCTGGAGTAGGAAAGTGTCCTGCGTTTCCATGGCAATGGTCTCATCTTCTTGACCTTTTGTCTCCCCTAGCAACCGAGGTTCTTTCGTAGGAGCAAAGATTCGTACTTCCTTGCAGTCAATGTAGATCAGAGGGAGGTTGCGACTCGACAACCATTCTTGGTTCGGAGTCGATGCAGATTTCAGACTTGCAGTTCTCTTTTGCTGGGAATCGGACGGGGAACGGATGCTAGTAGTTGAGATTTCGCGTTGGAATTGAGGCATCGCTGGTCTCTGTTTTGGTCCAATTCCTGAAATATCCGCGGTTGACTGAGCGACGTCAAGAATGTTTACTGTGCTAAAGATATCAAGCATGGAGACATACAAAGGGCACCACAGCATAACGTCAAACGGCTGCACCGCTACAACAATTTCATGAATGAAGCGCTGCCGTGACAGCGTTATTTCTTGGCTGGACGATTTCTTCGACTCCTTCACTTTGCCAGACAACTTTTGCACCAGGGATCTTCCCTGGGCCATGGTCCAAGTTGCCGACAGAAACCCGTGAGATTTTGCATCGCTGGGCTTGGTCGCGTGGGGAGCGGCGAATGGGTTGAAGGGCCTCGGGGCGGAGTGGCTGTGGGGACGCAGACGTAGGCCACGGATGCTAGTGTTGTGGGTGATGATGTCAGTGCATGAGAATAACACACCACAGAACGGACCACATTGCCAACTGCCATTGCTGTGAGTAAAGCAAAATTGAAGGAGTTTATGATGAATACAGATTTAAACAAGTGGAGTGCCATGGCCTCATAGTGCGAGTAATTCTGCAGGTTGTGGGTTCGAGTCCAGCCTGGGGTTATGGTGCGTGTGCCCTTGGGCAAGCACTTTGTCACTCACTTCTTCTCTCCGCCCAGGAGTAAATGGGTATCTGCGAGGGCAGAGATGGCTATTGTGATTGACTTTAGCTGCTTTCCACTAAAATTGCAGCATCGATCTCTATTATTTCCAAAGAAGCTGAGACTGTTTTGGAATGTTTTGGGGAATAAAAATAAAAGCAATATTTTATAAAATACTTACTTTTGAGTATAATGGTTAACATTTAATGACCCAACTTTGCACGTCACTTTCGAGTACACATCCTGAAAATCAAAACTTGTAGTCAGATCCTCAACCTCACAGCTGATCTTCATAGGGGGAGCACCCCCGTACAAACTGAAACAGAACTTCTGCAGTGTCAACTGCAGCCATAAGGACAGCTTCACTGTATCACTACTGTCTTCCTGGTCAGGGGGTGCCAGTCCTTGCGGAGACACGGGCACCTCGGCTGGTGAGGATAGAGACAGGGTTGTTGTTTCTTGATTGTCAGGTTGGCCGGAGGACGCGACGCTACTGAGAACTCTCGGAGCTGATTTGGAGGGTGATGCTGGAATTATGGGAACGCTAGCGGTTTGGGTCGAGATGCCGTAACTAGAGTTGAACACTTCAATCAGTTTGGATTTGTTGCTGAGGGCCTGGTTCAGGAGTGTACACGCCAGTGTCACCTTGGAATAAAACAAATAACAACACCCTCTTAAAAATGATCTCTTTGAAAAGCAAAGTACTGACATTTCTAAAACAGATATTCAGCTTTTTGTTGATATTAAATGGTTTGGAATATTTCGCTCCGTAAAATGAATAATCTATGTCAAAACAAATGCAGCAACCTAATGACTAAGGAAATTATTATATACTTTTTTTTCTGAGAATCCTGTTCAAACAGCTTCGGTTTTTGTTCTGATTATTTTTTTCTTTCTTTTATTCATCTCCTTTTCCCTCGAAATCTTGATTTTTGTAGGTGTGTATGAATACTCAACCATCCCTGTCAAACACGATTATTACACATTTTTAATGAAAAAGAAAGAAGACAGTTACACATTTTTCATGAAAAACAAGGATAATTACACATTTCTAATGAAAAAAACGTTTATTGCAAAGCAAAGAAAAACATGAAAAAAAAAGTATATAAAGAAGTTTTCAATAAGTTTTTTTTTACCTGCGACTTGGAGCAAGCCATTTGTATCTCCTGCATATCAGCATGCACACACAGCCCCAGGCCTGGCCTAGCCTTAGCCGCTCTGCCAGAGTGGCTAGACGTCACACCGACTGTGGCTGACAGAACGAGCGGCTTCAGAAGATAATACGGACCCTCATCGGAGTGAATAGTGTACATGCTGAAATTGGAGGCCTTCACGCTCCATGGTAGCTTTTCACCTGGTGTTTGTTGAGAGTAAGAGAATTGTATTACATTGTATTACATTGTATTACATTGTATCACATTGTATTACATTGTATCACATTGTATTACATTGAACTATTGTTTCCTCATAAGGCCAAAAACAATATATCTTTTTTTATACCTGTATCTGGTGGAAGATCTTTTCGATCCAATGGAATCTCTTGCAACGCCAAAATCATCTGATGATTCAAACTTGTCACCTTGACGACCGGAAGACTCAGAACTACCGTCTCTGGTGGGCTATTACCCAGCATGCCTTGCTGGATGCATTGTGGGATACTAGTCACGTCGGGTCCAAAGGTTAGGTGGTCCGTGGGAAGCGCTATGAAGCAGGTCTGCATGTCCACCTTGGAAATTCAGGAATATAAAATCTTTGAAAATTTTCATAAAAAGTGAAGGACCGCGTTAATAAAAATCAAAAGTTAGACCCTCCGCCCAAAATTTCTTGTTAACCATAACCACTCACTTGAACAGTCAGCTGTTTAACGACCAGCCACAACTTTTCCAGTAACTTCTCCCTGTCTGTCTGTTTGTCTTTGTCAGCCATTTTGGATTCTTCAGCTGTATCTAAGCTCCGTGGTTGCTGGGCCAACGGATTGGGTGTCTGCTGTGAAACGGTCGACGACTGTCGTTGAATTGGTTGGGAAGATTTTATTTTGTCCGGAGAAGTTGGTTTGACTCTCTGTACACTGCTTGAACCTGAGAATAAACGTTACAATAATTTAATATAAAAATCTCTGAGAAATGGTCATTTTTGTAAGTTTTGGATCCATACTAATGTAACATTAGATAGTTTTCAGTAAAAAAACATTTTTTTCCAAAATTTGATTCACCCTGAATTGAAAAACAGAAATTTATCTTGTTTTATAAAATAATCTGTCGATGGAAAGAAGAGTTATATACCTTCTGAGGAATGTTGCTTCCTCACAGATCTTTGATTCTTGCGAGAGCTCGCCTCCTCTGTGACCTTTGACCTCACTTGACCTCTGGGCTGGTACAGTAGCCACGTGTAGATGATCGGGTCAACACACACAGCAGTTCCTTGCAAATCAAGAAGGAAAACTCCGCAAGACACTTACCGGAACAAAAATTGAAAAAGCAGATTCGTTATTGCTTAATCATTAATCTAAGCACAAGATATATATATTTTTTTCCATAAATTCACAGACCCTATTGTTTTGACTAAATATCAAACTGCAGGATGTTTGAATAAATACAAACCTTCTGAGGTGTTGTCTGAATCAGACGATCTTGGAATCTGAATGGTGAACGTTATAAGGTCCACAGCATCAAGCTGGGATTGACTTGACTGCTGTTTCATGAAACTTTTGTGGTGGTGTAAATCTGAGGTGTCTACTGGGCCATGAAACAGCGGTGTGTCACTGGCTCTGCCTTGATCTAGGAAAGCAAAGGAAATGAAGGAAGATTCAGCTTCATGTAATGTCTACAGAAGACCTTGTCAAATGTTTTCTGTTAAATATTATTTTATGAAAAAAAAAAAAAAAATCTAGTCAGGCTCCCTTTGCAGTTTCTTTGATGAAATGCTGAACTGCTTACCTAACGCTTGCACTGTAATCTGTGCTTGGCTCAGGGTACCAGACATAGCCTGGGTTAGCCTCGTCTGAGTGAATTTAACTTCCAGGCTATTGAGAGAGGCTTGTAGTACAGGCTGGCCGGATGGGAAGGCTTTGACTATGAATAAACATAAGGGAGAAATTTATGAATATTTAATGAAGATGAATTGGATGATATGAATATTCAATTCAGATGACATGTGATATGCATATGTACACAGTTTGAGCATATGAAATCAAGGGTTACGTTTCAAGGCTGCTTCATACATGTAAATGCGATGCAAATTTGACGACACAAAGCATTCACTGCGAAATTCGCCAGAGTTGAAATGTGTGCAAGTTTTGAGAAATTGCAGTGCAAAAACTTTCCCAGACGTCACAAATCGTGTTTGCATTCGCGCCAAGTATTAGCCAGCTTTAAGTCTTTTACCGGATGGTTTAAAGACGTCCTCCAATAGACTGGTTCCGGCGAGTCTGGCCGCCTCCACCTCTGGCTGTCTACTGGTCCAGCTATTACAGATATGTAGCATCAGAAGACATTGCGCTTTGGTTGCATTGCATGAGATACTGGGCAGCTCAAGCATTAACTCCGAATGAATCAGACTTTTGTCTTTCCTGAAAGATGAACAAAAACAAAGTTTTGTCTTAAATTTATTACTTTTTTTGTTTTTTAGCTGAGCAATTTTTTTTTAGTGCTTAGAATTTTCTTAGCAAATTATGCAGTTTTTAAGACTCACCAGTACATAGGCAACACCAGTTCCTTGTGGTACAAGGCTGCACTCCACGAGGGCATGATGGGAAGAATTGGGGGTGAAAGGTCACTGCTGGGGTCAATGAAGGTCAAACCAAACTGGCAACCAAAGATCTGTTGGAGCGAGTAACATTTAAGTTAAGTAATGGTTTGTAGAATGTGGCATTTTTCCCCAAATTATCGAAGTCTTTCCACGTATCTGGTCTAAACAATGGGCTGGATTTAGCCCATCACTGGTATTACGGGTATCCTATATGATAGCACTGCCCGACTCACAAGTGACAGGCCCACACCGTCAGTCAGTTAGTCAGTCCATGAGGTACACAAATGTAAGCTGGTTCTCTTTGTGACCAGGGAAATGTTTCTATTTACTTCAAAATCAGAGTTTTCCAATTCCTACCTTGTAGTATTTATGTGAGTAGCAGTGGTACATAAGTTTGGAGCTACGACTGTTGATTGGCAGTTTACTGACAGGCTGGATGAGTCTTCTTGCATACATGGGCTCGGTGCTCTGGAAGTCAATCCTGTCGGTTTGAAGACATAACGTCGGAACGGAAGGAGTCTCTTGAAAGCTCATGCCCTGGGAGCAAAAAAAGATGACACCCATGAGGGTTATAAAGAGTCTCTATAATATTAAACTCAAAAAAGTTGCACAGAAAATGTACATATATAGAGGGGAACCCCCCTCTTTTGTGTTGGTCATTGTGTTACCAGAATCTCAGGAATTCTTTTGAGATATCTAGGGGGATGTGTTAGGTAACAATAGCCAACGGTTCACATAGGGTTTAGGGAGATGGTGGGGGGGGGGGGGGGGGTACCCCTTCGTCTCAAATTGTGCTGGGTATATCCATGTAAGGTTCATTTTGTCTTACAGAAAATCTGTTTTAATCAAACGAAATTCCTTAAAAGCAATAAATACCCAAGAAAAATGAACTGTGCTCAAAAGGCTTTTGTATTAAAATGTTTTATTTATTGGATAAGTCTCTTGATGATTTTGCACCTGTTTAGTAGTAGATGGGCTCTTGGATGAGCTGTAGTAAGGATGCTGGGCCGATGGAAACAGAATCTGTAGATTGAGTAGAGTTAGATGGGTGGAGCGGGACGGCACCCAATCCTCAAGAGTCGTGACTTGCTCTGGAGTGGCCGACGGTCGATTCTCATCAACAATTTCTGAATCAGTAAAATATATTGACAATGAAACATACAGTGCCATGTTCATGGTTACTACAACAAACAAAATCCCATGAAATGAAGTTGTTGATGCCTGCGACCGTTCTGCTGTTTTTGTATCAATGATGCATTTGGCACACTGAATTCTAAAGTCTCAGGAAGACAATTGCAGCAAAGTATCCATCTCAGGGACATAAAATAGACCACATGGTTTGGCACTTAAAGGACCATAAGCCCCGCCCACCTTTTGTTTACCTTGGTCATCTGACAAAAAGTTGTGATCTAACTGGTCAATGTGTACAGTTTGATTGACAGATGGGCAGGGTACATTGGGCAACAAAAGCTGTTACCTGGTTGCGGTATGCTGTAGGGTTCGTACTCGTGATCGGCTGCGCATTCCACGAACTTCATCAGTCTGTGAACCACATCGCTGCCGACTACCAGTTTGGCCGGGTTGAACAGGAATCGCTTGCTAGATGTCTCCTTCATGTCGAAGATTGGATCGGAATCGTCGGCGCTGTGATGGGACGATCGACTTGATGAATCACTGGCTGAAATGACAGAGAATTGAAAGAAAACATTAAAACATTCTGTATATGAAGGAGGTATACGTCTCCTTATAAATATTGTGTAAATTATTAAGTAAAGATCGGGCATTTATGGCCGAGGCATCAGTTTTTGCCACTTGCGTGCTACAGACATTAGTCGTAGCCACCGACTAACTTTGGAAAAATAACCCACCATTTTTGTTGCCCATCATTTCAGCCACAAACAGGTAGTCCGTCCAGACGGCACCGAACCGCTGCGTTGCCAGCGCCTCGCTGTACGTATCCTGGTGGGTGTCCCAGTCCAGAATGAAGGGCGCCCTCTGCTGTCTGTTCTCAGGACAGTTCTCGTCAAACAGGGAGTTGGTGAGGTACTTGGTGCGTTTCTGGTTGTAGTCGGGAGTGCCACAAGTTAAGAAGCAAGAACTCTGCAAATAATAAAATAAAACAAAAACAAATGTGACCCTGCTATACAAAACTTGTTCAAAGGAGCATCTCCGCTCGGAATTTTGACAATATTTTGTGCGACTTTCTTTGGAATCATGCAGCAACTCTACAAACAAATTCATGAGTAGAATAGCAATACTTTCACTTCAAACATAAAGCTATGAGTGTCTTGCACCAACCTTGATAAGTTGTGCAATAACAGATCCACGACAATCACAATTTGCTGGTTAAATAGGTCATTTTCAGTCGCTACGCCACAACTTTCGCCACCTAAACTGATAGCGCAAGTTACCCCATAATTTGTTGCACAACTCGCGGACTTACGCACTATGAAACTTTCTTGAAATTGTCATAACTGAAATTGTGGCGGAGGTGGACTTCAACCATTTCGTATCATTTGGTGAAATTGACTGCTGACCTGTGGGATTCTTACCGGATTAAACTCCCCTGGCGCTTGTTCATCATCATTGGTGACCAGCCCACACACGCAGTCGCCCATCACCGACGCAGTGATGTAACTGAACCCCATCTGATGCACGAAGAACTCCTCTCCTTGCATCAAGATCTCGATGGCCGAACCGGACAGTTCCATTCTCAGCAGCGGGTAGGTTTCAAGCTTGGAGGAGGGGGTTGAGTAAACTGGATGGTTGGTTGAGATTTCCTTAGTCAGCTACAAAAGAGAAGCATGGAATTTTGGAAGGGTCACTACAGTTACGAAAAACTTGAGTTTTCCAAGCATCCTTACTTTCAATACTAGTCTTTGCAGCTTGTTTCTGCTTGTCAGGGACCGGTTGCAAAGGGTAAAGAAGACCAATCCAATCTTGGATTAAGGCTATTATTTCCCTTGAAGGCAGCGTAACATTTTGAATTTGTAGTTTTTTCGTGGAACGTTCAAACAAGTTTGCTTTCATTTTGTACCTTGAATGTGATGCGCGCTCTGTTGCAGTACAGACCGACAGACAGTATCGGGTCGGGCCGTTTCTCTCTCCTCTTGGAGCCGCCCATCTGATCTTCATCCTCCTCATAGTACAGGAGCTCTGGAACGTAGGACCACGCCCACGAGGCCCAGCCTTCGGAACTGGAACCTTCTGGCCGGGTGGGGTCTGCAAAAAGTCAACGGTGAAATGTAAAAGTTCAAAGTTTCATATGAATGGCCATTCACCCTATTAAAACTCAATTGCATCAGCTCGTCATACTCAAAAGTGGTGAAACTATTTTGAGTCAGAAATTCCACCTTGATGATGGAGGGAAATTTTTTCTTTGTAAAGGGCATTTTCAGATTAAATAAAAAATCATATCGTTTGTTGGGCATCGAGGCTCAGCCTATTACCTGGTTTTGTATCTGCTTTGATGGCTTCTATTGCTGCAGTCTGGTCGCCTGACTCTCCTAATTTATTCCCTTGATCCAACGTGCCGTAGTATAACGCAACTAGCAGCTGCAGCAGTCTGAGAAACATTGGCAGCTGCGTGTCCGACAAAGACATGTCCAACTCTTCACAATACACGTTCATTTTGACGACTGATGGCCTCTTGGCATTCAAGCTGGCGTACGTCATCTGCATACGCAGCGACACGGCACAGCGATACACCATCGGTTCTTGATAAATCTCTATCTTTCCACTTGCGTTCCTCTTATCTAGACAAACCGTAAGGTCCGAAAACTCGCAAACTCGTCTCAGCACCAGCTCTGGTAAACTCAGCTCAGTGAAAGCCGACTGCCAGTCTGCGTTCACGGCAAACGACTCGGCAGATTTGACATTGACCGACAGAACAATGTCATCTTCGACGTACTTCAAGATGAGATTTTTGATGACGAGGGTTACATTATTGATGACACGGTTCATCAGAGATTGCACATAACCTGGAGGTAAATCCCTATCCTGTTTTTCATACTTCTGTTTCGCTTTAATGGCAACATCCGTCTTAGTCTTACTAACCAGGCTCGATTTTGACGAAGCACTGTCGTGTTCATCATACCCCTCATCCCGAAGTTTCAATGCGCATTCGATCGTATTAATCGTTATGACGACAGGTTCATAGCCGAGTCTGGTCCACGGGACATGAATGCGCAACTCGTGGATGTGTCCACTGACAAATGTCAACGGGAGGTTCAACTCTTGTTCCAGGACATCCAGTCGAAGGTCGAGTTTGTTGAGGACCAGGTCACCACCCCAGAGTGACAGTTGGAGATCCTCGGGCTTGAGATTCTTGATGTACTTGTCCACGTAGCCAAGGAGGAACGGGGAGATGTAAGACTCAAGCATGATGGCAATTGGCAGTGACTGTTAGGGGAAGACAGAAGAGTGATGGGGCACCTTATTCATTGTCCTTGGATAAATCCTGAAATACAAAAAAAAAATTAAAACCAAACTTTTTATGAAAATGACGTCTTTAAAGTTTTCCTTAAACACCACTTTGTTTTACAAGTTGTTCCATATTAATACTAAAAGTGTCATTTGATGTCAAACTCTATTTTTTTCTCACTTTTAGTTTAGGACTTAGTCAATTTTGAAAATGGAAATAAATTCATATATTAGTCATAAAATCGAATGCATAAAAATCCAACTGAGTGCATAAACCCATCTTGTTCTAATATAACATGTCTAATTCTGTTCAAAAGACAAACATGACAAAACTCAAATTTCATTTTTTTTAATCATTTTTTAATTTTTAATTTTATTTTAAATAACTAGAAGTAGAAATGTAAATAAACAAATCTTGTATTTTGTACGCTACCTCATTCCTAAAGAGCTAACCTAATCGATCCAAGTCCATAAAACTAAAAGTTGATAAAATAAAACCACCCCATTACACCGGCCACTGAACCACGCCCCCATCTCCTCTGCGCGCGTACTGCGGCCCAGTGCGCGAACAAGGTCGACTTTTATTTTTAACATTAACAAACCGACAACCAATCAAAAAATCGATGAGCTCAAAAATGCATGATATACATAACCAAGGTATAATAATGTATTATAATTCTGATGATTGAAAATGAAAAACACAATTTTTACGATGTTTAGAAGCGCCCGCGCCACAACTTCCACGTAGCTCGATCAATCACTGCAGGCCGCCATCTTGCAAATGTTTATTTACCTGGGGTTATATCATTTTACAATAGGGGTCAATTAAATAATTAATAAAATAATTGCAACAACTAAGAGAACTAGACACTAAGTTAACATTTTAATACATTGATATAAGGTATGTGTATCATTGGAGATACTCTATCATCAAAATATTATTTATTTTAATCATCATGTAGAGAATACTTACACATCAATAATTGAACTGAAATATATCTCACCCACTTAGAAATTGAACTAGTCTAACGGCTGTTACTTTGCCAGAAAAAAATAATTATATTTATTTACAAAGTTTTGTGGATTGAGAACAGCAAGATTAATGTCAAAGGTCAGATCTCTCAAATTTTATGCACGCTTCATTGATTTTTATCGTGGTTGCAAGCTTCGGTTCTTTGTAGTTCCTGTCATCTTTGGTGAGACTTTTTGCATGTTTTGCTCCGTTTTAAGGCTGCTTTTAAACTGAAATTGATTGTTCCTATATTAAGGGTGTCAGATAATAGTATTTTTTAGTTTGGTGGATCAGTAGAAGTGACAAAAATAAATAACGAAACTCGTCATGCTCGTTCAGTCGTTGTCTACGTGTGTCGGATACGGTGTCGAGGCCATTGCACGCGCGCTGTTGATTGTTGGAATGTTTCTCGTTTGACGTTCAAATTCTTATGCATAACTGCATGGAGGTATTTCCGACCTCAACCAGTCAATGGTTAGGTTCCTGGATGCAAAAAATGAAAGGATGTCAGACGCCACTGACTTTGATAGTTGTGCACAAAAAGTACACAGGCATGACAGGAAAGAATGACTGTGTCATGAGTGTTGCGTCCAAATGCCACTTTTATTTATTTATTTAGGCCTATTTTATTTATTAATATTACACTTCCCCACTGGCTGATATAAATTTTTTTTTTGCAACTTACAAGATACAGAATCACATGTTTGTCAAATTAATTATGATTCATTGAAGATCAGTCATTGCAAAAATGTTGGAAAGGCATGCATGAATCTAGGAGTACATGTAGGACTGAAAAACATTTGCAATTTTCATGATTTTGTTAGAAAATTCTTAATAATGCACTCGACTCTACATAGACTTTGCACACAACCAAAAAAGTGGTGTCAGGATACTACATTCTTTCCAGTACAAAGTTTAACTAGGCGTAGCAAGGTCATTGTTATGATTATTTTCATTTCAGATCTTTTTGATTACAACATGTTCAAAGAAATTTTGTTTTTACGCTGGCCTTGGCCTACATTTTTTTCTGCCAATTAAATGTTAAAAGTTACGAATTCCTCAAAATGTTACTTATTTTCTATTCCATGGTGCCATGTTAATTTCAAAATTTCTGTAAGTTAAAAAAAACCTAAAACCAAAGGCATTGTCATTTTGTCATGATTATAATTAAATTGAACCCCTTTTTCTTTTCAGTTATTTCAAGATGTCCGGGAGGGTAAAACGAAAACCAGAGAAACTTGTTGAAGACGACGAGGTGGCATCACCAAGTCCCGCCCCCTCAGGAACCCCAGGGGGCGGAGCTAAGGGCGGCAAGGGTAAGGGGGGTGGACCGGGAGGTAAGAGAGCTCACAGGAGCTGTGAGAAGTCTCGCTGTCCGGAAAAGACGCCGCTGTGCTCCATAAATGCCCACGACAGGTAAGACTTCCAACTTCTCCAACGTTCCCTCCAAGAATTTGAACACTAACCCAAATGCATTTTTACTTGGACGTCTTTCTGAATTTGCCAAAGCCACCACTCAGCAGGAAGACAGTGGAACATTCTGTATATTTAAACAATTAATAGTACTTTTAAGGGAAGTTGAACAACATGTTAACTTAAAATGGCTGGGATTAAACTTCCTCTATCATCCTGAATCCTCCAAACCCATGGATTTGGAAAGATCTGGCATGGTTGGAGTTAAAGTCCGGAGGAGTTTTTAAATATTTTAATGCTTAAAATTTCCATGGAAAGCTGATAGACAAGCAATTTCCGGATTGCAAAGTTTGATGTCATCATTGAGGGCATCTTCTAATTCACTTCATATCCTCTGTATTTTTCTTGGCAGTTCCTAATTTCAAGCCTTGATTGTCTACTTTTTAATTTTTATTTGTTACCTCTTTTTTTGTTCCTCTTGTTTGACAGGTGCGCTGGTAGTGGTTACACAAGCCGATGGTACCATTTGTCATCAGGGGAACATTACTGCAATGAATGCTTCGACTACTTCTATAGAAGGTAAAGACTGCGTGATGGACCGACAGACTCGCTGGGCCCCAAACTCCCAGGCCCCCACTCAATGTTGTCTCTCATGACACAGTGTGTGCTCCATCAGCTGGAGTGAACAACATTGGCCGGGGGAGCGGGGGAGTGGGTGTCCGTGGGAGGCTAAGGAAGTGTCCCAACCATTTTGGCCGGGATTGCAGATTTAATCTGCGAAGGGGTAATTAAATAACATGCAAACTTTCTTTTCTTTGAACAGCCACCGTGTCGGCTTTGAGCAGGTGGCCCGTTGGAAGCGAGAGTGGAGTTGCACCGGCAAGACCGAACCAAACCTGCGTACCTTCATGGTGGACCAGTTACTCCCCTACTGGCTTCAGTGCACCAAGCCGGACTGCGGCAAATGGCGCTCCCTACCCAGTGGTCAAGAAATCAACACCGAAGCCATCAGACAGTTCACGTGTGCCGTCGGCAGAACAGCTGATGCTGGAGAAGGGGTGAGTATGTGAGAATTTCTACTTTTTTTTTTTTTACCCATTGAGCCCTCCTAGTTTGGCATTTCACAACCCTTCAAGTTTTGCAAATCACTTTTCCCATTAGAGTTAGCACCCACACTTCAAATTCCTTTGAGGTAATCTTCTGTGGAGAATGGATAACACTTCAAATCCCTGCACAATTCTTTTGCGTGGTTAAGCTCATGGCAAGCAGGCAGATTCAGTCACGCTTCACTGCTCTCCACAGTGCTGTTTGTTTGTGGAGTGACTCTCTATGTGACACAGTGTAACACTTCATATCCCTTCACCTGAAACTGACCTGTGCATGGTTTCCAAGGTTTTTTTAAAACATGTTGCTCTAAAAAAACCATGTTCCATAAATACGCTAAGCAATGTTTTCTGCTTACCAGTTTCATGAAATTGGTTCCAGTGTTTGATTTTTGAATAATTTTTGGATAGCTAATTTTTGGGATGAAAATTCAATGGTCGGATATCGCACATTTTAAAATCTCTGTCTCAGGAAACTGCCAACCCTTGCGATGTAGAGGAAGACATCCGAGTCCAGAAGACCCTGCAACCAGAATGGCTGGAGACGTTACTCTTTCCTCCTCTTCTCAAGAACTCCCCCGCTGCCCCGTTCCTGGCTTCCTACTTCCCGGACGGCGTGGGGCTCAGCGCTACGTGTGAGCTAGTCAAAAAGAAACCAGGTGAGTAGAAGACTTCTGAGGTGATCCCTGGAATGTTCCATTTTGTTGTGAGATAATGGGGGAATTGGAAGCAGATGGATACAAAAATGTTGATTGTTACAATAAAATTTTGCAGTGATCCCTGGAACGTTCCATTTTGTTGTTAGAAAGCGATACTGTGATATTTTTAAGAGGAAATCAGGTGTGTAAAATTGTTGAATATTAGTTCAATTTCAAGATGATCCCTGGAATGTTCCATTTCATTCGGAAGAGGCCTAGTAAAACTGAATAATGTACGAGTCACAGAAAAGGCTACAACTGCCTTTAACATTAGTTTCTGTTTCAAGAAATTGCATTTTATAATTTGAATAGTTGATGAATTTTGTTTGTTTGTTTTCAGGAGAAAGGCATTCCTACAGTGGCACTTCCAACATACCAGGTAAAAACAAAATTTATAACCTGAAGGGTAAAATACTTTCATTGAATCTTCTTCAATTTAAAAAAAAAATTGTTTTGTTTTTTTATTCTTGGATTGCTTTTGGTAGTTTCTTCACAAGCACACTAAGTTGAACAAAGAGACAAAAGAGTCTCCCAAGATGCCAACATAGAGCTTGATATCTCAGCTGGTGAATTTTTTATCTGTTTTCTTCTTTTATATTGTTACCTAGTTACGGGTGTCAGCCCCTACTTCCAACCCTTCTACCAGCCCGATGAGCAGGGTAAGGCGATGTGCGTCCGGCCAGACATGATGGAACACGATGAGATTCAGGAATTCCCTGAATTCACCAAGGAACAACAGATGTATCTGGCGCTGAGGAACCTGGTCATTGCACTCTGGAGCACAAGCTGCAAGGTAAGTCAACTTGAGCTTGTCTTATTGTTCCCCTCTTTCCCACAGGGTGACCAGGGGGAGGAAGGGGGGAGGGCTCAGTTGAGGTATAAGCCCCCCTTTGCCCATACCCTTCTCCAGAAACTGGAGAACCCTTCTCCAGAAACTGGAGAACCCTTCTCCAGAAACTGGAGAAAAGCAAAAAATGAGCTTTATAATTTGTTTAACCCTAACCTCACCTAAAGCTACAAATTACTACTAAGTAGTAACCTGTAGGGATGCATTTCTTTCCATACAAGTGTGCACAACACATGTAGTATTCTGTGGTATTTGGTCCTTGACCCCCACAGAGCCCTTAGGACGTTAGGGTTAATCTCATGGAGTGTCCCTTCTAGGAAATGAATCAGAGAATGATTCAGGGCACCAGACTATATCTGATTCTGACTGTGGCTTTGCCCAAATATATTGGCTATCATGGCTTACAAAAAAATATTGGCTGTGGCTAACAATCACACATGCACCTATGGGAAGTGGCTGAAAGACAACTGTGCTACAGCGAGCCGTAGTCACATAACTTGGACGCTACCTTTTCATTTGATGCAGGAGTTTTTGACGGTAGAGAAGTGCATACATCACCTCATAGTCCGCGGTCTGATTAGAATCCGCTGCGTTCAGCTGTTGGTTCCCGTCATCCACTTCTTATCACGGAAAGGTCTCATCAATACGGGGCTGCTGAGAGATCCTGTAGGAGGATCATTGTTACCTCCGGAGTTTAACCAGGTAGGTCCTGGGCTCGATTCCCCCAAGAACATTTCCAGCTTGGAAAGTTGGATAACCAACATTTGTTTTACCAGGATGCCCTCAGCATTAGATTGTTCAGTGAATACTTTCAATTTTGAAGGCATCCACTGGAAAATCAGCAAAATGGTCTTGGGTTCGATTCCCACTGAGAACATTTACAGCTTCCAAAAAGCTGGATTTTCAAAAAAAGAACTTTTCATGAAGATGCCCTCAGCATTTGATTGCTCAGAGTTGAGCTTTGACTCTGTCTGGAATAATGAAAAAAATGTTACGTAGTTGGTCTGAGGTCCAAGGTTCGATTACTCACTGAGTCTTTTTGTCCACCATCAGGGTCCAGTGGTCATCATCGGAGCTGGCCCCGCGGGCCTAGCTGCAGCCCGTCAGCTGACCAACTTTGGCTGTCAGGTGACCGTCTTAGAAGCCAGGGATAGAATTGGAGGTCGTGTCTGGGATGACGATAGTCTTGGTGTCTGCGTAGCTAAAGGAGCACAGACAGTCAACGGGTGTATCAACAATCCTATCTCGTTAATGTGCGAACAGGTAAAGTAACTTCTGGGGACTTGTTGCTTATATTTGTTGACGATGTGTCAATTTCTGCATTTTTTCACACTTTGGCTGTCAGCAGCACTCTAGATATTTTTAAACTTTCTTGGAAAACGCACTTTTTTTGTTCAGGAATTGAGTGCCTGTGCCCACAGATTAGGATGAGGAAGTCTGGATTTTGATGTGAATTTTGCTGATAGGTTTGGCTTTGGTAAAGTAATATAAACCTCATTGAAGTTGTAAACTTCGTCATCCTTGCTTGTTGGAGTTGCTCTTCAATGATGTTAATGACTTTCTTGATAACTCTGTCTCCCTTAGGCGGGACTGAAGATGAAGCTGATTCAGGATCGCTGCCACCTCTTGGAAGGAGACGGTCAACTGATTGACGCTTCCCTAGATCGGCGCGTTGATTTCCACTTCAATGCCATGCTGGATGCCATAGCTGAATGGCGGAAAGATAAGACGCACACCAGCGATGTCGCACTGGGAAGTAAGTCAACCATATCAACCCTGAACGAGGGCAGATGCAGAAATCAAATGGGGGTATGGGGAAAAAGTTTTAAATCAGGAATGAGTCTTGACTGCTATCGCTCAGATATGGCTTGAGCACTAACCATTTAATCCCTTGACCCAGATTACTGCAGAACGTCATCATTTCTTTTTAAAACAGCCTATAAATTTAAAAGTAATACAATAAGTTGGCTCTGATTTTCACAGGGAAGCTTTTTGAGATGCACCGAATCTTCATGGAGGAGACGAGCCTGACCTTCACACCGACAGAGAACAGATTGCTACAGTTCCATATCAGCAACCTAGAGTATGCATGCGGCTGCAATCTATCCAAGGTATTTATTGACATGATAAAATATTAGTCCGATTGTGTGAAGAAACTCTAGTGAATCTCCGCTCTATTTTATTTTTTATTTTTATTTTATTACCTTCATTGCACAAATACATTAGAAATGACATGTGGTGCAAAAGGGAAACCCCGAACAGGCACACAGGCCCACTAAATGGGGACCCTTGTTCACACATCAAAACCGAAAAACAGGGGACAAGCACAACAACAAGCAAACAACCGAAGAAAACAAAGAAATACTGTTCAAAGGAAAAGAAAATCACAAAAAGAAAATTGTATGTATTAATAATACATTGAAATATCCTATAATAGTCTTGACTGCTATATTGTTGCTATATTATCGATATAAGTTTCCAGGTGTCTTCGCTACACTGGGATCATAATAAAAAAAATAATAACAGTCTTGACTGCTATGTTGTTGCTATATTATCGATATAACTGTTCCAGGTGTCTTCGCTACACTGGGATCATAATAAATAAATAATAATAGTCTTGACTGCTATATTGTTGCTATATCATCGATATAACTGTTCCAGGTGTCTTCGCTACACTGGGATCATAATAAATAAATAATAATAGTCTTGACTGCTATATTGTTGCTATATCATCGATATAACTGTTCCAGGTGTCTTCGCTACACTGGGATCAGAATGAAACCTTTGCCCAGTTTGCCGGTGACCACACCCTCCTGCCTGACGGCTACTCAGCCATCTTCAGCCAGCTAGCCGAGGGACTGGACATCAGGCTGGGTCAAGCAGTTGTCAGTGTGGACTACTCGAGCAAGACTACGGTGGTCACAACCAGCGACGGAAAGGAGTATAAAGCAGCCAAAGTGAGTCATGGCTGTCATTTATTTTATTAAAAGGTCTTCAAAAGGAAGGCGAGGCTAAATTCTACCCCCACCCTCCCCCCGTTTTTTTATTTTTTTTGTGCTGACTTTTATGACTTTTTGTAATGACATCTTGCAGACGTTGCAACATCTATTTCATAAAATCTTAAGTATTTTTAGCACAATATGTCAAATGTACTGAAAATTGTTAGTTTTTTCACCGGCCATGTGTAAAAAAATGCACTCATCAAAAGATTGAAGCAAGGATTGTTAATGATCAAAATTATGAAATGCTTTGAGATCAAACGTTGCATATGCATTAAGCATCAATGTTTTACTAGCATAACAAACTTTGTAAAAGTTAATCTTTGGATTTCCGAGGTCAAATTGTTCTCTTGGACACATGTAGTAATGGATCAATGTTCAACCGGACAATGTTTTTCACTCGGTGTTAAATTCTTGACCTCTAGGTTCTTGTGACAGTTCCCCTGGCCATACTGCAGCAGGGATTGATTGACTTCCATCCTCCGTTGCCCGTCAACAAACAGAAAGCTCTTCAGACTCTAGGAGCCGGAACCAGTGAAAAGGTATCCCAGAAATCATTCACATAGATTAGCTCCAAAACTCTGCAATTTAGATGAATCCGGTGGCGCAAGGTTCGTGTTAGCGGCGCTCAGATCGGGCGCAGGTGCAGGCTCCTTCGACCAACAGGAATACCAAAATGTGCGCGCGCCTTGTCTATAAGAACGCGTGCAGCATGCGCCTGAGCGTGACACCACCGCAGTAAAAGCTTCTAATTCTGGTCGCAGGATTCCACCGTACAATACAGTGCATCAGGTGTCAAAGTCTGTTGGACCTTGCTGCATTTAGACATCAACAGCAGTGCATAAACGGCCAATTCTGAGACGATGAGAGCTAGTCCCATTGAACAATGCCACAGCTGTATCTTGCTGCAGTTTGCGACCACAGACTCTGAGGCAGTTTGGCCTTTGGGAACTTTGCCCCGTTGGATCTTGTTAGGCTTGACAGGCTTCTCATTTTCACAGTTGTCGCTTCGCTGCATGTCCACAGATTTTCTAGACAAGATACCCTAGATGTATAAGGTGAGGGATTTTAAATGATCATTTCCGAGATTATCAGCCAATTTTTATTTCTTTTCTTAATTAGATTGGCATGCGATTTCCTCGGAGCTTCTGGGCCAAGAAGACTGCAGGGGCGGATTACTTTGGCCACACCCCCTCCGTGGAGGACAGACGAGGCTACTTCAGTGTCTTCTATGACATGACGCCAAATGTGAGTATTACCTTGCACTGAAATGAGAAACTGTTTGGATACTTGGTCCAGATTTTAAAATCATTTATGTGAGACGCCTATAATTTGTTTAAGGACCCATCCTGTATGTCACTCAAACTGGAGTGACGAATCAGATCACAACTTGTGGTCAGGTGACCAAAGGTGGGCGGGGCTTATGGCCGCAAGATTACTTGGAGTTTATTAGAATTGCACAATTTGGTAATTGATCAGAGTATGATATGGAATTGAATGATTGATCGAATGAGTATCGATTAATTGATAAGTGATCAATGTGGTTTATCAGAGTAAAGAAAGCCACGTCCTGATGACAGTACTCAGCGGTGACGCTGTGGAGAAGACCAAAGATCTCACAGATGAGCAGATCATCGCAGACTGCATGGAATGCCTGAGAGGACTATTCCCTGAAGAGGTAATTAATTATGCATGCAAGGTCAGTCAAGGTCAAAGGTCCATAAAGAGGTCACTGCCATTCATAAAAACCAAAGATCTCACAGATGAGCAGATCATCGCAGACTGCATGGAATGCCTGAGAGGACTATTCCCTGAAGAGGTAATTAATTATGCATGCTAGGTCAAAGGTCAATAAAGAGGTCACTGCCATTCAGAAAAAGCAAAGATCTCACAGATGAGCAGATCATCGCAGACTGCATGGAATGCCTGAGAGGACTATTCCCTGAAGAGGTAATTAATTATGCGAGCAAAATGCAAGGTCATCCAATATCAAAGGTCAAAAGTCACCACTGGTGTGGAAGAGACTGAAATAATTAATAAAACATTCTCTGGGTTTAATCCTCCATGGATGATTCTTTTCTCAGGAAACGATTTTACCCCCAAAAGCCAGATCTGAACTTCAATCTTTGTCTTCAAAATGGCAGAAAGAAAAGAGAGGAAATTTTTCCCTAAAATTAATATTTTTCTACACTATTCTGCACTGAATTTCTCCAGGATTTACAGATTTCTTTGGTCCGAACTGGCAAAGCAGGTGAAAGTAAGTCAGAGACAGGTCATGTAGGTGACAATCTTGCCCTACCTCATAATGAACCTTTTCAACACTATTTGAAGTTTTTCTATCACTTTTGATTTGTAGGATGTTCCTGAGCCGACGAGTTATTTTGTGACTCATTGGTCCAAGGACCCGTACGCTCAGATGGCGTACAGCTACGTCAAGACCAGCGGGCACGGGGAAGACTACGACACAATGGCGATGGACGTCAGCCGGACAGTGTTCTTTGCAGGAGAGGTACTCATTTATTGGATTTCATTTGTACTTTGTTTTATTATTTTCTGGTAATGAAATGAAAGGGGCAATCGTAAGAGGCAGGCACTGTAGCTGCAAAGCTGAAACAAAGGTGTTGGGCAAAGAATGATAATAATAATAATAAAAAAAGAGGAAATTTATAAAGCGCACGTATCCACCAGGACTGGTGCTCAAGGCGCTACATCATTATTACCCTGCTCATTGGGTCCATGAAACTTACCAAATACCATCTCAACTCCGTGGGGAGTATACAGCTCGATGCAGCCTGTTATAGGCTTAAGGAAGCTAATTCGATCACAATAACCATCTCTGCCCTCACAGGTACCCATTTACTCCTGGGTGGAGAGAAGCAATGAGTGACAAAGTGCCTTGCCAAAGGGTACACGCACCATAACCCAGGCTGGACTTGAACCCACAACCTTTAGCTTTACCCACAGACCATGAATCCAATGCCCTTAACCACGAGACCACAGCAACAAATATAGATGTGGGTTTTTTTTGGAGATGGGCAAATGTTTTTACTATTTATTTATGAATGTTGATTTCTGTGTGTCTTTTCATCAGGCCACAAATCGTCACTTCCCACAGAGTGTGACAGGTGCTTACCTCAGTGGGGTGCGAGAAGCCACCAAGATTGTCTCCTGCTGACAAACACAGTGAGACACACGGACACACAGGAACAGAGTCTACAGGTACAGTGTGACGTATGCCGACAAATACCCAGACACACAGGGTGACAGATACCCTGACACTGACGGTGCCACAACCAAGTCACAGAGCTATAAAGATGGTCTCCTGCTGTCAAATACAGTGACAAACACTGTCATACCAGTACAGAGTCTTTGTAAATAAGGATGGCAAATACCGTGACACACAGGGTTGCAAATACCCTGACACTCGGGGCCTCCAGCAAAGTGTACAGTGCATAATTTGTACAAATTTCCAATGTTTGTTTTTCTGCATTTCCTGAGAAATAGAACATAACGTCTCCAGTTTGTGAAACAAAAATGTACTTGAAGGAATTTTCGTTGAAAAAACTATGAGAATTTCACCACATTCCTTGTTCTATTTTTAGCTCCGCCTACATCTTCAATTATAGGCTCCTCCTCCTTGTCAAACACGCTGCATCTACCTAGTTTCTCTCCCTTCTGAATTTTGTTTTGCAATTTTGAGAATATTATTTACTGAATTTAGCTACCTCAAACTCAACTGAAAAACTTGTAATGTTTTTGTTGATTATCATTACAATTAGTGTTTATGGCTGCATTAATAAAAAAAAAGTTTAATAATCAATAGTGCTATGGTGTTTGTATATAACTTCAGTTTCCAGTAGTTTTAAACTCTTGCGAGAAGTTTGCAAGTTTATTCGATTTATTTCTTCAAACTATTAATTTCCCCAATTTATCAAGTGTTGCTAACCATCAGTGAAAACCTTGGCAGAATTATTCTCATGAAAGAAACAATTTTTTTTCCTTTTGCAAAAGTGTATGTCTTCCGAAATCCCTGTGTTTTTAATAATACTGCGCGTCAGTGTTCAGCTTTATTGACCGCTTTGCTGAGGACAACAGAAATAAAGCTTGCAAAACTTATTAATTTAATTCCCCAAAATAGAAAGAAAATTGTCTTCACTAAATTTGGAAAGAAAAGTAGTAGGCTGAAATTTTTTTGTTTAATCACTGCCAGTTTTGTAGTCCAGTGTATGAAATTCCATGTAATATATGTGTATTATAGAAGTACCTGTTGTTTTATGTAAAGTACTAGCTGTCAGTTTAAGTCTGCTTGTGTATTGGATCACATCAATTAAACTTAAATAGGAGGTGTCGACAGGTGTATTGCTGGTATATTGGAGGTCCTTCACTGTCTGAGAAAAAAAAAACACCTGCACTGCCATTTGAGCCTCATGTTTGAATTTGATGTGCCTCTTAAAAACAGGCTGTCGTTTGACAATGTTTATAATTTAATTGTTGAAAAATGAGCCATTGTATTAAGTCTTCATCGAGTTACATTGATGTTTCTTTACCAGCTCTTGGCCATTTCTCAAATCAGGTTTTGTCTCCAGCTGTGGTGCGGGGCTTCAACATCCGGATTTTATGGCCCTCAACTCAGAGACTATCACTTAATATTGTAATGGGTTTGTTTTTTCTAATATTTCAAATCAAATCCTCCTTTGAAAAAGCAAATTCTAAAATTCTCATCTTTCCATTTGGTTAGGTTTGTGCTTTGTGGGTAGAGACGTAGCCAAAACTGGAAAACGAAGTCCAGGTTTGAGAAACTGCAATGCCTTCACATCTTTGTCTCGATGTAATCTTTGAAAATTGAAGTTCATATTGTTTTATTGTTGGTATTTTCATAGTTTTCCAGAAATGTACAAAGTTTGAGTGAACATGTAGCATCTAGGTGTATTTATTGCCAATGAAAAAGTGTTTTCTTTGTCTCTTTAGTTTATTTTCTTCTTTGATTTATATCAATTGTAGTTTGTTTTATATCAACACAATGATTGGACAAAACTTTAGGCCACATGTGTTTAAAACTCTGGCCACTCTCTTTGCAAGAACCCAAAATAGGCTCTTTTGTAAGTCTGGCGAGAATCATTGAATTATGAATAACAAAATTGAGTCTTTGAGATAACGGTTATTCCATTTTTTTTATATAAAGCAATTAGGTCTCAACTACTAAAAGATTGTTGGAGTCAATTGTTTATCATAGTCAGAACAAATTCATTCAGCCAAATACTTCGATAATATCCTCAATTGTTAAAACCATTTTTGCCAGTTTGTAGTATAGCTGTTGTAAGAATTTTTTGTACCATTTTGTAAAATAAATAATGTACTGTTTGAAAACTAGCGATTGTTGACAGACAATTATTTACATGTATATTAAATACAATTTTTTTTTTACAAGATTTTCACAAAATCGTGAAAACCTGCATTCGCAATGCGCTGAATGATATTCCAATAAAACCATGTGAACGGACTAGCATCAAGTCTAAAGATTTTACAGGATGTACATATTCATGTATCAGTGGCCAATCAACGCACAGTAAATTGTACTGAATATTCATTGAAATTTGCGGGTTGTAGCTAGCTTTTGTACATGGTCTATTCTCACACGTGTGTGCATTGCTATGCTGCGGCCGGTTGAAGCTTAAAAGCACGTCGAATTAAAATGACTGAAAATTTCAAGTTTGAGTTCGTAAAAACAGAAAGGCTTTGACGCATCCTCGTCCTAAAAGGTAAGAAATACATTTTGGGGATATTTTGGGAACTGGGTTTGTGGTGAGCGTGGTCTACAACTGATTTTTGTTAAGCACGACTGTTGGCGGACGCTGACATAATTGGCGTGGTGGTGGCCGCGCCGTGCATGGGGGGCTGGAACATTTCATGGGGGGTGTCATGTACACTGTAGATTAATGATAATTTTTTTTGAAACTCAAAATCTCAGTGTGGGGGGGGGGGGGGGGGGGGCGACGGGGGGGGGGGGCGACGGGGGGGGGGGCGACAAGGTAATACTGGCCAGTATTACCGTCACATTTATGGGACCATGGGACTAGATCTGCCCCTGATAGAATACTGCAATAATTTGTTCTATTCGTATTATTTTTTGTCTTTCAGTTTCAGTGTGTAGAATGAGCTACGTCATGTACGTGATGATCTGAGATCTCGCTGCTCGAAGACCTGGCCCTGAACTGAATTCCAGCTAGTACCGATACATGTAGTAGGATTGATATGGCATCACATCCAGATGACATCGACAGTTCACCGAAGAATCTCACGGACAGTGAGAGTGAGGACAGTGCTGCAGATAATGAACTGAAAACGCATCATGATGAGGAGGAATCTAACGTAAACCTGGGCACAGGAGATCATTGTGTTAACAGTAACATGACTAATGAGCAACAGGAAGCAGTAGAAACCAAAGACACTCAAATTAAACCCGAGGAAACTCGCCCACAGAACGACCAAGTCAGCAAACCTACAAGTGCCTCAAAGACGAAGAGCAGCAGAATCTTCCGTTGTCAGTTCTGCAACCGAAGTTTCAAAAATTCAAGTCACGCGATAGAGCACGAGAGAACTCATACAGGGGAGAAGCCATTTTCTTGCGACATTTGTGGCAAGGCTTCTGCGACCAAGGGCAATCTCAAGAAGCACCTGAAACTCCACGCAAGGAAGAACCCAATCCAGAAGCATGTTGGTAAAGTGCGAACTTTCAGGAAAAGAGACGGGAGCGCAAGAATCTTCATGTGTACATTTTGTAACAAGGATTTCACAAATTCGAGCCACTGGATTGAGCATGAGAGGATCCACACTGGAGAGAAACCGTTCATTTGCGACATTTGCGGCAAAGCTTCCGCGACCAAGAGCAACTTAAAATTGCACAAGAAACTCCACACCAGGCCAAACAGTTTACCTAAGATAAAGATCAAAAGAACCTTACTTTGTAAATTTTGTAACAGGCTTTTCAAATTTTCAGCCCATTTAAAAATCCATGAGAGGAAGCATACTGGAGAGAGGCCATTTGGTTGCACGACCTGTGGTAAGGCCTTCTCCGCGAAGAACACCTTGAAATTGCATGGAAGGGTCCACACCAAAGAAAAACCTCTTGTGTGTGGAACATGTCACAAAGCTTTCTCACAAAGAACCCCTTTCCAAAACCACCAGTGTGTTGGTAAACCAACAAGTTCCAAGGAAGGAACAGTCGGAGAAGCTGAGCACATCGCCAAAAGAGGAGACAAAAGGACCTTCTGTTGCCAGTTTTGCGACAAGACCTTCAATAATTCAAGCCATGTAACAGAACATGAGAGAACTCATACTAGAGAGAAGCCATTTGTTTGTGACATTTGTGGTCAAGCTTCTGCCACTAAGAGCAATTTGAAAAAGCACCGACAACTCCACTCTAGGGTGAGACCTTTGAGAAAGAGTGCTAACAAAAAGACAGTTGTAAGGAAACAAGAACTTGTATCTTCCTCTATTAAGAAGCCAAAGAAAGAGAATGAAAGAGTCTTCACTTGTAAATTTTGTAACAAGTGTTTTGAAAACTCTAGTCACTTAAGAGAGCACGAGAGGATCCACACTGGAGAAAAACCATTTGTTTGCGAAGCTTGTGGTCAAGCATCTGCAACGAAGAGCAATTTGAAGAAGCACCAGCAAGTGGTGCACCCCGGTATGAACCTGTTTGTTAAGAGTGTCAGTGAAGAGTCAAGTGAAAAAGTCCTAACTTGTATATTCTGCGACAAGGGTTTCCAATACTCGAGTGTCTTAAGAGAGCACGAGAAAACCCATACTAGAGAAAAACCATTTATTTGTAAAGATTGTGGCCATTCTTGCTCTACTAAGAGCAAGTTTATAAGTCATCGGAACCTCCATTCCGCAGAGGACCCATTCCATTGTGAGGGGTGTAGCAAAAGTTTTCCAGGAAATGACGAGTTCGTGGGGCATCTCGTTATCCATGCCAAACCTAAACAAAAGGTCTGCATAGACTGCTCTGAGGTTTTCGTAAGTAAAGACAGTCTTAGAGCACACAGGGCCCTCTATCATCGGCCATCTGTTCAGCTTCGCAGGGAGAAGACGCATGTTTGTGAAACTTGTGGTAAAGCCTTCGGACAGTCAAGCCATCTGTCTGACCATCGAAAGATTCACACCAACATCAGACCATTTCTGTGTCACATTTGCGGTGCTACCTTCCGCGCGAGAACCCATGTGAAACGACATCAGTTAGTTCACACAAGGGAAAGAAAACACATCTGCGAAATATGTGGCAGAGGATTTGTTCTAGCTCGCACCCTGAAGATGCATCATCTTCAGGTCCATACGAACCAGAGACCGTTCAAATGTGACGATTGTGGCAAAGGTTTTATCGGAAAATACAAACTAGAATGCCATCAACGGATTCATACTGGAGAAAAACCATACGTCTGCATTGTATGCGACAGGGGTTTCGCACACAACATCTCACTAAGGAGGCACAAATGTGAAGCTTTTTAGAGAAAGGTCACATGAAGCAAATTTAAAAGGCAACCTCAAGGCAACCAAATGCATAGTCTTGGTTTCAAGACGTCCTCAGCACTGCAGTGTTCAGATTGTTATGCCGAGATTCACAGCAGCGTGCAGGCCCTTATTTAAAACATGCCAACAGTCTGCAGTGCGTGCAGTAATGCAGTTTGTCGACCAAGTCAGGTTCGTGAATAGGAAAGTGAATGCTGCTGCTTGGAACAAAGACCGTTTATCCTGAACTGCACAGCAAAAAAAAAAATTCTTGCACCAAGACTACCAAATGCACTGTAATTAAGCTAACTGGGATGAACAAATTGTGTTTTTTTCATGTGTGTAAACTCTTCAGATGTAAATTCCCTTCAATTTCCTTCTTAGAGATTGCCTGAAATATTGCTGGTGTGACAAGGCCCTTCAAATGATCTCACTTTGCTGTACTTTAAATTCATGTAATTATGAGTAATTTTAATATTTTGCAGAACAATATTTTTGTGTAATATATTATGAAAGAATTTTCTCACGGAAAGCTAAACTTTGTATCAGTGTGTCATTTATATTGTTTAATTTTAAATGATAAAGATTTTAACAGGCAGATGAGATATAAAGGGTATGCATGTATATGGAATGGAGGCTAGCACACAATCATCTATGTTATTCGCGCAGATTCGGCGATGCGAAACAAGACTGCGATGTCCCAATTTTGACCAATCAGCGGGCACTTTTGTAACCCTATTTCAAAATGTTACAAGTAGACAACAACGTATGTATGTATTTATATTTTAATACATGTACAATGTTTAAGGAAGATGACAACACAACTTGAAGAATCAGACAGCGACTGTTGCGGTTGCTTTTGAGTTTTTAAATACATGTACTCTGCTCTGCGCATAAATTAATCGCCCCCTCTAGCTCTTGATTTGTGGACTAGCATTTTGCAACAACGGCCCCGATCGCGAAAGTTCATTGACTTATAGATGTTTATAATTTATACATAATTATTCATGACCGTGAGACCCACACACATTGCGCGTTGTGTAAATTATGCACAACAGCATAAAAATGAATATTCAATATCATTTTAGTGGTTGCCGAGTAGTTGGATAGCTTCAGTTGAACTTTGAACTTCAGTGCGGTGTTTCGCTGCATGCTGCAGCTGCAGTGTGAAATTCCTTCCTCCATGGTTGAATCATTTTATTTCCACAACAATTTTCAACTATCTGCGACGGATTTCCTTGACTTGAGATTGAGAAACTCGTCACAGAAACTCGACCAATTCGGAGAAAAGATTTTCGGGATCGAACACCTGCCAGGATACTCAAGTTGTTTCGTCATGGCATTCATTCTCGTGGTAAGGCATTGTTTTTACGCAGTGGCTATCGTTACGGCAGCCGTAACGCATTTCCCATTTTCTATCGTAACGGTAGTACTGCAACTTTTATAAAAACATGAGAAGAAAATATGAAATTAGAAGGAAAAAAAAGTGAATTTGAACGTTATGAAATTCGGACTTTATTTCCCTTTTAAAAAAAATCCTCCAAAGCCTCGGGTTAGAAAAGGAAAAATTCGAGTGCAAAACTGAGATGCGAATCCGCAACCTCGCGGTGCAAAATCCTACCCTCTATCGGCTGAGCTGTCGCACTGCTCGCTATAACGTGGGGGAACAAATAATTATATACCTGCGGCTGCGTGCGTATCAAAAAAGTATCGTAGAGGGCGCTCAACACGACTGCCGTAACGATAGCCACTTCGTTGTTTTTATCCCCCTGGCCCCGTGGCGATCGTGAAATGTAGGGCCCGGTTGGGCAAAGCACATTTTCCCTCAAATCCTTGTACTTTCTCTAGCATCATTTTTTTGTAAGTTGGGTTGGGAGGGGGGGGACATTTGGCCATCCCCCACCCCCCCCCCCCCCCCCCCAAACACGTCTGCTGCAGACGCCCATTTTTGAGGATAGCACATATGGCTTCACTTGTTCCTCCATGACAGTAATAACACCTCTTGGTATTTTTTTTCTCCCTTTTTTTCCCTCAGGGGGGGGGGGGGGGGGGGGGGGTGGCGGCGGCAAGCGTTATAATTTGCTTTTCTGGGGGGGGGGGGACATTAGAATTTCTTTGGAAGTGGATCACTTATAATTCAACCAGACCCGATATTCTGTCTGCCAGCTGCCATGGCATTAGGATAGGAGATAATAATATGTTTGTCTCATACATGTAGTTTTAGGTCAAATATAGGCTACATGCGCAACTGGTCTACATGGTCTGAATGGTCTGCATCACATCATTGCATTAATTGGTTGTGAAGCCCCAGCTCTAAGTGGTGTGACATGTTAGATTTAGATTCAGGTGCATCCAGGTAACAAGCACATGAAGCAGTCATTCATGAAGCACATGATCCTCATAAAAAAAACAAGAGCGTGATCAAAAAGGTTTTTACGCTACAAGCACAGAGTGGCCAGGCATGTGGATTCAAAGGCTCTTTCAAACCGTAGTGAAGTCCAGATAACGCCAAGGAAACAGAAGTCAACAGGTTGTGTATTCGAATCTACAGACTACGGGTCAGCATCCATGCCGAATGTTGTTTGCAGCACTCACAGCATCTAGACATCTTTGAAAATCATGTAGCAGGGTAGTATCGTGTACGATTACAATACAGACAATAACCGTAACCTTTTCTGACTTGTTCTCACTAGGAAGGTCCCTACAGACTGTCCCATATGCAAGAGTCGCTGCTGACAAATCTTGAACTCTGACCTTTGAGGAAAGGCTTTCGTTGATGAAGGGCCTTCTCACAACTTTTGTTCAAATCTGCATTACTGATCACTCTGAACCCTAAAGGTTTCAACTTCTTAGCAAATCCATCTCAAATCTTCTTGCGCAAACAGAAAAAAAAGTTTCCAAAATGCCTCGTCTCAAGAAGAGGACGCTGTTCATCTGTAGCGTTTGCGAAAGCATCTTCAAAACTCAAGAAGAACTGACGATTCACAAGAACACCCACTGGAAGATCAGAGCACCAAGCCGGCATGAAGAGCCTCACAGTGTCCCGACTAAGAACAAAGCAGAAGCAGCAGTACCGGTAGAAGCAAAGGTCAAACCATTTGAATGTGAAACTTGCAGCAAAGCGTTCTCAAATGCCGGCCACCTGAAGGAGCACCAGCGAGTACATACAAGGGAAAGACCTTTCGTTTGTGAAATCTGCGGCAAGGCGCTGTCCTCAAGTGGTGTTCTGAAAAACCACCGGCGAATCCATACTGGAGAGAAACCTCATGTTTGCGACATCTGCACGAAGCTTTCACCTATAAACAGCAGCTCACCGTTCATCAGATGTCGCACGACAACATCAGACCCTTCGTGTGCGAGGTTTGTAACAAGTCCTTTCTGAGAAAAGGAAATCTTACAGAGCATCAAAGGATCCACACAAGAGAGAAACTATTTGTATGTGACGTTTGCAACAAGGGTTTTTCATGTAGTGGCAGTCTGAGTAATCACAAGAGGATTCATAGTGGTGAGAAGCCTTATACTTGTGAATCTTGTGGTGAATCATTCATGTACAGTTATCAGTTGACTGAGCATGGAAGAATCCATACGGGTGGGAACACCAAACCATTTGAGTGTGAAGTTTGTAACAAAGCCTTTGGAAAGAAGAGTCATCTGAAAGATCACCAGGGCATCCACATTAAAGAGAAAAACTTTATTTGCCAACTCTGTGGCAAAGCCTTCTCGACAGGTGCTCACCTGAAGAGGCATGAGAAATCGCACTCTGTCATCAAGAGCAAATTTGTCTGTGTAATTTGCGACAAGTCTTGCACTTCCGAAGACAAGCTCAAGAAACACCACCTGAAGCTCCACAGTGGCGAAAAACCCTACTCGTGTGATGTTTGCCAGAAGACGTTTTCCCAAAAGAGCCATCTTAAAGAACACCAGAGGGTTCACACGGGAGAGAAACCATTTGTTTGTGATATTTGCAACAAGGCCTTCTCTGCAAAAAACATCTTAAAAACACACCAGAGAGTCCATACAGGGGAGAAACCATACATTTGTAACATTTGTAGTGAAGCATTCTCCTATCCGACACAGCTGAGTGTTCACCGGTTGTTACATGACAACGTCAGACCCTTTGTTTGTGAAGTTTGCAACAAGTCCTTCTTGAGAAGGGGAAATCTCACTGAACACCAAAGAGTCCACACCAGAGAAAAACCGTACGTATGTGACATATGCAACAGGGGTTTCTCTTGTAGTGGCAGCCTGCACAACCATAAGTGGACACACACCAGTGAGAAACCTTTCATTTGTGAAATCTGCGGCAAGGGCTACATATCCGCTGCAGTTCTCAGGAATCATAAGTTGGATCACGAAGATAATCCCGAAACTTTTGAATGCGACGTTTGTCTCAAGACCTTCCGAAGGAAAAACAGGCTGAAGGACCACCACAAGCAGTGCCACAGTGGAGAGAAATCATTTATCTGTGACGTTTGCGGCAAAGCTTTCGCGTTCGGTAGCAGTCTGAAATCCCATCAGAGACTTCACAGTGGGGAGAAGCCTTACGGATGCAAGATTTGTGGCGACCGTTTCACTTACGCGCCTCAGAGAAAAGATCACATGTTGAAACACGACAATAGGAGACCATACAGCTGTGAGGTCTGCGACAAAACCTTCCTGAGGAAAAGCAACCTCGTGGAGCACCAGAGGGTCCATTCTTCCGAGAAGCCTTGCATCTGCAATCTCTGTGGTAAGGCCTTCTCCCACAGCATCCTTCTGAAGAAACATCAGAAGGTCCACACCAATGACCGTGTATTCATCTGTGAGACCTGTGGAGGATCTTTTTCTTCAAAGCTGACCCTGAAATCTCACAAAGCAGTTCATTCTGACGTAAAGTCGTTTCTCTGTGATACCTGTGGCGATGCCTTCCGAAGGAACAGCCAGCTTAAGCGACACCAGAGGGTGCACTCCAAAGAGAGACCCTTCGTTTGCAACATATGTGGCAAGAGATTTCCCCAAATCCATACCCTTAAACTTCATCATATTGGGATCCACACGAACGATAGACCCTTCAAATGTGGCACTTGTGGTAAAGGCTTCATCGCAAAATATAAACTAAAATGCCATCGACGAGTGCATACGGGAGAAAAACCATATGCCTGTAATGTTTGCGACAGAGCTTTCTCGCACAATATCACACTGAGGAGGCACAAATGTGACTGTGTTCAAGAAAGTTAACAAACATTTGAAGTTTAAGATGGCATTAAGCCTTCTAAAATGTCACCTGACTGCTACAACTTTTATCTCTATTAACATGTCCATCGAATGTATAATTTTAGCAAATAGTATTTCATTCTAGCGAATGTTGTTGATTTCCTAGAAAACGTTCTAAACTTAGTGAAAATAATGTTCTTAAAATTCCAAGTACCAAGCTATTTTTGAAGCTGTATAATTGGAAGCACATACATAAGTTAACATTTATTGAAAGGAAGCATGTAAAAAGTTGTTTTAGCTAGTGTAGTACATGTAATAATTATAGCAACTAAGACAGATGTGCATACAAAGAAGTGCTATAATAAAGGCCATGCAATGTAATTTGTTGAATGCTATCCTTTAAAAGAACCAACGGTGGCCCAATGAACCGCATTTTCAGATTTTATTTTGCCATTTTGAAGGGTATTTTGATACCTTTTTGGTTTTTATGATGTGCAAAGTTCCATATATATTCAAGAGCAAAACGGTGCTTTCATTCCGGGCAGAAACCTCAGTGTTACACTCAGCACAAACTATTTGGATACTAAATTTGCTGTCGTAAATGCCGCTTGCTTTGGTGAAACGTTGTTGTGCAAGTACTTGGCAGTGAACCAGTGAGCAATTTCTTGCAATTGTTTTCATTGGGCAAAATTAGGCTTTACAATTTGAACAAGAAAAACTCTAAACTCTAAACTGAACAGTGTCTTCCTGAAATGACATCACAGCAACAGCACCCTCAGTTGTCACAAAAAGCATGGGAGTTTTTAAATGTTTAAAAAATTTCACTTTTTATTGAAATTAACCAAAAAGGGATGACAACTAGATTTCAAACATAGGAGTAGAGCGTTGCACAGTTTGTGTTCCCAAGAAAAATTCAGTGCATGGGCCCTTTAAAAAGAGGATACTGTTTAAAAATGAAGTTGTGACAATGTTCTTTCTAGAAAATGTGCAGAACTGTATGTATTTATGTTTGAACCAGCTGACCCTGGCAGGTTTTGGTGGTCAAGTGGTAAGACATTGCACTAGCAAGCAGGAGGTCGAGGGTAGGAGTCCCACCCTCAGAGATTTCTTTCTCACAATCACTCGGTAAAACACTGAGAATACAGTATTAACAAACAAAAAATAATATGTCAGTGAAGGGCAAAACCCAATTTTGAAATATGTTGCATTGTCAGGCACCTTTTAAATTGCTTACAATTATGATTTGTTGAAGTATGTCGGTGAGGGATAAAAACCAAATCATTCATTATGATCTCCCTGATGCAAAAAAAACCATGATAAATATCCCAAATTATGTCGATGTGATTGATGATTCTTATCATGTGTATGTTCATGCGTTATTCCTCCATGGTTCGTGCAAATAATCGTTAAGAGCTATGTAACTACGCACAATATTTCTACAACTATACATGTATAGTGTATACAACTCCTCTAAACGGAGCAACCATGAGTACAGGTTGCCAGTCTACTTCGGTGCAGCGCCCGCGCCGATAATGACCTCAATCTGACCTCCATATTTAATGCGGTATTAAAATGCACCAGATGTGTGACAACACGCCAGTGCACAAGGCCGTCGGACGTTACCGGTACATGTGTATGTATGTATTGATAGGTCTTTAAATATTACGTGCACTTGTCTTCTACTTGTAGCAATTAGCATGCAGCAAGCTTTGTAGATCATGCTTTTGAAGAGAACTGTGCCATGGACTGTACCTAACATGGAGAAATAAAACACAGAACAATTTACTACTGACGTAGCGTAGTGATGGTTCCTTCCTCCATCATGTCCATGGTAAGAATCCTTAAGATACACGTGAGGATGTTGCCAGAATATGCACGACAAGTTCGTCATCTAATAATATGGTTGATTTGATTTATGCAAGTTATTTGTTCGCATTTCTTGTATCCATGTATTGTGAGTGTAGTTTGATTTGCAGTCGCTTTGTATTCATGTTACTTGATGTAGGATTGAGTGTCAAACAAATACTCGACTTGTATTGATCCTTTTCATGGCTGCCATATTGGAGGTACAGTGCCTTTATCTACCTAGCCCCATAAATGTGGCCTATTTACTGGACTGCCTCCGTAAACATAGGCCACACATCCACATGTACAAAAATCGTGTCGACTTTGCCAAATTTAGATTTTCACATTTAGGCTTAGTTTGTAGGTTTTTTTGCTTTAGAAGCATACTCACCCTCTTTATAGGCTAATCAGAAGGTGCTGCCTTTTTCAGATGTATATTTTTCGTGAAATTTCCAGATTCATTTTTATACGTTTGCGTATCAAAATTTCAACATGAAATTTCACAAAAATTAGACATCTGAAAAAGGCAGCACTTTCTGACTAGCCTATAAAGAGGGTGAGTATGCTTCTAAAGCAAAAAAAATCCTACAAACTGAGCCTAAATGTGAAAATCAAAATTTGGCAAAGTCGATGTGGATGAAAGTACATGTGGATGTGTGGCCTATGTTTACGGAGGCAGTCCAGTAAATAGGCCACATTTATGGGGCTATTATCTACCATGTCTACAGAGATACCCAGCTCTTTTGTGCATTCTCGGTACTGAATTAAAATACCAAATGTATACTGCCATGATGATGACTGCACATATACAAGATCATTTGTGTACCTACAAGATTGCTTTTGATATCTGAGAGATAATTGAACATTAGGCCTTCACAATCGTGGTGGTTTACATGTACATGTACTTGTAGATTTTTGCCGATTCAAGTAATTATGCGAAACTGAAGAGATTTACAAGAAACAAACACTGCGTTGCATTATAATACTTTTTGACCAAAAAATCTGCGTCCCCCGCGTTTTTAGCAGTAGCACACATGTACATGTACAAAATGTACATGTTCGTCCGACCATACATGTACTCGGGCGTGAAGCATGCACGGAATGTCCTCGGGTCGTGTGCCGACATTCCAAATACTGGTTTAGATTTATCTTGTCGATAGGGGCTTGGCTGTGCTGTCAAGGACCGGCTTAAAATTTTGGATACATAATCAAAATCAGTCTGGGGTCGAGCATGAAGGAAATTTGGTTCTGTTACTCGCGGGCACACAGCGTATTGAATTTTTAGTGAGTAACCGAATGAGTCTTTGAAAATAACAAAAAAACTATGATGATATAAAACTGTAGCTGACGTTTCGCGTTTTTGTTGAGCATTTTCTGGTCATGAACATAACTCTCCCAGCATTAGTGTTAACTATCTTTTTATCTAGCTAAGATGCTTGGCAGAAAAAGCAGCCGTTATTTCGTTATTTAAAGGGTCCATAGGAATGAATTTGTAGGAACCTATTCTGTGCAACTTTCTTGACTATTTGACATCGCTTTTTGGTTATGCACTATAGTCTTAAGGAAATCTTATACGTTTAATCTTGATCTTCTGCTTTTGGTGTAGTATAGAAAAAATTGCATTTCCTTTTTGCACAAATCACACTCAAATTAATTTCAACGAAACTGAAAAGGGCGCATGCCATTAATTTAATGCAGTCCTTTAAATCCCATTTAACCCCATTTGAGTGTGACTGGCGGAAAAAAAAATGCAATTCACTAGTTCAAAGGTTATTTTCTGTACTACCAAAAAGCGGAAGATAAAACTCCCCGACTTTCCCTAATCTCTAAGCGTGAATTGTCCATTTTTTTCTAGATATGACTGCATTTTGTTGCACCGGATTTACCCGTGACTTGTTTTTCCTCTGTGAACTTTGTTGTCGATACAAGTCACATAATGGAGAATGAATCGGAGCAATGCCAGCAGTATTGTCAAAATGCTGGTCAGTTTACTTGCGACATTTGCGGCGAGTCTTTTCCAAGTGACAACGATCTCACCGAACACCGGCGGAACCACGGCAACGACAAACGACTCGTCTGTAAAATCTGCAACAAAACCTACTCGAGCAAGGACACTCTCAGGCATCACATGAGGATCCACACCGATGAGAAGAAATTCATCTGTGGCATCTGCGACAGAGCTTTCCTGCGCAGAAGCGCGTTCAGAGAACATCAAAGATGCCACGACAAGATGCGACCGTTTGTCTGCGACATCTGTGACAAGACCTTCCCCCGCAAGGACACGCTAAGAAAACACCTGATCAGCCACACCGGCGACCGACCGTTCTCTTGTGACATCTGTGGCAAAACCTATCCATGTCGCCGCAACCTGCGACGACACGAGATCGTCCACACCAACGACAAGCGCTTCTTGTGCGACATCTGTGGCAAAGCCTTCGCGGACGCAGCCCAGTTGAAAACCCACAGTGTCACCCACACCGACGACAAACCCTTCCACTGTGACATTTGTGGCAAGGACTTCAATAACAGGGGCAACCTCCGCGCCCACGGGAAGGTCCACGATAACCTCCGGCTGTTTGCCTGTGGCTTGTGTGGCAAATCGTTTGCTCGGAGATCACACCTACAGGTACACCAAATAATCCACGATTCTGCTCGGCCGTTTGCTTGCCCAGTCTGTGGCAAGACTTACTTGCGTCCAGACACATTCGAGAAACATCAACAGACTCACATGACTGAAAGTCCAGACCACTCTGACGTTTCTTCGGACTCGAGTTCCTTAAATATGAAAACCGAGGCCAGCAGTGACGTTCAAAAACAGGTAAACTTTTTTTCCAACGGCGCCCTCTTGTGTACGAATTATGCACCCGTCAGTCATCAGGTTTGTGCTCAGTGAATCAGAAGTCTAGTCTGTGAAAGTGTGACGTCATGGAAACGTTCTGGGTTTGAATGGAACTATAAACTCATTTCGGATTTTTTTCATCGTGGATAACGTGAAAGCCAACTCGCCACTTTCATCGGGGATGAGGGTGGAGGGGGCGTGGCATAATTGTATGACGGCATGGGGTTAGGGTCACTTTTCAAATGACAGTAACAGACCATTCTTGTTTAGACAACAGAGGGCGCTGCGACAACAGAATCAAGCGACAATGCTATTATTTTGCAAAAATGTATTAATAATCCAGAATATTAACAAGTTACATTAATATGATTAAGATTACATGCACAAAAGCCTCTGAGAAACTCGACGTCGAAGATAACGCATTAAATAAATTATCCGTTGGATTGCGGCCAGTTACAAAATGTAAACATGTTACTTTCGTTGTGCCCATCCTTTTCTCAAATGTCTTTACTTTTTAGTTGTGTTTAATAGGTAAAAGACTTTCCAATATGTTGGCCTTTTGTTCACATAACCCAGAATATCTTAATTGCCTTAAATTATGAGTGCATAGCCAATCACATCGTGATCTTAACCAATGAGTCCCATTTTAACCAATCAGAAATGCATAGTTGGTCAAGGTTCCCTCAGCGCCTGCCTATTGGCTACATTATAATATTCACGGAGGCGAGAGCCAATCAGATTTGCCGTTTTGTTTTAGCTCGATGTGACCTGTTTGTCCATTGGCTACATTTTAAAACTCTTCCAGCCACAGCCAATCAGATTTCATCTTTCAAAAGCCCCTCGTTCCTCAGCTTATCCAGAAGCTTCTTCATTGCTGCATCGATGGCGTCCTGCGCCTCATCGAAGTGGTGCACCTTCACGCTGGTATCGCTAGCAACGTCCCAGGCCGTACCGTCATACACCCACAGCTCATCGAAGCTGTGTACTCGACCCTTGGCACTGTACTTGACGGTGCGACCTCCTATTGTCACCTGCAGGTGAAAAAGGGCATTTATTGTAGGTGCAGGTGCCGTTTGTTGTACATTTTGTACATTGTGTTTCTGTACCATGTGGAGGGCGTCCCAAACGGCTGCATGTGATAGTACATTAAATGTGGAGGACGCCTCCTACGGCTCAGAAAATTGTTTGTAAACATTGGCGCTATTTTGTATGGGGCTGCCGTAAGCGCGTCAATATTGAAGTCGTGGTTGGCAACATATTTTTACAAAAGAGTCCTCATAACGCCATCAACACACAGTAAAAAGGCATATGTAGGAGTTATTTTGTAGCTTTGTTGAAAATGTTGTATTTTCAAGTATCAAATAATATTTTGGTGATCTGTAATAACTCTTCTTCATTTTTGCAGTGTTGGACCTTCCATAGTTTTACAGTTTGCCAACCAAGCGCAGAAAGGTCTATAGTGCACATGCAAAGGTTAACGTCTCTTCGCCTATATAATCTTCAGGCACCTATTAGACGTTTGTTTCTTTACAATGGAGAACGATTGATTGCTTTTCTTCCTTGACAATTTATCATACTTTAGAACAATAATGAAGTATCATTCTCTCTGTTAACAGTTTGATTGTGATGTGTTATGGGCTGCCGGCCGTTATTACTGCGTCTTTCTTCTATGCGGATCCTAGCGAATGATCTTGAATGGGCTTTGCCAGTTTGAAAGTCGGTCTTTGTTTGGTCGATGAGAAATATCGCAAAGTTTGTTACCTGTCCTTCCTCGTTGAGGGCGTTGTTCAAGAGATCCATGGCTGCTTTGATGGTAGCTGGGTTGATATCAACCTCGTCCCCAGGGTGTCGAGCAGTACGCGCCCACCACTACCTGCTCTCTCACCCTGGTATTGGATCATTTGCATGTGCAAGATTTTTGCACACGTATGCAAATGAGGAACAGTCTGGTGCCTGGATATGCGTTACACATTAGCGTTTGTTTTTGTATGCGGTGTCTGGGGTAAAAACAGAGTCAATTCGTAGCAGCGCGAGCATGGCGTGAGTTACGAAAACAAGATTTTTGAAATCAAACTGTTACGATCTTATCGAGACAACACGCAGTATAATATTTCACATTAATATGAGCAAATTGGAAAGGAAATTAGTATTTTCGAGAAGGCGTGGACGAATGATCGCGAAAACACGTACTGCACGTTGTGAATATATAGCACCAAGTACACGATAAAAATCCATTACTAGCTAATTGCGGTATCCAATCAGGATACAGGAAGAAAGTTTCCTATCCAGGGTTTACTATTGGAAACGCGGTTGGAAATAAAGTAAGCACTGGGGACGAGGTTGGGTTGATATTGAAAGCACTTACCATACTCACTGCAATAAGAAAAAAAGGGCAACATCACGATGAATTCATTACAAAGAATCAAAGAGACAATTCAAGAAAATTCGTTTTCTGATTTTTAGTAATTTTGGGAGGCCACTTGACCAAAATTACTCGATCGTTTTAGATCCTTGTCGTTTTTTTCAATGTCCTCCAACTCAGCACTGCGACCCAAACCAAACTCGTTCAATCCACGAGAAAATAATTTGTCCTAATTCTTCTGAAGTCCAAGAAATTATTATTATCCATGCTTTGAAATATTTGTATCGTTAAAATTGAAAATTAGGGTGAGTACAAAGACGAGGATTTTGTATATTTTCAACAGAATGGAAAACAAACCTGTGCAAAGTGTTAGAACCACCGCTAATGGAAGATACATTGTTGTTTCTATCTACTTGGGTATAATAATGGTGACGAGAATCTTGGGCTTTGCGAAGGTGGTGTTCTTGTGGCCCAACTGTTTCACTAGAGCTGTGAACTTCATGGGAAACTGCAGTGACTGATCAACATTCTTCCTGAACAGCACGGATAAAGTGGTTTCTGAGGAGCGTTTTGGGTTTTCCCATTCTATGGTTTCTGTGGAGCGTTTAGGGTTTTCCCATTCTGGCTAGTTATTACCCAATGCGGTTTGTCTTTGATTGTGACTCAGAAGTGGACATTTTCAAGATTAAATGCCTACCCTCAACAATAGCAGGAAACCACTTCAGTTATTTTGAGATTCGTTATCTCGTAATTTGTGCTGACGTGGACAACATTTCTGACAATTAATAACGTTGCTCTCATACAGTCTTTTTGTCAAAATGTGTTTTTCTCTGATTTGTCGGCTTTCTGTCTGCCCAGTTGTGTCTAGGTATGTTTGCGCATGCGTTATTCGGCAAGTGGTTGGAAAATCCAAGTTGCGATAAGCGTTCTTTGAAAAACAATATCTTTAGTTAGTTTGGCTTTTTATGGAAACTTCAGTCCATTGAACTTCAGTTTGGAAAATCCAAGTTGCGATAAGCATTCTTTGAAAAACAATATCTTTAGTTAATGTGGCTTTTTATGGAAACTTCAGTCCATTGAACTTCAGTTTGGAAAATCCAAGTTGCGATAAGCATTCTTTGAAAAATAATATCTATAGTTAAGGCCAAAAAAAAATCGGTCTCTGGTTAGACCGAAGTTCCGGAATTGATGCGGCGACGCGGTTTTTTTTTTTGGTGGCTTTTTTTTTCAAGCTTGAATTGTACAGACAAGGAGGGTACAATTTTGCTTTTTTGTGTCCTCATTATACATTGGTGATGGCCTCCATAATTTGCCTTAGTGCCCTTTATCATTTGCCTTGGTGCAATTTCCCCATTCCTTGGTGCTCTTTGGTACAAACATTTGAGGAGGTGCGGCAATAGAGGGCGCTGTTGTAGCTTACGTGTTAATTTGAAGGGAAAAAAAGTTGACGCACATGATTAAAATCGATGCGCGCGCTGACCTTATACCGAGTATTTTTTTTTTTGGCCTAATGTGGCTTTTTTATGTGAACTTCAGTCCATTGAACTTCAGTGTTTTTTTTCTGCTGGCAGCTACTGGAGTTAAGTCTCATCAGGATAAAAATGAAGTTGTAGAGACCCTCACATCCAGCCCCGATTGTGACTCGAAGTGGAATTCCCCACGCACAATGAGAAAACAGTCATCAATATATTTTCCTTTTTTGTTTTTGTAAAATTGTAAAAATGACAACGTACTCTTTCTAAGCTTTTAAAGTCGTAATAAGTGGTATCGAGAAGAGATCAGCAGATTGGGTAATTATTTACATTTCTTTATTATTTTTTTTATTTCAAATCTTTAGAAATTCAAAAAGTTCAAAAATACAATCTAAAATGTAAGCAGGGGCTGTCACGGAATGAAAAAAAGTATCAAAACTGTCATCAAATAAATTTTTTAAAATGAAACATTTCATAATCTTTTCTCCCTCTGTTACATGGAGAAAGAAAACACTGAAAATTTAAACCAGATTTGCCGTCCAGTAAACTTGCGCATTCCCTTATCAACTTTATCAAACAAAACTTTATCAGACAAAATCCAAACTCCACAATTTTAACATATTACAAAAGACAGGATGTAAAAAAGTCTAGACAAATTTCACACAAAATTTACATGCAAACCTTCTTCCTTGATAATAATCTCATTAACACCCAAATTGCACCCAAATTACAATAACGGACTCTTTCATTGGTTAATGATCAATAACCGATTCCCAATCGACCAATCAGAGTTCGTCTTTCATGATCCCCTCCCTCTTCAGTCTCTCGAGTAGTTTCAACATGGCGTGTTCGATGGCTCCCTGCTTGCTCTTGTAATGATTAGCCTTTTCGCTGATCCCACTCGTTATGTCCCACGCTGTACCGTCATACACCCATGGTTCCTTGAAGCTGTGGACTCGCCCCTTTGCCTTGTATTTGATGACACGACCAGCAACGGTTACCTGAAGGTTTAAAAAGTTGGTTGAAGTCTTCAAATTATTTATAACAGTTCATCTCTGGGGCCGTATCTTTAATAGCGAGCCAAGTTGGCGCATTGGTGAGATCTTCAGGCCTCGCCTCCCAGCATATCCCAGCAAGATTTCTGCCCTGCTCCATAATTGGGGATTTTTGCAGGACCAACCGAATCAGTGATTGGTCGTTTTTCCCCCTCCAAATTTTACCTTCATTTTCTTCGTCAAAACAGTTTACAATAGTCACGTGAATGCCAAATTAATTTGGACGGCAAGCACAAGCATTGCGCATGCGCTATTCCTTCTGTTCCAATTACGTCATCTGCACGCCCTCTAAAGCTCACTATACTAACTGTACCGCTCAGTGATTGTTTGGTTTGAAAAAATCTGTTCATTTTATAGTCGAACGTTCAAAATTGAAAGTGGAAGAAAGTCAGAACTAACTTACCTGTCCTTCCTCATTGGCGAGGGTGTTGACGATTCTCGTCACTGTCGCGATCATGCTGGGGTTGAGGTCAATGGCGGTTGTCATGGTGACTGAAAATTGCATAAACGAGAACAAAAAGTTTTATCAAAATTTAAAGATCGGGCAAAATGAACGAAAACCACTACCCGTAAATAACAAGTAAAACAATAAAATCACACTCAAATTATATGGTTTTTTTTATTTACATACAAAACATAGAGCTGTGTGGTTTGAACCATTACGTGGTAAAATATTTCCTTCTTTGGGAAAAAACATTCTTTGGAAATACTGATTAACTAGAATAAAAAGCCATCTATTTTTGACTTAGTAAAACGTACCTGTAAATGTCACCACCATCAGTAGGAAGAGACCAGTCCTCATACTGTGAATGCACAACAGCGTTCTCTGTCCTGTCTATACTGAAAAAAAAAGAACTTATACAAATTGAGTTGTTGGCGCTCTGAAGTCAGAAATTCAACTGAAGATACGATCAGCCCTGTTGTCAGAGTTCACAACAAACTACATGTACTAATGCTTATCATTGACCTCGAAAGCCACGTGTGTATTTACACACTTAACAATCATGACTCAAATGTGGGAAAACCCACTATCATTCCTCGTATCACGGACATACATTGCAGGGACTTTCCGCTTTGGCATGTTTGGCAACTGTCTAGTCAGTATACCGAGTTCAGTTCAGGGACGTTGAGTGTTTTGCACGAGTGATTGCTATTTTGTCGCCTGGGATGAAGCCATTGTAAGTATTACTTCTAGGTTCACATTAAATTTAGTCGTTAAAGTATTTAGGACATACTTATATTTTTTGTAAGATTGTGGTTAAAATGTGTATACTGGGAATTAAGAGTTCCTTGTAAAATTGTAATATTCAAGATGCACAGAAATTAGAGCACATAAAATATATGCGGCTGCTTCAATCGATGGAACTTACACAGTTTTTTACATTTACCCTATAGCTGCATGGCCAAAATGTTAACAATCAATGGAAAAATTAAATGTCATATCTTTTTATAATTTAATTTAAAAAAATAAAAATTAATCACTTGGGAGGCATTCCCGTTGACTTGTGCACAAACTCCCCCCCCCCCCAAAAAGTTTGACTCTAACCCCAATTTTACTCCCACGAATGTTGGTATTTTCAGTTGGACCATGAGCAGTCGATCTAGCCTATTTGCGATGGTAACATTTATCCTCTAAATAGGAGCTGTGTTATTAGGGAGACATTGAAATGTCTCCCTAAATTATCAATTATCATTACTTATTTATTTTAAAAACCTTTAAAGGAATAACATTTATGTATTTAGTGGCAGGAAGAGGTCCGTCAGGATAAAACCCCGCAGTCACGGTTTAGTTTCCTGACCTGCATCATGTTTTGTTATTGAGCCTGTATGATCCGCGGCGATTGACCTTTAAACGTGCACTGGGAAAACCCACATCCATTGCAGTTGCGCAATTCCGACAACAACAGTTTTTGCAACCGCGGCCCGCAATACTTATCAGTGACACACGAAGCAAACCAGGAAATGCAAATGGTGGTTCAATACCCAGGCCAAAATGATCACAATACGAATTCTCCAAAGATCTGCACATACAGATAATTTGATGGCTTTGCATTGCAAGTCATAGGCCTATAGTGTATCGGAAGGTATTGGTTCCAGTTGGGCTTGGTAGAAGCCACAGACCTCAATGTTAAGTTCCTGTTGTTTTTCAAGATGATAAAGATAGGTGAGTCAGGTTTATTTGTATTGTTTCATGGATTTAGACAAACAAAGTGCTGTACGTCCTAGCTTACCTTGCCAATTAATGGCCTGAAAACCTCGCCCCCACTAGTCACAATGGGAAAGATCATGTTGGGCCTCAGTGCTTTTAAGTTTGATTGGTATAATATGCACATGGAGAAATAAAACACATTTTTCTCCATGATATGCATAATGCCAAATAGTTGTGGAGGGATCAACTTGACAATTATTGCCTACCCCCCCCCGAAAAAACAACAACTAACTGATATATTTAGGGCCTACAGTTTACCCTTTAGGCCTACCATAGCGTTATACATAATCTTTTCAACATCGGTAATACATTCTGTTCTTTCTTACCCATGTAGATCAACATCACACTGAGCTAATGTGTTCAATGTCACCGACACGCTGTTTATATATCCTCGTTATGTCAGGTATGGAGGGCAAATCATACAATGATCCAAGTCTTTTTTTTCAAATTCAGAACAGACTCTAAACTCGTTATAAATTTGGGAGAGATTGAGTGAATTGATTCATATATAAAAATCAGTGTTGTTTCTCAATCGTAATTATTTTAAGGTGTGCGTTTTAGACAAGCAAGAGTTGAATTATTGTCCAAATTGTTGAATTACTGATTAATGTAATTTCCTTTAATCCTTTGATTTGTGTCCATTTAACCAACAGCCTCGCTACTTGGATCAATGTTGGGCGCTAGCGGGAAATCCAATAACGTTATTGAGGGCTTGGTGTCGGATTATCTCAAAGAGGAAGGACGGGTAAACAATACAAAATCTTCTCTTTAAGTTCATGAACTTTTGTTCACATTTTTGAAATGCTAACAATGACGGATTCAACAGGGATTGTTGGGAAGGCTCACCTTCTTTATTCCGACAAACTGATATTAATTATTCACAGAATGGAACTTATCCAACATTAAGTTTCCTAAAAAATTTAAAATTAATTTTTTTGAATCAACATTTTAGAGAACAATTGTTTTTGTCGCCCTCAAAAGTTTTGTTCTGGATCCGCCCTTGTCACTGACAAATTTAGTATCTTCACTTTGGCATGCGCAATGGACCGATCCAGTAAGCCCCGCCCACTACGCACGTGGGCAAATTAACACATGTTCCTCTCCAATGCCACACTGCATTTTCCTACCACGCGTATCATACGCGCGTGCACGCATGTCGGACGTTTGTGCACGCACGTCGGACGTTTGTACACGCACGTCGGACATAAATCATGTCTGTGATTGGTCAGAATACCATGGGGCGGTGTTTACTGGATCGGTCCATACCACCAAGAAGTCCGTATTTCACACTAACTGCACCGGCCCGCTGAGTTCACAACTAATTTGCATTCTTTTCTCATTTTGCCGGATTTACAGCTCGAAATTGAAGGTCGTACCATCGTGTACAAGGCCTATCTCAGGGAATTCACATTCCCTACCGTCTTTGACGCCATAGCAACAGACTCTGCCTCCGGCATCACTGCATCCACATCGAAGGAGGAGAAATTCGACGACCCTCAAGATGCATATCACAAAGCAGTGAGCAAATTAAAGCCCCACCCCCGCGAGTTTAAACCCCGCCCCTTAATCCTCCCCCAATTCCTCCCCTAACTCCTCCCCTTGAACCCCCCCCCCCTGACTCCTCTACTAACTCCCCCCCTTGAACTCCTCCCCCTAACTCGTCCCCCTAACTCCTCCCCAATTCCTCCCCTAACTTCTCCCCTAACTCCTCCCCTAATTTGGACTCCTCCCCAACTCCTCCCCTAACTCCTCTTATGCAAATTGAATTACCTTCAATGAACAGAAAGGCTGCACTCTGCTTTACTTACTGGATTGTAGAGCTGTTAGTCCAGTCCAGCACAAGTCCCTGCAAGTCCATCACAAGTCCTCCAGTCCCAATTCAACTCACAAGCTATTCAAATGAGCTTTGACAAAGGCATTCCTTTGTTATTGTTCGTCCACTGTTACTTGTGACTGGACTTGTGACTGGACTTGTGATGGACTTGACCACGGCCCTGCTGGATTGGCATGAAATAAACCAATGAAAAATGGCAGATGGGCATATTTAATTTCGATTCTGTACCAACAAGGGAAGCATTAGGTTCCTATGCGTTGCAATCTGTGCCATTCTTATTTATTTATTTATTCTATTTTAAATCTTTCGACATAAACATATAAAAACAATAATGGTTGTACAGGGGCTGTCTAGGAAATATAAAAGTTAAAAACTGTCATCCAAAGATGTGTATAACCAGACCCCCGCCAACAACAAAGATTATAAAGTAAAATCACCAACATAAAAACAAAAAAGAAATCAAATGCTAAACCAAATAAAAGAAAAAACAAGAATACATGTACATGTACATCAAATTACATGATATAAAAAATCAGGTATCAAATCAAATCAGGTTCTTGGATTTTTTTCGGTATTTCTTTAAGGTTTTCTTTTTTTTTGTCTTCAAGGTGGCAAACCTGCTAGCTGTTCTTCGGGAGAAAGGTCTGATGAAGAACCCGAATCCAAAACCAACACCAACCCCAGAACCGGAACAAAAGTCAGAACAGTCGCAGAACCAAGAACCGGAAAAGGACCCGACACCAGGGGGAGACAGCGTCAGTGAGCCAGAGAAACCGAGTCCGGCGGGGCCAGACCCCGCGATCGACGAAAGCCAGAGTAAAAATTCTGGCGATGATTTGGAGGGGAAAATGGAAGAACGCGATGGCCATCAAGTTGGACAAGAGAATGTAAAGAGTACGTAAAAGTAAAAACAACAAAATTAAACAAACAGGCAAATTGTAAGAGGTCGCTGTCGTTCCAGTGTCGTTGTCGCATGTTCATATCCTTGTCGCATGTCCTTTATAATGAGGGCGCTTTGTGCAAGGGCTACATGGATGTGAACTCTGAATTTTAAAATGAAAAAAAAATGGGAAAAAAACAAGCTCGTGGAAGCATGGAATAAACGTGGTGACAAAGTTACATGACAGCGAAATCGACAAAACGATCTCGCAGCGGTGATAAAAAATCATACAATGTAACCTGAAATTTGTTTATTATTTGCATGTCTGTTTTTTTCTGTCTAGTTTGGGCAGTTGTTCTGCAAGCATTATGCACCATATCGATCACTGCTATACTGGAGCTGATTCCGGTAAGTACGTACATTACCAATCCATGATGTGACTAGTTAAGGAGGCGAGAGGAGTTCGGTTGAAATGATGAAGCCACTCAAGACTTTACTATAGATCGATTCATTTGGCCCCGCCTACAGCTCGCGTGTTCCAGACGCGCGCGTCATGATTTGTTTATTGATAGATCAATTCATTTGGCCCCGCTTACAGCTCGCGTGTTCCAGACGCGCGCGTCATAATTATGCGAGTACATGCATATATGTATATATTAGTGCACGGCTGTTATTTGTTAAAACATCACGGGCGGAGCTAATGGATCGGTATTAAAACCACCCTGATTTGTGACTTTGTGACTTGTGCTTGCACCGAAACGTTTGACTCAGATGAATTGTTTGATGACTATAACGGATAACAAAGATTGACTTAAAGACGATGAGACCCTAAGAAAATCTGGACCCATACCCCTTGTATAGCCTTGTGCAACAAAATCACACTTACACTTGAACCAGAGATGAACATTAACTGTTTGATTGTGGTATCTTGTCGTTTCTTTTTCTTAGTGTTCTCCACTGAAGACGGTGACTGTTGGTTCTCTAGGAATTCTGCTGGCTGGAATCGTCTTTTATTGCATCTTAGGTATCTTTTTTTTATTTCAAAAAATGTAATATTTTAAAATTGGACTAAAACTAAACATCTGCAATCAGCAGTTTGATAGGCGAACCATAGCTGGTTAATTTTTCATTTTTTTTTGGCTCACTTCATGGAAATGGTAGACCTTTGATACGCTAAGCCTCAGCGTACGCTGTTGTAGCTGATGTTCAATAAAAGACAGAACAATTAAAAAGGACCGGTGTGTTGGCTGCCACCAAGCGTTTCAAAATTGACCTATCGCCGTTTGTGAGTTAGCCACGCCCCTTAGACAACCCTATGGAATTTTGGAATCTTAATCTAGAATCTCAAACGGATGCTGAGTTTCTTTGTTTTTTTCCCAGGTTGGAATATTTTCATGAGTGGCGCAATAGCAATCGCTGCTTTTGTGTTCGTTGAAATATTGCAAGCGAGTTACAAGGTAAAGACATTGGTTTGATTAAAAAGAGACATTTTTTCAATTTCTTAAAAATTTGCACTTTTTATATGTATATAAATTTCACAATTTCAAGGAAGTTCAATCCGAATGATGTCATTCTGAATTTATCCAAGTGTTTTTGGTCATTTATGGGAAGGTTTTCAATTTTAGGAAACGATATTCACGTTTTTCATGTATCTGCCTTTTTATTTGTTTATTTACAATGGCCCTCCTCCATCGTCTGTCCTATATCCAACACTTTCCTATACCACACTTGCCTGCTCCACACCGTACATTTTTTGGCAAATTTGTAACAAAAAGTCTCCCACACTTTTATTTTATTAGAAACTAGGCCTACCCAACGAAGAGGTTATGAAGCAGATCCAGGCAATCGTAAAGCCCACAGGTAAGCAGTCTGCTTACAAAATCTGTTATAAATTATACGGACCAGAATCAAGTTCTTTTACACTCTCGTTTCACGGCGTTGGGCATCGACAGGCTGCAGTGGCGTAACCATAGGATTGCTACTATTGCTAGACTGCAAAGAATCAGTGAGGTCTTTCCCTATGCTTATTTTTTGTGTGACATTGAATAATTCTTTCGATTTTTACCCACAATGCAGCTGTCTTCCTTCTAGAAGTGGTCCCCGATTGTCAAGGATCCTACGCAGCCCAAAAGATGAAGCCAGCTCGCCCCACAAAGGAAATGCTGAAGCAAACAACTGTAAAGAAAAACATAGGCTATGATTCCTTCGAAATTATACAACTGTTTGCAAACCTTATGAAAATGTTATTATTTGCTTTTGACCCTACTTGACTTCATTGTATGGAGTGCCTTTTCCATCTTTTTTTTTTTGTTGCACCATTTGTAGAATTATGTGCTTGGGTCGAAGTGCAAAGGACTGGCCTTCATTCTAAACAACAGCGATTTCGACCAATGCGAGCGGGAGGGCTCACAAATCGACATGGACAACATGAAACATCTTTTTCAAGAACTCGGATATGAAATAGTCTGCCATGAAGATTTGACAGGACAGGTAAAAACAGAAGGGCCAAACAAATTATATACATATCAAATGGTACGACGCCGCGTGCGCGCACGCACTGTATCGCGCGTGCCTCTAATTTCCAGTTGAATGCGCACCATAGACACACACGAGAATATAGTTTCTTTTGAATGGCAGTTTATCAACCTCGTTCCCATCGATACGAGATCTTGCTGCGCCTTGTTGTTTCCCATCAGGCCTTGTGCGAAGAGAAGGAACGCGCACGCGCCCATGGAGTCGAGTCTGGCTTATGAACGCGAATCGGGTTTGTTAGCACATGTACGACGTCACTTTAAACCACGCCCACTGGCCATTAATTACCATTGGAAGCATTGGAACCGGAAGCTATAACACAACTTGAGTGTTTATCCAGTGGGCGCTAGTTATTGGTGCGGACGCGAGCATGACTTTTTAACAACGAATTGGATAATCTCTTTGCATTTTTCCCAATTTTTCCTTTCCAGATATATATAAAGCCAATGATTTCAGTTTTGCCAAGAGATATTAATTTCTGGGTCATTTCAATGCTTTCATTGATTTACTCTACAGGAAATCACCGAGAATTTTAAGGAGTTCGCCTCCAAGTTTAATCAGGAGGGCGCCCGCTACGACTCGGCCGTGATAGTCTTGATGAGCCACGGCGACAAGGGAGTCATTCTCGGCACTGATCGCGCTCACGTGAAACTGCGAGATTTGCAGCGAGAGCTGGAAGCCGATCAATGTCCGGGGCTGAAAGGGAAACCCAAAATGTACTTCGTGCAGGCTTGCAGGGGAAGTGAGTTCATCTGATGTGTAATTGATTCAAAATCAAGCACGCAATTAAGTGAATTCAAAAACATACCCTCTTTTCTCCTAATTCAATACCGGTATTAAATCCTGTTAATTGTTTTAGTCATGTATTTGTGTCCTCCACAAAATTAGGATTGTCTGCTATTCTACCTGTTGCTCACGACGGGCCCAATCCATCGTCTGATGCCCCAGGATCCATCCGGCCATGTCAGGAATTGGTCCCTGTGCAACCTGACAACTTCGCTGAAAACATTAGGGACATGGCGGATGTACACTTCGCGTACTCCACAACAGATGGTGTGTACTTACTGATCACTAAATCACATCTTATTGTGCAGTTCATGAGATATTCCCATGTTACATTGAAAAGATAATTCCTACCATGACTGTCACGTCACTGCAAAGAAAAATGGAAAACCAAATTCCTTTGATATTTCTTTAACTTTTTTGGGGTCTATAAATCCTTCACGTTTCATCCCTTGACATAAAACTGCCTAAAACAAGTGTTCGATCTACTGTAACATCGTTTGTTCTAAACTCGTATTTATTTGTTTCATGAAGTTGTCATTTGTTCTCATTATAAGAATTTGTCTTGTCTTATACTCGCTACAGAAAAGAAAAAGAACACCAAGAATTAGTGATGTATCTTGTTCTTTTGCTACAGGTCATCTTTCTCTGCGGAGTGAGGTCATCGGTTCCTTCTTCGTCCAAGCCCTGTGTGAGGTCTTCTTCGCTCGCGCCCATGAGGACAATCTGGATACACTGATGAATAAGGTGAAAGAGTTTGATCTAGAATGGATGCAGGATAAGGACTAGGGGTGTGGCTTGGGTAATTCGGGGCGGGATGAGACAACAAAATTGTCATTGTCTAACAGTTTTGAGGAAGGGTCATCAAAACATAATTTGGTTTTCTTTAAGTGCACTCAACAACAATTATTATACTTGATACTTGTATTTATTATGATTTTCCTATTTTGGTGTTTCCTAGGTAACCGATCGAGTGAACCGCATGAAAGGCAAGCTGTACGACCACGAATCCAAAGAATGGATTGTCGTCAACCAAACGCCGGAATGCGTCAAGCGCATGCGCAAGGCTGTCTACTTCCTCCCTAAGTATTCCACTCATGATTAAATTATTGATTGTAATGTGAAGTTTGAACCGTGCCATCTATAAGCATACTTAACTTAGCCTCTTTCTACGTGACTGACTGACAAGAGCGGATCGAGGGGGGGGGGGGGGGGGGGACGGGGGCCGTGCCCCCCCAAAAAAACAAAAACGAACCCATTTTTGTGTTTGTTTAAGTGACGTCGCAATAAAGTCAGGCACTGCATACACCACCATCTTTTCCTCAAAAAGATTTGGTTAAAGTGCTCAGAAATTGCCTCAGATCAGCCTCCAAAGAGCATCTAGAATTCCCCCAAAATTCGGGGCCCTTAAGAGGCCCAGAAGCCCACGCTGTAATTTTTTTTAGGGACCGGAACATTTTCTTGGCCCCCCAAACATTGTGTTCTGGATCCGCTCTTGCTGACTGACTGTCGTCTGAGAGTTAGACTTGTTTAAGTCTTATCTTCGCCTAAAAAGATGCATATCATATCCCAACACAACGCCAATGAATGTGCTCAATCAGGCCACAGATGTCGAATACGTGCATGACTGATTTTCAGTGAACCATTCTGAACTGACTGAATAGAATTATGTGCACTGTAGGACAAACTTTAAGAGCTAAGCTTGCTTGTACATTTCCTGTAAAGAAAATATTTTGATCTTGGGGTGATGTATGCTTTATGCCATATCGCATATCAGAAATTAAATTAATTTCATTAGCTACACGATATGCCGGAAATTAATCAACTTGAAATTGAAAATTCGGAAATACCACCACACTTAATTGCGCTGGTATCCGCCCCTGCAGAGTACGGCGCTCCAGTGTGGAGTAGAAGCGAAAGATGAAGAAATACGTGAAAATGAAGAACAATGTGTTGCAAATTACCGTCCATACAAGCAGCTATCTTTTGTTTTGTACCTCATTTTTTTTGCGCGAGGCTTGTAAGTGAATACATGCAGTTATCTTATTGGGGAAAGTAATTAATCGCACTAGTCAAAGAGCAGATTCCTAGAAAACATTAGCGGAAAGAGCTTTCAGCAATTATGGTCATCAATCAGACACAGCTGAACATTTGTACGAAATTGGACATTAATTGTCATTGCAATATGCCATGCCATACAGTAGCCGATCTTTGCACCCTAAAAAAGATGAGTGTTATTGTGATTTGTTGATAAAGGGTCCGACGTTGTAATTGCATTCTTTTTCAGTTGATGCAGCCAGAACATATAAAAGCGAATATAAGAGGGCGCATTCCTTGTAGTTAATAAACAAGTAGGCCTACCTTTAATTTAATGGAGCGAGGACCAAGTCTATGTACATGTATTTACTTTCATTGCAAAACAAGCGTCGATTAGTGGTTTGTGAATGATTTAATCCTCCAATCTTGAAATTTACCTACACTTAACAATAACAGTCAAGATTGTGTTGTAATAAATAAACGTCAAATATTCTGCTTGAGTTAATTGGCTTTTGCTTTATGTTCTTTGTTTTACGGATTTTAAAGTATCTTTACTGAAATTGTACTACGATGTACAACAATAACCATCCCTTTACACACTTAGCAATAACAGTCAAGATTGTGTTGTAATAAATAAACGTCAAATATTCTGCTTGAGTTAATTGGCTTTTGTTTTTATTTTTTGTTTTACGGATTTTACGGGATTTTACTACAATGTACAACAATAACACAGTATATAAATAATATGTTTTAGCTTAAATATTCATTATGAAGAATGGTTAATGTAGGCAATAAACTTGCTGCTTGCAAAATATTCTTCGCTTCAACTCCGTGGGTTGTCAAGGGTTATCGCGCACGCGCACTAAATGAAATGACGTCAGTTACAGCTTTGGCCAATGAGAACCATCCTTGCGGTCATGCGCATAGAAAAGTGGTTACATTAAATACTTTTTTTCTCTCTTGTCTGTTAATATTGAGAAGGTCACGTAGATATGTCTTGAGCTTGTCTTTAGCACATTCTATCGTCGACGAAGAAAACATAAAAATGACATCATCTGAGCCCTGTAGTGCACATTAGTTGACGCGTAAAGAAACGGGTTTATGGCCGAGTTGAAAAACATCAAATATGAAACTCCCCAGAGTGCGTACGGGCTGACGGGAACTCCTAGAGCATTAATGAATACTGTGATGAACCATGGACACCAACATATTAGGAATGTTCCTGTCATGAGTGCAAGCATGATGGCGGATTTGCGGTAGGCTTGGGACCCAGGCATACGGGGGTTGGAGGGAGAGGCACCGGCATCACCCGAGGTTAACACAGACCCAGATCCTCCAGAAGACGAGCTGTGCTTCTGCTCATGCGCGTCGTCAATCCCCATGCTGATGGTTCCCGACTCGGTCCGCTGTCTAGCCAGTAGTATCCTCCTGATCTTGACGAACACCAGCGCGTTGAATGACGTCAGTAACGTCATGGGCAGCAGGAACTCGAACACCAACGTCACCATGGCGTAAGCCAGTGAGTGGATCCCCTCCGATGCGCATTCCAACGTGTAGTTGATGTTGCGCACTCCCGATAGCTCCTCCCACTCCACGTCAATCACCGACACGAAGACATACGAAGCCAGAACGGTCGCCATGATGACAGAAATGGCGCGCTTTTTTGACTGGTAGCTGATATAAAGCAAGGGCGCCCTCACCCACATGAACCGGTCCCAGCTGATCAAAACCAAAGCAAAGCCTGACAACACGGTGCATGCGAACTGAAACAAGAGCCAGAACTTGCAGGCGATTTTACCAAAAGGCCAGTAACCGTAGTACACGAACAAATTGTTCAGTGGAATCACCATGACGCCGACCAGGAGATCCGCAATGGACAAGTTCAAAATGAAGTAGTTGGAGATTTTACGGCAGATGCGTTTGGCGCGGAAGAAAGCAGCAATTGCGAGTAAGTTGGCAACGATGGTAATGGCGGCCTGTAGCCACATGACAACGATGATGACGTAGTAGCAACCGTGGCATGCCTCCTTGATACCGGGAGGAATTTCTTGAGACGCCATGGCTGAAAGGAAATGAGAAAGATAAATCGTGTCTTCAAAACGAAATTAGTTAAACTTGAAGGCACTCAGCTGCAGTTTACCAAACATGCAGCGGTGCTTTAAATGTGTGGAATAAAAAAAAAATCCGCATACAGGATTTGCGAGTCTCCCTTTAAACCAAAAAATCTTCTGCTGTGAATTAAACAAAACACAAAGTATGTTTAAGGCGTAAATGAACAGTCAGTGGGAGCCATAGTAATAAACAAAATGTTGTGAAACAAGTTTGATTCCGTAAAAGCCTAGCCTACGTGACAAGAAATGTTGTCAAAACGTAGGTCTGTATACAGGGCCATAAATTTAATTATAATTTTGTTCGAGTTGCAACATGTATAGATCTAGACCTACTTGTCTATTGCCACTACTGCAATAACTGTTATTTATTATGTTTACAGTGGTAGGCTGACTGGGACCGTCTTCGAAATTAAACACAATTCTGGGGGAAATGGAAAAAAAGACTACATTTTAGACACAAGTTTGTATGTGGAGACCTCAACAATTAATCTTGACGGGAAACGTCGCATTCGATTCGTTTTGCATTATGTACAGATAAATTACTAAGTGCACATGTGCAAAGAGTGTTGACATCTAATTTTGGATTTCTATCAATCATTTTTGGTAAGAAAATTGGTCGTGAATAAACGTTTGCGTGTCAGTCTCAAACGTAGGAATTGCATGAGAAATTGCCATATGTTTTACCCTGTATATTTCATGACACATGACAACCTAAAGTTATATCGATTTTGTTTGAAATTTTATCCGAATTGTTTCTGAATACAAACCTCACGAACAAACCCGACGATTAGGAAAGTCAATGTTGCCATTTTCAGTACATATTTTAGTAAGTTCGCTAAAATATCCGTGAATACATTGAGCTTAAACAATTAGTGATACTTCGAATTCAACCGACTAGCTAAAACACGGTCTTAACCATTTTAATTCAAATGTGAAAACAAAAGGTAAGCCTACTTCAACAAAAAAGCCGTCAACAAATGATTAGAATAAAATATTACTACAATTACCAATCAATTTTAACTACACCTGCTTGAAACACCTGTTATGCAATTTTGCAAAAGACAGTGATAAAAACACACAAACAAATTCAATTCTTACCTGAGAACAGCGAGTTCGTTTCCTGTCTCTTCCTCGAAACTGCGAGAAAGACGACTGTTGGGTTCCGTTCTGGCCCTGCCGATCTGTTTATTTCACCGCCACTCGCAGCGGTGACGAAAAAATATGCCAATTTCCGTGTCCCAATTACTTTTTCCATATGAAGAAAAACAGAGCGAACGAGAAGCATCCAATCTTGCTGTCGGCGATGTCAATTTATTGTTTTGAAATCAATCTGCCTTTTCGGCCGCACGCAGTTCCTCGAACCTCAACTAATAAAAGAAACTCGTGTTTTTTTTGCGGGGAATTTTTCTTCCCGATTAATGTTTAACTGTCCGTGATGTCACGTGATCTTAAAGGCGTAGTAGCAAAGACCAAGTTCTTTAAATCCTTCAAATCATTAATCTGGCAGCGTAGAAACTTAGTTTGCTGAGTATAACCTCAGTTTAAATGTCGTTCTTTGTGAAATTAACACTTTTACCAAAATATGGCACCGTTTGAATTGACACAATGGTTTTTATTTTGCATTTGTTTAATTCCTGGTCGATTTCACAACCGTTTACACTGCAGATCTAAAATTCATTTCAAGTACTTTTGGTTACTGTAGTAATGCCTTGACCCTTGGACTGCAACCGAATTTGTCAACAGTTATCATTACTCAGACAAATAAATAGAACTTCGGACAGAGTTTTATTAATTTTTACGATTTGATATTTTGAAATAAATGCGTGGATTGCTGCAATATAGTTGTATACAATTGTTGCTCTTGAATTGTGCAAATAATATGATAATATTGATATATACATGCTCATAAAAGTATTATAAAATTGTTTTCATCTTATATATATTCGTTTACATTACATCATTGTTTTTATGTTTTATGCTCCGTTGTGTGTTCTGTGCTCAAAAGGTAGCAAAGATGACAACCATCACATTAATTTTTTTTCAAGCATTCTGCATTGCATAAAAATTCAGTCACGAAAGGCAAAAAAAACCGCTGATATCACTCGATCAAGGGTCAACATGCAGGTGCCATGTGGAGAATTTGACCTTTATTACCAATGAAAAAGTTTACCAATGATTATGACAAGGTCGCCCAGGGTCTGCAACCGAGGTTGAAACAAAACTGAGAACGAGGTTGGGCTCGGCGTTCAGCCAAACATGCTTTCTCCCTAACGACACAGCAAACGAGAAACGGTTCCCTGAAATAAATGTCCAGGTATTGAGTCAACCATGTACGGTCAAGAGTCATTCCAATAAATCTGCCCAAACAAGCAGAGTTTGCCGAGCACTCCAGACCAGGCTGTAATTTCACTGTCGTTTCTTTTGGGGTTTCATCCCGTGCACAAAATGATAAATTCCCTTGATTCAGTGACCATATTCATCAAAAGGAAACGAGGAAATCCCGAGCAGAGGCTTCTCAAGAAAAATAAAATCCAGTTCTCATATATAGTTGGTGCTGGCTGACAGGTGTAGCTGTATTATTTCCTAGTTCAAAGCCCAGTAACCAAAAGCATCACTAATAAAAGTCGGATAAATAAGTAAACACCAGGTTTTGTCGAAATAATTACGTAGGAAGAAATTAAAATTGCACCCCCCCCCCAAAAAAAAAACCCCAAAACAACAAAACAATTTTTGTTTAAATTCAAACTGCCTCTGTGGAAACATGACCTCTTGAAATTGTACCCATGCAATGGATGGTGTATTTTTTGGTAGATGGTATAAAAGCCGTACTTTATGGACACTTTTTTTGGTCGTACATGTAGTACATAATTTATGTAATTTGCCTCATGAGTGTCATTTTTTAAAATTATTTTGCGCGCAGCTCAGTGGGGTCTACTCGTACTGCTTAGCGACGTCAATCATTTACACGTGCTTTTTAAGTAACCAATAAGAAAAGCTCACCTGCCTGATACGTCATGAATATGCAAAAAACAACAACAACCACAGGGCGGTACAAAGAATTACCAATGACGTGATATCTGTTAAGCTATCAAAAGCTTTAGGATTAAGATAAAGACTTTTACAATGTAAAACCCTTATCGATATGATATCGTTTGCCGACAGATGTGAGCTTTCACAAGCTAGATTAAGCAGGCATTATACTTTTGAGCGCATTTTTCTCCTTTAAATGTTCCCCCCCCGGGGTGGGGGGGGGGGGGGCAGGGACAGAAAGAGATTCTTGGGGAGGGGGTAGATGCTGGTGGATGAGGCGATTTCTCCAGCCCTTCCGGTAGACCCGAATATGACGAAAACGCAAATCGCAATAATGATATCGTTTTTTTTTTAACCTCTTTACCTAATCGTTTCCGATGGCAATATATATTTTATATCAAGGATAATCAACGTTAATAGCGTGAAGATGATTAACTGTTAATTCTCACTAATGACTAAGTCTTAATCTGAGATAGAGATGAAGTCGTTTTCAAATAAAAGGTTGCGAGTTTTGCTCCGATGTTTATTACTCCTGAAGTAACCACCAGAGTCGTTTCACCATGCTGAAGTTTCTCGTGCTGTGTGCCCTCGCGGCCTCCGTATACGCCGGTGAGTACTAAAGTAGAATACACTTTAAGAGACAATTGGTACTGAAGAAAACATTTTAAAAAGTTTCGGACAAGTTTCGTTGAAATTTGGACTTAATGGTTGTGAAGTGTGCTAGTTAGTTTACGGACTTTAGTACCTCAATATTGTGACCACATCTGACCAAACTCTTTCATGAGCTCTTTCAAGAGGTGTTTATAAACTTTTTTGTTTACCCCAATGTTTCCCCTCTTTCAGACTGTGGTGTGCAGGTCATCAGTCCCTCTCTGTCCAAGATCGTGGGCGGTGATGAAGCCGTCCCCGGCTCCTGGCCCTGGCAGGTGATGCTCCGTAAGAAGTACTGGGGAGGAGACTACCAATTCTGCGGAGGTACCCTGATCAACGACCAGTGGGTGGTCACTGCAGCTCACTGCTTCTAGTAAGTAGCCTTAATTCAGTCTGAACACAGTCTGAACACAGCCTCAAAATCTCGAGTTTGAGATCAGCCAGCGCGTCGGTAGCCTCATGACCTATGACGTAGGGGTCAAGTTAATTTAAATATCATCAGGAGAACGAATAGGAAACTGTGTATCGCGTGACATGCAGGCGTGCTTGAGAAGTGGGCCAATCAGTGAACAGGGCGTCATCGTTGCCGGGGTGCTATAGTGTAGGGCAATTCAGTGTCTATGAGTAAACATACCTTGAGTTAGTTGATAAGTTTGTAATACATGGTTACAGACTCTTAATTTCTCGAAACCAATCCGAAAACATCCAACCTTCTTATCTCCAACTTTACCAAATCTTATCCACCAGCAACTACGGTAACATCAATCTGTACTCCGCTGTCGTCGGCGCGCACGACCGTGACGCCGTGGACGCCACCCAGTCCTCCGTCGGTCTCGCTCAGGTCTTCCTCCACGAGGACTACAACACGAGAACCTTGGACAACGACATCACCCTGCTGAAGCTGTCCAGCCCTGTCTCCCTCAGTGACTACGTCACCCCTGCCTGTCTGCCCCAGAGAGAGGTCGCCACCGGTACTGACTGCGTCGTGACAGGATGGGGCGACCAGGAAAGTAAGTCAGAACGTTTACTAAGAAGCGTGGAAATATTTGGCCGATCTAATATCACAGGCCTATCTTCGACAAAGATATTGGTAAACCTTCAAATTGAACAAGTTCAGAAGCGTTGTTATTATCATGGTCCTTTGGCAAACGGTAATAAATAGACCATTATCATGTTGCGGCCATCTTGATTTTCCCCCATTCAAATCAACGTAACCAAAGTAAGGCTGGAAGGAAATATAGCCTGTTTCCTTTTTTTTTGCACAAAAAACCCTTTATCACTCAGTGCTGTTATTGGATACAGGGAACATGATTGAAATGGTGGCAGCATGATGAAGGTTATTATTGTTGATCTGACGGAGCGACGTCCGATATTTGATGATTTCATAATGACGTTAGTTACCCTTCTAAAATTAACGGCGTTTTCAAAACTGTGGTTTCGTCTGCGAGTTTCTGAGACGATTTAGACCCTGAATTGTAGGAAACCCGCCTTATCTTGCATGGGAATTATGCTCCGGAATATGGAATAAAATTTCAAGTTTGTCCTTTTGATTCGAATATTAATAAAGCCTTGTTAATGATTCAGGCGAAGGAATGTATTCGATGTCAGGATACAGCCGAAGCCAGAACGAAGCCGTCCTTTGACGAAATAATTTCATCCTTCACCTTTTCTTTGCATCCCCCAGCCACCGTCGATGACCCCGCCCTCCAGCAGGTCGTTGTGCCAATCATCTCCACTGCCCAGTGCAACAAGGCCACGTGGTACGGCGGTGACATCACAGACAACATGATCTGCGCTGGTTACTCCCAGGGCGGTAAAGACTCTTGCCAGGTACGAAAAAAGGCGCCCTCTAAGGGTTTTAAAATACCGCCCTCTGTTGATTTTGACTAGCGCCCTCTGTTGACATGTAAATAGCGCCCTCTGTTATATGTAACTAGCGCCCTCTGTTAAATGATTTCTAAAATTAATGTGCCCACCATGTTTAAATTTGGGGCCCGATTTTGGCTCCATAAACGTTTCCTGAGAAACCTCTTTAGACTAGCGGAATTTTTTAATGACCGTGTCGGATTAGCGATAATAGTTGGAGAGTTGTTTTCCCCACTAATTTGTCAAACATCACACAATTTATTCAATTCTCTTTCTATTTCTAGGGTGACAGCGGTGGTCCATTCGTCTGCGCCGCCTCGAGCGGAGCCTACGAGCTTGTGGGCGTGGTCAGCTGGGGATACGGCTGCGCAGACGCGCGCAACCCTGGAGTCTACGCTAAGGTCCTCAACTACGTTGATTGGATCAACAACATCGTTGCCAACAACTAAACAAAAGACAAGTCATGAATTATTCAACAGTTCAGCAAGCCAACTCGGGAGGGCGTATTAAAGCCTTGGCCATATTGGAGCAAAACCATTACGATCATTTGTTTAACTCAAGAAAAGAAAGCAATTTATACAGTACAAAGGGAATTAAAAGTCACAAGACGTATTCCCAAACCCAGTCCCACTAAGAAACATGATTTCGATGAATCAGTGCCCCAAATATGTCATTTTGTGCATGAATTATAAACAATAAATTTCTAAGATTATTAAGTGTTTAATAAATGTAACGAGTTTGAAAGAGTAATCAGTTTCATGCGTTGTTTATTATTCTTCCCCCTCCCACCCCTCCCAGTCCCCGCTCAGAATCGAATTCGGAGAAAACCTTTTAATTGTTGGAAACTAATTGAGTGTCCCATGCCTGCACAGCGAGGAGACTTAAACTACCAGTGATGTATCTCAGGGTAAATCGCATGCTGAGGGAATTTCACGGTTAACCTCACCGAAATGTACCTTCAGTGATTAAAAAACATTGGTTGTACAATGCAGAAGCGACTGGTAGCCAGTCTACTCCACGCCACCAAGTACAAACATAGCACATTGACAACTGTGTACACGAACTGCACTGCACAAGATATGCACCGTGCGATAAGGCCATCCACATCACAGCTGTTAAAAGCCATTTTTCGCGCTTCTACTCCAAAGACCAAAGTCTACTTTCTAGTTTTTGTTCTCACTATTGTGTAATTTCGCAACTGGGTCAACCCAACCAGACATGTACAGACATTTTGCTTATTGTCTTCATAAGGAGGCTTAGTAGTGTCTGCATAGCGTGCACAATAAACTGAAGTATTGGAGTTGGTAGGAGCATTGTTTTCCACGGGACCTCGACCTCAGCGGGTGTCACTCTGAAATCTCAACGGGGCGTCAGGCGATATTCTCCCGTTGCCCTGCTGCCCTCTGACGCGGTTCTGTCCGTGACATGCTTGTCAGACCGACCGCTAATGGATTCTACCATCTGATGGTGCAGAACATACCAGAAGTCTGTGGTTCAGCACACTCCGTGTACAACTACAAGAGAAAGGTTTGTTTTACGGGGGTACGGGTGGGGGTATCAGTCAGCGCACGTTTTATTTCAACATTATTAAAAACATCAATATGTGTGGCTCTTGGTCTGGTAGGGGGGGGGGGGGGTGTTGGGTGTTTGAATGGACTTTAATACCTGAAAGAAAAACCTCATGTCTATCACATTTACAAAAGTTGCACCATAAGGTTTTACTAAATAAAGGTCTACAGCTAGTACAAACATGGAGGAAGGAACTATGGTGAAGGAAAGCTTTTCAAATATTTTCAATATATTTTCTTAGACTATCATAAATACGAAAAAGGGGCTTGAATCGCGTCTACCGAGGGGCTCGTTTTTTTAGCTGTGATAACAAAAAATCATGCGATCTATAAAAGAACGTGTTCGGCCCACATCCATCACATAAACATTTGTAAACATAAAAGGTGGTAGAGTTGATGGTGTTAAAACAAGGGGCTAAAAATAGATTATGATAGCATTAAGCAGGGGAATTGTGCCGGCTTTGTACAAGACATTCTGTTGATTTACAGTCGAATTTAAACCGATATGCCATGGTATGCCTGTCTTTGTTATTAGAGATTATCAGAGTCGAAAACATTACCGTGTTTTGGGTCACAACCACGGTTCTTTCACGATGTTTCCGTACGAATACAGGGGAAAGTTTATTGGATAGGCGTGCCGTATTTTGTGACTGAAATCGAAGCTGCACGACAACTGCTCACGATTGTACCAACCATTATATATTGAATTGTTCTTGCATTATTTTGTCATTATTTTGCCCAATCAAATACTTTGGTGGACGTCATTTTGCCTTCATGTGCTTGTTTTAGAACTTCCAGTCCACTGTTTTCCGGAGCATAGAAAATATGATGTCAGGTGATTCGAAGAGATCCATTATTGCCACCTTTCTGATACCCTTTTTGAACTGTGAACTTTATTTAAAGATTGAGATCAGAAACATGAGTCTCGTACGTGATAATGCAAATGTGCATACAATCAATCTCTTGTGAGTTGGTCGTAGTTGTGGAACTTCAGAAAGGTGTAACAGGTCAAATCCATAATGTAAATAACAGGTTGTACATGTTATATTGTGTAGTCCTCAATGTGCAAGCCGATAGAAATGTTTTTCCCAAAGGGCATCGTACTCGGAAATTTAGCTTACGAATAAAATACCCCAGACTTTGCACTAGTGTAGGATTGGTAATCCAAAACTAATTTAGAACTGGCAAATACAAAACATTGCTTAATTTAATTTACCCGGTGAGAATGTATAAAAATATATAAATTGTCATTTTTTTAGGCTTAGCGTATACATGTGTAATTATTGCTTTGCAAAGTTTAGTTTTAAACAAGGCCAGCTTTATGACATGTGGTCTAGTCCTGGGCATAAAAATAACAGAACCTGTGAGACGTTTTGCAAATACCTGGAATGATTGATTATCACCAGGCTTAAACATAAACACACAGAACATGATACCTTGCCCTACTGCCACACTTGGGGACCAGTTGCCTAGCAACGAGGTCGGCCATCTTGACTGTTTATTGCGCACAATGACGTAGTCACTTTATGCCCAAGGAGATGAAAGTTTCTTCTTTATCTATGTGACATTTTTAATGTAAGTTAAAATGTAAGTATGACACTGGTGGAATTTTTGTCCCTTGACTAACAGTAGCCTACAAATCCTTTGGCTTAATGGTTCCTGTCACTTGCGAAATGCCAGTTGCATGATTAATTAACGTGGATCTAACATTTTGTTTGATTGAAGCCAGTGAAGTGCGAGATCGAGTTGGTGCTGTTGGTACAGCTGATAAGCCATAAAATTTGTCGGATCATCTGCTTTATACAGACCATACAAATAACATTCTGGTATTTACTTACACAAAGTAAACGGAGACTGACGTTAGTTCACATTTGGTGCTAGAAGCAACGAAAATTTTAATTGTAGCATGGTGAATTAAGAGACGTACTTTATTTTTTGTTGTTGCCATTTCCTTTCTGAATTCAATAGCATTTCAAAATCACTAAATAGTAGTAAAAATGTCTTATGCGTTGTTGTAATTCACATTTTAAGCTTAAGCTAGTTGGTGATTAGGTGAACTGAGTGCCGAATGCTTAACCCAATCCACCTTTAACCATCTTGAAGTTTAGTCAGATTATTGTCGTTGCTCAGTCTTTCTTAACTTACAATAATATTCAATATAAAGATGTGAAGTAGATTTCCCTGTACACAAGTGACTATATCGCATTTTGTTATAAACTGAAACAAAATAGTAAAATGATGAAATATTAAAAAATATTTATAGTTATATATGGATCCATCGTCACAACATGAACTGACATGTTAGATATGATTATGCATATCTTATATACATGCATAATTTGGAAGCATGTAAAAGAATTTAATAAATCGTATATCTCTTGATATCTTTTTATGACTCATTTGCTTTGTAAACAAACTGTACCTTTGGACCCTTCCAGCAGTGTCAGAATGCGAACAATGCAAAATGCCATCTAAGGTAAAACCGGAGCCAGACTATGAAACATCACGTTTTCTTGTCGTTATGACGAGTCGACCTGCAGTCGCCATGTTTGTTCGGCGCCATTTTGGATTTTAATTACAGCTGTAGATTGCTCGTTGTGTGTGTGGTCTATGCGACATTATTTTTGATCGGAGAGCATCCAGTATAGATAAGAAACGGAATAACCAGTTGCAGTATATTTTAGAAGGCTGCTTTAAAAATTTTTGGAACTTAATGTTTCAGAACAATCCATGTTTCCCTTGTTTTGTCCCATTTTTTTCTGGTTCCCCTTGAACTTTTGTGTATCAGTTTTCTTCGAAAGAATGACGCATAGTTCACGTTGTTGCTATTTTGGAATTCTCCATCCATTGTTGTTTACATGAGACAAAAATGGTCCCTTGACCTTTTATTTTGAAATCAGAACTTCTAAACTTGTCTGCTTTTCATCACAACTAAACAAATTAGTGACTCATAATTATATTTCCTAATAACAAAGCTAGTTAATCATTTCTAAAACAGCCTTCAAATAGTGGTGTAGACTTTGTGTGAAATATATTTTGTATTTGATTTTTACTATTTGTGCAGGTATCTTTTCAGCATGGACTAGTTTGACAGTGCCTAAAAAGCCGCAAAATCTGAAACAAAAACAAAGATGGCTTCGCCTTCACCCATGGCATCACCATACTTGCAGCTAGAGTTCACAGCCGAAGACGACATGACGAGGGCGAGTGATGCCGAAGATGACGCCGAAGGCACCTCCGGAAATCATCGTACAGACTCGACAGCAATCGGCACCACACCACGCGCGCGTCCAGCTCCACGCAGACGCGCGGTGGACACGCGCCCGCGTGCCATGCTGATCTCAACGCGCGCGTTCTTCATCGCGTTGATCCTGCTGATTTTCATCACCGGCTTCGCGTGTCGGGCCTACGTCTACGGAATCTTGCGGATTCTTGAAGAGGAAGTCGACCTTAGCGGAGCAGAGACAGTCACCATCATCCTCTCTTACGACATCGGATTTATAACAGTCTTGACCATCATAGCCTTGCAGAACCGCAAAGTGCACCGTGCAAGGAGCGTTGGTTTTGGAGGTTTCTTGATAGGAGTCGGTTTGTTAATAGTCTGCGTCCCGTACTTTATTGTCCGATCTGATCTCGTGGACGGTCAGTGGTACCTCTCAAAATACGAACTCTGTGACGAGACCGTCAGACCACCAGACGTCAATCAAACTGCTGGAGGGCGCCCATCCCTACCCGTGTACAATGACCCGCCCAAGACTCACTGGAACAGTGTTGCTTGGATCGTTCTGGGCTTGGTTCTGGCTGGAATCGGTGCGGTTCCGCAGTTTCCCCTGGGCATCACGTACTTGGAGGACAGACTTCGCGGTTTCGGGACGCCATTTTACGTTGGTAAGATGTCACTGCTTTACGATCGGTGTTTGTATACGAGTCCATCACAAGCCCATCACAGGTCCTGTCGCAAGTAACAGTGCATGGATGATAAAAAACAAGGGAATTTTTTGGTCACATATTTTTTGATTTTTTTCATTTCTGGCTGGATGACTTGTGAGTGACTTGTGAGGACTTGTGATGGAGTCTACCTGACGTGTAACACTGTACAACCTATTCTGAACATTCCCTCCCCTACCAATCATGTTCACAGTCACGCCCGCCCATTCATATCCAAACCCATGACAGCAATGGGGGGGGGGGCATTGATAGGAAAAAGTATCATTTATGATTGTGTGGTTTTGTTTTGTCAGCTATTTTGTTGTGTGCCTACCTTCTTGGTATCTGGTGTGGCGAACTGGCCAACATGTTTATGTGGCAACACGTGGCCACTGCTAACGGCACCACAGTCACGTTATGGTGGCTGGGGTTCTTCGTCTCAGCGTTGGTGGCGCTCGTCATCGGCCTCTTCATCTTCATGGCCAAGGATCCCTACAAGCGGCTGGTGAAGGAGACTAACGGAGCATCGTCGGCCATGATGGCGGGCAGGACGCAGAATGGACGCGGATACCGAAGGCTTGAACACGATGAAGAGGGCAGACCAAAAGGTAAAGAACTACGTGGGATTTCCTTACAAAACCGTTGATTTACAAGGCAAAACCTCAGTGTTAAACAAACTGTCTACCATCAGGCAAACTGATCATCGACTGCAAAATTAATGAAGAGTTTAAGTAAGATTCCTGGTGTTTTCAAATACAGAGAATTAAAAGACAACTCTGTATACCGTTTTTGCCAAGTTGGTATAAGTTTTGGTTAAAACTATGGCCTTTAATTTAAAGGAAAGATCTGTGGTATAACTATGACGTATTAAAAGGAAAACGAGCAGTTTTCAAATTAATAATGTCAGAATTGTGCCTTTGCTCATTAGCTGTGCATAACGCCATACCGTAGATAGATTATTTCTTCGAAATATATGTCAATTTTTTTTGCAGCTCTTAAGGTGCCGGCAAGATGGCGTCGGATTCTAACGAACCTGCAGTTGGTGTGCCTCGGTGTGGCAGGCAGCTGTGAAGTGGCCCTGCTGACTGGTTTCCTGGTGTTCCTTCCACGATACGTGGGCACCATATCCAATATGGGCTGGGGACCAGCGAAGTTTTATATTGGTAAGTAATGGAAGTCCGAAGGCCGTGACTACTACGAGTCGGCCATATTAAATTGAAATTGAGGTAAAAAAAATCCTCATTTTTTGAACTTGCGAAAAGAAATGGAAGCAATGATATAAAGTTAATAACAAATTGATACTGTTCTACTCTAATGAATTATTTAAAATTTGTGGTTAAACATACCCTGATGTTTTAAGCCACATTTAAAAAAAGAAAGAAAGTGAGGCTTTAATGCATAAAATAGTCTGGCACCATACCATTCAACAGTTCACAATTTATAAAATACATTCAGGGAACATGACCAAAATGGCGTCCTCGTGATTAAGGTCCATTGGTTCTGACGTTTTTAATAACAAGTGATCATTTCTTACTGCACTGACTGTAATTTCATCTCTATTCTTTGTCATTATAGCAACAACTGTCATAAGCAGCGCCTGTATTGGTATCCTGACGTCATCCGGGTTAACGCTGTACAGAAAGATCAAAGCCAGAGGGCTCTTTCGCATGGTGCTAACTGGATGCGCGGTGGCGCTGTTCTTCCTGTGGCCGCTGTACATATTCAGATGTGAGAGTCCTGTGATTGTTGGTGTATGGACTGGAGATGGAGCGCCACCATGGAATGGGTATGATTAAAACTACCGATTACATTGCCTTATGGGTAGATAGGGCTTTGATGTTTTAAATCAGCTGGCACCATTTTGATAAAAAATGAACGTCTTTGTTTTACTCTCCTTAGGAACGTTGGACATCTGTTGCCGGGTCTGAACACCACATCACAGTGCAACATGGACTGTTGGTGCAGCAAGCTACCCTACCGGCCCGTCTGTGGATCAGACGGCCGGACATACCTATCGCCGTGTCTGGCTGGATGTCATGAACAGCAAACGTCGGATGTAGTCGACTCGCAGGGCTTGAAACTCACGGTAAATGTTAACATCATGGCCCTCTTGTGGTGGAAAATAGCCAGTCTCTATCCAGCGAAGTTTTCGCTGGTAACCACATCTTTTGAATGTAAGAGGATGCATAGGACATAGTGAAGCCGGTTATCATGCGTGTTGTCAATAACTTTCTTTCCAATCTATAGAAACTTTTATAGCAAGATTTTCAAACCTAGCTCTCATGCTAATGAAACCTTTCATTTTAGCTTTGTTTAGCGTGAACCTGGAGGATTCATAGCGGCCAATAACGGTCTTCTTTTTGTCTAGAATTTCACGGACTGCTCATGCATCATGACCTATGACAACTCAACTGATGACCCCGCTTACGCCCTCTCGGGGCCATGTGCGAGTGACTGCAGCAATGAGTGGCCATTCTTGTTTATGGTGTTCGTCGTGTTCTTCATGACGGGAGTGCAGTTCGGCCCGATGATATTGTTGTGCATTCGGTAAGTTCAATTCTAAAATTCTTCTCGGATATAAGTTGAACAGCAAGAAGTAGAATGAAAACAATTTTCACTAAAGTAGCGCAATTGCGAAATCCACGAGAGGGATTTCACAGCTAACCTGTCCCAGTTAGACTGCCCCCCAAAAGTAATTTTTCTCATTAGATATGACTGTGAACGCCTGGACGTATACAAACATGTCAACATGGAATTTAGTTTTATTCTTCTTGTTATGAAGACAAGATCTAGCTAAGAAATACAGTATGATCAATACCTATTGAAAATAAAAACTTACATTTTGTTTTTCAGATGTGTCATCCGAGCAGATCGTATAGCAGCGTTGAGCTTTCACGTTTCAATTTGGCACATACTTGGTGAGTAAAAACGTAGCCTTAGGCCTACAATAAGTGCCTTTCTACAACCACGAGAATTTTAATTTTTGTAGATATGTAAAAAGAAAAACCCAGGTGATTGAAAATGAGCTTTGCTTTTGTTCAGGTTACATTCCCGCGTTAATCTACTTCGGCGGCATTCTTAACCAATCGTGCGCCCTCTGGGATCGACCCGATAGGCAGAATTACCACGAGTGCGCCCTCTACGACTCGTCTAAACACAACGCCCTCTTCGTCTCCGTGGTGTTAGTTCTGAAAGCCGCTTCGCTGGTTCTCAACATCGTCGCGTATAAGTATATGAGGAATAGAGGATCTAGTGTGAACATGGAATGGGCCGACTACGACACTATTGAGATGGAACCAGTGGAGGGGCAGACAAACTCTCGACAGACGTATATCTGAGAAACCTCAAAATTTAAGAGTGGATTAGTTTCCTTCTCTTATTAGCAATAATCGCTGCTTTATGCCGATTGTAGTCGACCTTTAATTTAAAACTCGTTGACAGCAGTGTTCAATTGAAGGTTAAAGCCTCTGCACTTGCAAACAGAGGTCGTTGGTTCGAGTCCTGTGCCGTGTTTCATAGCATAAAGCTGCACTTTTTTGAAATGTTGTCCTTTTTTAAATGTTGCCTTAAAAACAAGACTGTCCTCAAGCTGGAATTTATCGAGTTTTTCAACGTCAACCAAATAATCAGCGCTTTTGCTTTCAAACCTTTATCGCTACGCCAAGCCAGTTTTCAATCCAATTAAATTAATTGATGATCATTATTGTAAATGATTGAAAACGTTGAAAATGATACTTTAGTGGTGACAGATTTTACACGTAATAGGATGGATAAGAACTCACAGGTGTGACGATACGTAAAGTTTCTTTTATTAAAACCAAAACCAAATCTTGTAACCTTACACGATATCTAAATATTAAAACATCTGAGCATTATTCACTTTCATTAATTTTCAAAGATATTTTAGTATACATCTGGAATATTCGGAATGTTCACATCATCAATTCTAGAAAGTTTTAAAATAGTATTTTTAAAATAATTAATGAATACAACACAATGCATGACACCTAAATATTCCCTTGTATTTATTTGAAAGGCACGCAATCTGCAAAGCGTGGAATTAATATTCACTTAAAAAATAAGAAATATTACACCTGTTTACTTACATTTATTGTTTATTAAACCCAATCACCAATTATTACACCGGAAACAAAATATCAATTAATATTGTCTGAGTTTTGTTTACAAAATAAATTCGTAAATGCTGTTCTACTTGATTTTCTGTCATCTTATTTGGCGAGTTTATTGCACGACGACTTGATCCAGATTTGGATAATGTATAGTTTTCGGGGAAACAAAATTTACTGCGAATAGTCAAATAATATGGTGATTATTTAAAAATCAAAGACTTAAAATCTCCATAAAATTACTCGTCATAATTTACTCCCCACGTGATGGAGACACGTGACGGATACACGTGACGGAGTCACGTGACGGAGACACGTGACGAAAGCTGCAAGTAAAGTTTCAAGTATGGAAGTTATAAATTTTATTTCCATAAATGTAACTGAATGTACCTACAAAACCTATCATGTGCAGAGGTATACTCAATCTATTGAGTTACATTTGTTGATGTATTCGGCAGTACGATTTTTTAAGCTCTAAGCAGCCTGCTTAAAGCTTCATAAATTGACCATTATATTCAAAACAAAATATCACAAAATAACTATAAATTCATACCCATTATGAAACTAAAAATCTGCACTGACTGTGCCACCCGAGGCGCCCTCTGCCTTCCCATAGGACGCCATCTTGACGTTGCCGTGCTTGCCCTCCTCCGCGCTAGGGGGCGCCCTGTAGGTCATGTAGCAGAGGATGTAGAAGATACAGGAGCCCAGCTTGAGGCAGGCGAGGAGGATGAAGACGTTCAGACTCATCTCGCCGTTGTTGTAGAGCCAGCACTGGCGGGCGCCGTCGCAGGATGTCTCCCACAGGATGCAGGACTGGTCGATGATGCTACCGAAGATGATGGGTCCCGGTACGGACCCTGATAACAGAAGGAATTGAACAAACGTCAAGTTTTACCAGCCTCGCCCTAGCCTTGCAGTAAATACCATGCTTTTCTCTATGTCGGCTCCGAGTATGCGATCAGTTCTTCAACTTGTTCAAGTCAAACAGATACCATGGCATGTTGAGTTAGGCAGACGCAGTGTGTTCCTTCCTTCTTTTGTTTGACTTTTATTTTTGTAAGTTGTGTGCTACGCGAACATAAAACTCATTATTTCTGTTGTAGTTATGTGATGCAGTAGAGACATGAACTCAATTAACCGTCCACGACCTACAACGTGATGACTGTGTGCTGGCAATACAGCACTTCTACTTTTGGTTAATTTGAGGGAAACGCAACACCAGAGAGAGAGGCCAGGTACTCTTCCCTCCGTAGCAATCCCACCTGCTTCGCCCCATTAGTGACTTACCTAACGCCCGGAACAGAAGGGATTGCACACCAAGTGCAAGTGCACGCTGTGTGTGCGAAACACACCTGTAAAGGCAGACAGAACAAAGTCAGTTGTATCAATGTTTTAATCTCATTGAATTCTTATATTTAACTTCTACATTTCTCATTTTTATCCAAATTTCTACGATCTTTGCATGATGTTTTCTTCCTATACCTTCAAGGACTCTGCCAAACTTTTTCTCTATGCCTATTTTCCACAATTGTGACTGCTGCTAATGACTAACCTTTACGGATCTGTTTAAAGGGTCCACGAAGTGATTTTTTCTTAGAAACACATTTTGTGCAACTTTCTACTCCCCTTAAATATATGAAAAATATCTGACATCCCTTTTTGGCTAATTTTATTGCAAAGTGCACTTATTTAAACATTTAAAAGTGTTCATGCTTTTCCGGACAGTTGAGGGCGCTTTTGCTTTGATGTCATATTGAAAATAATTGTGAGCAAAGTTTGCTCATTGGCTAATACTGCCATGTACTGACACAACAGTGAATCACCAAAGAAGAAAAAAATTACGACAGCGAAATATCCGAAATTCTGACTTTTGGTGCTGAAATGGTGAATCTCTGAAATAGCTGTAACATTGAGGTTTCTGCCTCAGATGACATCACACATTTGCTCAGGAATATGGACATTGGCATCAGAACGGAAAAGGTACCAAAATGCCCTTGAAAATCACAAAACAAAAATTGAAAATAAGGTTAAGTATGACACAAATGTGTAATTCCAAGGATTGCACACAAAAATAATACGGACCCTTTAACTACTCGTATTGTGCCTAATGGTTCATTTCCAGTTTTAACTTTCTTTTCACTTTTTTCTAATCTGGAGTGAATATTTTGTCAACTACAGTCCTCACCTTATAGTAGCCGTTGTAGTTGGTACCGTTGCCAGGAATGTGAAAAGTACCATACCAAAGACAACGACAATGAAGCCCCACATGTTACCACAGTCGATGGGGCATTTGCCGGCCACTGCCCCGTGATGTGCAACGGTCTCATTCGCTGAGACGCAACCACAGCCGGAGAAAGTCTGACGATTGAGAAAATCAACTTGATAATTTTGCAGGTTTTGCAAATCTTTTGTTTCTTTCTTTCTGCCTGACGGTGAAACTTGAAACCTGAATCTTGTTTTCTCTCGTTAATTTAATAATAAGGTTTAAGTGAAATGTTAACGTACCGTCTCTATCGTCAATGGCATCTCTTCGTTGTAGCCGCCGGTTTGGGTACTCTTTGAGCGGACCTCGTAGGCGACTTTATCTAAATCTTCCTTTAACTTGTCATTGAATTTCATCCCATATTCCGTGACATTTACCTGAATGATTTGTTTCAGTCGATTGTCTGATTTGGATTGATAACCAATGGATCAATCGATCGATAATATACCTAGCTCTCGTCAGTATTTTGTCCAATTCTCTTTTCGTTTTTCATGCATGTATATTGGTTCTATGCTAAGATAGAACCTCAACAGTGCCATATTTTCTGTCTTGCTCAAATTAATACTGACACCGTTTTTAGAACCAATTGGCTCAAGTAGCTTTTCCCAATAATCAATAATCGATCGATCGATAATTCACCTGGTGCCCGTCAGCGTTCTTGTCCAGTTTCTCGGTGCAGCCAGCGTGGCACGACGAGTAGTACATGATGTTGTTGTCTCCACACACGGGGTTGTATGAGGTGTCACAGCTGCAGTTGCTGTTACATTGGGATGTAAGATCGATCACTCCCTCATAGTCCAACGATCTAAGATTCAAAGGTCCAAAAAAGACCGATTGTCTTAATAGAACACTCCGGATTTGGCAATAAGCCACGCCCACCTTTGGTTCGTCGCGGTGCACGTGATCGGGTCTGATTGAGATACCGTGGTCACCTGACCGAAAGTCGTCTTCTAATTGGTCAACGCGCACTGTTTGATCAACACAATGGAACTCACGTGTTGTTGTAATACGTGTTGACGCCAGCAAACTTGAGACTTGGGCAACTGAAGAAGAACCCAGCCATGAGGAAGAAAGAGACTGAGAGAGTCGCGATGCACAGACGAATCATGCCTCGGAAATTCAGGTTGAATTTCTTGACAAGGAACCCACCAATGAGAGAGCCGATTAGTCCGGATGGGATGGTAACCATTCCTGGTTGAGAAAGGAGGGTTCCCATTGGTTGGTTTAGGATTCGACAAGACGAGGCTTGCCTAGAGCTGGCTAAAAAGTTTCAGTTAAGGACTTTGTTTATACTCAATCAGTTGGTCGGTCGATCGTTCGGTCGATCGTTCGGTCGGTCGTTCGGTCGGAGTCGTTCGGTCGGGGAGTCGGTCGGTCGGGGAGTTGGTCGGTTGGGGAGTCGGTCGGTCGGGGAGTAGGTCGGTCGGGGAGTCAATCGGGGAGTCGGTCGGTCAGTCAGCCAGTCGGTCAGTCGGTCAGTTAATCAGTTCTTGAATTCACTTTGAGGATTTGCATGGCAGAAAGTACCATTATTAGACATAAGTACTTGTGTTGAAGAAGTGACTGCCTCCAATACAGAAGTGTAGGTGAGGAGAACTAAGTATGTGCGTAATCGATATTTCAGTCAGTGTGTAATGACCGTCAACATTTGGACACCAAAACGTTCATTTTTAGAACTGTGTGTCTTTGAAAGGCATGGTTGTGAAGTCGAAGACCGAAGAAATAAATTATGTCGGGAATAAATTCCATTTGGACCACGTCTGAATTTACCAACAATGATAGCAGATAACCCTGAAGACACGCTGAACTGAGACTCTATAATCTTGGGCCCGAAGGTAGCGATACTGGACAGGATTATCCATTCCGTGATGAGACCAAGGTTGATGAACATGAAGGGAGCGTTCTTAATCAGGGTCCAGACTGCAATTGGGAAGTCTTTGATGCCACCTGCTACTCCATCTGAAAGAGTAAGAAGATGAAGTGCTATCGTGTCAATAAACCAGTTAGTTATAATGGGTGGCCAATGACTCATAGCGTAAACGAAGGTAGTTACCGAACCAGTTCACAGGTTGGTTTAACAGCTAGTTTGTCGACTGGTAAACTACGAACTCAGTTATCGATCCAGTTAGATGTTAAGTTACAGCAGATAGCGGTGTAGGTGTTAAGCTTTAATATCAAACCAACAGTGGCTGGTACTTTAGTTAACATATTTCGCTATCTATTGGGCATGTTGAGATCTTTACCTACAGTTTGCCAACCAGCTTTTTAATATCAGTGAACCAGGTAACGCTTTTTACTACGAGCTCGGCTCGGGTTGTATTTGGAATTGTGGAATAGTCGATAGTGGACACCTTACAACTGTTTCAGGTGTGTTAGTGATTTGTCTTGTTGCTTGATCTGTTGGTTTGTATTGGTCAGTCGGTTTGGTAAGTTCGTCGGTGGACTTCATATTTTCTTTACCTGTTTCACTCCTGGACTTGAAATCCGTTCCCTCCTGGTTTTCCACGACCCTTAGCGCTGCAACCTTTTTATGATCTGCAAGGCAAGAACACGGAGTAATTTCATAATTTGCTTGTAAAATGAAGCGTATCCAGCTTTCGTTTGCTTCGTACACAACCCTTGAGGGCGCCAGATAATGCCAGTTATCTTTCCTTCCTAACGTACACGGCCAATAACAACAAATTGATAATTTGAGCAACTTAATTTGACGTTATCACGATTTTCCTTTGACGTCATGATATTAGTTACATTTATCCTTCTTTAAGGTATCTTGGGTAGCAGTACAAGCACCACGAGGATAGCAACAGTGAACTCAGAGTTCAGGCTAAAGTTTTAGGAATCCTGAAATTCACGTCGACAAAATGCTGAACTATTTATCCTGTGTCTGGCACATACCACAAGCAGACGCCGTGACGTCACGAGTTACGTAACACCTGTCCTACCTTTAAGGTATCTTGGGAAGCCGAAGAGTGGAAGCACCACGAGGATCCCAAGACATGCTGGCATGACCGAGCCCAACCACCACGCACCCACCCATAACGGATGGTCATCCGATATACCCCTGGTATACGAAGAGAAAAACAGCCATCTTGTATTTCCCCCATTTAGTTAGTCTTGCCATCGCATAGGAACTGTGGAACTGACGTGCACGATTGAAGCCCCAAACTATGTAACTCCATATAAGCGTGGTCATCTGATATCTACCACACGAACAGGGATCATAGTCTTGGTGTGTACCAACAAGGGTTACATTTTGTTTATGCAATCACGATCTCTATTGATATTTCAGCACTATACATGCTTTGCGAAATAATTCTTCATGTGTGTCGGTAGTCAAGCAACTAAGACCATGATCGTAGTAAGTGCGTTCTAAATGGAAATGGACTTTTATTAAACGTTTTGCCTGCTACTGTACAGTAGATTATCTCAAGCAGATTCTACAGCTTTATTGATCACAACGTCTGTAAGTTTGAGACTTAAAGAAACCTAATTGACGGTCAGGATGATAAACAGTCCGATTTTCAATAATCTAAATTATTAAGAATTACTTACCCCGGTGGTTCTTTAGGGAAGTCGGTCCAAATTCCTAGAAACAGACCTCCAACTAAATATCCCACCGCAGGGCCTAGTATCGATACAGCATCAAAAATACCTGTAGGTACGAAGATAGAAAAGTAATCAACTTTGATGCGATCTTTCGTCGTGAGGGGTCCACATTACACAAGTTATTGAGCGCCGGGGAGTGCCGTGATGGCCTCGTGGTTTGAAGCACTGCGGGTAATTCGGCAGGTTGTGGGTTCGAGTCCAGCCTGGGATCATGGAGTATGTGCCCGGGCAAGGCACTTTATCACTCATTGCTTCTCCTCACCCAGGAGTAAATGGGTACCTGTTAAGGCAGAGATATGGTTAGATATTTGTGATTGATTTTAGCTGCTAAATTTGCGAGCTGTATATATTCTCCAGGAAGCTGAGATGGTGTTTGGAATGTATCATTTGCCCAATGAGCAGGGTAATAATGATGTAGCGCCTTGAGCACCAATAATGGTGGATACGTGCGCTTCATGTATATTATTGAATTTCGGACGATATTACCCTGCATTGAGTTTAAGGTTTTTATTGATATACGTAAATACGTTTCAAGGCATGAGCATTCACCAACGTAGGTGTCTTACTCACCTATGTAAATCGAAACACTCGCTGGCCTAACGTTTTCATCCAGATAGGTGACTCCCAATGTATAGAGTGGAGAAGCGCCTATACCATGCAGCGCCTGCGCGGCTACAAACATCCAGAAGTAGTTACGCAGATGGGAGTCGCCTTCAAGACACGCCTGTGCAGTCGGGCGCGTCGGGTCACAGGTGTCGACCTCAGAAGGCGTGACGTCATATTCTGGGGTCACGAAATGAGGCAGCATAAACACCAGCGAGCCAAGGACGAAGATGAAGGCGCACGTGCCTAGCCACTTGGGTTTGTGGCTGCTCTCGCCTAAGTAGGTGACGAAGATGATGATGATCATGACGGAGAAGTCGTAGCAGCTGCTGATGGAGCCGCTTTGCACGCTGGGAATGACAAAGCGGCGCTCTAGGGTGGAGGTGATGACGAAGATGAAGCCACTAACCGTCATGCCCTGGACTAAAGCGAACCAGCACAGGAACACCAGGTACCACTTAGGGTTGTTGAGGAACTGAAGCCACTTGGGTCGGATGGACAGCCACCCGTACGGGACACACTCAACATCTTCATTCGCATCTTCTTCTTTTGAAGAGATACTTGTCTTGCGTTTGTTTCGGTTTCGTATCTCCACCTCGGCTTGGTTGGGGATCCCGTGGAGATCGTTCTGGTCATCCATGGCTCTTGTAGGAAGGATTGACCACGCCCACTTCTGTTCTCCCGCGATATGGTGCAGTATCGTCAGTTTCTATGTCGTCTTGCCTAGTGGATAAAAATACAAACAAAATCAACAGAATGGGGTGATTTTTTTTCTCTCCAATTTTCAAATTTATTAATATTTTGTAATCTTGGATATGTCTACTACATATATTTTTTAAAAATGGTGGAATAAAAGTGTTTTATAAGGAAGTAACAATTGACATCTTTCATTTTCGGGGCTTTAATCCAGTTGAAACTGTTTTTCAGTATTTAACCTTGTTGACATGTTCATAAATGCGAACTTCAAATCTGTACTGACGAATAATATTCGTCAGCACAGATTATGATTGACCAAGTACTCTAATTGGTTGACCAAACTTTGATATTGAATGATATTTGACTAAACTGATGTTGCTAAAAGCGTGTGAAATTCTTCTCGGACGAATTTATATTATTAAAAAGGTGAAATTGAGAGAAAAACGTTTTAACATAGCCGGGAAAACCTTTACTCGAAGATCATCTTGATACTTAAAATTTACGGCGTATTTTTCATGGATTGTATTTTCCTTTGTTTGAGTGTCAGGTAGTATACAATGACAGTAAGCTCACCTGTAAAAAGCTGGCGTGGAGGTTGAAACTTCCGGTTGTCACCTTCTGTATCTTGGCCTAATTATGAAGAAAAAAATAATCAATTTGGGTAACTCATACCCAGTTTATGAATTTGTATATAAGGAACATTTCTAAAACAGAGCTTTGGGCAAAAGCTGAAACACTTTCTTTTCCATCGAAACTTGCAAACCTTTTAATCCTTTCAAAGTGTTCCCAGATTATATCGTGGCAGTACGCAGGTCTAGAACAACGTGTGTTACTTTGAACAACTCCAGTGGTTTGCGTACATTCGGAGCCGAACACGGGGTTTAGGTTCTTTAAAATGTTAATCAATACAGCGTATGGAATCATAAAAAAAGTAGAACGACGTTCCATCGTCATAAAAAGACATATCGATACCGTACTAGATGACAGAAACAAAGGGAGAGCTAAAGTGGTATGCAAATTCTTATTATACAGTAATGTTGTACAAGATATTTTTTAATACGTACAATGAATTCTTATCATACAGTTGTACAAATGAATCTGGGACCTTAGGTCGGGAACTACCAGGATTTGTTATAAATAATTCTTTGTTTGCTAAAACTGTGACGCACCCACGACGAAAGTGGTTTCACCGTATACATTCTCGTATAATATTGCCAATACGGCAAAAAGCCTAATTTACATTTTAAGACATTCTAAACGCTCATTAATGTCTGATTTATTCGGGACTTTCACTTTTTATAATTGCAAATTAACGGGCTGAATATTACTCATTCGTGGGCTGACGGCGACCTTCGTGCATAACCAAAACATTATTGTAAGATTACAAGTGTGCATTTATAAATTTGCTTTTTCAATACAACGCCGATCGCCACATGAGACGAATTTACCGAAATCAGGACGAATTAGAGTGCCACAAATTTGAATTATACTACACCTTAAATGAAATCCATTGGTGGTTTTGAATTGGACCTCGACGATGTTCGGGAACGAAATTAAGGTATCGTTATAGGGAATTTGCGTGGTATAAGTGATAAAATAACTTGGGAAAACCAATAATACTGTATCGGTGAAAGATTTGACACATAATAGGATCGAGAATAACTCATATTGTAACAATATTTTTATTAAAGAAAAACGCTTGTAATTTACAAGATTTCTAAATATAAATTGTCTGAGCATTATATACTTCCATTGATTGTTTTAATATACATCTGGAATGATTCTAGAAAGTTTCAAAATAGTTTTAAATAATTAATGAATACAACACATTTCAACCTAAAAAATCCCTTGGATTTATTGAAAAGGCACACTATCTGCATAGTTTTTAATAAAAATTCACTTAATAAGTAAGAAATGTAAAACCAAATTAACAACATTATTTTATTAAACCCAATCACCAGTTTGTACACAGGAAACAAAATATCAATTGTCTGAAATTTTTTTTACAAAATAAATTTTTAAATGCCGTTCTATACTTGAGTTTCTGTTTTCTTATTTAGTGAGTTCATTGCACTATACGACTTAATTCAGAATCGGATATGTCTGTACTACAGGTCAGAGCAACAAAATATGCTACGCTATATACGAATAGTAAAATCTAACGTTGACTATAACGGAGACACGTGCCGGAGTCACGTGATGGAAAGCTGCAAGTAAATTGTCAAGTACAGAAATTATAAATTGGATCTTTAATAAACATCATTTCGATCAATAATAATGCCAATGAATGTAAAACCTACAGAACCTATTGTGCGAAAGTATAACAAAAATGAATGAGGTCTATTCAGTCTATTGATTTGTATTTTAGATGTATTGGCAGTGAAGATTTTTTTTATTGGCAGAGACTTTCTTTGTTGGCAGCCTATTTAGAACTTCATTAATTCAGCGTTATATCCGAACCAAATTCCCCCCCCCCAAAAAAAAAAAAAAAATTAATAACTTCTACTCGTCACTAAACTAAAAATCTGTGCTGAGTGTGCCAACCGGGGCGCCCTCTGCCTTCCCATCGGACGCCATCTTGACGTCGCTGTCCTTGCCCTCCTCGGCGCTAGAGGGCGCCCTGTAGGTCATGTAGCAGAGGATGTAGAAGATACAGGAGCCCAGCTTGAGGCTGGCGAGAAGGATGAAGACGTTCAGACTCATCTCGCCGTTGTTGTAGAGCCAGCACTGGCGGGCGCCGTCGCACGATGTCTCCCACAGGATGCAGGACTGGTCGATGATGCTACCGAAGATGATGGGTCCAGGTACGGTCCCTGATAAAAGAAGGAATTCCATAAAATTTAAGGAACCTCAGTTAATACCATGTATTCTTTATTACGCCTCTAAGTAAGCGATCACTTCCTTTCCAGGAAGAAGATTCCTATTTTAAAAAAGTCTTTCCTTGGCAGTTCCACCTGCTTCGCCCGATTAGTGACTTACCTAATGCCCGGTACAGGAGAGACTGCACACCGAGTGCAAACGCACGCTGCGTGTGCGAAACACACCTGTTAAAAGCAGATAGAAAGAAATGTTTGTGTATCAGTGTTTTTAATCTGACAAAATTATAACAACTTCTACATTAAGCTGCTACCTTCTACCCATTTCTACGATTTTTGCACGATGTCTTCTGCCTATACCTAACGACTCTGCCTAACATTCCCTGCCTATTTTCTACGATTCTGCCTGCTTCTTATAACTTACTTTGACGGTTCTGTTAACTTATGTATAACTTCTTGAATTGGCGTAATGGTTCAAGTTTGGAAAGATCTCTACCCCTTTTCCAATCAGTTAGTGAAATTTGTGTCGATAGTCCTCACCTTATAGTAGCCGTGACAGTTGGTACCACTGCCACGAACGCGAACAACGCCATAGCGAAGACAACGACTATAAAGCCCCACAAGTTACCACAGTCGATCGAGCACTCGCCGGCCACTGCCCCGTTACGTGCATCGGTCTCGTTCGCTGAGACGCAACCACAGCCGGAGAAAGTCTGAGAAAAAAAATTATCGGCACGACATATAATTTGACAGATGTTATATTTCATCTCCTACACTCATATACAGGGAGTGAGGTTGGCGTAGCGATACTTTCCTCGCCTTCCACCGCTGTGACCTGGGTTCGAATCCCGCCCGGGTCAATATGTGGATTGAGTTTTCAGTCCCTACCTCCACAGGTTTTCCTGGGCTTTTCCTCCCTCCTCTAAAACTGTACTTTCTTCTCCGTTAAGTTGTCTTCTCTCCTCTGGTTTCTTCAGGCATTCGAGCTACAGTGCTTTAATAGGGTACTTTTGAGGAATCCGTGGTTTCATCACCAGAAAGAATTAAAAAATACTATTCATCTCGAAACTTATTACCAGAATTCATGCCTTCCCATTTCTTGTAATTTATTTAACTTCCAGCATGTTGGTAATTACGAAATTCCTTCATTATTTGACACACCTGTTTTTTCTTTGTATATAAAAGCCATCTTTAGTTCCTTTCAGCGGACCTCGTGGTTTTCGAATTTATCACAAGCTTTCATCAAAACTGGTCATTCGCAACATACAACTGTATGACGTTTGATCAATTGACTGATTTGGATCGATAATCAATACATGAATGGATCAGTAAACGAACGATGTTCTTTTACATCCTATATCATAAATTCTTAGCTGTACTGTGAACCTAACGATGCCCCAATTTTTTCTCTGGCCAAAGTTCTAAAGCGAACGCCACTATTCAACTGCAAGGCTCTACAGTTTTCCTCGACAATCAATAATCGATTGATCGATAATTCACCTGGTACCCGTCAGCGTTCTTGTCCAGTTTCTCGGTGCAGCCAGCGTGGCACGACGAGTAGTACATGATGTTGTTGTCTCCACACACGGGGTTGTATGAGGTGTCACAGCTGCAGTTGCTGTTACATTGGGACGCGAGGTCGAAGACGCCTTTATAGTCCAACGATCTATTGATTGGTAATAAAAAAAGGACCAAGTTTGTGAATAGATACCTCGGTCACCTGACTAAAAGTCGTGATGTTATTGGTCAATTAACGCGCACAGTTTGATCAATATAATGAAACTCACGTGTTGTTGTAGTAAGTGTTGACGCCAGCAAACCTGAGACTTGGACAATTGAAGAAGAAGCCAGCCATGAGGACAAGAGAAACGCTGAGCGTCGCGATGCACAGAAGAATCATGCCCCGGAACATCAGGTTGAATTTCTTGACTAGGAACCCACCAATCAGAGCGCCGATTAGTCCGGATGGGATGACGACCATACCTGTTTAAGATGGAGAGAAAGGATCCCATTGGTCAGTTCAAGATTAAACAGTTAAGGCCATGCATGCACGTCTTAAGTCTTTCTCACTAACTGTCCGAAATAAATTCTATATCCGAGGTTCAACTGGTGAACTGGTTGCAACCGATACCAATGGAACTGGAAATTATTGACTGGTTTGAACTGGTTTGAACTTGTTTTGAACTGGTATGAACTGGTTTTTAAACAGTTATACCAGTTTAACAACAGTTTATACCTCTGGTTCTTTTCAGAACCATTCTCTTAGTTGAGAAATTATTCGCACATGGCGTTTCCGCAAACCTTTCATTATTTAGTATCTCCACCATGCAAAGCCTCAAATCTTACTTAGTTTAACAACAGTTACCAATTTCAGTTGAAACCAGTTGAACCAGTTTGACTGGGTTCAACTGGAATTTTCACTTGGGAGGCCACGTCCATATTTACCGGCAATGATGGCAGATGACCCAGAAGACACGCTGAACTGTGACTCCAGCAACTTTGGCCCAAAGGCAGAGATACTTGACAGGATCATCGATTCCGTGATGAGACCGAGGCAGATGAACATGAAGGGGGCATTCTTAACCAGGGTCCAGACTGCAACTGGGAAGTCTTTGATGCCACCTGCTACTCCCTCTGAAAGAGTAAGAAGATGAAGTGTTATCGTGTCGGAAAGGCTTCCCACAAATTTAGTCAGTAAACCAGTTATAATAGGTAGGCAATGAGTCAGTTACGTAAACGTATAAGTAGCCAGCAAACCAGTTCACGGGGTGGTTTAAGAGCTAGTTTGTGGACTGGTAAACTAGTTAACGATCTGCAGTTATCCAGTTAGATGTTACGTTCCATCAGATAGTTGTGTAGTTGTGTAGCTTATCAAACCAACATTGACTGGTGTGTTTAATAGTTAACCGATTTCGCTTTTATTGAGCAGGTTGAAATATTTACCTAGTTTGCTAACCTAGTTTGGATTGGTGGAATAGTCGATAGCGGACACTTCACAACTGTTTCCAGTGTGTTAGTGATTAGTCTTGTGGATTAATCTGTTGGTTTGGCGTTGTGTCTGTTGGCTTTGACAATTTTTTCTTTACCTGTTTCACTCCTGGACTTGAAATCCGTTCCTTTTTGGTTTTCCACAACCCTTAGCGCTGCAACCTTTTTATGATCTGCAAGGCAAGAACACAGAGTAATTTCATAATTATAGTTGTTTGTAAAATTGCAGCCTACATTTTTCATTTGCTTCGAGCACAACTGTATTAATAATAATAATAATAATAAAATATTATGTAGATTGATACGGGACTCAGTCACACTATAAAATAAATAGTTTATCTTTCGATCCCTTTACTGCATTTAAGTTCACTTTAATACACGGCCATAAGCAACAAATTGATAAATGTTGAACAACCTTTTCATTATCTGGCATTAACCCAGAGCTTTTCTCGTGACGTCACGAATATTACGTAACAGCTAGACTACCTTTGTGGTGTCTTGGAAGCAGTGGAAGCACCACGAGGTTAACAGCTGTGAGCTCAACGTTGAATTTATAAAGCTAACGTTTTAGAACTCCTCAAATTCAAGTCGACAAATGCTGAACCATTTATCCAGTATCTGGCATTGAAAATGTACTACAATCGTATGCGCCGTGACGTCACGAGATTACGTAACACCTGTCCTACCTTTGAGGTATCTTGGGAAGCCTAAGAGTGGAAGCACCATGAGGATCCCAAGACATGCTGGCATGACCGACCCCAACCACCACGCACCCACCCATAACGGATGGTCATCGGCTATACCCCTGGTAGAGAAAAGGAAGAAACAACCATGTCTTTTTACCGCCCATTTATTTAGTCTTGCCATCGCATAAGAAACGTGGAACTGACATCTATGATTGAAACTCCAAACTATGTTATACTTCCTATAAGGGTAGTCATCTGATATTTACCACACGAACAGGGATCATTTTCCACATTTATTTAGTCTTGGCGTGTACCAATTTAGGTTATTTAATACTTTCACGATTAAAGAGCTCAACTCTTATAATAATAATAATTTGGGAGGCTAATCATCCTTACTCGCAGCTGGGATGCTGAATTGCGAAGGACGCGGCTACAACGTGGTCGGGCCGCTGGCACGTAAAGGCGCCTATGGCTGCCGGCCACATCGACCCATATAAGACTACGGAGCACAGCCTGAGATCGAAAGTGTTTGATTTTTCCGGAGGGAGGAAAACCGGAGGGCCCGGAGAAAAACCCTCGTGGCACAGGAGAGAACCAATGCACAACTCTACTCACATGCGATCCGCGGCCAGGATTCGAACCGTGGTCACCTTGGTGAGAGGGGAGCGCTTTACGCACAAGCCACCCGTGCCACCCATGATATGATACTTCACTGCATGCGAGAGAATTCTTCATTTGTCTCCAGTTGTCAAGCAACAAATAACAAGTTCGTAATCGCGCCTTCTAAAACGACGGTGAACTTACTTTTTTGTAATGCTTTTGATCTGTTAAATTTAACAGACTTATTCATCTGTAATTTTCAATATTGAGACTTGTCGTTTACATGAGCCTTTTATGACTCCCAGGGTCAGGCACTGTCTGATTGTCAATAATCTGAATTATTAACAAGTTTTTGTATTTATTTTGTTTACCCTGGTGGCTCTTTAGGGAAGTCGGTCCAAATTCCGAGGAACAGTCCTCCGACTAAATACCCGACAGCAGGACCCAGTGTAGATACAGCCTGGAAAATACCTGTAAGTACGAAAACAGGAAAACAGCTGGTAATCAAGACTAGGTCTCCAGCTTTTTTGGGGCTAGATTTAATTTAAATGTCTATCATGTAGAGTTTCTGACTCACCAATGTAAATAGACAGACTTGCTGGCCTAACGTTCTCATCCAGGTAGGTGACTCCCAATGTAAAGAGAGGAGAAGCGCCTATACCATGCAGCGCCTGCGCGGCTACAAACATCCAGAAGTAGTTACTCAGGCTAGAGTCGCCTTCGAGACACGTATTTGCAGTCGGGCGTGTCGGGTCACAGGTGTCGACCTCAGAAGGCGTGACGTCATATTCTGGGGTTATGAAATGAGGCAGCATGAACACCAGCGAGCCAAGGACGAAGATGAAGGCGCCCGTGCCTAGCCACTTGGGTTTGTGGCTGCTCTCGCCTAAGTAGGTGACGAAGATGATGATGATCATGACGGAGAAGTCGTAGCAGCTGCTGATGGAGCCGCTTTGCACGCTGGGAAGGACAAATCGGCGCTCTAGAGTGGAGATGATGACGGAGATGAAGCCATTAACCGCCATGCCCTGGACAAAAACGAACCAGCACAGGAACACCAGATAACCCTTAGGGTTGTTGAGGAACTGAAGCCACTTGGGTCGGATGGACAGCCACCCGTACGGGACACACTCAACATCTTCATTCGCATCTTCTTCTTTTGAAGAGATACTTGGCGTGCGTTTGTTGGGGTTTCGCATCTCCACCTCGGCTTGGTTGGAGATCTCGTTGCGATCGTTCTGGTCATCCATTGCACCTGTTGAATTATTCATGTAGCTGCATAAAATAACGTCAGATAAGTTGCTGATGAGGTTGACAAGGTGATCCCTCCTTTTGAATCCTGCAGTATACACAAGCAAAACAGAAGCAATCATGTTAATTGCAATGAAGGCTACTATGGCCTTCTCTACACACAATGACAACGTGAACATAAACAATTAGCCATTTGCTAACATCATGACGCATTAACTTCACCAAACAGCGGTAGAAATGAAACGTACACTGTAAAAGGTTCGATTCAGATTCGACTCGAATCTGGGTCTTTTTGACCCGATACCTTCCAGGGTCAAAATAACTCTTTTCTGGCTCGAAAGAATAGCATTTTTGCCATGGGTTCTGGCTGGGTCAAAATGAGCCGGAAACGATCTAGAAAAGATGTCATTTTGACCCGAAAAGATGTCATTTTGACCCTCTGCAAAATATCAGGTCTAAATCTGACTCAGGACGTTTCAGAGTATAGGTTCTGTTGCCAGAAAGTCAATTTTCGAGTCACAAAATGGAACCAGAGGTCGTTGGTGGGCGACTGTTTCAGACGAACGCCATAATAATTGATCGTTCTTCTTCGCAATGTGAATCATGCATTCTAAAAAGTACGAAGTCCTTGTCAAGTCCTATACTTAAACAACCAGTTATGATAGAGTTTCAATTTTTGTATCATGAATCAAGGCTCTCTGATTTATTTCACATATCTTTTATAATTCATGTTCAGGCTAATGAGCGCTGTTTCACTAGAAAAGATGTGTTCAATTCACGAGACTAATTAATTTCTTGACGGTATACTCTCCGTCAATTACAATAATGCAAAACAGTGTTCTGTGATCACGTTAAGAATGCTTTTATCATAATACTTTACATCCTTCAAGCCCTGTTCAGATTTTTTGTGTGTTTTTAATCATAGTTACAAGAGATTTCCGTCGAGATCCGCGTATTTAATTATATAAGAGTATGATCTAAAGATGTAATTGAAAGGAACATCATTTATATGCGGTGGTACCGTTACGAAATAATATCCACGTCTTATAAAGCATGACAACAATAGTAAGGGCATACATTGATATTTATTACTTCGGGGAAATATCGCGGATTTCACCAACGGTCCCATTCCCGTCAATCATTGTTAAAGCAATAGCGCGGGGGGCACAGGTGGCTTCGGTCAATTGTTTAATTGTTTATTCAGTGCATACACCCGCAACATACTCGAGCTTGTCTGAGGGCTAGACGTTTTTATGGTTGAATGCGCGATTACCCGCTGCAGCGATAACCCGACACCGCGAGAGAGCGCCGCATCACGACCGCACCGTTGCGTTGAGCGCGAATCACGTGTTGCCGGGCACCCTATACGAAGTTGTTTGCTTGGAGTGCATGCATACATGACTGGTCGTCAGCCAATTGCGAATATTCTTCATGTTGCGGTCAGGCGCGGATATCCTGGGAGGGGGGGGGGGGTATGTAGGGTTCGACTTAGCAGTAACCCGAAAACCAAATGCTCGTCAAAACAGCGGGCTCATACTATTTGGTAAGGAGCCCTGTTGGCGAGTCAAAAATTATTGGGATATGGCAAAGATGAAAGTACAGGAAGAAAAAAATCAAAAAATCAATCAGAAATCAAACCGGTATATATTTGTGTATAGTAAACGGTTGAAATGATAAGATGCTTCAGGATGCATTTTTTACATGTATGTCCAACCTTGGACGTACATGATAAAAATCACTACAAGGTAGACGCCCAGGTTAAGTGACATTAAACAGCCGTCAGATTGAAACTCCATCATAACTGGTTGTCTAACTATAGGGCTTGGCAAGGAATTCGTACTTTTTTTGCATGATTCACATTGCGAAGGAGGACGGTTCAACAATGATATTAACAAGATGCAAGGTCAATTAAACGTTCACAATGCGAAGGTACATGGTTCATATTGCGAAGAAGCAAGTGCAACGTTGACATCAAGCATGATTCATGGTGTACATTGACAAGATCGAACGTGAACATTAACAAGTTGGAACATTTATATTAAGAAGGAACAATTTCCACAATGCGATATTAAGCTACGTGCAACGTGCATATTGCGAAGGTACAACGTCAATATTAAGAAGTTACAAGGTTCATATTAAAAAGGTCAATATTAAAATGTCGTTCCAGGGCCACCGTAATTTTGCGCATAGCACGATTGTAACAAAATGTAATACAAATGCGCGTACGCGCAACGTGTACTGTGTGTGAAGGAAGGTGAGCGGCCGCCGGCGTGACATGACTTGAGTGTAGTGTGTACGCACGCACAACGCAATGCCCACGACGTATTTGAGCAGGGTTATGATTGGCGATCATCTTCTTCAACCCTAAATGTACGGGCCTTAACAATGTCCAATCAGAATAGATGTTAGATAATTAGTTAGACCAGAACTTTCCCCAACAACACTTTTTTTTTACAATGCCGTACGGTGGCGCTGTTTGTGTTTACGGCTAGTTGAAGCGGTGCGGGTTTACTGAAAACCTCAATTCACACACAAAATCGTGTTAAGTTCTGCTAAAACAACAATGTATATATCCTGAAAAGTACGGGCTTTGTTTTTAATATAAATTCAATATTTTATATCAGTATGATGTAGAATAAAATTGTCTGTCTTATATTCTTTTAACAAGTCAAAGCGTTGCTCCGTTTTCCAATGGTGTACAAAAAAAACATCGAGGCGCCGTTTTTGATGGCTATTCCCATAGCAAAAAAATCAGTTCCTGTGTGGACGCTTGAAAAGGTGCGCTCACAAATTGATATGAACTTGTAAGTTTTTCGATGAGAGATTTTGTTTCTTTTGTCAGCCGTTCGTCTACCCGTTTTTTTACTTTTTTTCAAAGTCTGTATCGTTTTTAATTTTTTGAAGCTTTGTGCTGGTCTTTGTTCTAATTTTTTGCTTAAGCTCGTTAAATTTTGCGAGCTCTCTCGTAATCAATAAGAACTCTTCGTGCGATATATCTCCATCGTTGATGGCTTGAGACACGTATATTTTAATCGTGTAAAGCATTGGAAAACTGAAGGGTGAATGTGGCTTATACTCTTAGTTCCAAAACAGGCAAGAATACAACATGGGCACATACTGTATCGGCTGCCTCTTTTATTGTTTGCAACACTTTGGACGCAAAGTTCTAGTCCACACAAGGATTATTTTTTTGGCTCATTCCTTCGTTCCATGCAACAAACAACTAGGTTAATTAGCAGAAATGACAATTCCAAAATATTACAAATCGAAAAGAAAGAATCTTACCAATTTTTGAAGCGGTTAATTAAATCTCCGTTCACTTGCTCGAAATGGTTTTCGAGTTTAGTTGGCAATGTCGGTAGAGGTAGGGTACATCAACTGCTCTCGGTCATATAGAAATTGTTACTGAACATCACACGACTACAACCAGTCAATATATAGGTAACTAGACAAGTTTGTTTTACCTAGTGACCTTTAGACTTTATTTAAAAACATGCTGAATAATTTTGATGAATGCACTTTGCCTCAGTCAACCGTCACAAGCTGTGACCCGTCAACAGCTTGTGGCACCACGTCGTTAAGGCAATGACCATAAAAGGGTGAACAGCGCCCTCATTCGTTTCTTCAACACTATTTTTGCTTTTGACTGGTCCCCATACAATATGGGGACCGGTAGCTAGTTCCCATTTAAAGCCATTCATTGTATCACCTCTGCGCGTGCGCAACATGATTTTTATTGTTGAGAACGATGTTTACAGCTTTGCGCATGAATGACTATTGAACACATAAACAAAACTCAATCTCACCATAATCAGTAGGCAAAATCACCAGTGTCTCCACGAACGCAACTTTTCAACTGCAAAAGTTTCACAAACTGAAAAGTAGTGCCTCTCTCTTTATTGATTGTTGCAGCAAAAATCGAAGCTCATCACCATACACTGTGGTAGCCTTTTGTTGCCATTTTACAGTAGAATGGAGGAAAACCTAATGTTTTCAGGATTCATTGCACGGTACCAGTCCTCCCTACATTCGAAGTCCAAAGGACAACGGAGGGACCGGGAACAAGTCTATTTTTGCTTCTCCAAGGTTTGAAAGCATGCACTGCACGTAGACGATTCTGGTTCTGGTTCTAGTTCTAGTTCTGGTTCTGGTTCTGGTTCTGGTTCATGGTTCCGGTTCTGGTTCTAGTTCTGGTTCTAGATCTGGCTCTGGTTCTGGTTCTGGTTCTGGTTCTGGTTCTGGTTGAGTCGGTAAAATTCACTGAAGAATAGCACACCAACTTTTTACCTTATGACTCGCATGGAGTGGATTGGAGATGACCTTAGTTAATTGCCTTAGTTGTCCATGAAGTGCTTGGATGCACTATATCCATGATGCAAGTAGTGTAGTTGACGGTGTTGGCTGGCAACTTCTTCCATTCTGTGATGGTTCTCGGGAAGAAAGAGATCTTGTAGGCTTCCTTGGTTGCCTGCCGCTTGTAGAATTTGTGTTGGTGCCCCCTGGTATTTTTTGTGTTTACGGCGAGGTGCTCTGCTCGTGAGATGGCAACCAGCTCGTGTTTGATTTTGTAGAAGCATTGGTAGCCTTTGCATCTATAAATCCATTGGTGTTTTTTTTAAATTGAAATCAGGAATTGACCTGGACGGTGTTCGGGAACGAAATTAAGGTATCGTCACAGGGAATTTGCGTAGAATAAGTGATAAAATAACTTGGAAAAACCAATAATACTGTATCGGTGAAAGATTTGACACATAATACGATTGAGAGTAACTCATACTGTAACAATATTTTTATTATAGAAAAAGTTTGTAATTTACACGATTTCTAAATATAAATTGTCTGAGCATTATATACTTCCATTGATTATTTTAGTATACATCTGGAATGATTCTAGAAAGTTTCAAAATAGTTTTAAATAATTAATGAATACGACACATTTCAACCTAAAACATCTCTTGGATTTATTGAAAAGGCACACTATCTGCATAGTTTTTAATAAAAATTCACTTAATAAGTAAGAAATGTTAAACCAAATTAACAACATTATTTTATTAAACCCAATCACCAGTTTGTACACAGGAAACAAAATATCAATTGTTTGATTTTT